CCCCCCCAAACAGCTACTTGATCATATGGTAACGTATCTATTTTCATTAAGCTTGGATGTAGCTGGGCTGCACTATCAACTCTCAGCAGTGTCTCTGGCTGAAAGTTCACCCAGAGAATCGAGACCCATGAGCAGCAAACAGAGACTCTGTGCATGGAGAGGACAGTGTCAGGGACCATCAATCATGTGCCGCTAACAATCACGAAAGGCCCGGCTACCATCAGTGCTACCTAGTTTCAATGTCCTCTCCCTTTCAGCCCCTGTTGTTGACGCTGACAACCAGAGATCCTGGCTTGTTGGTCTCTAGAATGAGTCGTCATGAACTGTTGCTTGAATTACCACATCTTCGCAATGGCTCGACCGACTTCCAGCCCTATGCAAGCTCTACTAGTTGGTCTTGGATAGCATGTCACGAATTTTTCAGAGATTAACACTGGCCAGCGTTTTTGGACGTATGCTCAAAGCTGATATGTCCCGGGATCCAACATGATCATCATATATGAGCAATGGCAGGAGCCCTCATATAAAGATGTCAATAGGTCGGACTGTCGATTCTCAACATTGCTATAATGGTCAAGAGCCATTTGCCCCGAACGTCGGACGATGAAGCTAATTCTGCCCCGTGCTGGATCTTTTCCCCTGACTCTTACATAGTATCTTCACAAAATTTGGACCGACTTGCTTTCAAAGGCTGATTATGGACCGACGTCCCTCTGATCAGAACTACTGGTCTCACTCTCAACGTTCGAATCATGTGGTCAGGCCATTGCATGCCATGCAGCGGTCCTCCTATCCAGCTAAGATACAGATATCCCGACTCATTCACCCCTCGTTGTCGAGTGTGAGGCTGTCTTAGCTTGACTGCCGAACACGAAGCAACGGACACTGGAGGTCAGGATTACGTTGTGGTCCTCTAGCCGAATTGAGGCGAAAATCTGGGCATCAGCATGCGCCATCACATCTCGCAGCTGCATTCTGCGCCCCTGTTACCATGATCCAGGCATTCCCCTGAGTTTTACCCTGCACTGTCCGGTTATTTGTTCACCCGGGGGAGGCCCTGTTGCAGGTTTGTGGCCAGAGATCACGATTTTGATCAGCCTTTACGAGCACGCTAGCTTTCTCACAGGCTGCAGGACTAAGGGTCCAGCTGCTTGACTCTTAGCCCGAGGCAGCTGTGCTTGATCGCGACGGAAGACAGTTGGTAGTATTGATTCGCCTTCCTGACTTGGCGGACGATCATCAAGACCGGGGTCAGATGCTTACAAGCTTATTATGCAGGCTGGCCGACAACACGAGGTATCTTGTAAAGTCAAGGTTCGCATGATCATTTAGCCGCACGAGCAGGGTCTAGGTGCTCTACGACAACGGCTGCAGGCCTCCTACAAGCCCCTGAACGGCCAATATCCAATATCAGGGCTATGGGAGTTTGCACCATGGCGAATACAACCCCCCGCATTCACGTTGTTGATGGAAGTGAGATCCACATGATATTCGCCAATCATGATTGTTCTACAACCCCTGTTCATGAGGGGGCTAAGCTTCATGGGCCTGGGGTAGTCTGGGGCACATGGCCTTCTCGAAGCTGGCGCTGGATTGCCACCAGTCAGAAAGCGAGGTAGACTGTGACTTGAAATGCAGTCACATCCTCTCGGTCTCCCAATGGCTGCTCAGTATGCCCTTTCGGTAAGTCTCCGCCAACGGCCTCTCCATTGCTTGGATCTCCGGCGTTGAGTTTGGCTCTTCTGCCCCAAGCAAGTCTGAATGGCTCTCGCGCGCAATGTATGCATTGACTTGAACCAAGCATGACAATCCTGGTACATCCCGAGGGCGCTGCGATATGGCCCAACCGTTGCATGGATGGATCTTTGGAACCGTTCCATGTCTGGGACATATAGTTCATATGAACCTTCATCGTCCACCTGTCCACCGGGTCCCGTCCATTCTTCACCTCAAAGGAAAATAATCAGAAAGATACTACCATGAAGATCGTCCAGAAGGTCAAAGAAGACGTTAGGACAGATGTTACCTGGAATCGGGTGGCGACTTATGGTATTCAGGGGGCGCGGGCTGCTCCAGGCGCAGCGGTGTTGTATCTCCTGGACAAGGTTCCTATCGTGGGATGGATTCCTCGATATGACTATCGATGGCTTTTGAACGACTTCATCGCTGGACTGACTCTTGCTGTCATGTTGATTCCTCAAAGTCTAGCTTATGCGAAGATTGCCACGATTCCAGTCCAGTATGGACTCATGTCCAGCTGGCTACCAGCTGTCCTTTATGCCTTTATGGGCACATCAAAAGGTGCAATCCGCATGTTCTTCCCTGGTTTATTGATCAACTGACCTACCTTCTAGACATGTCAACTGGACCAACGTCGCTGATAGGCCTGCTGACCTCCGATGTCGTCAAAGATTACACAAAGGAAGGATACAGTGCACAAACGGTGGCATCAGCTGTAGCGCTGATGATGGGCGTTTATGCCATGGCACTAGGGTTCTTGAAGCTCGGTTGGCTTCTCGACTTCATCTCATTTCCTGTGTTGACTGGCTTCATTTCTGCTGCTGCCATAACCATCGGTTTGGGTCAAGTCAAGAACCTTATTGGTGAAGATAATGTTGGTGACGGCACTGCCAATATCATTCACGACGTTCTGACAAACTTTGGGACTTGCAACGGCCGAGCAGCTGGCATTGGCTTTGCCGGGATCATTCTGCTGACGATCCTCCAAAAGGCCGGCGAGAAATGGGGCAACCGAAACAAGATCATTTGGTTTCTGTCCATCACCCGTGCTTTCATCACGATGGTCTTGTTCACAGGAATCAGCTATGCTGTCAACAAGGGGAAAGACTCGGACGACTACCTTTTTGACGTCAGCAAAGTCCCTACCACCCGGATCACTTCCCCAAAGGTACCAGATGCAAAACTCATTGGGAAAGTCAGCGCCGGCAGTATCGCGGCATTCATTGCAATGGCTGTTGAACATCTTGCCATTGCGCGTGCTTTTGGGCTGAGGAACAACTATGTCATCAATCCCAGCCAAGAGCTCTGTTATCTCGGAGTGATCAACTTCTTCAACAGCTGCTTTGGCGCCATGGGCGTAGGTGGAGCTATGTCTCGAACCGCGGTGAACTCCCAATGCAAGGTTAAGTCGCCATTATCCGGGATCATCACGACCGCCTTTATTATCCTCTCCATCTACAAGTTCACTGGTGCCCTGTACTGGGTACCAAAAGCCACACTTGCCGCCATCATCATCACCGCGGTTTGGCCACTCGTCGGGTCTGCCAAAACTTACTACCATTTCTGGAAGACTTCACTAGCCGACTTTATCGCTTCGATGGTTGCGTTCTGGGTGTCTTTGTTTGTCAGCACCGAGATTGGGATCGGCTGCGCTGTGGCCTTCAACATTGCTTATTGTCTCATCCGCCAGGTCTTTACAAAAACCACCAGCATTTATGCAGATACATCTTCCTCGGAGTTGGCAAGTTCCTTGAACAGCGCTCATGCACTGCCACCAAGGATTCCTGCGGATATCCGCGTTTTCAGGTTTAACGAGTCCTTCTTCTTCCCTAACGTCAATCGAGTCAAGCAGGCCATCTTTGACACCATCGAAACATACCATGCTCCGGCGTACAGCACGGCCAATGGCACGGAAGCCGACCGGAACTGGTCAGTCGAAGGCGAGAAGCGGATAGCCCGTCTCCGCAAGAAGGCCAATACCCAAAGTGTCGGCCTGCCACCGATTAACGTTGTTATTCTGGACTTTGGCAAGGTCAATTACTGCGATACCACTGCCGTCGTTGGCCTAAAGAACTTCCTCATTGAGCTCAGGAAGTATGCAGGGGAGGCCGTTGAAGTTCGGTTCGTCGCCTTGAATCAATTGAGTCGTGAGCGCTTCGAACGGGCAGGTTGGATCTTGAGGGAGCCTGATGCTTCTTCTCTGGAGTTGCTGGAGTTGACAACGGCGAGAGTGTTTAATAGTATTGCCGAGGCAGTGGTTGCTCCGAGAGCTATTGATGAGATCTGTGAAATTGTCGTCAAGGGGAGCGGGGAGGAGGAGACCACCGTTTCTCATCGTGAGAAGATGTGATGATTTACGCCCACCCACTGAATGTGCAGGTGTCGCAACTAATGGCACGATGATCGTCTCTGGTTTTGTTTTCCTTTCTGACCTTGAGGTTATGTATGACAACAGAGATGATATATGATCAGATAACGGAATGATGATATGCAATACTGCTTCGCAAGGCAACCTCTCTCGTCGATTGGCAAGGGCCCGCACGGTATTGCGCCACTTTCTAATATTGTGTTTTCCAAGTACATCCCCAGAGTTTGACGCCGTTAGTCAGTACGAGTATTATTGATCAGGCGGCAAGCACATAGGGTTCTTCCCTGTGAACCAGTTTCACATGGTCTCCGTGGCGTCGTGATACGCCTCCCGCTCGACATGTAGCAGGACCCAAAGATACTCCCCTTGCTTGAGCGTACCCACAGAAAAACCGCGTGAGGCAATTGGCACATATGCAGCTCCAGCCATCCAATTATGGAGACGAATGCTGGTACAGACAAAGCGGATGAGGTGGTCTTGCTAAGGTTTGCGGCGCTGACGGGTGATGGCAAGGCTGAACTCCCTACGGCACAACTTTAATCCGACGTGCTCTAACATCTCAGTCATCACCTCGTGGAACCCAACCAGCACGGATTGTGGAAGACAAGCACCACACGCACCCGGCTTCAAAGCCATCGAACCTGGGTCTATCGAAATGGCATGATTGTGACTTCTTCTAGAAAATCAAATCTGCAAATCACGAAACACTGCCATGAGGTCGCCCTGCTGGTTCCGGCGTCAGCACCTCCGCGTGGAGAACCTCGGCTCTATCAGCTCAGCACAGCACGTCTCCATGTGCGCACCGGCTATCAAATGTTGAAGTGTCAAAACAACCAATAGACCGGCGGACATTACTTTCGAGTCTCTATGGACTTCTCGGATACAATCTCAGACTACTATACATTTATACTGAAATGAGATCTTGGACACGCAATTAATGCTGCTCATCCATATCGCCAGCAAAATAACCAGTTGCTCACTTGAGTCTCTTCAACCTGTACCGACATGGCCTGTACCCATACCCCGATCATAATCGGCGTAGGCGACTGCATCAACCGATCCCTTTCAGTCTCCGACGCCCATGAACCCCTAACCCTAATCCTCTCGGCCATCGACACTGCTCTCAAGGACACTGACCTCCCATCTCCAAAAAGAGCACAACTCCAATCGTCCATCGACAGCATCGACGTCGTACGCACATGGACGTGGCCATACGACGACTTACCAGGCGACATTAGTCGACGCCTAGGCGTTGACGCCCGACATAAATTCTACAGTGACCATGGCGGCAACAAGCCAGCCAAATTGTTCGACGAGGCCGCTAGGAGGATTTCAAAGGGTCAGACGAAGGTTGCTATCGTGACGGGCGGGGAGGCTCTGGCATCATGTATGACCGAAGAAACGATTTCTTGACTTGTTTGACCAGGGACTAACTAATTGAGGAAAGTGAGTGCATGCGTGGCGGCCAAAAAGATGCCTCCGCCGGGATGGACAAAGACAAAAGAAAGTGTCCACTCGGTGTTTTCTGCTACGACCAGGGACAGGGGTAAAAGTGAGTGAACTGGAAACAGCTTGGAAAGAATTGTCCCGTATTGGTGAGAAACGGTGGCCCTTGCTGACTCCGTATGCTCTTAGACCTCGGAGCCACTTATAACATTGGCGCCCCGATTCAAATCTATCCGCTTTTCGAGAACGGTTTCCGCGCACACCGTGGACAGTCGATCGCCGAGAATCACGACGAGTCTGCACAGCTGTATGCCGACTTCGCCAAAGTGGCTGAACGGAACCCGTTGGCGTGGAGTTATGGCAAGCCGCCGAAGACGAAGGATGAGATAGCGACCGTGACGGAGAGGAATCGAATGATTTGTTTTCCATGTAAGTGAGATCCACGCCAGGATTCGGTGTCAATGTCAGGATTGGAGTTGTACCTCTACTGCCACTGGCTTGTGACGGATGGGATGGCCATGACTGATGTCCCTTCTGCGTGACAGACCCCCTGTTAATGAACGCCTTCAACACAATCAACCTCGCCGGCGCATGTATCTTGACATCCACCGAGTATGCCGAAGAACTAGGTGTCCCAAAGGCGAAATGGATCTATGCCCTCGGTGGAGCGGGAACACAAGACAGCGATCACTGTGAGTTCACAATCACCCTTTCCTTTTCACCCCTACAGCCAGAGACTTGTCTAGACGTGCATGCGTGCAAGTTTACTAATTAAATCTCACACACCCAGTCTGGGACCGACCAAACTACCATTCCAGCCCGGCAATCGAACGATCTCTCGACGCTGGCTTGCGAGTATGCGGCTTAACCAAAGACGACATCGACTTATTTGATTTCTACTCGTGCGTACAACCCCAAACCCAAATCCATATCCATCATACTCCTCCCATTCCCACCACCCCCCCCCCGGCTCCTTTCCTCGTCGTTGTATTTGTTAACCGACCGCGAGTACTTACTATAGATGCTTCCCCATCGTCCCCAAACTCGCCGCCGCTCATCTCGGATTACCAATAACAAACAGCAAAAAAACATTGACGCTTCTAGGCGGATTGACTAGCTTCGGTGGCGCGGGTAACAATTATTCCATGCATGTATGTACGACCGATACCTCTCTCCAGTCCGTCATCTCTCTGATACCTGTTATTAGGCAATCACCGAAATGACCCGTCACCTCCGCGCCGGCAAAGGTCGCCACGGCTTGATCCTCGCCAATGGTGGCTGGATGACCTACGAACACGTCTTGTGTTTGTCGACGATGCGGCGACGAACTGGAGACGGGTTGTCTTATCCGCCAGACCCGCCATTGCCGGAATATGTTACTGATGTGCCTGTTCCGGCTGTTGATGGTAAAGTGGCAAGAGAACAGGAGGCAATGATTGAGGTATGTAAAGTTGAACACTCTTACGCGCTTCCATATCCATACCCACCCCTGACCTAAAACCTTTGTGACAACCAAAAACCAACCATTAACTAATAACTAATCCTTCGGTGGAATACACAGACCTACACAGTTGACTACGACCGACATAACAGTCCTCAATTAGGACATATTGTAGCTCGACTCCGTTCAACCTCCACCTCAGTGAACAACAAGGCTTCCTCTATACACGCATACACTGCCAACACCAACACCAACAACAGACTTTCCACATCTGAGAAGACGGTGGAATCTTTTCAAGGCCCCAGAATCCTCGCCAACCACGCCGACGCAGCAACCCTCGCCCGCCTAGCGAGCTGGACGGACGAAAAAGTCGGATTGGTCGGAATAGTGCGGTTTGATGAACAGACGGGGAGGAATTTGTTTAGTTTGCCAACGGAGCAGCCTTCAGATTCGCCGTCTGCGTCTGTGAAATTACTACCGCAGAGACTGAGACAGGGGTATGGACAAGGGTCGAAGTTGTAGTGATGAATGACAATGTCAGATTCTAGTATATTCTCAACATCCACATCCGCCATCACTTACTCCTGCTTTGGGACTATCGCGATGCGAGATATCCAGGGTCCCTAGTATTCATCTATGCAATGCTGTGCCAAAGAGATATGGTCCAACATGTCCCGTGCGATACCTATTGCGATAGATGCCCTTCCGGGCCACCATGATGGCAACGCGGCAATGTCACTTAGACAGACGAGACGAGCATTGAAGTGCCTTTACTAACAGTCGAAACTCATACATTCCGATTCTATGTCTAGCCTCGTCTAACACGGTCTGGTCCTTCTAATGCACCCTCTATCCACGTCTCACACTTGCCCGATTCTATCCCTGGTTGCCACGAATCTTCAAACATCGACGGACCTTCGTCTAAACCTCGACAAACGTCGGGTTTCCAACCTTCGGCCTATCTCAATCTTAAACACCGTCGATCATGCCGTTCTCCATTCTCAATCCACATCCATTCGATCACCATCTGCTTGCGCAGCCCCTCTACGCTCCAACTTTCCGGTCCAGAGATCCCAGACAAAGTCCTTCTCGTACCGATACCTCAAACCAGTTTGAGCTTCCGCCAAGTTCTTGACCTTCTTAGCCCACAACTGTAAAAGCTGGCGCTGCTTGCCCGTCGCGATCAAGTAGTGTTTTCTGCGCCATTGCGCCTGCACCTCTGGCGACAAGTCCTGCGGGATTGAATGGTGAGCCGCGACAGAGGTCAAAAGACATTTGAGCTGTTTCTCCAACCAGGGTCCCGTAGAAAGTGTTTGCATAGCAGCGAATTGCGGGTACTTCTCATGCCAGTTCTGCAGATGCGCATCGGCTTGCGCCAAGATCAGTCGTCGCGCCTCGTTCCAGCAGTCGTCCCAGGGGGCAGTTTGCATCTGGGCAGATCGACATAAGTGGCGCATCATGTAGATCTGCATTTTGTACGTGGCCTTTCGAACCCATTCGCTGTGCATCTTGAGGGCGTGTTCGAATTTGGCTTTGTCGGCCACGACTTCCTCTACGGTCCACTTGTTGGGAGACTCAGAGAGATCGATATCGGCGTCTAGCCCTGTAGAAGCAGAAGATGAAGGCGTAGGCTCAAGTTCAGGCTCCGGAGCAGACTGTTCAATGTTGGGATCTGGATCTGGTAGGACTTGCTCGACTTCGGCGCCTGCGTCTTCTATGCCGGTGCTGGGTTCAGCATTCGTTTTCAGAGTTTCTTCACTGATTGGTTCCGGATCCGGTGTCCCTTGCGAAGGGTTTGGGACAGGAAGCTCTAGTATGTTCGACAATCGTTGCGTCGCGGCTTGGGAAACTTGGAGTGCTGGATCGTGCTCAGAGAGTCGGTGTAGAGGGCCTCGTGCTGACAATCCCCCGTTGGCGTATAGACACATCTGTCCTTCGATCACCTCGCCTACGGTTTTGCCTTGCTCGGAACATATTCTTGCCAATACCTGGTCTTGATCTTTCTTCATTGCTTGAAAAATAGGCAAAGCTGTCATTGGGAGGATTGGCACTGCGAATCGAAAGTCAGTCAGCGAGACAAACATACGCTTGCTATTGGGCTTCCGCGATTTCTTTCCGCTGCATACGTACACATGAGATTGATTCCCGCCCCATGAATTCTGATCATGTTGTCGTACTCGATATTGGCAAAGACGAACGAGGTCCATTCCAGCTGTGCAAAGGCTCCTGGCCAGTCTTTCACCTGGTAGAACGCGTAAAGCCCAGTCACTCTGATCTGAGATGGGCGCTTCTGACTGTACTGCGACGGGTGCACGAGAAATTCATAGAAGCAGCGGTTTCTGCCGGCTCTGGACTCAACGGCCCGCACCAGCCTCTTCAGAATCACCTGGTCGAGTTCATGCAGTTTCCATAGGGCACATCCCGTGGTATCTGTGGGACAGGAATGTTGACCACCCAGTCTGTGTAGGCAAAGGGGTGCGGTGTTTCGAGCAAAGCCGCATAGGGGTGCTTGGTGTTTGCGGCCATCTTGGAGGGAACGTTGTGCGCTCCGACTCGAGGACGATGAGGCAATTGAAGGGAGGAAGGTGGAATCGATTTCATCCTGAAAGAAATTCAGATGAGTGAGAAACCGCAAACAAGGCCGTCGGCCCGCCGACAGGTGACAAGGGCTCGGCTGTTTTTAGGCAGCGATTCACACGGTGGTGTTGCAGTCTTTGTGCAGAAGACGATGCTATCACCACGTAGAGAAGCAGCGCCCGCGGAAAACAGATTCGTTCCCAAGTTGATGGTGTATGCGCAGAGCGCGGTCTCATGCGAAAGGCCTTCGTTCACCAAGAGACTGGTAAACTGTGAAGGGAATGTCAACGACATCGCTGTGACAACCCGACACATCTGGCTCGCATGAGTGGTGTATTTCTTGCACAGTATACCCAGTGCCTTCCCAAGCTGTACTGTTGACTTCAACTTCACTGCCGTCGGAGAGACCATAAACAGTATCACGGAGTGGATGGCCGTTCTCCAAAGACAAACTTGACCCAATTCTCCTTGAACCGTTTTGCACCCTCCTCTAACGACCATTCTTTTATTTCACAGATCTTCAAAATGATCTCCATCAACACTTCATCCATTTTCTTCCCTGCACTATGAAAGTCGCTCTCCACCAAGATTCGATCATCTGGCACCGCCTTAATGACATTGGTGACCTTTTCAGAGGATGGGTTGCTGAAGTTGATCAACGACGAGAACGAAAAGTATACGTCCGCCGGCACACTAGGACTGAAGAATTGCTTCAAGGCATCCGGAGGGCCTGAATACGAATGCATGCATATTCGAGGAGGATAGGGCAGGGAACTTGCCTCCTTTCCATCTCCCACCTCCCGACCATTGCCGCTGGCTGCTTTTTGCTTCCGCTGTTGCGCTTTGGATGGTTTCTCATGTCCTTTCCACATGCTCTGCATCAAATCAAAGACCAAACCATGCGCCTGGACGCTATGCACCGAGACTGGTCTCTGCAGCTTCGCAGCAAGTTCGAGTTGAGCCTTCAAAACCACCTTCTGATGGTCCAGATTCACGCGATAAGGCGAGAGGCCCCTCCCGCCACGCCGTCCGGGAGTAAACTCCTCCTCTGAGCCACCATTTTGGCTCGACGGCTCCTCCTTCCAGGCTTCAGGCAGCCGAAAGGACCGATCTAATCCTACTTCTCCCACAATGGAGTACGGGAAAGCTTTCAACCTCGACTCAGCCTGCTCGATGAATTGGCGGAGTGATCTTGGCTTCGCCAAAGACTGCACAAACTCTTCGTCATCCGGAGCTGGAACAAGTACAGACCGGTAATGTTCAGTGGTACTGGGAGCGGAGGTGTTTTCTCCATCCATGTCATTGTAGAGTTCATGCGAGAACCAGGGATGCCAGCCAAACGACGGAAGCACGTGGGTTGATGATCCCTCCAGGAGGTCCTCCCGCGACTTGATCGGGTACTTCTTGGCAGCCTCTACAACCAGGTCCTGGTCTTGAGACCTCGTGGCCATCACCGTCAACACTCGAGCTTTCATTTGAGCAATGTCTTCGACGGAAGAAAAGACATCGGTAGGGTGGCAGTGTGCGTCAAAGACCCCGATTTGCCAGACGGCGTCGGTGTCATTCTGTGTCTGTGTCATGGTCGAGGAAGGGATCGAACTTGCACGTCGTGTTGCTGTACAAGGACAGACTGGGTAGAAGTACTACTACTCCTGGTAAGGACCGTGGCAAAGAGGCTATACAACATTTTATTGATGTATACATTGCAGATGGTGATGTCGAATGGAGGTGCAGTCCATGCCATGACATAATGCTACCTCAATATTTTATTCGTCTGACCCACAGAAACCGACGTCATTTGAAATGAGTTCCCGCCGGTATACTCCTATCCACGCTGGCGGGGGACAATATCTACAGGTCAAAATATATTCATCCTCGCTTCTGGGCAGCCTCAGAAAGCCACGGCCAGACAAAGCCGATCCAGAACTGGGACACGTTCATCGAATATTCATAATCCATAGGCATCATATTCGCCACTAGGCATCCCTTTGCGCCAACATTCCGTACTCCTGATCCAGTATTAACATCCAACCGTCCAACCCTAGGCGACAGCGAAGGTCATATTAAAACTGCAACTCCTGCTCAACTCCTCTCTCAGCGCAAAGTTCCTCCAGGCTCTCATAACCAGTATCATTGCTGCGTGTACTGTACCGTCGTGGCTTCTCCAGGCTATCGTGCACACTCGATCTGTCAGCCTGGACCAAGACATGGTGTGGTAGGCCCCAAACCTCATCTGCACCGTCTTGTGCCGGCGCTTTAGCCGTTGGTAGTCGTCGCCGAAGATGTTGAACCGCTGCCTTGGTCAAAAGGCCACCGCTCGCGGGATCAATCTTTTTCGAGGAGAGGAAGGCATGTGCTTTCTGCTCATCATGTTCATACTCTAAGATCTGAAGGGTTTCTGCACAGTGCAGACAATTCATAATGTCGGCTCGGGCAGATACGGGTGTGGAGGAATCGATAAAGTAAGGGGGACGTGCATCGGTGTCAGTACAAGCTGACTGCGTGCTCGGAGAAGAGGCCTGCATGGCCATCGATGCTCGGACAAAACAGGCGCTTCGTGCGGTGGTACTGAACACTGCACTGGCTGCCAAGGCTCGCGTTTCCGCAGCCGAACCTGGAGGAGCAACTTCAAGCGCGTATGAGAGATGCTCGTGCAGGAGCTCAAGAGCTTCTGGGCGGTTGAAAACCAGCTCCAACGCTTGTGTCAGCGAGTATGTCGACCGCCAGGCCGCGATGGCATCCAGGGGTGAGCGGACGGCATGGTCCTCGACCACAACATCCAAAAGTGGATTTGTGGAGTTCTCCTGGGTTGGCCGGTCGTACATCAAGTTATAGGCTCTTTGACAGACAGTGTCGAGGAAAACCTCGTCGCACGGCGTGTCAAGCATCTGGGAGAGATAGGCGGGAAGCCGATCCGAGTGGTGCAGAGGTAGACGATCGTGGGTGTGCTTGGCTCGACTCCATTGTCGATTGGCGAAGAATTTCCCCACACGGTTAGCAATGCTGGAAGTCATGGTTCCGAGTGCGCCCACGTTCCACAACAACACCCGGCAGTGCAAAGCCTTCAACATCAGTCTCAGGGGTGTACTGGGCAAAGTGCCCGATCCGAATATGGTCAAGACAACTCGGCTGCGGCTGACTTCGACATCCCCGCCGGCCAATTGTGCATCAATCGCGATGTCCCAAGCCTTAATCCGGGCCACGTCATCTTCAGCAGTGCGGCCTGTGAGCCAGGCGTATGCACGTGCGCCGAACAGGCAGCCAAAGGTATATTTGAGCCACTCGGATGTGATGGCCATCCATTCCGGGAAGAAACTGTGGTGAGGAAGCCGTAGCGCCTGCATGCTGGTACTCCAGGCTCGCCGTCTGACCTCAATCGGGGATGCTGGTGCTGGTGCGCGTGAGGAGTGGGTGCCGGCCTCCTCTAGGTCATCCTTCGGAGGAGGTTTCGAGTTGAACAGGTATGAGAAAACGAGAAAGGCGAGAAACGTCAAAGCGACGAAGCCTTTGACCAAGGGAAGAATGCCTCCAGCTTGACAGTATTGATTGAAGGCGGCCAAATAAACCCTTGGGGAGCGTAGGAACTGCCACCCATCGAGAAGTTCAAGAGGGATTCCAAACAGCCCTTTTTCTCGTGAATCTGTGCCTGTATCTGACTCGCTCAAGCCATCCATGATCATGAGGCCGGCCAAAGACCCGAGCATGACTCGAGTCGGCCATTTGCCCTTGAACCTGGACCGATCCGAAGGAGTTTCGTAGACGTGTCCATAATGTTCTTGCGATTGATTTTGTCGTAACCGCCGCCAGCTTTCGGGAAGCGGGATCAATCCCTGAGGCGGGTTTGAGTTCTTTGCAGCCCCGGACGGAGACGAGTTGGTGTCTGAAGGAGTACAAGATTCCTCAATAATCTTGTCACTGGTGAAAGCCGTAGCTCTTTGAGCGTCATGACCTCCTTGAGCAATGACCTTGTCTAGAGTTTCCAATCGCTCTTTCAGCGATTTGTTTTCTTCCTCGAGCCTCTTTGTTCGAAATTCAAGATGTCGGATATACTCCACGGCTTTGGTGAGGATGGAAGCCTTGTTGAGCTTGTTGCTTGGGGCGAGGCCGTCCAAGTCTTCTTCATCCGAATCTTCATTGGACGCGTCGCGGGGCCTGGATTTCTTGCTACTTCGCAGACTGGGCACACTGTCTCTGAGTTCCGCGATCTTCTCGTTGAGATTGGCTCGGTATCTCTTTTCAATCACATTGTGCGGGCGCTTCTTCGCCGCTGGAGTCGGCGCGTCCACGCGGTTATTCGTGGTGGGTACATCTGAAGGCGAGAGCTTCCGTTTCAACATTGGGCGCTCATTGAAGGTTGGTTGGTCTCGTAACGTATCTCCGCTGAGTCTTAGTTCGGAACTGGAGCGTGATGCTGGGGAAACCGGACTATGCCGGGGTGTCAGGACGTCCAAGGAAGGAGGGGCGGTGAGGAAGTCGGTCTTGATGTGCGACAGATGATGGTCGCCGTTTGCAGTAGACGAGGGAGATATAGGGAGACGAAAGAGGTTGTTCTCGGACTCGACCAGTGTATGGTCTCCAATCGAGTCTCCGGGAGATGTATGGACGGCGCCGTTCCAGTCAAGCCATTGATCGAACTCGCGGCCGGCAGAGTCGACTGTGAGGTGCGACTCCATGGAGGATTGTACAGGTGTGATCATAGCCGCCTATTTAATTCAAGCATCACTTCTGCGGCAAAAGAACTGCACGACCCGAGAGAATGGCAATGTATTTATGGCTGTCCTCGTCAACGACAATCAACACGTCTCTCATGGAGGAGGCAACACTCTTGGTAAAGCACGGCAGCAATGATTGAATGAGGACTGAAGGACCCCTGGATGCTGTAATCCAGACTATGCCCAAGACGTACAGCACCGCAGGCTGCGTCTGTTCGGACCGCCAGCTTCCGACGAACTCAGCCACGATTCCAACATGGCCACCTAATGAAAGGTACAATATTGTATACCTCTTACTTGTGCTTGATGGCTACTCTGATAAATGTACCTACTTCGTGTCTGACTCCCTTCGGCTGGTTCCCTCATTCAAGGAACGCCATCTGCCGTGTGGCTGGTGCACGAGGATCTTTCCAAGATTCGCAGAAGCGAGACGAGGGTATCCTGCGGCGAAAGCCTCTCACAGGGCCACACGCAAACACTTTGAAAGGCATATCTGCTCGCTATGATAGCCGAAGGGTTTGAACAACGACATCGAGTCTAAGCCGCCTTGAAACAGCGAAGCGACTTCCATGTCGTTGTTTCAAGATTCCAGCCGAGACGCTGACAGGTATTTCAAGCCTTGTCAAGGTAGTAAAATCCCAACCACGAGAATCAACGGTTGCCTGGGCCCCCATAAGAGAAGACGGCTATCATAGTCCTGTCTGCCTGGCTGTCGACGATGTCATATGTAGCTGTTGCGTACAGTAGTAACCGATGGATAGCGATCGAGATACCAAGTACGATTAATACTAATGCAGTCGCGCAATCCACTTTCGGCATGAAAGGGAAGTTGTAGAAAGTGACCGCCTTCGCTGGTTGTATGTTATGACTGCTACCAAGCTCTGCATTGCACAGCTACCGCTCTGTTGTCAGCAATCTGACACCGTTTCAAAGGCTTTGGCACGGGTGCATCTGGGGAGTCCTCCCACTGATCGCCATGCCAGCTGGTCACGAGGATACAACAGTGCGTAACTGTGCGTTGTTAGGTCAATAACCACAGGAAAGAATGATCTGCTTGCAGAAGTTTGTGGAGAACTGTGAAGTGTTCCTGCACGTTGCTTTGGCCTTCTGTACTCGATCGTGATGAGACGAGAGTGGCAATCGTTCTGGATGGAATAAGCCGGATATGTGTGCCTGCAATGGTCTGGCGGCACGCTTGCCGGTGGAGGAGCACATATCATCGATGATGCCACAGTACATGAGGCGGACAAGGGAGTACTACAGTACGACGACCACCTATTCAGCACAGTTTGACGAATTTCTCATTTCCAGTCTCCGAGATATCCGTCTGAATTGCAGTTCCTGCTAGCTGGAGCTACCAGGCTCTGGGCAGAAATAATAATAGTAAGTTGTACGCCGTATGTCTCCTGTGTGGTGCCAGTGGATGCAACAGTGGAGGGTCAATAAGGTTAGGAAAACATTCCCACATAAAACATCGTACAGTAGTAACAGTACAATACTGCATCGACGCGCTCGGGCTGTTCCACTTCAAGTTGTCCTCGGCTCCAGCTGGCCATTGATGATTGGTTTGATCGTTGTATACTACTGAATCAAGCGGCCTGCTCTGTATGAACATTTTACCGCTGGGGGAATTTGTATGACGGTTGGATGGTGACAGGACCGTGGAAGCCCCTGGGCCCCGCACAACTGTCAGAGACAGGCAAAAACAGCCACACTGTATCTGAGCGTAGCGAAGGCCTTCTCTAATCCATAGCCCCAAGTATCGCTATTCGTTTGCCTTGTTGTGCACAGTCACAACAGTACGCAGGTACATACCTAGGTATTGTAAGTGCGAGGTGTATTCGGCGTTCCGTTTCCAACCGGCAAGCGGTCCATCCATGCTGATGCCATTTGAGCAGCAGTTGGAAGTACGCTTAGCGACAAGTTGACTTTGACTTTTTGGCCACTTGATAAGGGCGATAATGAATCCTTGCTGGCAGGTGCCCATCATCCTCGCAGCCTATTCGACCCTTACCAGGCATGCTTGTCCCTGACTGACGCGGCCTGTCAAGACCCCAGACGACAGACACGATAAGACGGGTACGAGAACGATACAGGGTTGGAAGCCCAGCATCGCGGACCCTTGAGCAACTCCTGAAAGATTACAAGGCCCCCCTCGGTTAATTGTTGGCGTCTGCGTGCTGTCGCGTGTAGTTTGCAGTAGTAGTAGGCAGTGCTGATGATTTGTGGAAGCGTCCCACATGGTTCAAGTTGACCATAAGCTGGCGGAAATGATCGAGAGTGGGTTGGATGTGAACAGACAACTTGAACTTGAAACTTGAGCATGTTGTTAGACACGCATGCTTACCACTTACAGCTAGTTTGACAAAAACTAGCGGTTGCGACATCGCTAATGTTAGAACAGCTACAGTTGCTAGTCCTACGCTGGTAACGTCCTAGTAAATAGGAGTACTCCGTCCTTCCATACTCTTTCTGGCCGTGTGTTCCTTCTGCTTGCCAACTTGAACGGTCTCTGTTAGCCCAGCCAAGGACTGACAATCGTCATAACCTCCTACTACTAGTAGATGTATACAACGCGGATAGTGCCATGTAGCAGCATAACACGGACGGCGTGTACTATATATCGGCAGATGAGTACTTAATCAGGACAGTGCTTCGTCTACTCTCGTTGGTCGCCAGGCACACAAGGGTTGATGGATCAATCGATTTGATTGATGAAAGATTGATTGATTGACTGGCCTTGACTGAATGACGGTTGCTGTATGGTCCTGAAGCAGGGACTCGCATCCTTACCCGTCAGCCCCTGTAAATCGCTGTAAATCGAGCCCCGTGCGTTCGGATCTCGTTGGCTGAAATTCGGCGATGTGGCGCCCATGCGCATGGCATCGAGGGCGCCGTCTGGCGTTTCTCTTTTCCTGGCCGCCGCCGCTTCGTTTCGCTGCCGCGCTTACCGTCATCCTGCTTCCACTATCTCTTTTTTCAGTATCCACTGTTCCACGCATTCAGCCATTCATGATGATATTTTTTGTCAATAACGTTTGCGGCGCCCGCTTGCTGGATTCGTGCCCTGCATTGCCATATTATGCCCCTCTTGACCCGTTAAAGAATGTTCTCGGGTCAGCGACTGTATTGCTCAGTACTAGTAAAATTGATTAATGGAGACAGGTTAGCAGAAAGCGGCACATGACGAGACGACACATTGGCAAGGTCCACCATCCCACTATCCCACTGTCCTTTGCCGTAGCCGGTAAGACGTCTCCAAGTCCTCACACCTGCAGTCCGGTCGTACGGTGTGCGAAAGGCTGATCAACCGCCTGATCCCGGTCACTGCGCCTGCACCTGTTCGAATTCTACAATAGCAGCGCTCAAACTCTGTTCGGTACGAGAACATCCTGCAGATCGTCTGCTGCGTCGGTGGCCTAGCATAACATATATCCATCACATGTGCTCTTTATTCTCAGTTCATTTGTGTTTCAAGCCTGCGCTGCACTGACAATCCCGGAAATCACCACTGTTGATCGGCCTCTCAGTGTTGCTGACTGGTTTGCAGATCTAAGTCCGGGCCCCGGCAACCCAAGCCGCCTAGCACCACGTCTAAAACCCTTCGTGAGACAAGGATTCAACGCACGAGTCCAGCACTAAAATCAAAGCGAGGAGAACTCGAAGGAGGATCGCCCTGGACCCATCTTTGAGCCGTGAGCCACAATCCATCGTTGGCTGAGCACCTCGTGTCTAGCCTGCCACTTGTACAACCGAACACGAATCCGGCGAATACAAAACGACCCATCCAGCCGTTTCTTCCGTCGGCCGACCTCGACCTCCATACCGTATCTCCTCCTCGACAAAGCCCTGTTCATACATCAGTCGACCAATTCTGCAGTCAATCCTATTGCGACAGATTTTACCCACGAGTCCAAAATCCCCGTCGCTCAATAGGATTTTATAATCTGGCAGACGACCTCGATTCATCACAAGGCTTCCACCAATTCACCCCAGTCTGGTCGACGTCCGAATCCTACAGTACACATACGACAACGTTGCACGATACAGCTGCCGCATGCGAACAACGCTCAAGTCATCGTTTGGGGGATAGGAGAAAATTCACCGAAATAACACAATCACACGCCGGACATCTTCGGACCCATTGGCCTCGCCTTTCACCATGGGACACAGAATGAATACCGATACCTATTCAGGACGCTACACGCCCACCTCGCCTTTATCTCCCCGGCTCCCAGCAAATCAACAGCCTTTCTCCTCTCAGTCATCACGTTCTCGATCTACGCAACATGGCCGCCAGGCATCCAGAAATATGCACATGAGCCTTCCGCGGTTCCACCCGTCCAATTTCAACCACCTTGACTCGCCTGCCACGCCGTCATCCACGGTGCAAAGCCCAGCCATTGGCATCAACCGAGTTACCCAGCCGGTGCAGCTGGAATCTCCTAGGCTTATGCGGGAGAAACAACGCGAGTTTTTGGAGAGGGCACATCTTTCCTCCAAGATTGCCGCTTCATCCTTTAGTCCGAAGCCTGGTGCACCGCGGTTGGACCCGTTAGGAAGTCCCAAGGGACCCGTCACGCCTCTGGAGCTCGAGGAAGCCGGCGACTATTTCCAGGTCGCTGGAGCTGGGAAAGCCTCTCCGGCGGCAAGCCCTGGAGGACGGAGTCCGAGGAGTGACCTCTCATCTGACAAGGACGATTGCCAGAAGATCAAGAAGGTTAGACAGACCGACGTCTATCTGTGACGGAGATAATGACCTCCAACTCAGAAACAGGACGACCTGGTTCAACAACCGGTCATATCTCAACGACGACCTGCATGAATTTCCTTTGTTACGACTGCATCAACATGGGCAAGGAGTCACGGCATTCACATTAGCAACCTTCCCTTGATGGGGCTGCTGTTTATATATTTCATTCGTTTCATGGCCACGGTCTCATTAAAGGATTGGGGTCATCAACTTTCAGGTGGTTATTCTGAGAAGGGCATTGCAGGACATTCGCCGCCAGGGGCACTTTTCATGACCACATTTTTTGCTTGCGCATTCGCTTTGGGGGAGTTTTATTGTTGATATGATACCAAAGTGCGCACTGCACAGAGATAGTTTTTTGAACGGATACAGAATGCGGCACAAAGAACGCACTGTATTTGTTTGATAGAAGTATCAATCACGGCACGCCTGGGCGGCCCCGTTTAACCTCTCTGCGCGTTCAACCCTATTTCACTGTAGAGTGGTGGCATTTCTGTGTTGCTAGTTGTAAGGTTCTGGATAAAAATAGACGCGTGGCGTGTGGCGCTGGTTCCAGGTGCGGCTGAACTGGACCGCGAATCCAGTCCCGGTACACACAAAATAGGGATTCCATGTCGTGGTACATCCTGCAACTTGCAGGTACCAGACTTGGTTGCACCCATCTCACTGACAATTGATTGTTCATTCACTTAGAAACCTTTTGAGGCCCATTCCGCGGCCACTCCCTACTCTCTTATCAGTGAAACTCGAGTCCATTCAGACTCACAGTCGCTGTCGTGGTCCCCTGTCCGTCCGCTGTGTGGACATCCTCATCCCCGAATCCTCTCTCTTCCGACCATGATACAGGTTGCGCAACAGCCATCGAGGTGACACGTTTCCTTTACTGCTCTGCAGACTCTGAGCAACAGGAAATATGCCGTACTTCGACATGCGTCAAAAGCGCAGCAGCAATCGAACGACCATTCTTGGTGTCTTACTCGGCGTTGTCTTTGTCTACTTCATCTACAGCATCCGCACCATATCCCCCGACGCCTCCAACCAACTGCAGCGGGCCCAAAATGTCGTCGCCGAGAACCCTCTTTCACCACCCACCTCAGCCTTCCGGAAACAACGCAAACTGCAAAGTGCAGACGACGTCCTTCCTCCTCCGCCTGTCGTTCATTACCAGTTGAACAATCTGACCGCATCAGCCAACCCCGCTGCGAATAATGAAAAAGTCCTGATTCTCACACCCCTTGCCCGCTTCTATCCGGAATACTGGAACAACCTCCTCCGTCTTAGTTACCCTCACCGTCACATCAGTCTGGGTTTCATCACACCTAGGACAAAAGAAGGACATGCTGCCACCGCTGCTTTACAGGAAGCCGTCAGGAAGACCCAATCTGGCCCAGAAGATCAACGATTTCAATCGGTGACAATACTGCGACAGGACTTCGATCCTCCCATCGTATCTCAAGATGAAAAGGAACGCCACAAGATGGAAAACCAGAAAGAACGCCGTGCCTCTATGGCTCGCGCACGGAACAGTCTCCTTTTCACCACAATTGGTCCTCATACTTCCTGGGTTCTGTGGCTGGATGCCGACATTATCGAAACACCGCCCACGTTGATCCAAGATCTAGCCAGTCATGACAAAGCCATTATTGTCCCCAATTGCTTCCAGCGATACATCAATGACAAGGGCAAGCCGGATGTGCGACCTTACGACTACAACTCCTGGATGGATAGTCAAACAGCAAAGGACTTGGCAGCGGAAATGGGCCCCGACGATATTTTACTCGAAGGCTATGCCGAGATGCCTACGTATAGGACACTCATGGCGATGTCGGCCAAGTTTGGAGAGGATCGCGATGAGCGTCGACTGATGCCTCTGGACGGCGTCGGCGGGACAGCTTTGTTGGTCAAGGCCGAAGTCCACCGTGACGGTGCCATGTTTCCACCATTCCCGTTCTATCATCTCATTGAAACCGAGGGTTTCGCGAAGATGGCGAAACGGCTGCATTTTGATGCTTTCGGCTTGCCCGATTATTTCGTAAGTCGCCTTTCCCGTCGTTAGATTGATGGTCTATTTCTTGTGGCATCAGACATAATAAGGCTAACATGGTTTTTGACAGGTGTACCACTATGACGAATGAAGCAATCGAGTTGCTTTTGTACCAACACAAGACCTCTGCCGTGACGAACCAAACCTACTCTTCCTGTGGCGAAACAGTCACGACAATGACCAAGACTTCAAAGAACATCTAATCGAGCGCTGGCAGCGAGGCTCCGGAGGTAGCCCCTAATAAAATGGAAAAGCGATATTCAGATCTGGTCCCAGATTCACATGCTCCTCGACAGAGAGTTGAAGGAGATGTCCATCGAAAAGGCAATCAGGCGGAATCCATTAGATCAATATGTTGCCGAATGTTCCCTTCTGTCACTATGCATGGGCTGGATGAGGGCAGCGGGTGAGAAACACAGGAATTTCCGAAAATGCGTGCACAACAACAAAAGAATATCAGGATAGGTTTTCTTTTCATTGCTGATACATCAAAAAGGCATGCAGTGGAGTTTTTAGGCGAGGGATGTGTCATGGTCTCTTTTTTTCTTTTTCGGTTTCTTTTTCGGTTTTTTGCATTTCGGGCTTGTCAAAGTTTAAGGTGGTCCCTTGCTCTTTATGCTTCAGGGTTGTGTTGTCTACTGCTACCAGAAAAATGATTAGAGCTGGAGTGCAGTGCTGGATCTCGGTCCGTGGAGCTGAGCTAAACCAAGCTGAGCTGCTCCGGGGCAGGACTGGAATCGATGAGACGGATAGAGAGAAACAAGAAATATGAACGAGAGACTGAACCAAGGATCAGAATCGATTCGTAAGGACACTGAATACCTTACATACAGTAGGTGCATGTGCAGATGTTTAAACACGCAGCTGCAAACTGCTCAGCAGCATCGCTCCGAGTCCCAGAAAGAATGAAACGTGAAACCACCGCATCACAGCGGGCCTAGTGTAGCTCAGAGTGCTTATACTGACTGCCTGCAAGGCAAGGTAAGGCAAGGTAGGGTAAGGCAAGGTAGGGTAAGGCAAGGTAGGGTAAGGCAAGACGGGGAGCTTTTATTACAATAGGAATTGGGATGTGATATATGATATCTCAGAGGACTGCATTACCAACAATGATTACTAGGTACTAGTATTGGCATCTCTGACGTACTGATGATATGCTTTGCAACAGCCATTAAGCATAAACATCATACCTAAGCATATAATGAAAAAAGCATTACCTTCGTTCGTCCGTTCGTTTGTTCCCATCGGCCTCGGCGGTGTCAACAGTCGAGTCGAGTGTCATTCAGTCATTCCCACCCAACAGCCCGACCAGGTCGTCGTCTCTGCTGTTGATCCAACATATCCATCATCCTCTTTCTATATTGTCTCGGCCTATACGGGCCCATTGATCTCTTCGTATACTTACCTCGTTTCTCCTTCGCCGGAGGCGACTGTTGGTCTGTCCCATTCTGCGGCAAATTCGTCGTCGTATTATAAATACTCCCCGGCGGCGTCACGGTAAACTGCACCGTGGCATTGCCCTCCTTGAAACTCGAAACCTTTGGTCCCTTTGTAACATACCCCTTCGTCACGGCCGTATTACCCGTCGCAATATCCTTCCCATGTATAACGCGATCCAACATCTCCAGCGCGACCAGAGGTTGAAAAAAAGGCACGAGATGGCCGGACTCATAGATTCTGACGAAAGCAAAGTTCCCACTCTGCCTTACCTGCCCGTGCACAACGTTATCCGACGTCGAAATATTCACAAAACCCGCATCAGCGTAACCACTCGCATTGACGTGGTCGGCGACCACTTGCCCACCCAGCCAGTTGCAGTTATAGTCTGCGTCGCCGAAATACATTGTGACAGAAACGTTGCGGTTCGCCACAAGATTGCGCACGGCTTCGACAGTCCCGATTTCGCGGTCGTCGTCGCCTGTGGCTCCGAATGCCGAGCCCACGGTGTTGCTGGATTCGGTGTAGTTGACGTAGGCGCCGATTGCGGTTTGGACCGCTTCGGTGTTCAGGTAGTCGACGTAATAGGATTGCGGGAATGGGTTGGGTGTCAAGTAGCGGAAATCGTATTCGTCGCGTTGGAGGTAGATGTCGTAGAGGTTTTCGACTTGTTGCGCGCAGAAGGTGTCTGCTAGGCTGCAGATTGTGTCGAGTTTGCGCGTGTTGCAGTCGACGGTTTGGTCGTAGCAGTTTCCGGGACCGTACATGTTGGTGTAGTATTGGTCTGTTAAACAGAAGTTAGTACTGCGCGAAGATTGGGAGATATGACAAATTAAGGGGTACGGATTGCAAGAGGTAGCTGGGGTAAATGGTTGCACAGTCTTGGGATACATATAGTAAAACGCTGTCATGTCTTACCTTTCACAGATTGATTGAGTGGATCATATCCGTACGTGTTGCCCGGCGAAACCGTAAAGTTGTAGTACGCTTGATACTGGATCAACGGATCGTACCAGCCATTTCCGATCATGGCGCCAACGAGCGAAATGTTGTGAGCACCTTGTATCTGTTTCGAGTTCTGCTGCAGAAAGTACTCGGAAAACAGAGGCGCATAATGGCCACCGTACGACTCGGTCGTGAAAAACACGTCGTGGCGGGCATACTGGGGAAACGCTCCCATGAACCCTTGCAGAGTCCTCCACATGTTTGGTGCCGCGTTCGGCGTGCTGTTGGCGGTCAGGGACTCGTTGAAGTACGAGTACGTACCGCAGTCCCAGTCGCTGGCGTAGTCTGGACAGGTGTTGTTGGGCAGTTCGACGAGCAACCCGGAATTCGGATCGATGTAAGCCGGCACGGGTGTCGAGTAGCTGTGGCCAACCTGTGTCGGTTGGTCGATGAAGATCATGTTGGTCACATTGGACCAGGAGTATGGATTGTCCACGGCCGTGCCGTTCTCATCGACTCGACATGGTCCCAACTCCTGAAAGAGTCCGATCATCGAGGATGAGCCTGGTCCGCCATTGATCCAGATGGTCAATGGAGCCGTGGTAGGGTCGACGTTTCGAGCCTCGAAGAACCACCAGAAGATATGTTGGCCCGGAGCTACGTCCGCGTACCCGGAGAAGCTCTTCACATCCGGGTCTTGCTCGCAGATCCCCGCGGGGACCGACTTGTAGCGGACCGTGATGTTGGCGTAGCCTTGTTTGCTGGTTAGGTTCTTGGGCGGCGTGACGAACTGGGCAAACGAGATGCCGAATTGACTGGCACAGGACAACAACACGGCCGTGGTGGACAACAGCCAAGCCATCTTGATGATCGCTGCTGCTATTACTGCTATCGGTGCTCCTTCAAGAGGAGGAAACGAGAAGCAAGAGAGAAAGCAACTTTGAGCAGACGGACAGTAGGACAAAAATACTCCACGGGTAATGTTGTTTTTGGCTGAGTCCACCTGAAGCTGAAAATGCTCCAGCTCTGCCCTCAGGAATGCAGCTGGGTTTTGTAGCTCGCGGCTTGAGCCAATGCCAGCTTCAATGCCATTGTAACCTACCGATTGTTCATGACATGGAACAGCTCTGATTAGACGAAAAGCTCCGGAGCTGAAGGTAGCTCTCCTCGTCCCCCGCGCATGCTGAGGAAGGCGGATCCCATGGTTGGTGTGCCTCGCTGCACATCACAGAGCTTGCCAGTAGTGGGTGTCCGCACCTGTCTGGTCGTGATGGCTATCTCTACGGCCAGCTGGTCCCATGCTGAACAGGCGAGACGTTCCTGTATTCAGCTCTAGTCATGTTCCTTCCGTCGGGTAGCACGCCCATGGTTTGTGGTCGATATGGGGGACAAACTGCATCTATCCTCCGTAGCTTACCATCGGCTGTAACATCGCTAGCAGGGGCCCGCTGCAGGAAGATGCACGTTAGAGATATGTATGACGAGGAAGTCGGCAGGAGAATTGGAGATGCCATTCTGAGCAAGGAGGAGAGAGGTTGATAAGATACCTTGTGGACAATGGTGGTTGGCGATTCGCCTCGGTTGTGATGGAGCTCCACTCCATTGGTTGCAAGCGATAAGAACTAATACTACCTCTACACAGTACAACCCTTCGACCTCACCCAGTCGTTGGTCTGTCCACCTTCAACCTCTGGAAAGAAGAACATGATCAGGAGCATAGAAATAATCCATTGTATGTGTAAGCTAGCTTTAAGAGCATCGCAAATAGCTCTCGTAAAATGCCATCGATACTAGGTAGAACGCCTCAAGAAAGCCGCAATAGCACTCATCTCTCGCTGTTGAAGTGCAAGCCCATATTTCATGAGCTTTGGAGCTTTTTCGCTCCTCCAAAAATTCCCCATATATCATAGCAATAATTCCCCGAGCCGAAATGCTCCGCAAAAAGATTCACCATACTCCTTCATAATTTCGTAAGCCATGTCTTTCTTCCCCTAAATCACTGAGATCGTAATCTCTTCCAAAATGCTGTCATCTTCTTCCTCCACCTTCACCACAGTCTGCATGGTAAATTCGACCATGCTGAAGTCCTGAATCCAGATTGTTCGTTTCAATCCGGTTCTTCCTGTCTCTGCCGCATCAAAGTCATCGTCAATTTCGTACGTGACTTTGATCTTTCCTTCCGCGATGCGCTGTGCATCAGCTTCATCCTCAGCCTTTATCTTCTTCGGAGATGGCGGTTTTGCTTGTTGTGCAGGATTGTTCCCATTTGGACTGTCCACTGGCACGACCTTAATGTCGCGTTTTACCAGATGTTCCAAAGGGCAAACCGAATTCTGCCATGCCCAGCTTGTTGGTTTCACACGGCCACTGCATCTGACACAGTTTCGTCTGTGTCTCCAGAAGTCTTGGTGAAGCAGCACCTTCTCATCAGTGTCCGGCATTACGGCGTCAAGATGCGTGCACATGTCATTTTCGTTCTTGCAACCTTTTGGTACCTAACCAAGAAGCTTTGCCATGCCCGCGACATGTGTATCCACCGCAAAAACTGGGAGATTCATGTTGAAACCCATCAGGCAGCAAGCCGATTTGATGCCAATCTGTGTAAGCTTGACGAGACAGTCAAAGACGGCTTGTTTGCCTCCTTGTGCGAGTGCCTCATAAACATACTCCATTGAGAGTAGTCCAGGCACAAATTCCGCAACTCCGGGTTCATTGCCGTCATATACGACCTCTCCAGGCTGCAACCGCGCGACATTGATTTCATATACTGCATCAAGTATACGCTTGATGCTTCCTCCCTTCAGTTTCTGAAGTCCAGTCTTTGTGAGCACCGCGGTCAGCTTCTCCGGGCTTTGAACTCTCATGGCGTGGTAGTTTGGTATCCTCCCAGCCACGGCAATGCCACCCACGTTGTATGGGTATGCCCTCATCAATGTCTGCTGTGCGTCCAATGCTGCTTCGTTTGTGCAGGACTGCGAGAGGATCACACGAACAATGGAGTCAATGGAGATCTTGTTGCCTGCATGTATTCCAGGTGACGAGGACGTTCCCATTGACTGTGCCGCCGATTTCAAAGCCGTACGCTCCTTTCTGAGGATTTCGGCCACAATGGCAAGGTCTGAAGATGTGGGTTTTGGATGGTCATAAAGACGATCCTCTCCAAATTCGAAGCGATACTTATTGGTATGTTTTGTTTTCCGCTTCGGCAGCTTCGGCTTTTTGTATACGGGCTCTTTCGGCTTCTGCTTCAGGTGTGGTTTTGGCTTCCACTTCTTGGCCTTCGTATAGTTGTACCCTGGGCTCAATTTGAGCGTCAAGAAACCGACATTGCGCCCATTTTCGCTATTTTCCTCTTCTGGGATTTTATACCCTTTCTTCACTTTGAGAGTCAGAAAGCCCACATTTGGCCCATTTCTGCCCACTTCATGATGCCGTGCCTGGACGACTTCCATCTCCACATCAGGCTGATCAGGCTGTGCAGCAACAGGGGCAAAATATGCCAATATGCCGCGAGATCGGAGGTTGCGATGAGTTGTGGTGTCACCATCTTCTTTGTCTTGGAGAACATCTTTGATATGGTTAGAGACATCTGTGAACATATGGGACAATACACGCGACATACCGGCCTTGCGCTTCTGTGGCGCCATCTTGTCTGTACACTTGTTAGTGTTGGTGGTCTCTGGGGGGTCCTGGCCCGCCCCTTATGACTCGATGAAGGAAAGGAAAGCAAGGAGGAAGGGGTAGGAGAGGGGGTTTAAATAGCCATGAGAGGTGGGTCCGTCACCAAGGCCCTCCATGTCACCCATCGGTGTCGACGTAGAGGCATGCATCCCACGCCTCCAGCGCCTATACCAAGGGGTGATATTGGATACAGCATGGTGACTTCCATGTGCTATCATATGGGATCACTTGCCAATGGAGGAGGGTTCCTGGAGGGTATATATAGAGAGCTCGATATAGGCTTGTCGCACACTGAGGTTTTTCGGGCCTTCCTCTGATATTCATAGTAGCCGCCCCGTGGCTATGTGGTAGGGCTCTTGATGTGTATCAGTTGGCCACTATGCCCATACAATAGTCCTTCTGCTGAACATAGTAGGCGCCTCGTAGGTATATCACGTTGCTGCTGCTATGGATTGGTCGCCCACTATGTCCACAGAATGGTCCTTCTGCTGAGCATAGTGGGCGACGAACGCCTATGCCGCGGGTCACACAATAATAAAGGTAGCCTCCCCAGAATAAGCGAGTGCGGCTCTTGCTGGATATAGCGAACTCCTGGATTGTATAGGCAGCGACCTTCGATAGGCATAGTAGTCTCCTCGGGTAAATTTGATTCTGCTTCTGATAGTCCTGGAGATATCCCAAGCCCAGTATTCAAATTTTTGTTATGCTCCCAGTAGCCTCCCTGAAGTGATCTTCTTCTTGCTTGGTGGATAGGGAGGCCTTCCGTTAAACAGAAGTGAGGAGGCTGGATGGGCATAGTGGACGACCAATGGGTATATGGTCCTGCTTTTGATGGGCATAGTGGACTACAAACGGGTGTGTATTCCAGTCTTTGATGGCCACAGTGGTATCCTTATGCTGAGTGGTGTAGTTGTGCAAAAAGCTGGACGGCCTCCCCATTGTAATAAGATTGTGAATGTGTGCTGTGGATGTGTTCTATTGTGTTGGAGGTGTTTATATGCATAACGATGCTGTGAATGCACTGTTTGTCACTTACTGTGTGTATATGGATATGTTCCTGGCAAATGTAAATCAGTATATGCTCCTTTTCGGGCCGTTTGGCACACAATTAGGCCGGATACAGCTGCAACATACCTTTTAACAATGCTGTAACCTAGCAATAGTAATGGTAGACAGATAAAAACATGCAAACATCAACAAATGCTGGAGTAGAGGAGGGAATGGGGCAAAGGAATGAACACCAGTTTTACATGGCAAAGCAGAAGGAGAAAAATTTTCCGCCTCCCACTGCTGCCTGAGCCGAGTGGGAGTATGACAGGGAACGACAGATAGCGTTAGATCAGTCCAATCCTGCAACCACAATTGGACAAGAGAAGGACAGCAGCGGCGGAGGAGATTGGAGGAAGGAGCGGAGAGAGCAGTTGCCGGTCCGCTCCACTCCGCCGTTGCCAAGGTATGACGAATTGCCAGTGGCATCGTAGGTACCTTATGTGTCCTTTGCCATGTACACAGAGCCAAGGGAAATCGAGACAGAAGCAGTTTGACCGGTAGATACTCAGGGAAGAGGCTGTGTACCTGTAGGGTCTGCAAGGAGTGGGCAATTTCGCCATGGAATGGCGCACTCAGACCAGCAAAGTGCAGCAGAGACACAGCATGAAACCAGTGCGAAAACACATAAGCAGAGCATGAAATGCGGCATGAAAACAGCAAGAAACACCGCAGGAACACAATTAGAAGAGCAATAGTAGCAGCAAAAGTTTACCTCATTCAAGCATGGCAAATGTATGGCAGCACAAGCTGCACACTCGGCAGCTCAACGCCATGTCACCAAGCCAGTGTTCGTCGCTTGTTTACTCCTCGGACCGAAGCTGCACTTCTTGATGCCCTATCCAGTGGCCATGGTAGAGTGTTCACACGCTTCGTCTCTTCACCGAACCCTCTCAGACAAAGTACTTCTTGGTGCGCTCAGGCAAGCCCCGAATTTGCTCTTCATTGTTGGCCTTCCAGATCTGGTATTCCTCCTTTGGCTCACCATTGGCCTCGTAAATGCTGTAGCCCCATTGGCGCCACAGCTCTAACTGGGCCTTGAAGCCCGGATTTGGATTGACCTTTGATCGGAAAGTGCGGATGTAGCGCAAGGCTGTGTCGTAGTCGAGATTCATGTCCTGCATTACGAATGCAATGATGACAGCTGCTGATCGAGAGATTCCTTTGTGACAATGGACAAGAACACCGCCGTCGTTGTTGGCAAGACCGTCTTTGATGAATTTGTTCGTTTCTGAGAGAAGCTCGAGGATATCCATGTTGGCGTGGTCAAGCATGCGTACAAAATGGAGAACAAAGTCGCTTTCATGTCCCGGAGTCAATTTTGGCTGTTTTTCAGGACTGTCGACTACGGACAAGACATAGCGGATCTTAGGACGATTTGGTGCAGCCCAGTTTGGGCTCGTAACAGCGCGAGCAGTGAGAATACTGTTGAACTAGTGTTAGCATATAAAAATATGAAGAGGGAAAGTGTTGTGTTAGAGTAACTTACTCCGATATAAACACGTTTGGGACAGTTTGATCTGGAATCAACGGCGCGGTAGTGGTAGACGGGTGAACTGCCGGGCTATTAGGAGGAACAGAAGCCATCTTGCTGTTGCAAAGAGTGTCGCCAAAGTCCTCGAGAAGGGGATGAGTGCTGAGGCCTTGTCGATGATGAAGTTGTCGGTTCGTGGGTAGTTCGGTCGCGGAGTGAGGGCAAGGTGAGACTGATGGCCAACATCGTGACGGCCCCTTGTGTTGCAACCTGCGCAGCTTGACATGGCTTCGACTTGAAAACAACGCATCCGGCAGAAAACCATGGCTGCTGGCAAAAAACCTGCCTTCTACGCTGAGTCTCTCTCTTCTATTGCACTGCATCACCAACCTTTCGACAATCATGGCTTAACATCCTGTAACGCCTTGGACATGTTCATATTCAGGGGATAAGGACACAGCCAAGTGCATCATTGTTCACGCAGGTACTTCATGGGGGCTTACTGCTATTATAGACTCATTGATGGCAGGAAGCCTGCGGTAAGCTCCCAGATGGCCCATTTCATCCATTACGTAGGTTGAGATGGTGAGATCGGAGCACGAGGCTGTGGAGCGGAACATTCTTGGTTGTTGAAATAGCCGCAGCTGTCATCATGTCTGGGCATCGCTAAACCGCAGCCACAATTTCCCCACCAAGTCCAGGCCCAGAGGAAAGTGGACCACCACCTCCACCAGCTGGGTTTCTATACAGCCTGCTCTGCAAGGACATGTTGATTATCTCAGCTAGCTAGGGGCGCTCAAAGCAGAGAAGCCCGGAGGAGGAATAGGAGGTTTGCCCACTCGGAGATAGGAGCTGACTGCAGCGGGGACAGAAGGCTCTGCTGCATTTCCAGGTCCAGAGAATGGGGAGCCGGAGTCTGCAATACTGGCATCCTCTACAGCGTAATAATCCGATCGCACATCGAGTGGTGTACAAAAGTGTTTGAAGACATGGCCTGCTCGAAGGGCTCATGCCCAGCCACTCATCTCAACATTTGTCGGTGGCGGGTTGGACAATGTGAAGAAACCATCAGTATACCCAAACCGGAAGCTGTTGGTGTGTTCTGTGGTTGTCATTCTCCGGACAGATGTGAATCACAGCAAGCTTGCATCGCAGGAACTGTGAGTTGGCCCGGCAAACAAATCAATGCTTGATGCGTGAAGAGAAGTCCAGAAAGATGGACCAGTTCATCCAGCAGGCGCAATCAAATGTAGACAAAGACCCCCCAGATACAAATTTCGCAACACCAGTCTTACAGTATAGAAATGATTCCGGACTCCTGTTGTGCTGAACCAATAGTTGGTTTGGTTTGACCTTTCAAATTCATGTTCACGTCGTTGCTTCCGCTTCTCGAGAGGCTTTCCACTTCTTGATCCGCTTGCTGATGTCGCCTTCTGATTGTTGCATAGGGTTGAGTTTACGGTCTCTGGCCATGGCTCTGATATCGTCGCCATGGACTTCTACCAGCCGTGCGATCCATTCTTCCTCTCTTTGGCTCTGCTTCCTCGGTCGTTTTCTCTTCGCCAGGAGCTCTTCTTCTTCGGCAACCTGGGCTTCCAGCTGGGCAACCACGGCCGACTTATGCTTCTTCTCGGATCGCTCAGTGTCCACGTCCATGATGTCGTTAAGCGGGTCGTTCAACGGGTTGGGGGCTTTGTCGCTGTCCGGCCGGATAACTCTGACTATCCGCCCAGTTTCTGAATCTCTTTCGACCTGCACCTCCTGGGTGGCTATCTTCCCGGTCACTTGTGGTCCGGCGATGATAAGGGGATCTCTGGGCTCGCTTTCGATCTTGCCATCTTCTGTCCTTCTCTTTTCGGTACCACCAGTTACGGCGTTTAGTCTTGAGGAAAGGCCCAGCCGTTTATAATTTTGTGCAACTGTGAGTTTGCGATCCCTGGGACTCATTAGTATCTAATCCCTCGAACAGTCGTCTGAAATACGCAGGAGTAGGGCATAGTGTTGACATACCAATTTTGCGCAATGGTCTCATTGCCTAGGAAATTGACCTTCTTCTTGCCAGCCTTGGTTCGGTGCGTATGCGGCCGAACCTTCGGTTTCGACGACCTGTTCTTCTTCTTTTGTCTTTCGCGGCCCATCTTATTGTTTTTGTGCTCTCTTGTTCAAAAACTCGGGCTTGAAGCAAGACTGGTCGATGGTGGAGTTTGGTCCCTTTCCGACGCCCTCGAAGTCCGCAGCCAACTTTTTCTTCAGGGCCTTATCGATAAGACATCGGCAAACTTACTGCACGTAGACAAATAATATTGCCGTCTGACAGGGCCGGGCCACGCGAATCCGCACTGATCTGACATGCTAAACTACGTCAGACGGAATCACACTCCATTGGTTGGGGCCCCCGAACACGGAGGCCGCATCCAGCTGTCGTCAACTTGAATGCTCCCAGTTCTTCAAAAGTCGCGTGCCAACAGAGCAATACGCTCCAACACAACTCTACGACGGTGTACTTCGGTACCATGGCATCCACGATGCTGAGACCATCCGGAATGGTCAAATATGCACTATACGCCCTATTTCTCGGCCTAGCAGTCTCCGTCTGCGCAGAGACCATCCTGAGCAAGGAGAAGGATATAAGCCTGCTGACGCCGGACGAGATTGAAGAAAGGCTTCAGGTTAGTAATGGGCTCATCCAACTCTACTGGCAGAGCCTTCCGAATGGGCTCTATACATTCTGCGAGGGACCTCTCAACTTCTGTAGTTCCATCAATTCCTAAAGTATTGTAACTAACACAATGCCATTGAACACCACAGCAATGTGCCTTCGTCCAAAACCTATCCGAGCACAAAGTCAAGAACACTCCGCCTCACGCATCCCTGACGACAAAACTATTCGCCGTGCTGTTCCCATCCTCCTCTCCAGCCATCAACGCCCTCCTCGCCACCGCATACATTTCGGGCCCGCCAAATTTCCTATTGGCCCTATGTCCACCGAACATCGACCCATCGTCACTGAGCGTCATGGTCGCATTCGCCGTAGGCGGACTGTTAGGCGATACCCTGTTCCACCTCCTGCCGGAGATCTTTCTGGGCGAAGATGAACCAGACCGAGCCAAATTCGTTCTTGTCGAGCCGAATCGCAACTTACTGCTGGGCGTGGGAATCATCGTTGGCCTCGTGACGTTTATGGCCATGGACAAGGCGTTGCGGATTGCAACGGGCGGGAGTGGTGGCCATTCCCATTCGCATTCCCATGAGCACAGTACAAGCTCTGACAATAAGGCCAATGGCGTATCGACATCCACATCCACATCCACTACCAGCAACGCGGAGCTACGCAAGCGAAAGACCGACAAGAACGAAAAAAATATTGTTGATACAACAGCTAGCACTAGCCCCGAAAATCCATCAGTCAGGCTCGCCGGCCTATTGAACCTAATCGCCGATTTCACCCACAACATCACCGACGGGCTGGCCCTGTCGTCCAGTTTTTATGCATCTCCCGCCCTCGGAGCTACAACGACCATGGCCGTGTTTTTCCACGAAATCCCCCACGAGGTAGGCGACTTTGCGCTCCTGATCCAGTCTGGGTTCTCGAAACGGAAGGCCATGGGCGCGCAATTTGTCACGGCCGCAGGGGCGTTTTTGGGCACGTGTATCGGTATTTTCGTGCAGGAGTATGGTGGCAATGGCAATGGCAATTCGGACGGTGCGGCTGCCGTCAGCCGGGGAATCTGGGGTACCAGTCTACAGTGGGGAGATATGTTGCTACCGTTTACGGCGGGGACGTTTTTGTACGTCGGGACAGTGGCTGTTATTCCGGAGTTGTTGGAGACCGGGCCGAATAAGGGCCAAGAACTGAAAAAGACGGCACTGCAGTTTGGTGCAATGTTCGTTGGGGCTGCCATCATGTTGGGCATTTCGTGGTCTTAGACACCGGCAATTATAGACATGGATGGATTTGTCAGGAGTGAAGCGGAGTGGCATTTGAGCGCTACTGTGATTTTTTGGAGCGGAGTGGATCGGAATGGTGTAGAGTATAACGAAGGTGTGACGAAGATGAAGATGTACGATGGTGTTCGAACAGTGAGATGTGACCATGGTGTATGAAGAGAGAAATGAGACGAGACCGTGATGAGGCTGTAACAAAAAGCAAAACATGCTGGTGCTGCCAACATGCTAGAAGAATTATATCATCTACCCCATCAATGAGGTTTGAGTTCCTGCGGATTTTCCAGGGACATGATATGCTCACTGCCAGTGTATCACGCACCCTTGTGTTTTCCAACATCAGCATCTCGTCTCAGGAGTGCCGCCACGAGTCCCACCACGTTCGCAATCCATTGCCGCCATGTCAAAGCGTAGCCCGTCCCGACCACACCTTTACAAATGTCCCATCCATCTTTACTGACTGAATACTGCAGCTTCGGCGGGATGGCAGTACTAACCCCCAAAAACATAGCCCACGAGGCATCGGCACAAATACTCTTGACATTGCTGACAGCCCTCAACCCTTCTTCGCCTCCGAATCGACCGTACCCAGACCCCTTGACGCCGCCAAACGGCATGGAACACGCGTAATAGGCACCAAAGTCATTGACGGCGACCATACCAGCTTTGATTCCGGCCACACATTTCGCGACATTAAATCGATCATGGCCAAAAACACTTGCGCCAAGGGCATAAGGAGTAGAATTCGCCATGGCAATGGCTTCATCGACGGACTGTGCTTTCATGAGCACAAACACAGGCGCGAAGAGTTCCTGTTGTGCAATCTCCATGTCGACAGTGACGTTGCTGAGCAGAGTGGGCTGGAAATAAGTTCCGTTGGGATACTTGGGATGGATGTAACGCTTCCCACCACAACGGAGCTTGGCGCCCTGCGCAACAGCGGCTTCGATCAAACCCTCGAGACGCTGGAAATTCCGCGATGAGATCATCGCGCCCATGTCTGGAGGAGAGTCCTTTGCGGAGAGGAGGACCGAACCCAGACGGAGTGATTGGATTTTTGGAAGTACGTTACTTAAGATCTTGTCGTGGACACCAGGAAGAGCGATGATACGTTCAGTACCGATACAGTTCTGTCCGGCAGATTGGAAGACTCCTCGCATCAAGACAGCAGTAACGTCGTCGAGTTTCTTGATTGTTTTTGAATCATCCAAAACAATTGCGGGATCCTTGCCCCCGAGTTCGACCGTGACAGGCGTCAACGCCTTAGCTGCCGAAGTGCATACTTTGTGGGCGACTTCTCTGCTCCCGATGAAAGTGATGTGGCTGAGTCCGGGGTGACTGGTCAGATAGTCTGCCACTTCGGGGAGACATATGACATTCTGGACGAGGTCTGGGTCGTGGCCACATGCGCGGAGACCGCCTCGGATGAGGTCTGTAAAGTAAAGACTGCTCCAACAAGTCTGCTCGCTGGGCTTGACAGCAATTGCATTTCCAGCAAATAGCGCCGATATCACAGGTGATATGAAGTTGTGGAAAGGATAGTTCCAGCTGACACATGCGGCCACCACACCCAATGGCTCGTAAACGACCGTGTTGGCTTTGTAACACATGAGCAGATTCGTGGGTCGTCTTGATGGCGACAAGGCTTTTTCACCGTGCTTGATTGTCCATTGTAGCTTCTCCACCGTCACTAGGATCTCGCCGAAGCAGGCATCGATCTTTGTCTTGCCGCTGTCTAGACAACAAGCTGTGACAATTTCTTCTTGATGGTCAAGCACGTGCTGCAGGAGAGTGCTTAGGACCCGACGACGCTCCGAGAAGGTAGTCTGCCACCATGGTATTTGGGCTCTTGCGGCAGCGGAAATAGCACGGTCAACGGAGGATGGTGTAGCGGGAGCAATGGGATCCCCTAGACTACGACCATCTGCCGGACAGCGAGGGTAGATGTAGCCATTGCGGACCTGGAAAACAGGAAATTAGCATCGTAGATTCGCATATTTGTTGCTGCTTGAGATCCCATGTTTCTTGCATACCTCCGAGACATCTTGACGAGGCTGGTCTATCTCTTCAGACTTCCATTCATAGTTGTCGTCCAACTGTGGAGGGATCGAGACGGTGTAGGGCACGGCGCGCTCATTTCTCCCATGGAAGACCCGACCCAGAACAAAAACGAGCAAGATGGACAATACAGCCCCAGACAGCAGCCTCGCATCAAAGCCGGCAGAGATGCTCACCGCAAGCTTGATGAAGATGTTCTGCATCTCTAACCCGCGATAGAATACTCGACCCATTCAATTGGTGGAAGTCGCTAGACCAATCGAGCAAATTGTTCCGCGGGGTGCAGACAGCAACTGCACCGCCACAGCCATTGTACTTGTGCTAGACGGGTAGGGCTTAGTGAAGGGCATCCGCCACATACAGCCACACTGGTCCCATCCATCCACTCCTTTTTTCTTTTTGGTCTCCAGCCACCCGCTGCACAGATCAGCAAATGACGTCGACTCTTTGTAAAGCAAAACAAGGGTCAACGCCGCAGGATCCAGCATCTGCCTTGTTTTTTTGCACTTGACCGCTGCATGACGTCCTAAAGAAGACAATCAACTCTACGCCAACTGGCTATTTGCATCAAACCCTGGTCTTATCCCTGCTCCATCAGACCATCAAGCTTTCCGGCCTCGGGCTAGCAAAACGGCATCCCGACGGCTGGCGGAGAGCGCCATTTGATGTTTCCATTTCCAGCCTCGAGCCTCCGACTTCAATCAGCACGCAAACGTCATACCGCTGGACTATCGCAGAGCACGCCAATATTGTATTGGTCAGAGCACATCAGACAGTGCAAGGAATGCTGCCACTAGATCCGAGTCTGGCTTAATGCATCGTAGACGAGGCCGACGGCGACAGTGAAATGATGTAGTAGTTTAGTAACCCTAACATCATATCACCATAGCTGCCAGTTGTGCGTGTGATTGTGATCCCGATTGTGATACAAAGGAGGAAGTCACCAGCGGAAAAAACAACCTGACCTAACGCTGCCCCCCACCCGCCTGCTTGTGAATATTCTAGACAGCCTACGTACTAGTAGTAGTGTCCTTTTTTCCCAAACAACTATAAACAACTGCCGTCATCCTCTTACCTGATCTGAGCTTTCTTCTACTCGATTTCAGAAACATACATACAATAGACACAACCACAACCACAGCACTTATCACCTACCACAACCCTCAAGTCACCTACCTACTTACCTATTGCAACAGACACAAACACAACAGATAGCATACAGTCACCATGGGTGCCGTCGTCTCTTGTGTAAGTCTACCTTTCCGCAACCTGTTTAACCTGACATCTTATTAACAATTCTGTGTACAGTTCGAATCAATCTGCCGAACCATCGGTTCCGTCCTGATGGCCATAGTCAACGGCATCGGCTCAATCCTGACCGCCATTATCAACGGCATCGTGTCGCTGTTCGACATCATCATCTCATGCCTCACTTGTGGCCGTCGCAGTCGGACACGGACGAGAACGCATACAACAAGTACAGTCTAGTCCGCGGGCTCTCTCGGCACAGCAAGGACAAGACAAAACACCAGTGAAACACTGATCTTGTCCTCGGGGGAGAGATATTGGGAGAGTCCGAGCAAATCAAATCACACATCTGCTACTAGTCGGGTTGGATGAAAGATGACCTTTTGAATTGAGCTGGATTTGGCTGAAGACGGATGAACGCATGAACGGTCTCGGTCCGTTTTCTTGCGAGCCATGATGGAGATTGTGGCGTGGACCGAAGACAAGGACTACGCTGACGTTTGCCTTTGCGCCACTACTTGTACTGTTATGACCTTTTTTCACATTCGATACCCTTGATACCATGCGTGCGCGCACCTAATTCAGAAGACGAGATTTGAAAAGAAACGGCTGTTTCGAAAAGATTTGCTGCATCTGTGATATTTGCATTCGTTAGAAATGACTATGTGATGATTGAATAAATAAACAATCAGCTTGATATCGATCTCGGCAATGCCATAGCAAAAGTCCATTGCGCCAGTCCCAACAAGCACCATTAGCAGGGTAGACGACCGACCTAACTGGTCAAAGTAATCATTTCACCTTCGACTTCCTTCCTCCTAGACGTTTCGTTGATAACATTCTCAAAGATCCAGTGTCCAACATCCGCTCTCTTGATACTATACCCGAGCGCGGGTTTCGACTCAGTGCCGCTCTTGACAGAATCCAACCCCGCGGCATCCGTATACTCGGCAGCCCCAGAGAGCAAGGTAGGCCTGACACCCACGACGTTGCGGAAAACACGACTGCAGTCTTCTGGCGCCTTCTCAGCATCTGCACGGAACAGACTTTCCATCTTCTTCTTGTCGGCATGCGGAACAGCCAGCATCTGATGATACAGAAACCGCATCGCAAGGGGAACATCCTCGGGCCCATGCGTGATCCCCGTGGTCGAGACGAAAATCAACAGCGGCTTGTTCTGCAGCTGCTGCTTGGTGCCGGCCTCGGCCTCAACCTCACGCATCGCCTGTAATAGAGTGCGCGCAGCTGTTTCGCAGATGTTGGGGTTATCCAGCGTTGCAATGTGCAGTGGATGGCACCAGTCGAAGTTCAGCTTGGGTGAGCCGCCGAGACCGGTGACTATATGGGTTGGCAGGCTGGATCTGCTGGGACTGTTGGCAGTCAAGGCTTTTTTGACTGCATCAATGTCCAGTGCGTTGCCTTGGACAATGGTGAGATGTTTGTCGATGAGGGACTCGTCGAGACCTTGTTTGGTCAGTTGGGCGCGAAGTTTCTCGGGTGTGCGGACCAGCGCGGTACATTGGTATCCGGCTTTCAAGGTGTGGACCAGAGCTGCGTTGGTGACGCCGCCGGTTGCGCCAAAGAAGACGACTCTTGTGGACGAGGGAGCAGACATGTTGTGCTGAGCTGAGTATAGAATTGTTGTGGTTGTTGTTGCTATTGATATTGTTATGTTGTGACTGAGGTTGGTCTTGGATACTTGCGAGGTCGGCTTCGTGCTGTTTGTTCTGACGTTCCTGGTTTGGCTGATTGCGTTGTTAGCAGATTCATCGAGGTTAGCATGCAGCGCGTCTTTATATGTTCAATTGCCTCGACTGCTTCACGCAGCAGTGTTTACGACAACACGTCCATCCCTGACGTCGAGTCATGGCGACGGGACAATTCATCTTCTCATCCGTGCTGTAGCGTTCCGCTGAATATGGATGGGAACTAGGCAACATGAGACCGTGTTTCTGTGGGATTGAAGTTTGGCGAGACGAAGCTTTTTAACACTCGGAAGAACTGCAGCTGCGGTCGGACGAACAATTCCCCCGGTCCCAGATCTGCCACCACTTCATTGGCTGACAAGTATTCCGCGGCGTTATCATTGGACAATCTCAGGGTCTCTCCGGATAGATTCTCTGCATCGTCAACAGTGGCAGTGCGGAGTGTGTCCACAAAGAATTGGGACCAGGGACCCATCTCGCAAGCCCAGCCTTGTCTACCTGATAGTAAAAGGATACAACTACGACTGGAAACACCAGCCTGAGTGGATTGCGGTCAGGCAGCATTCTGTTCCTGAATTGGCAGCCCAGTCGGTGTATTTTCACAGTGGATCAGGGTCCTTTTGCCGTGCTGTTACAGGCGCTCAATACAACCAGGAACCCTGGGTATGGTGGTAAAGATCCATCTGAATCAGAAAAGCAGGAGCGGCCATATTTCCCGCAGAGACCTCTTGATGATCCTGCAGGGACAAAATTATTTCTTCGTACACGGTGAACATGACAATTCTATATAGCGAAACCAATGCGCCGAAGAAGAGCTCCTACTTCATCGAGCGGACAGCATGCGACAGTGTCTAGTGCGCCGCGGTAGTCATGCATACCGCTCCCGGCGGTGAGGTTCTGACAGTTGAGGTGATCCTGCTTCAGTGTTAGTTGAGGACTATTGATGACGGCATGTCAATGACTTACGTTGCCCAGACAGTCTTTGTGGTCCACACAGTATCATAGACCCTGCTGGTGCGGGTACGAGTGGGAGTAGGTGCCGTGACCGTGATCGTCGTCTTAGCCTTGCCAGAATATGCCGTGACAGGGGGCGGGGTGCTATCGAGGATGTCAGTGGAAGATAGTAAATGACCCAGACTCCTGACAGCTTACATGGTGACAGTGGTACTGGCGTTTTCTGTATCAATCTCAGTGCTGGTGGAGGCTGTGACGGTGGTATAGGACGAAACCACGTTGGTGGTTTGGAGAATCGTGGTTGTGCAGAGATCTGCCTGGTATTAGTTCCTGATAATGAAACAGTGGTGGCGTATGATTGATTACCTGGACCTCGTTGGAAGAGCTGGCCATCACGGGGCTCAATGGTTTGACGTGGCATCGACCGCAGTCTCTCGGCCTCAGCACGGCGCATGCGTGGCAAGGAGACGGAAACATTGACGCTTGCTGCTAGTGATGCCTTCAAGACGCGAATGGTACACGTTGGATCCTTCTTCGGCGGCTGCGTTTTGCAGGTGGTGGTAACCGTGCTGGTAGACACTGTTTTGGAGTAGACTCTTGTGGTACGGGTGCGGGTCGAAGTCGACGTCCAGTATACCGTCACCTGCGATGGTGTAGTGGTTATCGTTCGAGTGGAAGTCGTCGATGGAACGGTAGTCGTGGACGCCGGCAGGGTAGTGTTGTAAACTTGGGTTATAGTCGTGGTGATTGTAGTGGATGGAGTCGATGTAACCGTGAACGTGGCGGTAGGAGTGGCGGTAATCACGACAGGTGGTCCGGCAATGATCGAGAACGTTCTCATCCAGGCGAATGTCAGCCCCTCGATGACCACAGTCCAGTCGCCTGAGAACATGCTGGCTTTGGTCACTTCGTTGCCAGCCACGTTGCTGGGTCATGTCAGCAGAGATTAAGCGTCCAGTGTTTTTGGCGACGCACCATGTTGACACCATGTCGGTGCTGTCCGGCTGTGTAGGGATATCGGAGCAAAAGTACTCGTCGCCATTGGGATCGATAAGTATGGGTGTGATATCACCCTGGCTGTCAGTAGGTTGACAGCCTTGTCAGTGTCAGCAACACGCCCTCCTGGGGGATATTCCTTTCATCAAACCTACCGTTGAACTCTGTCCCAAAGGAAAAGTAATCTGTCGACGTTGTGTTGACGCAGTATGGACCGCCGCCATCTATGAAATCATAACCGTACGACAAGCAGTCGGCAGCAGACCGGCCTGCCAGGCCTAGTAGAAGAAAGGACGAACAGAGTGACCAGTGCATGATGGAGAAGTCTTTGAAAGTATTTTGGCAAGTCCCCATGGAAAGATCAAGACTCGAATAGACATATATGAAAAAGTGCTGTCGAGTCACAGCAACCCGCGCGCTGCAGGAACATCACCTCAAGAAGCCTAGGCCGTCCGTTTGGAGCCTCGAGATCTAAGACAACCCACCTTTCCGAGCAGAAGGGCATTGTAGCGACAAGGCTCCATCCCTAGCAGCTAAATCTGTCGTTTGGCTGAGACATTAACCAGGACAACCCTTTCAGGTCTTCGGCATGAAGGAATTGGAATAAGCTGCAAGGGGCGGGTGTGATATGAACAGCAACTGCTATATTCGGGCTGCATGTCTCAGCAAGGTCGAAGGCAGCTAGAATAGCCTGATCAGCAAGGCAAGGCTTCCAGTCGGTAGCGCAAAGGCGAGTCCGACCACTCGGTTCTGCATCGCTTCAATTGGAAAATGTAGTGTAACCAAGGGATTGCGATCACAGCGGCGGAGAACCCAGCGCATCGCCAAACCTGGTCAAGGGATAAGCGATCGTTGATTTGGAAACTCGATCATGCCCAGCTGACGACGCCGAGGGCGCGGATGACTGGGATAAAGATCAGATGCAAGGAGTTTTTCGTGATAAGAATTGGCCCAATATCAAAGTTGGCGGAGATGAAGCGAGGATGTTGATATATATTGGATTGTGAAGCTGTTGTGCCACCGGTCCGAAAGATTGTCCGGGCTCCATGCTGTGACCACTTCCACTTCTCCTTCCATAACCTCAGCCTTGACCCTGCTTACGCTCTCCTTCATCCCGTCCAGCCTGGTTTGAAATATGTAATGTCTCGAATGATCCTGCGGAGATTGTCTACAGCATCCTGTCTCGCTTCATTCGGATCCACGACAAGATTCCACTGACAGCCCAGACTTCCCTCTGGACGGAGTCAAACCCCGATGATCCAGCAATGTCTCAAGAAACATGCCATTCATTTCATTGTACTACCGCAAGGTTCGGGAAGCTGTCACGGTCCAAGACACAATCATTCGGGCTCTCATTTCCCATGTTCTGGCCGCAAACCGGGGTGTAAGCGTGGGTAACAGTTTGTTTCTAGCGATAGAAGAAAAAACATTCATACTGCCCATATCAGCATGAAGCCTCCCTTCTCTTCATTGCTTAACAACCCATCATTCGTTTTTCATTCCTTGCTCTGCGTTGTTCTATTCCAGAGCAACTTCATCCAACCATTCCATTCTATCTTGCAGTCACTCGCTATGCTGCTCTTTTTGTCACTCGTTTCCCTCCTGCTGAGCCAGAGCCTGGCAGCCTTCATACCCGAAGCTGAACTTGTACAGATCGACAACCATGTTGTGCGGCGACAGGTGTCTAGCACCTCGACCAAAGCAGCCACGACTACTACCCAGAAGGCGGACTCGCAGTGCACCAATGGGCCGCTGACCCGACAATGCTGGGGCAATGGATTTAGCATTGCGACCAACTATGACAATACCTGGCCGAACACGGGCAAGGTGGTCCAGTACCATTTGGAGGTGACCAACACCACGATGGCCCTAGACGGTGTTTCACGGCCGGTATATGCCATCAACGGACAGTACCCGGGTCCCACGATTCGAGCCAGCTGGGGAGACACGCTCCAGATCACGGTGAAGAACAGCCTGACGACCAACGGGACCAGCATGCATTGGCACGGGCTGCGACAATGGCACTCGAACCACATGGACGGCACCAACGGAGTGACCGAATGTCCCCTGGCACCCGGACAGTCGCGGACATACACGTTCCTGTGCACGCAGTTCGGCACGACATGGTACCACAGCCACTACTCGGACCAATACTCCGACGGGGTGGTAGGCACCATGATCATCGACGGGCCGGCGACGTCCAACTACGACGTGGATCTTGGAACATACCCGATCAACGACTGGTACTACCGGCCTGCGTTTGAGTTGGCGCCCTTGATCCAGAGCGGCGGGTTTCCACGAGGTCCTCCGCCGGGAGACAATATTTTGATCAACGGCACCAACGTCAACATTAACGGCACGGCCGGCAAGTACGGACGGACCAGCCTGACCAAAGGCAAAAAATATCGCTTGCGACTCATCAACACGTCGACCAACGACAACTTCAAAGTCGGGCTGGACGGCCACAACTTTACGGTCATCACGGCTGATTTCGTGCCCATCGTGCCCTTCACGACCCAATGGCTGTTTTTGGGCATTGGGGAGCGGTACGACGTGATCATCAACGCCAACCAGCCGGTCGGAAGCTACTGGTTCCACGTCGTCCCTCAGTCCGGCTGCAGCAGCAATTCAAACACCAACGCCCTATCCATCTTCAGCTACGTCGGCGCCAACTCGACCACACCCTCAAACGCCACCAGGACCAACGTTCCACCAGGCGGCCCGGACTGCAGCGACCCGAACAAGAACCTAGTGCCGTACGTCAAGCTCAACGTGCCGGACAACTACACGATTCCGCAAGAGTCGCATCTCGACGTCGGTTTCGCCATCATCCAAAACCAGGCTCAGCAGACCCTGTTCCAATGGAACCTCAACTTCACCGCCATCCAGGTGCCCTGGAACAAGCCGACCTTGCAGTATGTGCTCGACAGCAACACGACCTACCCGCCAAACATGAACTTGATCTCCCTCCCCAACGCCAATGCCTGGTCCTACTGGGTCATCCAGGCCGTCGCCACCATTGCCCCGCCGATACCGCATCCGATCCATTTGCACGGCCATGACTTCTATGTCTTGGGCGCCGACACCGGCATCTTCAATAACTCCCAGACCCTGAATTACAAGAACCCCCCGCGTAGAGACGTCGCAATGCTCCCGGCCTCGGGATACCTGGTCATCGCCTTCATCACTGATAATCCGGGCGCCTGGCTCATGCACTGCCATATCGGTTGGCACGTCGGTCTGGGCCTGGGAGCACAGTTTCTCGAAGAGCCTGATCAGATCAGGAGCACTTTGGGCATCGGTCAGGACTGGAAGCAGGAGTGTGCGCAGTGGAATTCGTATGCTTCGACGGCAATCTATGCTGAGGTTGACTCTGGGTTGTAGAACAAACTGCTTACCGAGTATCTCGGGAAGTGTGAACTGTATTGAAGTAGTAGGTAGGCGCACGCAACAATCTCCATAGAAAAATGGTAACATTCTTTTCCTTAGTGGCTGTGCAAGAACTAGGATATATGGCGCGAAAGCCTGCTCGGGTTCATCTTGGAGACATTCCTGGTTTGAAGTCCTCGATGTAATTGTCTGTTAGCTTACTCTGTAACGAACACAGGTGACGCGGTGAGATTCTTGTCTCTTTGGCGCTTCTGGCACGACACAGAGAAAAACAAATCGCATCCTCGAACAAAGCCGGGACAGACAAGGCATGCATAGGGACAACAAGGCAGGCTGAAATGGATAGCTGTAGCTGGAAGAAAATCCTTTCGGTGATTGTTTTCTAAACCACTATACACAACTGGCACTCTGGAATGATTGGACCACCACCCAGAAGACGTCTTTCCATAACTTTGCGTAATAGCGTGCCGTCTACAAAACAGACAAGTTGGGGAATTTCTCCTGTAAATCACCAACACGTTAGCAATCACAATCACAAACTCCCATTTCCTCGCAGCAATAAAGCACATCGAAGAAGTGGATATGGGGTATCGTACCAAGTAACCAGGAGGCATCCATCGGCCCTTCTTGACCAATCTGGCAGTATACTCGTCGATTTCGGGGGCGGCGGCAGCGACCTCGTCGACGGTAGTCTGGTCCCAAGGTCTGGCACCCTCGATATCGTTCAAAGCCTTCTCCAAGCTCCTCAGCTCGACCTCGACCTTGGATTTGGTCTCCTCGGCGTTCTTGATGGCAATCTGCTCGAAGCTCTCAATGGCCTTGAGCTGCTTGTTGACGTCGTACGTCTTTGGTTGGAACGTCTTGAAGTACTGCTCGATCTCGTCGATGACGGCCGTGTTCTTCAGGATCGATCGGTAGTGGCCGAAATCCACGGTTGTCGGCTGCTCGGACAGAATCTGTACCCGGCGGCGAGCGTCGTCGTTTCGCTTCTTAAAGTTGGCCAGCGCCGTCGCCGTGCTGCCGCGGAGGCCGAGTTGCGTGCTGACTTTGCTCCAGTCGAGCTTCATTGCTGCGCGAGACTGTGTATCGCAAATGGGTTAGTCAATCATTATTCCGCGTCTGAAGGTGTAATTTTCTGCTGCCTGAAGCTAGCAGATTCACAGGTGAAGCTTCAGCACGTACTTGAGCAGCCATTTTGGCGGTGTTGAGGGCGTTGCGTAACTGATCGGGTGTACGGTCGTCGAGCTTTTGTTCTCTCGTCCGGAGGATTGAGGTTCAGGTTGTCCCTGGCTCGGCTAACTTTCCTGGCATGGATCTACGAGCACTGAAGTCACGTGGCGGCATTGGTTCGGGCGTCTCTAATTGTGTCCTTGGCCCGTGACGTCGCAGCCCACTACAATATGTACTATGTGTAGTACTACATCTGATTAACTGGGAGGTTATGAAGAACATACAAGGCTGGCTTTTACATGGCAGAACGACTTCTACTTGCGCCCGTCGAGACGCGTAACAGGAAAAGGACGGAAATGGAGAAATGTCTTGCATCGTCTAAGAGCATATTTCACTATGCCCCGCTCTGTGCATTGTAACATAGCTCAGGTGCTGTCTCCGAATATCTCAAGGAAGAGCACCGAAGTTCAGGCATCAAGATGCAGATCCACAACTTTTTGGTGCTTTTGATCATACGCTCAGCGCCATGATGGAATTGACAATGTCATTTCCGTTCTCTTTGAGCGCCTTGACAGCCTTCTTCCGCGACACCGACGCTTGAGTCATGACGAGTTCGATGTCCTTGGCCTCCAGACCGCTGTCGTCGACCTCTTCATCATCATCGTCTTCCTCCTCTGCCTTCTTCTCCTCAGCGGCTTTGCCCTTGCCCTCCTCATCACCATGGTCATGGCCAGAGTGGTCGGCGTTGGCAGCTTCGGCAGCAGCGAGTTGCTGAGCAGCAGCGGCTTGCGACTGGGAGTTCAGGTCCTCGATCTTGGCCTCACCGAAGATGCTACTAGTTGTCAGAAACACCTTCATGTGTGATTCCCATCATTGAACTTACATCCATGTGTTGCTGGTTGGGGATCGGTAGACGTCAGGGTTGGAGATCACAAACAGAATCTGTAAACCATGCATTAGACCATTGTATATCAACAGAGCCCACACGACCAGGGACAACATCCGTGGTCTCGTGCACCATTTGCGCAGTGTCTACTTACACCCTTGGGTCTCCGCAGTGTGACTCTTGTGATTCCCGGAACGTGCTTCAAGCCCAGCTTGCCAATAGCCTTTCTGGCCTTCTTTTCGTTGCGGCTGTGAACTGCGACGGCAGAACCAGCGGGGATGTTAGCCTCGCCTTCGCCGGTGGCTTCAGGTTCTGAGTCAGACGAGTCGGACGCATCTTCAGCTGCCGCCTTCTTGGATGGATCCTCGTCCGGAAGTTCTTCGATTCTTGGGTTTGCCATGGTGATCTGCTAAAGAGGGAAGGGCTGGTTTGCTCGACCTGCGCGTCCCCTGCGTTAGCAAGCCCACAATGAAATTGACGCCGCGGAGGCACTCCGTTGTTCCCCGGCACGGAATTTTCGTTTCTTTCCCTGCGGAAACAGTCCAAAGAGTCGATCTGGAGTCGGGAGACAGCTTACAATTGTTATTTCTGTTGTCGTTGATGCGCGGCCGAATTTTGTCGATTCAATGTTGAAGCTGGTTGCGATGTGGTGCAGCGACGCTGAGCTCCAGTGACAAGCAGTCTTGGCGGTTCAATCAACCCTGCGCTGCTTTAACCCCGCCCAAACTTCAAGTCACATCATCTTACTCTCAATTGTTCACAACTTGGACACGTATACTGACTTCGTGACAGATGATTTCACGAGAATGGTCAGGTTATATAGCTATGTCCAACTTATCTAGTTCTTGGTGGCTACCGCGACCCAAACAAAGCTAGGTGTGAGGTGCACTCTGCGCCATTTGACCTGGTAATATGGCACAGGATGAGTTGCGTGCCATAGCTATACCTGGCTGCCCCGGAGAATCAGGCATCGGCTACGGTAATTTAGGCAAGCCTTTGCACCACTACTGGCAATGGAAGGAGGCTCTCCAAAAGATAAGTCTGAGCATAAAACCGGTTGCTTGCTTACCTCCGGATATGTGAAGCCCCATCACAGAGAAGCTCAATGTTGGACAAGTCCTGGCAAGAGGCGGTTGGAGGCTTTGTTGGGGGACCGTTGTACATTTGTTTGTGCAATTATTTTCCTCGACTATTGATATTCTGCCCCAATGTCAAGCTTTGTGTCGACGTTGGCAATATCAAATATGTGTCTGCAAGGCTGAGCTGCTTTGGAGACGCCCACATTGGTTGCACCGGTCAAAGCTGTCAAGCCTGAGTCCTACGAAGCAGGACGATTTGATACCTCAATCGGGTCTAATGACATCGCATCATCTAAGTACCATTATGAACATCGATCCTGGGAAGCTCACAGGGCATTTGGCTCCAACCGGCCTTGAAGGAGCGTGAGCGGAATTGGTGTCGAAAAGGGCGGTCTAGATGAGGATTTGGCCTCTTGCGCATTGATGGGAATTTCAACTAAAGATGTCTTTACCACATACGGTTGCAATTCCCCCCTGTGTCCTTTCCATACTCCACTCGAAAAGTGTGGGAGCATTCGCGCGGCGATAGTAACGTTGCGGATAGGTATGATCAGCCACGAAGCGAAGAGCCAAAAGATTAAAACCAACTCAATGTTCATCTTCCTTTGCTTATGTCGCTCTGTGCATGACATGGGTTCCACCCGGTCTACAAATCCATTTCACAATATACACACGTGGACATCTACAAGAACATCTTGGGTTGGCGCTATAAGACTGCGATCTCTCGGTAAGCTGGATCCATCACCCTGACCCAGATGTCCTCCAATCAGGCATGACGTCACACCTGTATCTCAATGGATTGTCTACGTTGTATTTGTATCAAGACAACTGATGTAGTTTATTACACCCCAGCTTTTCATACTAGCACTTCTATACACGGTGGTAGAGTAAGTGAGTGGTACTGTTGTTCTCACTCCAATATGATGGTACTTCCAACGACCAGCATCTGCAATCACACATAACCAAACAGCTTCACGATGCCAACTTGAGCGCCGCCCGTTTTGTGGCTTCGAGCCCGTCTATTGCTACAATGTTCACCCAGTTCCTGAACCGCAACTGGCGTGGTCGTCTCCCCACGAGATGGCGACACTTCAAGACCAACACCTGGACAAAAGACCAGATCAAAACCGCCGAACTGCAAAAGACACCCGACACCCCCAACCAAGTGGTAACTGAGGTCCCTCATTCAACTGAGCCATCATTCATCGACGTGCCCAGTCCATTGTGGTATCATCGTCTAGGCCCAGTCAAGGACTTCTTCAGCTGGTTCAGTCGCATGCAGCGACGGCGGCCCAAAACTACGACGCTGGCGACCTCGCTAACCACTTATTTGGCCGGCGACCTACTGGCGCAAGAAATGGGTGGAGAGCCATACGACGGCTATCGTACATTGAGGATGCTCACCATTGGAGGATTGGCTTCTATACCGGGCTACAAATGGTAGGTAGAATTTCCATATGCTGCTGAAGACTCTAGTTTAAGCGGTCCGTTGACGCCTTTAATAAAAGGTTTCTGTTTCTGGGCAGCCACTTCAACTACGCTTCTAGATGGACTTCGATAACGGTCAAAGTCCTCATCCAGCAGTTTCTATTCGCGCCCATCTTCAACACTTACTTCTTCGGCATGCAGGCCGTATTAACGAGACAGGAGCCTTCTGTTGTAATCCATCGTGTCGTCTCGGCCGTGCCGGAAAGTCTGGTGAGCTCGGCCAAGTTCTGGCCTCTAGTCACGGCTCTAAATTTCACGCTGATCCCGGCGCATCTACGGTTCGCGGTGTCCGGTTTCTTTGCGGTTATTTGGCAGACGTATTTGTCGTTTTTGAATCGGCGGGAAGAGAAGACGGGGCCTAGTGGCTCACTTGCGGACCAGGCGCGGCAGAAGTTGCTTGAAGACGCCCCGTCTGCTTCGGTGGCTGATCTTGTAGAGTGTCCTGATTTGGGGAAGTCGAGCTGACCCTGGTCCGGGGTAAACTCACGTTATATGGATGATAAGATGGATGTTCCACGGTGCTAGAGTGTGCTATATGGCCGAGATGAGAATTTTGGGAAGTCCTTTTTTACCACAACGTGCAGGTGAAATGGTGGGTGGATATCTACGGGGAAGGTCGAAACCAGGGCAAAAGCACCAACATACGAATGCCAAACAACTCCATAAGTATCACTTGAGGCTATCCTGGTCTGGAATCGAAGGGTTTCTGAGCCGACCAGTGTTTGCGCGGATTGAAGTCTGAGGTCTCGGATGCACAGGAGAAATGAAGAGAGTAAGGGGATAGACTGCTCATGCAGGGGATAAAAGGAAACGTGAATAATCAATGTCACAGGCGAAGTCTTCGGACCATGGAGTTCTGATATGGACACAATGTTGCCGTGGTTGAAAAGTAGAATCGCGGATGGGTACCTCGCAGGTTCGACGCAGCACGGTTGATATCCTGCACCCAGTCTCCAATGTCGCCACGAGCCCTTCAGACAGCCAGGTAAGCGTTCTCGCTCAATTGCTGCCATTTCAGATGATTGTTTGCGCAATTCATGAATTCTTATTTAAGTCATGTCCTGCAAGAAACCGCGCGGGCAAAGGGAAGTAGCCACAGCCACGGAGGGATTTTGTCATGTGCCCCTGACAAATTGGGGTTTTCGCAACATGCCCACAACCCGCATGCCTCCCATTGATCTTCGAAAACGGCCGAATGTATGTGACGCCTGGTATCAATGCCGAATTTAAGCCTTCGCCGTGGCCCGGATCTTGGCCTGTGCCTTCAAGGTCTCGAAGCGCGCCTGTAGGTCCCGTATGTCAGACAAAGTCCTTTCCGTTGCAGACCATGGAAACCTCAGGTCCGCTCGAGGTTGCCGGAGCGTCCAAACTCACCTGCTTCTTCAGTCTCATCACCTTGAAACGCTCAAAGTCCGTCAAGTTTCTCCGTCGGTCTTGTTGCTCTCTCTTCTTGGCCCACGATGACTGAGCCCACTTGTTGTCGACCTCGTACTTCTCCCAGAGCTTCTTCAGGGCGCCGCTACCGGCAGCCTTTGGCAGGTTGGGGATAACCCAGGGTGTGAGGGAAACAGCGCTCGTGGCGACGGGTTGACGAGGAACAACCTGGCCTTCTTTCGTCGAGGGACCGTCGATCAAGATCTGTGTGTAAACGTTGGTAAGTCTGCATTCCTTCACTCTCGCATCCCCGGTGAAACGTACTCTGCCAGCGTCGATGATCTCGACAATAGTAGCAAGTTTGCCCTCATAAGGTCCCGAGCGGATGGTGACCACTCTTCCGACCTCGACCAACTTCCACCCGGCCGGCTTAATATCGACGTTAGACATGTTGGCCGATTTTGACTGTGACGAATATCAGCAACGGTGTCGAAGAGTGCGCTGAGGAGGGCGAATGTACCAAACGGTTGTTGTGTGGGATATTAAGATGGTTGTCGCCTGGTTGTGTCGTCGGAGTTCAAGTGTGGTGCGCAATTCAAGTCTGTAGTGCAAGTGGCACATGTGTGCGCCAAGCCCCATGCGACCCGCCAAGAATGAAATCTTGGCACAACGATTGCTGCTGGCAACTAGAAAGTTTTCGACTGCAGCTGCTACACCAAACAACTTCAATCTTTGAACCTCCTGTTCACTCACCCTGCACGTTTTCCTTTCATGTTGCCGCCAACATCTCATCGCGATATCATGTAGTCGCTATGAGCCGTCACTACTGTGCATACGTTTACCCTGTGCGCTGTTGAGATTTCCACAATATCTCAGAAGCCACCGGTGCTAATATTTGTGATTGCTGATGTTTTTGTCTAACCTCCTACTCTGTTCTTGTACTTCTGTGGTGGTAAGCAACCGTGCCCTCCCCATCACCGTCGCTTTCTTCTCTGATGATATAATTTGCGATTGAATTCAGCACTGGAGACCCTCGCCGGGGTCTCATAACAGTGCTGGAGAGATGATATTCAATTCTTACATATGCTGAACATTCCTCGTTGCTATTGCTCTATTTGCATCTACAACCTATCATCACGTTCATAACTGACGATCTCAACAGGCATGTCTCCTTCGAGTCTCAGCATACTGGCAGACTATTTGCTTCACGGACGTGCATGATACACGAAGATAGACTCATGATCAGTCTTCACCGGCTCATCCCATCTCTTTTTTCAAGTATGTATCCTCGGCCTATGGTACCCCCTTTCCGATGATTACACCACTATGCACTAGATAGTAAATGATCAATTTTGAAATGATCGTAACCCTTCACCAAGATCTCTGAGGGACTTCTTCAACCACCATATATGCTGCTGCTCTGTCAGAGGTCAACGCTGACTGTCTTGCATTTAGGGTTTGACTACTCAACGCAGGCCCTGCGAATATTCCCCTGTGCGCTCTCAGCATTGCTCCCTCCGAGTCCCGCAAGTTTTGGCTCGTCGGATCTTCTTGATACGCGATCGAGGTAGGTGGTATTGCACCGTTTTGCAGGCCTACGTGTGCAGCAAGTGTGCATCTCGTCGCTGCCTACTACTCGCCCTCCAAACATCTCGAAATGTCACTCCACCGGTTCAACTCTGTAAATTGTTGTGCAACCCTGATAGGGACGTGTGAGCCAGATACGGGCGTCTAGGTTTCACGGAAACCTTGCTGGAACCACCTCGATGTATCGGAATTGACGGAGGTTGATGACTTAAGGCTAGACAGGCTCATGTCATTCAACGCTCTCTGCTGGGAGACAGGCAATTCGTCCACGTAGTCTTACTGGACTTCCCTGTTCACTTTGAATGAAATCACTCTGTAAGCTCTTTGAATCCTTCTCTCTGGTGTGATTGTCGTGCGACCGTTCTCTCCTGTGCAAACGATCTGTCTTTCACGTAATCCTGGTTTCACGATGCCACGGGCTGCGGTAGAGCACAAACGGATCGGTACTACATGACACAAGCGAACTCCCTGCTAGATGTACCTGTGTACTTGGCCTACTATTGGCCTGGCTTTGGCTGATTTGTTGTGCACAGTCTCGTCAGATAGATTTGCACTGTTGTCATTGGCATGAGACGGACATTTCTAGAGCTTCCCATTCGGCAATTGCCGTCGGAGCAGGGAGGCATGCCGTACATTTTGAGTCGAGCATATGAGAGAGCGGCATTGGGTGTGATGTGCTTGGTCCTGGCATGCTCTACCCACGATCCGATTGGCCGTCTTGAAATCAGACGTTTGGTGTCAGGCTTGCCTGAGGCTGTGCTTAATCCTGTCCCCGGGCAGTGTGGGAGGGATTTGTGAGAGGTGACCTGGAGTATGGGGGAAAAGCCGTTAGAATAGGTACCTACCACGGGATATGCCACCAGGGTTGCATGTCAGGATGATACGGGAATGAAATGCAATGGCAATTTAGAAGTTGACTGGGGGTGTTGACACGATGCGCACTCCACTCACTGGTGGCGCGTTGTTCGTTTCTGGCGTCCAAGGCTGGCGATCTGCAAGGCTCGTTGACTGCTTGTCATCATTCGAACTCGTCTCCATCTGCGTGAACCTCACGCAAGAACAGCCGGCTGGAAATAAAACCGGCAACACCATGTAGAACGTCAAGGCCGCCTCGAGCAAGTGTGATGGGAGTGAGAATCCGTGATGGACATTGAGGCGCATGACGCGCAGTTGAAGCAAGAACCCGAAGGCAAGTCCGCTGGCGGTGAAACAACACCTCAAACTCCTAGTGTATGTGTTGGTAAAGCGTTGATGACGGCGAGATACTGTTCCGAGCGATGATGGAAACTCTTTCAGCTGCACGAAGCCTTTCATCGTGCTCGTCAGAGTGTTAGTGTTGCATGTTCTTTCATTGCTCCGTGATCTTGCTTCACTCATTCACTGCTGGTCAGCGCATTGCATTTCCTCAACCACACTTCCACCTCACTTCTCCCTCGAACCTCGCTCCCTTCCTCGCTCCCTTCCTCGCTCCCGTCTCCATCTCCATGTCTGTGCGACTTTCCCTTCGGCTCGCCAGTACAGTTCACATGTAGCTCAGACTGCACGCTGGATACCGTGTGTCTCCCCCGAGCTGCGTACAACAAACACCACGCGCTCGTCTCACTCAATTCATTTCTTTCCGCAACTCCTTCTCTCCTTCTAGCCCATTCTCTTCCCAAGTGACTTTTTTCGAACTCCTATTCCAAATCGCCTGTTTTGAGGCTTCGCTTACCCGCTGGTACGGATGGCGCCCTCACCTCCACCATGTACAGGCGCCCAGCCTCGCAATGTTGATAAGAATCTGCCAGGAGGAAGTACGGCTGCTCTTCAGCCCGACTTCGCAAATGGCTACGACATGGCCTCGAGATTCAACACCGATGGACTCGGAAACACCTACATCGGCATTGTCATTGCCTGGACATGTCTGCTTCTTCCTGCTGCCATCTTTCTCATCCGGCATCGAAAGCTGCCTTATCTGCGGATGCGAAACATCCCACTGGCAATCAGCGCCGTGGCTACGCTTCACGTTTACTGGGTCTTGTGTATGATTGCATATGTCTTGAATGGGTACTTCCCCTGCGCCACCGAATACTGGATCATGAGCATCTACCTGCCACTCGGGATTGCGCTGTTCCATGCGACAAACAGCCAGCTACTTTCCATTGCCACGGCTCAAAAGCGATATGTTCAAAGCGATGTTCTCTCTGAACCATCACGCCAGGGTCAAGGCCCAGCCGCTCGAGGTTGGCGAAAGTGGTGGCAGCGATTGAAGACTTACAATGCCACGAAGAACACAATGGCATGGATTGGAATGGGCATGGTCGTTCAAGTGAGTGTTACATTCTGGCTGGCTCAATTGCACGAATTCCAAACTAAGCAAAACTATTTCAAGTTTGTCTTCACCTTGATCGTCTTCCTCATGTCTCGCAAGTTCCATCCCAGCTTTGGAATTACGGGAGTTGTAACGACAAGAACAGGATGCCGAAGAGGATGGGAATGGTAGGTGAATGCCATACATCGTCAATAGCAGCCTATACTAAGTTATTGTGGCACCTAGGTGGCCATCAATTGCCTGGCAATTATTCTGGTCATGGGCATATGCGCCCGTCCTTCTCTGGCGAGTGCGAGGAATCGACGACGTTCATGGCTGGCGGTCCCAGACAATAGCATGTATTATTGCCGGGTAAGTCAATGCCTTTTTTCCTATTGATTGTTTGCTGAACAATAGCAGTATGCCAGCGTCACCAATGTGGTTGATTGCACTCTACGCACCGCCCATGAAAGCAGTGAATAGATACTTTGTCCCACCACTCTGGTAAGCACACACAGTCAACCATCACCAACTTCTCGCTCGTCACTCACAAACAAACAAAAACAGGTTCTCAGCATCTATTGTAATCATGCAAGCCTGTGTGATTTTCGTCCCCTTCTTCCAGATCTTCAAGAACCGCAAACTCGAGACGGAAACCCGAGAGATCATAGCCGAGTGGGAAGAGAAACAGAAACAAGATTGTCACGGCTCTTCCTCTTTCATGACATTGACATCCAGTTCTACCAAGATCGGATCGGGAGCACGATCTCGCTCTCGCCACTCCATCAAGAGCACCGGCGCAAACAACAGCCGCCAGGGCGAAATGTACACGATGAGCGCACTAGAAAAAACACTACAAGTGAACCCGACGCCTCTGCTCATGTTTTCGGCCCTCAAGGACTTTTCCGGCGAAAACATCAGTTTCCTTATTCATGTACGCCAGTGGAAGGCCGACTGGATAAGCAGCACCACCACTACTACTCCTCCTCGATCTGGCTTTCGACGCAAGCAGGACCATCCACCTCCATCGCTTTTGGCCGATCAAGCGTTGATGCGCCACCAATTCCAACAGGCAGTGGGCATCTACGCCTCCTTCGTCAGTCTCAAGTACTCGGACTTCCCTATCAATATCTCGTCGACGCATCTGCGAGAACTCGAAGCCGTCTTTGAGCAGTACGCTACATTGGTCTGTGCCGAGCCTGCGTCTAATGCTGCTACTCCGTTCGATAATTACTGGTCGTCATCTACGGTTTCTGAGGATCGCGATCACGATCTGGAGAGTCGTATCTGCGGCAAGGGCGAAGCCAAGTGCGAAGGCGAAATACTCGAACTGTCCTCCGTGGCGTCGACGGTTGTCAGCAGTGGCGGCGGCGGTGGTGGTGGTGGCGAGGGTTGTGGTGCTGGTACAACAAACGTCGAGACACCCCTCAAATCAGATCCTCAACTACCCGAACTCAAAATGACAAATTTCGGCGACAGATTGCCTTCCACCATCGGCATTCCTGACGCATTTGGTCCCGCTGTCTTCGATAGAGCCGAGCAGAGTATCAAGGAGCTGGTACTGACTAACACTTGGCCGAAATTCGTCAAGGCCGGGTTCGCACAGCAGAATAATACGGTCAAAAGCGATGGTTTTGCGGCGAGGTTACAAGCGGCGGTGCGTGCTTGTCGACGCAGACTTCCGAGGGTTGGTGGTGGTCGATATCGAAATTGAAAAGGCCGGGATCGGGGAGCTCTCGCAATGCCATGCCAGCTCTTTATCATACCTACCGATCGATGCTGGGGGTCTGGGAGCGGGGCCAGGGGTTTGTTAGACGATATGGAGCTTTACCTGCCGTTGCTTGTGCTCATGGTTTCAGGATGCCATGGCTGGACACAACTCGCCGCTAAATGAAGTGCATGCGGATGAAAACCGCAACATGGGCGAGAAGGCACGGCACAGCACACAAGCTGGCAGACCACGAGGTACCGTGCCTGCTCCCAGGATGCTGTCATAAAAGGTAGCTATGAGAGACAAGCCCACGGCTATCAGGATAGTCAGTCTACCTTAAGTGCTTCGCTTTCCCTCCAACAGGTTTCTCATTGACTCCGTTCGAAAAGTACAGTGTGCTTGTCCATCAACCATAAGGGTTTAGTAGTAGTCAATTGGGACACCTCAGACAGGGAAACACCCGTGATGATCCAGAGTGGAACAGCGACGATGGTGTATGGCTCACCTAGGAGCTGAACAGTTGTCCCTCTCGGGCGGTCCAGTAACTTGAAGAAAAACGCTTACAGAAGAGGTCATGCTTTCTTTCATTTTCAGGAGGATGAAAGTGGTCAGGCTATATTGCACGAGATACAGGAACAATATACCAACAGTCCATGTTGAAACTGGAATCGGACAGTTTCTATCTACCTATGTAGACCGGCAACTATCTTGTCAATGGCCGCAACCTGCTCCTTCACTTTGGGGCAGAAATGCTTCCTCAGCAGCTCCATTTCCCACGCCCCACTGCCCGTAGCGAGCACATTGGTTCCCTCTATAGTTTCGCTCTCACCCCGAAACACGCCATCACCTTTCCTTTCATCGCTATACCACAGAGCCTCAATCTTGCGACCATGCTTATCAGCGATCTTGGCCAAGAGGTTGAGTACGACCAGGACGGATTTCTCAGGCAATTGCAGCGACACGGTCAACAAGCGTTTGAAAAAAGAGGCCGTCGCGAGCGTGGTAGGCGGCTGCGACGGGGTCAGCAGGATCGAGCTCAGCACGCGTGTCAGCAGCAAAATCGGGATGGAGATGTTGACTTTGTTATTGGTGCTGCTGGTTTGTTGTCGCTGTTCGGTGGCTGTTATATGCGGGTCGGCCAGACGGAGCGACTTGGGACCTAATTCAATGTCGGCGTCCAGGGCCAGCGGGTATAGTGAGCGGTATGTATGGGATGTGAAAAACGACAGATCCAAGTGCAGACTCGAGGCGGCCTTGGAGACATCTTGGCCCGACAGGAGCGTGAAGGCTGTCTGAGTGGCCAGAAGGCTCTCTCGAGTTCGGTTGCGGACCGTCTCTCCATCCAACTCTTTTTGAGCGGTTTCATCGTCTAGGTCGAGTTCAAGTTCGCCTTTGGACGCCGCATCGGCTTGGCTGATGATGTCCTTAAGGGCCTCGAGGATGTCGCCGAAAAAGTCCTGGTTGATCAGATGGGCGTACTTGGCCAATCCTTCCAGCACGGCGCCCATCAGCTCCGGTACCCTGGCCTTCAGGATGCGGAAGTATATGACAAACACGATTTTGAGCGTCTCGGATTGCATTTTCTCCCGCTCCTCGTAGTTCACCAGCGCTGAGGCTTCACGCATATCCTTTTCCACTGCTTTGCGCTCACGGGCGAGTTTGCGTTCCTTCTTGGACCGGTGCTCGAACTTTTCTTTCTTCACTTTCTTTCCGTGTAACTTCGAGATGTCTCCTGGCTTCTCGGACTGGTTGGACGTCGGCGCCAATTCGGACAGTAGACGGAGGTGGAAGAAAGTATTCAACACTTCTTCCCGGGTGCGATAGTCTTTCGCCTTCATCATCTTGCTGAGAAGACTGACAGCCTCGAGAGACGGTGCACCGTCGTCGTCCTGCTCGAAAAACTTCTCCAATGTCTCGATGCATTTCACAAAGTCCGGCGTGGCCTCGCGGCTGGCGAGCTCGTGCACCAACACATTCAACAGTTCCGTGCGGAAGTTGAAGTGCGGCACGGAGAGCAACAGCGTGCAGACACAGCTGATGGCAACACTGCGCAGCGCCGATGCATCTGGATCGCTCTTTTTGGCTTTCGCCAGGCTCGCTAGCCGTTTGACGTAGCTTTGATAACCAGTCACCAAAGAATGTTCATATTGTCGGGTCCGTCGCACATCTTTCGACACTTTGCTCCCCAGGTCTTCGTCTTTGTACGCTCGTATCCGGTACCCCGGGATGACATCCTTGTAGACGGCCGCCTGCGCGGCGAGAGACAGTTTCTGGACAGCGACAGGCGAGCCGGGTCCGCCTATCTGAGCCAATTTTTTGAAAGCACCCGCATGTTCCTCTGGATCCTCATTGAGATGTCCCGCTAGCCGAGCGATTTCTTCCTTTGCAGATAGAATCTGCTGCTTGATCGGAATCTGGGGCACGGGCTCAGTTTCTGTGGGAGGAGAGTCGGCTGCGTCGTCTTCTTCGTTTTCAGACCCTGACCCGAGAAAGCTGTCCGAGTCGTCCTCGTCTTGCGATTTGGCGGGCGCAGCTTCTTGGACACGCTCAAGTCGCCCTTCGGCGGTCTTGATAGGCAGCCGATTGGATTCTTTTCGTTTCTTGTTTCTCGCCCTTTGCTCGTACTCTTGCTCAAGATCCCAGTCGGCGGCGCGGGCGAAAAGTTCCGACGACTTGATGGTCTCGGAGGGCTTGCTGTCGTCGATTGGGGGGGTCACCCGCCTGCGTTTGGCGGGGCGTCCATGAGGCATCGTTGTATGCCGGATCGTCTGTTGAATACAGGTACACGACGCTGCGTGCCTCAAGTTGTTTCGAGCCGAATCGGGCGCTTTTTGCCAAAATTTCTTGAGAAAGCCGGAGATAAAACATGCCAAGGTCGGAGATACTGGTACCAGGGATTTTGGGTGCAACTTTCTCCAACTTGAGCCGCTACAAACACCTGCAGTGAGTGAGTGGCCGGGCGTCTCACTCCGACCCCAATTCTGGAACTTTTTGACCGTCGACATTTTTTTCTTTGAAAGCCGTCTCTCTGAAGCGCCCGCGTTACAGTATAAACCACCTCGGAGTGTGCAGTGTTTGAGACCTGTCAATCCTCCTTTTCCTCTTACCGGCCTAAAATCTTCACCATGAGGCCTCTAACCGACGTTGAGACGCAAACCCTCTTCAGCAAATTGGCCAACTACACCGGCCGCTCGCTGACCCAATTGATTGCGCCCAGCGATTCATCTGACGACGACAATAACGACCGACATGTCTTCCGCCTGCATGGGTCTCGAGTTTACTACGTTCGCCTTTCTATTGCCAATCTCGCGACCTCAATTGCACGCGACAACCTCCTTTCGTTGGGCACTTGCATAGGCAAGTTCACGAAGACGGGCAAGTTCAGGCTACATATTACCGCGCTGGATGTGATTGCGCCGCACGCCAGATATAAGTTGTGGATCAAGCCGAATGGCGAGATGCCTTTTTTGTACGGCGGCAACGTCGTTAAGGCGCATGTTGGTCGGTGGAGTGAAGATTGTCCGGAACATTCAGGCGTGGTGATTCTGGCCATGGATGATACGCCACTGGGGTTTGGGGTTACTGCACGGTCGACTGCTGAGGCGAGGAAGTTGGAGCCTACGTCTGTGGTTGCATTTCGACAGGCTGATGTGGGCGAGTATCTACGGGAGGAGGATACTTTGTTTACGACGTGAGGAAAAGAGAAGATTTACGAAGATATGCTCCATGAAAGTACTGGGTATGGCTGGCTTAACTGGGAGAGGTCAGACTATGCTTGTCTGAGTCTCCTGCGACCGATCAAGACACATTCGATGGCACCAGTTACCCATTACCGACCGCCCGACCGCCCGACCGCCAACAAACGATGAGCTGCTCTATCTTTGCTGGGCATGCCCGTTGTCTGACAAGAGACGCCATAACCCGAGACTCCTCCCTGCATGCTCTTGCAGAAAGCCCGGAAAACCTGCAGATAGCTTCTTTTGATTGGCGCCATAGTCAGAGCCCGAGGGGTTCTAGGGCACGACAAAGAGCAGAGGTCAAATCATCGACAGCACCAATATCAAGCCCAGCCAGACAAAATCGCTATACGTTTTGCGACAAGACTTGTTTGGCCAATACCCGAGCGCTGTGTCCCCTTGCTTGCAAAGGGGTTTCCTCCGCGACGATTTAGAGGGATTTTCTTGCATCCTCATCTGCGGAGTTTCGGGTAATAAGAGCCTTGGGCAGGCTGCAAGAGCTTGAATGCAGGCAGTGGATTTCTTCAAGGCTTTTCGGCTCACAAAACTGAGGCTTGTTGGCAGTTCGGCCGGATACCGCACGAACCTAGTTTCCATTGACGCCATTTGAGTGTTCTTCAAACTGCCCGTGTCCTACTAGCTCACATCATTACCTTATGTGCCCTTTAACTGCTGTCATGCACCGCCTATCCCATAGATGCACCAATGCGTAGTACAGAGAAGGCTTAAGCGACCTGTGGGCGCCTAAGTGGGATACATTTTTCATGCTAATTGGTTGCCTGTCGTGGCGCAGACATCGCGCCGAATGTGCCGGATGAGGTTCATTGGGGGGCATGAGCCGCGTCATGATATGAGAGGACTATTATAGGAACCACTTCTCTTGGATCGGCCGGGCTATAAACTGGCGACGAGGCAGAGAGAGCGAAGCACAACATCAATCAATCGATAGCAGGCCGGCGATCGTCTTCAAAAATAGGGTATCCGGCGATGTGCAATTGCCTTCAAGATTCATCGTCCTTCCAGATAAACCAAGGTCTCTCCGTCCTCTCTGGGATGTCGAAACTGGACACATCCCTGCGATGTGGCTCTGTCATTAAATGAAGAAATCACCATGCTGTTTTTATTCAATGATTCACGCAAACGCCGGAAGGGCGAGGCTACTATAGACCCAGCTGCTTCTGTCCGTCCTCCTCCCTATTCATCATTGAACACATCGACGGCCCTGCAGCAGCAGCCACCATGCGCACTTCGACTGGGTCCCCACTTGGACGCTATTCCGCCAGCATACAACGCCTCTACAGTTTCTCTACATCCCAGCCCTGACCGGCAGGTATACAGATCTCGGCAGAGCTGGACTAAGTCCCAGACGCGGGTTGACAATGTCTGTCCACCGCTGCGGACTGCCGACGAGGACTTGGAAGAGAAGATCGACGACAAGTTATGCGACCTGATATCGCTAATTGACGAAGAAGCCTTCTGCGATTCTCCAGAAGCCCTTGAAATATCGCTGGACGAGTTGCCTAACCATGATCAAGTTGAACTGAACAACTTAGGTCAAGATGCAGCGAGATCGCGGACGCCTCAACAAAAGTCCCGGACAGGGACGAGATTTGGCCTACCAAGCCAGCAAGCTCGACCACAACAGCCTCAACAGCGGCAGGTGGACGTATTCTCCAAGCTCGATTTCTACATGAACTCACGACTACCGGCGTCTCTGCCCCCTTTGCGCGTGTACATGCCAACATATCCCCTCTTATGTCTCGCAGCACAATCCTCGTTAGACGCATACTACTCGCCCCGGTCAGCCGCCGAGCGCAAGGAATTCGTATCGGCCGACGGTCGACTAGGCACGAAAGCGATGGTAATCAAATCAATCCCCTGCGACGACAGAAAGACGATCGTGTTCGCGATCCGCGGGACCAGTATGCTCAGCATCCGCGACTGGGGAGTCAACCTGAGCACAGAGCCGGTCTCGCCCTCCGGGTTTCTCGACGACGAGGGCAACCTGTGCCATTCGGGGTTTCTGAAAACCGCCAAAGCAATGGTACAACCTATCGCCGCGAGGCTGCGCCATCTTCTCGAGGAAGACCCCAGTCGGACCAGTTGCTCCCTCTTGATCACTGGGCACAGCGCCGGCGGAGCTGTCGCGGCTTTGTTGTATGCACATATGCTCGCCGAGACGGTACAGTCGGACCTCAACATCCTGACGGGATGCTTCAAAAGAGTCCATTGCATCACGTTCGGCGCGCCGCCTGTTAGTTTGTTGCCCTTACAAAAACCCGACTCTGCCGATGGAAGACTGCGTAAATGTCTGTTTCATGCCTTTATCAACGAGGGCGATCCTGTTGCTCGCGCTGAAAAGCCCTATGTCAAGAGCCTGGTTGATCTACTGGCCAGTCCAGTTCCAACTTCTACTTCAACTTCCACCAACCCCGCCAAAAACAACAAGCCCTGCGAGATCAAGGCTACTGTGTCGGCGCCAACTCCGCCTTTAACTTCGCTACTTGGGGTATCAATGTCTCGACTCGATCTGTCATTGAATACGAACTTGAAGCCGATAAAGAAACTCAAGTCGAAAGCCAACTTGAAATCAGCGACACACAAGCTGTGGTGGGAAGTGCCGCCGGCGACCTTTTCCAATGCCGGCCGTCAGGTTGTTCTGCGCGTGCCCAAGGGCGGCGATGAATCTGATGTGACGGCCTCGGTCGTCCGGGACGAACAGCTTCGACAGGTCATTTTCGGCGATCCAACCGCCCATTCTATGGAGTTGTACGCCCGACGCATCGAAGCGCTGGCTGTTAGGGCGGTTACGGGTCGCAACGGAACGTGTTGATTTATTAAAATATGCTACTCACCACCATCATCACATTTACACTCCTCTTCTCTTCCTCCCTCGAAAAACATGAGGCAGGAGGAGTCTGTGTCGGGAACAAAAAGGAAAGTAACGCTTACGGGAGTAAATGGTGGGTGAGACGAGACACGACGGATTGTTTATTCCAAGAACGGCCATTTATTTAGTCTTGATGGTATGTTGGTTTTGGACGACCGTGGTATTTTCAATTTCGCTTTGAGGAAAGTCGTATCAGCAAGCAACAGAATATTTCTTTCTGCGTTTTTGTGAGGTCAGCCCTCGCTCGAAGAGCGACGGTGAACTCGAAACCCAATTATATCAATATAACATAAAAACTAGTCCCTTCCCTTCCCAGCTGAAGTCTTATATTTATTTGCTACAGTAGAATACTGTAATTCTACAGTGGTATATACCATAGTTCGGAGTCGAGTCCTCAGCAAGGCTCCGCCCCCCGCCATTATTACCAATTCAGTGGGGAATGAGGGCGAGGAATTGCGACATTTTAATATTCAAAGTAAAATAACCCCATACCTAGGTAAGGTACTCACCTCCAGCAGTACCTTACCATACCTTACCTCTTTACTGCATCCCATATCATATCTTCCCCACATTCACTGTCAAAGGGCACGCTGCGGTGTTTCTGAACCTGACGCTGACGCTGACGTTTGGTCGTAGCACACTGCAGCGGAAGATCTGATCTTGAAGTTGAGTGGCCGACAGTCTGAGCCTGAGAGACTCGGAACGTTTATCTTATATCATTTCCAATTCTTCAAGAGAAAAACTGGGATAGACGAACCAACAGACCAGATGCTCGTACGCCGACTCAGCTTATCCGCATACTAAAAGAGTTTACATATTTTTGACTGTCTTGAGACTCGAAGGATACACAGAGATTTGACAAAAGTTCAGCATCGGCATTGGCACTGAAGAGAAAGGTGTTTTTTCTATAAACCTCTCTATCTCTCTATATACTAGATCCATTCACATCGACTCTCCGAAAGGCAGGGCAGGTCAGGGCAAAAATGTCATCCTCAAAAGACCCTATCATTATCATCGGAGCGGGCGTTACAGGCCTCTCCGTCGCGACACTCTTGCAGGCCGACTATCCCGAGACGCCCATTGTCATCATCGCCTCCGAAACTCCAAGCACATCATCGCCTTCGGCCGACTATGCTTCAATGTGGGCAGGAGCACACTACCGCCCCGTGCCAGGGTCGACGCCACAGCTGCAACAAGAAACGAGGCTGGCACACAGGACCGCGCAAAGGATGCAACAGATCGCAAAGCAGAACCCAGAGGCAGGCGTCGAACTTCTCCTGGGAGTCGAATACCTCGAGGATCCTCCGAAGGAGGTGCTGGCCCTAAAGACCGGGGACATATATGCATTCCCGAATGACGAGTTCCGCATCCTCGATCAGGCTGCACTGCCCGAGGGCGCGAAATGGGGTTGCCAGTATCAGACCTACTGCGTCAATGTGAAAATATACTGCGAATGGCTGGCGAACCGCTTTGTTTCCAGGGGAGGCAGAATCCTGCAACACCGACTATCGAGCGCGGCGGAGGTGTTTGAATTCGCCCAGCTGAAAAACATCGGTAGAGTCCACACGATCGTCAATTGTTCTGGTCGCAATTTCGACCAGGATCCCAAGGTGAAATATATCCGTGGTCAGACCGTGCTGGTCAAGCAGCAATACGATAAGACGGTGACGCGGCAGAACCGCGATGGGACTTGGGCTTTCCTTATCCCTCGTCCTTGTGGCGGAGGGACAATCGTGGGCGGAACAAAAGAGTTGGATGACCCGGAGACAAGTCCAAGACCGGAAACCCGACAAAAGTTGCTGCAGCAGAGTGTTCGCTATTATCCGGATTTCGTCGACTCGGTCGATAAATTCGACGTGGTAAAGGATAATGTTGGAAGAAGGCCATGGCGCGAAGGCGGTTATCGTATCGAAACCGAGGTGATATCTCCCAGAAAGACAATCGTCCATGGATACGGTGCCGGCGGACGTGGCTATGAGTTGAGCTGGGGCGCGGCGGAGAAGATTGTCGAACTTGTCAAGGGATCCCAGGCTCCCAGGGCCCGATTATAAGTTGTCCGGCAGCTTCTCATGGCATATATCTCGGAGTACAAACTCCATGCGCGGGTAGAAAGGCGTGTTCACTTCTTCTTGACAGGTTTTCCTTCGGTCTTTTCTAGTTCTTGAAGCTTCGCTTCCTGCTCGACCAACTTGGTCTTTTCCTCCGCGATCAGCTTCTGCACTGTCTTCACCGCCTCGGTCAAGCGGTCGAGCTCTTTATTCTCCTCCTCTCTGCTGAATTTGTTCCCCGGGGTACTCTTTAGAGGAATTTCCGCTGTAGGTGGAGCTTTGATCGTCCCTTTGCTTCCCTTGCCACTCTTTGATTTTGTTCCTTGGGTGCCGCCGGTCAAGATGTCGTAGAACGCCTCGACAGGCTCGTTGAAGAGAACCTCTTCGTAGCACACACTGGAAATCATACTTCTGTCCCTCTTTTGCTGTTCAATGTCACCATGGTATGGGTGCAATTTAAGGCCATGCCAAATCTGTTGGGGCTTTTCCATGCTCTCTGGGACGAAATAGAATTTAATCGCAATCTCGAATTCACCCCATCCAGTCTCTTCCACTTCGAAGGGTGGACTTTCGATCATCCGCACGCTGTTAGCGTACGTATCGTGAAGTTTGAACTGAACTTTCCGGAGCCAGTACGAAATATCCTCGCCGTTGACTCCACGAACGAAGACCTTCCATCTGTGCGTATGATCCGCAGGGGCATCTTTGGGACGGTTCTCGGGATCAAAGGGGACAGCTTCAGTGCCATAGATGAAAGGGCGGTAGACTTGAACACCTCGAACGCGCTTGGTTCCAGTCGGAGCAGGCATGGTGATTGGCGAGATCGTCCAGCGAGTTTATGTGAGAGAATAGCAACGGAGGTAGTAAGGGAGCCAGTCGCAACAAGACGAATGTAAAGTGAGGATAGGCCGCTCGTCGTCGTGTGGTTGGCTATATTAGTATCTACTAAAGTCCATATGAGACTTCCCAGCGGCCATCTTATGGATGGGGGTATTGGATGGCACGCGAGATGAACTTGAAGTCGCTCGCGGGTGGCATTCACGTCGTAACGAAGGTCGCCGCAGTCCGTCTCTACAAACCGTAAATCGACGTGGACCGGCAACTTTTGTGCCGCTTTAAAGGAAACGCCTGAACACAGAGCGGCGCCATTTTCCCTCGACTCGGGAACTTGCCCGCGCAACGTCCATGTACAGTCGTATGTCTCGCCTGGACACCAGGTAGTTCGCTCACTGCACAGTGCTGGGCCTTGCTTGTTGCTCGGGGCCTTGAATCTGCTGCAGTCTGTTACAACGACTGCTGCTCCCTCGAAAACGACCTGTGTGCTCAATGCGTCACGTACAGCGTGAGGCACCGTCAAACTCGGGCTACAGCCATCAAGTGCTGTGCCGGGGATTCAGGATATGCGGTTGATCTCCCACAATGTACCTCGAGCCTTTGCGCGTATTGCGGAAGGTTTCCTTGGGCGTACCGACGCCGTATATCTATCATGTTTACCGCCTGTGGTCATCATCGCCGCCATGCAGGGCAAAGAAACTGCCCACGTACTACAAGCCATCGGTAATCTCAAGGAATCAGATTGATGCTCTGGTAGGGTCCAACCCCTCTAACTATTACATTACGGCCGACCTTGCCGGAACCCTCCGACGGCTAGGTTTCCAGTCGGTACATACAGTGGTAAAACTGGTAAACCAACACCGGAGAGAGCTGCAGCAAAACAAATGCGCGCCTAACGCAGCGGTTAGGATGGCCGCAACTAGCCAGCGTAAGCATTATACGTCGATTTTCTGTGATAGGGCGGCTTACTGACAATGATAATGAAAAAACAGAATGGCAACGAGTCTACAAATCAACCTTGAATTCCTTAGAAGCCAAGCTGCTTCAGGACCCGAATATCTTGCGTCAAATCTTCCACGCCTTTGGCAAAGCCGACCTCCATTTCCAAAACATCAAGAAGATGGCGCATCTAGGCATCTATGCATTGCAAGTCGCCTTTGACAATGGAGATGAAGATGCTGCCATTGACACCGCTTTGGCCGAAGTCAAATCGAGCGGCGGCCTCCGACAGAAGACATATGACTATATCAAGAAAATGGCATTGGCAAGAGCGGATTGGAGGGCAATGACCATATATCTCTGGCACATGTTGCAGAGCGCGCAGAAAAAGCAAGTCACAGAGGAAAATTATCTGCTTGCCAAAGATCTGTACGCTATGCTTGAACCTAGTCAGAAGCAAGATAAAACACTCCCGTTCCTGCGGAGCTTCGAGCTTCCTTGGAAACTGCTTCACGACGCTGCCGACCATTACCTCTACCATCTTGAAGAAGGCGGCGAGTCAGATGCAGTCCAAGAGGATCTTGACATGGCCCTCCGGGAGGGTGTTTCAAAATGGAGCGACCCACGAGCCGCCGAGATGATTCTCAATCAACTAGGCGAGGTTGAGAAGCATAGCCCGCGGTGGATATCCCTCATCACACAGTCCGCTATGGGCGGTAATTCAGATTCTTGCTTCGCCCTGGCCATGTACCACCTCGAAAAAGACGGATGGTATCCTAAACCATCCGCCACAAAAGCTAAGAGCTGGATCGGGGTAGAATGGCTTGCCCTCAGTGCAGCGCTGTCAACATCTGACGCCAGAACAATGGTACGAAGATACCTGGCTCTGGCTCATATTCTCCGTGAGAACGGTCATGGAAAGGAGGGCTATGCGTGGTTGCCGACTGCCAAAGCAAACGTCTTTGATGCTGGCCTTGATCCGAACCTCGAGATGGTCAAATATCTGGATGGATTCCAGCAACATTGGTTTGACGACAAGGTCATTGTGACCACATCTCATGAGTTTATTCAGCCTGCTGAAGACAACCGTTGACTGCCTAATTTGCCTCCCAATATGGAAAGACATCCTCTATACATTACAATATCGTCTGATATGGTCCCATCAATAGCACTTCTCCGCGAGACATATACGCTGTCTATAACGACGCACACTTAGCTACGTTGAGGCAAGGCTCCGCTGGATATAACCAATCAAGCCGGAAAAAAGCTCTTTCTAACATTGCTCGCTACGGGAAATGTTGTAACTCTTACCACATCTGAGTATCCCGACGATACAAGACAAATTCAAGCATCGCGCAATCGGTCAACATATTGAGATCTAAGAAGCTCACCGGCGCAATCTCAAAGTCCGCCGATCCCCTTCGAGCGGAACTTGCCGGTCTGATCAGTTGACGCCACAATGGTCCACTTCTGCCCGATCGCATCAGGCGAGGACTGCCTCGCTTATTCTGAATTCAGACCCTCCCACTACCGCTAACTAAACAGTAGTGTGTCCGACTAAGTTATTATTAAGCGGTGAGATCTTTTCGTGTCCACTGGGTACATTTTTTTGCCAAATGCTAATACTAGTTCCTCGACGTTTTCTTTGACAGGCATCATACCAGTACTAGTACGTTATACACCTGTGGCATGATCCTGATTATGGAGACCGCCGCGCGTCGAAACTTCTAAGGCCTTTCTCATTTTCTTGCCGAAATTTTCATGCGCAAAAGACTGGATTTCGGAGGCCCATCGAGCAAAGGTTACTGCTACTCTGGAGACGAAGCTTTCTCCACGATCAGATCCGCTGGCTACAGACGCGGTAAGTCTTCCTTCCGCACGGCGAACCGAAGACCTAAGCGCCAAGATGGTGCAACTGGATCGCCCTGAGACGGAGTCGTTTTCGTATGCGGCAATTCCCGTCGTCTCCGGACTCTAGCGACACCCAAGCAAGCGTGGAAATGTCAAGTCTTCTAGTGAAATTCCCGTTATGACTTGTTTGGTTGATGCGCATGCCGCTGTACCCGACGGGTCTATCGGTGCTCTGTTACTCCCGCCCTTCACTATACATCTCTCCATCGCAAACCAGGAAAGCAGCAAACGGAATCGTCCAGGACAAACAGACGGCCGACACGGTCTGCTTGTCACGAGATTGGATAATCACCAATTCCAGACTGACAGTTGGTGTCGGGATATTCCATGAGCATGCGCTATATGTGGGCATGCCATGTACGCAGAAACCAATGAGAAAACGCAGAGGACATCAACACATTCCTTAGAATGTACTTCCGCTTACGCCTCACTGCCGCCTTGTGTCGATTAATCTCAACCCCGGCTCTACAACTACGATCACTACTGGCTTCCCTTCCCTGGTCTGTAGGCGCGCGTTGTCTAGCAGGAATATACCGCAACAGCGCCTCGATTGCCCGTTCCACTAGGAGTTTACCCATGATCTACATCGATAGTACGTTCCTACTATGCAACTCGTCGTTTCAACTCGCTCGACTACTATCATGCTCCGATCCGTGCTTCAACCTCATCCCTGCATCTTGTTCCCGTCATACCAAATCCTTGCAAGGGCCAGATGTCGCAATCTCTCCTAAACACGGCACAGGTTCAACGTACTAGGTGGTCAGATCAACATTTCAGCTCATCCTGGGCTCAGCTGAGGTGCCAATGAACCCAGAGGCAAACGACGTCCGCGGATACTCGGCACTGAAGACGCAATAGTAGCATACTGTACCTTAGCCTTGTGCATACCTAGGTACTCGGTTGAGCAGTACTTTTGCCCATTTGTGCACGGGACCCTAACCTGAACGGCTTTATCAAACGGTAGGTAGTCGGCCGCACGGGAAAAAGAGCCCGAACTTCCGACCGGTGATTTTTTTGTGAGCGATCTCTCCCTTTCTACCTAACAACATATTCTCTTTTTGGCAGGTCAGAATGAGCATGACTTGATGGTTTCTCGATTGTGCGCGCCAACCTCCATCATTTGGGATGGACTAGGTGTATACATTCGCCGAAGCCAAATAACGAGTTCAGCCAAGGCCCAAAAGCACACCAGCCTACTGGCTGGAGTGTTTGTCTCCTGTACTTTTTGTTCTCCTTACTTTACATTATTATTACACATGTGAGACGAAATAAAACATAACATGACATGAACGACCACCGAGCCTTGAGCTTACCCTAGGGCAATCATATCCCGAAGGACGTTTGGTTTTGGATAGACTGAGACTGTGGATTTGGCAAGCTTCTCCAGATCAGTGGCCCTTCCAGGGTCATCGGCATTTGAAACGAACCCTCTATTACCGGTACTGCTACACTACCACCACAGAAATGCCGTCACCGTCGGGGATTGTTGTAAGGTATCGTGACAATCTGAATCGAATCGAGATCACGTTCAGGCGGCCAATGCACTAGGGATTTGTCCAACTCACGGAAAATGGTACAATTTGCATTTGATAGCCTACCTCTACGACAAAGACAGTATCAAGTGAAGTACTATTGCAACTACCACTTAACCGACTTCTCGAGACGGCTCCACATCCGCTGGTAGATAGATAGCCAGGGTTATCCACCAACCATGACTACTACCTGCTACTGTCCCTCAGTACAATGTTAGTTGCCCGAGACAGACTCGGACACAACAATAATCCCTGACAGTACCACCTATGTGAGTACTGTAGGCACAGTTTCCGATGCTTCGTCCGGCGGCGCTATTACTTCCCCATATCTCTTATATAAAAAGATCACATGCCTTCATGTCGCCATGTCAACTCAAACTGTTCACTCCAATGCATAACACAATTGAATAATGTGCATTCCTCTAGCAGTAGTAGTTATTAGTAGGGTAGGAGGTTTCCGATCTCTGCATTCGCGAAAAGCCATCAACGTCACTTTCCACTTCCATCTGTTGCATTTCCTCAATCCCTTACCTAGTTTATTCCTAGCTTACCTTAGTTATTAGTACCTACCCAGATAACCTGGTCAGTACTGCCGCTCCCTCGCTCTTTTGCTAACCGAGCCACTCGTTCCTCAGCAACAAATGTGCAATGCAGTACAGTGCATCTCGTTTACCAACCGAGTCCGAGTCTCAGTCCTGTCTGTCTGTCCCTGTCTCTGCCCAACTTGTGCCAGCCGCCATCGCTGTTCAAGTTGTGCTGTGCCTACTAGTAGTCGCTGCTTGCTGTCTCCCATATCCCATATCCCTGTAGGTAACCAGTCCTACTACTACCACTACCACACCACTCTTTAGCGTTCCTCGCTTACAGCCCAGGGCATACAAGCGAAACTTGCCAGGCCATTTGAGTTTCTGCTCTAGTTTATTTCCAGTCTAGCTTCTCCAGCGGGTCTAGACCAACTGGCACTGCAGTCTCTCCACAACCGCCCACTACTGCACTACCAGTAGTACCAAGGCCGTCGCTTTCAGGTTTGTGGCTCAGCTGCAGTGCCAGTGCCAGTGCCATTGTCGGGGTCCTTTTGCGTTTGGGGACCGTGACTTGCTGGGTCAGCCAGTAGTCGTGAACAGGGGTAGGGATCGAGGCGGGGGCCGGGACCCATCTACTACTAAGCCTGAGGGCCTGGAACTCGGGCCACAGAAAAAGGGGACCTGTGCCCGTTCCAGACTCCACCTGCAACATGCCTAACTACTAGTAGTACTGGCTGTGCGAGTGCCACTCAGGCACAGGCTGAGGTCGTAGCTGTTGCTGCCCAAACTCCGCGTTTAGCGCGACTTGGCACACTTGGTACGTAAAAATACGAAAGAATTATTCGCGTATCGAAATAACGCCTATTAAGGTAGGTACCGTACTTGCACGGCCTATAATACCTATAGCCTAGGTAGGCACTACGCCTATAACGCCTATAGTGCAACGCCTATAACGCCTATAACGCCTTTTAGTAAATTTGAATAATAATCTTAAATATTATTATCTTAATTAGCACAATACCTACAACACCTATAACGCCTATAACGCCCATAATACCTACAACGCCCCTACGCCTACAGCACAACGCCTATAACGCCTATAGCGCGTATAATGTCTACAACGCCTACAGCGCCTATAACGTCTATAAGGTAAAGGGTACCCTCCGCGAGTACCTATAAGTACTCGTATACACTCGCGTACACTCGCGTACGGTATCGTATACTTAGAAGCGCCCGCGTATACTCGCGTATACTCGCGTACACTCGCGTGCACTCGCGTGTACTCGTATGCACTCGCGTGTACTCGCGTACACTCGTATATATATATAAGAGCGCTCGCGGGCGCTTATATTTATAAGTATACGCGACTACTCGCGAGCGCTCGCAAGTATACTCGAGTGCCTATAAGTGCGCCTAAGCGTTACAGGCGTTATACTGTAGGCGCTGCAGGCGTTGCAGGCGTTGCAGGCGTTGCAGGCGTTGCAGGCGTTGCAGGCGTTGCAGGCGTTGCAGGCGTTGCAGGCGTTGCAGGCGTTGCAGGCGTTACAGGCGTTGCAGGCGTTGTACTGTAGGCGTTGCAGGCGCTATAGGCGTCCCTAGCGTTATAATGTTGTATACTATAGGGGTTGTAGGCGGTATAATAAAAGAGGAGAAGGGGGAAAGAGATTTGTCTTGTAAGGTAAGTAAAAGTCCACGTTAGGACTATTACGGCGCTAGTCTACTCTAGGTGTATCGCCAAGTCTCGCTTAACGCGGAGTTTGGGCAGCATCATCGTGCACCTCGGCACAGGCTGGCCGTGCCTGACGCCGCGGGACACGGCCAGTGCCAGTGCCAGTGCCAAGTTCAAAGTTGACCCAAGGTCACGGTGCTAGGACCACCGGGGCGGATCAGACACGAAAACCACAAAAAGCCAAAAACACCAAGTGCCGTACGACCTCGTATGTACTCATCAGGTATCCAGCGACTGCGCAACATATTCCCGTACCCTGCCTTCTATGCCGGTGGTAGGCGCAAACTGGCTGAGAATCCTACTACCAGCCCGGAGCCTTAGAGGTCCTTGTGCATTGGTGTGCCCTAGTACTAGGTACTTCTGGATACTATAACGTACGATTCTACTACCTGCTCAAGTTATTAGGCTGTATAGTCAATAACTCCGGAGGTCCATTTCACATGGAATGGTTGCAGTGCCAGTGGCCGGTGATACATCCCGGAATACGACCACCACCTGCAAAAAGGTAGGTGGTATCTTGAATCCTATTTGTTCGGAGCAGAGCTGCACGAGACGTTTGCAAGGACGATAATGTATTTGAGACAATGTTCGAATTGGATGCACTGCCCGCGCAGCCCTTTTGGTACCAGCCTCAGGCTGTACAGTTTGGGCCCTTGTTTTCCAACCTTGGATATTTACACCACCGGCCGGGGTGGGCACCCGGGGATCGTGGTTCAGTAGTCACCAGGTTCTCCTGTTTTCAGCTACCTATGCACCTGTCAACAGTGTCACTATAGACCGGGGGCCTGTTCTAGCAAGCTTTTTGTCCGCCTGGATACTACATGTAGATACATGTAAACTAATATCACACCACCATCCCGAATCCCGGTCTTGTGGCAGCACTCCACTTGCTCCCGTCCTTTTCGATCGGTTTCGACATTTGACTTTCACCCCAGTCTCAACCCTAATCGAAAGTTTAATGCTAGACCTGACAATTGAATTCCACCAAACAATATCCAAACGGCAGGACGAACGAACGCGTTGCCAACCACTGGCAGCAGCAATCTTCGGCCGTCAATATTTCGACCCGTTTCAGCCCAGCCCCTCTGTCGTAATGGCCAACTCTGGTCTGGTCGTCCGCAAGTTGGCGCTTTCCGACCCTCTCAACAAAAAGCTTTTCATTTCGGTGTGGTTATGACTCGATGAGGTCCTTGGACATGTGGTTGCAGAACTTCCTTCGGGTGATTGATGGCCCGAAAAAAATTAACCATAGTAAAGTCCAAAATTTTCTAGATAGGCCCGGTGCCGATAGCCCCTAGAAATCCTTCCAGGCGAGATAATCATTCTTGCCGTGGAAGGAAGATATGTGTCGCGTGGCGTTGACATGCTGTCGAACTGTCTGCTCAAAGAGTTGCCTTAGCTCAGAATCTTCAGCATCTGGACAAATTAGGGAGCACCAGCCTGGCGATACCCTGCGCTCCGCGGAGCGTGATAGTCGTGTTTCTCGTAAAATCCTCGTGTTCAGTCGTAGTTGTCCTCCTGATTCGAATCATCCTCGCTGTCTAACTCGGATCGGGTCCTCTTGCGCCTTTGTCCTTCTCGTGTGCCCTTCTTCAACTTCAGCGGAAAGCCTGCACCTCGTTCCAGTAAACCCTTGACCAGATTCGTGCTGGGTTGGACCTGATCAAAGTCTTTCGCATTGACTACCTTGAAAACATCGCTGACCACACTGTGGGTGGTGGGCACACTTGAACCAGCCTGAAATTTGTCATCGCTAAGTTTCATGAGGTCAAAGCGTAGACGATATTCCCCAGCCTTGCGGACTGAGAGATCGGCAAAGATGAAGAATGTCCCCGGTATTTGATGGGGCTCTCTCTGTGACTTAGCCTTGTGCCGTGAACTCGCGGGCAAGAATCTGGACGTCGGACTGGGAGGCCTTGTGTTGGGATGAGAAGGCATTGTTGGCGGATCTGGATCGTCGTCGGTAGGAGTTGGGGTTGCGGTCAACGTACCCAGCAGCAACCGCTGCAACTCCCTCCGGCCATCTTCCGTGATAAGGGGCAGAGTCGATACATTCGTGTCCGGAGACTGCGCGCTGATCAAGGAACAATACACTACCCACCATTGGCTATGCAACTCTTCAACATCTTGTTCTGAATCGGGATCGAAATCGTCCATGAGCAGCTGTACAATTGGTGGCGGATCAATAGCCCTTCGGAACAGTTAGCTGGGGTTGTAGAGAATGAGAAGCCGTGAGAAAAAAAGTTTCACCTTCTATCTTTCCCATCAGGCCCGGCGCGCGCAGCCCTAGGATGCTGTCTAATGTGAAGCTGACACTTTTTCGCATACCCGCCGGGCTCAACCGATGAACTTGATACTGTAGTCATTTGTTGTTGCACGGGAGGAAACGCTGGAATCCCACCATAACCGGTGGACGCATCCGACAATGAACTTCTGTTGCTCCTCGATAGATATGGTGACGACTCTTGCGGCCTGCTAGTAGACGGTCCAATCGGCGGAACACCATGGGTTTGTCTATAAGACGCGTCAATAACTGGATAACGTAGGGTTACAGAGCCGTACCTGGTCGGCGGTGGAAGGGTAGTTTCTGGGGGACGTGCTATTGATGTTCGGGACTGGGGTACAGATGAAGAAGGAAAGGCATGCTCGCTCTGCGCATAAAATCCCAAGGGTGCGGGAGGATGTTGTAGATTTGGTGGTTCAAAGGACGGTGAAATTGCCAAAGACGGCTCCAATGGATACGGCCCACTCAACGCCGAGGGGGGGCTCGTTGAATATCCGTTGACCCCATTTCCAGAGTCCACATGCGTTTGAGGTCGCGGATGATGGGATGGCATCACCTGCTGGGAATGTTCATTGGGCTCTGGGAACGCTTGCAGACGGTCTGAAGCTGAAGAAGTAACAAAGGCTGGTCTGACAGATAGGCGGGTTTGCAAAGTAGTACTCATGTTCGCCCAGCTGGAGGAACCTTTGCTGAGGAATCCAGCGATCTAACATAAGCGAGCATATTCGGATACCCACATTTTATCAACCAAAAGCACGAGACTTTATAAATCTGGGACTCGACGATCTCTCCAAACTCGCGCTTGGCATCGCCAGCCAGGTGCCAGTGTCCCTTAGCAACCCTAGAAGGGAGGTGCTGGTACGATCTGGTGCCAGGGAGGGCGCCGTGGACCAGAAATTCTGGACATAGGCGAAACTAGGATCGATGGTAAGTGGCGTGACGGAAATGACAGCGGGAACAGGCCGGTAGCCGTCGCTTAGAAGTCGTGCATTTCCTGGTCAAAGGATCGATAGTAGACGTGGTGGGGGTTAAGGGCGCTGCGAGGACCGAAACTCGGGACAGGAGATGGCTTAAGTTACGCGTAGTTGTGGAATTGGTGGTTTGTGATGTGAGAGTTCGGTTGTGGAACAGGCATTCCAATCCGTCTCCAGTTCTGAGGCTGGCGGAGTTCCAAGCCTTGGGCCACAAACCAGTCGCAGATTTCTCACCCGCTGCATTTGCAGGGGTCATCTTGACTCTTTCAATCCATGAACATGAGCGGAGTATGGAACGGTACTAATGTTGTGTCTGTCCTGGACTTCCGGGGGTTTCAAGCTTGCGATAGGCGAGAGAGCAGTCATGGTTGAAATGGTGGCAAAGTCGGGGCTAGTCGTGCCTGTGAGGCAGATTTGCCTGTCGACGACCCCGTGAGCCATGAGCCACGGTAAGATTGCTGCCGAAACGTAAATCTAGTGCTATGGTGCGATAAACACCTCATCCGAGAGTCACTATCGTCCCGTAGGAACTGCTCCAGATGCTGCCTGATTAGGCTTTCTGCTCTTCACGCCCAACCGCGTCTAGTAGCATGGAAGAAGGCGCATCTGGATAGTTTTGGCCCAAGCAGAGGACGGAAGGTAAGGGGAGGTCGTGGTCGCCGCTTTTTGCGCCAGGTTGCGTAATGGGCTTGCTGTTGGCATGTAGCATACGACCAGAAAACGGTAACGGCTGCGATGAAAGGTGGGTTATCATCGTGCCAGCGGACAGATCGAAGCGAAGTGGAGGATGAGGGCACGAAGCAGGGCTCGGAGGACTCGAGTGCCAGGCAAGATTGGCAGGAGGATTCTTTCAGCCCTGAGCAGGCCATCCATGCACAAAGGCATCGGCTCAGGTTGATGACAGTGAGTTGTGGCGCTGCTAAACGGTGGTACACTACGGTGGTGACAGCTGGAGCTGGAGCTGGAACTGGAGCCTGGAGCCACCCAGGCCGCCGTCGCCGTCTGCGGCGGGGGAGTCCAGTCAACCCTCGCCCACTGCATATGGCCTCCCTAAGTTAGCCCCCAGCCACAGATCCCCAGCGATCGATCAGATCAACCACCTGTCATGCTGGCCAACCAAATGAAGAGCCTGAGATGCGACTAACGGAGGATGAAGCAATTGCAAGACGATCTAGCCTTCGTGGTTCAACGAAGAGATCCGATCCGTACCCTCTGCCACCATCGGGTGGTACGTACCTTACCTACCGACTGTTCGATACACCGACACAGGCCCAAGTTGTGCGGATCCAAGGACAGTCCGTCTACGTTACTACCAATCTACCTTCCCGGTCCTCGCTGTGCACCTGCATCAGGGAGAAAGACACTTGGTAAATGATGACATGGGACTCGGTCTCAAGCATTAGCACCAGCTGCGCTCAAGGCTGAAGGGACTGGCACTCGTTCAGTTGGACGCAGCTGGCGTGCAGGTCGCATCGTGCAGACTCGGGCTACACTGGGCACGAGCTGCCTCAACCTGAACTTCAAGTTGATGACATCCTGCTGACATTCTGATCCTGTCACAGCTGTGACAGTACAGGTCGTGACTCTAGCAGAAACCAACAGATCACCACTAGCAACACCCGCAGTCAGCGGTGAGCGATTGCACGGGGCGCGCAGAATGATACTGCCAGCAAGCATGCGCTGCACCTTGTTACTTTTCCTCCTTGAACCTCCGTCCATTCATGTGAGCGCGATTCCAACAAGGCTTTCTCTCCTGCATAAGCGCCTGCAGCCCATTGCACGCAGACGCCACCAAGGCCCAGAAATCCGTCAAGTACTATCGACCCAAATTCCATGGGGTTGTTTCCCGGCTCTATTATGCCACCCCAACTTGCGCCCAGGTGGTAAAGACCAGTACTCAAAGGAGGAGGGAGAAGGATGATCCACACAGCTTTGCAGGGAGAGTCCAGTAGGACGTGAGAACCCGACCGCAGAATGACCTGCGCCAATCGGCGATGCTAATGAGCGAGAGCCTCGTCGTTTCTCTGGATGGGACAACGTGCAACTGAACAGGCCACTCTGTCCCCAAGATGAAGATCTTGAACAGCACGGATCGCAGCCGCGCCATAAGAGGTCTGATCCGAATCATAATCCCAGATCGAAGGGCCTGGCCGCAAGTCCAAGAAGGTGTGGCAGGAGGAACTCTATTCGATACACGATGCGGATCAACACAGATATCCGTAGGACAGCGGCGAGTCAAAGAGCCATATCACTTGAATTTAGGACGTAAGGATGGTTGTATTTTGGGTTTTGCTGCCCGGCCCAACCCAAACTTTCGCCCAGGGTGCACTTGATTTCCAAGTTGTAAGCATCCCCAAAACTCCCGGGGTATCGTCATGTGCATGATCTGCACGTAGACGGAGGCGTGGAGAATCGAGGACACGGCGTCACTGACATGGGCGTATGCAGATAGGCGCAAGCCATGCCCGGATCCTGAAGCTACCTGTCTGCCTCACTTCGGATTCGGACCCTGGCCTGGTGAGGGAGACATCTAGATATGTGATGAAGCTCATCTCAGATCGAGGCGATACAACGGGACAGTCGTACTAGTAACTGGGAACGCTAGGTGGCACGATGAGCCTACTGTAACTTGAAGGTATCATCTATTGTCGGCACTATAGTGAGAGCATCCTCTCATTTTCTGACAAATGAAGCACTGCATGTGTCCGTGGGCGCTGCTGACGATGGAAGCCGCATTCACCGCCGGGCCTTAGAAGCCCAATTACACTCAGGCTCCTGCGCCCCTTCTCCCAGTACGACCCGGGTAGCTGGACCCTACTCCAAATGCACCTTATGGCTTTTCGCGGTTGATGTCCGACTTCCTGACATAGATGAACACCCAGAGGACTTACAGAGTAGTGCACCCTTCGTCACCCAAACAAGGTCAGGGAATGACACCTTGAACCGCTCCCAGGTGTTTCCCTAGTCCCCTACCACCACTGGACAGTACTTACAGTACCGAAACGATATATCAACCATCCAGCGTAGCGCCCGCTGTCGCTCAAACCTAAAGCCAAATGAGCCGGAGAGAAGGATCCAAGTCGACGGACTGCAAAAATTGGGACTCGTGGTGGAGTCCCCGAGCCGTCCTCTTTATGTTCATCCCGGCTGTGCTCCACTTGTTCGGACAACATATTGTCTCCTCCCGTTTTCTTCTGCTGGCAATGTCAAAAGCTGAAGCCCCTTGCTTACCAGCAGACGGAGATACATCTCGACGAATTGCATCACGGGTAGCCGAATCTGCAGACCCGTCTCTCCGGGGTCTTGCCTCTGAAGGCTTTATTTGGTAACGACAAGCCCGTGTTTCCTCTGTCGATGATGAGGTCAGAGTGCAATGAGACCCGTATCCTCTGAGGTACTCTGAATCCCCATGCTCTAGTCCGTTATGTGGACGCTAGCCTGTACACCTCTCTTCCGTTGTCGTGCCAGTGGCCATCTGCCATTTGGAGCAGTTTGGCTGCTTGGCTGCTCGTGTTCTGAGAAACAATCTACGGCAATGGCTCCTGTGCCGCTGTCCTCGCCTACAGAGTTCGGCCAGTTACAAACTAACAAAGCTTCTGACCATGGAGATTTCAGCGACTCTGCCCGACAGCCACAACTCTAACTTTCAGATGCTCTCTACCATGCAGATGGAAGTGAGCACGTCCCCAGATTCATTTACCAGCAGGGGGGTAAGCGCTCCGCTGCTTCGACTGCCATTCTCGGATACAGCAAAACTAGGGATCGTCAACTAAAGCGAACCTCTCAGCTTCGACGCCGTGGACGACAGGACTCGTCACAGTCAGCACCAGGGTTTAACGTATCAAGTTTGTGAAGGGATCCACTTGGAGTGCTTTTGTTGTATACCATGTGTGAATGACAAGAAGAACAGTGTCCTGCCTTTTCCATTCGCACATAATGGAATAGCCTCTTTGTGGTCCCGGCCACAGGGTACAAGGCAGCACATGCAAGCCTCGAAGCTCAGCACCTCTCTACTCGTATTGCTAGCTGCATTGGACTCCGGAGGGGCACCGCTGGGCAACGGACCAGCTGCCCTCTCTTTCAGCACGGTCAATCAACTTGGTTTGACAACCTGTTGCTCAGCAATGTCAGCAGACGATAGGAACATGAAGAAGATGTGAGTGTATTCCAGGGGTGCATACTCAATCAGATTTCCATCTGGATCCCGGACGTAGACGCTCCGCAGTTTGCCCTGAGCTCCGGTCCGTTCTACCACTTGACCGCCTTCAAGGACCGTGATCCCTCGCTCCAACAGCCCCTTCAGGACATCATCCACATTGTCCTCCACGAGAAAACACAGGTCTCCACTCCCAGATTGGACGTTTTGAGCTTTTGGCTCGAACTCCTTGCCGCTGACGTGCAGGTTGATTTTCTGGGTGCCAAATTGAAGGGCGTGCCGCGTGATGCCAGATCCCAGTGGAGCGGTGAAGGAAGTGTGCTGCATGCCGAGAATGTCTTGGTAGAATTCGATGGCTGCATTCAAGTCGGTAACTGTCAAGACGAGGTGGTCGAGCGACTTGACTGTGGCTATGGGAGCCATCTTCTTGTGGCCGCTTGCCTGCTCCCAAGGTCTCCTGAAGCTTGAGATTCGTCTGACCTAGGTCTACCTCAAGGTACAGGTACCAGATTAATATGATGTCAATACATAGATCTGTCTGCCTGTCCCCAAAACGGGCACAGTTCAATGAGCTTGGTCGCGTTGGTGCTCACTCAATTTCTTCGCACACTGGTTGCGCAAACAAGAAGAGCATTTGGCGCATTATAATCTCCCATGCAATCGAGCCACCATGGCTGGCTTGCGGCCATTCTCCGGACTTAGCTTCGGTACATATATTATGTAGGGTACATATACCACCCCCGCTGTTACCAGGTGGATGAACGCCTGCTGCACCTGTAGTCGGCCGTTGCGATGCGGAGAATCTCGCGTTTCGGAACTTGAAGCACCTCAATCTTGAAAGTGAGTTTCGTCCACTGTAGTGGCAGAGCCAGCCAGTGAGGGCTGTCTGCGGTTGACAAGATAAGATAAGATTATTACTATCGGTACGCAGATTAGATAAGGTACGCGAAACCTCTGCAGCGATTGACTTTACAAGAAATTTGCCCGTGGTAATGTGAAAAGCATCTCGCATTGAATCTGAATTCTGCTTCGTTCTTTAAAAGTACTGCGGTTCATATTGCACCCTTCAAGTCTAAAACATTTGTTTCTCATTATTATTTGGTCATCTTCCACGTCGGGTCGCTGCGACAACCCAACCTAAGGTACAATACAACATGGTAACAACGCGATCCCAGGAAAAGAAGTCCCAAAAAACTCCCAAGTCCCTTCCTTCAAGCTCTCAGAATGGCTCTTCAGAGTCTGCAGCTGCTATTGTTAGTACGCCAACGCGACAGGAACCTGAAAGCAGCCCTAGATTCTTCACGCCCGCAACATCGAAAAAACCGCGCTTGTCCAATGTCACCGTCCTGATTGAGAAGGCAGGCGCGACTGACACCGCTAAACAACATGATGTTGAAGAAGAGCCGACACGGGGCCATCAATCGACCGCTACTTCTTCCGATCAGCCAGAAACAACGACACCAACGGCCAGTGCTAAGGGGCTTGATGAGACTGTTATGCACTCAGTTGATGAGGAAACTCCTTCGAGTTCGGCACAGAACCCGTCTGTGGAAATCAACCTCAAGCTACCAGAGCGTCTTAAACCCACGGAGAAATACTTCACTCCGATGACGACAAACAAACGCAAACGCTTCAATAGCGAAGGCCTGGATGACTCGACGCAGGAATCTTTGGTTGTGGAGGAGCAGACTCCGACTCAGCCAGGCGGGCAAGTGCGGGAGGTTCCGGACACCGATGACGACGACGACGATGATGCTCCTGAGACTATTAGCAGTAAAGTTGCTGCGCGACAGGCTCTAAAAGGAAGGACGCCGCCTTCGCGAGGCTCTGCCAGGAAGAGGCAAAAAACTACCACCCAGCCGACGACCGGAGTGACACCGTCGGAATCAGCAACGGAGCCCGCGTCTCAGAAAGAGCAAGATGGGTTGTCTCACTCGCCGTCTGCACAGCTGGAAAATGAGTCTGCTGTAACTCGCAATTCCACGACTTCTGTCATCGATCCGGACGTGAAGCCAAGCGCCGATACGACTGGAGATACGCCGTTCCCAAGCAATAATGACCAAGAAAACCAGGCCGATGCAGACTTGGTGAGCACTAATTCGACAGCTGCAGCAGTGGCTTCTACGACCAATGACGCGGAGACTACGGTGGCGTCTGTACAGCTGGACGCATCTGCTTCCGTCGGTGCAGAGAGAGGAACTCCTGACGACGGCCGGCAAGACAACCTATCTACATCGCAAGCGAACCCCAGCGTCGACCAGGACTCCCAACCGGAGACTACGTCTTTTATTTCAGCGGCACCAATCCGGGAAGATGCAAACAGCAAAGAAGTCAGGCGGTTTACGACGGCGGGTCTGGACTCTAGGGATCAGGCGCAACGATATGAACTCTCACTAGCTCGAACAGGGACTTCAGCCAAGCCATCCCGCTCGCACCGACAAGTGCCTCGAATGCCAATGCCAGAGACCAAAGCGAAGATGTCGTCGTTACAAGAGTACCGCAAGACGCTCATGAATCGGCATCAACGCACTTCGAATTTTGGTCAGCGCCGTGTCAAGTTTGTCGGTGTATGAGTTACAGTCTGGCAATCCACAACTACTCTTTCGTGGCGATAAAGAGGAATGATGCCACCGTCCATAACACTGCATTTTTTTTTTGGCATACTCATTAAACTACGGCCGAGTAACAGCAGGCATTCGAGAGCACCCTGCATATACCGTGTGTTCTTGCAATAATCTGCATCATGACAATGATCTTTAAGCAAATTCGAGAAAATGGCGCCTTTCCAGCCTTATGTACATATATTTATGTGAAAATACAGATTTCATGGGAGGTTTGCCAAAGGGAACACAGTACTTTGTGATTACGCACTGCATCGGTCTTTGAAAGAGACCCTGTGGAGGATGCCTCTTCTTTGAGATTTTGTCGCGAGAGAAGCGGCTGGGACTATTGTTAAATGAAAATGGCGTCATTGTATGATTTCTTTCCAATGGTGCCTACCTAGTATGAAGGCAGTGTGTATAATAAGCAGAGCCATAATGTGATGGATAAATACAGACTTTACTATTCCACCAAAACCAGACTGAAGGTTACCTACAGCCTGAGTGGTATTGATCGACTTACTCTCGGGACTGGATAAAGAGTAGACCGGATCATCAAGAGCGATCAACGGCAGCTACTAGTAGTCGTATATATTTGGATTTCGCGCGTGGTGGTGGCCGACTTGCGCCTGCAATTTGCTGCAACCAACGCTCGCATTTGAAGTTGTCTTGGTCCAGTAGGGAACTGTACAATGTACTTGATTTTAGAATATTGTCATACACCATAGACATACTTGATCATAGCCAGGACTGCCCAAAGAAACTGCAGTATATAGATGCAACAGTTACAGATGACAGAACGAGCAACAACCTCGTCCAAGCCAAATCAAATGGCCGTTCCTCTTTCAAAGCTCTCGCGAATATCCGCAGTGTAGCGATCATAAAACCGCGCCAGCTTAAGGTTGAACTGTTTGTTTTTGTCGTTGATATAAGTGACGTCTCCATCATCGGTTTCACGGCCACGGTCACGACGTTTCTTGAATCTGGCCTCTTCGGCTTTCTTCAAATCGGCGACGAGACGATCGACATTCTCACGCTTGGGCTTCTGTTCGACGAAACCCGTACTGTCGTGGTTGGCATAGAAGCGACCATCTTTATCGATGGCGACGAGTTCGCCGTTGTCCATCTCGACAATCTCCAACCCGCCGGTGCGGGCGGCTTGTTCTAGCAGCTCGGCCTTTTGACGCTCATATTCTTCTCTGTTCTTGCCGCCGTCCTTGCGGGCGGCCTTTTCGAGTTCTCGGATCTGTCGGTCGTACATCTTGCTCGCTTCGGTGCTGTAGTCCTGGAACGCGTTGTTGTCCCGGTTGTACTTCTTCTGTTGAACGCGGGCGTCCCATTTCTCGGTTTCCTCAATCGTGTAATCCCATGCGCGCTTGCGTTCAAATGCCCCGGTGCCCTCTTCTTCCTCGGTCTCTGCCTTTAATAGGTTGTGCGATGCTATTGCTGCTTTTCGGTTCAGACTCGCCAGGAGTCCTGGGTCCATTGCTGCGCGGTTGGCTTCTGCTTTGGCTTCGGCGAGGTTTGATTTGGCTGATGCTGTGGCTCGTGATTTGAGGGCTGCGAAGCGTGCTAGTCTGTCTGCTGCGCTAGTGGTGGTGGAAGAAGAAGCGGGAGGAAGCGGCGCTGCGTCAACATTACTGGATGATGGTTCTGGTTCTGGTTCTGCATTGGATTGAGTTGTGGAAGATTCGGTCGTTGATTCCTTTGCTTGATCTTGTCCAGCGGCCGCTGGCAGCGCAGTGCTGCCTGCGTCTCCTCGTTCGTCTTGCTCGTTTTGGGCGCCTTGGTCCCCTTGGTCTGGCTCGTGCGGCTCGTCATCAGACGTAGGGCTGAGTTTGCGCCGCTTTGCTGGAGGCATGGTTGCTGGCAAGCACGGGCTCAGGAGCTTGTTTATCACTAGTAGAGAGGGGATCTGTCCTCCCGACGATGCTGATATACGAGACCCTGCGAGGCGGAACCCTAGAAATTAACGGGATGTTTCTAAATCCCTGGGTGGTAGTGTCGGTATAATGTCGAGGTTGGTGGTCGAACACTTTGCAAAGATCAGGTTCAACTTGAAGTTGTCGGTGTCGCAGAATGCCAGCGCGGAATAGGCAGCCTCGCCGCACTTTCCTCTTGAGGACAGCGACTCCATGACGTTAACATGGCAGTCCCAAAAATGTCGCCGGCTAGTAGTACTACGGGTACCTGTACTATCACTCCACCATGCTATTGGAAAGTGAGAATCACTCTCGAAGCCTTCGAAGGAGCTAGCGCAGGCCATTCCACGTACTGCACCACTGCAGATGGCCCAAGCGGCTCGCAAGAAGATTGTTGTCGCTGGAGGAAATGGGTTCCTAGGGTCGCGCATCTGCAAGTCCGCCGTTGCTCGAGGCTGGGATGTGACCTCTATCAGGTATTTCAACCATTGAGTCTCGGCGCTGGGCAAGGCTAATCACCAGCTATAGTCGCTCCGGAGAACCTAGGTGGCCCTCCGTCAGTTCGGACCCTGCTCCCCCTCCTTGGTCGATATCTGTTACCTGGGCCAAAGGCGATATCCTAAAGCCGGCCACTTATACTTCACATCTTAAAGATGCCAATGCGGTCGTTCATACCATGGGGATATTGTTAGAAGCGGACTACAAAGGCGTCGTGTCTGGTAAAGAGAACCCACTGTCAGCGTTGTCGAGGGCATTCAGTTCGACAAAAGCCGGTAGCTCCAAGAATCCAATGGACCGTCCGCCCGGTGCAGAGTTGGGGAAGGGAGAGAAGGACGGTCAGGTCACATACGAGCTTATGAACAGAGACTCCGCTATTGCTCTTGCGCAGGAGGCTGAAAGAGCGGGCGCAGATACCTATGTTTACATCTCAGCGGCCGCTGGAGCACCGATCCTCCCCAGCCGATACATCACGACAAAGCGAGAGGCAGAGAACATAATTGCGAGCAAGATGGACAAGCTGAGAAATATCTTCTTCCGCCCGGGGTTTTTATATGATAGTAGCCGAAAGTTTACTCTGCCGATCGCCGCTTCTGGCATGGTCGGGAGCACAGTCAACAGCATGCTTGGAGGCAGTTTGACCTCCATTTTTGGCGCGGCGGTGGAAAAGCCCTTGAAAGCAGACCTGGTTGCAGACGCTGTGGTGGAAGCCATTGAGGATGAGTCAACCAAAGGAGTTGTGGATATTAAACTTATTGAAGCTCTTGCTGCAAAGGCCTGGCGAAGGACTATGCTTTAGCGAGAAACTGTTCGGTGGATCTGTGGTACGACTGAGAAAACTTTTGTTTCTTTGTCAAGATCAAAAAGGCGCAAGAAGAATCGGAGCACGCAGTGGGAATTCGAAGAAGGATGTCGCGGAAGGGAAAAGACTCAACACAGTTTGATAGAAGAAGAATCCCAGTTTGGCACCACCTGCCTTTTAATCAACTGCTGTATCGCCAACTTGAAATGCGCGAAAACAACTTGAAGGTGTGATATAACTTCTCGGGAAGGAACCAGACACGCCTGAACTTCTGTCACTGCCTGACGAATGCCGTCGAACCCGCCCGCCTGGCCTTCCTCTTTCCTCGAGGGGTCGCAAGCATTCCATGCCACAGAGTCCTGATCTGAGTCGTCGAAAGCTCTATCATACAGCCTCCATTCCTGAACGCCATGTGCTTGTTCCCAAGCCAAGCCCGCTATGCTCGCCCGCATCCAGAGTGAGGATCATTTATTAGACACATCAAAGGGTCGAATGGTCGTCTTTCGTGTCCCCAAGGAAAATACACGAAAGAAGTCGCAGTTTTATACAGAGGATGTAAACAGATCACCCGCCGCTAATCTCATCGATCTTTAGCCGCATGCTCTGCTGATTCACGTGTTCAATTAAAGGCTGGCGGCAGAAGAAGTCTGCTCCTCAGGAGGCTCGAACAGAATTTTGCGAGTCAGCTGCAGTATGCATTAGCCAAGATTGTCCTTATGTAGTCTGGAATCGACTTACCGCCCAGGCTCCTGCAATCGAACCAACAATGGCACCAGAGATGGCCATTGGTTTCAGCCCTCTCGTGCACTTGAAGATCATGCCGCTCAGCGTGCCAGCGAGGATGCTGTTTGCAGCATCATGCTTCCCTCTGTAGTACCCGATGGTCGAGTTGATTCCGTTGTACATCATTGCAACCACGCCGGCCGAATTGCCGAGGAAAGGCCCTCTTCTTGTGATGCTGTTCAACACGCTGTTCAACCGCAGCTTGGGGGGCGCGGATGCAGGTGTTCGATTCAGGCCTTCTATCAGACCCCATAATCCACCGGTCGTCAAAGCTGTGAGATAGACGACTCCAGTGCCGTAACATAAGTCGTCTGACCAACCGCGCGAAGGTAATATTGACCTCGAGCCTGGAAGCTCCGATAGTTGCGACTCGTCTAACGTCAAATAGTCAAGAGTCTGTTGATTCAGGCCGGCGAGAGGATGGAGTTTCGAGGCATCTGGAAGGGAGGCGCTACCGAGGAAGGATGATACATCTGTCGGGGCGTGAGGATCCAAGGATGCTTGCGCAAAGCCTCCACTGGCAGGCGCAGGCTCTGCTTGTTGGGCTTCCGCATTCTGTTTGGACGATTTCCGGCCGGTGAAGGCGTCCCAGACCGACATCTTGAAAAACTTTACGCAAATACGATATAAGGAAAAACAAGATCGTGCCCGGTCGTGTTGGCGGATGGATGGCGCTGAAGGGCGACGAGGGTGACAAGAGTTGGTTGGTTCAAGTTCTCGAAGAAAATGTTCGAAGGCGGAACTGGAACTGGATGCGAAATCCCACGATTCGTGAACGGGCCGGGGTCCGGAGCTTAACCCGATCGGGAATTGCGCGCCATATTGTTCCTCGCCGACAACATTTTTTTGATATAGGACAAAAAGATACACGTATACATACAACTACTGCCAGACGCCTCATTCCTCCTCTCGGCGCGCCCGGCAACAAGGAATCCTGTTAATTCTGGGTGTTATGCTGCCGTAGAGCGGTCGACGCAGCCAGAATGGCCTATATTTGACACTCTCCGCCTGAAAATTCGGCCTTCGAGGCAGTCAGCGAAATTCTGAAGGAGCCATGGCGATATCAATAGACGAAGCTCTCGCGTCTGATGTCCCTCTTCCAGTTTCAATTCTGTCAGATCTGGGCAAAGGACCTCTTCAGAAATTCTTCCGCAATGGTGATAGAACATCAGATCCACCCCAGCTGTTTGCGCTCTGGCGTAAGCTCGTCCTCACTGCGACCAGTCCTGAAGTGGTCCACAATCATATCACCGCTGTCTGCAATGCTCTTTGCGTGTACTTGAATGCAGCAGCCTTGAGCCCCGTTCCTGAGATCCGACAATTCGTCCTTTCTGAAGAAACGTGGTTCGACGCTCTTCAATGTTGCCACAAAGCTTTCGATGATGGGAAAACAAAACCGGCCTTCCAACTCTTGGAGGGTTTATGTGGCTTGCTTGATGCATTCGAAGCAGAGACTGTAGCAAGAATGATGGTCAAAGCAGCTTTTCCATTGGTAAGATGGATCATTCTTGCGTCTCCTCGGTCTGACCTCAAGAAAGCTTGCCTTATGTTGGTATGCCTCGTGCGAAAAACGCCAATTCTCATCCATCTGGAACCAATTGTCGCGAAATGTACAGAGTCGCACCATTCGGCATGGATGAGGCGTCTGGCAAGATATACCATTTCACCAGAACACGTGCTCCTTCTCAATGGGGGTGGTTTCACTGATCTTTTCCTAGCCTTGATCTTTGCCATGACTGAGCTCGATACGAGGAATTCAGCTATTAAATTATGCTCTGCGCTATGCAGCAGCGAGTCGCATGATGGTCAAAGATCGACTTTACAAAGTCTTGCTCAGAGGGTTGTAGAAGTATATCTTGACAGCAATCATGCAGCACTAGGTGACTTTGCAGAGAATGTCTTGCCCGCCATATTCAATACGAAACAAAAACTCATGAGCTTTATCGAATCATATACTAAGTCGTCTCTCGGATCAGAGGCAAGGATGGCGGTATTTCTTGCTGCTCTGAAGGTGGGACGTGTTCAGAACATTCTGTCGGAGAAAGGTACGAGCAGCATCCCGATAGCCTGCAATGGACAATCCCAACTAATACGTTGGATACAGAGATGCTAGGCGTGTTCCGTGCCTTCGCCCCTTCGGAATGTACTCAGTCCGTTGGTGATGGCGACGATTACAGTGCTTTCAGGCATGCCATGATCACCTCCAGCGCAGAAATTCGAATTCTCGCCTACAATCTTCTGACCTCATCCCCTCCAGGGAATACTGTCGTCTCTGAGGGAGCTTTGGAGTGCATTCTGTCCAGCATCAAATACCTCCACGATGATGCTGATGCCCACGAAAGGGGCGAAATCCTGAGTATAACTCGACGGCTACTACGGCGAATCCAGCTCAGTTTCTCAGCTCTCCGTAAAGCAAATGGCTCACAGACCAAGGTTGAAGCAGCTGCAACGACAGAAGCACAATACAAGTCCTTCCATCGTCGTTTCTACAGATTCCTGAAGACTGAGCTGCAAACCGGTGTGCCCTACTCCCGCCACAGCCTGAGCTTGCATTCTCTGCGATACTTATCCGAGACATCGATTATTCCTGACATTCTTAAAGACGACAGGGAGCTGATCAGCTCTTTATGCTGTCTTGCGATCGATGCATTCGATGATGTGCGCAATACCGCGTCACGTCTACTCCAGTTCCTGTCTACGAACAATCCAAATCTGGTTGATGACATTCTCAATGCCGAGTTTCTCTCCAGACTCGGACTTATGGCAGCTAAAACTGTCAGAGCGGATCATGCAGATGGCATGGGGCGGCTCTTGGCTCTATCAGGATCCACTCGCTGCTTCAATGTCGCAGCTTGTGATGAAGAGGGTGCAACCGCTGATACATGCTTGAGCGTACCTCTATCGATGTTGGAAAGACTTATAGCAGAAACTAAAGACTTCAAGCCGGGCTCGAAACACCCCATTCACGCATATATGCTGGCCATACATTATCGACTGCGGGATTTGAAAGCCAGAGACAGTGCACTGCCGGATGCAGACGTCCTTCGGATATACCGTATTTGTGCCAGTATCTGGGATCACGTGAGGTCTCAACTATGTGTTGACTCTCCAGAGACTTCATCAGAATTAGAGGATGAAGACACCGATGGAGGGCCCAAAGATCTTCTCGCTTACTCCTGGCGAGCACTCCGGGAGTCCAGGTAACCCCTCTTCCGTCAAGCTTGGTCGTTCTTCACTGACTAAACCAGTCTTGTGGTCCAATCCTTGATCTTGGCCGGACAGCCCAGAATGTCCCTCTTCTCGATGCTCGGTGATCTTTGTATGGATCAGTTGATTTCTTTACGGCATCGCGGAGCGTTCTCCACCGTGGCTCAAACCTTCAGTATATGCTGCGAAAGGGTTTGGGCATGTCCAGATGTTGACACACGATCATTGATAGAAGCATGGAAAATAGTAAGCGCAGATCCCTCGACACTTGTTTGAATGGTTGCTCACTTGGATAGGTTGCACTACAACAAATTGAAGAGCAGTCAGATCGTCTTACCCGTCGATCAGCCGGTCTACCTGCCATGATACTGGCATTGCTGAGCCCTACGGAGCGCAAGTTCTTCTCTACCACAGTCACCGATCTCATGGAGATTGCTCAAAGGCCGATTCATGATAAACCGTCCAGTTATGCGGGTAGTATGAAGCTGCCACAGGTGCATGCGCTCAACTGCCTCAAGGAGATAATGACAAGCTCCCGCTTCTCAGCTGTGGTTGTTCAATATCTTGGCAGGATACTGCAATTGGCTGCCAATTGTCTGTCTTCCGGAATATGGGCCATCCGAAACTGTGGTTTGATGCTGCTAAGAGCATCCATCAACCGTCTGGATTCGACAAATACAGTCGAGTCATCTCTTTCTAGAATGTCCAGCCAAGACAGATCCCTTGTCCAGAGTCCCTCGGTAATCGCAGTAAGCCTGCTAGAGTCAGCAAAAGAGGCTACCAATGAGCCTCTTCACGGTCAAGATACTGCTACCGAACATGTCTTTGCAGCCCTCGACCTACTTGGCCATCTGCATGCCGAGGAGGTTAACATTGAGGACACAAACAGGGCTATTCTCCGAGAGCTGGCTCACTCTACCTGGGCCGTGAGAGACCATGCAGCATTCTTGCTTGCCACTCGCCTGTCCGGTCTACCACCGCCCATTGCGATACAAAATCTCTTTCAGGACATTATTTCGATCAAGCATGAAAATGAAGCACACGGCGTGCTCCTTTGTTGCCGATACATACTGACAATGGCTATGGGGACAATCAGCGAAGTTGAGTTCAGATCGGTCCTTGAAATATTTTGCTCGGGCGAATTGGTCAAGGGATTGTCTGGCCGCTCGCCTTATGTCCGGTCTGCATATCTTGACCTACTGAATGCAGCTGCTGCGCACATTCTAGACAAGAACTGGGCGGCCGAGAGTCTCGAGAAAGCGCCTTCACCTGAAATCTTCCAGTCTATGGCAGAGTGCAGCTCAATTCATTGGCCATTCCTTCAGCGCCGGATTCTGCTGTACAAAACGTACCTGCACTTACTTCGCGACACCACGCCTTCAATTTCAAGTGAGCTAGGGTCTGCAGTCATGACCGAATTGATTGCTGCTCCTGATGCTTTGCATTACGCACTGAACGTCCTTCAGGAGAAGCATTGCTTGAAGCCACCAATTTCTATGGTTCTTTCCCTGGTCGATCTGATACACCGCGGTTATAAAAGAATTTCCAGTCAAGAACATGTTCTCCAACAAGCATTCTCATGCCTGGCCCACAGCTTTGGACATTTGACTGACATACCAACCACTGTCCTCCAACACATTGATGGGACAATTGGTCTCGGAGAGCTGTCATCTACCCGCGAACTTGGAAACGTAGCAATGGAGCTGGAGGCATTTCTATTGGGTGGACTGTTGTCAAGTCATCAAGATGTTGAAAGTGTTTCATCACGGACCGAACAGTGGCTGCTTCGCGTGGAGTTCGCTGCAGCTGATTATTTGGACTTTCCCACAAGGCTAAGCGCAGCGAGAGCGGTGTCGTCATTCAGTGGGTTCACTGGATGCGCTGATGTATCTGGAATGCCACACGGTATTGGTTTGCGGTTGCTCCTCATCTTGTACGACCTGTTAAATGACGACGATGAGGAGGTACGCTTTGAGGCTGTTGAAGCTACACGAAAATTGGAACTCCATCGGGTACGGACCACCGGAGAACTGGGATTCTGCGCCCTTGCTGCAAGGGAATTGCTGCTGAGAGAAGTCAGCGAGCGGTACTTGGAGACGAAGGAGCTAGGCAGATCTGCTCTCTTGAAGTTAATGAAGGTCGGACAGGAGGGTGACAGCTCATACAGCATCAACTCGACTGGTATGCCGTTTCACACTTCGGTTGCCTTGAACCTCAAAGCCATCATCAAAGCAAAGGGGGATTTATTCGCCGAGGAAAGACAAAACCTCTACATTGACGACCTCCGCGAAATCGAGGTCTGGTCCAAAATACTGCACAACAATCATCTGCGATTCCTGAATGCTGAACAAATCGACTTGGCCGTTGGTTGGACAACGGATGGCCTAAACCAGCTCTTACATCTACTCCAGACGGAGCAGCGTTCCAGGATACCAGCTTCAACTGGTTACCAGCAAAGCGTTGAAGAGGTTGAGAAATTCTCCGCCTTGTTCAATCCCTTGGGAGCAACATATGATCATGAAATACTTGTGGTATTTCTGAAAGTGGTCTGCATCGCACGAATTCTCCTTGCCGAAGATGAGACTAAGCCCAGGTTTACGGCTGTACGGGAATTGCTACAACAATTACGGGCAGACCTTGTGAATGCGCAAGCTAATGAGGTTCTCCTGGATGCCGTTAATGTCGCGCTCGCCGAGCAACCGTGATAAAGTGAAATGCTGTGAAAGCGGAAAAAGGAATCAACTGTTGTCCCAAACAACAACAAACACGGACACTTTGCCAACAACGCATACTACCATCCCACAACATTGACGATACTGCCATTGTCAGCATCCAGCCTAGTCCATTGTGGCCGAGCCTCCAACCACTCTATCGAACAGTCCATTTGAAGCAAAACAATATAGGTCAGTGACCCAGAGCGAGCCCTATCTCAGGCTGACCCTGGCATCAGCCTCATACGCAATCCGAATCCCAGCTACAAACTAGCAAAATGAAGGCTGGCCTAGTGATTTTGGTCTGCTTCTTCGTCATCATACCGGTCTGCATGTGGATATCCTGGAGGATCTGGGTCCCCTTGATTCAGAGAGATATGGAGAGAATGGAGGAGGGAGAAGCACCTGCAGCTGCTGCTGCTGAAAACCCGCCAGCAAATGGAGCTGCTGCAGCGTGAAGGACAAACTGCAAAATCTTGCTAGTCTGCAGTCCTCGAGAAGCACATCACATCCAAGAGCCTGCAGAGGGAGGGCATGCAGCTCATGTCGATCACATCATGTTGTGCTGTGAGAACTAGCTACTGTTGTGTATTCCGAGTTGTTAGAGTCAAAGGGCTACTGAAGATGCCGTGACCTGAAGTTCACACTGCACTTTACTCACTTTTTGTAAGCCTTGACTGCAGTGCAGCCAAACCATTCCCACCAACGATCTGATGCTTTGTCTCCCCTTTCTATTTCGAATGTCCTTCCCTCTCCCTCTCTCACTAACTCCTTCACTGCCTACCAAAACGTTGAACACCACTGGCAGCAATCAATATGTCGCTAGTCACCCAGACACAGACGGTCACAGACACAGCCACTACCGTGGTCCCAGCAGACACCACAATCGTCACGGACGTAACAACAACGATAACATCTCACTTCTACACCACCTTGACAGCCACACATGGCCAAACAGTCACCATCTCCTCGCCCTCACCCTCGCCGCCTGCGCCGCCCGCCGCTCCTACCACGAAATACACTCCCACTCCCATCATAGCCACCACAACAGAGACATCATCCGTTACAATCACTGAGATTGATGTGTACCTGCAGAATGACCATGGCAGCCTGTATTCCACCTGGGTCATCTCGCTCCCAGTCGCCACGGGCCCTGCCACCACGTCTTCTGAACCTCCGACCCCTCTGATTTATGTGGTGGAACCGCAGCAGCAGCATCATGGTGGATGGGATGGCTGGTCCACGGGTGCAAAGGTCGGATTGATCGTGGGTTCGGTTTTGGCAGGCCTGCTGCCCTTGTCTCTCATCTTCTGGTGCTGCAAGAGACGAAAGATATGGGTTGTCCATGGTTGGCCGTGGTCAACTGCAGCACACGTTGCGCGTCCTCCTCATCCAGGCCAGCCGACCTTCGTCAATGGACCGGTCTTACCTTTAAACCATCCCCATCCACACGGTCGGGCGGCTTATGGTTATGGATAATACGGAGCAGGACTAAGAGGCCGGCGGAATAAAAGCATTCGCCAGTGAAAGTCATGGAGCTTGGGTTGGGAGGAACAAGAAGACTGGATGACACGAAACAAGCAGTGCATCCTTTCCAACAGACTGGGACAAGCCACTGGAACTTGGACTGCATCTGATTTCAACCACGCCTTCCGTTTCAATTGTACAAAAATAGTCACTGAAGCAAGGGCTGATGTGCTTGAGGGCTGGAATGGCTGGTTACATACGAACAATGCGGGCGAACTCCAACTTGCTAGAGTGCGGGAGTTGACGCATAGAACCTCAAGGCCTCAAGGCGAATTTCCATGTACGCCCCATTGAAACACGTATATGATGCGTAATAAGCAGAACAGCACCAGCAGTAGGCAACTGGTATTAGCGATAGCAAGCAGGTCGAGGCTGTGCGATGTTGTAGAATCCATCGCAGGACGTTTACTAAGGGGCGGTCTGAGCGCACCTTGCTGGAGTGACCAATGACGTGAGATGGTCGCCGCGGCAGGTTGAAGCCATTGGAGGAGTGCCTTCTACCACCCGCATCACTCCCACCAACACCCTGATATACTGTAACTGTACTGCCCCGATCAGCCCAAGGATTGCGGCTGCGCAGTCTTGATACTGTCCTTCTCTCAAGTTTGACGCATCCGTTTAAAATCCCTGACATCCGAAACGGGCGACGAAGCCGCATGTTGAGATGTGGCAGGACGACGAGGATAACAACCCGTACGGGTCGTTCGACAACCAGGAGCACTCCGCGGGACCGACGAATCCAGCTCTAAGTGCTTCCTGTATGGAATTGACTCCAGTGCTTGTGTGTGCGATTACTAACACGGGGATTTAGACTCAAATGATTCCTCACCTCCCCGTTCCTCGCCCTCTTCGCCCGACCAGCCGCCGCAGTTCCTATCGCGCCCCGACAACATGAGCGACGATGAAGACGACGACTATAACCGCCGAGACTCCAACCCGCAACCGGTGCCTACGCCTCCGAGGGGTGGCTACGATAGTCGGGTGCAGCAGATCCTATATGAGAATCCCGATCTGGAGATCGTTATAACAGACGCAGGCAAAAGCTCGGATGGCGGGTATATTGTGTACAAGATCCGGACTGGTGTAGGCCACACATGACCCAGCTATGTGGCTTGCTACTTACTTCAACCAGGATATCGAGGTTGCCAGACGGTACTCTGAATTCAGCTCCCTTCGAGCCGCCCTCGTCAACCTCCACCCGACGCTAGTCATCCCGCCCATACCGGAGAAGCATACCATGGCCGACTATGCCGCGAAACCTACCAAGGCCAAGGAAGACGTTAGCATCATTGACCTGCGGAAACGCATGCTAGGAGTGTTCTTGAACCGCTGCCGAAGAATGAAAGAAGTCGTCGAGGATGGAGTCTGGTGGAGGTTCTTGGATCCTAACTCCAGTTGGGTATGCATACGGCCGTCCCAGGCGGAGGTATTCGATGGGATCTTTTGAAAGCTGACGGCCTACAGAACGAAGTCTTACACGCTCACCCCATCTCTTCGATACCGAAAAACAACCTGAAAGCACCTCCTCTGAACCCGGCCAATCCCACTCCCGCTCACAACTGGCTGCCGGTACCCTCTTCCTCCGCTAAGCTGAAGTCCACTGGGCCGACCTCCAGCAGTGGCACTCCGATATCTCCGCCCGACCAGACCTATCCCTCGGCTGCATCTCATACCACTCCTGGCCCGCAAATATTTGGCCGCTTTCCCATCGCTACCGACAAGCTGAGTGAGACGGACCTGGACCCCTACTTTATCAATTTTGAGGCTTCAACGCGAGAGCTGGAACTGTTGCTACAAGGAAGTATCGAGAAAGTTAATCGTCGCACACTTGAACATTTGACCAAGCTTTCTGCGGACCTCGCAGAGTTAGGTGCTCGGTATAATGGGTTCTCCCTGTCCGAACAGTCGCCAACGGTCGCCGCTGCCATTGAGAGGATAGGACAGGCTGTTGACAGCACATACATTTCGACAGAGGAACTAGCCTTGAGTCTAGGGGCCAACTTTGCCGAGCCTATGCGGGAAAGTGCACAATTCGCCGGGGTTGTTCGAAATGTTCTGCGATACAGAGTGCTCAAGCGAGTGCAGCAGGACATGACAAGGGATGACCTGGAGAAGAAGCGCAATCTTTTGGAAAGTCTGGAGCGTAGTGAAGCCGAAGCAAAACGAATTGATGCATATTTATCGGGAAGCACAGCGCTTCCAAGTCCTCCGCGTCGATCGGCTTCCAATGCTTCGGCTCGGAGTGTACCAGAAAGGCAGGGAGGGGCGGGGAGGGAGGGACATGATGAGACTGAATCCGTTGATTCTGACTTTCCACCGACACACGGAGAGACTCCTTCGTCGCCTCCGTCGGCGGCACAGGGGCAACCGAATCAACAGGCTGGCCCAGCTTCGCCAATTTCGCACAAGAAATCTCCTAGTGGCAATTTCGTGGCAAACAAAATATTCGGCAGTTTCAGGCACGCCGTCAATGGATTCGTTGACGTCGATCCAGAAAGGACGCGGCGTGATCAGATCGGAAAGACCAGGGAGAGCTTGACGCAGCTGGAGCAGGCCCTCGAAGTGTCGGAGAAGGACGTCAAAGACGCGACGCAAGGCGTCCTACGAGATCTGAAGCGGTTTCAAAAAGAAAAAGAAGATGACCTTCAGAGATATATGGTATGTCCCCTTCGGAACGGGAAAAGGACTTGAATGCTAACATTGGCCAGATTGCCTATGCGAGATGCCATATCGAATGGGCACGCAAGAACTTGGAGACTTGGTCGGAGGCGAGGGATGAAGTGGACAAGATTGTTGCGCGGTAGTCTGCAAAGGTGTCTTGCCGGGTGATGAGGGCGTTGCTACTGGTAGAATTACAGTAGTATTGCTGCAGTCTTGCGGACATCCGGAAGCTGAGGCGGAGGCTGACTTTTGGGATGCTGGCCAGCCTTGTTCTCGCAGTCCATAGATGATACAGCCCACGCCCTATTAGCCGAACAACAGCAATAATGAATGAAAGTAGCTTATAGCCCTGAAGATGAAACCTACTGCCGATGTGTAGCGCTGGCCTTGCAAACAAATTCGACCGGATTGAAGATCGTATCCAGTACATATGCATACCTTGCAGGCGAGTCGACGCCGCAGGAAGTGGTGCCTTGGGGTGGTTCTGCGGACATGGACCGCCAGAGAAACCAGTGACGCAGTTGAAGTTTGGTGTGTTCAGGGTTTTCTACCTACAGTACCTACAACACATACAGTATTTGAGCTGAATGACAGCCAGAGAACTAAACTCCGTTTCCGTTGTGTGAATCCAGCGATCTGACATCCAGGAGCCACCAAATCACATTACCAAAAAAAAGCTAAACCACGGCGCTGACAGTCAAGCAAACGGCCGGGGACCGCAGCATAAAGCGAGGCTGAGGATATTTTATTTCTGCTCGACCTCCAGCGTGGCATCCCTTGAGACTGTTCAAGTTTAGTGAATCGATTCTCCTGCGCCTTCTTTGGACTTTCACTGGACTGCACTTCACTTGGGGGTGGGCTGTTGAACAGACTGGCCGCGATTGCCATCGCACCGACGCTCATTGACTGCGCTGTAGTAACCAACTTGACGAAGGCCCACCGTCACTGTCACTGCCACTCGCACCTCGCATTCCGCCGCCTCAAATTCGGTCCCTCATCTTTTCAGCATACGACATTTTCCAGTCTTCGTCATCCTCGCAGTCCATGGTTCTGGCATAGTTTCCAGGCCTCATCCTTACCTCATCTTCCGAGCAATCCCGTTCGGGACATGCCCGCATCGCAAAAACAACAATTTGCACAATCGAAGGATGATTTAGGCAGGCACCTGCGCTCCGCATCTCCAGCAGTGAAGAGGCCGGCGTCAGACATGGGGGCTCAAGAGCGAGAGACATACGAAAGCGACGTCGAGATGGGCGGCCAGACTTCCGGGCTCACACCCGGCAACTCGGACGCCGCACCCACCCCGGACACCACCAAAGCGAAGCAACAAGACACCGGTTCGAGACATCGTGACAAGGCAGAAGCCACCGGCAGCAGCCTGACCCAGGCAAGTGACCCTCGCGCCGTCCAGCAGCAGGCTGCGTCCGACAACAGTGGTAGCTCGACCTCGGATTCTATTATTCCTAGTCCCTCAAACCAGTCCACAGCTGCCACGTCGTTGAACACCGATATTGTTCCCACTGCCATCTCTATGCCCTCCATCGATGAACAAATCGTCAAGGTGACGCAGCTAGCACAGCAGGAACTCCAAGAAGGGCAAAAGGGATATGTCGTCTCCGGGAAATGGCTCCAGAGAGTGCAGTCGCGAGGCTCGGTCGCTGGCGAGGCCAGCAAGTTCGACAAATCGGCGACTGAAGGTGAAATCGGGCCAATAGACAATTCAGACATTGCCATGGTAATCGAAGAATCAACTCGGCTTCTGGACGAAGCTGGTGAGCCTTACGTGCCGCTTCGGCCTGGTCTGACCATGGGTGAAGACTACGAGGTTCTACCGCAAGAAGCCTGGGACTTGATAGTTTCATGGTACGGTGTTGCGAAGGACTCTCCGATCATAACGCGATACGCCCATGACTGGAGTGAGCCCGATGCTCTTCCTAATGTGACTTGGGAGTTGAGTCCGCCGATCTTCTCGTTCCTCAAGGTGCCTAGTGAGCACACGACTCAGACACAGCGCGAGAAGGACCTGCCACCCCAGCGGCTGTTAGCCAGCAAGAAGGAAAACATCAATGAATGGCTGAAAGAAGGCAAGAGGCTACTGGGCATTGATAACAACACCAAGGTCAGAGTTTGGAGGGTACTCGGGGGTCTCAAGAGCTCTGGTAATTCCGGCGTACTGACCCCCGCGGCTTCGCGGAGTGCATCCCCTGCACCAGGCGCAGAAATCATTGCAAGTGCCGGCGACAAGATGCTTCTTGATGTCAACACCTTTGTACACCTTCAGATCGGCGAGCAGCGAGAGCTCTTAAACGCCCCGGATCACACAGCGAACCCAAAATACAACGGCAAGTCGACTCTCAGCACTGTCGGTCTTGGCAGGGATGAAGTGATCGTTTTGGAAGAGCAGAAGTCCGGGAAAGATGAGTGGCCGAGTGAGAACCCAAAGCTCAGCTTGGGCAAAGCTCTCAAGACCGCACCCAAGAATCTCGCCTCCAGTGGCAGATCAAGCCCGGCTCCTGGAATGATGACACGTGGACGGCAGAAGCGGGATGGGAGACCACGCGGCATCACTGGACTGAGCAATCTAGGCAACACCTGTTACATGAATTCCGCTCTGCAGTGTCTGCGTAGCGTGGAGGAACTGACCCAGTACTTTTTGCACGATTACTGGAAGCAGGACCTTAATGTGGAAAATGCTTTGGGCCATCATGGGGAGGTGGCAAAGGCATATGCCAACTTGCTCCACCAGATCTACGATGAAAACGCCTCTTCCACGAACCCTTCGCGATTCAAGGCCATCATTGGAAAGTATGGACCAAGCTTTTCGGGCTATCAGCAGCAGGACTCCCAGGAGTTTCTGCTGTTCTTGCTCGACGGCCTACAGGAAGACCTGAACCGCATCCACAAGAAACCATACATTGAAAAACCTGATTCGACCGACGACATGGTACATGATACCGCAGCCTTGAAAGAGTTTGCCGACAAGAACTGGGAGATCTACAAGGCAAGGAATGACTCGGTGGTTACTGACCTGTTTGCCGGCATGTACAAATCCACCTTGACCTGTCCCGTTTGTCACAAAGTCAGCATTATCTTTGACCCATTCAACAATCTCACCCTACAGCTTCCGATCGAAAATAACTGGCAGAAGGAAATTTTGTATTTTCCCCTTCACAAACGACCAATCCGGATTGATGTGGACATCGACAAGCATTCCAGCATCAAAGGCTTGAAGGAATTCGTCGCGTCGAGGACTCACGTCGATGTGGATCGGTTGCTGGTTGCGGAGGCCTACAAGAACAAGATTTACAAGATATTTGACAACAACATCATTATCTCCGAAGCCAACATCCAGGCTGGAGATATCATTTGTGTCTACGAGCTGGAGTCGGTGCCCACCAACTACAATCCCAACAAAGCGCGGAAGTTCTCGCTCTATACGATCGGGCGGGATAACGACGACGAGTTGGTAACGCCTGACAGTCCCGAAGCAGAGCGTCTATTGGTCCCTATGTACAACAGACTTGTCAAGACGCCAGCATCACGGGTGGGTGCAAAGCCATTCTTCGGTATGCCCACATATCTTGTTTTGACCCGCGAGGACCGAGCGAGCTATGAGGGCATCCTGAAAAAGATCTTGGGAAATGTGGCTGGAATGACTACGAGAAAGATTTTCGAGGAAAGCGACAATGCTTCGGAGCGTGGGGTGTCTACTGCACCTGAGGATTCGGACACTGTGGTGATGGCGGATGACATGTCGAGCACCGAATCGAACCAACCTAGTGCGGTTTCGGTTCAAGGAGAGGACGGTATTGTCGACGTCTCCATGCGCGACGCCAGCCAAGCACCTGAAGCAATGGATCGTTCCAGCGACACAGTCTTCCACAACTTCCTGCGATCAGATTCTTCTATTCCCAGCCAGCTGCGCGGTCTTTTCACCATTCATGTCGTTTCGACCGGCGAAGGGATCCCCACAGGTTGGAACCAGATCTCAGAGTCCCAGGACTATGACCCCATCGTCAATCGAATCCCAAGATCCGTGTCTCATCGTGCAAAGAAAGAGTCTGAGGCATCAGAGCTCGCCAACGGTGGTGACAGCGGCTCGGTGAGCAGCGAGGATGGGCATGCGGATATTGAGCATGAGGATGCCACGGCTGGTAGCAATGACTCTGATTCCGAGTCGAATGCAACTCCTCCGCTACCGTCGGGCCCTGATTCTGACACCGAGTTTCCGGAAGTTCAGGAAGTCTTGAAGCCGCGGCAGCCCATGTCGAAGAAGGCACTAAGACACAAGAATCGGGGCAAGAAATATGGCCGGCGCAACAATCACCGCCGAACACCACCGGCTCTTCCTCCGCCTCAGCCGATGCCCAAAGTCAAAAGTGACGATTTGATTCGGCCAGGTGAAGCCATAGTCCTGGACTGGAGCCAAGAGGCCTGGGATGCCTTGTTTGGTGGGGCGGAACAAGAGAACGCAGAAATGCGCGGTGCGCCGACCTGGAAGAGTGTCGAGTTGTTTCACGATGAGGAGTTGCAAGCCAGACGTGTTCGGCGCTCAAACCGCAAGAAGAATGGCATCTCATTGGAGGATTGCTTAAACGAGTTCGGCAAGCCTGAGACTTTGTCTGAACAAAATGCCTGGTACTGCCCGCGCTGCAAAGAACACCGGCGAGCGGAAAAAATGTTTGAATTGTGGAAGGCTCCTGACATTCTTGTCATGCATCTCAAGCGCTTTAGCAGCAACCGGAACTTCCGAGACAAGCTGGAAGTGAAAGTGGACTATCCTGTGGAAGGTCTTGATTTGTCGGCCATGGTTAGAGACCAGCAGGATGGTAAGAGCTTGATCTATGACTTGATCGCGGTCGACAACCACTATGGAGGACTTGGCGGTGGGCATTACACTGCTTATGCGAAGAATTTCGTGAACAACATGTGGTATGAATTCAATGGTGAGTATTCGGATCCAGACTTCTCGTCTCGATTTGGAAACTAATGTGTGTGCAGATTCCCATGTCACCCAAAAATCCGATCCCCGGTCCGTTGTTACCAGTGCGGCGTACCTTTTGTTCTATCGCAGACGGTCGGATGACCACCCTTTAGGCGGGCCGAGGTTGCAAGAGTTGCTGGAGTCGAGCAGCCTTGGCGAAGCCGACTCTGAGCAGCCGACAGATTCGCGGGGAGCCTCACCAGTGACGGGGGAAGGTCGGCGACTCGGCGACTCCTCCCACAATGGGTTGTCGAGCGCTTACCCAGCCGGTCCAAGTCACCGCGTGGGAGCGGATGGCTCAGCAGTGGAAGAAGAAAATCAGGATCCAGGTCTACTAGCCGCAGGCGACAGTCCACCGACACTGCTCGGGCCACCAGCCGATGATGAATTGCCACCATATGAGGCGGCGATTGCAGAGGACGAAGGGATCATCATGGAAGATGGCGGACCTTTGTGGCAACAGACCTGGGGATTCGATGGGCTGCCGGCTGGTCGGCGGGTGCCTGCGCCTTCGGAGGAAGACGGCATGTTCGACGACAGAGGCAGTTCCAATGACAGTACGAGGGTAGAAGGCAATGTGGGAAGTCCCGCGCGCAGTCTGCTCGGACTGGATGATGGTGAGGGCTTGAACGATCCCATCTATAGTGAACCCATCGTGCAGGACGAGTATGGCCCGCGCAACCTACGCGAGAGTGCACCACCACCCGAGGTTCCAGGCATTGGGGAGGACGACGAAGATGATCCGCCTGTGATGGAACTCCATGCGGATCCGTCGAACAACGACGAACTGGTGTTCAATCCAGCTTCCAGATGATTGTCTGGATGCATGAAAAAGGGTCGGTGTCGCGGCGTTCGGTGAGAGGGCATTGAATGTGGTTACCTCTATTCTATCTTCACCAGGACAGCCCAAAACCTGGGCATCTGGCCATGCGGATAAAGCAAGACGATACTACGAAAGGCATTGTTAGATTGTATGGATGCCGTAATGATGACTACCTATCCATAGGAGAGGCAGCATAGGCAGCATCTGCATCGTGCATAGATCACGGAGACATGTAGAGCAAATCACTCAGGTCTGTAGGTTCCAGACGAAGAAGCTGTACAGATGTGAGCATGATGGCCGCTCACTGGTTCCGATTTTTTGTAGAGTTCCCAACCGACGCTACATGTGACAGGGCATGAGTAAAAGCAGCCCGGCATGAGGCCGAAGTGATGTAGTACTAGGAGCATGGCACTAGGATTTGCAGCAGTAGTGTATTTGAATGGTCATCAACAGTATTGGCATTACATAGGTAGCTACCGACATGGCATACGGTAGATACTAGCAGTTTCACTATTAATGTAGACTGTAGTAAATGCCACTGCATGAAGCGCCGTTGGACTCGGATGAAGTTGAAAGTTGATTTGGCCCAATCGGGGAGGCAGGGGGGCTTGGCATCTTTTGTATTGGTTGCAGCGTCGCGCGGCGGGTTGCAGTGAACTTGAAGCGCAACTTCAAGATGAATTGACTGCGACCTCAACCGGGACGAAAGCCAGTACAACTTGAAGTACTGATGAGCCATAAAGCGACGCGCCGATTCTACCTGACGCCTTTGTGATTCCTATTCGACACGTCCACTACAGCACAAACAAGAAATGCGGTTCGGTCAGCGATAGGATCTGAAGTGATTGATTGATCGCTCGATCTCGGATCTCGTTGCGCGCGTGAATCAGGGCCTGCATAATGGCAACAACCGGGTTGACCTCACGGGACGAGCCCAAGACGGCAGAGTATGCGGGAGGTATGTTATGTTGGGACGAATGAAGGTCTGGCGTTTTCGTCTCCAACTAACGTTGTACAGATGAGGTTTCGGCGTTGGTTCTCGATCCCGGATTCTCGAGCGTACGGGCCGGATTCGCAGGCGAAGACACACCGAAATCGATCGTGCCATCATTCTACGCATCAACCAGTTCGGGACGATACTTCGGCGACCATGTGATTGACGTGCCGCGCGAGGACGTGGAGATACAAAACCCGATCAACCGCGACGGAATAGTGGAGGACTGGGAGGCAGCAGAAGCTCTATGGAAATACTCGTTCGCCAGCAGCCTGACGGGGGCGCGGCCGAACAAAGCCCTAACGGAATGGCTCAACGACCCGAAATCGGTGCCGGACTTGCAAAAGGCGATGGCGGAGGCCGAGGACACGGAACGATGTCTAGAAGATCACCCATTGTTCATGACGGAACCGGCGTGGAACACTACAAAGAACCGCGAAAAGTGCGCGGAAATCGCACTCGAGTCCTGGGCCGCACCGGCGTTTTATTTGGGCAGGACGGGCGTGATGGCGGCATTCGCTGCAGGTCGGCCGAGTGCGCTTGTGATTGATTTTGGCGCGACGCAGGTGTCGGTCACTCCGGTGCATGATGGGATGGTGTTGAAAAAGGGTGTGATGCGCTCCAACATTGGCGGCAATTACTTGTCGTCGCAGGTTCGGAGCATGTTGGCGTCGCATGAACCGAATCCCATTGCCCTGACGCCGCATTACCTTGTCGCGTCGAAACAGGCCGTCGACGCGGGCCAGCCGGCTAACTTTGTGCCTCGCGTGTTTCCGCCTGGATTCCAGGCCCCGAGACCCTCGTTCCGTCGCTATCAGGAGGAGAAAGTTGTGCTGGAATTCAAAGAGATTGTGCTGCAGGCCTGGACGAATCCGAATACTCCGTTCCGCGGCCAGGGCGAGGCTTTGACTCGTGAACAACATCAGCAATATGCACATCCGTTCGAGTTTCCAGATGGATATAACCAGTCCTTTTCGACCGAGGGGTTCAGGCTGGTTGAGAGTCTGTTCGATGGCCAGTGTTATTATCCCCCGCCTGCGGGTTCGGAGGAAGAGGCTTCGCTTTACCCGGCCCCAGAACCGCAGGGTACTATTCCCGGACTGGTCAAGGCCAGCTTGGGCCAGGTGGATGTCGATATCCGGCCCTTACTGTTGGGAAATGTCGTTATTACGGGTGCTGGATCCCTTATTCGTGGTCTACCCGATCGCATTCAGCTTGAGTTGACGAAAATGTATCCGAGCGCCAGGGTTCGGATTCATGCGTCGGGTATGTCTGTCGAGCGCAAGTTTGGCAGTTGGATCGGCGGTAGCATCGTCGCCAGTTTGGGCACGTTTCATCAGATGTGGATTTCGAAAAAGGAGTACGAGGAGCACGGGGCGGGCATTGTCGAGAAGCGGTGCAAGTAGGGAGATAGAAGAACAGGAAGCCGGGGTGAGAAGGAGAAATACGAGTATCAGTCTCGTTGAGAGACTGGCATGGCCGGTCTGCAGGGATGAGATAGATGCTGAGAACAACTTTCTACTTGCATTACTACTGTAAAACTATCTGATCACGCTGATATTATACCACTGCAGCCAAGACATTGTTCTCCTGCAGACGAAAGGATGAGTGCAATGTAAGAACCAGGACATCGGGCAGTATTTCGAGCGAACACCACAGGAGAAAATGGGGGGGTGGTGATAGCTTGAGTAGTATCACTACACTGGCAGTAGATGGCTTGAACGTGGGGAATCATCGACAAAGAATACACTACAGTAGTACTTTACAACGGCCGGATTCGAAATTAACGTCGGTGGAGGTATTGAGGACTGCTGATTGGCCACTTTGGCAACTAATTGCACTAGCCACATTACAATACGGTATAAACGGTACTTATAGCCCAATAACTATTGGTCATTTTTACGCCAAGTGCTGTAAAATACGTGAAATATGCTATTAGGCTGTAAAAGATGCGACGCTAGTCTACTTCTAGTAACAGCCCCTCTGACGTTCTTTTCGAATCCGGCCATTGTACATACTGTAGTATAGCGTACATAGGTACCCTAACCGAGCGTCTTAAGAGACGGTGGGTTGGGGGCGGTGAAGGAATGGATTTATAAGACACTGCACTGCGTCGGTGCCCAAGGTGTAAAGCGCTGCGCTGCACTGGAGTGGGCGGCCACTAATAAGTTATTGTACAGCACAAACTTGCCCCGACCCGAGTCTCTGGTTCAGGCCACCTTCGCCATCCGGCCGCCACCATTTCTGCTCCAGTACTAGTAGATACCTAGGTAGTATTAGGGTAATGCTTTGTCAATTTTTATCACTGGCACTAGTATCATACGGCGTTAGACTGTACATATGGTCGCTGCAATGCAGTGGTGGGATGATTGACGGACCAGAACACCCACTGGCAAGTCTCACCAGGGCGCCGCACCGAGATAATTACCTGGTACCTACCTGGTTAAGATTGACAATGCATAAAAACCCAACAATAGTTCCAGTTCGTTGTCGACGATCGCGATATGCAGTGATCGACTGGTTGACTGTCGTTGAGTTCAAGTTCTTCACAGCACGTTGCTTGCTTGCGTGATCCATTGACGGGATTTGGGATTTTCCGTGTCCACACCACCCGCCCCGGTTTTTAGGGTTTTTCTCGTTTTCTCGTTTTCATTTTCTCCATTTTCGCACTGCAGTTGAGGGTTACTGCAGAGCAGTAGCACCACTGTACTGTAGTTGTACTATGGTGGTGATGGCAGTAGCGCTCACTTGTCTTCTCTCTCTGTCTTGCCGCCGGCCAGTGATGCGGCCATCGGCGGCTGCCCAGTGCACCAGGTCCCTGCCACGATCCCTAACACTAGCCACCACTGCAGGACTAGGATATAACTGGTATGGCTGTATGCATGTACATAGGACGTAAGTTGCCTTTGGGTCGATTCAAGTTTAGTGCAGTGCCGGCCCCTCGCTGGTCTTGTCGTTGTTGTCCGTCTCCGGGCTCATCATTATTCTCAGCCTTCTGCCGGTTTCCGTTCCCTCGGGTCCAGGTCCTGTCATTTCGGTCACTGTCACTCCAGTTGCATTCAGCACTACTTACTACTAGTTGTAGTATAGTAATATTCTACTACCAGTGGTAGTAGTGCTGTGTCCGTGTTCAGCTGCCCACTGGCTGTGGGTAGTAGTAGTGTGTGTGGTACCGCGAGTGGGCTTCCTTTCCAGTCCGAGTCTCGATATCTTGACTCTCGGGTCCTGACTACACCACATCCCACCCACCACTACTGAACCACCACCACCTCAATCCATTTCTTCTTCGACTTTTACCCTCCGAGTCTACTACTACTCACTTACACCAAACCTGTCTACTATATCTACGGTGCGAAGGACTGTACGGCTGCACCGATTCTACCCTGACCGCCCCCCTTCGGCTCGCTCCAACCCGACGGAACCCTTCTTCCTGATCGCCACCACTGCACCCCCATCCCGCTTCCACTTGCACACCTTTTTTCTCTCACACCTACATTTTCATTTCTACACCCAAAGATTCAACCTTGCGGCGATCGGTGAACAGACCAGGTGGATTACATCTGTCTGCTCTAGCCGCCTAACCTCAAACAACTAAACCCACTGGATTTCTGTCTCCAAGGAGTGTAGCACCACCAGCTGCCGCCGTCAATCTGCCCTCCACTCTTTCGCAGCGCTTCAAGATTCCAATTTCAAGTTCTTCAATGCTCTTCTTCAACATCGCTAGCCACGACCACGAGCAGGAACAGGACTAGTTTTAACGAGCCATTATTCACTATCGCCAGCAGCTTCTAATTCCAAGCCCTTCGCTTCCCCACCATGTCCGGCTCAGTCACCCCCGTCCCCGACTGCAACCGCACCATCCTGACCGTCGACTCTCCACTGGTACCAGACTCGGATTCAACACACTCGTCAGAAGAAGATGTGGACAAATACGACACGCGGTCTCTAACATCCAGCATCACCGACTACCCAATGTACTGGGGCCGACGGTACCACCGATACAAGGACGGCTCATATCTTTTCCCCAACGACGAGAACGAAAACAACCGACTCGACGCACAACACGAGATCCTAAACCAACTACACGGCCGACTATACTTTGCGCCACTGGATCCGGAAATTGTGCGGACGGTGCTCGATCTCGGCACAGGGACGGGCATCTGGCCCATCGAGCTGGCCGACTCAGGCTTTTTGCCGCACGCCACCATCACGGGAACCGACCTGTCGGCCGTGCAGCCGCTCGAGGTTCCCGAGAACGTCCATTTCGAAATACAGGACTGCTCCGAAGAAGACTGGGTGCGACCCTACGGCAGCGTGGATTATTGTCATGTGCGATTCATGGCCGGATCACTGACTTCGTACGAGGACCTGATCCGCAACGCGCGCAAATACCTGCGTCCTGGCACCGGATGGCTCGAGTGCCAGGAACTACATCCTTCGCCCGTCTCGGACGACAACACCATCCCCGAAGACTGGGGATTGAAGGTGTGGGACGAACATCTGGAGTATGCTGCCAACCAGTCCCTGTACCCTGCTCGTCCTGTTCGTATCGCCGCAGACATCAAGACATGGATGGAAGAGGCTGGTTATGTTGATATTCATGAACATATCTCCAAAATCCCGCTGGGTCCCTGGCCCCGTGATAAAAGACTAAAGAGAATCGGTGGCTGGTGGTTGAATAACTGGCTGGCTGGCTTGCAGGGGTTCACGTACAAGTTGTTCAGTACCGAAGGCCTTAGATGGTCTCGTGAGGAAATCGAGGTCATGTTGGCAGACGTCCGCAAGGCCGCGACTATGAAGGACGTCCATCCTTATCAGCGACATTATGTCGTCTATGGGAGGAGACCTTCGCCTGAAGAGGAGCAGAGGATGTTGGCAAGGGGAAGGGGGTTGAGTTGAGTTTTGAGCCAAGGGTTTGACATTTTAAAATCACAACAACGCCCCAGGAACGGAACCGGGAGACGACTCCAGACCAGGACCAAAGGGGTCCTTTTCCAAACCTGTGGCGGGACAGGGCGGAATCGTCATCTTTTGAGATTCTCAAAAATGATCAAAGTTTGATCGAGTCGAGTCCAAATGGACCGCACCCCGTCGACGCCCACATCTGCATGTTCCCCCCGTCGGCCACGCCACGCCACGCCACTTCAGGCCTGCAGGAAGACCATATCTACTTGTGCAACATCACGCCCAGAAAGAAAGAGACAATTGATTTCCTCAACCGTCCAATTGAGGACCGGACTGGACTCGACACGTTTATTCACACACGGAACAGAGGCACTTCCAATAGCACAGGGTCGATTTTTTTCATGGGTCATGGTCATGGTTATGAGGACGACTACGATGATGACCACTGCATGGTTGTGACTCTGACTGTGACTATGTCACGCTACTACGATACTCGCACACCACAGCTGCCATCCATACCTACCGTTGCGGTCGTTGGGTAACGGACTGGCTTGGCGAGTCTGCGGTCGTTGAATCTTCTGGCGTTCTCAGATGATCATCTCTCTCATCAGACGCAGAGGCAGAGGGTGGCTTAGTTGGTGGGAAGCGAAGCGACGGCAACAACAAGAGCAACCCCTGACGGATGTCTCTGACACCCCAGCAGCATGAGAATCACACTCGAAGGTGAGGAGGGAGCAAAAGAACTGGACTCTTCAGAGCAGCCCAAAGACCAAGACCAAGACGTAACATCCACAATATATACAATACAACTCCCCCCTTCCGAAATCCTGGCCAATCTAGTCTATTGGGACAGAGGCAAAGACAAACCCCAAAACCACATGACAGGTCGGATCCGAACCATCCACAGTATATCAGTATATCAGGCCCACGAGGTTCTTCTGGCTGATTGGAAATACATATCCTTAAGAACCCCTTTTCACAGAAATCGAATTTACATTACATTACTTGCAGTATTGATTCTTTTCAATTTTGCAGCAAACAAACGGCCAACTCCAATAGACTGAAAGTTGCCGTTAAAGAGTACTCACTCTACTACCGTACTTATGAAGGATCCTTAACGCTATGCATTAAAGCCAGACGGCCTGCCAGTTGCAAGACATAACTGCCATGCCAACTCAATTCAAAAAAGAAAAAAAGGCGGAATAGAGAGCATCACATTAATTATTGGATTTAGGTCAGAACTCGTTAGTTCTGCTCTTCCTCTGTTCTGTTCTGTTCTGCTCTCGCTATGCTCTCCTATGCACTCCAAGAGCACCACTGCCTGTTAACACCGTAGCAGTCACAGTCGCCGTCACAGATACAACTCCTTGCGAGAGACCACAGAAACACTAGTACGAGTAGTCCACTCTCCCTCTAGCTCGCCTGAAATAATTTGTTCACAAAAGCCAAGCTCCCGGTATCTGCACCTGTACCTGTCGATGAATGATACGCCACAGCGCCATGCAATTGTATCCTTTTTGAAAAAACCAGCACAACAAAAAGAAAAAGACCTCTCCGGCAATATTAAGAGAATGGTCCCGAAAACTCGATCGTCGTCTATACAGCCCATACACAGCCAAATGAAAATGAAAAGCCAGCACCGTCCGGGTATCAAGCTGGAATAGTAGAAGAAAGCAAAAAACAGCAAAAAGAGAAAGACAATTCCATCCATCCATTGCTCCATGTCGATTAATCTCCAGGGAAACATGGAACAGGGCCGGCCGTCAGCAATTTTTTCCGTAACATTATTCGTGGGGATCGTGGCTTCATTTCCATCCGCAGACCAGAAAAAAATTCTGTCCTTTCATCGCTATCACACCGTAGGTGCAGCTGGTTGCTTGGAACCAAGATGGCCCAACAGTGCTTCTGGAGGTACACGATGAATGTTGGAATTCTTGTCCGCATATGGCACGCTCGGTACGGTCTTGTAACCCGCTCGTCGGCGTTGGATGCGGTTCAGTATGATGCCGAGTAATATGATCAGGAATATCGTGCCCAGGGCTGCACATAAAGCAACCAGGACAGCGATGCCTCTGGAATGGCCACGATCTGTAGAACTTATTAGTAGCTGCAACATGAATAGATCTCATAATAAACTTACGACTTGATTTGAGGTTGTTGGTCTTCGATGTAAAGACTTGGCTGATACTCCCCGGATCGCCATTCAAGGTGGAAGCAAGGATCAAAGGCGCCATAGTGGTACCGTTGAACAAGGCTGCAGCTGCATTGCCGAACCCACTAATGTTCAGTTGACCTGTCACCAGCAAGGCCTGATCATTATCCATGAAATCTGTTGATTTGTGGTCCTTGGTTAAAGGCATGACTTGCAACCCCTGAATAGTAGTACCAGTGCCGAAGGCGTCCACAACTGGTCGATTATTGTCTCCGTCAATCTCAACCAAGAATGTCGAGCCATTGTTGGCTGTACCTGCTACCCACATATGGTCTGCATTGTCTGTGGCAGGGGCAAAGGCTGAGACTGGCCCGGGAATGACAGGATTCGAGGTGGCAGTCCACATCTGGCTTTTCGTGTCGTAAGAGGCCAAGGATGTCTGGTTGTTTGCTACCGTCAAATTTCCTGCCGCTAGCAGAGTGGTTTTGGAAGTCCAGAACAAAGCAGACACCGTTCCGTCCAACTCCGTCCCGACAGTGTTCCATTGGCTGGTAGCAGTGTCATACATGCACACGCAAGGACATGGAAGGCCCTGCGAAGTCTGGTCAAAGGCGCCACCAACGTACACGGCAGACGTGCCTGATTTTGGTACAAGCGCATTGACCACAACGTCGGGCCCCTGCAATGATGCAGGTTGGATGGTTCGAAATGCTGCGGTGGTCATATCGTACAGAGCCAACCCATTAATATTAGCGTTGCCGACATGACCTGTAATGCGGCCTCCAGCGAATAGCAAATCTCCTGAAAGGACCATGGTCATTATGGTAGAGTTGGAGTCCAGGCCTTCGGGCGCACCCGTAACGAGGTTGTTGTTAGATCCGTTGAGGAACATAAGGTTGTTGATGGTTGACCCGTTCGTCCCAGTAGCTGTAAAATGACCGCCAAATATGGTGACATTTTGATCATGGCCGCTGTAATACGCTCCGCTGTTGACACCAGCCACGGTTCCTGTCGTTGCCACCGCGCGTTTTCTCGAAGAAGTCGACCCAGAGCTTGATGTAGTATCAATATCAATCGGTAACTGTTGCAGGGTGACCTGGCCCGACTGAGAACGCATACCAGCGGCCCCGCTCATGGCTAATCCAAGGGAGCCGAGTGTTCCAGCCCCGAGCCAAGTATTGTTCGGCAAAAACGTCGCCGCAAAGAGTTGACCGGCTAGGGCTTCCTTCTGAATCTTCAGAGTCTGAATCCATGCGTTTTTCGAAGGCACCCAGATTGCCAAACCATTTGCTCGCTCTGCAGAGTCCGAACCCGACTGCAGGATTTGAGTAAAAGAGCCAGAGAAAGCGATGACTGTTTCGGTGTTTTGGGAGATGTTCATCATCAGGGGTACAACTGCCTCCACCGGACCATCCAGTCCTGCGCCCAGCGGAACCCATGCGTTTTTCGAGTACTGATATGCCGCAACGTTGTTCAAACCATTCAAGCCGCCTTTATTGGTACCTGTAAAGTTGCCGCCGACATAGAGGAAATCGTCCATGGTGTAGAGTGATGTCACGGGTGCATTGAGGCCGCCGCCAGGCAGCGAGGTCGCATTTCCGTTTTGAAAGGCCATGATATTCTCGAAAAGGTCGTCGGAGAATCGGCCGGCAGCATAGATGGTATCATTCTGAGTGGTCAATGCCAGGACATGAGCGTTCGCATGCAGTTCTGTGCCGGCGTTGTTGATTGCAGATTGGGTAAAATCCATGTCGACAAAGTCACTCTTCGGATCATAGTCAAACAGGCCATTGAGACCCCCTGTGGATGAGATGAGTCCAAATCGGACGCGCGACGCAACTATTAGCTGGTCCGTCTGCAGTCCGGATGGAATGATTGTTACCGACGGTCGGAAGGTATCGCTGGTTGCATCGACATGTCCTTGATAAACCTGGTCATACTTGTCGAAATTGTTCGTCTGGAACAGCTGTGTATTGAATGCTTGATTTCCATCCTCTGTCAGTGTCCCCGTGACGTTGACAATTGCGCGCGCGGAGCAAGAACTGTCTTGTATACATCCAGGAGTGTAAACAATGATCGAATAATTTCCGCCTTTCGGTACGTCCGGTTCGAAAACGATCGACGTCGAGTTGACCGTGGTTGGTCCCACAACTGCGGTGAGGTAATCGGCGACACTTTGCCTTGAAGGGGTAGTGTACCACGGACCAGTTGCGGTAGCTTCGGAGCGAAGCGCCGAAGTTTCGCAGCTCGGTTCATTGAACGCTTCAATAGCATATGCGAAGATGTCGCTCTGGAACAATTCGATCCCGTCAAAACCAGCTCCGGCCCCATACCATTCCGAAACATCAATGGTGAAGCTGTTCATGCCGACCCGGTTGACAAAATAGAAGTCCTGGTACGGTTGGGATGCATTCTGCGCCAGTGGACATCTGGCATCGCAATGGGCTGTATTGCCAGTCTCGGGGTCGGTGTATGTAAAGTTCATGATTCCGTTGATGGGAAGAGCTGTGAACCGCCATGTTCGAATTCCACGTCCATCTGAGTTCGCGTTCCATAATCGCAGTTTGGTGGGTTCGAATCCGTATGCCAGCTCGGCACGCCAGGAACCTGCTGTGTTGTCGGCGAACAAGAACGTCGAGTTTCCGTCGGTACTGTTTGAGGGACAAACAACGTTTCTTGGGTCACCCAAGCCAGCTGTGGTTGTATTGCCTTCTGCGGAAATACTGGCGCTTGCAAGGTTAATGACCTGCACCTGTGAATTAAGTAAAGAGCTGGAAGAGACGTTGCCCAGACCGGTAAATGACCCTCCAAAGACAATATGTCCATTGGGAGCCTTTGTGATCGAGGTCACTGGGGCGTCAAAACCTGCAAATGGGAGGCTTGACCAGCTGCCAGACTTGTATGCGATGGCATTCGTGTTGTTTCCAGCTTCAAAAGCGCCTCCCACATAGACTGTTTCCGTCTCCTTGTCACAATAAAGTGCAGAAACCGTGCCTTCAAGCCCTGAAAGAGCCTCAATCTTCCGTGTCGTCACATTCAACATGGCACAAGATCGCGCAGCGACACCTCCAATACTGGTGAAATTCCCTCCTACAACAAGCCCTGAGATTGTGCCATCCTGTAGCACGAGCGGACACATGGCCTGTATGCTGGCGTCTGTTGACCAGAGGTGATCGTAGGCCCCCGTGGGTAACTGCGACAAGATCGACTGGGTGCCATTACTGCTGTATCCTTGCTGCTGCCCCACCGACGAATAGACTGAGATGGCGTCAAAGTTGCCTGCGAGTGTGACATCGCCGAGGGAGTTGAGATCTAGATTAGGTGCAGGTACTGTCTGAGATACTCCTTGCGTTGCGAGCCATATTAAAGCGGTCGACACCCGCAGGTCGAACCGCGACAACAGATGCATGATAATATGCGTCTGCGCCGCAGCGACGGACGAGAAGTTGTTGTCACTGTCTCAATATTTGTAGAGGCATGAGGTAGTAGAGGGACAATTGGTTCGGTCAATGGTGGTCGACGGCCGTTCGGAGGCTTCTAAAACAGGATTCGAAGGATTGAGGGCTGGGTGCGGCGCGGCAGATTTTGGGAGGATGACGGATTACGCGTGAGGGTTGAGTGCGTTTCTATGCGCAGGGATCCGTTGAAACGATTCCCGGACTAGAGTGAGTAGAGAGGATGTGTTGATGCTACCGACCCCTAGGAATGTATGTGTCGAGGTCGGAAGGTGACTAGAGTATGGTTGCGAACGACGAACAAGAAAGAGCGACAGTCGTTCAGAAGTGACGGGAATCCAAGGTCCAAGTGAAGATCCGGAGAAGGAAGGGAAGCAGGACGCTCGCAGGAACTGGAACTGGAACTGGAACTGCTTGGTGACGAAGGAGATTGTCCGTAGCGTAGCGGGAAGAGGAGAGCAGTCAAGCTTGCAGGCGAGAGTTCAAGTTTGGTGTGGCTTGCAGGGCATGTCAACGCAGGCTGCGCGTGGTAGAGAAGCGGTCCAGCACCGGTACCAACTGGAACTACAGAACCACAGAACCACCGCAGTCTACAACTACTAAAGTCGTGCTAGACTCACCTTGTGATGAGCATCTGAGATCTGCTGCAAAAACAAGACTCGTCCATGTTTGTCGACATCCACACCGGGCCCCAACTTGCACCCCGTCAAGCCAACCATGCACCATCGTCGACAGCCATCACGGGCATTGGACAGCTTCCCATGCCCATGACAGACTCAGGAACAATCAGGCTCTTGCGGGCCAAAGCTCTCAGACCGTCGGTGTCATTCCATCCTTGTCCCCCCGGTTGCAAATCCACCTTCCACGCCTGGTTGCTAGAGAGGCCGCTCGTGTCATCCAGTCAACAGTCAGGAATGACCCCCCGACGCCAATCTTATGCCCTCCACCACCCCCTTGTACCACCAATGGCCGTCCAGAAGCACCATTTGATCCCAGTTGCTCAGAGATCAATTCCGAAGCAGTTGGACAACGAACGGCCACGGAATCTTCTACACATCTCACAGAAGAAATCAACCATCTCACAGATGAGATTCACAATGGCACAGCTTATGTCTGTGGTTGCAAAATGAATTGTCCACCACCCAACAAGGCGCCGGGACCGCTAGGGCAAGACGAAGTTTGACACAGCCCGTGTGCAATTTCCCGATAGGAGACGGTTGCCCGCCCATGCCCACCAAGCTTTACCAGTGGCTGGCAGCTTGAAGACTCCAGCACAGTAGGAGACAGCATACCAGGCACTTCAGACGGAAGACTGCATCATCGAATTTAACAACGACGCGAATTGTCGTATCGACGGTAGGGTGCATCACCACCATTCAACTATGTAGGTCTTGGGCAGCAGTTTATCAACCATTTGGCTTTCTGTTCCGATCTTCAATCGCCCGCTTTGTTGTGTCGATTTTCAGCGCAAAATAGTCCACTTATCAACACAATCGGATCGAAGACTAGAACGCACATGATGTGTGCCTAGCACAAGCCTCTCCTTTTCCGCAACATCAAACAATGTTAAAAGTGTTGCAGTTGACAGCAGTCGAGGCCGTCAGGATTCAGGGGTGTTGAATTGGACCGGCACTTGCCCTCAACTGACACCAACGCGCCCACAATTTCGGCGTAGTACACTACAATCGTTCCTAGCCTCGTATGATATCGTGGCATTGGAGCCTCCACAGTAAAATGAACATTTTCTTCTGAAACGCGCTGCAACGCGTAGTCCAATGATGCTTGACGAGGCACAGCCTCGTTCTTCCTGGTCGCAATGGGGCTATTCGTGTTTTATGATATTTCAAACGGCCGTTTCGCATCGCATGTGCCTTCGTCTCTTCGTTTCATCTCATGAGTTACAATAGTTATACACCTCGTCGTCGCCGTTTGACCCGCTCGCTACTCGTCACAGCCATCTCCTCGACCTCTACGACTGTTTTCTTCGGTTCATCCTGCTCGAACTCCCGCTTCACTGCCACTCGCTGTACGGCCTTCTTCTCTTTGGGGCCGCCGCGAGGCTCAAGCTTTGGAGTCTGTGTTTTTTCTTCATTCGCATCGTCGACGCTCCGTTCAACCTTGGTCGTCAACCGTTCCGCAAACGTCCTCAGATCAGCAGTGAATAAGACACTGTGCGCCCAGCCGGCCTCTTTGCCCCATAACTTGCGGAAATGGTTGGCCACAGCATCATACGTGGCCTTTGTGAGACTGCTATGCTTCCCCCGACCGAACTTGTAGTCCCGCTGCGCTATCTGCCAGACATGAGTATCCACCGGCACGGCCTCTCCCCAGCCCAAGCCCATGAGACATACACAGTCCGCGACCTTGGGGCCGACGCCCTGTAACTCGAGCAATTTCTCATGAGCTTCGCGATACCCGTCGCGACCTTCGGGCTTGACTTCCCCTCCAGGTGACGCCTTGCGACCATAGGCCGGACTTTCCGGGTTGCGTAGCCCATCGAGCCAGCCCTGTTCACGCTCGTTGGCCACAATTTGGGCCGTTCGAGAAATGTATTTTGCCCGATACCCGAATCCCAGTTCTCTTAGATGTGTTTCGACATTCTTGCCCGCCAGCGCAGACGGGTCCGGGAAATCATGGTACGCTCGGCCGTCCAGCGTACCGATGTATTTGCCATAATGTGTGCATAGTTTGTCCACCATCTGTGATATGCGGATGATGTTGTTGTTGCTGCTGCAGATGAACCCGATCAGAGCTTCCCAGGCGTCTTGCCGCAAGATCCTCACACCCGTGAACTTGGGTGCTTTCTTCTTGAAGTTTGCGTCCGATGCCGACCATTGTGCGTACAGCGTTTCGAGATTCGGTTCGAGGTTCAGATAGTGCATGATCAAGCTCTTGGTGTCGTCGAGTTCGGCGGTCTCGGGGTCATCGTGGGCTGCGCTGGGTGGAATGGACGATGGAGGAGTTGGAGGCGTCTCGATGGCTGCGGGCCATATTGATCGGTAGTGTAAATGCGAAGTGTCCTGTGACAATTGTACAATGCGCCCTCGAAGTGTGCAGGCCCAGGTTTGGTCGTCGCATTGCCGCCAGCGAAAGGACTGCCCGCAGCGGAGGGTGGTCGCAATGCAAAGTTCGTTTAATGACACGGGGATTTTACGCCAGTCCGTGATCTTGGTCATTTTCAAGTTCTGGCCTTCTTGCTGGTCGTTCTCCTTTTTTCGCAATCATCCGTCGATTCGCAAATGTATTAGAAATGCGAAATGCCCCCTCCCGGAAAAGCCACCAACAGCCCTTGCGAGGTGTTTGTCGAACGTCCCACCGTCCATGCCATCCCTTTTGCTCCACGATTCACATAGCAGCGGCACTAGTCCAAACTAGGATTCGAACGCGAAACGCGTCCGCGTAGTGACGCGTAAAGTGGATTCTAAACAACTGGCATTCCCAGATTTTGGTCTTGCTGCTTACCGGCGCCTACACCGTCGATACCACGACGCTTGTACAGTAGCGACTACGAACAGTACCTGTGCAGCGGACTAGTAGTATAACCAGCTATTCTTTAAGATCCTACACGGTTTAAACATCCATTGATAGAACGACTATCCCACTTTTACAAATCTGCAACCTGGTGTAATTTAACAAAGTCTGTATCTGCTAAACCGCATCTATCTTTTTCACTTTTCCAGTCCTCGTCGTTGTATGGCATCACCATTTTGGTCTTTGAAGGAGATCTAAAGTCAACCCACAAGAAGTCTGCAACCAACACTATTCGCTTCAGGCTCAAGCCGCTGAGTGCTTTTCCAACTTCGACTGCCTAAAAGCTGCCGCTGCCTCCCTTCCTGTCAGGACAGCATCACCGTGATACACAACGTTCTCATCAAGAACCGTATTGCTGAAGACGAGATATTCGTGTCTCCCCTTGAAAATCCAGTAAGCACCCGCAAGCAGTACGACCCCACCGAGGATGGCTATGGCCCAATTCATGTTCTCGATTGCGCCAGCGACTGGCACATATTGCGGGAAGATGTAAAACAGGAGGACGACGATGCTCCACAGTAAGGAGGCAATGTTGATCGCATAGCCCCATCGGCCAAGGTCGAAATGCGGGCGAGGAGGTAGGTGCTGTCGGCCCTTCAATACAACGCACAGGATTGGGACACAGTAGGATATCTGCAAGGTCACGCCACCGCCTGAGATGATTGCATAGAAGGCTAGATTGCTTCCGAGCACGAGCAGACCAACGAGGAAGTTGACGACCAGGAATGCCATCATGCTGCGTAGGGGCATCATGAAGTGGCTGTTGACCTGTGCGAAGTAATCAGAGAACGGAAAGGCGCGATCGCGAGCCATGGACCAAATGAGTCGAGAACCAGCAGAGTTTATGTTGACGATGATCAGATACTATGACTTGTAAGTATTCATCCTGTAAAACGGCTCTTGACTTACGTTGAGGCCCATCATCATGACTGCAACCCAGATACCACCACCGTACGTCGAGTCCACAACGTCCATGAACCATGCCTGTGATACAGTCAAAATTTCGGGGCTGTAGTTCGAATGGCCGACCAGCACTTACCACATAGGAAGAAGTGGCTTGCAAGTAGTCTTCCCAATTAGGTCCTACTGTGTAACACATGACAATCATTGACAACCAGGCGGTCACACCAGCCCAGAGCATCGACCACATCATGACGCGCTTTTCCCCGTCAGCACATATAGAGACATCTCAAGTGCACACCTACAGGAGCATCTCGTGAAGCATTCTTCATTTCTTCCGCCACTAAGGCTGGTCAGCTCTTTGTCAATGATGTTGAATCGCCTTCGCTTACAGTGCATCACGCCATCGGTGCCATAGAGACCGTAAATGGGAACGTACATGCTGAGTATAAAGACCCAGCCTTTGGGCGACCAGCCTGAGGTGTTAAGGAACTCGGTAAAGACAAACTTCGAGCTGTTTTTGTCAGCCATGACGAGGAAGACGATGGCCCACGTCAGCGCATTGGAAAGGTTGAAGAATGAGCCAAATAATTGCAACTTCGGAAGATACTTCGGCGCCAAGTTGGTCACTGCTGGTGCGATCAGAAACCCAGTGTAAATAAGCCATGTCATCCAAGCCTGATGGGATTAGTGAGCGAACTCATGGCAATAATACCGCGAAAGTTTCTTACATGCCAATGAACCTCTGGGTGCATGATCTCGACCAGTGCGGCCACAATCTCGGCGCTGTTCAGGGCACAACTGCTGGTTGTTGAGATCTCGCCCACCAGCACGCACCAACCAACAAAGTAAGACAGGAACCGGCGGTATCTTTCTGGTGCGACGATCTGCTCCAGATCAGTCATTGTTGTATCGCAGACAAGAAGAGATTCACCTGTGTATAGAATTGTTGGCCACCAGCAGTGGGCCATAGGGAACAGTATTCGGCAAGCGAAGCCATGACCAAGAGTTGGCCGAGCGTGACCACGACACTTTAACCAGTCCTTCATATCAGTAATTGCTCTGGATAGACTTGACCTCATTGCATGGACACTTACGTTCCCCAGACTAGACACACAGGACCACCCAAAGTGAAGATGTAAGCAAACATGACGATGTTGCAACTCCACGAACACAGGATTGTTGTTTGGTATGCCATTACTATGGGGGTCAACTTCAGCCTCGTGACGATATCGAAGATGACTGGTCCTTACAGCTCCAGAAAGTATAGGTTCGCTTGAGCTCCGGCTTGACGCCGAGGCTGATGAGCGTCTGTTCATCGCTGTTGACACTACCTGTGTCCTGCTTGTCGGTCTCCATGTCTGCCTTCGAACACGGTTTACCAGCATCAAATATCAAGACTTCACGCTGAGGGAAACCCAGGAGAGTTGTCGTCCCACATGAAGTGTGCAATTGCGACTTTTCTTGCAAGAAATACTGTTCCACTTCAAAAATACTCTGGAGGATACAGGAGAGAGAATTCTCTCCCCCCAAAGATAAACAACGTCGAATCTTTGCTGAATCTCAATCTTGCTACCTAAGACGGATTAGTAGATTCTGGTTAGCATAGCTTGTAACCACCCCACTTTGTGCCAGGTCTAGGTGTCGCATTTCCACATTGCATGATTCGTGCACAAGGAATTGATTGGAGCCACGAAAGGAACAACGCCACGGTAGCTCGTGTGGTATCCGCCTCCAACGGTATAGGTGACCAGGTATTCGAGCCGGGGACCCGACTTGGGAGCCAGCACGCTGCGGGGAAGTCCAGATAAAGCAAATCAGCGCCTGATGCCTCTCATTTGACAGGCCGTGGTCGAGCCCCTTGCCTGACCCTGCATTGGACGGCGTGTTTAGCACCAGCGGCTTTACCCGGCTTCTCTTCCTCCTGGCTGCTATGTCGAGCCGAAGCCTTGCCGTGATGATGTGCACCTCTTGTTACAGACCACGACGGAGCCTGAGTCAGTTGATTCATGTCGCATGCTGATCACTACTGCAAGTGAGGGATTCTGGAAGGCTGAACGCAAGACGTACAGTTGTAGCGTGTGTTGTACATTATTAGCCATGCTTCTCTTGGGTAGAACCACTCCACTTTTCCCTTTGTCTTTATGGTCCCCAGTAGTGGTGGTGTGGATCGCCCAGGCTCTGCCAATTGAGGCACAGAAAGACTTGAGCGAGGCTATAAGGGTCCAATTTTGGCCTGTTCTCTGGGCAATGAACGATGACCATCGTGGCCGGTGGGATTTCGTGTTCCTGTCACCCAAGGTAGTCTGTCAAAGGGACTAGCTTAACTGAGCCATGGTGAACAGCGCTCGCCATCTGTAGCCGGGTGATTCTGTACATTGTACGACGAGCATCGGGTTCTAGATGTTTGCAGATAGCTAGGTACCTGGGTACCTAACTTTCCACTCTGGTTCCCCGTTTTTGCTGGCGACCGCGACCTCGCTTGCAAGTAGCCGCAGGGGCTGGTCCCGTGACCGCCTTCAAGTTGACCGCCCATATCCGGTCACGTGTGTCTCTCTCCCAATCACGTGGCAGGCAATTCCTAGGTCCAGGTCCTGCCGAGCATGACTCGGATAAGACGATAAGCCTTGTCCGGACTCGCCCTTCAAGTTCCTCTTCACACTGAAACACAACTCCCAACCTGAACTCTCATTCCCTCCACGAGGATACGTTAGTGGGACTTGGTACACTGCCAAATCATGCACGAAGGGTCTTGTCGTCCGCGGCCCGAAAAGCACAGTTCTAGGGAATGTAACCACTATCTCAGGATGAATGTCAGCCTTGTGCAATAATAGCACCTACTCGGCAACATGGCGGCTGCTCCGCCAGCGCAAACTCAACTCGGTGCGGACACAAAGGCTCCTCCGCCAGGGCCAACCGGTACCGGGCCACAAGGTGCACCTTTGCAATCTCCTCCCACGAGGATTTTACCCTTATTGTGCCCATCAGGCTGACTATATAGAAGACTGTCCTACTTGTGTCCGCCGGAGGATACGCTGCGACCGTTCACTTCCAAAATGCATCAAATGTGCCAAAAAAGGCCTAACCTGCCCGGGCTACGGACCTCGACTGAGATGGGCCAATGGCATTGCTGTTCGTGGCCATCTCAAAGGTCGGACGACGCCACAAATTGACAAGCCGGTGAAAGCCAGTACTTCCTCTAGCCGCTCTATCTCACCGAAACCCGCCAAGTTATCAGAAACCGAAAGCAACCTCAGCCCGTTGAACTCCATCGTTGATCCCGTAGAAAATCTCTTCCCCGGCTTCCCTGACCCGGCGACCAGGGCTCGCCTCCTAGACCATTACGACAAGAACATAGCTGGACTTATGGTCTGGATAGACTCAGACAAGAATGAGTACCGGCGTCTAGTCCTTCCCCTGGCCAATCGCCAACCAGTGCTACTGCTCGCTATCCTCGCGGTCTCTGCACAGCATCTCGCAGTCACAGCTAACATTGAATCCGACTTCTCAGCTCGCGCCCGTGATGCAGCCGTCATGATGATATCAACCCAGATCCGCCAGGTCACCGGCTGCCTTGCGGCTGGGTACGATCTGGCAAGTCAAATTGACGTTGATACCGCTGTCTGGATGCTTGCCTCGATGCTGACGCTTGCAAATTATGAGATGGCGGAGTCAGAATCAGGGGCCATAGGGGCGGACTCGCATCGGCAGGCCGCTCGAACCTTGGTAAATGCTCTTGAAACCACGAAGCGCGACAACAACGACCTGTTCAATTTCCTCCGAAATCAGCTGTCAATCTACGACATTCTGGCCTCCACCACCGCCTTCGATCCGAGGGGCATGGGGGAAGCAATCCTGCCGGTGCCGGATCATTCTAACCATGTTTTCTCGGAGTACCTGTCGCTGCTCCAGCATGTCACAGTGACCTTTCGCCAAGGCTTTGAAAGGAGACCCTCTGCCTCGTCTAATGTTTCCGAGCTACCATTGTCGCCCGCTGAGGTTCGCTCTCGATTCGAACTAGCTCGAGGGTCGACTTTGATGGCTGCTGGCTTGCTTGGACTGCGCCATGATGCCAGACGACGGGATTTCATCATGATTGTGGATATATATCATCATGCCGCGTTGCTTTATACTTACAGATGCCTCTTCCAGGGACGCGTTGATCCCAGTGACTTGGCCTCTTCTGCCACTGCGCTGTTTGAGCGATTGAGCCAACTCGAAGACCTCGACGGTTGTAGGCAAAACTTGCCATGGCCGACATTCATCGCAGGAACTGAATGTAAAGGCAGACCAGAAAGAGAAATGTTCGTTGCCAACATGTATGAAGACATCGCCAAACACATGGGATTCAAGCACTATCTGGAGGTGCATCATTTCTTGAAGGATTTCTGGTCGTCCAGTCATTTCGACTGGTTCGAGATGGCGCGCAGCTACAGCGAGAATGGAAAGCCGATTCTCGCAGTCTGAAATGTCTGACCTGAACGAGCGATAAGCTGAAGGTGGCTGGCTTCCTCACATACCTTACAGGCATTTAGCCGGCATCAGTTGGTGCGTCTGGGCCAACTACTGCAGTGACTCCATTGCGAGCACTGGGCATAGGTCAAGGTTTCAGGACTCGCGGCTGGCATACAGGCAACAAATTTCGCATGTGTTTTCGTGGACTGGGATTGTCTCCATGCCAGGGTTGCATGGGACTTACCTTGTGACCAGATGATTAAGGCACCGGTTTCGGCAGACGGCCGCGTCTGTTTTTGGCCTGCTCCTCACTCTAGGGAGCTTTCCCTGTCGACATCACGACGTTGGAAGGATTAAGCTGTTCCAGCACATCACTTGGCCATCGCCCTGTGGTCTGCAGTGTCGACCTCGTGTCTCTTTATATATCCCGAAGAGCCAACCACCCCGGTCTGGGTTCAACTGCACGGGCTGCCGGAGGAAGCGTCGCTGTCCGGACCACCGCCGCTAGTTCGGCTTGGTCTAGGTGGTAGTTCTGTACGGGGCAAAATAACTGCAATCGTTTCAAGGAGGGGAGCGCCGTCTTTTAGACATGAAGTGACCGACCTTAGCAATTCGAGAGGAGACTGAAAATGCAAACGTCTTGGATAGAATGAGGGGATTTACATAACGATTACTACTTCGTGTACTACAACATTGTAACTTGAAGTATATAATATTCGGAGACGGGGAGGCTGAAAGGCTACCTTCGGCCATCCAATCAGGCTGCCAGAAATGCGCAAGGCTATACCTCAACAAGGTAATCGGAAGAGAACCTCGGCAGAGAACGATCGCTTGTGGTCCCCCACTGGCACGAGGTGGACATCATACCAGCCGCTTGGTAAGTGGCGACAGTAATAATGATGCCCGACTGCTTCATTCGGCTCATGGAAGGAGAATTGCTGGACGCCCGGTGGATATCACCACTCCATCAAACTTTGGATCGTCGACACGTTCGCAGCGGTGCTATTTTACCCCTCGGAAATGCGGTTCCTCCGTCAGCAACTAATCAACAACAGTCGTTATCTGTCTCCACATCGACTGGCCAGAGTGGACGGGTTCAGGCAGTTGTCAAACCCTTCATGGACAAGATACTAACTGTGCAGAAGCCGAGATACGAGTTGTTACAGTGACTATTCACGCCACCGACCAACACGAGCAGGGCTTTTCTTCTTACCAACCCATCTGGCCTTCCATGACTACGAACGAAAGACGAGATCTATCCCGCCTTGACAGGAATTAAAATACAGGTTTCAAGACACCCGTTCTGCGACTGATGTAACAACATACGACGCGGCAATCATAACCGTGCCGATACCATGGTTCTCAATAAGCATTTCCACCAACCGCCCGTGATGCACCCTAAGAAACGGCCAGATATTACGCAAAGAAATGTCGATTCTTTATTCCAGTCTCCAGAGTTCCAAGATGCGGTCGCGCGGCGTCTGGCAGGAGCTGTCCAGATCCCTACGGTGACTTATGACAGCATGGAGTCGGTGGGCAAAGATCCCCGGTGGGAGATCTTCTACAAGTTCTCCGACTATATCAAGGAGACGTTTCCAAGAGTGTAGGTGATAATATAGCTGTCAACCCTGCGACATCGACTAACAGTTTCGCTTTCATTCCAGATATCAGTCACTCACGGTCGAGGTTATCAATGAGCATGCATTGCTATATACGTGGCCTGGCTCTGAAAAGGACCTAAAGCCCCTACTTTTCATGGCACACTCGGATGTATGTGCAGAGCAAGGCACCCTTTTCGAAGTGCTACCCACAATTGACACTGAAAATATTGCTAGGTCGTCCCTGCAGGAGAGTCAACTACCAAACAATGGACGTACCCTCCGTTCTCTGGCATCTACGACGGAGAGTTCATCTGGGGCCGCGGCTCAGAGGACGATAAATCCAACTTCATCGCCATGCTTACAGCCATTGATTGTTTGCTAGAATGCGACTTCAAGACAGAGCGGACCCTGGTGCTCGCTGTGGGCTTCGATGAGGAAGGCGGTGCTGAACAGAGCTACGGCGCCAGGTGCCTTGCAGAGAAATTGATGGACAGATACGGACAAAATGGTGTTGAACTGATTGTATGTCACTCTGCCAAAAGCATTGGAAAATTCCTGAGGTTGACTGCGTTATTACTCCTAGTTCGACGAAGGTATTGCGGGCATCGAGCATCGGTTCGGGACGGACTTTGCCTTGCCCGCAACAGCTGAAAAGGGCTACATCGATGTCACCGTCACGGTAACTGTTCCGGGAGGCCACTCCTCGACACCGCCAGATCATACTGCCAGTTTGTTCCCCCGTTCGGGTTACACTAAGAACCGCTGGCTGACGTGCAGCAGTTGGTTTCCTGGCGCAAGTTATCACCCTCATCGAAGATCATCCCTTCAAGTCGCAGCTTGTGCGGCAGAACCCAACGTTAGCCTTTCTTCGACAGGCGGCGCTCTTCTCTAAAAGCATGCCGGAAGAGTTGCGGGATGCTATCCTCGGTGCCCACTCCCACAAGAAGCTGCTTGAATACATGGACGAGGATCGGGACAGACGAGCCATGGTTCGAACATCAACAGCCGTTGACGTGGTACAGGGTGGTGATAAAGGTGAGTACACACCCAGTCGCGAACGGCGCTCGAGGCCATGTTTGCCACTGTATTGAGAACGTCCACCACAGTTTCGTGGGGATCAGAGCTGACGTTCATGTACCTAGTGAACTCGTTGCCGGAAAGTGCAACCGTTCTAATCAACCATCGTATCGCCATCCAGGACTCTGTTCAAGCGGTCAAGGATCATTACTTCAACTTACTTTCTCCCTGGGCCAAGAAGTGGAATTTTAGTCTGGATGCGTTCGGGGAGCGGAAGCAGGCCAAGAACATTACCGCTCAGTCCATTGCTATTAATGAACACGGAGCTCTCACACTGACAGCCGCATATGAACTGGATTCCTCTCCAGTTTCGGACTCGGAAGACCCCAGATTCAGATGGTTGGCAGGAACCATCAAAGGCGTGTTTGGTGAAGCAGTGGTTGTCGCCCCGGAATTACTCAGTGGTGAGCTTGTGCAGCTTCTGTGTGGCATGGCAGCAAACTGATTGAATACCAGGGAACACTGATACAAGATATTACTGGGATCTGTCGCCGCAAATATATCGCATGTCCCCATGGCGAGCTAGTCATGATCCACGGGGTACTCGTATGCACACGGTCGACGAGAGAATGCCGGTCAAGGGACTGATGGAAATGGTGAAGTTCTATCATGAGTTTATCCGCATAGTTGACGAGGTGAGGGTATGAGAACATGATCTTGGCGCCCAGGGGGATTGCTCCCATCATGCCCACTCTCAAAGTTGCTGATATGCAACACCTCTGTTGCTTGATTCGGACAATACCCATGCGAGCCACTTCGTACTGCTGGTCTGTATCGAGCAGGCGGTCATCTCGGCCTTGCACTCCGTCCTTCTTCTCGACTGCAGATCCGAGTCTAAAGGATACAGACGAAGGCAGCATGAATGCTAGCGAGCGGGCCGTCAGACAACTGGGTTTGTTTCTGCGCGTCACAGCTGGTTTGTATAGCTAAAGCCCAGTTGCCCCCCTTTCCCTGGCCAGGCATCTCTTTGCACGCGTATGAGCGCTGCAGCTCACTGGTACCAAGTCAAGTAGCAATATCCAAAGACTGATGGGATACCATCGCGTGTTTGGAAGGTCAAGTCCAAGTTTCTAACAAGCTTGAACTTTGAAGCGTCGTTTGTGGGCAGCCAATCAGGCGCCGAGACGCCAAAAATTGTGGCCAGCGCCAAAAAGTTGTAGTAACTTGTAATCAGGAACTCGAGCCGCCGATTGAGACTAGAAACAATCATATTAACACTGACCCGATCTTCACTACCTGCTGTTTCATTTGATTTATCTTCCATTCTCTGATTGTCTGACCCGAACAAAAAGTTCACGTCGAGCGACACTACTTAGTCTGCTGTAAACTATCTGCGGCCAGCCTAGCCTGCCTCTCCTGCGTCCCAGGCGTCACCGAATACTGGAAGCAAAAAGCTTCGGCAGTCACCATGAACGGAGACAATTATTCCGCCAGGGGTGCGTCTGATAGTCTTGCTACTGAAATAACATGCTAACCTTACAAAGAGACCGGGCGGTCAAGAGACCACCATGTACGCGCTCCCGAGACTATCCTACTATACAACATGAAAGAGAGTACTAACAAGACTTAGGGTTCGAGGTACGATCGCGACGACCGCAGGGATCGAGGCGGCGACCGAGACCGAAACCGAGATCGAGGGGACCGAAGGCGTTCGAGATCTCCACACCATCGATCGTCGCGACGCGACTACGACGGCGACACATACTCGTCCAGCCGGGACTATCGAGCTCGGGAACGAGAAGACAGATATGGATCGAGACGGGATGAGCGGGAGTGGGACAGAGGAGAACGAGGCCCGCGACGTCGAGACGATGACCGGCCGCCCAGGAGAGACCGCGATCTGTTCGACGACAGAAGAGGTGGGGGTGGCGGCGGCGGCGGTGGTGGTAGGCGGGATCGAGACGGTGGTGGTGATCGAGGCGGACGAGAAGACCGCGACGAATTCGCCGCCCAAGCCCGCGGACGCAGGAACAGTCCGCCTCCCAAGAAACGCGAACCTACTCCCGATCTTACGGACGTCGTGCCCATTCTGGAGCGCAAGAGGAGATTAACGCAATGGGACATCAAGCCGCCTGGTTACGAGAACGTCACGGCCGAACAAGCCAAGATGTCAGGCATGTTCCCCCTGCCAGGTGCACCTCGCCAACAGCAGATGGACCCGAGCCGACTACAAGCATTTATGAACCTCCCGTCGAGCAGCTCCAACAACACCGCGCTGAAACCGTCCAATTCCCGACAAGCTAGGCGGCTTTTTGTCCACAACCTGCCGGCATCTGTTTCGGAAGAAGCACTTGTCCAGTTCTTCAATCTGCAACTCAATGGTCTGAATGTGACAAAAGCGGTTGACCCTTGCGCGCAGGCCAATATTGCCGAAGACCGAAGCTTTGCGCTGGTCGAGTTCAAGAACGCCTCGGATGCTACGCTCGCGTTGGCCTTGGACGGCATTACTATGCCAGAACACCATTCCGAAATGAATGGTAATGGCGACGCGAACGGGAACGGGACTGCGGCTCCCAAAGGATTGGAGATTCGACGGCCGAAAGACTATATCGTCCCCTCGGCCGATGAAGCCACGTACGCAGAAGGCGAAATCTCATCAGAGGTGCCTGACACGGCGAACAAGTTGGCAGTGACCAACTTGCCGCCTTTCTTGACCGATGATCAGGTCATTGAGCTGCTCAAAGCATTCGGCGAGGTGAAGGCGTTTGTTCTGGTTCGAGAACCCGATTCCCAAGAATCAAGGGTATGTTTCGATTGTCTTAGTTTCCTAACGGATGCCGCTCCATCCTGCTACATCTGTTCCTTGTATATTGCGCGCTTGCTAACTCATTCTGTCAATCCTTACAGGGCATCGCCTTTTGCGAGTATGCCGACCCAGCATCTACCGCTGTCGCCATCGAAGGTCTGAACGGAATGGACCTAGCCGGAAACTCCATCAAGGTGACCCGAGCCAGTATTGGCTACCAACAAGCGGCGGGTCTCGATATGGGCGTCAATGCCATGTCCATGTTCGCCGGAACCACTTCCGACGCCCACGACGAGGGCCGCGTGCTGCAGCTGCTCAACATGGTCACCCCTGAGGATCTCATGGACAATGATGATTACGAAGGTAAGAGAAACCAGGGCCCGGAACTCTAAATGCCGTGCTTTCGTTGGAATCTACTGACGACTGACTGTTTTGTTCTTTTAGAAATCTGCGAAGATGTCATGGAAGAATGTTCCAAGTACGGCAAGATTCTCTCGATGAAGATCCCCCGTCCCTCGGGCGGCAGTCGCCAATCCGCGGGTGTGGGCAAGATCTTTTTGAAGTACGAGGACGCAGAGTCGGCGAAGAAGGCCCTGCAGGCTCTGGCGGGTAGGAAGTTTGCTGATCGGACGGTCGTGACGACTTATTTCGACGAGGTATGTTTTGTCACCCCGCTCTGACTCGTCTTGGACTCTCCCTTCTTTTGTCTCTGTTCTGGCTCTATACATGTTGTTTGAAAAATGGTTTGGCTAATTTCTTAATCTTTGATGCATTTACAGGCCTGCTTCGACGTCAATGCCTGGTAAGACCGAGATCGAGGCTGAAGACAGGGCAGACGACGATGTCACAATGGTGGTTGTTGGTGAAGGTGATGACAATACAGTGTGATAGTAGCTGGAGCTGTAGGAGTAGTTGTGATGGTGTTGAGAGATTTCTGTCTGTGAGCGCGTCAGAAAAAAAGGGGAAGGCTACTTTTGCAGCAGGAGTCTAGTGACGGTGGGTGGTGGGGGAGAAATGCAAAACTTGAATGCTTTGCAAATGTACACAACAGAACTTGAAAGCCGATGGCGGCCTCGGGGCAGAAGAATTCTTGAAGTTGGCGGCGAGCGAGCACCACTTCCACTGGCAGTGTGAAAGTGTCATTGTCATTGATTGTCTTATGCTGCACCGGCTTCACTGTACTTGGAGCAGGCTCAGAGAAGCAGGCAGTGGAAATCTTCAACTTTTTTTCCCTTCCCGTCTTGTTCTCTTCATGCCGTTTCTGTTTCTTTTTCTTTTCCCTTCTCAGGCCTTGCTTTGGTTGGGCAGAAGAAGATTCGATTTTGGATTTGATTCCTTCTACTCGCCCACAGAAGACTGGTCTTCGACTATTCAATATCTTCGGGTGTTGGTGACTGGGCCTGCTTTTCCACGTCTGGTGGTTTTTGACTCCCATCCCAATTGATCTCGATCTTGATCTTTTGGAGACGAGCAGCGGCATTGAGACTCAAACCTGGAAGTCAGGATAGGATGGTGTGATTTGTCTGTGTGTATCTCCCCATGTCATTGCTCTGCTCGAGGCTTCTGGTGTAGGATCTCGCGTGCTCTTTCTACATAGACATTGTCTTGTGTTTACTCCCCACAGCAAGGATTCCGAATGGTTCGGTACTCGAAATCGATACCCTTAAAGTCCGAACGGTGGTATCAATTTCTTCCCTTACCTTTTTCTGAATCCTTACGCCAGGCGGACGAATATGTCTCCGGGCTCGAAGTGGACTCGACTCGACCTAATATTGACGTTGCAGTGGTATTGACTTCAATAATAAAGTTGGGTTGCCCTGGGGACATGTAATATTTCCTTTTTTGTGTGGTGTTTGAAGCATAGTATGTCGTCCTGGGGGCGTGGGATATGACTATTCCGTTGGGTTCTCGGAAAATATACAAATATGTTCACTCGGGACCTGTAATTCTTCTCCTGTGTGGTGTCCTCGAAGCATAGTATGCCGTCCACGGGCGTGGTGTATGACCAATTCGTTCGGTTCTCCGGAGATGTACAAATATATCTGTTCATATGTTGTTGTATTACCTGTCAGCCTTGCACTGTCCACAGAGTCATATCATAATATCGACGATTTCAGGAACCCCTGATGAGTGTCGCTGAGCAGCCTTGATGAACAAGAACATATATATTCTTGTACTGTTTGTCAGGCTTATCCATTGGAGTCCTGCAGTATCAACCGATTCACCCCCTCACGAACGTCCCTAGCAGGTTGACCAAGTATAGGTATGTACCCGTGCGTTGCCCGTCAGCCTTGTCCGTAGAGCCATACCAACCCATTCACCCCCTGATGAGTGTCCCAAGTAGCCTTGATAAACAAGTAAAACTGTAGAAGTAAAGTGTAGCTCCAGACCTTGCATACCACCTACCTGTACCTACCCAAACTCCACGTCCCAAGTCCGTACATTGATAGTCACAGACTCGAAACGCGAAATCTTGAAGTAGACACCGGGTGCCCGCCCATCCCATATCATTCTCCCCCTTCACTTCCACCTGACTTCACCGGGCCTAGCCTCACTGCCCCGGCAACACAGTCACTGCCCCCACCGGTACCAACGCCCCGGGTCACTGAAATTAAATCAAACATATCATTTAAAGTCAGCAAATTCCTTCCAACAAAGCCCGAAAGAAGTGCACCCCTTGGTAACTAAATCCACACCTGAGACTCCCAACTCTTCGAGATGGGCTTTGTTAGTGGTTTGGTTGGTGGGCCGTCTTCTGGATGGAGTCCCTTCTGTGGTTCGAACAATCCAATCCCTGGGAAACACCCCTCTTCTCTTGCCAAAACAGGGAGATGCGGCTCGTAGTCAGCCTCACTCTTCCCGCAAGGGGGGATAAGGTGTAGTCTGTCGCACGCTACCTGGAAGTAGCAGAGGAGAGGCTTGTCAACCAGCTGGATTGTTCGAAAGGACTGCAGATAACCGGGAGTCTCAACTCTGTCCACGCGTCTCCGATAGGGGCCCCCGACCGTAAGGTCAGGGAGACGCAAAGAAGCGGTAATATAGGAGGGGGTTCAACCCCCGCCTGAGCCAACCATACTTTTTGCTTTTTGTTTCAAGAGTTGTTGCAGGGCTGCACCGCAGGCCTGGTTGTGTGGTCATGTGAGAGAGGAAGTGAAGCGAAAGATATTGTGATCAGGGAGGGCTTCAGGACACGTACACTGCAGTGAATGCTTTGACAAGGCAATGGGGAACAGGATTGCTGCAAATTCAGCTCTGGTTACGAACGCTTTCCTTCCTACCGGGTACATCTAGAATGCAATCCAATCCTGCTGGTTAGATCGCCCAATTTTGATAGACTGTTGTCTGGATTCTTTCTCCTGGCACAACAGACGACATGGGTGCTGTGCCTATCATGGTCGTGATAGATCATGATCCGATGCCGGATTCATCACTCAACGACCCGGTCCATATTGACATGTTCAAGGTAAGGGGAAAAGTACCTGGAGCCAAAGCATACAACTTGACACACCGTTTTTGGAAAGTACTTCTCAGGGCCTCTGAGCCTGACAAGACTACAAGGGCAGTGGTTCGTGACTCGAGGCGTGGCACAGCCGCCGACAAGTCTGCCGCTGAAGCTGATCCAGTGATCCCGACAGTCTGATACAGAACTGCTCGACCCTCATCTGGCTCTGGGAACTGAGCTCATCCAAACTGAACAGCACCAGTGTGCTGCTGCCCTCGCTCAACCATTCGACAGCTTTTGAGAGCCAGTGTAAGCAGATGAGTTCGTCAGCTAGCTTATCAGAGAGGCCCGGCCCGATATCTTATTTCTTCCATGCACATTGTCGACGAGATCCAGCCTTACCGACCGCGTTGGTTTCCCAGATCCACCAAGGCTGAGGACAGGATATCCTTCGCCCTGAGAGATCGACCCTTCAAAACTGCAGGCGGGTTGTTCATTGCATGTCTTCGACGATCATAGGGGTTAAAAAGCCCTCCCATCGCTACGAGCAAATGTGCCTATAGGTACGTTGTGGGGTGGTCGTCAAACTTGACGGTGAGAATGATTAAAGCAGCGGATGCTCACTCTGGAGCGGGCCACTAAAGCAGCCGCCTTCGACCGCGAAAGGACACGCGACTTTAATAATGGCGATGCCGCGTCTGGTGCAAGGCTGCGCCGCATAACAGTATCCAGTTTCCCCTACGGAGTTTAAGACCATGCCGGCTTCACCACCACGGTAATCTCATACAGTTGCAGCACACTGAAGCCACCATGACGGTGGCATCGTTCTTCCGCGAGCTGTATTCTCTCGACACCCTAGATACGCGGTTTACAACGTCCTCGTCCACACCCCTGAAAGCGATCGAAGAACACCCCCGCAAACCAGTGGAAAGAGATGGGAAAGCTGTACCTACAGATGTCTTCCCGCCTCAATGGAGGACCCCAGAGTTCTACTTCTATGCCCTGGTGTTTCTGTTCTGCGTGCCACAGATGTACTGGGCTGTAGTAGAAGTTTCGCAGCGTAAGATTGGCAGACTCGGACGGTATCATGCGAACATTGGAAATAACAAAAGCGTTACAGCTGATTCACCCAACTATTCCAAATACGAACCTTTGTTGTCTCCAGGCTGGCTGTTCGGTCGGAAAGTGGTACGTTGGGGTGAAGTATATGTACTTGTTCGAAAGGCTCATATAGAACATAGGACAATTCAGACGGCCAGTATGCCAGCTTTCGGGACAATATCCCATATCTAGCTGCTCTACTTGTGGTCCACCCTCTTCTTCGACGACTCTACGAGCGACTTGTCATTAAAGGGACATCTGCGACAAATGGTGCGCATGCAAAGATCCCATCTGGCAAGGCGGAAGCAGACCTACGTCTTCAGACTCGAGTCACGTTCGACTTCTATTCGGCTTTGGTATATATTGCGGTTCTGAACGGATTTTCTATCCTGAAAATACTCCTGATTCTTTACATCAATTTCAAAATCGGCACATCACTCACCCGATACCTCATTCCGGCTTTGACTTGGATCTTCAATATCGGCATTCTGTTCGCCAATGAGCTGGCCCAGGGTTACCGCTTCTCGACCTTGTTCGAGGCTCTTGCACCCTTGCTCCCTAACGCTGCCGAGTGGGGCAAATTCTTGGATGCCCATTCTGGGTTGAATCCCAGGTGGGAGGTCCTTTTCAAGATCACTGTGTTAAGGATGATCTCATTTAATTTCGACCACTATTGGTCGCTGGACCGGTCAAGAGCAGGGAGCCCCGTTGAGGTATGTCTTCTATGCTCTTGTCACACCCTGTCCTTCCAATCTCGTCTCTACCCAAATTGGACTTTTCGCTGACATGGTCAAGAAGAAACAACTCGATCCGACAGCGCTGTCGGAACGAGACCGAGTCGCCATGCCTGCGCCGGCACACACATATACCTCGTTTAAAACATACGTCGCATACATCCTGTACCCTCCGCTTTATCTTGCCGGACCCATTGTGACGTTCAACGACTACATTTACCAATCTACCTATCCAACACCTTCGATCACAACAAGGCGGACCATCCTATATGGCATCAGGTTCTTGATTACACTGTTTTGTATGGAGTTCCTTCTCCACACCACCTACGTTGTGGCAATCTCAAAGGTTTCTCCAGAGTGGTCCGCCTATACACCGTTCCAGCTCAGCATGATGGCTTATTTCAGTCTCCATATCATTTGGTTGAAATTGATGATCCCATGGCGGTTCTTCCGGCTTTGGGCGCTGATCGATGGCATTGACCCACCGGAGAACATGGTTCGTTGTATGAGTGACAACTATTCTGCTTTTGCCTTCTGGCGTTCTTGGCACAGAAGCTTCAATCGATGGACGGTGAGATATCTCTACGTTCCACTTGGCGGTGGCTCATCAGGCAGAATACGTGGCATCTTCAACATGCTTGTCATTTTCTCCTTCGTGGCGCTGTGGCATGACATTAACCTCAGACTATTGGTGTGGGGTTGGCTTGTCGTCCTGTTCGTCCTCCCGGAAGTCCTTGCAACAATGGCGTTTCCGAAAGCCAAATGGAAAAATAGACCGGAGGCTTATCGCGTTCTCTGTGGAATAGGTGCAGTGTTCAACATCCTCCTCATGATGTCGGCCCATTTGGTTGGCTTTGCGGTTGGCCTGGACGGCTTGATGGGGATAGTGCACGGCATAATGGGCAGCTGGCAAGGGGCGGTATTTATGTTTTGTGCCTGCTGTGCCCTTTTTGTCGGCGTCCAGGTCATGTTTGAACATCGCGAGGAAGAAAAGAGGAAGGGTATCCGATTGAAGTGCTGATGGCACTGTGGGTTCGCTTTCGCGTCAACAATCATCAGAAAGATGCTGTAACATAGTACATGTGTTAATCCAACCGCGGCTATTCTATTGTAGTTGCTGAATGTATATTGCTTCGGCATTTTGAAATCAGTCCTAGACTCCCATCAGCAAGCTCAGATTGAGAATCCATTCATGGACGATATTGACCGACCAGCCATAGAGCGGAAGGATATAAAATGCATTGAAAGCTGGGACATTTGCAGGCTTACCATTGGATTGTCGGGAAAACAAATCCGGGGGTGACCCGTTGGGATATGACGTAACGGTCAAGGCAGAGCAACAATCGATGATGATCTTGCGGCGTTCTACAACTGCGTCGGTTCACCTCAAATTGTCAATGACGCCTTGGAATACCCTCGCTACCTGACTTCCTCCCGCTTTTGCATTTTCCTCTCTCGTGTCACTGTACTCAATCATCTTCCATAGTCTCTCTATACTGCCAAAAGCAAGAGCACCTCTCTGATCCTGGTCCTGTCATAGTGGGAGCACTCGAACATCCTTTCCTGTCTGAAGTTCTAAGTCAAGAAAGCTAGTCACAAGATGACTCCCTCCGCACTCCCACGAATCTCACGCAGCCTATACGCTCTACGGCCATCGCTCAGGTCTCAGCCGCTGCTGCGACCCCTCTCTACTACTCCTTATCGACTCGCTGCAGATCAAGATCCGGACCGCAACAAGCACCCGGCGCGTCAAGCCCAACAGGATCGCAAGAAGTTAGACCCCGAATCTACTGAATACGCCAAGTCTGGCTCGGACGACACAGCCGCCGCCAACGAGGATGCTGCGTTCAACCCAAACATCACGGATCCCCAGGAAGCGAAGAAGAAGGCCGGTGAAGGGAACGAGGTAAACCCTCTCGATGCCAGCCCGGCCAATCCAGACATTAGCCAAGGCACAGCCGAGGAGAAGGGAGGCCTGAAGAAGAAAATGTCCGAGGGCGGTGGTGGAAGACAAGGCGGCGGTGAGCCGGGCAAGGGGAAGCAAAGTGTTTGAACGAGCTGGAGTTAGAACTCTCGAGTTTTGCATCTCGGTGTCCGAAGTACAAAGTACCTGCTATTGAGAAGAGAATGGATGTGTGAATACAGCACATTTCCGCCAAACATGGATTATTAGCATTGCTTAACTGCCTGAATTATGGGTATCTGTTCACTTGCAAACGAAAGTCAAGATGGGACGGAACATTAGGATGACTTCCACTCGTGCAATCCAAGTCGGATGATATCCTTTTGTCCAATGATCCACACTTTGTCTTTTACTTCACCCTTTTCAGCCTTGATGGCGGCGGAAACGGCAGCTTTCGCGATGACATCTGCATCTTGCGCCCAGGTATTCTTTAGAGAGCTGTGGATGTGGCCTAATCCGGTCGCAATAGTGCGGAAGATACCTTCAACCAGGCGACTTTCTTCACGCTTGCCAACGATGAGGCCGGGACGCAGTATGATGGTATGCTCGAAGCCGAGCTCTTTGATGTGCTCTTCAATTTCACCTTTCATCTTTGGATAGGCAAAGAAAGCATTAGGGTTGGCACCACCGGCCGATATCAACACGTAGGTCTTTGTCCCTGCTTCTTTGGCGGCCTTTGCAAGCTCAATATTTAGATCATGCTCGAGTTTGTACTGGTTCTCGAAGCCACCGGCGGCAGCCCGGGTGGTCGCAAGCGCCGAGAATAAGACCGACGGCGGAGGTGACAACGAAGATATATGCGGCGCCCATTTGTTGGTGTCTTTGTCGACGAACTCTTTCACCGGAATGCTGGATTCCGGGGCAGGTGGAGGGGGTCGGCGAGCGATGATATCGATATTTGAGAAGTAGGCCGGCGCGCCCGATCTTAATGTGGACAGAATGTGAGAGCCCTGTTTAATGTGTCAGGTCGGCGCTTCTTCTCATCGCTTGTAAAATAGTAACGTACCACAAGGCCAGTGCAGCCTAGGACTAGTGCCGAGGCCATGACTGCTGCTGTGTAACTGTGTCTCTTGATTCAAGAGTCCACGATCGCAGGGTTCCGCGGTTGCGGGGAGCGGGTTCACAGACTCGGATCACTGTGAAGGGGCACACGACAGTACTGAGCTTATCTTGATCCTTCAGAAGCCCGAATACCTACACTCGAGCACTCTGACCGCACAGGTTTGTAGGTTAGAGACCAAAGATTTCTCGAAATGCAGATGCCGTCGCAAGTTGAGCCTGCGGGCTCGCGCGGCTGAGGGCGGACGAAACGGAGGACGAATTTGGGTAGTATTGCGGCAAGGCTGCAGCCTCAGCCTTCTCCGCACAGCCTTGTCTGGACCCTTATCACGTGGCTAGTCTCCATGACTTCTTCTCGCGCTAATTGGATAGCGTCGATTGCGTGCTCGACTTCGGCCATTATTTTTTCTTGCCATTGATGGCGACATGGTTGAGGCGACCATTAATGTGGTCCAGCGCAGTCAGAATGGACTCGGTAGTCGGTCCTCGGGGGACCGTACGTGGTATTTCTTTCTCCATGGGGACCATTCCCTCTTCCCTCCCTCGTCGTTCTCTCGTTAAGTTGCAGTTGTGCGTTGCTTTCTGTTCTGTTCAGCCGGCACAGCAGCGGACGCATCTTTCAAAATGGCTCCTCAGTCGAAGAGCCTTCCCCTCGGTCAGACGCCGCAACTCTCGTCTGTTGCCGGCCCTACCTATGTGACCGGACAGACACTGGTTCAACAGGTCACTTATTCCTTGTCCGACAAGATCTTCTCCTACTCCCCCGAGACCTTCGACCTCGATGTGGCCGCAAAGGCGTGGAGCGATGCCCAAGAGAGCAATGTCAACGGGTATACCACCGGAGTCCAGTCCATGCAGATTCGCAATGGTGCCGGATCAATTGCCCTAGGATACATGTTCTCCAAGGACTTTGATCTCAAGAAGAGACATATTCCTCAAGGGCTTCTGGCACCATCCTCAGCGCTTCGCTTTCTGAGACCAGTCCTGGACCAGCTTTCGCTCCTCTACTCCGTCAGCAACCCCTTTGTGGCGCATGTGGCCGCATTGGACTACGATGGCGACAAGAACGGTGGCTTGGTCACGGACTATGCTTCGGCTCTGTCGACTGCGGAAGACCTTGGTTTCGGCTTGGTCTCGACCCAATCCGCACACGAGGCACAGCATATGTCGCTTCTGGCAACCCTCCTGGCCCACGACCTTCCCACACTCCACGTCTATGACGGTTTGAGAATTGGTAGAGATACCACAAGAGTCATTGATGTTCTGGACAGAGCCGGACTGGGCAACGCTTACCAGTCAGTGATGAAGTCGATCTCTGATGAAGACCGTAAACATCTGAGCATTGAGGGAAAGGCATTGAGAACCCTCCGTGCTCTTAATGAAGAGCTGGGAACAGACTACAAGCCTTTTGAGTATCACGGTCATGAGCAGCCGGAGGCCGTCCTTGTGACATTTGGATCGGTCGAGTCTTCCCTTGCTGCCCAGGTAGCCACCGCATTGGCCAAATCCGGCAACAGGGTTGGGGCCATCAATGTCCGATTGTATCGACCGTTTGCGGAGGAGCAGTTTTTGAAGCTGATTCCCAATGGCATCAGAACCCTCGGGGTTCTGGGGCAGGTTGCCGATGCGCAGGCTGTACAAGAGGCCGGTGTCCATTCCCAGCTGTTTGAAGATGTGCTTGCCACGATTGCTTATGGCGCCTCGATCCACAACACGCCTGAGGTTCGAGAGCTGAAGTATGCCCGAGCCGAAGCCTGGACACCGTCATCGATCGCTTCGACCTTCCAGATGCTCCTCGGAAAAGGCGGCGATGAGCAGCCCATCACGACCTTCCTGGAAGAGTCGGTTCAACAATACACATTCTGGACTGTTGACGACGCGCCATCTGCCTCTGCTGCCGCCCACTTGGCGGAGGCCTTGGCCAAGGACTCCGCTCAGAACGTGACGGTCCACACTACTCACGACAATCTTGTCCAGGGTGGTGCGCATAGGACTGACATCAGAAAGTCGCCTAAGAGCCTTGATGCTGCCTATCCTATTGCTGCGGCCGATACTGCCGTTGTCACCGATGTGAAACTTCTAGAAAAGATCAATGTGGTCAAATCTATCAAGTCTGGTGGCAAAATCATTCTCGTGCTGCCTGGTGTCAAGGATGAAGACGTCGAGAAGAAGCTGCCAGCAGCCTTCAAGAAGGCGGTGGCTGAGGATCACATTTCCTTGTATCTCATCGATCCGGCGAGCACGGCCTTGTCTACCGAAACCCCCGACCTCGAGTCACTCATCCTGGAGACTGCCTTCCTCCGTGTTGTTCTAGGAAAGGCCGAGGAGGTTGGCTTGCAGAAACTGGCCGCATCCAACAGCGATATCAAGACTCTGGAACAGGTTGCCGCCGATCTCGATAAGACACTGCGTCAAATTGTTGTTCCCGAGGACTGGACCGAGCTGGAAGTGGATGCCAAGGAATCTCTGCCCGAGGATCTTCGGCCGAACAGTTTCAGCACGTTTGACAAAACTGAGGAGGAGCCGCCTTCCAAACTGCGTAGCTGGCAGAAGGCAGCCAAGGGCTTCCTTTTCAAGGAAGCATACAACACTTCCAACTCTCTTCGACCGGATCTCCCTACCAAGACTTTCACCGTGCACGTGAAGGAGAACCGTCGTTTGACGCCTGCTACCTACGATCGAAACATTTTCCACATCGAGTTTGATTTGGGCACTTCTGGTCTCAAGTACGATATTGGTGAGGCGCTTGGCATCCATGCTGAAAACGACCACGATCACGTCATGGACTTCATCAAGTGGTACGGACTGAACCCGGAGGACGTTGTTGAGGTTTCTTCTCGCGAGGATCCCGCAGTGTTCGAGAACCGTACAATCTACCAGGCGTTGAAACAGAATGTCGACATTTTCGGCCGGCCACCCAAGAAATTCTATGAGGCGCTTGCCGATTTCGCAACGGATGAGAATGAAAAGAAGAATCTTCTGACTCTGGCTGGTCCGGAAGGATACAAGGAGTTCCAGCGCCGAGCAGAAGTTGATACAGTCACTTATGCCGACGTCTTACTCGAATTCCCGTCGGCTCATCCTTCGTTCCACGATCTGGTGCGGATTGTGTCGCCTATGAAACGCCGTGAATACTCCATCGCTTCATGCCAGGCTGTTACCCCTAACTCGGTCGCACTGATGATTGTCGCTGTCAACTGGGTCGATCCGAAGGGACGCGATCGCTTCGGACAGGCCACCAAGTACTTGAGCGCCCTCAAACCGGGTGCTCCAGTGACGGTCAGCGTGAAGCCTTCAGTGATGAAGCTGCCACCCAAGTCGACCCAACCGATCATCATGGCCGGTCTCGGTACCGGTCTCGCCCCGTTCCGAGCATTTGTCCAACACCGCGCCATGGAGAAGGCTCAGGGCAAGGAGATTGGATCTGTCTTGCTGTACATGGGCTCGCGCCACCAGCGCGAGGAATACTGCTACGGAGAGGAATGGGAGGCTTATCAAGCCGCAGGTGTCATCACCCTGCTTGGACGTGCATTCAGTCGAGATCAGCCGCAGAAGATCTACATTCAGGACAGAATGCGGCAGACCATGGACGATATTGTCAAGGCTTACATCAAGGAGGATGGTGCCTTCTACCTCTGCGGACCTACCTGGCCTGTACCGGATGTTACCAACGTCCTGGAGGAGGCCATCGCCCAAGATGCCAGAGACAATGGCGTCAAGAAGGTCGATACCGCCAGAGAGATCATGAAGTTGAAGGATGCCGGAAGATATGTTCTTGAGGTTTACTAGATAGAGAGCGTTACACTACCATTGTGTTTGTGATGTTGGCCTCGAAAATAGATCTTAGAATTGTATATGAGCCCCATTATTTCGAAAGCAATATGGACAACACCTTTATTTTGCTGCGTTGATCATATGATAGAACTGCTGCTATGAAAGATGCTGTTGCCGCAGTCACATGGACGATTTATGTAATTCCGCCGAAGTCTTCAAGTTGTCAGTGTCCACGATCTGGGTCTTGGCGACTATCGACGATCCTTATGACGAAGTCGGGTCTCGCTTGAGGAAAGAGGCACGCGGTCCAACTTCAGGGAGTTCCTCGGTTCCAAAATCCACGCCCTTTCCATCAACACCCGGGTCGTTATTGTCCCAGATATGGTTCAATTAAAGTCGAAACCTCAAGTGTTCGTGTACAAGTTCCGGCTGACGAGTTGAATGCCTGCGTTTTGCCTTTCGGTGCGGAGGCGTTGCCGGGAAAGGACCTGATTGGCTGCTGGCTGAACGCAGCCTCGCCGTGTCCAAAGTCAATATCTCAGAAGCGGACTCGCTGAAGTGCTAAACCGATGGCTCTGGCTAAATTCGCGGCCCTTCTCCGTTCTTGGGCCTTCCTTGGGCACATACTCCTTTTGGCGGTTGCCTTTGCTGCGGGATCTATTGGGTCACAGTCACCGCTTGTCGGACAGTCCAAGGCATTGGATCCCAAACTCACAAACACTATTGCAAAGGATGTAATAACTCTGTACTACAATGGCACTGGTCCTGTTCCGGACAGGGACCAGAAGCCGCCCGACCCAGAGTCTATCACTCCGCTTGCACAGTCGCTGATTGAGGATTCCCTGGTGAACGAGCTGGTCTCGATCGCGACCACGGGAGCATACGCAGACGACTGTTCCAAATGCATCGCGGCCACGCAGATTCTGCATGTGGCAGCCATCAGCCATCCGGTCTCACTTATGACAAATGTGTTGATTCGAACATGCAATGCATTGCCTTTCGTTCAAGACAAGATGCGGGCATCTTCCTGCGAGTCAGAGTTCGGTGGCGTTGCCTCATTCGGCCCCTATATCGCCCAGCTGTTGTCGAAGATGAGCATGGCGACCGGAGACATGTACAGCCTGTGCTCGTTACATTTTGATTACTGCCCAGAAGAGGCTCCGATACTTATCGACGAGAGTCTGTTCTTCGATCCAAAACCAGAATCGGCCGAGATCGCGCCGGAGCCGTCAGGCGAGACCTTCAATGTGCTCCATCTGTCGGACTGGCATCTTGACCCGCGATATGACATTGCGTCGGAGGGGAATTGCTCAGAGTATCTCTGCTGTCGTACATCATCCCGCAACGACGAGCTTTTCACGGATTCTCACAATGCCTCGGTGCCAGCTTCGCGGTTTGGGTCATACTTGTGCGACGCGCCTGCTGACTTGGCTCTCTCTGCCCTCAAGGATATGCCAGAGTTTTTCGATCTGGAAGACATTGCATTCAGCATATTCACCGGCGATGTCGTCTCTCATGATCCCGAAGACGAACTATCTCACGCCTACGTCTCGTATGAAGAGGAAGTCGCCTACCGGGTCTTCAAGAAAATGCTCGGCGATGATATGCCTATTTATCCAGTGCTGGGCAATCACGAGACCCTCCCTGTTGGCTTCAATACACCTCACAGCATGAACCCAGACCCACACAATACTAGCAGCAACATTCTGCAATGGAATTATGACCTCGTGTCGTCACTGTGGTCTAAACACTCCTGGCTGAATGACACCGAGGCAGACTTTGCTCGGACTCATTATGGCGCCTACGCCACGACCACAGCACAAGGTCTGCGGATCATTGCGCTCAATTCTGATTTCTGGTATAGAGACAACATCTTTGCATTTTTCAACGTGACCAACCCCGATCCTAGCGGCATTCTCAAGTGGCTTGCCGACGAGCTTTCGGCGTGCGAGAAGCGTGGGCAGCGGGCGTGGATCATAGCTCATGTCCTGACAGGATATGACGGCAACGCCCCTATTCCAACCCCTACTGCCCTTTTCTACTCGATCGTCCGACGATTCTCTCCGGCCACTATCGCCGTGATATTCCTTGGGTAAGCTGCCTCCTGTTCACTCCGCCCCACAGATCCTCTCAGGCTGACCAGTACTTTCCACAGACACACCCATCAGGATCAACTGGAGATCTTTTACGACTATTTGCCTGAGTCACTTAAGAGGCCAAGCAGCGATATGAGAACTCATGGTCATCATCTCCGCGACACGATGGAGGTAGATTTCACCAAGCCATTGCAGGTCGCGTACATCGGACCGAGCATCACGCCGCTCACCGGTCTCAACTCGGGGTACCGAGTGTATCAGATTGACAGCAAGACGTTTTCTGTGATGGGCGCTCAAACTTACTTTGCCAACATCTCCAACAGTCTTCACTGGACTAAGCCTGAGTGGGAGTTCGAGTACGACACTCGTGAGGCATATTCTGTCAAGCCTCATTCAAAGCACGGTAGCACAGAAGAAGATGACGACAGTACCAACGCTGAAGTGGAAGTGTCCAAAAAGAAAAAGCAAAAGCCTGGCGTGCCCTGGCCGTCAAACGCTCCTCTGAATGCCACCTTCTGGCACCTCGTGACCGAGAAGATGCTCAAGGATAGTGGTATCGATGCGATGTCGATGTCGCCTGGCAGCAAAAAGTCTGGCAAATCGTCACCCCTTCTCGACTTGTACAATACCTATGAGTCCAAGTCCAGTACTTCCCCATTCAGACGTGGAGCTGGGGCCATTTCTCCCGAGCAAAAGGTCTGCTACATGCGTGCAGGAAGCGGAGGTTTGGGCAGCCGGTGCAAGGAGAAGTATGGTGATAGTCGGGGCGTGAGGGAGAAAGTATTTGGTATTGTGTGATATTCATGCCTGTCATGATCTAGGCGATGGAATCACAGGTTGACGGTGCCCAAGGATGTCTAGCACTCCTCATATAGCAGCAGGTATTACGTATGTAAGGTAACGGTAATGAATCCATTGATTGATTAACTGAAAGCGAAGTCGCAGTGATCCTGTACATAATTCTTAGCTACTAGGTGCTAGCTGGTAGGTCGGCACCAGTAGCTGAGCATCTTCATTGCCATTGCTCTCATATCACACCTCCCCTACGCTCGCAGCCTCGCAGCCTCGTCGTCAGTAAGCAGCCAATCAGAGCCCTTACATCCCAATCCCAACCCCAGCCGGCATGATGACGTAGTACAATGCGGCAACGATTTCCATCCACAGTCGAAGATCGAGTTCCGGTGTCTCACTGCACGGGAGGCATGACAACGGGGCGGGCCCTCGTGCTTCGTCCTTCATTTATTCTTACCTTTACATTTCTTGATCATTCCACAAGCGGGTTGGCGCGCAGCTCGCATTGCTACAATGACTGATTGCGCAGCATGCCGAACAGGACTTTTCATTTTGAACATCTCGACCGCGGGATTCCGTCTGATATGTGAACGAATGTGGCGTTTATCCGGGCCACAGCACTGCGCAAAATGAGACGATGAGATGACGCGCCACTCATAATACTGTATCAACAATCGATTTTGGATAAACAAGACGAGTGGAGTTGGCTCTAAAAATGGCGCCCACCCATTCCACTTCAAGTTCTTTGAGTCTCAAGTCTTTACCACCAATATTCATTCTTCCCACCCATCTGAAGCCAGAAGAACTCCATGAGGTAGAGGATCAGATCTTCAGTCTAGGCGGCGCATTGACATATGACCCCAAAGAAGCAAGAGTGTTTCTGGGTCGTATCACTCAGAAGAAGCGCGCTGCATTTGACTTGCGGGCCAAGGGAGTTTGGACCCAGGAGGCGACTCTGCCTGAAGTCAGCACCGGTACCAATGGTGGCGTTCACGATGAGGATGCGGGACCAGCACGTAAGAAGCGCCGAGTCGAGCCTGACGTACGCGATAACAGAACCGGGACGAGACATAGGCCGAGGAGTGTGAGGTCAAGCTCAAGCTCGACGTCGACGGCCTCGACTGTGTCCACGCACTCAGCGCCCCCTGGACCCGAGTCCAAATCCATGTTTCCCGACCTCACCGACCACATTCTCATTCTGAAACTCGACTGGCTCGAGGCATGTATTACAGAGCAGCGATTGGTTGCCTGCGAACCATACATCGTCTACACTGCCAAAGTGGTCCCTAAACCTTCTAGAGAAACCACTCCCAAGCCGCTACACGATCCAGTGACATACGTCAAAGCCACAGCCGCTCCAGCTTCTCCAGGGACATCGATCCTCGAACGCGCAAAGGCGGAAGCCTCAAATCTTCCATCGTCAGGCAGCTCATACTCATCTCGGCGGCGATACGGAGACCACGGCAACATGGCTCGAGACTCTACATCTCCCACGGTCCGCAAGACGCCTAAACTCCACCGGACCACAACTTCAGAATTCGAAGAACTAGCCGCTCATCCCCTACCCCCTCTACCAGACTGGGCTACAGGAAAATACGCAGCATATTCATGCTGCCGCTCAACACCGATGAACCCTCCCAACAGTGCATTCATCGCGCAACTAACCAAGATCCGGGACGCACGGATCCTAATCCTCGACGACATCGGGGTCCGCGCATACTCCTCATCAATCGCCAGCATCGCCGCATACCCATACCTTATCAGACACGCGGAAGAAATCAACCGGTTGCCCGGATGCAACGAGAAGATCGCCATGCTCTGGAACGAATGGTACCATTCCGGCCCCGAGGACTCCGAGCGATCAATCCAGACAGTGACGGACCTAGAAAACGACATCGACCTGCAACATCTCCGCCTGTTCTGGAACATCTGGGGCGTGGGACCCGAAACAGCGCGCAAATTCTACTTCGAGCACGGATGGCAAGACTTAAACGACGTAGTTGAGTTCGGGTGGTCGACGCTCAATCGCGTCCAGCAGATCGGAGTCAAATACTACGATGAGTTCCAGGAGAAGATCCCGCGCGCCGAAGTCGAGCAGATCGGCGAGGTTATTCATCGTCATGCCCGCGGTGTGCTGGATATAAAATCCAGCCAGTATGGCACGCCCGAGGATGTCGAGTGTATTATTGTCGGTGGATATCGGAGAGGAAAGACCGCTTCAGGGGATGTCGATGTGGTCCTCAGTCATCGTGATGAATCTAAAACTCAGGATTTGGTGGGGTATGTCGTGCGCAGTTTGGAGATCGAGGGTTGGATCACGCATACCTTGACCCTGCATACTACTACTTCTGATCGGGCGCAGGCGACTGTGCCGTTTCGTGCGGAACGGCAGGGGCGTGGTGGGTTTGATAGTCTTGATAAGGCGCTTTGTGTGTGGCAGGATCCACATTTTGAAGGAGCGGACGAGGGAGGGGGAGGAGAGGGAGAGGAAGATGACGAGGAGAAACCGAAAGTGAAGAATCCAAATATTCATCGGAGAGTCGATATCATTATTTCCGCTTGGCGCACCGTCGGCTGTGCCGTGCTTGGATGGAGTGGTGGGAATACTTTCCAGCGCGACATGCGGAGGTTTGTCGCGAATACCCGTGGCTGGAAGTTTGATAGTTCTGGTGTTCGGGACAGGGCTACGGGGATGGTTTTGGATTTGGAAAGTCCGAGAAGGAGGAAAAGGTCAGGAGGTGGTGATGGTGGTGGTGGTGATGATAATGAAAAGAACAACTCAATCAAGAATGAGCCTGATCCTGTTACAAAAACTGGCCGACAGCATGTTGATGGCGATGCCGGTGATGATGACGATGGTGACTATGAATGGGACGACGCGGATACATGGCACGATCGTGAACGGAGGCTCATGGATGGTCTGGGGATCGGATACCGACCTCCGGAAGAGAGGTGTACGGGTTGATAAACTCCACAAGGGAAAATCGTTTGGATATATATACAGTGGCATTTGGTGCCTGACAGTGCCTTAGCTATCTAATCTTGATCCTCTTTTTCTCGCTCGCGCCTTTCTTCCTTCTGCACGGAGAAGATGAGAGGGTTCAGTGCATTCTGTCTACCTTATCTACAAGAATTTAGACTCTGAACCTTACACAGTGTACGAAATACAAACTAGCCTCAGCAGGTCGTTGCAGCTTTCCTTCTCGCAAAGTACACCACTCTATAGGTATTCACATTGGACACTTCATACACATTTTGCTAAAGGTCAATGCAACGCAAAGCAAAGCAGTTGCTATTCCCTCACTTTTATATAAAATGGCTTTTTTGCTCTTTCTCTATCTCTTCTTTTTCCCAATACTCGTATCAACACTTCCAACCAGATACGCCAGCACAAACACGACGGCAACACCAATAAAGACAGTGAGCGGTTTCCTCAGGGCAGCAAGCAACGAATACTCGTAGGTGACAAGTACAGTCACGTCTCTAGCTTCGTCGACGACATTGGTGGCAGTGAGCACCAGTTCCGTGCGGCCCAGGGTATCCATGAACGTCTTGTGCAGACCATGCTCGGCATGGAGGACTGGAACGCCAGTACCGCCGTGCGTCTGGTACTTGACGTTTCTGGCGCCTTCGGGCAGAATGACACGGAAAACCAGCTTCTCGTACTGAATGCCCTCTGGGGTTTTTGGTCCCTGGACCAGCGGCACGGACAGGATATACGTGTCCGGCGGGGTCTGGAGTTTCCGCACGGACGAAGAAAGGTCGTTGTTCCAGCCAATGCGGAAGCTGTAGTTCCAGCCTCCGAAGAGAGGGTAGCGGGGGCGGAGTTCTAGACTGGCTTCACGCACAGCGTTTGGTCGGAACCGCGAGGTCGACACGTTGCCAATCTCGTCGGTGAAATATGCGTCGACGCTGCCTGGTTTCAGGGGAACTTTGAGCTCGCGCAGCGCAGAGGTCGTCATTTGTCCCGCGTTGATGTAGAAGTTTTGCGTGCTCCATGCCAGTCGCGAGAATTGGTTCGCCAGCTTGGCTCCGTCGTGGCGTAGCCAGTATCGTTCTTCGGTTGCAAGGTTTCCGCCCCAGTGTGAGACCTCGACATCTCGTTCGAGCACACTGCATACTAGAACTGGCTTGTTGAATTCATAGCGTACCGTCACTGGATATATTGTGCCCTGGGGCACTTTGGCAGTCTCGTACGGTCCGTAGGTTAATGTGGATCCTTGTTTCTCGGGATCCACGGTATTCGAGGTGGTCAAGCCTTCTATCGTGGTGTATTCAGGAATATCTGCTGATGGGAACTTGACCTTGGTCTTTTGTTTGATGGTCGGATACACCGACGGGATGTAGGCGGAAAAGTTGTAGGTCAGATACTGCTTTTCCTCTTGTTTGATGGTTGCTGGGAGCGGTCGTAGAGCTCCGAGAATGTGGTACGAGATGGAGAGTGTGACGGTGCCTTTTGGCGGTAGCGGTTCAGCGAGGTGGACAATGTAATATTGCGTCGACCTTCACGAGTTAGTCTTGAGTGTAGATAGCTCGTCTGGTAACAAACATACTTTGGTGAAAAGCCGCCCTGCGCATCCTCAAGCACATTGGCCAGAGCAGCCACAGTCACATCCAACGGCCCCCTCTCAGCATGCTTCTTGTCCCGGGCGTCGAAGCCGCCAATCCTGCCTACCACGTCATATTCAAAGGGGATATAGTACTCCGTCTGAGCCTGGTTGTCGGTGTTTGTGATGACGACGTTGGTTGTCTCTCTGACATAACCTTTCTCAAGGTTGATGGTGCGGACGACGTTGGTGTTTTCGAAGACGGGCGCGGGCTTGAAGTCGCCGGTTAATATCCTCTGCGTCAGTTGTGGTGTAGTCAGGTTGGATTGTTGCGTTGAAGCCAATGATGTCCCAATGCACAGCCCGAAGACCGTGCTCACCACCGACGAGAATCGCATCCTCGTGCCTTGCGTCGGGCGGGAGCAGAGGTCAATAGTGTAGCAACGCCTTCAATGCGGAACGGAATGCGATCATTCAGGCCAGCGTGGAGAACGACTGACCTGAGGCTGCGTCGTCGTCGGGGGTGCCATGCGGTCAAACGCCGTATACTCCGTCCTAGATATTTCTACACCGTAAACGGACATGAAGTGAAGTTCTGATACGGTGGATCGCTCAACCGGCCGGCACACCTTCTCCCAATAGCGACTCGGAGTTACTTTTGCGCTTTAACAACAACCGGCCGTTGATTGGTCGAAGCTTCTCTCCATCCAAGTTACGTCTAACATTCAGTTTCGCAGTCCCAGTCCCAAACCAGTCTTGCTTCAAGGACTTGGACATCGCATTCGCATTGCACGGGGGATAGGATTGAAGCATCAGCAGAGCCAGAGCCAACAATGGCGTCCAAGTTCGTCCCACAGCTGGTGCGCCAGGCACAACGGAGCCTGGCAAAGACGCCCACGAGAAACAGACATGTCTTCCGACCTACCAGTAGACAATTCTCCAGCACGCCGTCGTCGCGGAGCGAGACGCTCTCAGTGGTGAGTTTGAACAAATCATACACATTCGACCCATGTTACCTCGACTAACTCGGGTGTACAGCACCGCAATACCCCCGACAACAACCCCTCGATCCCATTCAAGTTCAACGAGACGAACCTACGCCTGATCGACGAGATCCTCAAACGGTACCCACCACAATACAAAAAGGCGGCCGTGATGCCGTTGCTGGACCTGGGCCAGCGACAACACGGCTGGTGTACAATCAGTGTGATGAACGAAGTGGCGCGGATCCTCGAGATGCCGCCGATGCGGGTGTACGAGGTAGCCACGTTTTATACCATGTACAACCGCCAGCCGGTGGGCAAGTACTTTGTGCAGGTGTGCACGACCACGCCGTGTATGCTGGGCGGCTGCGGCAGCGACAAGATCATGAAGGCCTGCGAGGACTTTTTGGGCATTCATTCGGGTCAGATGACGGAGGACAAGCTGTTCAGCTTGCTCGAGGTCGAGTGTCTGGGCGCCTGTGCCAATGCCCCCATGATCCAGATCAACGACGATTACTACGAAGATTTGACGCCCGATACCGTCACGAACCTCCTGCAGGCGCTCAAGGATTCCGCCACCATCAGTGGCTATGATGTGAATAAAATCCCCCGCCCGGGCCCGCAGCCCTACGAAGGCAAGCAGAGGATGAGTTGTGAGCCGAGAGGCGGGTTGACTTCCTTGACTGGCGAGCCGTATCATGTGAAGGATTTCATGAGGACGGATGGTGAGCTGTGAGCTGTGATCACTCGGAGCACTACCAGAGGTTATGGACACAAGAGATATATTGTGCTTGTTGGGCTCTGTGGTTTCCAAGGAATCCCAAGGATGTTCTGTTCATATAGAGCAGTCTTCTGCATCGATGATGAGTGGGGACCCGGCGCGCAGCTCGCGGCTAGTCGAGAGACAGTGCTAAATGAATGTTTCAAGCGAATGTTCAAACGTTGGTCGGCATATCAACACCCTTCAATTGGCGCAACAGGATGGTCTGCTAGTCTGCTAGTATGTACCTGCTTTATACGTCTGCCTATTCAGCCGCATAAAAGGTTCTTTTAAAAAAGGGACGTGCCATTCCGTGATCCACATGTTTACTCGCCCGTCGTGACTAAATAGCAAACCAGAAGGTCAACCCCCTACAAGGAGTACAGGAACAAGCCTTCTGCTGCTCTGAATTGGACACTCGCTCAATCCGTTCATTCGTATCGTTCATATCGCATCACATCGTCGAGTGCCGCCCCTTCCCTGACGCAGGTCCAATCCAACCATTGCAGGTCCAATCCAACCATTGAAGTACTCGCAAGACCAGTTCCTTTTCTGCCAAAACTCCACACGCAAAACACACATAACTCCGTCCCAAGGCCAAGTGCATCTCTCGCTCAAATCCATTTGTTTTTCGTCGTATTGTGGAATGTTTCGCGACGACAAAAGTCCGGATGAATCCTCGAAGTCACCTACATCAAAGACTGGCATATTGCATCATGCCTTCTTTGTGCTCATCCCGGGACATTGTATATTTGGCAGTGGAAAACTCCATATTGGGGGCGATGCCCCATCATGTGAAGACGTCTCTGGCACACCCGTGTGTAGGGGTGGAGGTGACTGGAGCTGGGATTGAAATATTGGGGACAGCTGCTTGGCTTCTACCATGTGGGAAGGCAGAGGAAATTCACCAAAGTGAGCCAAGGGGAGGGCCAGGTCGTCTGAGTCTTCCAGAATTGTCGTTGGCTCGTCAGGGTCATCCCAATGGGATGCACACTCCTCCGCGAGATCATTGACGTCGCCGACCGACGTAGGAGGAGAAGGGCTGGAGGAGGCGCCTGAAGAAACGATGAACGATGGTGCTTGCGGGTGCCAATCCATTGATTCAATAGGATGCTTCGTGTAGACCATGGCCCAAGTCACGTCCCCCTCGATTTCCTCACCGCTAGCAGGCTTGTTGACGTCGCTCTCGTTCGGCTGGATGGCAACACACTCCAAAGGACACTCGCGGATCTGACTATCAACCACGTATCTCTCCACGCGAGCCTTTAGTCGGCGGGTCCCGACGCTGTCCTTGGCCACGAACCATTGTTGGCGGCCGCCGTTGCTGAACCAGCCACTGAAGGAGATAGAAGTCAGCTTGAGGTGACGCTTCAGGCTTTTGATCAGTTTAACCCAGCATTCCCGACGATCATGGACTCCCAGAAGAGTCATGTTGGAAAGTTCGAGGCGCCGAAGAGTAGAGGCATGGATGTTTAAAAAGTGCATCAGATCATCGTCATGGCATATGCACGCTTCAATCGTCAATGCCTGGAGCTGCGGCATCATAGCGCAAGATATCCAGCTTCCGCTGGGACTCTGGAGGAGGGCGCCAAGATCCGACTGCACCTCTTCTTCATCAGAATACTTAGGAATGTTAATACTGTAGTCGGTCAACCTTAGTTTGAGGGTTTTCACTCTCCTCGCTGATCTCAGTAGAGTCTGGACAGACTCGATGTGACGCCCAGTGGTGATGAAGGTGTCGTTGAGGAAGGACAGGTCCAGCAAGTGTGCATACTGCACCAAATTCTTGAAGATCCTGAGTTGCTGGTAAGCTGCCGATGTATCCTTGGGCGCCACGCCGAACAAGGGACGGCTATCTAAGTTTTTCAGCTTGATAGCCTGTAATCGAGATCCCGCGGAAAATGCGGCTGTTAATATTCCCTTGGTGTATGACCTCCCATGAGCGCCAACAAACTGTCTGCAATTTTTAGTGTCCAGATTGACCTTGATTGACCTGGCAATCAAACGATAGAATTGGGGGATCTTAGTCGGGTAGGGCTCCATGTCGCCGTCATCGTAGTCCTCGACACGAATTTCTCGCAGGTTGGGCAGTGCTCTCAAAGCCATGGAGAGGATTGCGACCTCGATGCCCGTGTCCTCATGCGGCGTAAAGCAACCGCCAGAAAGCCGATCGAGAATTGACTCTATGGAAGCCTTCTCCTGTTCCGATCGAGGTCGCGCAAGGTCTGGCTTAATGTGCTTCATACATTGGAAGAACCCGCCAAACCGGGCATCATAGGTTAATTTAGTGACAAGACCCAAGATCTGAAAGCGTCTGACCGCGTTCAAGAAGCCGTAGATGCAGTATTCGTTAGGGACCAAGGCGACCTTGCGCCAAAGATAGGGATCTGCCACTTGAGCCAGACCCCTGGAAGCCAAACGGACGTTCTTCAGTGTAGCACGAGGGCAATGTTGAACAATGATGAGAAGTATTTCATTGGGAAGCTCGGGAATGAGCCGGTCTGATGGAGCGCTTGATGTGGAGGGGTCCATGGTAGGCGACGATCTGGAAGGCACCAGTTTGCATCCAAGTTGGAGCAGTGATGAAGACGGATTGCGAGAGGAGATATTTCACATAGATGTTCACGAAACATGCAATCGACGGTCAGAAATACACGGCCTTAGTATTGATAAGGCTGCCTTGTGCCAATAACTCGGAGTTGAGGCCTGCGCTGTTAGTAATAGCAGCAGTAGTAGGGCGGTTGCCTGCGCGGCATGCCAGTGAGAGTTGACGACGGTCCGTTTAGAACCAGCAGCAATGCGACTGGCGGTGGGCGAGATGGAAGGTTGGCCTTGGTCCAAGTCGTTGTCCAACATCACATTGTCGTGGCATACACGGACGGAGAGGCTTGACAGGCGTGGACAGCTGAATGTCGGGAATGTTTTCACAGCAGCAGAAAGATAATCATCAGATTCTGTGTAGATGCCAGTGACGCTAACTAATAAGCGTCACGATATTTATACCGTCCAACGGATCCGGCGGGTGTTTGGATACAGGTCATTGTAGTAGTGGTGTAGCTGCTCTGAATCGTGTCTTTCAACTCTGCCATTAATAAGTACAAGTTGCAGCAGCGCTTCGCTCTGTCACTAACATCAGTGTCGCCTTCCCCAGGGGTTGTTTGTTCGGAACTCGATACAGATTCCGGTATGAACGCTGCTCCGGTGTCATCCACAGTTCACGAGGCGCCACTGTTTGTGTTGGAGATACAGGTCCAAAATAATTGTACAATATTGTACAGTATACACACAGTACAATTCAAATGTTAGGTATCGTGATCGTGGAAATATCGACCCTCTGGGTATTACCCTTCTTTGGTAGAGCCAACAAATCCTTCGCGTTTGCATTTCCAACAGGTCGAGAACACGCTCCGTCTCTGTTATGAGGCTGGATCAGGTAGTGCGTGTTTAGCCCAGAGGTGAAGCTGTTCTTGATCCGCTCCTGAGAGGAATAGTGCCAATGTGTGGGGTTGATGGCAGCATGCTCGTTCGGATTTTGACTGTTACGGCAAGTGAAATTCCTTCCAGGGCATTGTGGAGGCGCCCACTATGATAGAAGGATGATGATGGTTAGGGCAGTGGGTGTACAACATAGTAGACTGACACTGTAGAGCGACATTGAGAGAACACCACGTTACTATCAGATTCTCCTCGTGCCGGTGGAGGTAGAGCAAAACGTGGTTTTGATAACAGTAGCAAGCGCAAAGCAGAACTGAAGAAGTAAACACATGTAGTAACTGACCCAGGTGCCTAAGGTAGGCCCGGAGGTCCCTAACTGCTTGGTGGTGGTGAGTTGGTGCAGTGCAGTGCCGGTGCCTGAAGCTCAGGCTGTTTAGGCGTTGTAGGTAAAGTGATTAGCAGCCACACGTCGATGTGGCTCCCCTCTCCCAGGCTGCACTTGGCCTGTTTCAAGCGTCTCTCCGGGCACGTTCTTGCCTACGGCCTCCCATTGGAGGAGGCCCGAAGCCTTTGGTGATGCTCGACCACCTCAACTGGGTAATGCTGTTCATTTTCACGATACGCAACTTTTTAAGAACCCAAGCTCAGAGCTTCTGCTAGTTCGGGCTTTTTACAGCTCGGCTACAGTTCTGAAGTGGCCGGGTCGTATCTCTTTCTTCGAATTTTTTCTTTTCTGTATATAACGCCTTCACCGCTGTACTCGATCACTTGTCTCGTTAGTCCAGGGCGGATGCCGCTGTTTGTAATCTGAACTCGCTCCCACCAATATGAAGTCCGTCCTCTGGCCCACCCCGCCTTGCGCCATCGCTAACAAGAACTCCGTGCAGGTTCGGCCAGCAGCTTCGTCAGTCGCTGATCAAGGACTATTATTGGCATTACATTGCCTACGACGACTTGAAAGATGCCCTCAAGAAACCCTTTGTGAATGGCAAAAACGGCGAACGCGAGCCTTGGACCGACGACGATGAAGCCGCTTTCATCCGGCAGCTCGAGGCCGAGCTTGACAAGGTCTATACCTTCCAGAAGCTTAAGAGCCAGGAGATAATATCGAGAATCAAAGCGGCAGAGGCCGAGGTCAAGCAGGTGATTGAGCGACACGAAAACCAGAATTCGCCGGATGCCGAAAGCGATGAGGATCTCGAACAGGACTTCGAATTGCTGGAGGCCGACCTGAGCGATATCATCGCAGATGTGCATGACCTGGCGAAATTCACCCAATTGAACTATACTGGCTTCCAGAAGATCATCAAGAAGCACGACAAGCAAACCGGATTGATCCTTCGACCGTCTTTTGCAACTCGACTCAGGGCAAAGCCTTTCTTCCAGGACAACTACGATGCCTTTATTGTCACTCTGTCCAAGCTCTATGACCTCGTCCGCACAAGGGGACATCCTGTCCAGGGTGATTCCTCTGCAGGTGGATCGCAGCAGAACTTTGTCCGCCAGACTACCAAGTACTGGGTCCATCCCGACAACATCACTGAATTGAAGCTCATCATTCTGAAGCATCTGCCTGTTCTGGTCTTCAACCCCAACAAGGAGTTTGAAGAAAAGGATTCGGCAATTTCATCCATCTACTATGACAATCCAGACACATGGGAATTGTACGAGGGTCGTCTGAAGAAGACAGAGGGCGCTGAAGCCATCCGTCTGCGGTGGTATGGTGGCATGGAAAACGAGACAATTTTCGTCGAGAGGAAGACTCATCGCGAAGACTGGACGGGTGAAAAGTCGGTCAAGGCTCGGTTCACTCTGAAGGAGAAGAATGTCAACGCGTTCTTGGCCGGACAGATGACTGTGGAGGAAGCCTTTGCCAAGATGAGAAAAGAGGGCAAGAAAAGCACCAAGGAAATCGAGGACCTGGAACAGCTCGCCCGCGAGATTCAATATCGAGTCATTACCAGAAGGCTGAAACCAGTCTGCAGATCTTTCTATCATCGTACGGCTTTCCAGCTCCCAGGCGATGCCCGTGTCCGTATCTCACTGGACACGGAGCTGACCATGGTCCGCGAAGACAACCTGGACGGCCGACAGAGGGCTGGCAATAATTGGCGGCGCATGGACATTGGCATTGACTGGCCGTTCTCACAACTACCTCCTGAAGATGTTGAGCGGTTCCCGTACGCTGTTCTGGAAGTGAAATTGCAGACTCAAGCCGGTCAAGAGCCACCCCAATGGGTCCGTGATTTGACCGCGAGTCATCTCGTGGAAGCGGTGCCCAAATTTTCAAAGTTCATCCATGGTGTAGCCACGTTGTTCCCTACGCGCATCAATCTACTGCCGTACTGGTTCCCTCAAATGGGCGTTGACATCCGCAAACCGATTACTCACCGATTCGGCATCGAGCGGCCGGCGAATACAGCAAGCTACTCCACTAGTGACGTTGACGAAGACGAGGACGACTCAGATGACGAACAAGGCGACGGTCAAACTACTGGAAGGACGACTCCGTTTGTGGACCGCTCGACCGATGGTGACGACGAACAGACGAGAAGGCTGAAGGCCGCCCGTCATGCTCTGGCTGAGCATAGCCGTGCTCAAGAGAGCGACAGCCGACAGAATGGGGATGCGCATGGTGCTCCTGGAAACTCACTGGACGAGGAAGAACGGGTTTCCGCCCAACCTCTAGCTGACGAAGAATACTTCTATGACTCGGAGGCCGATGAAGAAGAAAATGAGCTAGAGGAGGCGCGTCATTCGGGTTCGTGGAAGTATTATCCTTTGCTGTTGAAACATAAGGTCCAGCAAGCAGGAGATGCACTCGTCCAGGCGGTCAAGAAGGTCCCTACTTCGACTCCGCTTCCGCAGAATAGCGGTGTTGGCGGCGTCAACCCTTTGAGCGGCCAAGTTCAGGTCAAGCGATTCAAGGCTCCTCCTGGCAAACGGATTCATGTTCCTGTCCGGGTCGAACCAAAGGTGTACTTTGCCGCCGAACGGACATTTCTGTCCTGGCTGGAGTTCAGCATCATTCTGGGCTCGATTGCCGCAACATTGCTTAACTTTGGCGACCGCATCAGCCTGGCCTCGGCATGGGGCTTCACCATTGTGGCATGTGCGGCGTTGTTTTATAGTGCAGCCATCTACTACTTGCGTGTGCAGATGATCCGGAAACGCAGAGCGAGTGTGTCGAGGTACTATGACAAGTACGGGACAACGGCCTTGTGCATGGGACTCCTCGCCGCCACAGCAGTCAGTTTTGCTTTTAGGATCAGACAGGATGGCTGGTTTCAGTGAGACGAGGCGGTCCGAGGGGCCAATGTCTCCTGTAGGAGGGCACTGGCGGGTGGTCCCTACACGTGACAACAGTTTGGATGCTGCAGAGGGAAAAGTCGACGTCTTTGAAGGACGTGTTGGTTGAACATTTACCAATACCCACAGTATGTGTTTTCGACAGTTGCTGAAACAGCATTGCTAATCGTAGTAGTATTTGTGAAGAAGGGAAAAGAGGATGCATCGGCGTCCGCGTTTCCAGAACCACGCCGGGGTTGTCCTGTACCACACTAGGACCAGTGTTCGGTCTACCCTAGGTATGCTCTTAATAACATGGTAGGCACCAGTCCTTGCTTTACCAGAGTAGTCTTCATATGGTGAATAAGAGCAGCACATATACTCCTTACCGTGGTTCGTGGTAGTAGGGTGTCTTTCCTGCCTCTTCACGCGACATTTCACAGAGAGGGCAGTTTCATGGTAGCAGCTGTAAAAGACATTGTCAAGTCTGACTGAAAACCCCCTAAGGATGACACGGCAGATTAGCTTCGTGCTTCGGCGCAAGTGCAAACAAACCTGGAGAAAAAGTGGCTGTAATTTGAAATGATCTCAGCAGCCTGCCGTAAGGCTCTCCAGTCAGACGACAAAACTATTTTTGGCTGCATGGGATCTGTCTGACCTGCGCCTGTGTTCGTGTTCGCCTTCCTCACCTCGGGTTTCTTCAGCTGCAGCGGTCGACGACTCATCAGTCAGCGCCGTCCAAGTTCATTTCAACAGCTTAGCTACTTTTTTTTCCATACCCGAAGCTGCCTTTTTCTTCCTTCTCTTCCTCTTCTGCGTGTACGTACGTAGCTTGACCAAACTCAAAGTGGACGTTATTAAACTATAATTTGTATATCATGATTCCTCCTGGTCCATGGCTACCACCGGACAGCCGAGCACAGGTCTGCTCAACCTAGAGAAAGAACTTGTCTGCTTCATCTGCACCGAAGTCCTGTATCAACCTCTAACCCTTCTCGATTGCTTGCATACGTTCTGCGGCTCCTGTTTGAAAGAATGGTTCTCTCACCAATATCGCAAAGCCACCCATTCTCACTCCGCTTCTACGACACATCCGTACACCTGCCCAACATGCCGTGCCCCAGTAAAAGACGTCCAGCACAATGCGATGATCAACACCCTCCTAGATATGTTCCTCGCCGCCAACCCCGGGAAGGACAGGACTGCAGAAGAAAAGTCGGAGATGGCGCAGATCTACCAGCCCGGCGACGAGATAATGCCCAAGGTGGAGAGTTACCGGAGACGAGAACGCAGGCGGCGAGAGGAAGAGGAAGTCCGCGCAAGAGAGCAACGCAGCGGTGGTTATGTCATACAAGAGAGGAGCCGTCCCGATCAACGGTTGCACGTCAGTTCAGCTGACAGCGCACTGACCCCTCCAACCACGAGCGGACATAGTAGAAGCCGCGAGCGTAGGGATAGAAGGGAAAGGTCGAGGGACTCCGAAAGTCGAACGGCGGAGGAGCGGCAGCAAATCAATGGAGCAGTCGGCTCCCGTCCTCGAAATGCCGCCTCGTCGAGTTCGACAGACTTATCTGCACCCTTGGCCCCTCTGGCTGGTTCGCCTAGACACCCGGATGCAGTCGAGGCTCGCCAAAGGGGGGCGCGAACTGTTGCGCATCAAGCAAGCTTGATATCGCTGGTGAGCGCCTCCGAAAGCGGCACCGGAACTGGGGAGAGTCTCAACGAAGCCCAGCTGATGCAGGAGATACTATCAGAAGGGCTTCTTGATGGCATCAACGTCGAGGAGCTGACTGAGGCAGAACAAGATGAACTCAGTGAAATCATTGCCGAGCGGTACAGGCAATTACATCCAGAAAGGGTGCGACGAAGTGTACCGGCCGTGGCGAGCACGGATCCTGTGTCGGATGAGTCTCGACGGTCCGACGATACACAGATTGAAGAAGCAGATCGTCGACCCCGTCAATCAGCGCGAAGCAGTCAACGACAACAGACCCAACCAAGCCCCAGATCCAGCCGTAGTGTGACTATAGGAGGCGCGGACGGACGGCCTCCCTCGGCTTTTCCACAGGCTTCAGCTGAGCAGGCTCTGCCACCACCTCAAGAGATCACTCATCGACGGAGGCCTTCCGACGAGAGCGGTAGGAGAGACATGTCAAATATGAGAACGGCGAGAACAGCAAGAAGTTCCCACCCCAGCGGTTCACGCAGTACGCCTGCTGCCAGGTCTGCAACCGATCTCTCAGACCGACCCGAGTCTTTTGCGCTTGCCGCGGAACGCCGGAACCCACGCGCAAACGCATCCCGGTCCAATACGGAGCCTCGAGCATCACCGCGAGCATCAGAAGTCTGGCAATCTGCAGGGCGGGCTGGATCAAGTCCGCCTGAAGCTGTTTCTTCGGCTACGCAATCGCCCACAGTGGATCACGATGGGCCAGTCATGTCTAGTGTCAACACTGCGCCCGTTCCTACGTCTATTCCTACGTCGGATCTCGTACCCTCTGGCCTTGAACCGCTCGTGCCGTCTTCCGCCGACGTATCAACACGGTATGAGGAGCCATTGATCGAATGCGCTCGCTGTTTCCGCCCGGGGATTCAGTACGAGCTGTATAAACATTGTCCTTCTTGCAAGATGGACCTATGCTTGCGATGTTACAGAGCTGGGCGTGGTTGCAACCACTGGTATGGGTTCGGCCACGCAGCACTGCTCAAATTCGAGGCATCACAACCGAGGAACCGCAGTAGCCAGGCTATTGAACTTCCCCATTTACTGGTTGGACGTCGGTATCTGATTCCCCCTTCCAACGACCAACCGCGCGGTCAGGAACGAAACGCCACTGTTTCTGGAGATCCAGCATTGCGGCTGCAAGAAGGCAATTTCTGTGACCGCTGCGGCGCCTTCGCGAACGATTGCTTCTGGTCTTGTGATTTTTGCAACGAGGGTGAATGGGGGTTTTGTAATGATTGCGTCAACACCAATCATTGCTGTAACCATCCTCTTTTGCCTGTCGCATATAAACCAGCCGATCTGAACTCCAGAAACACCACTTCGCGACCTGGAACCGCAGGTACAGAGGGTGGCGCTTCCCAGACTCTGAGTCCGTTCACAGCTACCGGCCGTATGCCCTCGCCCGCTCAAAGTGCACCGTCGAGTACGACCTCAGGCACCGGCGTCTATGCTGGCGCTGTTCCGCTGGTAATCACGACACATTGTGACATCTGCTCACGGTCCGTTCTGCCAGAAGAAACAAGGTATCACTGTCCCAGCCATCCGACTCCCTCGGCCGAAAAGCCCGATCAGAAGGGCGATTTCGATATCTGCAGGAAATGTTACCACCGTATTGTCAAAACGGGTCAAATCAAACAGGACGACGGTCCGGATGGATGGCGGCTTTGTCCCAGTGGGCATCGCATGATTGAGGTGACGTTTGAACAAGAGAGTCATGAAGGTCAGCGGCGAGTGATCCTTCGTGACTTGGTCGGCGGCGTCAAGATGACCGAAAGTGACATGTTGGCATGGAAGCTCGCAAACACCCAGCTGTCGCAACCGAATAACAGCTCTCAGTGGGCTTGGGCCACTCTTGCTGATCCGCCGGCGGCAGCACCAGCAACAGGTGTCGTGCCAGAGTTTCGCGGCCTGGGAGGCCAATGGGTCTGGCGGGAAGATCCCGCGGGAACGCGACGAGCGACTCGACCGCGAGATGCCATTCTTCCCAACCCCACCACCAAATTCCCTCCGGATGGCGGGTTCGGCAAAGTCTGCCGTGCTCGATGGGGCTATATCCCAGCCGAAGGCGAGGAAGGGGAGGGAGAACTAATGTTTCCGAAACACGCCGAGATCAAGGAAGTCGAAGAGGTCAACGACGAGTGGTGGTTCGGTGTTTATGCCGGCGACATGGGCGTGTTTCCGGCCGCCTATGTGCGCGAGGTGTGAGGTTGTGGTTGTCGAGCTACTAGTAGGTATTAGCATTATCATCTCTCGAAAAAAAAAAAAAAGAAAGACAGAGAGGCAAGGCAGACGAGGCAGGTTGAAATTTCCATGAATGACGACGACGTCCACGACGAATTGATTGAGTGACGACGAAATGAAATGAATTCAAAAAGGGACAGAAAAAAGCAAGAGACGAGGGCTCTCGGACCAGCACCAGTCAAGTAGAAAGGATTTTTGTAGTCGCCACGAATGGAAAATTGGGACACGTTTGTTTAATCGTGTTCTGTAAACTCCCTCTGCGCTTTTGAATTTCATTCACTACTAGTAGATTGCTGTGTGTGTTGCTGTGCTGTGTCTACCAGTATTCGACGTATGTAAACCGTTCGCATGGTGCTGCAGCATTTCACCATGAAGACCCGTAACGAGGCGGTTGAGTGCAATGGTTTCATGAAAGCATGCCTGCCTTACTATGATAGATACCTGCTCACCATTTACGACAACATGGGATATCACTGAATGTGGCAAAGCATCAGATTAGAATAGAAAATGGTAGGTCCTTTTCATTCATTTTCATGAATTATAAGTTATAACATTAGGTAGGAGTCTACTTGAGCTGGACTATTTCGTGTCAAATAGTAGAAAATATCGTCTGCCCAAAGTTGATTCATCCTATCCTGAAAAGAAAGATTGAGAATGCCATAGTCGACTGTTTATATATCTGGCCTTTGGAACAGTTCTTGACATCTCAGGGGTAGAAAGTAGCACATCGCCCGAGAAAAAGGGGTATAGGGTATAGGGTAATTGCAATGTGGTTGTTTGTTTACTTGTTGGTGATAACGAATGCAGTGCGATTTGACGGCGCCTTTGTCGGCAGCTCGGCGGCACAGTGCAGTGTAGCATTGTAGCCACTCAAACGGCCTGGTTCTTCTCCACGGGCTCCGTGTGACGAGCAACGTCGACGCCATCGCTGTCGTCTCTCTCGTGGTGTTGCACAGCAAAGCTCAGGCGCTTCTCCGGGTCAACCTCGCCATGCTCCTCTCTGATGACATGCTTGTAGTCGACATGGGTGTTCCAGGGCTTGATGTTGCTGAGGAAAATCTCCTCGACTTCCTCGAGGGTCTTGCCGGCCGTTTCGGGGAAGCAGAAGAAGACGTGGATGGTCATGGCGGTGCAGAAAATGCCAAAGACAATGTACACCTTCCACTTGATGTTGACAAAGGCCGGAGGCACAAAGTACGACAGAGCAAAGTTGAAGATCCAGTTGGCCGACGTGGTGAGCGCCACAGCCTTGCCTCGGATGCGTAGCGGGTACAGCTCAGGGGGATAGATCCAGGAAACTGGACCCCAGGTGGGTGCGAATGAAGCCACGAACAGGTACGTGCAAGCAATAACGCCCTTGGCTGCTCCGCCGTGGATCTGCCAGGATTCCTCCTCGACGTGGTCGACGCCACCGGGTGGTGCTGGAGATCCGTATGAGGCCATCAGCCCAGCATTGGCAAACATCCATGTCGCCATGAAAGTGGAGCCAACCAGCAACGGCCAGCGGCGACCCCACCGATCAATGAACATGAGCGCGAAGATGGTCATGAACACGTTGATGACGTACTGAATCGAGGACGCCACGAGGTTGGTGTTGCCAGTGAGTCCAGCCATACCTACCGGGACAAAAATCAGCAACAAGGAAAACGACAAGAGTTTCTTTGAGATGAACGGGACTCACCGAAGACGTAGGTGATGTAGTACATCATAACGTTCATGCCAGTCAGCTGTGACCAGATCTGGGTAAAGACACCAATATGAGTTCGCCAGATCATGTTGGGCTTGAATAATTCGAGGTAGGTGACATCGGCGTTTCGGCGCTCAAACTCGCACATGTCCTTGATCTCTTGCAGTTCACGGAGGACAAAGCGGTTGTTACGGTCACCTTTGGCATGGACAAGAGCCAAGACGCCATGGCACTCTTCCCAGCGATCGTTGCGCGCAAGCCATCTGGACAAGGTCGGTCAGTGAGATTTCTTAGCAATATGTCGGCGGCAATCGAACGTACCTGGGTGATTCGGGAAGGAAAAACAGGCCGAAGAACAGGATAATGGCCGGAATCATCTGCAAGCCCCAAGGAACACGGAAGGCGGCATTTCCATCAATGAAGCTGCAGCCATAGCTGATGTAGAACATGATCAGAATGCCCCAGGTGATGGCCCATTGCTGGGCACCCACGACACGGCCTCGTTTACTAGGAGGCGCCAGCTCAGAGACGTAGACAGGCACTGTATCAGTAGTCAGCGTTCAGCTTCCATCAACGGAGGTAGTATGAAGGCTTCCTTACCCTGAGCAGAACAAATACCAACACTAAAACCGTTGATGAAACGACCCGCAACAAGCATTCCGATGTTTTGGGCGGCGCACACAATGATACAGCCGATACACCAGATGACAGCGCCAATCTGGATGGCCCTCTTACGCCCGAAAATATCAGACAACTGCAAATGGTTAGTTCATGCTGGCGCCAGATTCATGTAGGACAACATACAAAGCCAGAGGCTAGAGCGCCAACGAAACTGCCTCCTGGCATTGAGGCTGTGATGCCACCTTGGGTATCGGAATGTGGTCCGGAGCAGTCTGGCGGGCCATGACCCTCGTTGAAGTAGCTACCACCCAACGTCAATAACAATTCTGATGGGACCGCGTGCCGGAGTCGGCGTACCATTTGTATTGAGATGTACCGAGACTGTGTGACAAGTCAACTCTGAGCAGAACAGAACAGAACAGACGACCTTCTTACATTGCGCTCATGGAACTAATATCAAAGCCGAACAGGCCACCGCCTATGACAGCGATGGCCGTAATGAAGTAGATGTTGCCGACTTCGTACATGTTGGTGACGGGTGAGTTTCTCGTGTCTGCCGGTACCAACAGTGGAGGAGAGGTGGAGGACAGGAGAAAGACCTGCGTGGTCAGGGCGGGAACAGGGCCATCTTTGTATCCTCGCAGTGAGGCCGACAAGGCCAAGGGGGTCCAAGGTGCCCACACTGGCAGGATTCCTCGCGTACCATGGCGTGAGGGTGCCGATGGAAGCGGAGAGTGTTACATGGGGAGCGCTGGTTGTGGTACAGTGTAGGCTGGGCAGAAGTGTCGCTGGTAGACTTGGAGGAAGCGTCGCAGCTGCGCGCACTGCACTGCAGGGAAGTTTGACGATGACGAGTAAAAGTGTGGAGTAAGGATGCGACTAGACTGCCTCGTATTCGCGGGGATCAAGTAAACAAGCACTTTGCTAGGGCCTAGCACCGTTGTTCCCGCGGGGCTGCAGGCCGCTACTGGTATGCTAAAGACCTCTGGGGTTGCACTAAACAATGATAGTGCTTTTAGCACGGTATCTTCCAGCCTATCAGGACGCAAAATATGCCTTTCTATTCCCACCAACCAATCTTGTCTCCCATTTCTTCCTCCCTCGCCAGGTCTGTGCCTCTACTATGTACCATTGTCCTACCACTTGGCTTTGTTGCTTGCTCAAACTAAGAATTTCTCCAGCGCAGTGGGGTCTGCCGCCTTTCGAATTCCTCAAGCTAAACGCCCCAGCCAGCGCCGCTGACACCATTACCCGGCCCAGGATGTTGTTCCTGCGATCGACCAGTTGTCGGGCATGGCTAGCAAGGCATCCACAGCCTGAGACCCGAATGCAACAAAACCTGCTGATCATCCCTTGAATTTGGTCCTGTGATACTACCACCTATGCCCACCCCCTGACTTTGTCCAACCGCCATCAGCAAATCCTGGGGCTGATGACCCAGCAGCGACCACGTCGATGCAACCTCATCTTTAACGGAGTTTGCCTATAATCACCAAAAGAAAGCACGAGCACATCGGAGTCCTCTCCATGACAGTGCATCGAGCGTGTCGTGGCCTCGGCGGATCAGTGAGCGAGGACGATCTTGCACGCTACCAGAGGGTGAATTGGCAGGACAAAGAACATACGCTGCAAAAGCATTCCATGGCTAACAACGTCTCAAGGACTCGGAGTGAGGAGGTGATCCTTACAAATATAACACTATTCAAATCCCCACTGCGCTGTGAACATCCCAATATCAATAGTGTTGTAACTGTAAGGTAGGCCATGAAGCATGCGACATGCGAGTTCAAGGCTGACTACCGACTCTAAGCGTCCGTGCAGTGGGGCATCATCTCCGACCGGCACAGAGTTGCCGACTTTGCCTTTCATCGTGATCAGCCTCAAGCCACATGTCAGCCAGGGAAGTTTGCTGCCCAGCATTTCGGGGTCGAAGAGGTTTCATCATCACCTACAAATGTACTAGCAGGAGCTCTACTATGCACTGTACATTGTCAGGATTCAAATGTTTCATCGCTCCCCACAAGTACTACTCCCAACCGGTTTGGAGGTGAGCCGCCTCTGGGGATTTTACTGCGAACTGCAACGTTGTAATAGTGAACCGGGCGTCTTCCCGAATCCTTGCACTGGTTTGTTGGGGCGCATGATCTGCATATTTGGTGAAGCCTTGCCTCGCCTCAGGTTTCGCTACTACTGCCAGAAAATTTGATGGTTTGTCATTGCTCCCCATTTCTTTCCTTGTCATGCCAGTGGAAGACCATGCGAGCCCACTCTCGGTCAATGAAATCTTTGGCGTAGGCTCTCAAGCATCAGTGCCACCCTGGATGCGACGACTTGACTTGTCAAGAGAACCGAAAGCGACATTGCTTTGTCAGACTCATGGTATGCTCCAGCGCTGGTATGCTCGTGTTATTCAGGATTCATCAAGCAGGATCTTTTCCCTGATAGTGCATTACGGAGATCTCCAGCCGCCGAGTATGGAATCAACAAGGATAATATACTGGTTTCCACGAGCGCCAGAACTTGTGAGCCCATCCATCGAAACAAGCGAGGCTTTTTCCAGGTCTATTGGCTTATTGGGCCTGCTTCGCATAAACGCAGCATCTCATAGGCAAGCAGTATCAAGACAGGGGGAGCAAGATACCACACTGTCTTGCTGGCTGAAAGGTGCCTGGTCGTGGAAAGGCATGTATCCAGCATCTTGTCTCCGAGAATTGGCTTTTGTGACTGTTTTAGTCTTAGAGCCTGCATGTAGAAGGGTTGAGAGTATGCAGCAACAACCATGTCAAGCCCACACCAGCTGTGGCCCGGAGCCCTGAGACTCGGCCCACTTCATGCTTTGGGGAGCTGACAAGAAATTATGGTCCAAAACTCCAAGAGTCTGTGATAAGGACCATATCATATTTGTGTGCTGAATACCCGAGGTTGCTGAGGCCAAAAAGCCCGTTTTAGGTATTTCAGTTGGTCTTCCTGCTCGGTGTTTGCGCATACGCAAGATTGAATGTTTTCGAAATCTCCCCATATGCGACGTAAAGTACCCAAAGTGGTATGGAGACCCACAACATGTTGAAGAATACAAGGTACAGCCAGAGATAGACCGGGTCTTCACCAGCCAAAGCAGTGTTTCCACTCAGCCATTCCGGTGCAAAAGTCATGAAGCCTCCATAGAGTTCTCCTGTGGCTACCATGATCGCCGCAAACCACAATTTGGTTTGGCATCGAGCTCTAACCGCCTGATCATTGCTGTTGGCCCATTTGGCAATGAGATAGCAGATGTATACGGCAGCAGGTCCGGCAAGGCCGACAGTGAGGATTTCCAACGATATCACGGTCAAATCAGCGCCTCCCCATCTTCGATCGGCTTTTGCATATTCCTGCCACAGTCTCGCCATCGGGGCTTGCGAATAAAGAGCTCCATAGCGACGGTCTGGACGATTGAACAGGTACGCTTGGGGTTCGGCTCTGGGAAAGTGGGATTGCGACTTGGGGACGGGCACTTCGATGTACGAAAAGAAGCAATGGTACAGGTAGCTGCCCTCGATGATGAAATGGGTGAGGAAATCGTAAGCATGCCAAAAAAACAGAAAATAGTATTTCCGAGGAGTCGACGGCCTTAGGACTTTGGCAGCGAGGAGTTGAGCCGTGGGCATTAGAGCAAATGCGATGGCGAGGGAGGTTGCAGTGCCCCTGTCCAGGGTGAACGGCGGCGAGGCGGCCATCACGACAGAGGAGGCCATGCCTAAGGCGATAGAAACTATCGTCTCCTAGGAAGTTAGAGCACTGTGGGTTCTGGTGTGCGAGGTTGAAGCAGGCGAACAAGACAGGAACCGTGGCAGCTGCGCCCCCAGAAAAATGTCAGGAACTTGAACCGTCCGAGCTCAACTTAGTGCCACTCAACGGCAGTACCTTAAAGCCACCCCCAGATCCACGCCAGACTGGAGGAAGCAATCGGCCGCCGCCTCCCCACCATCTCAGACCCTGCGCCCGCTGTCTGTTGCCCTCAACCGCTCAACGCGTAGAGTCTGGCAGTGATGGCACCTCATAAACCCCCGCTGCAAAGTCTCGCTGCATCGAGGGTGCGCATGCGAGCCAGTGTCGCCCTCATCAGTCGTCACACAACACGTTGAGGCATACATCCTCATTGCAACTCGCTTGACCGGGCTTAACCACTTCTGAGTCTTTTACTCTATACATTACACATCTTGACGGCCTCTCATTTTGCCTGATTCGTATATACAATCCTTTCCTGTTCTTCGACTCACGAGAGACAATGGGCTACAACCATGGGGTCTGGGGTCGATGACATCCCCTGTTCAGGCCCCATAGTGACATAAATCTGAGAGAAGCACAAGACAGTCCAAGGGCCACGCTCGAACCTACACTATCTGTGAAGTGAGAACTACCCATTCGCCGTGCCACCCCGATTGAAAGAGGCCTGGGGGAGGCAAAGTGGTTGAGTTGATGCGAGAATGGAAACATTTTCACAAGACCAAGCTGGATCAGCCCCGGCCACCACCGCCGCCGACTCTCTTCTGCCTTGCGACGCCTGTCGACGACGAAAAGTGAAATGCTCCAAGACTGAGCCTTGCGATCGATGTCTCTCGACAGGCTTAAGATGTACAAGAGAAATTGCACGGAAGAAGAGAGGACCGAAGAAGGGCTCGGGTTCGGTGATCTCAAAGCTGAGGGACGAGAACCATCATGAAACTCCACCACAACCCGAGTTGAGCCTGCCTCCATTCGATCTATCGCAGCTTCAACGACAGATGCCGCCTCTCAATAACGCCTTGCCAGAGGAGAGCCCATTTGGATCACAGTTGACTTCTCCACTGACTTCCCCCACCACTTCGCAGTTCGGAGACTCTTTCGGCCCTTTACCAGAATCAACAATCGATGTCCCACGGTCTGTCCCCGTGGATCTCGGCGGAAGTAGTAATGAACCAGACACTGTCCCCCATACAGCATTTGCCCAGGCAGGTATCCAGTTGCCTGTTTCATGGCAAACCCCAGCCTCGCAACTTCTCCAGTTGCAAGCCCCTATTTCTCCCATCGGCTATGTTTCTGTCAGCGACCTAGCACAGCAGATATTTTCAGACTCCCCTCTCCCACCAATGACAAGTGGCATGGGGTCGAGATCCAACGGACCTTCCCCCTCCAGGACATCAACACCATTTTCCAAGAACGCTGTCTCCATAGACGCTGTTCTCACCAACGGAGCGCCGTCTCCGGCCACAACTTCCACAAGCTCACCAGCACCGCTGCATGGCCCGAAATGCCTCTACCGAAGTGACTCGGCCACATCTCAAACCGCCGAACCGCGGTTACAGAGTTTGGCCGCCGAATTCGGCCTGTCGGCATATCTCATGTCACAGTGTGTCCGCCAGTATTTCCGCCATCTATACTCGATTCGGCCGATCATTCACGAAGAAACGTTTCTTCGGCGACTGAACCAGCCTGACGAGCTTTCCAACGAAGATAAAATCCTGATCCTCTCACTGTGTGCAACCACGGTGCTCCATGCCGCGCCGCAATCCGACCTGACGCTAGACAGAAAGCTACAGCTTGGAAGGCAGTTTGTAGAATTGTGTTGTTACTTGCGCTGTTCCAGCGACTGGCCAGAGACCAGCACACTGCTCTCCATTCAAGCAAGTTATCACATGTGCGTTGCACTTTTTGAGCTCAGAAAGCCGCGGGCCCATCACTTCTACCTGCGTGAAGCGATCGGTATGGCTATTGAACAGGGCCTGCACTTGGAATCCACCTATACGGGCATGGACGACATCCAAGCCATTTGCTCCCGACGGACATTTGCTCTCTTGTTCATCACCGAACGCGGCCTGGCCATTCTGCGCAACAAGATAGCCCAAATCCCGCGGCTGCCACGTCTCCTGTCGACCGAGTATTTCGACGATCAGGACGGGATCGTCCTGGCCGGATTCTCCGCGTTGGTCAACTTGTTTTCCATTCTGGACGAGAAGTTTGTGCGACTGTGGAGCGCGACGTCTCCCGACGACGTGTCCGACGCACCCTACGAGCCTGTCGAGAATGTCGCCGCGCTGCAACACTCGTTGAATGACATGACCTTCGACGACTCCGCCATGACGGATATCCAGAAAGCCGATGTCCTGATCACCCATCAATGGCTGCGTCTGGTCTTCTGGCAGGCGTCCATGCGCCAGGGCCTCATCAGCTACGTCGCCTCCGACCCCATCTTCTCCTCCACCTACCCCATCACCATTGCCAAGGATTTGTGTCTCGCCCTGTACAACTTGACCTTTGACGCCATCCTTGTTCATGGGATGGGCATTTTTGAAAAACTCTTCGAGGTTGCTTATACCTTGATGGACGCCCTGACCATCGCCAACTGTAATTGGTGCGACAGTCATGAGCTGCGGTATCTGTTCGACGTGCTGAGCGCAAGTCCAAACAGCCAGAACACGTATGTGAAGATGCTCAGGACAAAGATCGAGACTGAGCAGAGTCCCCAGCCCGCTTCCCCTATTGTTGCATGATGTAGCGGAAACTCGATTGCACGCATGGATTGGTGGCTGGGCTGAGCCTGGCCTCATCGCATTAAAATCTAATTGTCATACATAATATATTTACTCTACCTACCGGTTGAGCATGGTAGCATAATCTTACGGAGCATAACGACGGTAATGGGAAGCGTAAGTGGTTTGCCATGAGTCGCGATGAGGAACAAGCAAAAGAAGCATGAGTGAAATATAGATACGCAAGACAGAGAAAAGCTCGTTGTTATTTCGCTTCAGTTCCAACCGGCTAAAGCGCCTCCGTCAACGGTCCAACTTGCGCCGGTAACCAGACTTGCTTTGTTGCCGGCCAGAAACACTGCCACATCTGCAATCTCTTCAGGCTGGCCGAACCGTTTCATGGGCGTATGCTGCACCGGGTTGGCCTCCAGCCAGGCTCTGACCTCAGGGCTGGGGTTGGTCATGGGCGAGTCCACGACCCCCGGCAAGACTGCATTGACACGGATCCTGTCGGCGACGTAGTCAAGTGCATCGCAGCGAGTGAGTGCTAGGACGCCGGCCTTGGCACCACAATATGCAGGACAATTGGGCTGTGCGTAGACCGCGAGAGCAGAGGAGATGTTGACAATGGCGCCACGCTGTGCTCGGGAAGGAAGAATTTTTGCCTCGGGATAGGCTTCGCAGTCAAGAGGTTGCGACCGCATGATCCTGATAGCTTCGCGGGAGCATAGCCATAGGCCTCGGTAGTTGATGGAGTTTTGTCTGTCGAAATCCTCCACGGGCAGGTCGGCGCTGGGTCCGCCGAAGACAATGATTCCTGCGCAATGGACTGAATAGTCAATGCGGGAAAAGCTCTCCTTGGCTGCGGCATAGGCGGCAACGACACCCTCAGGCGAGGACACGTCACATTTGTACGTCCTCACCAGAGGATTTACACCAGTAGGCCAGACGGTGTCTGTCAATAGTCTCTTGGTGACTTCTAGGCCGGCCTCGTCCAGATCGACCAAAGCCAACTTAGTGCAGCCTGCTTGTACGAACGACAATGCAGTTGCACGCCCAATACCTGTGTCAAAAGCGGTCAGATGGAGGACGGCCATTACGGATCTTGACCATGGAAGTTCATGAGGCCAACCAGCCGTGATTTGCGGACTTTGGGCGACGTACCTGACGCAGCGCCAGTTATCAAAGCGACGCCGGGAACGTCAGTTCTGGTGGCCATTTTCCGAATAGAAATATTTCTCCAAAGATCGAATTGTAGGGTAATAGAGCCCACTGCAGCAGGAGGGAGATCTCGTCTTTGAGAGGTGAGACTTTGAGTGCGTCGGAAGTATGCACAGTGGCAGGAGTGTGATGGCGCTTGCCACGTCAAGCCGCGTCTCAAGCGCATATCCAGGCGGGGAGCTTAGTTGCCAGCTGAAACCGCAAGCTTCACCTGTAGCCATACAGAGGCTGTCACGTGCGAACACCTCAGGTGCCAATGGCATGCTTGGTTTAGTGAACCCTCCTTGTATATCGGGCAGGCATGTCGGGACCGAGGTGGTGACGACGGGCGGTCGATTGAGCGGAGATTCATAGTTGTTACAAGGACATCAGTCTGGTTAGAAGTAGTCATCATCACCACGGCCACGCATCCTCGGTTGCTGCACATGTACCTGGCTGCTTCTTGGTTGTTGTGACCTTATCGTGCGTCTGAAATCATTTGCAAATCCGCTGAGGTCAGCGCAGCCCTTGTCCACATATATGGTTTGTGCATCAGGAAGCCATTTCTTGATGTGGTTGACGCGGTCATAATGACTTGGATGGGTGGACATGAACTGGGGAATAGAGACTTTCTCGGATGCCTTCATTCGTTCCCAAAAAGCGACTGCTTCACGAGGGTCATAGCAAGCTTCCGCCATCATGAGCAGACCAATGTGGTCTGCTTCTGTTTCCTGAGTCCGGGAGTTCGGGAGCTCAAGGAGGAGGTCAACCACTGAGTTCGAGAAGCGAGTGTCCACTTGGAAGATCAGACTGAAGAGGATCGAAGCAATGAGCGTGATGCTGGATCTTGAAAGCCTCTCCGCCATGTGGTGGGCAACGTTATGGGCGATTTCATGGCCTAATACCGTGGCCACCCCCGCTTCGGTCTCGCAGATGGGCAGGATGCCTGTAAAGACGAAGACTTTGCCTCCAGGGACAACAAACGCATTTTGCATGTTCGGATCATCAATGACATGGACTCGCCAGTCGTCGCCTGCAAGACCACCGGTTGTGGGAAGTAACCGTTCGGTAACACGAGCCACGAGTTTCGTCAGTGGGTGGTTGGCCGGGAGGATTTTGCCCCTGTACTGCTGAAGCGTCTGCTCATATGCGCCTTCGCTCAATTGCTTTTCCGTGTCTGGTGACAAGATGTTGAAGCGTCGCCGGTGCGTTATGGGCACTTCCTCAAGGTTGTAGACGTAGAAGACAGCACCTCCTGTGCCGGCAATGATGATGGGCCTTTGGTAAGTCCTCCATAGGTATTGCGCCCTAAGCATAGGGCCGAAGTTGCTCCATTGTTGTTGCTGATAGTTGCTACGTCTCTCCCCGAAGCGTGTATATCGCGGTCGCTCGTAGAAAGTGCGGCGTGGTTGGAAGTGCGGGACTCGCTGGAATGGGAAGGTTGGTTTTGGACTGAACCGCGCTGCTCTGCCCGCGACCCTTAACCCTACTCTCGACGTGAACATTATCGGCAGCAGGAACTCAGATGGCGAGAGGATGTGCTTCGGAATTGTCGTTCCAGAGGCAGTTCGAAGATGTAAAAGGCAGCAGTGTGTACACCCGCCATCGTCATAACGGCATCATATTGCCACAATGATCATTACAGGCACAGCTGCAGCTGCCAGAACGTTCCGAGGGGAGTCTTGGGAACTCAAAAGACGGAGTCGAAATCCCGCTCCATTCGGTGTTTATTTTAAACGCGGCCGGGCGACGAGGCCGCGGGATCATGTGACCTCGAAGTGTCCCCAACTCCCGCCGACGTCAGACGTGCCACAGTTCGCCAGAGTGCAATCGTGGCCTGTATACATTATCGGGGTGCGCAACTACAAGGAGCAGTAGGTGGTTAACCGCACGCCTTCAAATATGTCTCTTGTCGCGTACTCGGACTCTGAAGGGTCTGATGACGAGCAGATCCAGACGAAACCCGAAAAGCCTGTGTCGAAGCCTGCCATCGCGCCCTCCAATACCGCTTCAAGTTTCACAGTCAACAAGGCAAATCCAAGGAAGATACAAGTCAAGCTGAATGAGGTAGCGACCAATGGCGAAAATGACGGAGAGCCCGCTCCAAAGAGGCCCCGGGTTGGAGGAGGGGCATTCAGTGGCTTCAACGCCATGCTCCCTGCGCCGAAGCGCGATGGCCAGACACAGGCGCCGCCAAAACCAGCGGCAAGAAAAGTGTTCAGTCTGAGAACGGGTGCCGAGCCTGCATTCAGTCGAGATTCAGACTCGGAACTGCGACAGTTGTTCGCCGAGCAAGATGCAGACGGCCCTGCACAAGGTAATGGGGACGACACGATACCGCCTATCCCATCTGCTGCGAGTAGTACGACAACTGTCACGAAAGAACAGCCTGTCAAAGGTAATGTGTTCATGTTCAAGCCGCTGTCTGTGGCGCGAAACAACAAGAAACCGAAACGCAAACCTGAACAGTCAACAACTAGCGACATCAACCGATCAAGTGGCCAGACAGCGCCTCCGTCTGCCACTACAAATTCTGATACGGTCGACCCTGACAAACCCGCTCCGCCACCGAAGAAAGTGGCTCTGTTCTCTATGACCAACGAACCAGAAGAAGCTATACAGGTCGATGATCCCCAGGGAGGCGAGGACGAGATTGTCGAAGTCCTTGACGAACCTGTTACCGACCAGACCTACAACGAATTCAACCAAATGCCCACGACCACGGCCACGGCCACATCCAACCATTCACAGCCCCAGTCTCTGGACGCCATTGCATCAGACTTAAACCTTTCCAAAGCAGATAGGCGGCAGCTCTTTGGACGGCGTGGACAAGGTACAGCCTCCGCGGTCAATGTGGTCAACTTCAACACCGATGAGGAGTACGCAGCGAATGAGGCCCTGCGTGCCAGCGGAGAACAGATACAACATACCCCGGTCCGGGCTATTGCTCCCGGCAAGCACAGTTTGAAACAGCTTGTTAGTGCCGCTACGGGGCAGAAGGACGCGCTTGAAGAAAGCTTTGCCACAGGGAGGAGGAACAGGAAGGAAGCAGGAAGCAAGTATGGATGGTGAACGGTTCTGGTACGAATGGCAATCTCGCGTCAAAGAGGGAAAATGACCCTCTTCCCTTGGTAACAGGGCAGGAAGTCGTCTTTCCTTGGAGGTACTGCCTGGACAGATATTTGTGAATGACTCTATCAACTTGTACAACGATCGTGCCACTGAAGCTATGCCTCGATCCTCATTCGGAATCAAGAGATCACATGCTGCCGTACATGAACGGCCATTCATGTCGGAGTCTCTTCCCATGCTATTCCGACTCAGAAAAGTCCATCCACATGTCCCAGTCGACATCATCAAATTCGGGGTCGTCCTGAATCGACATGATGTTAGGACCAGTGCCTTCTTCTTCCGGGTGACCCTGGCTCCTTCCACCAGTATCTGCGCCTTTTTGCCCGTCTGCTCCTCTGGCTACTTCAGTATGGGCCGTCACGAGCTGCCCTGGCGGTGCCACCATGCCGATTATCTGTGGATAACTGGTATCTCCATGTGGAGGGTGTACATTGAAAGTCCCGTCCGCTCGGTGGATGTAATGGGGGCCCCAGTTGAGGTCTGGCATGAAGGCTATATCCACGTTAATCTTGAATGCGTCATCTTGGAATTTGTTCTACTCATGCCCACCCTGTTCTTTTGTTGGGTGCATGCGCTGTCGCTTATTCTCCGGCACACTCACCAGCCGCTCACTGTTGGTGTTGGCACCTTGGAACGACCCGGGAAAGCTGTCGGCAAAGGGAGGTTGTTGCACGGAAGGGTCGTGGCGGTAGTGACCATCCGCAATTTGTCTTGTTGATGTCGCTGGACGATGGTACATGTTCGGATTGTCATCTGGCTCTGAGAACTCGGCAGGTCTGAACTGGCCGCTGAGAACGCTGGCTGGGGTTGGTGCAACATTTAGAGGTCCAGGGCTGCGCAATCGACGAGACTGTGTCTCCTGGCTTCTGCGTACCCGCATATATGGGTCCCAACGAGGGAAATTTGGAGCGCGGACGGTGAGTCCTTGAGACCGTCTCATTCCAGCGTCTTGAGCATGTGAACCTGCCAACTGTGGCTGTCCTCCATTGAAAGCAGGGGGTGGTTGTTGCAAGAATGGATGGCGTTCTCTTCGCTGTTGCTCCCGAATCATACGAATCGCATGTTCGGCTCTGTCTTCAGGGTTGCTTTCGACCTGTACATTGTTCCCGGCTTCGCGCTTCCGCTTCTTCTTGATATGTCGAGCAAGGTCCCTTACAATATCCTGCTCGATCTGGGACAAATCCATTGTTGCTTGTGATGGGCGGTGTGGACTCTGGAGTCAGTGGGTTGTGGTTGAGCTCTTGTTGCAAAAGTGGTGCCTGAAGTCGACAGAGGACGTTTGTGTCTTGATGATGATGGAAAGGTTGCCATGCGCCCTGCCACACAACAGCTGAAGATATATCATTGCGTCCTGGATCACGTCGCCGCGGTACCTTTCCCACAACAGCGCAGTGAATCCGGCGTGGCAGTCAGTAGTGCAGGTATCGACTGCCTCCCGGACAACGAACTTAATTCACCGCGATAAAAAACGCAGCGTCTCACCGACTGGTTCCATGCCATGGCTCCAAATGCTTTGAAGAAAGCAAGAAGAGAGAAGCAACCTGCTGGTGTTATAAGCATACTGCTTCGCCAGGGGAAGAGTGATGCCACATGTCCTGTCCTCGGGCAATACCATCTCTTCCTGAAGACCAGATCCATCAACTGCCAGTGGTTCCAGAATGTCGACTACTTCATTAGGTCTCAAGGAAACTCAGTGCTCCGCGGAATGCGCAGTGCAGAGCTCAATGCTGGGCAATCCTGATCTGTTTCATACTCAAGAACACTGTTTAAAACTAGGGCATGGACTTGTGATCATGAGCCGGTTCATTTGATTCGGGAAGGCTGCAATGGAGTGAGTGGAAAGCTCCAATGGACTATGTACTACTTCAACTTTGTCACTGCCTTGCGATGGCAGACATGAAATATAAGGCAATCACGTTCAGCTATTCTATGGGAAGGTGTGTACATGCACCAAATGGATACGCAGGGTAGGACCGACCTGGTGGTACTCGAACCGGCGAGCTGCCGAGCAAGGATCCCGGCATAATAGTACGGAATGAGACCACATTCAGCGCTGCAGTGGCAGAGTGCATTCTGCTCGCCATCCGGACTGGAATGAAATTGAGCAATACAGATCGAGTTGACAAGATTGCCACAGCTGGATTTCTCTCCTACGAAAACAAAGTGACTTTCTGGCACTAAGATGCGATGGACTACTACTGTATACAATATCCAATCATGATTCGAAAAGTCACCAGGGGCCAGAGGATTCCAATAGATAGACAGGCAGTCTTTATTCGTCATCACACAGATCATACACAAGACGAGGGTGCCTCCATACATAACGGCTGTGCAAGGTTCTCCGTTGTGCTATATTACTATCCCTATCAGGATTGAGGAAGAGCCATGAATGAATCACCGAGTTTCCACGCACAAAAAAGAATACCCTCCGCCTCCCTCCCTGATCGGACCGTGCCATGATACTAGCTAAGAGTTGCTTGGCTTGTGGATAGAGACATCAGGACTGTTCTCAGTTGCTTTGACCACAGCCATTAAATATCCCACACAGACCGCACTATTGCGACTACCCAGGGATAAATGGTAGGTTCCTCCGATTGCTTCATGGTGGTTATGGCTGCCATGAGTCGGGACGCCGGTAGGTATAAGCAGTCAGACAGGAAATGTCGGATCACACGGGACGGAGAGATCTGGAAATCTTTTCAAGCCGAGAAGAAGGGTTGGTTGGATTGGATCGTTCGGTGTCTGCGTGGTAGGCCGGGCCTTTATTCGTCATGAGGAACTCGGCTGGACGTCGGCACGAACAGTCGTCTTTCATGGAGCCAAAGAAGGTCATGATACCGTTCGTAGCAATCCAGACATCGGTGAGGTAGTGACTGTAGATGAGATCTTGATGAGAAATGCCATTCCATAGAGAAAGAAAAGCGTATCATAGGTTGGTGCTGACAGCGTACAGGCTGGACATAAGTGCTGTCTGCGGCTGCGGCTGCAGCACCGGCCGAAAGACAGTTGCTAGCAATAGGAGAAACAAGTCGGCTTTTGTCCTAAGAAAATTGAGGAGAGGCAGTGGTGACGACGTGATGTGCTGCTGTGGGCCAGCCACAACGGTACCCTTGAATCGTCGCCATTACCGGGGGCGCTTGCGCGGCTGGGAAAAGTCTTAGAGGTAAAAAAGGATGTATGGCGTTCCCCGTGTGCACAATGAATCCAACCATAAAAGTCTGATTCATGCTGGACTCATTTGCATTCTTCACTTTCTCCTGGATGCTGGAGTCCATTTTCAGATAAAGTTCCTGGTGGTCACCATCGAGTTGGTTTTGGTTCTCGAGGGTTCGGGCCGACTCCACGAGTTTGAGTCCGGAGTCCAGCCACCGGAAGAAGACTTGGTCAGTTCATGACTCTCTTCAGTGGCGGTCGGAAGTTGAGGTGTATATGGACCTTTCTGGGTTGAACGGCTAGCTGAGCTGGTGGCGGTGGTGGTCTTGTCCAGCAGAAAGTTCTTGAACAGCGGTTTCAGACATGGTATGCAAGCACAGACAATGCCGGTGCCGACCTCGACCACCGACCATTTTATGGTTGAGACCGAGCCCATCGTTACGTCGAGGCTATCGACGCTCTTGAGAACACTGATCCGTAGACCGGAGGCTACGGTTGCGAACAGCCCTACTGCAAACAACATAGACACAATGTACTTCTGCCGCCGCGGAAGCCTGAGCCGCCAAAACACTGGCAACGGCAGCGTGCAGAGCAAGAAGTCCGTGAAGATTGAGAAGGCGGTGGTGAAATAGTAGAATTTGACGATGGGAAGGCAGTCCCTGGCTAGTGTAAAGTCCCAGGCCCCTTGTACCGGATGGCATTGAAAGATAGTGACGAGGATGCTGCAGATCCAGACACAGATGATGCCAACGCTGAGTGCGTACATCGTACGCCGAAAGGCTGTGGTGGGGAACACTCGAAGGTAGGAGACGACAATTGATATTTTGACCAGCATAAGCGCGGTCACGTACATGACCTGACATATCCATAGTGTCTGATCATGTCAGATGCAATTCGGAGTGTTTAGAAATGCCTGTAGCGTACCTGGATCACCTTCTTCGTTCTCTCGATTGTTTGTACATCTTGTGGAAGGTCCCATGTGTGCTTTCCCAGACCATATCGTATACCTTGATCCTGATCAGAGGTGGTCACAATGTTCCCTCAGATGTTGCACGTACCAACAATGGCCATCGCAGAGAATGCGGTTGCAAACAGTCCCGCCGCAAGCATGAGAAAATCGTCAGCAGCAACATGCTTAACGACGAAGATTCGCACTATCAATCGAATCCCAATAATGGTGGACGTGACAGCAATAAATGCAATGTTCAACCGATATAGCTCGCCCACATAGGAGTCGTGAGGCAGAAACTGTGCCTCGCCAGGAGTGGGAAAGCTCATGGCCGCGAAACAAGGGAATGTGGGTTGGAACGGCTGACTGTTGTGTTGGACGGTGAAGCTGATAGATGGTAATCGCTTCGATATCGAAGAATGGATTTGATAACCAGAAAAATGATTGCTAACGACAAAAGCCACACCTACTATTCACACAGACGATGATGGACAAACAACTGCACCTTGGATCTGGCCTCGGCGGTGCGAGGGTTGCCCGCGGTATAAGACTCTCAGGCTCCCACACTTTCAACAATTCCATGGCGACGGAGCTCCATGGCGGGGGAGTCATAACTTGTTTCCCGGAGCGGCGGGACGAAAGGTCTTACTTTACCGGAACCTTCAACCAATGTCGGACCTTGTCAGGCTTCACTCTTGCTCGATAGTCTGCGTTGAGCGAGGGGTCTTGTTGACCCGGAGGCGTATTCGAGACCACCTGTGGTGTGAAGGCGGCAGCGAGACCGACCAAGGGCACGCGAGAAAGGCACGATATCCTCGTAGCGCGTAGTGGGCGAGTCCTGAAAGGCTACTTCAGCCTGACCCCTGAAGTGGTCGGCTGTGGAAAATGGCGTTCGTGTGCAGCTGATTGGCCCCTGAGGATTAATTAGTCTGGCGAATCCGGAAGAAAACCAGAAGTCGTTCATCATCGAGCAACCATGATCCCCGTACATGCACGCGCCGGCTTTTTGGCCGTTTTTGATCCTTCCCAGCGCCCCTGGCATTAGTCTCGAAGAAGGCTCCGGCTCCATGGGGTCTCCATCGAAACTCAAAATAAAGTTCTGCCATGCACCCTCACGAGTGAATGCACCTCAGGTCGAACACCGAAGTGATGACCCTGATGGGTGGCGGTAATGATCGAGCGTCTGTACGTTCTGTGAAACTTTGCTAAAGACACAGCGAGCTTTTGTTGGAGTTGTGATGGCTATGAGGACGAAGCACAAGAATAAGCGCAATCAGCAAAAGGAAGTTCCAACTTCTGCCGCAGAGTTCCATCCCGCTAGCAATCTGCAGCCACATGCAGCCACAAGTAGCCAGAGAATGCGGGCGTTCAGGAGCAGGCATGATTGCTTTTGCTGAGCGGTGCGGTGGCTTGCAACTGGGCATCGACTCCATCTCCCCACGGGTTGGAGAAGTCAACCGCTTCTCGACGGTGGAGGGACGTTGGGAGAGCTCGCGTTCCCAGCAGTGGGCGTATGATTTCGTTGTCGATGCGTGCGCACAGGTCAAACACGGAATGCAAATGGCAGGGGTAAGGCTGGACGGCGTGCAGAAGGTGGGCGAATCTATGACTAAATTTGTATACAATCAGAGACGATCGAAAGGCTCCCCATGGTGAGAAGGCTGTCGGACACGCTCAAGAACCTCACGAAGGTGAAGCTGACTTTGAGTTACAGCAGCCCTCCTTGGACGCCGAAAATTGTCGGTGGATGTCCGCCTTCAGGTTGTCGGCTTTCATCCACGGCATGTTCGTTTCCCTCACTCAGAATGGCAGATTGGCTACCAGGGTTGGTAACAACTGCAATGTCTACCCTGTCGTAGCTCACTGTGGAGTAGAGTACTCATAGCTGGCTGATGTCGCGAGCATCACGTCAATTCTCCGGTGAGTTGGTGATGTTTTTGACAGCGCCTATTTCAAGGATAGAACAATTTCATCCCTGATGCTGATGCCTTCCACAACGCTTATTTGGATTTGGTCCGGACTGCTCAAATTGAATGCACGCTCTCGCATCATGAAGGGAAGGGGAAGGAAAGCAGATGGCAGGGCCTATACACAACTTCCGGCTACCCAGGCAAACTTTGCAGGGAAGAAAAGGGTTTCCCGCTGTGAGATACGGGGAGGCTTGGGAGTGGTGAAACAAGCCCGCAACAACAGCAAAGGCTGCTGTCCCAAATCCACTGGTAGCCATACTATTTGATCTCATTCTTCAGAGGCGTACACGGACATGTCTGCCCTGACCGGGTTAGTGGACAGCCAGGATAAAGATTGCCCCACACCCATAGTATAGTTGAAGACTGAGCACATTTGAAGACACCCATGAGTTTGAGAATGATGACGGTCGAGATGTGAGAAAGGATGTAGATGGAGTTGAATGGATGGTAGCAAGAGGGTGAGGAATGTGAACAGATGTACAGTATTTGGTGCAAGATGCTGATTCGGCAGACTTGCCATGACCGAGGACGGGACGATTTTAGTAAGTCACTACCGTCGTCGCTCACTAATAAACTCGTAAGTGAATGCTTCTTGCAGATGTAGAAACATCCTAGTAAAGTGCATGTACAATACTTCAAAGTGTCAACGACGTGTCAAGTCCATGTTTAAACGCACCTACGGGCAATGAATCTCATGATACCTTTCCTTGTTGCGACTTCAGACCTCGAATTCCCTTCTGTCTGAACCCATTGATAACCTCCTTCTTTTCCCGTCTCTGACCGCGGGTTTATCAACGACTCTCTCCAGAACTTCTCCCTGTCCCTTCCTCCTGGTTTCCATCCCAAGATGGATTCCTCCAAAGACCTACAATTTCCTCCCACAAGCGAAGTGCCTCTCCACCGAAATGCGCCGCTCGCGCCCACACAAGAGCTAGCATATCGCAAGAAATGCATTGATCTTCGAAAACGGCTCGCCGAGATCGAGACAAACAACGACGCGACCCGCAAGCGAATCATCCAAGAGACCGAACATCTGCAAAAGATGCGGTTATTACGAGCCGTGCTACTCAATCAAGTGAAAGAAATCATGAGCACTCCGGCCAAACAGCTGAGCGCTGAACAACTCGAAAGAGTGCGGGCGCTGACCAATGGGTTGGACAATACTCTGCCCGAATACCTTCCGCCCATGGCGTCGCAGGAGAACCAACAACAACAGGCACCCGCGGCCAGGGCAGCAGCAGACGGAGAAGGACTATTAGATGACAGCTCGGACGAGAGCATGGAAGATGAACCCGAGGTATTAGCAGGCCCTTTACTCTTTCCCTAGAGCATACAACTCACGTTTCATCCCTCAACGCAGCCCGTAGAGCGACCCGAAAGACGCAGAAGGACCAACAACACATACCGCGAAAGTATCATGAATACAAACCCTCCCGGCGAGCCCCCCTCGGCACTGTATCAACAACAATCGACTCTATCAAATCTTGCCCCGGTGAATGTGAATGCTTTTTCGCCTGCTCCTCCTCCCGCCATCGACCCCGCCGCAATGACTTCGACGTTCCGCATTTCATCTTCTACACCACAAGCAGGGACAACTACTTCGACACCAGGACCCCAACAACCACTTGCTCCAGAAACCCGGTTCGGGCAATCATCCCCTCCGATCGCAGCAGTCAATCAATCATTCCAAGGATTGACTCAACCGCGAGCACCTAGCTTTTCATCTTCGGATGCCAATGTTGCTAATGGCGTTGGCCGTACTTCATCGCTTATGGTTCCCCAAAAGCCCGAACGGCCAGAGACCCCCTTCAACCAATTCACCAGTCATATGAGACCGCAATTGGAAGCCGACAATTATCCCGAACACATGATCGATCAACGAATTAGGCTGGAGTGGGAGAACCTGAGCCCGGAAAACAGGAAATTGTGGGACGATCGCTACGAAGACCAGATGAGGGAATATCAGGCCGCAATGGACAACTGGAAGAGAGCCACGCGGCGGGAAGCGTCGGGCAGCGGCGCAGGTGGTGGTGGAGGTGGATTCTCAGCCATCAACTCTTAGGGATGGGTCGGCCATGAGAATACTAGCATCTACAGTGTCACGCCGCCAGGTCGAGCAGTCATCTATCCTTATCCCACCGTATTCTCGGCATGGATGAGACCGCCTCTTTGGCAACCGCAATCCAGAGCCACTCTCTGATTGATACGGGTCTTCTACCGACTTAACATTTTGGCAGAAACAACCGTGACGGGCAATTAAGTTGCACGAAAGATGTACTAGTAGTGGCTGGGCGCAGCAGCAGTGGGCGCAACGCCGGATGATGTACTGTTAATAAATGTCTGTGCAAGTTGTTGACCTACTGCTACCGATAATACTGCTACTGTACCTATCTATAGCAGGGCAGATACCTCAGTAGGTATACACCATTATCAGGAGAGTCCATTGCGAAATGTGCCTTAGTATTTATTGGTGCTCTCCAGTGCTCTAGGTACCAACCACTGCACAAAATCGCAGCAAGCTGAGTGAGGCTCAGCCTGCTTGCGGCAGATGCCCCCTTTTGCCGAGTAGTACTACAGTAGTAGATCCCATGCGGTACAATTCCTCTGGGCGCGACCGTTACATGCTGGCCTTCAGCTTCAGGATAGCCACTGCAAGGTTGACCTGTATTTCCCGCCGTTCCGTTCGCATTCGCGCTCGCATTCACACTCTGCATGTCATCAGCGGACCATCTGACGACCGCAGAGATGTGTATGACAAGGGACATGTATTTCAGACGTCGGGTGTCTCTTTGACTTGCTGCCCGAAAGACAAATAAACAAACCAATTGATGAAGCGCCTCGTTGGGATTTGCAACAAGAGTCAGAACTGGTCCGCAACAATTGTCGGAATTATTCTATTTTCCTATTCAGTCTTCGTCCCAGTTAGGATTTGGCCCAGGCGGTTTCGGCCCACCAGCCTGGCGAGCGACAATGATTTGATCAACGCTCAGAACCGTTCTGGCGGCCTCAGTGGCCAACCGAATAGCCCAGCTTTTTGTCACAAGGAGATCGAGAATCTGTTCTTCCACAGCATCCAGAATACCCGAGGCATCTGAGGCATCGACATCGACCCCGGTAGTCCAATACGGCTCCTCTGAGTCGGATGTGTCAGCCGAGGACGAAGACGAGGCGCTTTCCTCTTCTTCTTCTTCATCATCACTTTCCTCAACTTCGTCACCCTTGGTGGGTTTTCGGGCTCCAGACCGGCTCTTCACTTCACTCGTGTTCAACCGCTGTTGGTGCGCAGTATACAATCTCGCCAAAACCTCAGTGGCATCGAGCCCAGCACTTTCAGCCAACGTGCGCGGAATAACCTCAAAGGCCTCGGCATATTTTCTGATGGCGTACTGAGGCAGACCGGGCGTCTTGTCTGCATAATGGCCCAGCCGTTCGACGAGTTGCATCTCAGTGGCACCGGCACCAGGCACGAGTCGCGAGTCCTTGGTGACAGCCTTGATGACATTAACCCCGTCGTCGATGGCCCGCTCCACATCGTCCAAATGGTTCTGCGTGGCTCCTCGGAGCACAATAGTGGCGGTGCGCGTGACGGCCGAGTCGGACTCTTGCCGGAACACGGTGACTCGGTCGCCGCCGATTTCCATGGTCTCGACGATGTCGATGCTGCCCATCTCATCGGGCATGGGTGCTCCCAGACGTGCAAGAGGCGTGGCACCACAGACGCGACACAGTCTGCGCAGCTCAAACTTGGAGAGCACTTTGATCACCAGGATCCCCATTCGGTTCAAAAAATGTAATGCCAGTTCCCCGACATTAGCGCCCGCAACCACCACCCTCAGTCCGCTATCGTAGAGTTCCTTGATCGCCGCTTCCAGCTGGGATTCTTCGCCTTTAGAGAAATCCATCATCTCCTTGGCATTGTGTAGTAACACGGTCCCCTTCGTCTCGGTCTGAGAAATGTCGATCGGACACGAGAAGACTCCGACTTTGGCGTTTTTCGCTTTTTTGACTGATCCCTCAGGTTCCCGGCCAAATACCATTCCTTTCACAACCTTTGACGACGACAAGTCTCCTCCCATGATCTTGACCACTCGGATATTGTCGACGTTGAAGTTGGCCGGATTCTTGGGTAGCACAGCCAGAACAGCCTCGGCGATCAGCTTGGACAAGACATCCTCGGAGCCCGACTGTTTGGCCGCAATGACGGTTCGAAGGGCTTTGCGCAATTCTTCCGGTGACCGGACGTCGGCTACACTGTCGACTTCGAGCTCTGTAGATCAAAAAACTGGTCAGCCTTGCCTTGTTCTCATGTTCCATAGCAGGGCTGACACAAACCTTCCAACGCCTTCAGCGCATATGCCTGCGCCTTCTCATACCCACTAACAATATCACTTGTTTTGAGTCCCATTCGAATCAACTCTTCCGCCTTCTTCAGCAATTCGCCCGCCAGCACAATGACCATATTGGTCCCGTCGCCCATCTCGGCTTCTTGCTGTTGACTGGCCATGACCAAGAGTTTGGCCGCTGGATGTACTACTTCGAGTTCACGCAGGATCGTGGCGGCATCAGATGTCAGAATCATTTTCGAAAGGTGGTTGATGACGATTTTGTTGCGTCCGTACGGTCCTAATGATGTTTGCACCGTCTGTGCAATCGTCCGGCAGGCGTCGATCTGTGTACCATCAGATCACATATCAGCATGTTGTTCATGTTTCCCGTAAAACGAAAGAGAACGTACGTTGCGGATGACGGCGCCATCTTCGGCATCGTAACTCGTGTATCCCGGCTTGAAAAGGCCCGCCTGAGAGGCCTGAGGTATCGTGAGGGACATTGAAGAATCACTATCACTGGCGGAAGGGATTTTGGTTGGATTAACGGTTGAGGAGGGAGACGAAAGGCATGGACTGATGCGGGACACTGGCAGGAATTATTTGATCCAACTGCAACGTAGAAACTCCGAGTCAAGCCTGATCGGTTGGCGCGAGGCGAGGCTGCGGCGGTCGAAAGAACCACGCCAAGATGCCTCTCCCGAATAGTGCACAAGACACCGCTGCTTTAAAGAGAATGCTGATATAGATAGACACCGTCAACTTCAATGTTACCTTCACCAGGGCATTCACTGCCACTGGCACGACAACTCCAAATAAATTATAGTACTGTAGATACCAGATACCTGTATTGAGGCAGCATTAACTAGTAGCTCGCCGTGCGCATGGATTCTTCTATGAACTGCTTTTCAGACAACCAATCGTCAAGTCCCTCTGGAAAAGCACGCACTGCAGGGGTATTCAAATACAACAGTGACGCCACAATCTCGCTGGGCTCCTCATGCCGGAAGATAATCATCCAACCCATAATCCGCTGCTTGCTGAAAACAGGACGAATCTGAACTGATCGAAAGATGTGCACCCAAAAGCCCCAGAACCGGTCTAAACGCCACGAGATTGTGTCGTAAATACAATTCATTATTCTTCGGTCAACGCATCGTCTGCGGCTTCCCTCCATTCTCTGGCTAATTCGGTCAATCGTTTCACTCCTGGTATCCTTTCGGCCCAAATAGATTCCGAGGCGGTGCGGAAGGTGTAGGCTCGTTGGGAGGAAATCACTCCAATGGCTTGCAGCACAGCTTTGCGGGCATCACGGGTGAAGACGGCCGGGTGATTGATCCATTCCAAGCTGGCTTCAATATCGGCATCAAGGGCATTCATCACAGTGTGGTCGACGCCCGTAGTGCGCGGAATGGGGGTGCTTGTTTCTGAATGCGGACTACGATCACGAGTCTGCTCTGGTGATCCCGCTCGAGGACTCGCTGACTTTCCTGGAGGGGTGTGGCGTTTGTTGGTTGGAAGATGGCTGGCCCCAGGAGGTAGAGGAGGCAGTCCTCCTTTGCCCAGGCCTTTGAGGATCGTCCGGGTCTCGTTCAATAAATGATGTGCTCGTTCATGTTGGCCACGTGCCACAAGTGTAAGAGCCCGGCTCAGCATGTCGGATGTCAGCAGCTCCATCCGCCGCTGCACGATAGAGGGATGAGGAGGAATGGGTGGTGTAGGTGGTCTGCCGTTTTGCCGGGATCGTTGGCTCTGAGGGAGCATTGTAATGGTTAACAAAGACGGTCGCGCGAGCTGGGTGATGGAGCCTTCTCGCAGAAGATCGCCGAAAGACAGATCGGCTTGAATAAGAGGGAGTTCCTCCACGCTTTGCGGACGCTGATCATCATTGTCCAAGGAACCGCCCAGCGCTTCCAGGCCTGAGACTATCGACTCCCATGGATCCTGCGGGGCGGCTTCTTGCGTAGTCGTGTCTGGATCAATGGCCAGTTGCACCAGGATATCTCGCTTGTCGCCAAACCGGAGATCCCCCAAGGTCGCCTCGGCATCTCGTCCGCTCGCCCTCTTGGTTGTTTGCAGAGCGCCATTTATCTTGACAAATTTGGCCGGTGAACCTTCGGGAAGCTTCAGCTTCAGCTTGACATTTTGGTGCGATATCGATTGAAGTGCTCCGAGGACACCGGCAGCGCACTCTCTCAGCATCATCCAGTCCTTGACATAGAGATATGAGGCTTTCGTGCGGCTCGAGAGCTCGATCATGCTCTCCGGCTTATGCGTCAACCCGAGGCCGAAGGAATAGATCCCAACCCTAGAGGATATGTTAGCATTAGGTGTCCAGAAACAGACTCGGAATGCTGCACTCACTTTGCAGCTTCAGCCCTTTGAACAACAAAATCCACACTGTCACTCTCTGAAGTTGACGAGTCGCTAATCAAGAGAATGGTCGAGATGGGATTGGCTGCTCGGCGCTGCATCAGCAGGTCCATGGCCACATTGGCGCCTTCCACCACGTCCGCCCGCAAACTCTTTTGCCCAACCGGCCGGATTGAACTCAAGACTTTATTCCAACCCGACCAGGTCTTGGTCGTCATTCCTACCAGTGGCACGCCCCCACCACTTGAGCCAAACGTGACGAGGCCCATCCGGTCGCGCTCACCGAGATTGGATACCAGGAAGCGAAGGGTATCTCTCAGCAGTTTGATCTTCAGGCCTTGCATTGAAGAAGACACGGGGATGACCACAACCACGTCAACAGGGATGTGTAAAGAGGAAGGCACTCGGGTATCGAGGGGAGCTTTGTGCATCGAATACTCTGTGGCGGCGGTGGTGGCTGATTTGGGGCCACCGTACGAAGACGTGATAGAAGGCACGCGCCGGACACTCCTTTGCTGCCGGCTGTATTCCTCTTCATCCGTACCCGACGTGTCCTGTTCGTATTCTGGGTAACGAATAGATGAATCACTCGAATGTAGGTTGCGCAAGGCTCGTTGCCAGAGGTGCAGCTTCTCTCGGTCCTGGAAAAGCAGATGGAACGTCGGTAATTCAGCCACGGACAGATTCAGAGTGAGAATGTTTTCGTCCGGAGAGGCATGCACTTGCCTCAGGTGTTTTCTGATCAGGATAGAACCCTTCAGCGTACACCGCGTCAGCTTCCGACCGGAGTCCATGATGATGGGGGGCGCATTCTTCTTCTCCTTGACGCATATGAGCATCTCGCCGAAGAGGTAGCATTCCAGCTCCTGCCACGAATGGCGGTCCTTTCCGACACGGATGACGCCGTGCAGACGCAAATTGCCAAACCTCTGGAACTCAAGTCCGTGCCAGTTGTCCACACGCATTTGGAGCTCTTCTGTGATCTGTTCCAGCACTTCGGGAGATTCATAGACATCAAGCTCGTGCGGCGGTTCGTGTCGGTGTCTTGGCGGCATGCCAATGCCCGAGTCAGTCGGCAGCGGCGGCACTGGAGGTGTATTATGGACCTCATCCAGATGTTGCTGCCATTTGCCTTCCGGAACCTCAATCGTCACCAGACACGTTAGACTCTGTTGCTGCTGAGAACGAGTCAGTGTCGGATATTCGCTGCGCACGGTCACGATTGGCGCCGGGATAGACTGCTTCGTGTCCTTGATGGCTGCGCCAGGCACAGATGTCTCCATGGCGTGAAGGTCGTAATCATGTTTTCGGGAAGGTTGGCTGCCATGGTCATGGGTATAATCAGACGAGGCGTTGCCGCCACTGTCCGTTCGGGCATGTTTCGTGCTCGTTGCTGGCTGGGATTGTGCCTGTCCAATGCCCAAGCGCTCAATACGTAACCGTTGACTGTCTCGACTATCTCGGTTGGAATTGTCGCGGCTGTGTCGCTGAGGCACATCTCGAGAGCTATAGGAATCCTCCTGTTTGTCCCACGGCATGGGGGTGGTCTGGGTGCTTCTTGGCGAGGTTATGTCCTTTTGGGCCACAGCTCGGACCATGTTGCTCAACTTGCCTGTGCTTGTTAGCATGTCATTGATCCGTGCGCATCACGGAAGTTGGAGAGCGTACTGAGGTCTAATATGCTGCCACCTCGAAAAGAATCCAAGCCTAGAGGAGCGTCACATGTTGGGCAGTACTGTGAATCGGCCTCGCGAATGTACTCGTAAAAGCAAGCTTCATGTGCCACATGCCCGCAGGAGAACTGGAGTACCCTCTCCCCTCTCAGGGTATGCTCCAATGGCTCTTCGCACGCAGCACATTCTACGCCCACAAACGTTCTCTCGCGTCGTGAGCGTGCGCGATCGGTATCGAGCATGCCAGCCATAGGATGCCCCGCGCCCGGGACACTCGCGGTCGGCGAAGGAGGAAGACGCTGGTCCCTGGTGCGCGGTCGGCCTTCGTTGGGAGTATGCGGCCTCCCCAATAGTGTGCCGGAGGAGATGCTGGATTGCTTGAAGCTGGGATTTGGGGCGGCGCCGCTCAGCGAAGAGCTCGCGCGAGGAGGGTAGCCGTCGTGACGACCTCGCGGATGCTGGTCTGCCAAATGTAGAACCATGTGTCAGATTTCCGTTTCTCTTGACAAAACACAAGTTGGTTGGGTACGCGCGGCAGGCAAATGATTCTTTGTGGACAATGTCTTACAGTGCGCCGCCTTGGATTCAGCTGTGCTGGAGCGAGACCGTGTTCGAGGACGATTGAGGAGTCCGAGTTCGTAGAGACTTTCGGTGGTCTGGTTCGACACCTCAGGGTTGGGGTAGGATCGATCGCGTTTGGTCATGGAACAGATGCCCGTCTGGCAGCGTTCTACTTGCAGTAGCGCGACAGCAATCTCGTCAGGGCCATGGGATTAGTTGAAGATCCTGGAGTGAGTTGCAAGGAGTTTGGACAACCACGTGGAGACGCTTCCACTTGTATCTTTTTCAGCAGTGGGTTCTCGGTAGGACGGGGATATCAGGAGAGGACATTAGAGGGGTTGCAATCAATGGCTGGGTTGCAATCTGTAGAGGGAGGTTTCTTCGCAACTACTCTCTCGTCGCCGCTACGCAGTGTGTCCCTCTATGGATTTGGGACTCGGGATGCCCTTTTTGCAAATGAGAATAGGTCGGTGGATTTGTGGGTAGGTCTAGGACAATCCCCATCGCTTCAAGTCGGGTCGAGGCAGTGGGGACGCTTTTCTAGGTCGGCTCTGCCGGTCGAGGACTCCACGACTTTCAATCCATGGCAGGACGATCGAGTGAAGTTTGTGACCGGCGCGGTGGGTGGATGACATGGTATCACCGGCGGACGGGCAGGGTGACCGGGACTGAGACTGGACAGAGTGTTTGGGGGAGGTGGGTAGACGTCGGGCGGGTTGTTTGTCTTCTGGCACGGTGGGCTGCTTTTGCCAGGATCGCAGTGGGTCGAAGCATGATACATGCATGCTTGGAACCTAACTGTGGCTAACTGTGAGGTTGTGCATGAGAAGCGCAGGCAGGCTGAGCCTCTCCTTTTGCGGCGAGGACGACGAGCAACGAAAGAGGAAGCAGGGATGGAGATGGTGTTGCACTCGTCGCCTGGAACTAGGCCGAGCAGGGTAACGCAGCATGCCGGTTGACTGGAGCCTGCATTAGGCGCACTGCGCCGGCATCGCAACCTGGAGCCTGCACCGAGCTCTGCAGTGGTGCTACTCGTAGTAGTGGTAGGACTAACCACCAGTAGGGCAGAACCGGTACAATACTTGCTGCGAGGAGGTACAGTAGGTAGTAGTTGTACCTGGACGGAACCGAGAGCAATGGAATAATGCACACTGCTCAGGTACCTCCGAAGGTATCAACTGTCCTGACTCGAGTCCTGACCCGAGTCCTGACCGCCAGAGCACAGGAGAGGGTACAGAGACGACGATCGTCCGTCTTGCAATCTGGTTGTAATATTGCTCTCAACTTGAAGAGTAACGATTTATCGTACCCCCTGCTCTGTTGGCTGAAGATCTACCAAGCACTGGCACTGGCAGCTCAGGCTGGCCGTGCCCCCGGAAGTTTAAACAGCCGCCTGTAAGGGCAGCCCGTGCGTGCGGGAAACTGACAGCCAGACCGCGGAATCAAGGACTGTTTAGCCTCTAGAACGGAGCCGGGTCCCTAAGGAATAGCTCTTCCGGCAGCCAGGCTAGGGGCCAGGGGTGCTGAGAGCTCGGGCTTCCTGGCCCAGCCGGCGGGTTGACAGGCAGTCACCTTTGACAGCTTCAAATGGTGGGACAAGTCACTGGCATGTCAACCTCGTGCCCAGGTTCTCGAAGGCTCCTATGGCAGCCTTCCAAGGCCCGGCGGCCTCAAATGTGATCCTAAATATGTATATACGTATCTTTAGGTAGGTATTTATGATTGTACTGCAGGCAGACCAACAAAGCATGGGGTCCTTGACAGGCAAAGGGAACGCTCGGGACGTGGTATGGTAACAGGCACCATTCTTGCTGGTCTTGCTCTTCATCGAGTTGTGACTTTTATCCAGCTAAACAACCTGCATACGTAGTAGCTACTGTAGGGTTGGCCAGATTCAGAAAAGGCTGTATTTAACAAGATGTCCTTATGGAGGTACAGTAGAAGGTACAGTACCTCACACTCAGCCTGGGTGATAGTGAAATACAATCCTAGCCTCTGCAATGTACCTTGGTATAGATAGTCATCATGGACAGCAAGCTATACCTGCCGTACCTCAGTGGTTATAGCATAGCTATGCCACATGTACAGTACTCGTCCCGTGCATGATGCCTACCCGGTGTCAACATAGACTTGAAGTACTAGGTAGTCAGTAAGGTAGGTGCAAATGGGTTTTCCTCATGCTCCAAGCCGTATGTCTCCTGCTGTACCACGTTCATGCCACGGCCGGCGGTCGTCACCGGCAGACAATCCACCACCGTTGCACGTTGCACGGCATTATGTTCAATTTGATCACTTCGATATTGTGACGGTGCCTGAAAAGTTCGCAGTATCAACACTTACTCCTACCTGGAACCAGTTGACCTGTGATACATGCGTACTATTGACAGGTCTTGTAGAGTCTGGGCTCGAGCATCGGCCGACGACGTTGAACGTCAGGGATCACCCTGTCGTGGCTGGTCAGTAGCATGGTAACCCGGTTCCACAATGCACCCTTGATGGCACTCGCCGTCAATTACAGTTGACAGGTGCCTGCCTCAGAACACCAAGGAACGTTGTATTGTTAGGTAAAGCTCCGGGCAAATCGACTACCTCGACCTAGTACGTTAGCTGCAGGTCCGAGCCTGTAATCAAGCTCGCTCAGTTCATGTTCTCATCTCACTCTTGTCCGTGAAGCAAGCGTCGAGGTGGGGTTGCATACAATGCCAGTGGCACATCGCTTCTGGAAAGGTGCAGTGTGAAAACTTCACTGTGGCCTGTCCTGGGCCCGGCCGGCTGCTTCCTCACTCTAACAACGAGACGAGACGAGACGAAGCGAGGCGAGACTGGTCATTCTTGAGCGCGTCATCAGCGGCCTGGCCAGTCCTCTCGACCACACAGATCACCCAACCGCATGTGCCATGATCTTGCTTTCAGTTCGTCGATACAGGGGAACATGACAGAGGCGTTATCGAGGCGCACGTTTTGTCCCGGCACACAGCGGCACTCGCACGCGCAAGAAACACGTTCAAGTTGTGGTTGAATCGTACCAGGTATGTCGTAATCGGCAAAAGAAGCAAGTTTCCAAACCGACAACCCGACAGTTAGCTACTAGTGATGCAGCGTCTCTTTCGCCCGTTGAACCGTCAAGCCATGGAATGAGTGAAACATGCCAGGAGCATCCCTGGTTGATTCAATCCCCAAGAAACCATGTCTTTCGGTTCGCGGGCAGTACCTCGCAGGTACCGGCGCCACCTAGTAAGGCAAGCCAGGAAGCCTAACGGCACCAATCATGATGGTCATGGCTTGCAATCTTCCCGCCGCATACGCTTGGTAAAGAAAGACAGAGGTGCAGTCACTACCTATACTTCCGCTTAGAACTTAACACGGGTCAAAGGTTGTGATAAAGTGCCTTCTGAGGTGCAGGAGGTGGCCTGTGAAAAGCCGTAGTATCTGCGATCTTGACTGAGCCTCTGGTGTTTCGAAGTCTAGGAAGACAGCCTTGACCCTGGCAAGGTCTCTGATGAGACGGCCAGCACTGCTCGCATACGTTCATACAGTCCGTTTCAGGCTAAGTCAGGAGTTCCTTGCAGAAGCTGAACGTTGCAGCAAACGCCTTCACAGAGATACTGTACTGGACAGCAATGTGGAAAAGCCGTTGAAGGCCTTGGACCCTAGTATCGAGAGAGCTGAAACAGTCACAGAGCCGGAAACCTGGCACCATAACGCCCGGGTTGTATGAGAATGATCCGGACAGCTGGTTCAGGATGTGGCACCCAGAGTCGTCGGTGCTCCTTGTAATCATCCCGAGTGATGGTAGCTCTCAAGACTCGGACAGGCCACCTGAGTAATGACAATCGGCGGCACTCAGTATTAGTGCCTCTTTTGCGCGAGAGGATGTTTGTTCAGATGGTTCGTGCATTGTCGTCCGTGAACCAAATCCTGTTCCGGTACTGATCGTCAGCACTTGTCCATGGCTTGCATAAGTCGTCCACGCTTCGCTTCGCGAAAGTGTAAAAAGAAGCAGCCTGTACAACGTAAGTTGTCATCGGCATCATCCACCCCAGAAGGCGGCCACCAAGAAGATGGCCTCCTGGATCACGTACGACACCCTCTGCAGCAGCGAATCTGCAGCCGTCGTTCACCGTGTCAGTTGCAACCACGTGCGTGGCACGTCAGCGAAAGCCGGGAGAGCGGCTGAGGGAGCAGCCTCGCACTTTTTCATTGGTAGCACGACATTGACCCATGCCGGGGTCTACAATGTTCAAACATTGGCTTCCGTGCCACGGCGTCGTCCTGAGGGGCGCTGCATAGACACCATCAGTGATTATGACTCCTCGTTAGCACTTACGGAGAAACCGAGGAGGTCGGCCTCAAACAAGGGCAAAGCCACTGAAGCTCCGTTGCAGACCTGCATGAAGAAGAGAAGTGGGCGCTCGCGCATTCTTCCTAATACTGCAACACAAGGGCTTCGCCAATTCAGCCACTAGCCATTTTAGTGACGGAATCAGATGCAGTCCACCACGGTGCATACATAGGTAGAAATCACCGACGTCGCCTTTGCTACCGAATGCTTGACGTTTTCTGCTTTCGATACCTTAGTAGCCTTTTTCTTTTTTGAGAGGTCGTGGAGGCCGAGGGACCGCACATCATGCAAGGCGGCATATGCGAAGAAGCCATGTCCACAAGTTGTACGTCAAAGACAGAAGATCGACAACGAGAAATGACAGCAGATGGAGCAACTGGACAGCCGCCTTGTCTGTTGTGAGTTTTTCGCACTGCAGCCCACTGCAGCCCACTGCCCCATCGGCCATACAATGTAGATAAAGCTCCACCAGCCGGGTCCAGCACTTTCTTGGAAATCACTGGTCCCAAGAGACATTGCGGGATGACAGCTTGGTAGAGCCCACCAGTAGATCATGGTCTTTGACAGCTTCGATGGCGATCCGGAGATATGGGCCAATGCGAGAAGATGTAGTAGATTAAGTATAGCGGGCTATTCCTTTGGCCCTTCAGGTGTCTCTCCAATCCATCTCCCTCCAAAGGGATTCATTCCGCAGCTTATGGCAGAGCATCTAAAAATTGTGGTGATTTCATGTCACACATAACGGGGTAAGCACTGCCAGCTCGCCTAGACGGCCGGTATTTCCTATAGTACAGTATATTGCTGGCTCGTTCAGGTGTTTCGGCCAAAAAAGAAGGAACGGGGCTGAGGTAAACAACGCCCATTACCTAAACCTCAAGGACGAATTCCGGCCCGAATGCGTCGCGAGGTGGGGGAGGGCCACTTCCTTGTTGGTCTTTCATTATTATTGTGCCTCACTCGGACTCTTTCCATGAAGCGAGATACTGCTGCGTCGAAGAATCACGACTTAGATCCCTTAGCCCAGAGGGAAGAGCTGGCGACAGACCGGCCTACGACTAGCAGTACTGCAGCCTCCTAGAAAAGAGATTCCCGTCGGCCAGCTAGTCATAGATGATAAGGAAAGGGGCTCACTATTATTCATCTGGTGTTGAAAGTTCTGGCAATATGGGGCTGGTCGAATTGGGCGTCACCCAATAATGCCCGTCTTGTATGATCCGCTAGAAGCCGGCAGAAGCACGCTAGGCGGACCGCCTCTCGCGGTAGAGAGACAACATGAAGGCTAGACCGAGACTGGAAGTGAGTTCGTGGAGGACGTTCGACCAAAATTGCCATGTGGCTATGGTATGTTTTCACCGAAGCAGTAGTAGTAGACCACGCTCTTGGAGAGACTAGCAGGAGCGGTTGGAGGACTTGAAGGAGTGGACCGTCTCGGGCAAGACAAAGCGCCACGTTCGGTCATTTTCGGTCATAGTGGTTACTTGCCAAACCAGTGTTTTTCTGCTGGTTTCACCGAAGACGTTAGGACGGAGCGTGGCGCCTCTTCAGGCCCAAAGCTAGGGAGAGGCGTACGACGACCTGGAAGATTGCCCACCTCTAGCAGCACCAACATCACCGGTAAAAGGATACAGCGAGTACTGATCTTGGCCGCTGTGACATCCAGAATGGTGGTGCAAAGTGATTGGAGGCAATAATATTCCAGGTTGATCTTCGACAGACGGTTTCTGTACAACTGGTAGATTCCTTAGGCCTTGAGCACTGCTCGATACGGGGTTAGCCATTGGCTGGCACTACTGGATATGATCGCTCTCCCGCAAGCAAGCCGAAATGATGACCGCCCCAAGAGCAAACCAGACTGGGGAAGCCCGGTTGACTGGCATGACTTCCAGCGCTCCCCCCGTGCTCGCTGACGATGGATCATTGCGCCTTCACCTCGTGGCAGCTGGGTCGTGGGCCTTGGGAAAGTCCCAGTGGCCATGTGCTCAGGAGTGTTGCCTCTTCGAATCTTTTGTCTTCTAAGCGACATTACTATTGCATGTCCCCACCTGCAATGATCGGCGTGGAAATGGCGCCGGAACTGAACCCCTGATGCAGTGCTGCCTCCGTTTCCTCCATCATGCCAGCCAGGCATGAAGTTGCTGGAAAATCATCGCTGCGGACAGAGCTCGCTTATAAAATCTCAGGGGGCCCTTTTACAGCCAGCAACCATAGTAGCAAAGCGGGCTCCATTTTTGGTCAAGTAGCGTGATACTCGCAGATAGAACACCTCGCTTTCGATGTGGATATAGCCTGAAATCGTCACGCGACCGCATCTTTGCGACCGTTTGGGTTTGATGAAGAAGAGCTTCTATCATCAGCACTCCATTGTGACCGCAGTCTTCAATAACTTCGCGGTGTACAAGAGCGAAGTAGAAGAGCTTCTAATCAAGGTGAATCAGCCCCTTCTCTCATGCTGATCAAGGCTGGATTCCGGTTCAGTCTGGAGAAGTCCTCTCGCTTCATCTGTGTCGTCTTCTGTGGCTGGGTCCTGAATCACTCCCACGTCTGCCATGAGATCTCTCGCTTTCTCGTCGCATCCGGCTGCTGAGAGAATCCACCAGACGTCCTTTTTTGTCAGAATGCCATGAAGCCCTCCCCGTTGGACCAGGAGGAGATATCGTAGCCCAAGTTTTTGAAACATGTGAACTGCCAGCTGTAGGGAGCTGTTCGCATTCAATGTGATTGGTGTCTGGTCCATCCAAGGCCGTAAATCTATGCTTCCAGAAGAAGCAATTTCCGGGTCGTAGGTAAAATAACAGAGTCCATTCGGATCAATATGACCCATCCTTGTGTCCGATGCTCGGTTGCCGTTATTCTTGATCTGCTCCAAAGCAAATGAAAGTTCAGTGCGAGAGATGTAACCCAGAAGCGTGTTAGCATGTGATGAAAGCGACCTCGATCTTGAATCAGTGATCGAATGCTCAGCCTTCCGAAACAATACCACCGGAAAGCCACGATAAGGTGTGGTCCGGAGGATATTTTGCAGATCTTCCACAGTATATGGCCGACCGCCGTCTAAACATGTCATATCTTCTATCCTGGTCATGATGCTTGCGACAGGAATATGAGGGATATCCGCGTCCTCGTTACTCTCAAGGTAAGGGTATCCCTTGAAATGAATCCAGGACTCGTAGATTCCATGAGGAGACAGGGCATCTCCAATCCATTTTGCCAGCATCACGGCAATCATAATTGGTAAGACGTAAGAAAGTGCGCCCGTCAATTCGAACATGATCACCACGATAGAGACCGTTAGTCGCGTGACTCCTGCTAATGCTGATGCAGCACCCACGATGGCATAAGTGCCTGGTATCACGCAGGGTACGCCAGGCTCACATGCTGCGAATAAAACAGACGTTGAAAAATGCTTGTGAAGAAGTTCTACGAGAACTCCCAGAGTCCGTCCGTAGAGCGCGCCTATAGCCAGTGTAGGCAGTATGATTCCAGCAGGGAGTTGCAATCCAAATGTAATGCTAGACAATAAAAATCCCAGGATGGCTCCGGCGATCAAGAGCCATGCCATTGACAGGGCCCCAGTCGTCGTCGCTTTGCATAAACCGAAGATATCGTTGTTGCCGATAGTGGCACATTCAGCGAACAGATAATACACCAGTTCGGAAAGCTGTGCCCGCATGAACGGGTTGGGATAGTTGATGACCGCAGAGATAGCTGAGACAATCAGAGCTTCCAGAATTGGTTTGTTGCGAAGTGGGTAGCTTTCGGCGCTCCGGAGACGTGCGAACAGCATATTCAGCCTGATGAACATGCCTCCATACACGCCCCCAATGATACCAAGAAGAACGCACGGTATAAGCTCGAAGGCGTACCATCCGGTCGTGTAAGTGACCTGATACAGGACAATTTTTCCAGTATGGAATGGGTTCAGCGCCTGAAGAGTCACTGCCGCCACCATTGCGCAAACGAATGACTGCCACATAGTTTTGTCCGGAAAATAGTAGGATAGCTGCTCGAGTGAGAAGAGGACCCCACCAATGGGCGAGCCGAAAGCGACTGAAATTCCTGATGCGGCAGCAGCTGAGAGCACCTCCCTTTTCCGTGCCTCATTTTGACTCAAAGACTTGAATGGCTTCATGATAAGGTTGGCACAACAGCATGCAAGGTGGACGAAAGGTCCTTCTTTCCCTAGCCACATGCCAGAGGACACCGCCAGACACTTTTGATGTGAGTTTATATTATTTCGAAGCGGTCAGGAGCCTTACCAAACCCAAAGACTTTGTAATGAGAGTCCGGGCGTTCAGAAAACGCCTCATGACAAAGCCACCGAGGACAGTCTTGATCTCCGGGATTCCACTGTGCCGGGCGTACACAGAATAGTGTCTGACAAGGACGGCTGCAGAGACTGCAAACATGATCTGTTGGTGTTGAAACATTAGCTCCCGCCAGTGGATCGCCCGCGATGTACATACCGAGAAAATAACAAAGAAGATATACCCGACCAGGTATTGACCCCCACCACCTCTTACCCCTAATGCAGATGGCCATGGCGTCCAATCTTGACATTGAGATAGGTCGTCATGTCCCCAGCAGCAGAACTGTTTGTTTAGGTAGAATTGCCCGCCGCCAGGTCCCGATTGGCAGAATCCAGTTTTGATGTCTCCCAGCCAATCTGAGGCAATGTTGATGAACGCTGCAACACAGCCGACAGAAATTCCGCAAGCAACAAGCACGACCCAGACATGGCTCGCGTCTAACAGTTGCCTGAGGTGGCCGACGAGGCTGTTACTCGATGCCAGCAGCGCCCTTAGCCGTTGGCGCTCCTTCGTATACTCGTAGATCCAATCGATGGCTGTCAGGTCATCGTAACCAACTCTGCGCCCGGGCCCCTCAACATACCAGTCGGAGGGCTCTTTGTCAGTTCGCGGTTGGCCCGCCGTATTGTAGTATCCTGCCTCTCCTATTGCAGCGCTTTCCCGCTGACCAGTACCATCAGAGTCGGGTCTTGTAGGCGGGTCCGAGGAGGGCTGCGTATTTAGGTCTAAGGAATTGGGAGAAAGTGGATGAGTCGACCGAGAGGGAGAAGCATGATCGGACCGCTTTGCAGCCAAGTTCCTGGAGGTCTGGTCAGGGTGGTTCAGTCTATATGCCTAACAGAGGGACAATTACGATGATCTGGGGACCGCGTCGTCGGCGGAGAAGAGTTCAAGATCTGACTGATCGCTATCGTGCCTCTCAGGGCTAGGCATTGTAGCCAGACTCAAGAGATCACTTTCGCCATAAAGCACAGCTCATCAGCTTTGCAAAGGCTCAATGAAGGTTCGGTGCCCGCAACTGCAGGTTTGGCTGACTGCGCGCCCGGACCTTAAAGTGGTTCAAGTTCAAGTTTACCTTATACGCGACTCGGATTCACGAACCAGGGGGTGAGCTTGGCATTCCTCCGCCGCGGTCACCTTGATATAACGCCCTGCAGTGCACGGCGTCCACGGAGAGCCTTCTGCAGTGCAGAAAAGCTCGAATGCCGAGAGGGATTTTACAGGTGAGAGATTCCTACTTCATCCGCCTGCTTTTTGGCGAATAGAAGAAAAGAGAGTGTTTCATTATTGCCTGCCTCGAGAACCAGATTCCCCTTCTCAGCTTCAACACCACGGAAATTGAGGCAGCACTGTTGTAGGACCAATTCTGAGGTTTTTCAAACGACCTACATCTAACTTGCTCCCTGCGTTATTAAAGGCCACCCTACCTACAGGTACAATTAGATGCCTGACTTATGGACGGCCTACAACGTTGTATATTAATACACCTATTACGCAAGGCTGGGATTGCGAGCCATGACAAGGCTGAGGCACCTCAAAAGGCTGCATTGCACTAACTTTAAAAGGAAATGATTTGCTCCACTATCCAGCGGATTTGCCGCGCTAGAATTCTTGGCTAAATTTTCGACGCCAAGAGCGATGTTCGAGTTGAAGAGGTTTGTGAAGGCGAACTTCGAGGCCAAGGCGACTGACTGCAATCCATCGCCCTTAGGCACATCGTCACAGGAGTTTGTGCTTCTGTAGGATAGGTGTTGCTGCGATGGGCTGCGATGGAACAGCCGCGACCCAATCCACCATGGACGACATAGCAGTATACTGCTCATGGGCGGATTCGTACCTCAATGAAGAGCCCTCCTTGGTTGAGAGGGTACCGACAGAGCTGCGGTCCGTATTGTCTCAATCTACAGGCTCTCAATATTTAGAGTCGCTGGCACGCGCAACCCGCTCGATCCAGCACGCAGACACCCTTTTCCCGCTTTACAAGGGCGTGTATCCCGAATTGGTATCGAGGTGGATCGACTCGTCTTCGTCCGACTTCAATGAAGCGATCCTCGCAGTTTCATGTCTGGCTAGGATCTTGCCCTTCGCGGGATACCTCCGCCACTATGTGCCGCTTCTCCTGCAGTCAGAACCGATGCAGAGTCATGTTATGGTTGTGGAAGGCCGCTCCTCCGAACTGACTGAGGAGAGGCTTCACATGCTTCTACTCGCTTTATTCCGGCTTCTGTCTTTTGATTCGGAGATCCTTGCTGAGAGCTCTTCTCCTATGTTCTTCTCCTCCTTCCTCCACCATCATTCTCTTCCACTGCGGTATTTGGCTATACAATGTCTATGCGTGGTTATGCACTTGGCGGACGCTCTCTCTGAGCAGCTGGTTCAGTCCTACGTGGGCAAGGGCCCAATTTGGGGACACTGGGAAGGACAGAGAACTGATTACCGGTTGCTCAAGCTCTGGGAGGAGAGGAGGTGGAGGGACGTCTCTGGAGAGGTGAAGAATGTTGAGGAGCACTGGCGAGTGGCCTCTGCTTCATCATGGAAACGGAAGTTCAGCACTGACAGTCTTTCTCCGCGAACAGCCGACGTTGGCGGGGTCCTTCTTGCCCGCAATGCTGCCTTGGAGGACTCATCGGCATCCCGTTTCGTTCTAACCCCTACAGCGACGCGCAATTTGAACCGGCTTGCCAGCTGCCTGTTGGATCGTCGTCCGGTGTTGGTCTGTGGGTCGGCGGGATCGAGCAAGACCTCGCTTGTTCATGAAGCTGGCAGACTCCTCAACAAGCTCTCATCTATGGTTACTCTGCATATCAATGAGCAGACAGATGCCAAGAGCTTGCTGGGAGTGTACACGTCGTCTTCAAATGGCAACTCCTTTACTTGGAAACCGGGTGTTTTGACCAAAGCGATCCAACAGGGCAGGTGGGTATTAATCGAAGATATTGACCGTGCCCCTGCTGAAGTCATGGGGGTACTTCGTCCAATTCTTGAGAATGGTGAGTTGTTCCTCCCAAACCGGAAGGAGAAGATTCACCCAAGGTACGGCTTCCGCATACTTGCGACACTGAAGACGGCCAGCCGTTCTCCGATTCCTGCGAGTTCGCGTCACTCCTGGCTTCTGAGCCCTCGATTATGGTCTACAGTCAATATCATGGACTACGAGATGTCAGAAATTGAATCATTGCTCCGCTTGCGATATCCAGGCGCGGTCGTCTTCATTCCCACAATTTTACGAGTTCACAGTCGTCTTTGTGATCTCTACCGAGATGAGCACTCTCTCAAAGCTTTGCAAACCAGGACACCCTCTCTGCGGGACTTACTGAAGTGGTCGCGAAGGGTGGATAAGCGGCTTCGGGATCATTCATCGACATCGCCGTCAGCAGGCCTACCAGAATCTGTGAACCTTCACATTTTCAGTGACGCTGTCGACTGCTATGCCGGCTACCTGAATGATGACAGCACCCATGATTTGGTTGCTGCTTGCATTGCCCGAGAAATGGGCATATCGCCACAACAGATGCGGCATTGCTTAGACGAAGCTTTGACAACTATCACGGAGACGAGCTCAGAAATTATCATCGGTCGAAGCACGCTAAAGCGGGTCTCCCACCACCGTCGCCCGGCGAGCAAGGCCCCGTTTGCCCTTACCAGGCACGCTCAGAGAACACTCAGCCGCATTTCTGCGGGAGCAAGCCGTGCTGAGCCATGCCTACTAGTGGGCGAGACGGGTGTTGGGAAAACCACTTTGATACAGTATGTCGCGGGACTTGTTGGGCAAACCCTAACCGTGGTGAATCTTTCGCAGCAAAGTGAGTCAAGCGACTTGCTTGGTGGCTTGAAACCGGTCACCACCAGATCTCTAATGCTCCCATTGCTGGAGAAGTTCAATGTACTGTTTGATGACACGTTCTCGACGAAACGGAACGAGAAATTTCAGGTGGCGGTTTCTAAATCGATTGCAAGGCAAAACTGGCAAAGGTTGATTATCTTATGGAGCGAAGCTGTACAAATGGCAGAGGCATCATTGAGTGGCACGTCTGGAGCCTCTATGACACCCGGGTCCGTCCATGCCACCAAGAGACGAAAGCTGGCTGCCCCGAAATATGAGGCCTTGCGCGAAAGGTGGTCCGACTTTGCTGAAAGCCTGAACAGAATCCGTGCGCAGGTTGACCATGGAAATAAAAATCAGACATTTGCTTTCGTTGAAGGACGGTTAGTACAAGCTGTCCGCGACGGCGAGTGGGTTCTCCTGGATGAAATCAACCTAGCGTCCCCTGACACTCTGGACCACATCGTAAGTCTTCTAAACAATGGCGATGATGACAAGCCAACCCTTCTTCTCACCGAAGCCGGCAACATTGAATCCATTGTTGCTCATCCGAACTTTCGCATCTTTGCCGCAATGAACCCGGCAACAGATGCTGGGAAGAAGGACCTTGCACCAGGCTTACGATCTCGTTTCACCGAAATCTATGTACCTTCTGGTGATAGCGATGTCGATGACCTTACAAGGATTATCCGCGTTTATCTAGGAACGAAACTGGATAACGACAAACGCGCTGCTCTCGATCTCGCAAATGCCTATCTTGACCTCAAGAAGCTTAATCACGAGAACAAGTTGACTGACGGAGCGGGCGATATTCCACACTTCAGCATTCGCTCGCTTGTTCGCTGCCTTTTGTACGTTTCGCAACATAGTGCCAGCCATGGTCTTCGACGTGCTATGTATGAAGGTTTTGCAATGAGCTTTTTCACGGTGCTGAGCAGGGTTTCCGAGAATTTGGCCCTTCCGATCCTGGAGAAGCACTTGCTATCCAATGTCAAAAATAAGAAATCCTTCCTTGGCCAACAACCGAAACTGCCATACGACGCAGACGAGTACGTGTCTTTCCGCCATCATTTAGTCAAGAAAGGGCCCATGAGCCCTGACCTTCAGCCACATTACATCCGTACACCATCGGTGGAACGCAATCTGCTCAATCTTGCTCGAGCTGCCTCTATGCGACGCTTCCCCATCCTCCTTCAAGGCCCAACTTCCGCTGGCAAGACTAGCATGGTGGAATACCTGGCGAAGCTGTCTGGTAACAAATTTGTGAGGATCAATAACCACGAACACACCGATCTGCAGGAATACCTTGGAAGCTATGATTCAGGTGCCGATGGAAAGCTCGTGTACCGAGAAGGCGTCCTGGTAGATGCGCTCCGCCAAGGTCACTGGATAGTCCTCGACGAATTAAACCTTGCCCCAAGCGACGTTTTAGAGGCGCTCAACCGCTTGCTCGATGATAACAGGGAATTACTGATACCAGAATCCCAGGAGATCGTCCGACCACATCCCAATTTCATGCTCTTTGCCACGCAGAACCCTGCTGGGCTTTATGGAGGAAGAAAAAGACTGTCTCGGGCGTTCAGAAACCGCTTCTTGGAGCTTCATTTCGACGATATCCCTGAGGATGAATTGGAGATCATCCTCAGGGAACGTGCACAGCTCGCACCTTCTTTTTGCAGTCAAATTGTTGCCGTATACAAACGGCTGTCATTGCAGAGACAGTCGACGAGATTGTTCGAACAGCGGAATAGCTTTGCTACCTTGCGTGATCTGTTCCGATGGGCCGCACGGCCTATGAATGATCGACAACAGTTGGCAAATCATGGATTCATGCTTCTGGGGGAACGGGTAAGAGATCCTGCTGAGCGCGCTGTTGTCAAGAGAACCATTGAAGAAACCATGAAAGTGGTTATTGATGAGAACTCGTTGTATGGTCCATCAGCAATACCGCAACCCCTGCAGAGCCCCGGGACTATTGTCTGGACCTCTGCGATGAGACGACTCTTCGTCCTGGTCTCCGAGGCGCTCAAGAACAATGAGCCTGTTCTTTTGGTTGGGGAGACTGGTTGTGGGAAGACTCAAATCTGCCAGGTGGTGAGCGAAGCATTTGGACGACCTCTCCGCATTTACAATGCACACACGAACACCGAAACCAGTGATCTAATAGGTTCACAACGGCCTGTTCGCAATCGCTCCGAATTGGAAAATAGGGTGCGAGAAAATTGGGGTTCTTTGGTCTCAGCAGGCACCAGTAACTCATTGAACGAGGATCTCAGTATGGAGCAGCTCACAGCAGAATTTGCCAGGATGGACACCTCAAATCTGGACCCAGACATTGTGCAGCGGACCAAATCCAGTATCGCAGCTTACCAGTCCCTCTTTACTTGGTCTGATGGCAGCCTCGTGAGGGCCATGAAGGCTGGTGAGCATTTCTTGCTCGACGAAATCTCGCTGGCTGATGATTCCGTACTCGAACGCTTGAACAGCGCACTGGAGCCTTCGCGGACGATTTTACTTGCGGAAAAAGGATCGGTGGATAACCTCGTCACTGCGCAACCGACCTTCCAGTTCTTGGCCACCATGAATCCCGGAGGTGATTATGGGAAACGGGAATTGTCAGCGGCACTCCGTAACCGCTTAACAGAGATCTGGGTCCCTCCTTTGTCAAATGAAGCGGACATAATACCCATTGTTCAAAACAAGCTAAGTGTGCAGAGAAAGCACCTTGCCCCTGCAATGCTTGACTTCGCTATGTGGTTCCGGAGAAACTTCCACAACACTACGTCCACGGCCGTCCCGTTACGCGATCTCCTGGCTTGGGCGGGTTTCATCAATCACACTGCCTTTTTGGAAGAGAGCATAGCTTTCACTCAGGGCGCCTTCATGGTGTATGTGGATTCTATAGGCGCAAATCCAGCGGGCATGACAGCAACAGGCTCTGCAGATCTCTATGAAGCAAGACGGCGATGTCTGGAACATCTCCAAACTCTTGTCAAAATTGATGTCTATTCAAATTATCAGGAGACGCCGGAGCTGAATATCACCACCCAAGGTCTTTACGTGGGACCGTACCTACTCCCTTGCGCTGAGATCCAATCCCGACAAGAGCCAGACCTTGTGTTTGGCGCGCCAACAACTCTACAAAATACCATGAGGATTGTTCGTGCACTGCAGATGCCCAGGCCAATTCTCCTAGAAGGAAGTCCTGGTGTTGGCAAGACCGCCATCGTCACAGCTCTTGCTCGAGCTTCGGGGAAGCAATTTACCCGGATTAACTTGTCGGACCAGACTGACTTGATGGATCTGTTCGGGGCGGATACGCCTGCTGAGAATGAGAAACTCGGGAACTTTTCATGGCAGAACGGCCCGCTCCTGGACGCGATGCAAAATGGGGGTTGGGTCCTTTTGGATGAGATGAACCTGGCGTCTCAGTCTGTTTTGGAAGGTCTCAACTCTTGCCTGGATCACCGGCGAGAAGTTTATATTGCTGAGCTGGACAAGTCTTTCACATGCCATCCCGAATTCACCTTGTTCGCTGCCCAAAATCCTCATCATCAGGGTGGGGGGCGTAAAGGTCTTCCAGCGTCATTCGTCAATCGTTTCACAGTCGTCTACGCGGACTCTTTCCGAAAGGAGGATTTGATGCTGATTTGCCAGCACAAGTATTCAAATATCCCGGTTGATCAACTGGGCTTGGTGATAAACTCGATTTACGAACTTGAGCGTGCAATCTCACGTGTCCCAGCCTTCGGTCTTGGAGGGCCATGGGAATTCAATCTTCGGGACGTTGACCGCTGGCTTACTTTATGCGAAGGCCAGCCAACGCTTTCTCCTTTGTATCACTTCCGCACTATTGCAGTGCAACGATTCCGAACTGCTGCTCAGAAGGAACACGTTTTGGCATTATTACCCGCAAATCTCTCCGCTCCGCCTCCTGAGAGCTTCTACAGCGACTTAGCCACAACAGCTTTACAGCTTGGGACTTCTACTCTTGCAAGAAACGAGATCTTACAGCAGACAAAGGCACATAACCTTGCACTACCGGTTGCACATTTGCCCGCGGCCAAATCCATTATCACTGCTATCAATAAGAGATGGCCTGTGATTCTTGCCGGGCCATCTGGCTCCGGGAAAACCTCCGTCATTCGGTTCCTTGCCGCTATATCTGGCGCTGAACTCGTGGAATTTTCCATGAACGCGGACGTGGACACACTCGACCTTGTGGGCGGGTTTGAGCAATATGATGCCCGTCGCGACATTGTTGTCTGCCAGAGGAAGGCCAAAGAGGCTATTCGACATGACCTTGCCAACGCCTTGAGAGATTCCAGGCCAACAACAGTCAAGGCCCAGCTGTTAGAGCTATGGGACAGGTTACAGTCTGAAGACATGGACGCCTCGGCCCTTCAACGAATATTGTCCTCTGCTTGTGAGACCCTTCCAGAACTTACAGATGTTGTGGCCAGTCTGTCAGATCTGCTTGATTTTGCTGATGCCTCCTACTCGCGCTTTGTTTGGAACGACGGCATTCTCGTTGACGCCGTAGAGCGAGGTTCTTGGCTCGTTCTCGACAATGCCAATCTTTGCAACCCGTCTGTTCTCGACCGGCTCAACTCACTTCTAGAACCAGATGGCACGCTTTCTGTCAGCGAGCAGCACAATACTGGCAGTAACGCTAGAGTGATCATACCACATAAGGACTTCCGAATCTTCCTCACTCTCGATCCACAATATGGAGAACTCTCACGGGCGATGCGAAATCGGTCGTTGGAGGTCTACGTGGGCAATGTACCAGAAGAGCAAGTTGACACACCAGCCATTCAATACCCCTACACGTCATCTGTCGCTCGCCTGCGATACATGCATGAAGCATCCTGCGAAGTGTACTCAGAAGAGGCAGTTGTTGAGTCTTTCGTGGACAATTTATCATTGGAAGAGATGGCTTTAGCAGTGGAAAGTGTGAATGACCTGCCCGTTGGTGCAGCTTCTCCCATACTTGCAATGGAGCTCAGCAAGAGGTCAGCACTTGATGAAAAGGTCCTGCCCCAATTTGTTCCAGTTGATGTTCTGGCTTCCACTCGACTTCCTCAGTTGATTACGCTAAACGAACCATGGATTCTTCTTGATGGGCTGCGTGGCATTGACTTTTTGCGCCACGTGCCTATTGATGTTCTCACTCGAGGCTGGTACGTCTGTCGCCGTGCAGAGGATATCCGCGCGAAACTGAGGGATGCCTGCTCCACGCGTCTGGCCATACCTCTTAAAGAGCAGACAGTTCTTCAGAAATCGACAGCTCTCACTCACGACAAGAAACGCCTGGATACAGTTCCTCAGATTGCCACGTTTGCCAATTCTCTCCTTACAGAATTGTCGTCGAGCGTGAAGAGTGGTCCTAGTGCCAGCCTTGATGCACAATCGGTAGAGGCCATCGAATGTATGCTTCTCTTCGCCCAAGATCTGGTGGACAGATCTAACACGGAGTCCTTGGACACTGCATTGATGCATGCGTATTTACAGATCGGCTTCAGCCTCGCTCGTTCACTGCAGGTCAACTTTAAAGAATTGGCAAGGATATTCTCGAAGTGTTTGCAAATCCTTTCCCTGCATGCGGGCGGGCTCAGGACCGGCTTGAGCCTGCAGCTCATGTGGCAGCCTTTCCAACCCAAGACCGCAAAATCCATGTCACAGCTTGAAACGCAACTGGGCCTAGAAGAGTTGATCCTCAGGTTCGACAAACTATGTCGCTATCTTCCCGATTCCAGGGCCACATTATCGGCCCTGAGGTCCAAGTTACAGGCCACCTATACTTCAATCGTGGAATCCGACCACCCGGACACATCTATCACGGCTTTGCAAGGGGCAGTTGCAATGCTTGAAGAGCAGTCACAGAGAGGCTTCTTCCTGCAAGGCAAACTTGAGAAGGTGCTCAACTATATTTATCAGGTGTTGAAGTTACAAAGTGGGCAGACTGACTCCGGGACTTTGAGCATTCTGGAGATGTTCGTACCAGAATCAAAGAGGAAGCTGCTTACCATTGGAGACGACATGTCAGTGACTGCTTCGCTGTCCGAGATCGCCTCGTTGGATGCTTCCGTTGTGACCGATCATGGACGCGTTGGGCTGGACCTCATTAGAGGATTGTGCGAAGTCCAAGATCAACCACTTGGCGCGCTCAACCATGCCAAAGAAGAATTATCAACCTTGATAAAGGCCACGACTTCATTTCCAGTCAGTTTTGACAGAGTAACCGAAGTTCTCGTTGGGAACATCCACACTCTGTTGTCCGGTCTCGTGTCTGTGCACCGGGATTTCCTTACAGAAGAGGTTAGAGAGTGTCTTGTTGCCTTCGATTCAGTGGATCTGGCTAGCCTTGCTAGTCTCTCCCAGACGAATCCTGTTGTTCTGGACGGACAGGACAGGGCATATTTCCGAGACGTTTTCCATCTCTACCTCCTGCCGGTTGTACAAATTCTGGCTGGTCGCCGTCCGGTCTCCATAGACGACATCAAAACATGTCTGATCAAGTTATCGCTGGCTGGTTTAATTCTGATGGTACCAGATAAAGCATTCGATCCAGCCGTCCTCCCACACATTGCATATGGCCAGCAACAAAGGAGGATCAACGAGCTGCACCGCAGGATAAATGGCCAAAAAGTATTCCACCGGCTTGTCCTGGGCCAGGAAACCAGTCTGGTCATTCGAATCTTAGAACAGGAGGCGCACGACCTAGGAACTGCAGCTTCGCCTCCAACTGTGATAAGACCAAGCCGCACTGAGCTCCCGAAACTCCAGGAAGTTTTCACCAGGATCGCAAATGTTGTTGCCCCAGTCCATTCTGTCGACTCTCCTCAACCAGGTACATCGGAATGGATGGCTCAGTGGTCCAGCGCCCATGGCAAGAAAAATCTGGCAGTTATTATCGAGCGCCTTGAGCACTCAAACCGCGCTTACGATGATTTCGTGAAACCCATTGAGTGGTTCTTGAAAACTCTATCTCTTGCATTAGAGCTGCAGTCGGCAACGGCTGTTTCAAGTCCCAGTGAAGGCCCGATACAGGTCGTTATCAGACACACCCCGTTGCTGGGCGCCTCTCCCGAAGATCTCTTGGCTTGGGACGCTCCCCTCGTGGCACAACGTAAACTCCAGCTGCTCTGGTTAAAATACGCCGGGGTGGCCACGAACCTGTTCGCAAAGCATGCCTTTCCAGAATCTCACGGCTTGCTAAGTCTACTGAATCAGTTTTACACAGACTGGAAAGCTTACCTCACCAGTGGTCAAGCTGAATCTGCTATCCGCTCTCGATATTATACCTACCGCGGTGGTGGGGAGAAGGAGGAAGAGAATGAGCTTCACGAGATGAACGACATGTTTCCGCAGTTCGATCATTTGGAAACAAAGACCACTGACGATTCTCAATCGTATGATGCGCGCACGATTGCCGTGCAGCTGGCTGGTGCACATGAACAGATTTACGGTGTCGACGATCCCTCAAAAGCTCTAGAGAATTACATCCTAGGGGCAATGAGAGTTATCCCCGAGATACAGGCTGGCGAGCGTGAGGACGCCGCAGCAGGATTTACCGACTTATTGCCCGGAATTCTCTTGCAGATGAAATCCGAGCTTACGGGACTCAACACCCGCCGATCGGACGCCCGATTCAACATATACACAGACTGCGATGTGATCGAGACACAAAAACTCTTGGACCTGGTCCGTCACGTCGAAGCAAGGTTTCAAAAGATTTCCGAGAGATGGCCGGAGCATGCTGTGCCGGCAGAGGTTCTGTCTTTCTGCAGAGAGATCTGGCATTTGAGCATGAAAGACCCGGTTGCTAAGCTGCTGACGAAGACTGAAAAGCTTTATGAAATGGTGTCACAATGGCAGAGTGTGGCCAGCCGTGAGTGGTCCGTCAGCTCCCTTATCGAGCAGCTCTCCAGCCTGGTCATCAGCTGGCGACGCTTGGAACTGCTTTCCTGGTCCAGGCTTCTGGACGACGAACAAATTCGACATGAGGCAGATGCAAAAGCATGGTATTTTGTGGCGTATGAAGCAGTGGTCTACAACGCAACGAGGCTGGCCGGCGACAATGAAGAACTTCAAGCTTACTGCACGTCGCTCGCTCGAACCTTGGAAGAGTTCCTCAAGACGACGACTCTAGGTCAATATTCGTCAAGGTTAAGACTGCTTTCGACACTCAAAACTTTACTAATCAACATAACACGCCATGAAAAACAGTTGCTGCCAGTTCGGAATTGTGTGGCCAATGTCATTCAACATTATCGGAGATACGAATCAAATGTTGCCGCCTCCCTTCGAAATGGCCGTGCCGACCTTGAGAAGTCCTTGAACGAGCAAATCAAGTTGGCCAGTTGGAAAGATACCAATGTCACCGCTCTCCGTGACAGTGCTCGACGGTCCCATCACAAGCTGTTCAAGATCGTCAGAAAGTACCGCGACTTTTTGAATCAAATTGTGACCGTGTTCAAGACAGCTGAAGATGCAAACTCTGTACAAAGCACAGAAGAAACTTTGGGGACGGTAAGTGAGCCTTTCGTCGACAAGACAGCAGTCATTTCGGCGCAAAAACAATGTCGAGAGCTAGTTGCAGGGTGGGAAAGTCGACCAGAACGATTGGTCAACCCACTAGGAGCCGTTGAGAGCATGCGTCGACTCTATTCAAGCAGCTGTGCCAAATTGCAACCCCACCTTGAGCTGGCGTCGTTCCGCGAGGATCTGCTCAATGCGATCAAAGAGTTGAGGGCACAGACACCATCCGCACTAACAGATGAGAACGCTGCTTTTGTCCGGCATCTGCAGGAGAGAAAGCGACGCCTTCTTACAGAGACCCTCAAGGCAGTCAGCAAGATGGGTATCAGGAGAAATCTGCCAACCTCTGAGCTCGAAAAGCAGTCTTCAATGGCGAGTGTACTCTCTTCGTCGCCGGATCTTTTGGTGGACAATGCATCCCAAGATGTGTCTGCGGCCGACAACTCGTTTCACGATCTACTTGACGCGATGTCCGAGGTCCGCGCTGCCAGGGTTGCCCATTCCGATGACCTCACCGAAGGCGAAATCAATCGCAGTGTAGGTTTATTGGAAGGCTTGCTATATCTCACTATACGGCAACGCCAGGACATTGCCTCTTCAAGCCAGGAGTTGAGGGAGTTGAACGATCAAGTTTCAACGCTTCGTTCCTTCCAGACATGGTCGCCTGATAAGCTGAGTGTGACCACAACTTCAGCAGAAAGCGAACAACTTCGCTTCCGTCTTGCATGGCTTGGTGAGATCTTGACTCTGGCTGTCCGACTCCTGGACTTTCAAGCACAAAGTGCTGGGTTTGAGGTCAAAGAGTTGATCGAGTCGATAAATTCCTACAGCGGCCAAGTAAGAGAGATAAGGAGCAAACTTGATGATTTGCCCTTGATGCCCGTAGGACTGCAGACGAAGGATGAATACTCCTTAGTGGAACAGACATCAGAAACCCTCTCGAAGCTCGGCTTGACCCTGAGGGAGTGGAAAATCAAGGAGCCTCGGGTTGAATTCATTCTCAGGCAAATCATTCCCTGGGTTGAGCATTTGCCGACAGCTCAGAGCAAGACCACCAATGGCGTGGTCGATATGGGTGTGGAATCATTCGATGATGACCTCCGAAACCTGCTTGATCAAGTGTTCGTGGCGTTGCAAAGATTGTCCTCTTCTCAGCACGACCTACCGCAAACAGTCGAGGACCAGAGCTGGCTTTCAAAACTCGACGGGCATTTTGCACGAGCCGTGCGATCCCTGCAGCCACGGACAATTAGCACTGGCCTTGCCGAATTACTTGCAAAAGTCCACTCGTGCAACCCACGCGGTCTTGTCACAATCAGCAACTTAGTACGTGTGGCATTGCCCATCATTGAACAGTATTATCACATTCTGGAGCATCTCCACCGGCAGCAAGCGGCTCTCCATCTTGAAACGAGTCAGCTAGCCCTGCAACTGGCTCGGTCTTTTACCACACTCGCCAGCCAGGGCTTCTGTCGACCTTCGGAGCCTAGCGAAGGGGAAGAGAAGTCTGGAAAGCTCGAGAGCGGAACCGGTCTCGGTGAGGGAGAAGGTGCCGAAGACATCAGTAAGGATGTTGGAGATGACGAGGACCTCTCTGAGCTAGCCCAGTCAGGTCAAAAAGAGGAGCCAGACAATGAGATTGAGGATGCTGAAGATGCCATCGACATGGGTCACGACGATCTTGCTGGTGACACAGGAGATCAAGGTGAGCAGGAGTCGGGCCAAGACAAGGACGGAGATGGCTCGGACGAGGAAGGAGACGACGAGATTGATGAGGAGACCGGCTCAGTCGACGACCTCGATCCCTCAGCTGTGGACGAAAAGATGTGGGATGATATGAAGAACGAATCCGAGAAAGATAAGGAGCTGAAAAATGACAAGGCAGAGGGCAAGAAATCGGACGATCAGACAGCAGCTGATGGACAGCAGCCAGAAGGGGAGGATATGGACGGGTTGGAGGGTGACGAAGTCGAGGAGGAAGGACCCGATGAGACTGACGGCGGGGAACGACCTGAGGCTGAAAACATGGATCCACATTTGGACAATGAGAAGGCATTAGAGCTTCCCGAGGAGCTTCAGTTGAACGGGGAAGATGAGATGAAAGAGGATGACATCTCGGATGACGGCATGGATGAGCTTTCTGCTATTGATGAAGCGGCCAAGGAAGAGGTCGATGGCGTGGAAAAGGATGACGGCACAATGTCAGAGGAGTCTAGGGATGAGGCTGACCTCCCTGAAGAGGTGACGTCCGACCAGGAAGAACTCGACGGGGGTACGGCTCAAGATGACGAGATCGTGGAAGATCAGCTTTCTGACAAAGAGGACGAAGAGCAATCCAAACATGACACCCGTCAGGACGACGAAGCGCACGATATGGACGAACCCACTGGTGGTGAAACCGGAGCCGCCAACGAGATCCAGGACTCTGTGGATCCGGACCAGAACCTGCAAGGGATGAATCCATCCGACAAAGAGCCAGATCCGCAGCAGTCACGGCCGGGAAAGGCTCCTGAGAACCAAGAGCAGGGCGAGACAGGCACTGGTGCCGTTGAACAGGGGTCGGGCCGAGCGGATACGCTCGAGCGCCAGCAGAACGAAGGTCTGCGGAAGCTAGCCGATGTACTGGACCAATATCATCAGAAGCGCGAAATCCTGCCTGCATCTGACGAGCATCAAGAAGCAGACGGAGATAATGATGTTGACATGGCTGATGTTGATTTTGAGCACGTTCAAGACGAGGCTGAAAGAGATGCACAGGCTTTGGGCGCCGCTGCCGGCGACGAGGCTCAAAACCTTGACCAGAGCAGAGCTATTGAAGACGAAGACGTGCCCATTAACGAAGACACCGAGCTTCCCGACGTTCCAGAGACGGAAGCACCAGATAACATGGCTGAACGGCTCCATCGTCTGCAGGCGCAGCCAAAGACACAAGAGTCAACAGGCGCCGGCGGGTTCATTCCCGGCCAGGAAACCCGCCGCAATGAGCAAGACAATCCGGCAACAGAGGCAGACGCTGCCTCGGACGATCTAGCCCCAGAAATTGAACACCTGGACCTGCAGCCGAACGAACCTACCGAGACGTCGCCTCCGACCAGCACGTCCGACGCGGTACAGCTATGGAACCACTGTTCAGCCGTCACGCATCAATTTTCACTCGTCCTGACCGAGCAGCTCCGGCTGATCCTGTCGCCGACAACGGCCACGAAGCTCCGGGGCGACTACCGCACAGGCAAGCGGCTCAACATCAAGCGCATCATCCCGTACATAGCGTCCAACTACAAGCGGGACAAGATCTGGATGCGACGCTCCGTGCCGAGCAAGCGGAACTACCAAATCATGATTGCCGTAGACGACAGCAAATCGATGAGCGAGTCCGGGGCGGACCTGCTGGCGTTCGAGACGCTGGCCATGCTGACCAAGTCCCTGTCGATGCTGGAGGTAGGGGAGTTGTGCGTGGTCGGTTTCGGCGACCAGGAAAATATCACTGTTGCGCACCCGTTCGGCACGCCCTTCTCGCCCTCCGAGTCCGGACCCAATGTCTTCCGCGCCTTCAGCTTCGCCCAGCGCGGCACCAACGTCCGCAACCTGGTGCGCCAGAGTATCCAGCTGTTCCGCGACGCCCGTCTTAAGGGTCACTCGGCGTCCGAGGACCTCTGGCAGTTGCAGCTCGTCGTCAGTGACGGCCACTGCTCGGACCACGAGGCCATCGCCCGCCTCGTCCGCCAGGCCCAGGCCGAGAAAATCGTCATCGTCTTTGTCATTGTCGATGCCGGCCCAGAGAGCATCCTGGATCTCAAAGAGGCCGTCTTCGAGCCCGATCCGAACTCCGCAGCCGGTGCTGATGGTGGTCCTGTTGAAATGAGGGTCCGCACAAAGAGGTACCTCGAGGATTTCCCTTTCCCTTATTATCTGGTCGTCAGAGACGTGAGAGACTTGCCTGGTGTGCTGGCAACGGCGCTGAAGGGCTGGTTTGGAAGTGTCATCGATGTGCAGGGTTAATGGAGACTAGATTGTAATACTATGTCTTGCCCTCTAGTTGGGCGTTTCCGTTGCTAAACTGCCAACGTTGACCAGTGGAGAGGAATAGATAGATAGATAGATAGACGCAGGCTACCATTCCCAGGTAGCATTTTTTGGTCATTGTTAATACTATTTAAATTGTTGAAATCGATTTCCAATCTGTCCTTCGGTAATACATATGCTTCTGCACATCATTTCTTTTGTCAGCTCCATGTCTACCTGCCAATCCAGCTAGATACTTCCGGCGTTTTGGAGCCTCTGCCGAAATGTGTAGGTTCACACCATCACCAGCCTGATCCCTTGCTGGTTAGGTATGATCAGGTTGAATTGAATCGATCTTGTGAATTGCTAAACGGACACGCGGAGACCGGAAAACAAAGTAAAAAGCGTCAATATGGCAAGCCAACGAAACATTGAGCGGATTGGTATGTTTGAATTGGTTCGTTTCGGATTTCAGCTCCTGCAAAGCATATGTACAAACGTCTGTGTGCAGCAGGGCCTATAGTCAGGGTCCCCCATCTTCCACACTCCGATATCTTCCGCCAACCATCATTTTTAACAACCAAAACTCTACCACAACGTCTTGTGGCCGAAAGTCATGCGGAGCATGCCGTAGAAAGAGAATGCGAAGCTTCCGAGCAAGAGGGTGTAGTATGGGTAGAGGATGTATGGGCTTCGGTGGGTCTAGAAATCGGACAATTGTCAGTCATACACGACCAAAACCAGATGAAAAGACATGAGATGATTCGCGACACCGCATCATCAAAGCTGCAGGTCTGGACTTGTACATGTCTTGCGGGAACCCGTTTCCTTCGTGGAATAGGTATGACGCAGTTCACACCGGACCAGCTCATGGGTCTGGTATACTCCAGCAGTAGGAGTAGCTCCCGGAGGTGGCTCGTGAACTGGGATCCTTCCACCTCTTGCCATCCACCCAGCAAGGAAAAGCGTATGCAGAAATTCAAAAATGACTGACCTTCCACCATTGTCGCTTGCCGTCATGCTTCTGGAAGAGCCGCTGGTAGTAAGGCACTCGGTTCTCGCGGTAAACAAATCTGTCAAGACCCATAGGTCAGCATTTTCCGGCTCTTGTAAGACCGCCAATTGACCCTCGGTCGTGTCGGCTTTGGCGTTGTAGTGGACTTTGCGCAATCGGGTCGAGCTTACCCCCATCTTTGAGCTTGTGTCGGGTTGAACATGCGGGCACGGGTGGCCTGCATCATGCGGGCAGCTGTAGGGGCGACCATGTTTGCGTTTCAGCGACGGTTCCGGCGAAAACGAGCAATGGCGATGACAGGAGGGGAGATTACAATCGTCGTGACCTGAGGTTCCGGGGAGACGTTCAAGATGCAGTTGAAGTTGCAGAGCAGAAGCTCGTGCCAAGCCAATAATGTAGTTCACGTGACCGGCTTGTATCATTGGTATCAACGTCTCCTGATCCATCTTTCGATTAATTATGTCGAACCACATTGGCTACTGCTACTCTCGGAATTTGTGCACGCCAGTCTACTGTGTTCCTTATGTCGACGCTCGCTGGCATTACATCTCGTTGACGGGGACGGAGCCACGGTACATCCTTCCTCGCACGCTACATGAAAGTGTCCTGGGGACGTCTAGTGCAACGTCCGAGGGCACCATGTCTATCATTGCCAACATGTCGTAATCTTTGTAGGACTGGGCGCCCGTTTGGACCCCCGACTAGGTCAATCAGTTGCCATCATCCACGGGCAGTCTGTCAGCGACGAACCCAATCGACAGTGTCAGAACCGAATCAACGACCAGGGCCATCAGATCATCATGGCTTGGTGATTGAGTCTTCCGATACTCCCGACCCGGTTGAGCCGCAATGGGAAAGAATTTTGGATGACGCTTTCGTCTATGGCATCCGAAGCAAAGACCGACTGCTGTTCGAAGCAGATGTCGGACGCCATGGCAGTATAGGGACGCGACTCGTTGACCGGCCACCGGCTCGTCGAAACTTCGACATATGGCGCCTATTGCTACGAGCTCAAGCGCTGCAAAATGGTCACGACGGAATCAAAGCCATCTGGAACGGACTCCAGTCTCGCGGCCAGGCCATCAGGTTCGACGACACGGATCCCCAGGTCGACGCTCTGTGGCGGATTTTCCTGTCTGCCGGCGCCTCGGATCATGGGTTCCTATGGTCGTTGTGCAAGGTGGCCAGACGTGCCAAATTCGATCGGCCAGCCCTCTTCGTCGAGATAGTAGGGACTGCTTTAGAGGGCAGCTCACCTGACAAAGCCGTCAGCTTTGCATCCTTCCTCATGAAGACCCATTACAGAGGCAGAGACGATCTCTTGGCCATCTTCGATTCTGCTTGTCGCTCCAACGCCGCTGACAGCCTCAAACACTTCTGCAAGATCTATGAGATTGTACCGAAAACCTCAATCTATAGCGACGTCGCAACGAGGTTATGGGAGCAAGAGCGCTCTGCAGATGCGTTTATAATGCATTCTTTTCTGGTCTCAAAGGGCGATTTACCTCCACGCTTTGAAGTGATCGAGCCTTTCCTGAGCTATTTAGCAGCCCAAGATGAGAATAATCTCGACGAGTTTCTGGTTTCACTTGGGTCTGCAGGGGCATCGTTTGAATCTCAGGCTCGACGCTTCTGGTCGCGTGAGCGGAGCAGGGTTACCGGGTTGTCTTTGGAGTCTTTGAACATTGTTGCCAGCAACACGCTTGGCGTGAACCCGAAGAAGCTGAGCGATCAATTCGTCGCTCGCGCGTTCGCCACAAGGGCGTTTTCGTTTGATTTCATCGTCAACAGTTTGCGGATGGTGGGCCTGATCGAGGTAGGACCTCTGGCTGTCCGTCAAGCGGCACTGACCGCACCCGACCTCGCCACGCTGCAAGCACGATTCTCCAAATTTGATGAGTTAGGCATCGACACAGGATCATCGGCATTCGTGCGGATCCTCAGGAAAGTGTGCAACGCCGGACGATGGGAAATGGCTCACGCCCTGGTCCACAATGATCTACACTACGAAGTTTTCGAGGATTCTCTTCTGCAAGAACGACTGCTGGCAGAATACTACCGGACCCAAGATTGGGAGCAACTAAATCGGACACTTGTCATCCTCAACAACGGGGACTTTGACGACAAAGCTCAAGCGAATGCTGGATCCCTTTTGATCAAGATCATGCTTGAAGCAGGTGACTGGGCGCAAGCCTTGAAGCTGATTCGGAATCTACAGACCAGAAACCTGCCGATATCATCGACCGTCGCGCGTTCCATAGTCCAACTACTCAAACAACCGCAATTAGTCAAATCCGCTGCCCTTGACTCAGAAACCGACGATCGGATTGCTTTCTTGATCGGTTCGTTGCAAGACATATTCGCGTCAGGAACAAAGTTTGAAATCACACTTTGGCGCTGGCCTCTCCGAGCACTAGGCAGTCTCGGTCGACAGAAAGAATTGGAATGTTTGGTGTATTGGATTGCCGAACAATACACACCCAAGCCAATGAAAACCAAGAAAAAACGTGGCAACCAGCCTAAAAAGGCAGAACTTGAACGTCCCAAGTTTGGTCATGTCTTGGAACCCCTCTTTGGAGACAAGTTCCAGAAAGCCCTTGTGTCCTGGTGTTTCTTGCCTCATAAGGGCATGACGACCGTCTCGCCGGAACAATGCTTGCGATGGACTCGCATCCTCAAGAGACTAAGGGATGTTTATGGCGTTGAGGTCAAAGAATATAATGTCCGCTGGATGTTTATTCGTCGTCTACGCTGGCTGTTCGCCTCAGGTATTCGACTAAAGGGACACAATTTGCGCATGCGTCTGAGGAACACTACTTCTGCTCATCGCTACTGGCAGTTGTATGATAAAATGTGGGATATGAAACCACCTGCAAATCTCGGCGATGATCGTGGCGAGCTCGTCAAGTATATGAAACGGCTGAAGACACCTCCTGGTACTACAACTGAAGGACAGTCCGAGTCTCAAGAATCGGATGAAGACGATGATGATGCCTTTGAAGGTCTTCAAGAAGAGGATGGGGAGAAGGAGGATATTGTAGGGTATCGAGACCTCTTCCATGCTTCGTGGGAAGATTATCAGAAATTGAAATGAAATGAACAATAGGTGCAAGCAAGCCAAACCAAACAAGTGTTCCTGGTAGACTAAATCCCAGGTACAATAGACAGACGTCCTATTCTGTACTTTACCACTTCAGCATCAATCAGGCACTTCCTACAGTAGCATTGTAACTTGGCCATTGTGCAGCTTGACACTGTCCACTGTACGTTTTACTACCTATGTAGACGGAAATCCCTTGTCCATCCATGATTGGCCGCATGACCAGCCGTTAAAGCAGCATGCAAAAAAGCAAATTATGGCTTGGCATTCCCGCACAACCACTTACCTTTCTTTCACTTCACCTCACGCCGCTTTTACCTCCTTCACAACCACTCACGCTGCTTTTACCAACACCACTGTTACCCGGCAACACACGGCTACATCCGACGCTAACGTTATTTGGACTAAGACGGGCATCAATTCACATATCCCAGACCCTGGTAAGCCGATCTGATCTTTCCTTTGTCCAAATGCACAGAAAAAGCACAGTAAAGATGGCGGACTCGGGGCCTTTGGAAGAACTCAAAAATTACCACAGGCCAACTACGGCCAAGAAGACCTATGGCAAGAAGAAGAAGACCGCCACGGCGGCACATACTCGTGCTATGCATTTCGAGTTGTTTGGCGGCGGCGGCGGAGAAGACGAGAAGGAGAACGAGATCGAGAACAAGATCGTGGACGAGATGGAGAAACTGACGATGGAGAATGATACAGAATCAGATCCAGTTCCAGATCCGTCGACACAGCCTACGGGTAGTCAAGAGCAAGAGCAAGCATTGCCGGTCAGACACAAACCAGATCCAGATTCAGCCCTCCAGCCTGCCAGTGGTCAAGAACAGACATCGCCGGTAAAATCAAAAGCAGATCCAGCGAAACAGAAGACTCGAAAGGTTCGAGGACGACGGGCAGATCCGCCCATCCAACCTGAGCAAGAACAAGCATTGCCGGAAAAACCAAAAGCAGATCCAGCAAAACAGAAGAATCCAAGACTTCGAGGACGACTACCAAATCCGCCCACCGAGCCTGATCAAGAACAAATATTGCCGGCCAAAGCAGATCCAGGTCCAGCAGAACAGAATCCAAAGCGTCCAGCGCGACGAGCAGATCCGCCCATCCACCCTGGCCAAGAGGAGACAGTGCCACCCAAAGCAGATCCAGATCCGCCTGTCCAGCTTGATCAAGACCAAGCATTGCCGGTGAAAGCAAACCCAGCAAAACAGAACCCCAAGCTTCGAGGACGGCGCAAGGTGGCAACATCCCGGAAAATGGCTGTAAGTCTCAAAGATGGATCGATCTATTAATACCAACAGAAGAAGATTAATCAAATGTTGCAGACTCTCACCCCAGACAAGCGTCAGAAACTGGAACCTTTGCTGGCACAGATTGAGCAGAGATATGTGCGAGACTTTTGGGAATTCGGTCAAGTCCTGGCACGAAGATACCTTGTGCAAAAGCTCGGAGAAGGCGCATATGGCGATGTCTTCAGACTCAGACCCACAGACCTCGAGGAAGCCATGATCGTGCGCGAACGCGGCGGACTTGTGATCAAAGTCATTCCATTCACCGTCGACCAATCCGATAGTGACGATATCTCAGATCTAGAGGCAGTCACTCGGGAAATCACTATCTTGCAAACGCTCGACCCACTTCCTGGCTTCCCTCGCTGCCGAGGTGTTCACGTTGTCAGCGGTGAATACCCAGACGTTTTGATCGACGCTTTTCGTGATTACCAGAACGAGCACGACCACTCGGCTATAAATGAAGAGCCAAGCAACGCGGATGCAGCCAACCGACTGTACGTCGTCATTGAGATGGACGACGCGGGGGTCCCGATGCACAAGGTCAAACAGCCCTCGGCATTCCAAGTCTTCGATATCTTTTGGAAGACGGCAATCACCCTAGCCAATGCCGAGGGCCTGTTGGAGTTTGAGCATCGGGACCTCCACAACGGCAACATCTGCATCAAGGCAAGCAGGCGGAACGGGCCGACCGATGTCCGCCAGGAGGTTGTGGAGGACATGGAGGAGGAACCAGAGGTGACGCTGGGTCTCTCGAATCTGCAGGTCACCATCATCGACTTCACCTTCGCCCGCGCCAAAGTCGGCCAAGACTCTGACGAAGCCCGCGTTGTTTTCGACCCAATTGAATATTGGGAAGACTGCAGCGCGCGTGGCCAATCAGAGTCGGACAATAAACAATACGACACGTACCGCAAGGTACGGGATTGGGCGAAAGTGGTCGAGGACAGGGCGAAGGCCACTGCCGCCTTGGAGGGGGTCGGGTACCTGGACGTACACAAGTACGCCAGGTACCTGCCCAAATCCAACGTGATGTGGCTGGGGTACCTGATTGGTGACCTGCTGTCGAGGAGCGCCGTCGGGAGGGGGGCCTGTTTGCCGGGGAGCAGCAGGGCGGCCAAGAGGCTGCAGTTGAACATATGGCGGACGCTGGAAGGTGTCCACGCCTATGTCAACGCCCAAAACCCGACGATGATGCCGGAGAGTGCTAGCGACCTGCTGGCGACGTCGGTCAGCAATGGCTGGCTGTCGCATGCAGACCTGGCGGCGTTCCGAGACCAGCTGGGCGAGTAGGCCGGGGTTCCTTTCTCTTTTGTTCTCTTTTGTTCATGCATAGCGAGGCGTTGGCCCGATGGGCCTGCTGCGGGGGGCGGCCGTCATGAATAATGACTAATGATGATTGCTGAACAAACAAACCTTCTACTTCGATTGACAACCATTGTAGTATCGTGAATAAAGTCAGAAATGTCGAGGGAGGGCGCGTGACACCGAAGTTGTGGTGGGACGACATTGGACTGAGAGCGCGACAGGGGGATATGGGGACAGGATGCGGTTGGTGTACTGCTCCGCCGTACTTGGGGTCGAGATTGAATGCGGTCATTCACGATGGTCACTTGGACGCTATCACGTCGACAACTTGATACCAGTCACCCTTTGTCAACTGAACCGCTCAGAAAGAGCGGACCCTGAGCATTCATCGTCAGGATCCCACGGGACACAGAGAGTCGGTGTTCGGACGGAAGATGACACGGTAGACCTGATCCTTAACGGCGCTGTCCGTCCCATCAATGCCCACTCAGCCGCCATCACCGCAACCTAGAACTACATTCGAGCTTCACCAATTGTCCAACATGGAGCGAGTCAAGCGCTTCTTCCGCTCCAGCCCGGACTATGAGCCCTTGGACAACGGCGCAGAAAGAGAGGAGGAAGACGTACACGATGAGTCGGAGGAGGTCGAGGCGGAGGCACCCTTCTCATGGGTCGAATATGCCATCTTCCTGTTATTGGGGATTGCAATGCTATGGGCCTGGTAAGTTGGACTTGCTTGGCTCGAGCCAATGCAGCCGTGGCGATACTGATACAGAAATAGGAATATGTTTCTAGCCGCGGCACCATACTTCCAGCATCGGTTCCGGACAAGCGAATGGATCCTCAATCATTTCCAGGCTGCCGAGATCTCCGTGTCGACCGTCACCAACCTTGCCTCGATGATAGCACTGACCCAGCTACAAAAGGGGGCATCCTACCCCAAGCGTATTACAGCATCATTGATCATCAACACCGTCGTGTTTGGAATCCTGGCCCTGTCGACCTTGATTCCTACACCTGCAGGAGTCTACTTCGGCTTTTTGCTCATCGCCATTTTCTGCGCGAGCTTTTCCACAGGGCTCATTCAGAATGGGCTGTTCTCCTTCGCATCTGGGTTTGGAAGAAGCGAGTACACTCAGGCAATTATGACCGGGCAGGCTGTCGCAGGAGTGCTGCCACCACTGGCGCAAATCATCTCGGTGGCAGCCTTTCCCAAAAAGAACCAAGGTGGTGCAGACAGCGCTGACGAATCACCCACTTCGGCCTTGGTATATTTCTTGACTGCCACTATCATCTCGGTCATTTCTCTGTTTGCGTTTTTCTATCTGCTGAGAAAGGAGAGCCGTGCGCGCGCCCTCCGTGCAGCAGCAAAATCGACCCCGGACGGTACCTCGGGAGAAATCTTTCCTCGTAGCTCTGGAGTTTCTGACATTACTGAAGTTGACCATGCCGGACACCGGCCACAAGTCCCTCTCATGACGCTGTTCAGAAAATTGCCATTCCTTTCTGCAGCCGTTTTCATTTGCTTCGCCGTTACGATGGTTTTCCCGGTTTTCACGGCTTCGATTCGGTCAGTAAGAGGAATCGACGCTGCAATATTTATTCCAACCGCCTTCTTGGTATGGAATACGGGAGATCTCCTCGGCCGGCTGGCAACATTGTGGAAGCGGATATCTCTCACACATTATCCATTTGCTCTGTGCTGCCTGGCCATGGCAAGGCTCCTGTTTATCCCCTTGTATTTTCTATGCAACGTGAAGGACAGAGGAGCCATTATCAAGAGTGACTTTTTCTACCTGGCTATCGTCCAATTCCTGTTTGGTCTCACCAACGGCTATCTAGGCAGTGAATGTATGATGGGCTCTGGAGACTGGGTTGCGCCAGAGGAACGCGAGGCGGCTGGCGGATTCATGGGATTGATGCTTGTCGGTGGGCTCACTGTCGGAAGCCTGCTCAGTTTCTTGCTCGGAGATGTCTAGCAGAGCTGAACTTCACAAGCAAAAAGACACATAGCCCCCTGCTGCAGGGCTTCGACAACCAAATGGTCACGGCAAATATGCTCCGGACGACTCGATCGGTCGTCTGATTCTCGACTGTGGAGCGTGCTCACCTCTGCTGAGAACTCACATGTTCTGGGCCTGACTAACACGACAAGTTGTCATAGAGCTTGTCAGAAGCATAGTCGCACATCAAAGCTTCCTGGTACATTTGTGCGCACTGACTGCGCGTGACAGATGTGTCCATGACGTATCGCCGTGCTCTTTCCCACTGCATCCAAGTTCCCCCTGAAATGTGCAGCAACTTTTGAATAGAAAAGAGACCACCTGCAGGGAAAATTCCCGTTCAACGACAGCACCGGCGCCTACGACGACTAGGAGCTACTCGCAGGAAGCTGCCAGTGGTCCACCACAAATACTTGACAATTGGTTCAGACACGGCATAGTAAGGCAGGGGAGGGTACACAGCCTCGTGGGTACCTGCAGGTCGAGTGTGACAGGAGGGACGAACGGGTTATATTGTTGTGACAGGACATCTATGAAGTGCCAATGGTGTCAAAAAGGACTTGTCGGCGCCGGTTTGGCCGGAGCATTATTACGCAGGACAAACGTGCCGGTGTACAACACAGTGTATTACTCGACGCAGTGGCGGTTGTGCAACATGTTATGTTCTTGACGACTTTATCAAGTTGTTGAGCATGGACAGCAATACCAAGCGATCTTTCTACCCACCGCCACTACTACGCTGCGCAGGCGGGATACTTGCTTTGATATCACGTGCAAGGGGTCAGAGGCCTAGCTCCGGAATATCGGCGTTTCAGCACCGACACTACAAACTCGAGAGTCCGTAGTGCGGTCCATCATTTCAGGAACGGGAAAAGCGCCGCAGCCAAATACTGGCAATGCTCCATTGTTGTTGCCGCTTGTCCCCCTTCAACTTCGGCCCTGTAAGAATAGCACTGGCAATACTTGAGCTGTGACTTGTGTGGCTGCTGCTGCCACTATTGCTGCTGATGTAGCATTGGCTCAAGAGCCTCCTAAGCCCTGTCACGCCTAACCCAACCCCATGATCCCGGGTGCCTCAGCTCTGAACGGGACCTGATCATGACCTGGCCAATGCCAGCATCTATCTGGCGCCTTCTACGAGAGCTTACGAAGCCACGAAACCTTCCCCGCCTGGCCTGACCCAGACGAATTAACCACTAGGGCTGTGACTGCAATCTGCGGCCCATGGCATATTGTCCTTGAGAAGCGTAGCCTGAAACCTCATATTTGTCCAAGGACCACAACGCTTCTGGGGATACCGTCCTTGCACGATCGGAAGACGCGAAAAATACAGATCCAGGAGCAAATGTCAATTGTCGAGACCTAAGGAGTTCTAGTACTGCTGTTCCCGGACTAAAAAGAGCAACGGTGTTGGATCTATGCACCCACTTTGGCGAGAGACAAGCAATGCAGCTAGGAGCACAGGCGCGTCGGTGGAGATCCAACGAGAAAACAGCAGGGTAACAGCAACAGTATGATCATCGAGCCTTGGGGGTTTTTGTGGCTGCTCGTCTCCGACCTGAATCAAGATACGAGGTACCGCTGTGCTGAGCCCCCGGCATAAGGCATGACATGTCTCCTTCCCGTCTCTGGCCCGTGGCTTTTCCCTACACCAATCAAAAGCACCATTGTCAGACTTCACCTCATTGACACTGGTTGACAGCTCTTAAACGACTGTGGTTTTCTATTATTATTTCCGACTCGCAAGGCCTGACAGACCCAGGGCCCAGTAAGCATCGATTCTCCACCAATCCAACCTACGTCGGTCCCAGCGTTTCAGACCAAGCCTCCTCTCCAGTCAAAGATCGTCCATTTGACTGATTGCGGCTAGCCACATCCAACTTCCCCATGTCTCTCCCGTCTTGCAGCTGGCTGTGTCAGGCACACGGAACAAGAACTGATGAATGAACATCTCACCGCGCGTTGTCTCATCATACATTTCACCTTTCCTTCTTCCTCTACTGCTCCTTATTCGTTCCTACACATCCCTTTCAAACAAGTGCTGACCACCATAGCCAACTTCTCCTCCGTTCGTGAACCTGCTGCTGACAGTCCTCGGGCCATATACTCCAATTCTTTACAAACACTCAACCAACCCTCCCCAAGGTTCCAGTACACACATCTATGAAGTATCATTTACAAGCCGAACGGGCGACATATTGATCGGCATTCTCAAGCCCTGTTACAAAGTCCTTCCATCGAACTAGACTATACCCACTACTGGTGACATCTCTTCCACAACACCTTCCCAACGGCGTCCATCGGTCAACCATCATGACTCGACTTCAAACTCCGGGACCTTTTTCTTCTTCCACCATCCTCGCGCTCGTCATCACCATCCTACCACAATCAACGTTCGCTTCACCCATATCACACCTGTACAAACGCAGCAGCAGCCAAATGTCCGCCGGCGCCAAAGCTGGTCTAGGCGTCGGGATCGCAGTCGCAGCAGTCCTAGCGCTGGGGCTGATCGCATTTTTCGTCATCCACCTGCGTCGGTCAAGGCATCTGGCGCAAATCAACCGAGACCGAGCCGTTCTTGCCGGCGAGAAGAACCAAGACGGCTCTGACAAGCCGGACAAATTCGCTACAGCCACTGTTGCTCCTACACAACCTCCATCGACCTCGGGGATGCCTCGAAGAAACAAGTCGGTCAAGGACCGGCTGATGGGTCCTTTGTATCGTGGCAGCACCATCGACCTGATGCCCATGCCCAGAGCACATATGAACGATTCCAACCGAGCAAGTACGGTGACGATGGAGGGCGATGGCCAACCTTTTCTGCACAAACCATGGGCTCGGGAGAGTTCTCCGAGACCAAGCTTCAGCAGCAAACGGGCAACCAGGATGATGATGATGATGTAGGGAAATACTATATACCCTACTAACCTGCGTCTTTATCTTGGTGTTATATTGTTGTTGCTTCTTGTTAGTTGGCGAGTGCATCGGAATTGGACATTTGCCGAATAACAACTTTTTGCTCCTATGAGGTTCGTACCGAAACTGCAAGGGTTGAGCCATGTTTCTTTGAATACGTATGGGTCACGTCCTTGGGTACGGTGTTGTGCTGGCGTGCTGTGCTGTTGGCGTTCGCTTCGAGGAGTATTTGATCAAGCCGGGAGGGAAATGATTCTTCGGGCGAATGAACGCGTTGGTTTGGTGACAGTACACCTTGGTACCGGGTTTTTGTTTTATCTGCTTCACTCTTTGCTGCCACTGCACGGGTGCTAAATGGGTTTCCACCGGGTGCTATATGGGAGGGCGTTGACAGGATTGTTTGGTGTCGCTGTCTGCTTGGATACTGCTTGCCAGTGCTGGACTCATGTATGTTGTCGCGGGTGAAGATGAAGGGGAACGGGAACGGGGGATAGGTTGGGGAAGAAATAAAGCGCAAGGAGAGAGGAGCGCAAAGAGGGAGAGGAAGGGCTCCCGCGAAGGGGCCTTGTGGTTCGGAATGAACTTGAACTCCAGAAAGTGAGAGGTAGACAGGGTAAACAGATACCCCAAGTTTCCCTTTCCTGTGCGTCTACCACTGTGTCTATCACTGGCAGTGGCAGTGGCTCGTTCCGAGGATAAACCACTTTGTTGGCCACCACGTTGACAGTACCTGGTACAGTGGTACCGTGAAATCGAAACACAAGACACGCGCAGTGTAGTGCAGTGCAGTGCAGGACGGTTGGTGGACGAGGAGGTGTAAGCAGCATCTACAGTACGTAAAGTACATATATTCCTCAAGGGGCCAAGTGGTCAAGCGCAGGCAATGTGCATATCAACCATTCAATCAAGCCTTCTAGTACTAAACGTTCCGACTCCTCCTTCCTATATACCTGTTCGAATATGCTTTGGAGACGTCTCCATCATGAGCACAACACAGTATCAGCTTCATCAATCATTCAAATGCTTCAACCTTCAATCGTACCCTTCTCCATCGTAGATCCCTCTTGAGTGACAGATACACTCTTCGTCATCGTCGTCATTATCATCGTCGTTGCTCGATACGACTGATTGATTACTAGATGCCATTCCCATTCCATTTTCCGACCGCATCTCATCCTCGGTCTTTGCTTCAGGGGCCAGCAGGCCCTCTTGGTCTGAGGGATTCCGATGCCACGGCCTAGACTGATCCCGTCGTGGTGGTGGTGGTGGTGGTGGTGGTGGTGGTCGGACGCTGCCGCTGTTGTTGTTGTCGTTATTGATGGGATCGAAGCGGGCGGCTCCGAAGAATCCACCCCGGGGTTGTGGTTGTGTTTGTGGTTGATGCGATCGTTTCGTGTCCGTGGACACTGCTGCTGCTTCAATGTCTTGAGTCATTTCGATGACATCCACTTTAATATTATCACCACCGCCACTGCCAGCAGCTCCTCTTCCTCCCCCTCCTCCACCACCACCACCAACATCATCAATGTCCTCTGAAACCTGTCGTGCATGGTCCTGGAGACCATAATAATGATGTCCCCGCCGGCCTCCAATACTGAAGCTCGAATATTCACCAAGCGACCGAGTAAGCGAATGTTTCGACCATTCAAACAATCCCAGCCAAGGCAACCACGCCAGCAGAATGCGGTGTGTCAGAGAATGTCTTTTTGGACCGGTCGCGATAGCAGGGAGAGGGGGTAATGTCGAGATCGAACCCCAATCCCTACCTCCGCTGCCTCCGCTGCTAGATACTCCAGTCCCAGATCCAGGAGGACTGCCGGCAGTATTAGTCGTCGCAGCAGGGGATTTTGTTGATGATGACAACGGTTTTTCTTTTCCCGGGGAGTACGGGTAAGGAGAATATGTGCTGCGAGTGTTCAACATGGTCAAGCCGATGCCGCCCATGAACTTTGGGGTTTCCGGAGACGACAACATAGTTGTATCCTCCTCGGCGTTTTTCTTTCTGAGGAAAGGAATATGTTGACGGGCGAGAATCCACAACACCCGGGTCAGGCTCATCAGTCCAATTGCAAGGGGGATCAATTGGCCTGGACCGACTAGCCCCATACTCCCAATGACGTTGTTCATGTGGTTCAAGTTCAAAGTGAATTCGATGCTGATCATGGCGAAGACGATCCAGATGAGATTGAAGCATGATAGGGCGATGTACCATTTTGTGAGCCTGGGCAACAAGTTAGCAAACTGAACGGCAAAAGAAGTGGAATGAAACACGGGATGCAGTGCAGTGTCGCTGGATACTTACTCTCGTTTCGTCAAGTTAACACTCGAATCCTGCTCCTTGATCAACTCCCAATGCACATCTTTCCCCCGGACACGATGGACAACATACGCCGTCCCCGCCGCAAGTGCAGCCAGCGCCATAATACCATAATACACAGAGGCCCCAATATTGATGACCAGATTAATACTCCTAGTGGCCCAACTGTCCACTTTTACAGGCACGAGGAAAAATGTGTCTAGTCCACCACAATTTCGACGTCTGTCGCATGCACTCAGTCCATCCTCGACACCCTCGACCCAGAACCAGGTCCCGTACGCGGAAATCATGCCCATCAGCACGAGACGGAAATGGGTCCCGAATCCGCCGAAGTGGCGCCGTCCTCCGGGGCCTTCGGTGCGATAGTACATTGTCCGATAACCCCATAGGGACATGACGCTGAATAGAAACCCAATGCACAGTTGATGGATGACTAGCACGTCGACGACGCGAATGCCGTTTTCTTGCACAGAGTAGAAGAATACGGTGGCGAATAGGGCGAGCAGGAATATTGAGTTGGTCTCCAAACTGCCGATGATTTCTTCGGGGAGGAAGTTGTTGGCGAACCAGGAGGTTAGCCATGATGAATCTGGAGAGAGTCATGTTAGTTGTGGAGATGGGCCGGAAAGAGGGTGTAATGTGACAGTAGGTAGGTAGCTGGATGATGGGGTTTAACTGTACTTACAGATGCCCATCCGAACTCCCAGTCCATAGTAGTCGCTGTTACCGTCGATGGGACATCCTTTTTCTTTCGGCCCTTCAGGATTGCATATCTCGGCTGAGACGGGACCGAGGACCAGGAAGAGACTGAGGATCAAGAAACTTGGGCTCTTGACTCTTGGTGCCGACGTTTTCGGTTTCTCAAACCACCACTGCTCTGGTTTGTATTCGATAGTAGTACCAACCGTGACAGCAGAACAAGGACAGCAGGTTCACTGGCAGGCGGCAAAGATAATAAAGGGTGCGACGCATAGCACTACCTACCTATACATATCCTTTTCTCAGCCGTCTTGTCCTGTCTGCATATATCCTCTGTTTGCCTGCCAGCTCTGGAGTTTATTGATGACATTCTTCTTCTCGATGTTGTGGGAGAAGGCGGCACACTGTACAGATCTGCCTTGTCTGCCAGCCCATCGGCCGGGATTCGGCCATCATATTCAGCCAGCCCAATGTACACCATAAATGGTTCAAGCAATCAGCGGTCGCGTTGTAACAACTTTGTCTAGCCATTGCAGCCAGCTGGAGGTTCACGATGGCTGCCAACCTTCAGCCGTATCATGCACACCATTTTGAAAGCGGGATCTCAATGCTTGTTTTCTGGTGTGTCCCGCGCCACGCCTCGTCCCGCAGCTGAACGTGCTTGTGGAAAAGGGTGGGCAACTTCCTGTGTTAACCCAGAATATAGCAAGGGATCCATGTTGAGGGCTGCGTTTTGACCCAAGTCATTCTTTCAGCCCGTTCCAAGTTTCGCTGCTCGCTGCTTGTTGGGTGGAATTTCAAGGTGGGTTGTTTATCGCAGGGTTGGGGAGAAAGTCAAGGTCATTAATTATATTGGACGCCTGAACTGGCTTTTTGCAGTATCTTGTCGTCGACCCTAATCGCGCCCGATCATAAAAAGCACTCACTCAGGGCTGCTGGAAGAGTACGCATCTGGGTTCACATTGTTAACATGCAAACCCCATCATGGACGAATTCTGCACTGCATGCCAGAGACAGGATTTATTATCGAGAAAGTAGCTTTGTAGAGACCTCTGGCCCCTTGCTAAGCCTCAACAGCCTCACCAGGCTCCCCTACACCTTCACCTTCACCTTCCGCTTCAACTTCTTTGCCTTTCTCAGCCTTCTTTCGTCTCTCCTCTTCCTCAATCTCCTTCAACCGCTTCTGGCCTTCTTCATTGGTCGCATCAATCACCCCTTCCTGGAGACTGAGCATTCCGCCTTGGCCCAGGAGCTCGACAATCTCCTCAGCTTCATCCACACTCATCTTCCCAAGTACCTTGTTCACCTCATCAAGGCTGCCACTTTCCAGAGCTCGCTGCAAACCAGGTGGGAATCGATCGAAGATCTCCCGCGCTTGCTGCTCGACAGGATCATCCGACCCAGCTTGCGGCACATTGATGTGGATCTCTGTTCCCGGCTCGACCGCATGCAGCTGGATTTGTTCCACTCCTGCCGGGTCATTCCCTTCTTCTTTGCTCAACTCTGCAGCGCGAGTTTTGATTCTGCCATAAGTCTCTGCCAGGTCCTTGTTGAAGACCTCCTGCGCTTGGTGGCCTTTGGTAGTGATGCGCTTGAAAAACACACCGACACCATCTCTGCCCAGTTGACGACAGTACTGGATCAGCAGACTCTGGTGCACACATTGCTTAGCGTAGGCATCTTGACCTTTCATCTGTGCATTGAAAGCTTCAATCATGAGTGCATCTTGGGTGCGCTCATTGACAATTTCCGGATGTTCAGATATGTATTGGAGGCATGCGCGGTAGTCTCCTAGCTTGATCTTCGCAAATCCCTGGCCCTCCGGTGTGAGCTTGAGACTGGTCTCGTCTTCTTCGTCATCTTCCTCGTCTTGACCCTTGCCCTTCTCGAGCAGGGCATCATCCTCAACATCAGCCTCTGCCCCGGAAGAGATCGCCCCGTCAGGAGACTTCAATGCATCGCGCGACTGAGAGCTGAGCCCTTTTGGTGCGTTGAGCAGCTCTACGCTTTCCGTTGTGGTCTTCTCTTTCTTCTTCGATTTTTCAGAGGATGGCTTGGGCTTGGGTTTATTGATAAAGGACGAGTCGAATCCCACATGGATGTCTTCACTTGTTATCTTTGCATGTGCTTCCTTTTCCAGCTGCGCAAGCCTCTGTAATAAGTCCTGCTGTAGCTTCTGAACCTTGGTAAGATGACCATTCACCCCCTCAATGAAGTCCTTGTAGCGGTCTGTGGAATTCTTTTCGTCCACCTCCTTCTTTACCTGGTCCACCAACGCACCCATCATCTTGGAATAGCGAGGTTGTTCCTGCTGATGCGTATAGACGCCCTCAGGTGGTTTCGGGGGCTCATCTTTGGCGGGATCTCCTGCACTCTCGATCAAAGATTGGAACACGAGCTCGTCGGGATTCTTGGTGCTTGCGTCTGCCTGGTGTTTCTTCAGCGCGTCCAGCAGGGCGTTGATCCGCTCCAGGAGGCCGTCGTTGATGATGCGTTCATATTTGAGCGTTTCAATCTCATGCTTCCTTTGGGCTCGTTGTTCGTGGATCTGCCGTTGCTTTGCTCGAATAAAACTCTTGGTATCGACATTGGGATGGACCTCGACGTCACTGTCGTCCGATACCTCCAGCCTGTCCCATTTGTCGTACGAAATCGGCATGATGGTCGAAGTTAGACTTCGAAGAGTGTTAGCTGGTGTTTGTGGTTGATTGTATTTAAACTGTGAACATTCGCCGTTGTTTTGTTGTTGGTCTGATTGTATACAGTATGTCCTTGATATCTGGCGGCGAGGGGATCCTTCTAGAATAAGAGGGGAGTTGGTAGTTCGACAGATGCCCACTGCAGTGCAGCGATAGTAACTCACTAAAGTGCTATAGTGGGGGTTTTTGGTATGGGCTAGTAGGGGCTAGCCGGACCGCAACCGCCTAACACCGCCTGAGATATAACGTGCAGAGAAGCTTTGTCGCCTAACTTGCCCTTACAGACAAGCTCCCTGACGTTATTGTGTTGAGTGCTTTAGGCGGCACTTTAGGCAGCTTGAGATGCCTACCGGCGGGTCTCCCGGAGATCCAAGTCACTTTTCAATCAGCAGCAGCACAGCTTCGTCCGTCAATCGGCGCAGTCAGTCTCGTCATTATTGACCCGCGTCCGAGGCAGCGAGTGCGAGGCCGCTTTTCAATCGTTTTTGCCCATCGTCCTCACATCGCATCAACCAGCTCACTTCCCTACGGTACCAGTCTACTGCCGTGATGTGTCGAGGGAGGAATATGTCCTTTTGACAGTGATCGCGAACCAATTCGCCTGCGGCATGATTGCCTCCCGCAGCCCAGTGCTGCTCGCTTTCAGGCCCTTTCACCATGGGCCTCGATTGAATCAGCTCGACCAGAAAATACTTCTCTCCCTCTACAACTCATCTCCTAGACACTCGCGGATACAATATCGAGCAGCTCATGCGGTAGCGTCCCACCATGGTATTTTCCATGCTGGCGTTACCCCATTTCGCGACGCTGTGGTACAGGTGCCATGCCAGCAGCAAGCCCAGTCCTGCTCGGGCATAGCCGCACAGGCTAGACACTTTTCAAGTTGTCGAGTTCTGCGCGAATATCCCACGCCTGTCATCAAGGAGCAAGTCAGGTCCAAGAAGAATGACGATGCGGAGGAAGAGGAACCTTTCCAGAAGAGCGAGAAAGCGGCACAAGCATCGCATGTCAACCTCAGTGCTAGACTGTCCAAAGAAGGCTCTACGGGCAAGAATGCAGGTATCAAGGAAGTATGGCGGTTGATCAAAATCGCTCGACCAGAAGCCAAAATTCTAGGATGGGCGTTTCTGTTTTTGCTCATCTCTTCCACCATCAGCATGTCTATACCTTTCTCTATTGGCAAGATTTTAGATATTGCCACGAAAGGAGCGGCAAAGACCGAAGGTCCAGAGGCTGAAGAGAAGAGTGAAATGTTGTTTGGTCTCAGCCTGACCACCTTCTATGCTGCTCTGGCTGCCATCCTTGCCACTGGCGCTGCAGCAAACTACGGCCGGATTGTCATTCTTAGGATTGTCGGCGAACGGATTGTCGCTAGGCTCAGGTCGCGACTCTTTCGACAGACGTACATCCAGAATGCCGAGTTTTTCGATGCAAATCGTGTGGGTGATTTGATCTCCAGGCTCGGCTCCGACACCATCATTGTCGGTAAATCTATTACGCAAAACCTGTCTGACGGACTACGCGCGTTTGTTAGCGGAGCTGCAGGTTTTGGAATGATGGCTTGGGTTTCGCTCAAGTTGACCGGGATCTTGGGTTTGCTGTTCCCGCCTATCGCGCTTGGGGCCTTCTTTTACGGACGCGCAATTCGCAATCTAAGCCGCAGGATTCAGAAAAACCTGGGCACGCTGACCAAGATTGCCGAGGAAAGACTTGGTAATGTTCGAACGTCACAAGCATTTGCCGGCGAGATCCTGGAAGTCCATCGATACAACACCCAAGTCCGCAAAATATTTGAGCTGGGCAAGAAAGAGTCACTCATTAGTGCTACATTCTTCTCTACCACAGGTCTCATGGGTAACATGACCATCCTTACCCTTCTCTATGTTGGCGGGGGAATGGTCTCGAACGGGACGATCAGCATTGGCGAGCTCACCTCCTTTCTTATGTATACAGCATATGCCGGGTCTTCACTGTTCGGACTGTCGTCGTTCTACTCAGAGCTCATGAAAGGAGTGGGCGCGGCGTCCAGACTCTTTGAGCTTCAAGACAGAAAGCCTACCATCTCTCCTACCAAGGGTGAAAAGGTGGTCTCGGCCCGAGGTCCAATTCGCTTCGAGAATGTTTCATTCAGCTATCCTACGAGACCTGCTGTCAAAATTTTCCAGAACCTCGACTTCGAAATACCGCAAGGCTCCAATGTGGCGATTGTCGGTCCGTCCGGAGGAGGCAAGAGCACTATCGCCAGCCTTATCTTGCGGTTCTACGAGCCGACAGAAGGCCGCATTCTGATCAATGGAAAGGACATTGCGACACTGAATGCCAAGTCACTTCGCCGAAAGATCGGCGTGGTTTCGCAGGAGCCCGTTCTCTTTTCTGGGACAATTGCCGAGAACATCGCCTATGGCCGGCCACACGCGACACGAGCCGAAATCCTGCGAGCTGCAAGACGAGCCAATTGCCAGTTTATCAGTGATTTCCCGGATGGCTTGGACACACATGTGGGCGCGCGTGGCACCCAGCTGTCTGGTGGTCAGAAGCAGAGAATTGCAATTGCTCGAGCTCTGGTCAAGGAACCCGACATCTTGATCTTGGACGAAGCTACATCAGCGCTCGATGCCGAATCAGAAACCCTTGTCAACGAAGCGTTGGCTTCGTTACTGAGGGGGAGTAACACGACCATCTCTATCGCCCATCGGCTGTCCACTATCAAACGGTCTGATACCATCATTTGCTTGGGCAGTGACGGTCGCGTGGCTGAGATGGGCTCGTATAGAGACCTCAGTAGTCGACCGGACGGTGCGTTCACGAAATTGATGGAATGGCAAATGAGCGGCGGTGATGCGCCCCGAGTCAACGGGCCGCCCAGCGAGAAGGACGAGATCGAGGTGGACTTGGAACAAGGCGACGAAACGGACGAAGCAGATACGGAGGATGATATTGAGGGCAATAAGGTCCAGGAGACGGTGGACAAAGCCATCCAGGAGAAGAAATAAAGGCGACCTAGGTCCGCAGAGCCGCATCAGATCGAGTGGCAGGCAGTTTGGAAAACCAGCAGATCCTCCCTCCATCAGCGCCGGTCAAAGTCCATGGAAAAGTTGTATAGTAAGCGGTGGGACGGCGTCATAGAACGATTTGTCCTGATTCCGTGTCTACTTCTTTATTTGTTTGAGTGAATATTGCAGACGAATGAAATCTTCCCAACTCATCTTGTGGCAGGACATTGAGGATGAGGCGAAGCAACGTAGTACATTGTCGCAACGACGAGTATCAAGGATTACGAGTAGACGAAGCACACCTGTGGGTGAGTGGCATACTAGTAGGGAAAGGCTCGGAGGTTGACCTGCTAGTAGTACAAAGTACAACATTGTACAGCAATTCTGCCGTTCGATACAGGCCCAACATTGAGATCTGATCTATTCCCTCCACCCGCACGCCAGTCGGGTTGGCAGCTTGGATCCCCCACCATCCGCCAGTAGTAGTGTTGGGACAGCGCCCCAGCTGTAGGTCCCTGCGATGGATACGCATGCATCATTCCTCCTGGCACTGCATGGCATGGAATCGTCGCCAGAACATGCTTTGCCATGGCATGTCCCATCCCGCCCGGACAAGCGATGGATCCTCAGCTTGACGTTCAAGTTTCTAAACATTTCATCATGCCATCCACCAGCACCAGCACCCACCGCCTCGCTCCTCCTCCCCTCCCGCCGCGTATTCCGTCCCCCATTCTGCCACCCTCTACGTTGTAGGCCAGGATTCATGAGTGTCTCTGGTTGACGGTCCCAGCTCAATCAAGAGTTGGACAGGAAGCTCACGTGGTAGAGATACAGTAACAGAGTCCCAGGTTATGCTGGAGTACATTCAGCATGTCAAGCAATGTACAGACAGTTTTGAATGAGGCCCAGGATGTCACCAACAAGAACTTGGGCAATGTGAAAGCTCCCGTTGAAGTGCCCAATGGCTCTATCGACAATAGGCCCTCGAAACCCCGAGTTCGACCCAAGTACCGCCATGTCGCAGCCCTACATACCAAGGTGCGGCCATCGTGTCTGAGCCATGAAGCAACCGAGACGCCCAGCTTCATTGGCTTCCGCAATCTCATGGTGCTAACCATCATCGTCATGAACCTGCGTCTGGTGGTGGAGAATGCCCAAAAGTATGGCCTCCTCATCACGCTGCAATTCAACCTACGAAGCCAGGACATCAAGACCGCACTGGTGCTCTACGCCCTCACGCCATGTCACCTTTTCGTTGCCTACATCATCGAACGAGTAGCGATGGAAAATGCGAAGGGAGCCGTTGGCAAGCGGAAGAAAGACGATCCGGACGGCAGCAAGCCCGAGACTGAGACGGAAAAGAAGGATTTCTACTATACTTGGTGGTGGATTGCGTTTGCTCATGGGTTGAACGCCTCCATGGCACTGTTGATCACGAGTGCTGTTGTCTACTACCATATCTACAATCCTGGCTTGGGGATGATCTGCGAGCTCCACGCGATCGTCGTCTGGTTGAAGACGTGCTCTTATGCGTTCACCAACCGAGACCTACGACATGCCATGTTGCATCCGGGCGGCCCAGAGTCTGCGCTACCTGAGCTGTATTCGCAATGTCCTTATCCGCGCAATGTCACGCTTGGCAATCTGTGCTATTTCTGGTGGGCACCGACATTGGTATATCAACCTTACTATCCACGGACAGATCACATTCGGTGGACTTTCTTCTTCAAACGGTTGAGCGAGGTCGTGGCCTTGTGTGTCTTTATCTGGCTCATATGTGCTCAATATGCAGTGCCTGTATTGCGCAACTCTCTCGACGGCATGGCTGTGCTTGACTTTTCCACCATTGCCGAACGTTTGATGAAACTGTCGACCATTTCTCTGATCGTCTGGCTTGCGGGTTTCTTTGCACTCTTCCAGTCCTTTTTGAATGCTCTTGCCGAGATCATGAGGTTTGGCGACCGAGTCTTTTATGAGGACTGGTGGAACAGCACGAGCCTGAAGGAGTACTGGTCGACCTGGAATAAGCCCGTGTACCACTTCATGCGGAGACATATCTACTCGCCACTTGTTGGTCGCGGGTGGTCTCCGCAAGCCGCCAGCGCTTTGGTCTTTGTGTTTTCTGGGTTCCTGCACGAACTGGCGGTTGGAGTGCCCTGCCACAACATTCTCGGAGTTGCTTTCCTGGGAATGGTTCTACAGTTGCCTCTGATTCAATGTACAGAGCCATTGACAAGAAAAGATGGCACAGGCAAGGTGATCGGGAATTGTATCTTCTGGATCAATTTTGTCTTTGTTGGTCAACCGTTGGCTGCCATGCTATACTTTTTCTCATGGCACTCGAAGTTCGGGCAGCTTGCTAAAATAAACAAGAATTAGTGATAAAATAAATATAATTCCAACTCTGTTTTAAGGAGACATCTAGCCTATTATAATGTTTGCAATATATGTGAATCCGTACTGTGTCCGAACTCGTTGTATCCTTGACGTCGTTACCACCGTGGACATTGATCGTAGGTGGATGAGTAATCACATCACGTGCCACCTTTGAGACGGCAACCCCAAACTTACAGCGCAAAGACTCCATCCATGCCAATGTCCACCTGGCCCTTCACATCACACCCGCTTCAATAGATGGTCTTATTCAATCTGCGTGTTTTAATCTCCTGTTTCCAAAGCCTGGCTGGACTGCTCTGCACAACTTCGACTACGCAGGAGCAGTACTATTCTCTTTGATACCAGCTTGATTCATTCATTCTTCAGGCAGGGGGCCTCTAACTGTGCTCCCATCAATCTATCCCTTTCGTCTGGTCTGTCCTTTGGGGCGCACATGACTTCACAGCGAGTTCATCATGGCCAATCATTACGATGACCAAGGTGAAGGCGGGCTTCTACGGCGAAGAAGACCGCGACCCATCACCGATTATGGATCCTCGATGGTCCAGTGGATGAGCCATCGGAAGCCCGCATACAAAGGCAGCTACCACTATGAACAAGAGCGGCCGAGCCAAAGCTATGTTATTGACATGCTACCACCGGCAGCGCGACGGGATGCGCCAGCCGAGTCGATCCCAGTGCGACATCTTCACACGTCGTTAGGCAAATCGAAAAAGCCCGTGACGGTTGTCCGGTGGATGCCCGAGGGTCGACGGCTGCTGGCGGGCGTGCACAACGGGGAATTCATGCTCTGGAACGGCATGTCGTTCAACTTTGAAACCGTAACTGCCATGGGATCCAGCTCACTACGGGCAGCGGAATGGTCGAATCGAAAGGACTGGCTGGTGGCGGCCAACGACGAGGGAACAGTGTATTATTTGCAACCGACGCTGAACAACCCGCACCAATTCAAAGGACACGACGCTCCGATCCGAGACATAGCATTTGCGCCCTCGGACACGAAATTCGTGACGGCATCCGACGACAACACGTTGAAAATCTGGGACTTTACTTCCTCGACCAACGAGTCGACTTTCAAAGAACACGGATGGGACGTCAAAGCGTGCGACTGGCATCCGAGTAAAGGATTAGTAGTGTCTGGAAGCAAAGACCATAGTGTGAGACTATGGGATCCGCGCACCACGCGCAATCTGACCACGTTACACGGGCATAAGAACGCCATCACGGCAACAGTGTTCAGCCGTCTGCGTGACCAGCTACTTGCCACGGCTGGGCGCGATGGTCAGATCCGCATTTTCGATCTACGTTTGATGCGCGACGTGGCGATCCTACGCGGGCACGAGAAGGGTGTCACCACGCTATCGTGGCATCCCATCCACCCGAGCCTGATCAGCACAGGCGGCGACGACGGCTCTTTACACACGTATCTCCTTACGGAACCAAATACCCCAAGCGGCATTTCTTCAATCACCACCTCTCCTTATGCTTCTTCCGACCCCCGCTCTGCGCCGGCGCAGTCCATCTATCCAGCACACCGTATTCCGCATGCTCACGAGTCATCCATCTGGTCTCTAGACTGGCATCCCCTAGGTCATATTCTAGCATCGGGGTCCAATGATCATTACACTCGATTCTGGTCTCGAGCCCAGCCAGGTCTGACTACTTGTTTCAAAGACCAGTTCCATCTTGGCGAAGAAGGCGCCGAGGCCCAGGGGACTTGGGACCGCAAGTTCGGCCGCAGACAGGCCAGAGAACAGGAAGAACAGGAAGCAGAAGACGAAGCAGAGGGTTTGGAAGATCAGGGAACGAGCAATGCTGCTGCTGCTGCGGCCGCGGGTGGTGGATTTTCCATCCCCGGTCTACCTGGTCTTCCTGGTCTTTCGGGGCCCAACATGAACGGTACATCTAGACCACAACAGCAGCAGCAGCAGCAACAGCAACAAATATCCTCTGGTGGCGGTCCAGCTGGAATCACCAACATTCCTCCACCGCCTTTATCTCTTATGCCAGGCCTGGCGGCGGCAGCAGCAGCAGCAGCATCTGGCCGACCGCAAGGACAACAGCCACCACCTTTCCCACCCGTGCCAGGTATGGACGCCGAATCTCTCCAGCGGCTGCTTGCCATGTCCCAACAACAACAATCACACCAACCTCAAGGTCAACAACATCTTCAAGGCTTGCCTCAGGGAATCGATTTTTCAAACCTGAATCTCCCGGCTGGCTTACAAGTACCGCGGCCTAGTGGTGGTGGTCTGCCCGGTCTTGATTTCTCAGGTGGTGGTGGTGGTGGCGGCATACCTGGTCTTGGAGGTGCAGGTGCAGGTGCAAGTACAAACGGTGCTGGTGCTGGCGGGAGTGGAAGTGGAAGTGGAGGTTCCGGAAGTGTCCGCAGACGTGCTCCCTTGCCCAGTCAGCAGGATGGGTTCAAGGCCGAACAGGCAAGAGGGAATTATCGCGTCGCTAGATAAGCTACTGTAGATGAGTCTTGTATCAATGTACCACCATGCCATTATCATTGCCAGACTCACAGACTCCTGGGCTTCCAGGTTCGACCTGATACTAGAATTCATACCCATGAATACATACCTATCCAAGGAGGAAAGATTACTCTCTCATTAGTTGTTATTAGCAATAGGACATGGGTGCTCAATCAATCGATCATCTAATTAATCATGGGTACCTACTGTATGTAATCTAGTCATTTCATTCCATCAATCGCCTGGACGTTCCGAAGTTACTTGATCAATCACCCAATCACTTCAATCATCTTCAATGTCGTCGTCCGAGATATACAGCTTCTCAACCGCCGCTGCGGCCGCCCCTGGACCGCCGTGACCAGCTATGCCATTTCCCATATCTCTCGCAGAAGATGACTGATGGAGATGTTGTTGTTGTTGTTGACGATGCTGGGAGTGGGCGGTGTTGACACTCTCATTGACGGTCCCAGCATCCTCGTCAACATCATCACCCTCAGTCTCACCAGCCGTTTGCGAAAGAAACGCCTCGGGCTTGAACCTAGTGATGCGTTCGAGTACAGTAACATCCTGATTTCTTGCAGCCATGATCCGCGCCATGTACGGCAGGATTTCACAAACCAGAGTGATTTTAGGACGATGAACGGGTCGTGGTGGAGTATCTTCATCCTCATCCGGAGGAGAACCACCATCGTCGTCATGATCCTTGCCGTCATCATCGCCGTGAGATTTGCCAAATTCGTCCTGTGGTGGACCAAATGCTCTAGTTTGCCAACTTGCGACACCAGTGCCGGCGGTAGAACCATCAGTGATAACACCATGATCACCAACACCACTCGACAAAGTAGCTCCTCGAGCTACCACGCCAGAATCATGAACAAACAAGTCAATCAAACTATCCATTTCCTCCATCGGTTTCCACAGCCTCAAACTAGCCGGATAAAACATTTTGAACGCATCGCCCTTTTTCCCATTCGGGGGACTCGCTCGATTGACCGGATACGGCAGATTGAATAACAACCCTCTCGTAGCGACATGGAACCCAATCTCATCTTGACGCAATGTATCCGATGACCCTGTCTGCAAATTGGCCTGGATGAGACTTGCATTCGGATTTCCTGTTGCACGTCGTAATGCCGGCCGACTTTCTGGATCCAATACATCCGTAGTAGACAAAACGTCCGCGCACCCATCGAACGATTCTTCAAATGTATCGCCGTTGCAAGACAAAATATAGTTCTGATGCAAGGTAGAAATAAAAGTGTGGATATCTGTACCCGTCTCATTAAACAAAGCTTCGATATCTACTTGTGAAGCCTTGGACTTGTAATATAAATGCATCATATGGTCCGGAGGCTTGGGCGGTGGTTCGGCTCGAGTGTCGAGAACACAAGGATCTTCGCGCTTATTGTACACGACCTTGCCGGCGGCGTGGAACATGTCGAGCGTGGTTTCGCGGCGGGTGACGATTTGAAGTGAGTTCTTTTCCATTTCTGTTAAAACCGCACTATCTTTTTTCTTTTTCGTTTTGGCTGCTGCTGTTACAGCCACGGTGCCGGACCAATCTGCGGAACCAGATCCACCAGCACCAGAACCTCTTACACAGAGAAATTCGAGCGAGTTGACGGCACTTCGAACATCACCCATTTCTGCGAGCCTCTGTATCACGGCAGGACCAGGAACCCGTCGTCTCAGAGAGTCTCTGGCTTCTTTTTGCATGACAAGGTCCAAAGCCTTGGTCACAAATGTCGATGCGACCGGGTTGAATTCCATCACTGTCACGAAGGGGTGATTCAATATCTCGGGACCTAGCAGTCTGTGGGCGGTGAAGCTGTCGCTGATAGCTGTGGCTGACGATAATAGAGTCTCGGAAATGATCATGACAAGAGGTGGGAGGTTGTCAGTACCAGAAAATCCAGACGGTGTAGCCTTGCTCCGTGCCAGAAACTGTAAGATGACGGATCTAAATGATTGAAGGGCGCTGGATTGTCTCGATATGGTTGCAGGGAACTCTTCGACGACGAGGACTCTTTGGCTTGATGCCGTGTCGGTAGCCTGGTCGTTGTCGAAAACAAGACTGCCGAATCGACCTCCACGGTTGAGGAATTCTTCAAATTGATGAGCGATCGACGAAGTACTTGTGCCCAACTCGGAAACAGCAGGATTATGCCAAGTGACCAGTTGCAAACCCATGGCTTTCGCAAGCAATGATAAAGTCGTCGTCTTTCCGCTGCCCGCAGGCCCCTTTAACACTAAAACTTTCTGATTATTTCGGCCGCTGATCTTGCCCTGCAACCAGCCTTGAACGTTAGACACCTTCTTCTTGTGTACGACCAGCTCGTCGAGGTTGCTGGGTCCGTATCGATCGGCCCATGGAAGGTACTGGACTTCAGGGACATGACCCGTCCCAGATTTATGGGCAGGTTGACTCGACGACGGTGCTGGTGCTGTCTTGAAGAATCGCTGGCTAGAGGATAGATTGCCTGTATCTCTGGTGCTGCTTTGACTTCTGAGAGTCTTAGCCTTGACCGCAGGTGGTTGTGGTTGTGGCTGTGGCTGGGATCTCTTCGCAAGGCCTAATTCCTGCAGTGTCTCGTCCGACAACTCATCGTCTTCAATTGCATCGTCCAACTCTCCATTCGCCCAGTCCCCTGGATCCGGCGTCGCGGATTTCTTGCGCCATCTCTCTTCCTCAGTGGCCTTGCCGAAGAAAGAATGCAATGACCTTGTACTCTTGTCCGTATTACTAGTATTATTTCTTGCCTTTTCCGGCGATGACTTGGGGGATGCTGTTGTAGATGCGGCTTTTCCTTTTCTCGTTGCGGTGGGTTTGGTTTTGGACTTCCCTTTGCCAGCAGCCTTGGCCGGCGAGGTGGTGGCTGAGGTCTTTCCATCGAGGGTTATTTCGCGCTGGACAGCAGCAGGCTTCGAGGGTCCGGTGGGCAATTGGTATTCCTCGTCGCTATCGTCCGAGACGATGATGGTCGATCTGCGCTGCCGTTTGGCAGGTCGTGGAGCCATTTGCGGGCATCGTGAATGTTCAGAAATGAACAATCAAGGCGCCACTGTTGGCTTGTCGAATGTCGCTGGTGCAAGAAGCATACAAGTGGCTGCGTGAAGATTGAAGATCGGGTTTGATGATGGCTACGAAGTTGAAGTGTTGACCGCGGGCCCACGTGATTGCCATCACCGCGTCAATCAGCAACGTACTACAGCTTACAACTACAGTTAACTTCAGACACCGAACTTCTATCATCTAAAGATACGGAGGTGATACTCCCACATTATATCGCAGTATAACAACACTTGTTAAAAATACTAGATCCCAAAACACCTTTTTCACCCCCTGTTAAACAGCCCATCGACCAAATTATCCCAAAACCCCAAATCATAAACATTCTCAACGTCCGCGATGGACCTGACACGAACCCATCGTTCATCAGGTTCCTCGCGATCCTCTCCCTCCTTCACCTTCACCTTCTTCAAAGGCGGTCTCCCATCCCTCGTCCTAATCAACCACCACCTCGCCCTCACCCCCTTTGGCCACATAACATCCTCCTCCCTCGGCTCAACATCCTCCGGCAGGGGCGGGTACGTTTCTCTAATCCTCCACATTTCCGCTCTATACACCACTCCATCATTAATATCCTCCTTCCACTCCTGCCACTTTGCACTCTCATTAGTCGTCATGCCGGCCCAGAGCAGGTACCCATGATACATCAAAAACGCCAACGCCAGCGGCCACGACATGGCCATCAACATGGTCACCGCACCAACCCGCCACTCCTTGGAAATCACCCAAGCCCAACAGTGCCCAAACTCGGCCCAAGTCAAGGTCGTACTCCATCGTTTGGCCGTGACACTTCCCCTCGTCAATTCCGCGGGAACAAACTTTTGTTGTAATTCAGCATCAAGCAGCACATAACCCAATATCGCTCCATAAGCGAGCAGGACCGCAATGCTGGCCAACAACAGACAAAACCACAGGTAATTGTTCCTTCCGACACAGTTGTTGATCCAGATACAGTGGTGGTCGTGGCGTTGGATACAGGCCCGACAGAGTGAACAGTGTTTCGACCTCGCGGGTTTCGCATGGCGACAGGTGCTGCAGAAGTAGCCTGGGTGGAACAATGCGTAGTCGTAGGGGTATGCTAGCATTGAAGACCGGTGGTTCGCTGGAGTGATTGTGCTTGAGGTCGTGGCTGATAGATACAAAAATATCAGAGGTAATGGTACGAGCACAAAAATGGTTGCGATTTGAGATGAAGACAATCGATCCCATGCCGCGGGGATGAATAGAATTTCGCCGATGACTTGGAGTGAAACGAAAAAGATCTTGTTTGCCAGGAGACCTTCACGTCAGTAAATTCTACTCACATCCAGTAGCTGTCAAACATACCAGTACTATCGGATGCGCTTCATTCATAAGATAGTTGCCTGTTCGGGCGAGACTCCGTGTAATCCGCCGCCCCGTGAGCCGGTCGTCGACGGCGATGAAGGCATTCGGGATGTGCTTCCAAACTAGTCGATGGAGAAATGCAACTGGTGTTCGTCTAGAGAGGACGAGACTTTGGTTCAGCAACAATAACACAGCAACACGCAGTGTCACACACTGGCTGGGGCACGCGGCCTTACCTGAAAATGGGGAGTCGTCCAAAAAGCGCGATGAAGACGACAAATGAGATGCTGAGGATGACAATTGCTATTGTCCGAACGGCGCTCATCGCAGAACCATACGAACAGCAGTAGAGAAGCGCTGGTACTCAATAGGTTGAAAGATATTTATTACTTGGACAATATATTTGTTGTCAAGTTGGGTCGAGACGGTCGCCTGTAATTGGACGCCTGACGACGACACCCAACTCCAAGTTGTTCTGAACATCGACCAAAGCCTCGCTCACCTTTACATCTCGTTGGTGTCTCTGTTTCACTACATCTCATCGTGTTTGAAGTCTTGATCTGGTGAGAAAACTTAATGTATTCACACATGCCAACGACTCGAACTAAAGGACGAGCTGCGCACAACCACATTCGATCAGGCACGGTCACTTCCATCAAGCATGTGCTGCGTGAAGCGTCTGCCCATAGAAAAACGCAAAAAGGCAAAATCCATAGCAAAAGCCATGGTCACAGACATGTTCTGAACAATCGCCCGCCGACTTTACCATCTCTGTCCAACGCCATCCAGAAGCAGACACAGCCATAAAAACCCGACCCCGATTGCGCTCAACACCTGTTGAATCATGTTCATTACCACTCTCACGCATGCATACTCCTCGTCTTGCGATGGTAGGCCTCATGCACGCTTCTCGACTTGACCGGGCTGCTGGTCTGAACACTGCCCGTCCCGGCATGGTACGTCTCGGTCCGCATGTGTCCAACCCCAGGCCGTGGTAGATTTGGTGCCCCGGATGCTTCGGCTTTCATTTTCTTCTCCCGTTTGAGAACCATATCGGCCCATCCCTTGACGGCAGTGGAGTTTCCTTGGACATTGTTGCCGACTACCTGGGAGAGTGCTTTCATCCACTCATCTTTGTCAGCCGTCGAGTCGGCGTAGAAGTCAATAACTTCCCCATTGGCGAAGCGGATTCGGAATCCCTCCTCCACAAACATGTAGCCTTCTTCCTCCTCGGCAAAACCACTCTTTCGACGACCGCCGCCCTTGGTGGAGGTCTCTTTCTGCGTGAGAGAGGACTTGTCGTCAATAAGACGAGAGGCCTTGGCAAGGTTAATGGTGGCCCGTGGTTGAAGGGTTGTTTCATGGAACGCGGTCAGTTTGGTGCTGACAAGTCGGAAGAATCGTCGTCGCCAGTACTGCCTCATGTTAGCAGTGAACTCTCTTTACAGGTGCTGCTGCGCAAAACTTACTGGGCAATCTCCTCCTTGTTGGCTCAAATACCCTTCAAAGCTTTTGATGTTGGCTTGCTGTTGCATCCGTTCCTCGGCTTCCCGAAGTGCACGAATAGCACCATTCATGCTCTTGGGCATGTCTTCATCTTTGGCTCCTTTTGGCTTGGGCACATACAGCAGTTGCAGCTCAAGCTTGCCTATCTCGTAAGGTGGACGTCGCCGCAGCTGTGTCACCCCCTTCTTGCTTCTCGAACTGCCCACATACACTTCTTCCAGAGCCCATTCATTGAAACAGGTAATGTCTACCGTGTATGGTCTGCCGTACGCGTGCTTCTCGTGCTCGCTCAGTGCAACGTAGGCTCGAGCAAACGAGCCGTCCTTGGCAACCAGACCTTGAACCAGTTCATATGCGGACGGAGGCGTCACCGGTCTTTTGACGGCGGCTTGGGCTTCTTGTTGGGCCCTCATCTCCAACTCCTTCTTCTTCTTGGGGGATCCGAACAGTCTGCCAAAGGCTCCCTGCTTCTTGGGCGAGGGAGGCGGCTTCGAAGGAGATTGAGGTCGTTCGACTTTCGGTGGCTCCAATTTCATCTGAAGCGTGAGCTGGAATTCCAAGTCGTTGAGGACGACCAATTCAAATTCTTGTCCGATAGGTGCGCTTCGAGCGAGGTCTAGCCAAGCAGTAGTTACACAGTGCAGGCCGTTGTCGAGGGTAAGAGCAAAGTAGGTACGTTCATCTGGCATGGTCAGCTGGGGAACAAAGATACAGGGGACGATCAGTCTGCTTACGTTGTGGAAACGGCATCTGCAAGTCTTTGACCCCGACGACTTTCACGAACAGTCGACCACGTTCCATGCCGTCCTCCCAATCCTCCTCCTCTCCCAGCTCGTCTTCCGCAACTGACTCCAGGCTCTCTTGAGCATTGCTTGCTTGTCCGGGGAGAGGTGGTACAGGCCCTTCGACGGGTTTCCTCTTGCTAAGAGCCCTCTCGCCTCCCACGCGAATGCTCTTGCGTCTGACCTTACCATTCCAGGGTTCAGTACTCCAGGTGGGTTGGCTTGTCTTGCGAGGAGATGGCTGAACCTTGTTTGCCTCCAGGGTTGGGGCTGCTAACACTCCCTCGCCTTCGGTGCTTGGCAGGGCGGGGGATACACATTCGTCCTGGGGCACACGTTCACTTGCAACGACGATCTTAGTGTTCTGTCGCATAACGTAACCTCTCTGTCGCGGGCCAGACCGATTAGCAAATGATTCTTCGGGAACGGATTGTGCTGCAGGAGTGCTGGAAACCAGGACACGCGCTCCACGGGGTTTGGGTAACAGGGGGATATTTTGCAAGGGATTGCCAATCTTGGAGCCCTTCGGGTCAGGGTACTCGTGAGAAGGAAAGCGTCCATTGAAAGGGTAATGCAGGCGTCGCAAAGAGCGTTCAAACTCTACCTTTTGGGCCTCCACAACGCGGTCAAACTCCTTTTCCAGGCCTAATTCGAGACTGTCCTCCAGTTCATGATGAGGGATGTCCAGTTGTACCAAGCTGCTCACTCGCTTCTGTTCGATCTGGAGAGCATTGTTCTGGGCATCATGGCTTTCGTCACCCGGTGCGGCGTCTGCAGAACCAGCCTCGGTGGCCTCCGGTTTCTCGTTGAACTCGGCTGAGATAGGGGAGACTGGGGAAATCTCACGTCCATTCACCACCACAGAACCACTGTCAGAAGGAGAGACTGATCTCTCACTACTCTCAATTTCCGAGTCTGCTTCCTTGTCATGGTTGTTAGTGTCCACGTTGTCGGTAAAGCCAGAGACACTTGTATGTCGAACTACGGAGTCTGGTGTGCCCGCCGTGGCTCTGTCGACCTCAACTCTGAGTGGGCTTTCAGACCGCTTCGGATGCAAATCCGGGGTGTAAGAACGTTGAATAGACTGGCGCAAGGCTGCAAGATCGGGAAGGTCGCTCGTCGTCACCATTGTATGCGTGGTTGCAACAACAGGCTGAACCTTTTCCTCTTTCTTTGTCAGATACGGACCAAAGCCCATGTCGAAGCTACTCTCTTTTCCAAAGTCAGGAAACTCGGGCAGCGATACCCGATGTTCAGGAGCCGACTGTTTGAAAATCTGCTCCTGTACAGGAGTCTGGGCTCTTGGAGTCTCTTGGCCTTGATGCAATGGTGCCGGAGGCAACGGCGCGACAGAAGCTTGAGAGTATTGACTCGTGAGGTCGTCGTCCTGATTGGCACTGGTCTCTGAGTCCGACCCTTCCCGGCCAATGTACATGTCCGGGATAGAATAGAGGTCAGGTTCTTCCAAACCCTCTTCTTGCTTGATTGCTGGCTGAGTGGGATCTTCCAGCGATGGAATTGGGACATCCGGGTCAAAGGACGATGGCATGGAGTGGTTCGTGCCCTCAACAAACTCCTCGCTGCTTTCTCGACTTTCTTGGTCCCGCAGGCCTGAAAGAATGGATGCTCTGGAAAGCTGTGGTGTCGAATCTCTGGAATCAGAAGATATCTCTGGACCTGGTTCGCCGTGGTCTATTGAAGAGTCCTCTGCACTGCCACCGCGGACAGGGCTGGTTTCTTTGGAGTCCATTCTTCTCATACGGCGTTCCCGCTCCTGTTCCTGAATTGCCATCAATCGGAGTCTGTCCTCGGCTGAAAGCGAGCTCGACGCCCCCATTTTCAGGATATCAGCTTTAGAGGTACCTGGGGACATTGGCGGTGGGGCGGGCAGAGAACGACGATTGACACTCATACGTTCGAAGGCGCCTGATAAGCTCTCAGTCCTCGAATGACGGTGGGTTCCCGAAGGTGGAAGTGGTGGGAGAGGACGAGACCGTCCTTCAGAGTCAACCGAACCTGTGCTAGATTGTTGAGGTCGATAGGCCCCTGCGCTGGGCATAGCAGTAGGGGCTGGGCTGCCACAGTCGTCCTGAAAGACATCTTCCTCGCCTCGAGCCAAGTCAGTGTTGGCATTGTCCGGGCTCATGAAACGCCAGTCTTCAGGCAACACAACAGGGGTTTTGGTTGCATCTTCAAGAGAAGCATCAAAGCTGTCGTCATGGTCAATGGAGGAGCCTCGGTCAAGGCCTGCCTCTTGATCCTCATCGTCGTCCTCAGTCGACTCATAGCTGCCCTCTCGGGAGCCAGAAGCACAGGAAGATGGCGCCGGCGTGGGCTCTTCATACTCGTTGACCTGCGGAGGAGCTTGGTCAAATGTGACACTCTTCTGGTGACGATGCAACCCGCGACCCTCGGGGAGTTGTCTGTTTTGGATATCATCTTCGTCTTCCCAAATGCCCGTTTCGGGATCGAATCCACTTCGTCTGAATGCTGCACCGGTCTTCTTCGAGAGTGATGATTTGGCAGGCGAGGTGTTGAACCTGCTCGGAGAAAGAGGAGTCACGGTATTTGTCATAGCGGACGGTTCCTTCGGCTCTGGCTTTTGATGTGCTTGCATTGGGGAACTGTTTCGGTCGGATGGGACGACGTTCTCTTTGCGAATGACATCGGAACCCCGAAACGGCGATTGTGTTCTGGAGAATTGCATGCTGTGAGGACGGCCATCGAGAATGGCCGGACGAGAAGGATCGTAGCGGTTGCTCTGTTCGATGGCGAACATACTGCTGTTCTTGACCCGCGAGGCCTTTTTGAGATTCTCAATCGACGAGCGTTTCTTGGGCGAGGTCGAGGTAGGAAGGCCTTCTAGGCTATCGCGGATTTCTCTGGCAGGGGAGTTGGGATCTCGTCCCTGCCAGAACAGACGGGGTGAAGCGTTCGAAAACGGAGACGATCCTGCTGGCGAATTCTCGTTGCCGAATACCTTGGCCTGCGACTTGTGTGAGGGTTTTGTTCGAATCAACAGCAGACAGGCACCGCCCAAAACAACGTACCTTGACTTGAGGAAAGCTCGGAGAGTTTCGACGAATGGCCATGGGACTCAGCTCTGACAAGGGGCGATTCGTTACTCGGGGCAGCTTGGACGGCGAGGCGCCATTGCTGCCCTTCTGGATGCGTAAAGGTGGAACCTGTAGCAGAGAGATGAGGGCATTAGTGTCACGTACGGCGTGGGCAGACCGGAGGCAACGTCAACAATGACCATCGCACGTACCTCTGAGGCCATGGCGGACTAGAATCCAGACAACAATGGCTTTGTATCTAGCAGCTCACCGGGCCACGCTCAGACCATGAATGATGAATGGAATGAACAGTGCGCAGGCCAGGAATGAGTGACAGATGGTCAAGCCTGAAATGGGCAGCAGACCAGCTGCAGCGCACGTAAATAGCACGAGGTCTCTGCCCGAGATCAAAGTGATGGAAAAGACAGTGAAGAGTTGAAGTAAGGGCCGCGCCGTCTGCGACCGCAATGGAGGCCGCTTTCTATGTGATGCTTGAGATAAGAAGGAGGATTGAGATGGAGAGGTTCGAGGTGAGTATTATTTACAGTGAGCATTGGTGATACCAGGATTACGACCACTTGCGGCACTGTGCTACTGCGACTGCTAGTACTTCTCGTATTGCTGCTATTATTATTGGCGTGAATTGGCGTCCGCAAAAACGGGCTTTTCCAAGTTTCGCGCAGCGGGGAAAACAACAACACCCAAGTTGCGACGGGCAACCGGCCACCAACGTTTGTACTAGGCCCTGTACGGCTAGTGCAAGGCGATACCCGTCGCAGTATCAAAAAAAGTTTCGAAGTCGAGACATACACCAGATATACACCATTTACTACTACTATACCTAGGTATCATACACTGTACAGAGACCTCTTGTTTTTATTATTGTATCAATTCAACCGAACTGCTTCCATGTCATCCTCTCTGGCCGTTTGCCCGGCCTGTCAACTCAGAGCCCTGATTTCCGCTCTTCGTCCCACAACCACAAGGCCATGGCAGACGCAAAGGACCATGGCTACGGCCATGCGCCAACGCAAGAAACCTTCGCGAATGACCCTCAGTCAAGATGTCAGCAGGTCGCAGACCGAAAAGAAGAAAAGCAAAGACGATGTGGCGGGACCATTTGCAGGAATGAATCAGACAGTGGCCAGACCCCGACCGGCGGATCGTGAACGAAGAGCAGCGCCTCGCACGCTCCCCTCGAGGCCTCGGATGGCGGTCCGACAAGAAATCAAGAAACGAGCGGCTCCGACCCAAACATCGGGTGAAGCAGCAGCAGACGGCACAACGAGCGAAAAGACCTCCACAAGCCCCAAAAAGAAATCAGCCAAAGACGAAAGACCCTTATTCCACGCCCTCAAGATGCAACAGACCCTGGCGCCTCTATCCTACAGCCAGCGGGACAAGCTGAAACAGAAACTTGAGAAGATCAACTCGTTCGAAGAGCTAGGATTGATGCCCTCGGTGGCGAGTGCAGTCTATACACAAGTTCTCCCCGGTCTGACAGAATACGTACCTACACCGGCGCAGAAACTAGCGATTCCCGCCCTCCTCAGCAAAAAGGACGAATACCAGAAACAAAAGAAGACAACAACCGAAACAACAGCGGACGGTCAAGAAGCTCAACCTCAACCCAAATTCAACCAGTTCCTAATCGCCGCCGAGACCGGATCCGGCAAGACACTCGCATACCTCCTCCCGATCATCCACCACGTCAAAGAGCAGGAAGAGCTAGACCGAATCGCGGAGGCGGAACAAGAGGCGCGCGAGGAGCAAGCAAAACAAGACCGGGAGAAGCGACTGGTCTTCGAAGCGGACCCCTCCGAAGACGAGCCGAAAGTGCATCCATCCATGGGGCGACCACGAGCACTAATCCTAGTACCTTCATCCGAACTCGTCGCGCAGGTCACCAAGGTGGTGAAACTGATCGGACATACAGTCAAGTACAAGTCGGCAGGTATTTCATCGTACAATAGCCCCACAGTGATCCGGAAACGACTGTTCAACCCGAACGGTATTGACATTCTTGTATCGTCGCCTCACTTGATCGCGAGCATCGCCAAAAAGGAACCCAACATCCTGTCCCGAGTGCAGTATTTAGTGATGGATGAGGCCGACTCACTCTTCGACCGATCCTTCAGCGAGACGACATGCGAGATCATCGACCGAGCAACCCCGTCTTTGAAACAACTCATTCTCTGCTCCGCCACCGTGCCCAACTCGCTCGACCGGTTCATCGACAAACGATTCCCCGAAACCAAGCGCATCGTCACACCGAAACTGCACACAATCCCCCGTCGCGTCCAGCTGGGGGCCGTCGACATCGACAAAGATCCTTACCGGGGTTCCCGCGACCTCGCATGTGCCGACGTCATCTGGACACTCGGCAAGGCCGTGCACGAAGACATGAACCCGCGCAACACGGTCAAACACATTTTAGTCTTTGTGAATGAACGTGAGCGAGCCGAAGAGCTGGCCAAGTTCTTGGCCTCCAAGGGAATCGACGCCGTCGCCTTGACCCGCGACACCACGGAGCAACGACAGGCCGAGATTTTGTCGACATTCACGTCGTCCTCGGTGGTCGAAGGGTCGGAAAAGCCAAACACTTCCGCAAAAAAGACCAAACTCTTCAGCGACTTTGTGCCTTTTGACAGCGCCACCACCACTACTGACAATTCGGCCAACGGCGGCAAACCCACGCGTCACCTGCCCGACACAAAGGTCTTGGTCACCACCGACCTAGGGTCCAGAGGAGTCGACACTCTAGCCGTGCGCCATGTCATTCTGTACGATGTGCCCCATACCACCATTGACTTTGTCCACCGCCTAGGTCGGCTGGGTCGCATGAACCGTCGGGGCCGCGCCATTGTCTTGATGGGCCGCCATGATCGCAAGGATATCATCCGCGAAGTGAGGGAGGCAATGTATAAGGGACAAGCATTGATCTAAGAAGGTCACTCTGATTGCAGTCATGAAGGCATATAATATACACCTAGGTATCTAAGTACCTGTACCTGAGTAGGGGTTGTCAAGTCCTCTGCTGGGTACCTCCTATATGGTCCAGTCAGCAAGTGTACAACATATCTGAACTCCTGTACATTATATTATATCCTGCTCTATGCCCATTGTACTACCATTACTATTACTATTATTTCTGGCAGAAGAAAAGCCAAACTTGAAGCAGAAGAGACATTACCTAACTTCTGAGGTCCTCTTCATCACTCCTCACTCCTCTCTGGTTAATGTACCCACCTGCTGTAGGTACCTAGGTAGGCAATCATAATAAAATCATAATAGCTGAGATAGATATTTGCAAATCCCGCATACATCATGCAGTGCCCAAGTCAACATCAATGTCCAAAACTACCGACCCAACTGCCCGTCGGCCGGACAATATCAATAGGCACACTCCCAGCCGCAACACTGCTTCCCAACCCAGTAGCCGCAGCCCCAAACCCTTCATCTCCTTCGTCCCGCCCAAATGGTATCCTTTTACCATCATCATCATCGCGCCACATATCCTCGGTAGTCGAGGCTTCCGCATCCACGTCGATGTCCTCCACTTCTTCAATCTCCGCTTCCTCTTCGAACGGCCTGTCTCTCAACCCCGGACTCGCCAGTTCCTCATCAAGTTCAAAGAAGCCCACACCACTACCCCCGTCATCGGCCATGACCAGACCGCCTGAAAAAGGCGATTCCGAGTCCAATTCCATTCCAGTCCCGTGAATCGTAGGCGACGGAGAAGGCGACGGACTCGGTAGTGGCGACGGGATAGGCGAGAGGAATCGGCCTCGTCGACCGGCAATACCACCACCGTCGTTCGTGCTGGGAAGCTTCAGGTGTTTCGGACTGCCTTTTCTCGTCTTTGTCTTCTTCAGAGTGCCACTACTAGTAGTACCTAAACTGCCGCTTTGGCTGTCTTCTGAATCCTCCTTTTCCGGACTACTCATCCCCCCCGGACTGGATTCTTCATAACTGCTGCTTGGGTCGACGACAGTAGAGTCGGCCAGTTGGAAATGCACGTGTTTCGCATCCTTGCGCACACCACTTTTCGACGTTTTTCTCAATGCGCTCGGCGGCAGACTCGTGCTCGTGTTGTTCGTGCTGCTGGCGCTGGTGGGTATTTGACCGGTCGACTTGGCTCGCTTGGTCGAGGTGACCACCACGGGCGGCGAGACCGGTTGTTCCGGGAGAGACTGTGATGATTTCAAGGGCGGTCGTTGTCGGTCTCGTTCGGCCTTTTGCTTACTAGTACTATCGGCGGCGTCGGGTTGTTGTGGATGTTGTAGCTGCTTCTTTTCTTCTTCCTGCGGAGTCAAGGGCTGTGGACTGCTTCGCGGAGGAGTCCGATCCCGAGAATCCAAAAGGGGCAAATAAGAGGGCGTGAACACGCCGGCAAAACTGTCCGTTCGGTCGCTCGTCGGCGTAGGGGGCGGAGGCGGATGCTGGGGATTAGGTACACTATCCTTTTGTGACCTTGAGGGCGTAGTATTTAATGAACCCGGAGGAGTGGACCGAGAGTTTGTCTTGGTCAATAACGAAGGTGTCACCAAATCGTTGTTCAAAGGCAACGTCTCCCCAGTTATGTTCAACTTCGCAAGAGACAAAGTTGCTGGACTCAACGGTGTCGTTTTGACGATTTTAGCTCCCACCCCCACTTCCGCTCTCTTTGACTTATGGTGGCCCACCGGTCTATGCGCGGTCAGGATTCCTGCACTGGCAGACGAGGATGACGAGATATTGCTCGAACAGCAACTTTCGAGGCCTCGAGCCTTTTTCCGATGCAGTCGAAGTTCCTTCTCGAATTCACGAAACTCGCGGTCCTTTGCCGCCTTGAATCGGGCAATCTCCTCGTCTAATTGCTTTCTCTTTCGCTGCAGAGCATCGAGGATGTCAGACTCGGAGTCACTGGTGGTGTCGGGCGAAGGAGGGGCATTTCTGGGTATACAGTTGACCTGGGCCGAATGTCTATACATGGCGGATGTGTCAAAGACTGCGTGAGTCCGTCCGGGTTCGGTTTGGGCCCTTTCTTTGCGACTATCCAACCACTATCTGGACCAGATCACACCGAGGGAGCAGGAGAAGTAATAGAGTGTGCATGAAGGCGTGGGCTTGGTTGGCTGCGTTGAAGCGAATTTGGTAAGAGTTTGAAACCACAAGACCAAAGAAAAATTCCAGAGTCGACGTCGTCAGATTATAGTGAGTAACCCAAAATAAAATCTCAGGTACGACAGTACGCGACCGTGTCGGAGGAGGAGGGACGAGGACCAGGATCAGGAGCAGGGGTATTGGAAGGATGCGAGGCGATGACGCAGAAGGAACCGGTTAACAAGGTTTGGACAGGGTTGTTGGACGAGCGGCGATGCGACGGCCGAAAGGGATAGCGAGATGAATCAAAGAGATGTCCTTGTTCGTATTGCCTGGTGGTCGAGGAGTGGGAGGAAGCGAGTCCCGAGGGTCGGGTAAAAGAAGAACGGATTGCAGTCCAGCGAATGCACGATTCCGCACCTTTGACTTCCGGGGTGGGATGGGAGTCACTGATCAATCAATGTCTGTCGCCTACACCGACGGCGACAGATGGCGTTGGCCAGTGGCAGGTTCCTTCTCAAGTCGTAATGCTATCTTGACACCCGAGACGGTTGTATAGCCGTAGAGTACTAGGTAGTCGAATCGTCGAATCTGAAATCTTGTCTCACCCACGGACGTGTGGCAGTGGCTTGGATCCCCGATTTTGTCCAGGGTTCGGGGGAAAGCAAGCTCGGGCGGAATACTGACAAACAGAACACAGACCCAGAAGCGCCGGGTACAGAGTCTGCAAAATGGAAAATGCTCGAAGAAAAAGTGTTGTTCCCCCACTTTTCTCATTTTCCACATGTGGTGGTGGCGGTCGAGCGAAAATCTGAATGGTGGGAATGGGCTCAAGTGGAGAGCTGTTTGACCGCAATGTCGACGCGGACTGATGGCGCAGGGGGCGTGGATACTACTATGTACTACTGTACTTGCTCACTCGTAGCAGATGAGGAGATGAGAAGATGAAAGTTCATGGCTTCGGAGCGCATTGTTCCTGTGGATCGGGGAAAAGGGCCCGGGCGCGGTGCTCAAGCCGCGATGGTGGAGGTGTTCGAGATAGACGACACTTTAGCTGTACTGGCACCGCAAGTGGCTGCAACCGACGAGGGACAACAAAGGCCGAGACTCGAAATCAGGGGGATATACAGCTACTACTCTCGTTAGCATGTGGTCTGTGGTCTGTGTTTCCTTGGACCGAGGGACACCGGCAGCTTGAACCATGAAATCCATGCCCTGATCACTACAACGACGCCGGGGGTATCTTTCGTTAGTGCGCTCTCGCTAGACTTCCCCGAATTGGCCGCCAGCTTAGTCAGGATCAGTAAAATGACAGTACAGTACCTGTTTCGACAACAACTGCCACACTAAAGCGCAAGAAATGTGTAATACGCTAGCATCAACTGGGAAAGGTGAGAAATGATTACGCGCTAATCTACTTATGTACTAGTGTGCCACTAACGAAAGATTGCCCAGAGGTGTTGTACAATGTACAGTCAATCAAATAATAATGAGTGGGCATGAGATACCTGCGGTTTCCAGGTGTTCAATAATGTCGGGCAATTATTATCCGATTATTGCGTGCGAGCCCCTCGACCCCCGCCGAGGCCTGGACCGCGGCCCTGAACCGAGAGCGGTGAGCGACAGCGTGACCACTACTTCTGTATCTCCCGTCAACACCTGCACCACCCGGTACGTACCACTCCCAGCAGTATGGCCGATAGGACCTAGGTACCTACAATGTTGAACATCCGGAGTCAATGGTCTTCCTACGCCTACAATAAATACCACAATAAGTCATACTTCCCAGCCAAAGGAGTGTATCGTAGAGTCGAGTTCCGTACCATTCCATCTCATCGGAAGTGGGCGAACGGGGCAACGATGCACTGCTTGGGACCACCACCAAACGTGGGGGTGAGGTCGGGGGAGTCGATAGGGAAGATTCAAGCGATACGATAGATGGGCAAATGCTCAAATGCCATGCTATCTCTATCTCCCTACCTTTAGCGAGAAGCCAGATCCGGTGCGTGCTCGATATGCGGTGCGTTATACTGTAGTCCAAGTCGTTTGTGGTAGTGATGGGCGTGATAGGCATGGCGATCACTGATAGTCAGGTCGTTGGGTGCCGATGCCGGTTACACCACCTCCAGATAGAGCCTAGAGGTACCTAAAGCCGGTGGTCAAATTCAATATTTATATTACCTGGTAGATCTCTACTAACGGACTGCACCACTGGCAGGTAAAACATTCAAGTCCAGTCTCAGCATGTGATAATGATCCAAGGCAAGGCCGCCAACTGGAAGTTTTCCAGAGTCTTCGCTTTATCAGACGCAAAAGGCCGGGATGTCCAGATCAGGCAGCCCGTGCCGCTCGCTGCCAGAAAGGAAATACATCAACTCTGAGGTTGATCGTAGCTGAGTGCTACAATATTGTATTATTCCATATTCGCAGCTGACCGCAACGACCAGCGTCCCCATAGTATACAGTATATGATCCAGATCCACGCCCAAGTCAACGATGCACTCCAACTTGCAACCGCGGAATCCTAGAGTTCTTCGGCACTGGCACCCTCTCCTTACCATTCCCATTCTCCCTCTTCCTCAACTCTCGTCTCCGATCCCGATATCGTCGACTATATTCGTCCGCCGGGTCCTGATATTCATGGAAATCGCTGAACCTAGGCCAATTGTATTCATGGTACTTGACCATTGGCACTCCGGCTGCTCTAGCGTTGTCATCATCCATTGGCGACACCGGACTCATGCTCTGCCCTGCATTCTGCATCGGCGCTTGCGACAGCAATGGTCGTATTGGATCGGAAGTAGTGGTAGCATGACTCCAACGACAACCGCCAACAGTAGACTTCGACGACGATGCTGATGCCGATGCTTCCATCTCGTAAACACCATCATCCCCACTCAAAGGCGAAACAGGTGAGCCGTTGCCAAAAGCGCCAGCCACAACATGACCAACAACAGCATCACGTCGTCCACGTTGTCGGGGTCGTGTCTGTGTCTTCTCCAACATATGTCCCTCAAGCCCCAAACCTCTATGGCCCTCATCTTCTTCAAACTCGAGCAACGGGATCCTTGGCTCCTGGTGTTTCCTCCCCACCACCGGCGCAGGATTCGAATTGAGAAACAACTCCTGGTCAAAATCGACCAAGGGCCACGAATACCTAGGAGGCGGCTCTAGCGCTTGACTTTTCGACCCGTTTGACCCGACGACAATCTGCGCTTTTTGTTCAAGTTGTTGATATTGACCCTGATAGACACAAAAGTTAGGAGTCGACCGATTAACCTCTTCAACAACCGTTGGACGACCCGCAATGAGCATCCGGGGCACGCCGCCCGCCCATCCGGCTTGGAGCATGGGAGGAATGTAACTGTTTAGACTGACCTTGGTTTCTCTGCCAGGATACGCCACAAACCGATGATTCTCCACAGGTATTGGGGTCGAATCGATCACAACGGCTTCGCGTTCGGGCGCATTTGCTGCTGCTGCTGCGGCCGAAAACTCGACTGGTCGTGAGTCCAACTCGGTGACGCGGAACCGATCAAAGTCATCTGGTGTCTCGATACGAGAAGACTGTTGTTGTTGTTGTTGTACCACAAATGGTTTCTCCCACTCATTCACCACCACGCTCCCAGACAGAGTCGAACACAATGAAATCTCACTCGCAGCAGACACTGCAACACCGTTGTTCTTCTTTTTCGTTTCCATTTGCGCATTTTCCTTCTCTCCCTCTCCAAACCACTTCGACAGACTGGTGCTCGGTCTGGCTTCAAACGGCAACTCTTCCAAACATTCCGGAATCGGACCAGTAATCGTAGACGAAACCTTTGGCTGCTGCAACTTCGAGTTCGGGCTTGATTCCGACAAAGGCCGATATTGTCCTACGCCAACCATACTCTGTCGACCACTGCTGCTGCTGCTGCTGCCAGCAGAAAGAAAATCATCAATCTGAGTAACACTAACAGGCACCTGTTGAGTCCAGGCTCCAATTCCATTGTCGTCGTCGTCGGAATCGGTGTTGATATCGCTCTTGTGATTGCCCGTGACACAAGCCGGTAGGCATCTTGTGTACCACTTGCGACTTGCGGCAGTACTGCTACTAGCAGCAGCAGCAGCAGGAGGAGTGATAATAGTAGTGACAGCTTTGTATCGTCCATTTCCGGTCCCATTTCGCCCACTATGACTCCAACCTGCAAGTCGAGTTTGGGCAGTAGCCATGGCATCGATTGGACCTCGATTCAAAAGTCCGAAAGAAAAGGAGACAAAACAGTAGCTAGGTAGTAATTGATGACCACTCCTGCACCGGTAGGTAATGCTGATGGATATTCCTGCTCCTCCTAGTAACAACTATTAGTTAGTAGTAGCAGGACGACCCCAACTTACCTTGTAGAGAAGTGATGAGAGAACAGCAAGAAAACTCGTCGAGGGCCACAGCGATCGGTCGCCCTTTTGAACCAGAACACGAAACCCCACTCAGTGTAGCCTTGAGTACCGTACGGCCTTTGAGGCTTCAGCGGCCCGGTTTGTTCGAGTTGTCTCATCAGTTGGGTGTCGTGTCTCATCTTCGTTGATTCAACATTGCGTCGAACAATGGAACGATGGGCAACCGAGACCTCAACTGCCAGGAGACAACGACAAAAGATCACAAAGCAAGAATTGTATGACTTGAACAAAGGGACAAAGGGACCGCCGCTGGCTACAAGGCACATTGTAATGACTATGAAACAAAGAGGCGACTGGAGATTCCAAAAGCAAGTGTGTGAAAGCTGACGGATGAACTCTCTTTGTCTGCCTAGACAGTGAATTGTTGCGTTTGGCAGACACAAACATGATGTCTGTCTGCCGAGACTCGTGTTGCTTTGCTCCAGGACTCCAATGAACCTACCCATCAAATTGGAGTCTAGTGGCAGAAAGATAATGCTGACTGCATCAGACCTTCAGGCAGTTAGTTCAGGGCCAACCTCTCCTCCTTACCCTTGGCAACGTCGGCGGAGCAAACAGTCAGTCAGCTAATCGTTAATGTCCGTCAGACTGATCGGCGTTGATTTGAAACGTATGCTCTTCTGCGGAATGCACACAACTTCGATCAGATCAGGGAATGAGATGTTGCAGGGAAACAAATTGCCGTGTGGGTTCATAACGTAGGCCAGGTTGACGATAAATCTATGCATTGATCCAATCATGGCTTATATATCACGAACGAGTCCCAGCGCCTCTAGGATCCCGACATCCGCCGCATCGGTTTGTCGAGTAAGTTTCGAGCGTGATCAGCTTCGTAAACCAAAATCACTTTTCCACGCTAGCATGCTTTTGTATGCCAAAATATCCCTCTAAAGCGAAGAGCACTCGTTCAAAGTCAGTGTATGGAAGACCATCGCTTAGGCAATGGCGCTGCCACCAGTGAGACGGATGACTTGGCCTGAAGTTGATCGTCAGTAAAACAACGGACAATAAGAGACAGATGCTGCTCTTACCGTTGATCCATTCGCTGTCAGGGTGGCACAAAAACATGACAACCTTGGCAATGTCATCAGGAACGGCGCATCGGCCAAGAGGAATGAGTTTGGCAATGCCAGCCTCGATCTGCTCCAGGGGAGTATCCTTGGTGGCACCAGGGGCGTAGTGCCATGCGTTTTGGGCGAACATGTCGGTCTTGATGCCACCTGGGGCAATGGCGTTGGCAGTGATACGCTTGGGACCACCGTCGGCCGCGAAAGAACGGGCGAACCCTTCAACCGCGGACTTGGATCCGGCATACAAAGCATGGTTGGGAACACCCAGACCGGCAGCGATAGAAGACATGAAGATAATACGTCCTCCCTCTGCAGATGAGTCAGCGTCTGGACTCGGTTTGATAGCTTGAAATTAACTTACCGCTCAGGTACTTCAAGGCATGTTGACCGACAAAAAATTGGGCACGGGTGTTGAGGCCAAAGACTTGGTCGTACAGCTCCTCGGTGACATCTTCGGGCTTGGAAAAGGCCTCCATGCCGGCATTGTTGATAACAATGTCAAGCTTGCCAAAAGCCTTGATTGCCTCCTCGAAGAGCTTGGTCACTTCGGGAACCTTGGACACGTTGGCTTGAATGGCAACGGCACGGCCGCCCTTCTGCTCGATCTCGGCCACGGTCGCCAGAGCTGGCTTGGCGGAGCTGGCGTAGTTGATCACGACCGCAGCACCACGGTCAGCCAGGGTTTTGGCGAGACCAGCACCGAGGCCACGGCCGGCACCGGTGATGAGGGCGACCTTGCCGTCGAGGCGGATGGTTGATGAAGAGCTCATATTGGACGGTTATACGGGGTTCTATCGAGGGCGACTGCACAAGACGAAAAATGGAGCGGGGGCGGGATACCGTGTGCTGATCAGTAGTAGATGAAAAGACAGACCCAAAGCCAAGTGAGAATGATACTTTTGGTGGTGATGTACGTGAAGAGAAAGATGGAAAATGTGTTGATGATAAAAGAATACCTAAATAAACTACCGTGGCAGAAAAGGGGCCAGGAAGGCCAGTTGGAGGAGTAGGAGGACTCCGGCCCTTCCTCCGGCGCCTTGTGTTTGTGGCAGTCACCACCAAGAACCAGAGTGGCCTTGGGCCCCCTTCAAAGTTCCCGACACTAGCAAACTCCTCCTCCTCCTACTACAAGTACCCGGACGGCGGTCAGATCAGATCAGCTGGTCCCGCGAACACTGTAATTATAAACATATGATGCAGTAGAGGAACCAGTAACACAAGGTGGCAAGCTGTTTTGTTTCAATATTGTGGCTACGGCTGCTGTGGGTGGTCGATCTTTGTCCACCATTTCCCCTTCGGCTCCTCCCAGGGTTAGATTTTAATTATGATTATTATATAGCCGCCCCATAAATACACTGCGATTGTCCTATATAAGGTACGTCGACATGGTTTTATTTGGGATGTAGTTATGATTGTCGCTCTCCCGTCCGGCTGGTAGCTTTGGCGGTGGAAGGAGTAGTAAGTGGGCTTGTTCCGAGGCCTTGCAGTTTGTCACCACAATGTATGAGGTGGTGTGGTGAGCCTAAAGCGCTGGTGCCAGTGTGTCCCGATTATTGTTAAGGCTGCGGGGCAAGGCGCAGAGACAGTAAGTAGTGGACACTGCACTACAACACAATGTACAGTGGCAAGGTACTCACTGATCACTCCCCTGAGGGGCTGAACAACCAGCGGCAGAGGCTGTCTGTTTGGTCAGCCCAACTGATACGGCAAGATGGCCAAGTTTCGTATACAATGTGGGATACCACAGTGTCTAAACAGCAGGTACCTAGGTATTCTGCCGCAAGATGGCCCATTGCGCTGGTACTGCTGCATGCAGATCTACGAGCAGCCTAATGAGAGACCCTGGGATATACACAGTACAGCACCTCGCCGTGCCTCCATACTAGCAAACGGCAGAAAATACCTAGGTAGGTAGGTATATCTCCTTCTGCTAATCGTATACCCGCTGCACCTCTCACAGGAATTGGGACATACTACTGTTATTTTACTTTTCCCCTGAAGTCAGCCTTTAGGGCCAGGCGGTGAGGGTCCTCAGGGTCCGAATGGGGGGCATGAGGGTTCGTGTGTCGTTTTCGTTGTGGGCTTCCAAGGCTTCAACAAACTTGACCTGACCTTTTTACCTTGCCTACCCACTGTTCTCATCTCCACTGCATCCCCATTCCACCTCCGAGCAGCCTCTTGTTGCTGGTTTGTTATTGCTATTCTCGCTGGCAGTCCGAACGCTAAGGTTCAATCGAGGGGCACTGGCACGTCGGCTCGTCATTGTTATTTTTAGCTTCAGCCCTCAAAAGTGTCTGGCCTTGCGCGGCCTTGTCCCCGGATAGAGACGTACGTACCATACCTAGGCTAGTATCCAAATATCTTTGGGAGTACTGTGGTTTGTAGGTCATGCTCGTTCAGACTGGGCCAATACTCTTCACACCTATCTCAATGACTGCTATCAGCAACTCTTTCACACATTGCATTGCCAGTCACAAACGATTGAGGAATATCCACAGTCACGTGATCTCATACCAAGCTGACATAATGCAGTCTCTGGTTCACCGCGCTGTATGGGGCTCACGACTGCCAGTGATGATTGATAAGGTACTCTCGTCTCAAATCACATTCAAGTTCCCTTTTCATCGGTACTACAGTGTGCTAGTATGACCCCAACCAGCGTTCATTCTGCCAGAAGGCGTTGTAGGTACCTAGGTAAGTACTGTGAGTGTCTGGGCACATGGACAGCCGCTATATACAGGAGAATATGAAGCCGCTCCTACAGTGTCATCAGTGTACCTACATGATTGCATTGTAGTCGACCCTTGTCGCGGGATGGCACTGTATCGGCGACAACCTCCCCCGACTGCCCGACACTATCAATCGTTACCACAGTAGTAGTAAACGACTATGTACCTGACTACCTCGTAGGTACTCATATTCAACTACAATTCGAGTCTCGAAACGAAACTTGAACCTCGAGATACATAAATACAGACAGACGCAGAGACCAGCTGTGTTCTTTTCACTGATAGTACTCTGAGACCCCATTGTCTGCCCATCATTACTACCTTATGCTCCTCTGCTCTTGATCGTCTCGATCTGACCACGACCACTAACTATCCTTGATATCAGTCTTGTACCTACACAGCTACTCCCGTCTATCATTCCCCCGCCATTCTACATACAGTAGTAGTAGGACTCGGCTTGCGATCATCATCACCTCGCTCATCCACCTCCACGGAGACCAGAACCACTACCGCTACCGCTACCGCTAGTAGTACCTAGTCACCACTTTCCCGTATCGAGTCCGGCCGGCACGGAGGTCAACGGACGGCACAACACCGTAGCGTACTTCACCTAGGTACCAGAGATGACTAGTACCACTCCTAGGGAACTTTTAATTCCAGGTTTTTGAAACTTCAACTGCGAGGGTTTGGAAAATGGAAGCGTGGACGAACGTCTGCCGCCGCCGCGGTACCAGTGCCAGTGTCAGTGTCAGTGCTACCATCAAGATCGTAGCAATCCTCCTAGCCATAAGCTTCCCGTAACCATACCTATGGCAGCAGCATCAAGCAGCGGCATCAGTAGCAGCAGTACCACTTCCATCTCTGCCCACTACTACTAGTGCTAACTTGAAGCAAGCCGCAAAAACATCCTTCCCCGCCCAGTACCACCGGCCGTGTCATTACCGACTCCGGAGCGGGCGACCGGGCGGGCCATGCTTCTCATATTCAAGTTAGTCTTCTCCGTCAAAAGAAAGCTCCGACGAACAAGCACTAGTTCCAGCACTGACCGTGGCGCTACTACCACTACCAGTACCACTGCTAGTACCTGCTTTCCACTCTTAAGACATCATCAATCCCCCGGAGCCGTGGCCCTGTCCCTTCTAGAACTTTGGAAAAGCGAAAGCATGGAATCATAATTTGCAAACAATTGTCTTCAGTATTGGCAAAGCTCATACGAATCACAAAGCACAAACACAGTCATACTACTGGTACTGCAGTGGTGTCCAGAACTTCCCGCAACTTGAACCTAACCAACAGGGCGATTTAATGACCGACTCGGACCTTCCATGGATGATGGCCCTCCAAGTTTGGCACCGCTTGACCTGCGCTGCAGTGCGACAGCCCTGCCATGCCATGCCAACCTAACTCCCCAGTGTTCATTCAAAAAGAGTCAATCCAATCCAACCCAAAAAGCCTGCCTCCCGAGCACGACAAATCTCTCAGCCACGACGACCGAACGGCCATGGTCGTCGTCGAGATTGGGTGGTGTCATGCTATATCCAATTAAATTCCTGCACTTTTGTCCCCTTCTATTTCCTGGCAAACGCCCGAGCATGCCGTCGTATACGTCATAAACATCATCAAAAGGCACACTGCCAAAATATACAAGGGCCGGGTTCATCACCCAGGTGGGAATACCACACCCCATTTCTGTCTTCATCTCCATAGGTGAAGTTACATCACTCACATGGATCAGAGAGCAAAGACCCATCCATCCTGGTCGCAGAACTAGTTGTCTTTCCAATTCGCCATGAACATGCGCAGTTTGCGTTTGATGCCATCTGCCAGCCGCATTGAAGAGTCATCCTCAAGCAGCTCAATGCAGTGCTGAAGGATGTTGGAAGGCACGTCCATGGGGGCCAATGTGCCGTCAGGTCGTGACAACATTGGTGTACCTTCCTGGTACTTCATATATCGACCGATGGCCTCGTTCTCAGGAGTGAGGTCGTCGATGGCAAACTGTCGATCGGGCTCCGTTGCCGCATGACCAGGGGAAACCCGGGCCCCTCCACCTGCCATGCTGGTTGCCCATCCGGTCAAAGCGACCCGGTAGACAGCACCGGCCCACCAGGGAGGCCGGACAGGACGGGGCATGGATCGAATCAGGCGCAGTATCTGGCCACAGTGGAAGAAGGCTTCCTCTGGTTGATCGATACACCTCATCTGAAGCCAAGATGCGAATCGGAAAGAACCTAGGGCCACCTCCCGTCGTGCAAGCTGCTCAATATCTTTGAAGCTGGTGATGACGTTGAGCGAAATCAAGTGATACATGATTAGGTTGGCACAGGTGGTCCAGCATGTTCCTTTGTTCCCGGAAAAGCTTTGCTTGCTGATAGCATACCATTGCTGCAGGAGTGACGATATCTCTTCCAATCGAGCCTTGGTCGCTACGCGGGAGACCGAACGGGATGCTTTGCCCTGGCTGTTGCCAGCACCGTCCGGCAAACACGCAATAAATTGGCGAAGTTGACACACCTGACCTTGTAGTGGGTGAAGCAGCAACCGCAGCTCTGTCGGCGACAATTCCTGGCCGGCCATCTCGCCATCGACAAAGCTGGTGAAGAAGTCTCGCACTGACGCAGGGCTTTGATAGGTGGAGCCGTGGACCTTCTCGAAGAGCTCGAGCCATTCCACTGCCGACTCAGCATGCCACAGGTCATCTGAGTCGGGCATGGGCGTATGAAGGTTCACAACCGACAACAAAGGTGTCGTGTCCGAGAAGAGACTCATCTCTTGATCAACGATGACCCAGGAGTGGGTGAGTCTGTGACACAGATCAGTCACAGTGAGCAATGGAGCCAGACTATTTACGGCGGACTTACCGGTGCTTGCCTTCATGCTCCTTCCACTCTTCCCAAGTCATTTCAGGATCATGTCTACACGTGTCGATGTCGATTCGCAAGTCGGCCGCGTTGAGCATGCCTGAGTGGTCCAGCATCTGCAACATGTCAACGTAAGTACTTTGGAGTGATCACGAAACAACTTACAGCCAGGTACATCCCACGTTGCCCCATTGCCATCTGTTGCAAAACAGGTTAATACTCTGGTTCTTTTAACGGGTGCAGAAGAACGACTTACATCCATGTGCCACTTATCGCCTGACCATGCGGCGAGCGATGTGAACAACAGTGCGGAGCGAAGTACCAGTACCTCTCGGGATTGGAGGACATCCTTTTCAATTGTGTCAAAGAGCGAGATACGGCATGCTTCGGTAAGTCCACTGGCAACATACCGCGCCTCAATGGTCGCGGTTGACGAGGCCCCGGAGGCTACCATAAGCAGAATGAGCAAACTGGCTGCCTTACTGTTGTTGGACTGCATGAGAGTGTTAGGATCAAGCCGCCCAGCTGGCACTGAAGAGTAGTATGGCTCATAGCGGACCACATAACTCCGCAGGAAATACTGCATGACATCAGGGGGAGGTAGCATCAGGAACGTATCTCGACTGGAGTCGGGACTCGACGGCGTCTCCTCACGATTCTGGTGATCAGCCTTATGGATATCCAGCGCTTTGTGAAGGAAGCCCTGCGTGATGGCCAGCAGCTTCTCTCGCGACCAGCCCACGATGGGTTCGGTGGCAATCTTGCGCTCCGTCGAGATATCCAAGGAGGATTCGTCCAATTGAGACGCCCAAGCCGACCAGGTGGCCTGGTTGCGAAGAGTTTGAGCAAGACCTTCGAGGTAGATGGCTGCAGTCTTTGGCGGAGCAAAGGAATATTTCTCAACGACATTGCACTGGAAGAAAGGCCATGCGTGGTGGGCGGCGAACACCGCATCAGGCTCCTGCAGACCGCTGGCAACGGAAGAATTTGAAGGAGACAGACCAGCTGGCGGCCTATATGGCATTTGGTTAGGTGGACTTTCCAGGTCAAGTCGCAGTCCCATCGGCGTGGACCCTTCATGCACATGCATGTTCAAAGGTATGTGATTAGGGGTTTGCAGGCCGATCTTCCCATTCATGAGGAATTGATCATTCGGGTCGTGCATCATGGCCGGAGGAGGGCTCATGAAATCAGTGAGAAGATTGGCTGCGTCAAATTCTATCATGCTTGGGTGTCCACCGCTCATGGCTAGGAAGTGGTTGTCACCGTCATAATCGTACGGAGTACCGTGCATCTGCATAAAGTTCTCCATCTGGGGCATGGCTGGCATCATGGGCGTGATCGGTATGGCCATATCTGGAGGGGTATGCGTATAGCCACTCCGCAAAAGTTGAGGCTCCATTTCCTGGGTGAAAATTGCGGGTGCAATCGGCACATGGTGGTTGCTATCAGGCAGACTCAACCGGTGCGGTGGAATAGCATGCGGGCTCATGGTATCTACTGAAAATTAGATACCCCTACGGAGCAGGGAATGTGGATACTCACTAGGCGGTAAGCCATTGACCGCCGGAGTGGCAGCCCCAAAGTGAGAGAGTTGTGATACATGGTACGACGCTGACGAGTGTATAGCACGTTCGGAGTTTGCCCGAGGGAGAGGAGTACGTCGAGTAGGATTATGGGAGGAGCGTCGAGTGGCCCGAGACTGGCAGACAATCTGCTTGCTCACACATCTGGAACATGGAACCTGCAAACCAGAGTCAGAACGACTCGAACGCAAGTCCAGAGCAGGAAGGGGCCCATTGGGTGGCAGCAGCATTGATATCAGTGCCTCTGCTTTGTTCCGGCTGAATTCCCATGCTCTTCAAGCCGCCAGCTGGAGGACCGCTGCACACTGGGGGAGTCTTGACAAGAAGGTGTCCCACTGACCTTTTTATCGCACTTGGCCTTGGCTTTCGCACAGTGAACGCAAGCAATAGGCATTCGCTCTGTTGGAGAGTCCATGAAGAGTGGTGCACCGTGGAGGACAATCGAGATCTTGTAGCAGTGGCCGTGTGCTAGGCAGTCTTGGAGGCCTTCTTGATTCCTCCTCCTTCTCGTGCCAACATGAGCTCAACTCAAGGCAGGGACGCTTGGACTGAAATTATCGGAACGCTGGCAGTGGGATGTGCGAGTGGACGGGGTGCGTGCTCATTAGCATTATCTGGGGAGGACTGAGGTCGAACGATGGTGTGTCGATGGGTAGATCGGGAGTATGCGAGCGAGCGTAAACAATCGACAAGGCGCAACGAGAGGCAGGTGGGTAGAGACAAGAGAGAACGCGATAGTACGAGGATCAGCGAGAGTGAGAGGCAAGCAAAAGGCATATACGAATCCCGACGTGTAGTGCCAATGCCAATGCGGGAAGGACGAAGACGAGGACGAAGACGTAGTCGTGGTGGGACTGCTACTACTAGTACGGCCACGCTCACGCTCACGGCTTCTGCTCCTGCGAACGAGAGTGAGTGTAAATGGTGAGCAATGCAAAGGAAAGCATCAGCCACCAGGCAAAAAGACGGGTCAGGTCAGCTTTTGCAAGATTCATCAAAAGAGATCGACGACGATGGGATGGAGACAATGCACGTTGGCAGACATGGGGGACCCGGCCACCGAAGCTGCCGGGGCCGCAGGGGACAGCGGCGGGCTGGCATCATTGACAGCATCCACTCGAGTCGCTAAACACTGACCACTCACCACTGACCACCAGCCAGACGCGGTATATTATGATTGTTGTATTTATTTATTGTACATTTATCCATGCATGCAGCTAAGGTAAGGTATGTATGCGGTCAGTCAGCCAGACTGTCCCCCCCTCGACTGACTTGTTCTTGTCGCTAGGCAAGGTAAAGTTTGGTTGCCGATAGCTGGGACTTTTCCTGGGCGTTACAACCGCTAGCAGTAAAATGTGACTGCAAGTGTTGGTTGGTGTTGATGTTGGTGTTCGTGTTGTGATGATGAGGATGCCCACCACACAGCGCGGCAAAGATAGGATAAGTTCAGCCCACATACGAGCCCTGAGACCTCGAATTCAAGAATACGTCGTCAGTCGTGGTCAGCCACCGAATTTGAATTTGATTTACGGTAAAGTATTCCAATGATTCACCACTCCCTTACAGACTTGTACAGATAACGGTGACGGGTACCTTGCCTTGCTGGCCAATCCTGAAAAAGTGCAGCGAGCCCAGGCAGTCATTCCGATCGTACAGGAAGACAAAGGTCGGCTCAGCCGGCGCAGGTGGCTTGGACAGCCGAAGAAGGGTGCAATCAAGTTGGATGGGTTGTTGGGCCATGCTACCTCAGTACTACATTGTCCCATTCAAGTTGAGGCTCACTGGCAGGAAGATGATGACGGCAGTAACCACAACCACAGCCACTGGACAATGGACAATACACTCGCTACTCTTAGTACCAGCAGTAGTTTGTACCTATCATGATCACAAAGAACCACTTGCTGAAGGAACAAGACAGCAGTAGTATGCACCTCGAACACCATGGATCCTTTGTCAGACAGGCTTACGGGCCCTTACTAGGTAGTAGCCCTGGTGAGACCTTGCACAAATTGAACGACAACTTGAACAACTTGAATGCCACTAGTTATCGTCCTCCCCCAGGCACATATGCGCCCACCCCTTCTATTATTGAACCGTCCCGCCTACAGCCTGCGCTGAAGCCCAGAATACGAGAACAAGGGCTGATAGTAAAGAGGAGGCTCTTCCAAGCCGGTGTGGGAAAAAGCAAGGGCCACAGCGCGCGCCGCGGGGAATGCATTTCAAGCTGCCGCGGTGCGAATAAGCCTGCGCGAAGTGAGACCCCACGAAAGACTTGGGCTTTGTTGAGCCTGAGGGTGCTGAGAAGGGGGGCGTAGGGAGCGGCTAACGAGACCCAGGGCGACAGCCTTCAGGCACTTCGCGTTGGATCATTGGACGCCTCTGACAGCGGTGCCTTTTGCCCACATCATCACCATCCGCATTCCCTGCACACCTCGACCCTTGCACCCGTAACAATAATGGTTATACATGATGGAGGGGCGGCTATGCACCACCGAAAGGCCCTTGAACACTTGAAGAAAGGCGTCGTGCCTCGAAATAGGATACTGTGGACAACTTGAACGGCTGTCTTGCCCTGCTGGAATGCCAGTGGCAGAAGCAATGGGTGACCTCACCATCCATGAAAACATCGGCTGAGAAGAGGAGAGTCGGCTACCTTGGGCATGTTGGGCCTGATGTTGCCAGACGCTTAAATTCAAGGGTAAACATCAGCCCAGCTGTAGTAAGAACGTATTCTCAAGTCCTTGTCAAGGGTCAAAGAGACCTCCGAGTCCTACAACTGTCCTGCTACAGCTACAGCTACAGTACAGTACTCATGCCACTGTGCTTACTCAGTGGCTCGCTGCCGTCAGTACCAAGCCGGTCGTAAACAACGGGCAGTATTGGGTACCTTAGTAGTCTGCACAAGCTACCACCTCAAAGCTACCGCCATTCAAGTTGTAGTAAGCTCTGGTCTTTTCGTCCTCCGAGTTCATCCTGGCTGGCAAGTTCAAGTTGATCAAACCAAACATCATCCAGGACTGCACAGGCACTGAACTGGGCATCAACCACAACGACTCGGTTGCCGTACCTACTTCGCGCTGGATGCAGTGCCACTCTATACTAGTATGTCAAATCTTCTTGTGCGCCTCTCTCTTGACCCATTTAGACTTTCGCTCTGGTGCCGTCCTCCTCCATCAGACCCCGGTTCATATCGCTGGCCACCCTCAACAATCGAGTCCGGATGCGAGTTAGCCCTGTCCTTGGTAGATGACCGGCAGACTGTGCCTTTCTCGGTCGGTTACACCAGATAGTGACAGCTGCTGAGATGTTGGACCCTGGGGGCCTGTATCTCATGGGAATGCACGCTTGGGGCCAGAGCAACCACAACTAGGAGCGGCCTGCAAGCCACATTTTGTGTTGTTGTGGAAAGCAGGCTTGTGCCAATTCCTGCTGCCGTTGAGTCTCGCAATCAGCCGCGCCCGCCTACAGTGCAAAACTCTCAGCTAGCAAGAGACCGCCAGTGTACCGCTCTAAGCTGCTTACTATCGTCAACCGGTTACGCCCTGCATGTGCTCTTTTCGAGGGCAGCTCGGTCGCGCTGTTCGTGTTTCTCCACAGTCGACGACGTCGACCACCACAAGCTCACTCGCTCACAAGTCATTCTGACCAAGGAAACGGCAAGAGGAAACGGGCTAGGCTGAACAGATCGTCACCGTTGTCAGCCAGCCATGCTTGAGCCGCACAGCGCCAGAACGTTGACACTGGCTGCATCTTCTACCGTATTCACTCCTTGTCATTGCCAGCCTAGGTGGCAGAATGCTTAGGAGCCATTGTACGCTGCCCGTCCAACTCCCCCACTCCAGTAGTGCGAATGTTGCGATACTGATGCCACCTCATCAATGGCTTGTACCTACCTACTAGTACAGTCATCACGCCGGATTGGACACTGGAGAAGATCATTCCCGTGCTTTGGCCGACGATCCTCCAGAATGGGAAGTGGTGAGAAGAGGAGCAACTCGTCCTCTCGCTAAGCTAGCCTCTCGGCGACTTCTACCAAGCCCAGCCGCCTGCGTTATCAGATGAACCAGCCTCAAAGTCCCAGTCCTCACAATTGGGACCTAAGAAGTGGGTGGCAGGGAGGAACTACTGGTATCTTTTGCTTTCCAAAAAGTACTGGGTACTGTCATTACAAGATGGACTTTTGTTGACATGCTGCGGCGAACCTCGCAAATACGAGTCAAATCAACCAGAATATTAGGACTTACTCGTGGACGGGATACTTTGTAAGTTGGCGATCCGGCTTTGCAGCTGACGACTTTAGACAACTAGGCACCGTTCAGAAGACTTTTACAGTTGAGCTAGACTCCTGGGGTGTTGTCCTTGACCAATCTCCATCATTTCGTGGTAAAATCCTCGAAAAACAAACAAACAAACAAACAGCGTCATGTTTCTGAAACCGGATGGCGTTTTCTCTGATCGGCCTTATTATTGTCACGAAAGGGAACAACCCCACCAGCAGAACCGTAGAGGTTATCTGGACCAGGGTTAGACGAGACACGAGTGTTCAAGCTTGGGCGATGATAACTTTCTGCGCTGGCAATGCTGACAGTTCTCGAAGCTTCCCCACAGTTTCATACTCAAAGTGTTTATCAGTTGTGAGTTTAGTGATGAATCAACGATATCTGCTGGACACAGCCATTCTTGCTTTGGCCCAGCGACTTTCGGCGATTTCAGAGTGACATGGAAGCTGTCGCCTCTCAGTCAATAATGCAATAAGAGCGTTATCCGCTCCAGATGAAGGGTTTGACACCGTTTACCCATGACACAAACCATCTGTTATTCTTTGCAACTAGTGCGTGGAATCTGGGGAATCGCCGACCGATGCCTCCATTTTCCCTGTTGAACGCCTCCCACTAACAAGGAGCTACTTGTTGGATCCTAGCCAAACCCTGATAGGACACCAATACCAGCCAGGTACAGCCCTGAAGGCACCTCAGGCTGATTTGCATCTAACATGCAAGGCCTGCCACTGGAACTGAAGTGGCAGGTCAATAACCCGGTGGGACCTTGGTCTGGACCAGCCAAGTCCTTCTCCCATTGATGAATGAGAATACCAAGAGCCACAGCCTGACTCAGCCTGCTTCCAGGCGTCAGCATGCCTGGCTGGTACCCTAACTCTACCCAGATCTTTCGTGCATGGGGTTGTTCTTGATGCAGTGCACGGTATCTCCATCAAATTCTTCAGCATAAATCTAGATAAACAGCACCAACGAGCAGTAGGGTCCATCTGGCGTGCTGCTCTCTCCGAGGGGATTCGGCCGGTAGGGCGCCGGTGCGAGGCGCTCGGCCTTCCCGGGTCATCCACGAAAAAGTGAAATTGTGCCTTACCTCAAAATGCTCGCGTCGTCCTCACAGAAGGAGGCCAGTCCACCTAGGCCTCGCGTCTGCCGTTTCCCGTGCCAGCATTCACTTCGACATGTGAACATCCATTTGGTTCTAGCACCCTTGTATGATACAGTAGGTGCGAGAGCACTATTGCCTCATGGCAATTGTTTCGTACCACGCAACAGTCATGCCTTGTCCAATATTCAAGGATTCTGGCCGGCTCTGGGCGTAAGGGATGCTTGGGCACACGGCTGCCCGGAACACCGCCGGATTCAGCCATTTGTACGCGAAAATCAACTCCAACTAATCAATGGTGACGAATACACTTCATGGCTTGCATCAAGGGCGCACAAGGCTATCCTGGCTTTGACATTGTCGACCAGGCTACACGTGCGACTCTTGGATATCCACATTCAACAGCCACCGTATGAGATCGAGGGAATGTTTAAACCCAGAGGACATCCTGGTAGGCCCAACGAATTGGACAATCACGGTGGTGGCGGCGAAGATTGGCTGAGTATGTCGTACTCATCGTTCTGGGAGGTTCCTGTTTTAGATGCGAAGAAGCCCCGGGGCCCTGGTTGCGAGGGCGGAGCAGAGATCCCGTTGTATGCTGACTCTCAGGGCCACTTACCAAGAAGATTCCTTTGCCCTTTGGGAAATCTGTTGTGTGAATATTGCTCCCTCCAGCGGTGTCATTATCGTTGAACAGTACCACGGTTTGAGTCAATGTTGAGGAACATAACGACTCCTGCATACAGTAATCGAGCCGACAGCAGTCTCCGATTGGATACCGACATCTTCGCGGAAGTATCACAGCCCTGTGTAGCACGACAGATATCAGGAATGAGGACGACGCTTCCACCCGCACAAAGACCGCCCCTTTCGCTAAAGGCCTGTCACAAAGCCCCTGTTGACACTGCTCCCGACTAAGAAAGATCCTGAGGATGGTCACGCGGTCCAATATTCTTCCATAACTGTCTCGGATCGGGCATGGGGTTTCCAAATTGATCTGGCTGGATCAGGCTCTCGCTTCCCGATTGCATCGATGCTCCCCAACCACAATTCTCCTCCATCCGGGGGCCGCGAGCGCTGCTGCGGTAGCGGTGAGAGTGTCGCTTCCCTGAGCTTGAGTCAACCAAAGGGGTTTCCGGCTACGCACCGCTGGATTGGATCTGTTTCAGATGTACCGTGGATACCCTTGTGAGGCGCCTGGCCAGGAACCCTGTCTCGCATGAACTCAGTTTGTTGTAAACAGCCATCCAGATTCACCCACCAAGCTAGTGCATATGGAGCTGGATATATGTCGGCAAGATCTCGACAGCCATCACAACTGGCTCCACTTTGGCAGTTTTTCGTGCCGCCCCGGGACATGTGCATACTGTTGTTTCTTTTGACCTGCTGAATGCAGAATATTATTCAGCATCGAGCCGTCTCTCCAAGGCTCCGGAAATAGAGGCGGCCCATATCGTGCGTGCAGATGAAATGAAAGCTTCTGAAGTCGAGTTGCACATCGACAGAATTGTGCTCCTCGAATCATGCCCACTCTCACTATGCTATCAATAACCGCCTCTCTCCATGGACTCTCGGGCGGACACATACTGGAGTTTGACACGGAAATATTGTCCGACTGAGGTAGTGACGCGACCAATATCGCGGAAGACGCTTTCGATATCTGTCCTGTGGACCAAGCCAATGCCCGACTCTCCAAGATGGGCATGGCTGTCTTACCCCGTGCTTTCGAATTATCTTTACTCAACCAAAAACCCCCAAGTCAGTGGCAGTGACTGCCGCTCTAAAGAAGGCGTTGGGCAACCATGCAATATCGACATGGATCAGAGACTGGTAGCTTGTGGACCTTACACACAAGGGGAGGCAAACGGCAGTTTCACTCTCATACCAGGCTCACCCGTCATCCACGCCAAACACACCACCCACCTGGTTTTCCGACATAGAAACCTGACACCGAAGCCTGATACAGGCCATCGCTTCCTCTTACGGACTTCCCCAGCCCACCCGAACCGGCAGGCAAAGTTCGCTCGCCACATTTTGGTATGCAGGTAGGGACGTTATGATCGACGCTGAATGACAACCTTCGAATTGCCAGAGTGCTGGATGATACTGGCCGAAGAGCTAGGACCACGTACCATTCATTGATTATTTGTTTTGCCAGCACGGAAAACGCCCCTGTCAATTAGTGCGTAAGGTATTTGCCAACCTCTTGAGTACCAGCGGTGCAGATTTGCCTGTTGATGGGGAGATGGACAGATTGTGAATCATCATCATTGGCAGGAAGCGGAAGGCTGGGCTGGTGAGTGGCAATGTCCCCGGCCTCAAGGTTTGGCCAATGTCGAACACCACTGATGTCCAGGAAACCCATTTCGCGCACTGGCAGCCAGCAGCGCACCCCTCCACAAAGTCGGCATTTTTCCAACCTCAACGCGTCATGACCCGCGATCTGGGGCAAGTCGATCGTCCCACGGTGTAAGTTCTGAGATTTGTGTTGATCAGCTCGGTATGCTCTTGTATTGTCATGGATTTGAACAGCAACCCAGGTATATCTTTCCTTTTTTTGGAATTCTTGCACTTTGTCTACCGGGCACACCCTGATGCCACAGGGGGCTATGCTTGAGCAAACCCTTTTTTCCTCGACGGCGATCTCGCCAGCTGCATTTCCGCGACTCATGGTGCCCCTCCACGGCCGCAGGATATGTTGACGAGGTAAAGGGGATTGCTCAGATTTGTCGCCTCTCTTTCCTTACCTGTGGGGATTGCGAACCAGGTCGCGAAGGCGGGGCTTGCATTTTTCGATCGCATCGCGGAACTTACCTTTGACGATCCTCAAAAAAGTTGGTGACATGGTTTTCTGGTTGAGGGTTTTGCGCGCGAAAATTGGCTGGCAATTGGTACCTAGCCACCTATGCACAAAAGGGTGTCCCCATTGTACCGTGGGACTTTGGTACAGCTACTAGTATGGCCGGAAGATGCAGTGGCTGTTGTTGCATTGGTGTCGGTATTACTATTTGATGGCTCGATGAGCCGATATGCGATGTGCAGTGTGGCATTGGCATGTGCTGCAGTGTGGTGGGATAAAAGTAAGAAAAAAGGGGGCTGAAGTTTGAACTCGACCGCAACGCACAACTTTCTCAGTCAATCCCGCCCATCTTGATCGTCGCCGAGGGGTCACAGGATGTACAGCCCGAGTGCCTTTAGACGCAATGTACAGTGATTGATCGTAGCAGTAGTATGATTTCTCAGAGCACAATCAAATCACCAGAGAAAATTTGTCAAAAAAAATAATAATAAACAAATAAAAACTGCTGGCATAGATCCCTCGTATAATGACTGTGTTGTTGTTTGTTATACATGCGTACAATGTTGTAGTTGAAGAATACAAAAATGCAAAAATGCAAAAAACGAAATGTTCGAACCCGGGGTCGAACCGGGGACCTTGTCGGAGAATATGTATTCACTTGGATGTGAACGACACGTGATAACCACTACACCATTCGAACAGGATACATGCTCCAATTGGAGTACATAATTGACAGCTTTTTTTGTTGCTTTAGTTTATAATCCTAAAATTGCGACAGGCGCAGAAACAAGCCGATTTTCATGCTAGTGGGCGGTTTTGGGGGGCTAGGGTACTGCCGCTAGGGCTTATTAGCGTCCCCTAGTAGTAGGAGCGTCGACTACCTCACCGAACACCCACGATAATTTTTTATGCTAGATATAGGCTATACGTAGTATAAAACGCCATTTTAGCAGAAAAAATAAGTAGAGATAACTTGTCGATAAAATTGTAGTTAGCATAAAGAGTTACTTAGCATAAAGTACGATATTTATCATAAACTCCGAGGTTTATCATAAAATTAGTATAAAAATCGTTATTTAATTTAAAAAGCAAAAGGCTCGCCACCCACTACCTACTATCTACTTACCTAGTAAAACCCTCTAAATAGAGAATTTTACTAAGTAAATAGATAATAGATAGTGGGTGGCCAGCCGCACTACTACTACTACTCTACGTAGGTAGTACTTTCAAACCACTGAGCCATTCGACCCAGCGGCAGCAGTTTGATTTACGTAAAAATTTTGCAACTTTAATCTATGGGCCTGCTAATAGTTAGGACCCACCTATAGTACTTGGCGCAGCGCTAACGATTTATGATAAGCGCTTTTTTATAATAAATCTCGAAATTTATGCTGAAGCGCGGAGTTTATGCTAAAGTTCGGAGTTTATGATAAAATAATTGCTTATGCTTATTCTACCATAAAATCTTTCCTGAGGTGTACGCTAAGGTACTACTACGGGTACTGCGTTGAGGGGAGCTTCAGGCTAAGAACTCGTAGTCATACAATCACAGCCTCGTTCGATATCAAATTCCATTTTTGTCTTGTGCGTACACAGAGGTGTTTAATTCAACACGACAATCCAATCTTGTTTCGTGCGGATTGAATTGAATTCAACTGATAAACAGTGAACTATGGCTTCCACCGATTTGAAGAATCTCGAAACACCACCCAAATGCCAGGCCGACTTCTGCCTCATCCCGATCGGGACGCCGTCGGCTTCCGTGTCGGCGCAGATTGCGGACGTGCAGCGACTCATGAAGGCGAGCGGGTTGAAGTATAGTATGCATTCGGCGGGGACTACTGTTGGTAAGTTGGACTGTACTGTACTTGGTTCTGAAGGATATGGGATGTGGTGGTGATGTCGTTATGTTTTTCCTTTTTCTTTTTTATGTGGCTTCGCGTCTGATGGATTTGGGTTTGTTTTCTACTGGCACATGTATGGCGAAGCAGTGTGCTGTTCATTAGGCGGTATGGCCTGGGCATTTGTCGACTGGTATAATCAAGTGTTGATGGAGTGGACGATGAAAGCTTGTGGTTGTGGTTGTGAACGAGCATCTTCTGTCCGTATGAGATGAGATTCGATGGTCGTGGGCTACCTTCCTGAAGGATGTGTCTTGAGCCATTTCCCAAGGGAAGAAAGAGCCGTGCCCGTATCCGGTTTGCTACCACCGAGTCCGTTCTCTTCACCGAGGCCTGCTTGTTACTACAGTATATCCTATCCGCTCCTGGTCCAGATGTTTTGTTTCAATTGCCAGCTCAATGTTGATTCATCGTTGTTTACTTTTCGTGTCAACTTCGCTCTACTCGAAACAGTGCATGTGCTGATGCTGACACGCTAATGGCCAACAGAAGGATCTTGGGAAGACGTCACCCGTGTCATCGGCCAGGCTCATACGCTCTTACATAAAAAGGGAATCGTGAGGATCCAAACCGATATTCGGATCGGGAGCAGGACGGACAAACCGCAGACCATGGAGGATAAGGTGGCGGCGGTGGAGAAGTTGCTTGTGAAGGACCAACAATGAATGAGAATGCAATGGAACTGTCGGAGCACTGCCATGGTGGGAGTGAAATTGAGAAGATCTTTGAGGGTCTTGAAGATACAGTACCTTACTTGATTGTTGCGGGCTTCAAGTTACTGGCAAGTGAGTGGGTTACCCAACACGGAAAAGAAGGATGACTCCTGCCTTCTCACCAAGCGATGCTCTGTCGTCCTGGTATGTTGAGATCAGGCTCAGCTACTTGGGTGCTCCCTACTATTAGTGAAGCGAACAAGAGCATGGCTTTGAGGAAAAGAAGCCATCATATATTTGTCCCGCGGGAGGCCGCTGTATAACTGAAATTAATTCAAAGGCAGCTGTTTGGCGGCTGCTTCGAGCCCCTGTTGCCGCCCTCGGCTCCTTCTGATATATTCGGGAGGCCGTCCTGATCAAGTCTCGAGTCTCATTGATCTGAACATATCATGCAGGTCACCGCCCATCTGGTCGCGACAGCTGCATTTCAACGACCAGAAGAAGGGCTGAGTACCAGCTGAGTAGGTACCCATACTCGACATGAACGACAAAGGACTGGGCTAGAGCGCCGGTCAGCCAGCGCCGAGGCGAACAGTGGACAATGCGCCACAAGTCCTAATCAGCCACATTGTGGCTGTGCTGCCTCCGATCTACCAATTGACCTCCATACTGCTACTAGCAGGCTAGCCATGCTGGCATCTCGACTCCAGCCAACATCTGTCCTGCAAGGAAGCAGAGCCACGCAACTCATCTTCTGACAATCACCCTTTGATTGGTGACAACAATGCCTCATACTTTGCCGCCCTTTGTCGAGTTCTCCCGAATAAAGGGACTGTTGCTTGTTCCAACCCATCCGTGACATTCTGAAACCCTTCGCTGCAATACATTAGTAGGTCTTTGTTGACCGACTCTTTCTCCAGCCATGCTATTTTTGTGACAAGCGCCAGCAAGGGTCAGCACAAGAACCCTCTTCCATTGATAGACACCGCTGCTGGGCTTGATACTCTCTCCACCGCAGTTCCGCTTGCATTACTCGAACTACATTGTAAACCCGCCCTCGAATTCACCCGCAGCCTCGCCGATAGTTCGTCATACGATGGCCGCCATAACGCAAACCATAGCGATCGTCGACAAATCCAACAAAGTTGTCAGCACCAGCAAACAACTCAAAAATGTCTTCAAGGAAGCCAAGATGGCATACTTGGAGCGAAAGGCGGAGATTGTGGCACAGCGGAGAGCCAAGGAGGAGAAAGAGTTGAGAAAGGCCATGAAGGCCATGGCATTTGAGGAAGAGGCACGGTCCGAGTCGTCCCGCCGTTCAAGAAGCCATCACAATACGAGGAAAGGGTCTGGACACCAGCGACCATCAGAAGGCGCACGGTATCATTCTTCAGAAGCACTGGGCCCAGGTGGTCATGTCCAAGGACATACGACCGCCGGGGCAGCATATCCTTTCAATGCTCCCCCTAATCTGGCCCAATTCAATGAGGAACTCTATGGCAGTCGCCACCACTCTGCGCCGACGTCCCCTATCAATGCCTATGGAGAAAGTCCGCTCGTTCGCAGGACCACCGACCTACCTGTGAAGTCACCTCGGTCACACCGGCCACCGCCTGTACGATCCCACTCCACTTCCGAGGTGGATTCGCACATAGACATGGATCTGGCGTACGGAGAATTCCATGCCGAGTCTCTCATGTTGGAGCCCGGAGTCGAGTACAAGTTGCAGAAGCAGGAGATGTCCAGCCTTGTTACCAAGTGCAAGATGCTCATGGAGGAGGCCAACTGTGCCCAGCATAGCGTTAGGGCCATCATTGCGCATCTGCAGAAGAACCCTGACGCCATGGCAGCAGTTGCCCTGACGTTAGCCGAGATCAGCAATCTGGCGAGCAAGATGGCTCCCGGTGCTCTTGCGGCCTTCAAGGCTGGTGCGCCCACTGTTTTTGCAATGCTTGCTGCCCCGGAATTTCTTATTGCTGTCGGTGTGGGCGTCGGACTGACTGTCGTGATGTTTGGTGGGTACAAGATAATCAAGAAGATCAGGGCCAAAGTTAGTGACAAGGACGATGACCCAATGGATGAAATGCTGGACATTCATGAACTCGATCGTATCGAGCACTGGCGCCGCGGTATCGCGAACTCCGAGACTGCGAGCGTCACCACAAGCGTCGAAGGCGAATTCATCACACCCATCGCTGCCGCCAGTATGGGCCACCTGCCTATGCCAAGGGAGTTGAGTGAACAGAAGCACAAATCGAAGAGACGAGAAGAGAGGAAAAAGAAGCATAAACTGCTTGATGACGATCCAGATCATACTTTGGTGGGAAGCGAAAGGTCAAAATCATCAAGAAGCAGCAAGTCGGATAGGAAAGAGAAAGCACTGGTGAAGGTCAAGAAGCCGAGCCCACTGAGAAGGATGTTCCATAGCAGGGATTCCGAACCCTTTGGGAAGCGATGAAATGTGCATGGGATGGTTCGGCGATGCTGTTGTCTTTTTTGTAGGCTATATCCATCCATCTTCTAGGCGCGGGTTTTGGAGATTTCACGTAAACACTAGGACGAATTATGATTATACGAGTCATGACAGCAGTATCTAGATATTTTGAATCATACTTTCACTAATATAAGAAAATAAGTCTGGTATCGAGCCCTACAAGATTGTCCACTGCGAGGCTGAGGCTGACAATTCGAAGTTGATCACGTGCCCTGCGGCGAACTTGAAATTTGAAGGGTTCTGCATGTCGATCTCCGAGAAACATTATCGCCGACTTCTGTCTTCAAGTTCTACGCCATCGACCTTTTCATTGTTCTCATACACTTGCAAGCCGCGGCCAGCTGCGCAGTTGGTTTGCTTTCTAACACCACCATCACAGTCGTCTGCCGCCTTCCACGTGCTACAACATAGCAGCGGTCCTCTCGCGATACCTGTGAAGAGCGCTCTCTCTCCATCGAGCTCTGCGCTGAGAACATAATTTCTCTACCGTTTCCGAGACGCAATCACAATGGATCACTCCCGAGATCCCTGTCCGTGGGTTGCCCTGTCTGATTTTGGTGGCGCATTCTGTATGGGCGCCTTAGGTGGTGAGTTTGAACCAAGACATATACAGATTGTGGATGGAGGCCAATTGTGACTATAGGTACTTTATGGCACGGTATCAAGGGCTTTAGAAACTCGCCCTACGGTGAACGAAGGATAGGCATGTTGACCGCCATCAAAGCTCGGGCGCCGGTAACAGGAGGCAACTTTGGTGTCTGGGGTGGCATGTTCAGCACGTTCGACTGTGCCGTGAAGGGCATCAGAAAGAAGGAGGACCCTTACAACTCGATCATTGCCGGATTCTTCACCGGTGGCGCATTGGCGATCCGCGGAGGCTACAAGGCCGCACGAAACGGCGCCATCATGTGCGCAATTTTCCTGGCCGTGATTGAAGGTGTTGGTATCGGTATCCAGCGACTAATGGCAGAAAACACAAGACTTGATGTGAGTATTGATTTGCACCTTGCGAGCTGATGCGCAAATTGCTGACATTCTCCTCAGCTCCCTCCTCCTGGGACGGCCCCTTCTGATTCTGGCCGGGTGGCTGCGTGACTGGAGATGACCACTACTCCACATTTTATTTGAAAGAGTATACCGTTTTCTGGCTGCGCGGCTGCGGACTGATCCCTGCTTACTCCGTTCTCTACTCTCCTCGGGCTTCTGGCTTCTTTCTGCCACTGAAGAATTTATGTGCATAGCGGGCGTATCGGGGTGCGGGCAATGCTTGGATGCTTCGCGTTCGAAAAGAACTGTCGAACGTCTCGACGGTTATCGTCGACGGATATTGATGATGCTGGCTGGCTGCGGATAGAATCTGCCTAAGGACAGAACCGTTCGAAGCGACGACAGTACGTCGAGTCTTGACGTGAACACCACGCCAATAGCCTCATGGTGTAATATAGTGTATGATGAAGGAATGCACAGTCCTTCTACTTGAATGTATCTGAACGACTCAAAGAACGTAGCCATTACACACAGCTTGTTGGAGGCCCTTAGAAGATTGCCACTTTATAGTAGTAGTAGTGCTGGAGCCCTGCCTTGCCGGATGTGGAGTTACGAGGCTGACAGGTCTGCCGCTGTCTTGATATGCCACCTCCACAAGCGACACTGGCCATCACAGCGCAACACAACCATTCTTCAGCAATTCACCCTTCTTGCTTGGTAGCGCTGTCGTTTTCTTCCCTATCTCCTGGCATTTGTCTTTGTCTTTCTTCATTAGCGCTGCTCACCGCGCTGGTCATGCATTATGCCAAACACGCTTCCAGAACGGGTAGCCTGGACGACTCTACACATGAAGCGCTCGACAGACAGTCCCGCGTGAAGGCGTCAGATCTAGGTTTCGACGTCCCAGATCATGTTCTTTCCGAGATCATTCCCATCTCAGACCCGAGACACGTTTACTCTAATATCCATGCACAACGCGACCGCCGTCTTCGCCTCCTGATCCGTCGCTACACGAATCAAATCCAGTATGGCTGCAGAAACATCAACTGCACTACACCCACGTGCCTAAGTTACAGGAAGAGAAACAGTACGGGACCGCTGAGGAGGTATACGGAATTGAGCGCCAGGACTTTGGCATGCCAACTGGTCGACGACTACACGCGCAGTGGCAAAGATTCCGTGTCTGGCCTTTGTCAAAACGAACCGGTAGTCCCTTGGTACGAGGATCCCGAGGCCACCAAGAGGAGGAGGGACAGTCTTGAAAAGGCAGGGCTTCAGCGCCGTGAGTCCGCATCTGTGGCCAAGATCTCCAGCCAGACACTACGCAGCAAAGAGCCTCCTCCGAAGCCTGCATTTTCCGTCGAGCGGCTCTCGCAGGATGGCATCGTCCAGGCCGGTAGACGTCTACGTACGCTTGATATATCCAAGAACGACGAGGAAATTGCAGAGGAAATAACCGATGTGCTGAACGCCATCCCCTCCAATCAACCAGCCAGCGCGTCCAATGAAGACGAGAACAAAAACCCCTGCGACACTGCCTCTGTCGGGCCTGAGCCTCCCGAATCGAAACCAAAAGACATCGCCTCTTTTACACAGACGTTGTTCGATCTTTTGCCGTTACGGCTTTTAAGTTGGTTGCCTGGAGGGAACCCTCGTGAACTACCTGAACCAAGAGGGTCCGCCGAGCATTCGACAAACCATCAGCAGGCTTATTCTGAAGATGCAGATGATTGTGCACCGGATCCTATCGAAGAACCACCAGGCGTGACAGACCCAAGTACGGAGAGTTTACCGCCGGCGTGGATGTTGAAAAGGCCTGCTGTCCAAGCCTATACCCTTCGAAAGTTTACCTGGTCAATGTTTCCATGGCTGCAATCCCGTCTTGATGACAGCAATAACGACGCTTATAACGACAAGTTTCTTCCATTTCTGAAGCAGAGTCTCTCATATTGCTTCAGCGATCCAGAGCACCTAGTTCGAACGGTCAGGGACCTCCAAGACAGCAGCCCATTTTCAGAGGGATTTGCTGATTTTCTCCGCAAGGAACTCACCAGATCCGTATCAAAGGCTACCGTGAAGCAGACCGGCCTAGATGACCCTTCTCAAGACTCTTCTTCTGGGTCGTGGCCGCGTATCAAGACGGGAACGGCGGATGATTTGTATGCTCTCCTGGACGGGTTGGCCCTTGTAGACGGTTTGAAGCAGCGCAGCGTGTTCTTGAATAGCATGTTCACTGCTCTGCAGCACAGCTATCGCCTTCCACCATGGTTACAGCCACGGCAAAAGCGAAAACATAGCTATCCGGCTGGTATACTGACTGATCGAAGTTCGAACAGAGGGTCCCAGCATCTCAACTCCAGTGGACCACCACCGCAAGATCTGGATGCCGTTGAAGGGCTCGGGGAGGCCTGTGAAGATGAGAAGCAACTTGTGCTTCTGAACGACGACCAAGCAGCAGAGATATGTCTAGTTGCCCTGGCTGCGATTGCCTCCCTGATATTCGAGAATCGCGGTCCGCAAGCGTTTGGCGGGAAAACAGCATTTGCTGAATTTGCAGCGTTGCGAAATACTGGTCTCGCCCATTCGCGTTGGCATAAAATTCCTCGGGATGCGGACCGACTCCTTGTCTCTCATATCGTGGATTTGATAATTCAAGCCATTGATGTCTGCGACGACTGGTCTGTTTTACGCTTGCTTACTGCCATTATGGACGTCATCAGTCATCGCCTAATCGTGGCCAAATGTGCAAGCAGCATGAAAGGCCACGATTTAGGGAAGACTGAGAAAGAGACCATTGTGGACCTGTTGGTACGTCGATTTGATCGGAGAACCGTGGGCGAATGGGATCCGCCTGAGCAGAGGTCTAGCTGGTTAGGGGCCGCTGCGATCGAGCTGGTGAGAACGGTGATGTTGAAGATTTGGGACTGCCGTCCCATCATCCAGCGGGCAGGCCCTGTTGCCGGGGCGCTCGAGCTTCTGGCGGGCATATACCGCGAGCGGAAGGATCTCAATCTGGACTTGGGCTCTTTCCGCATGTCTTTCATTGCCGAACGGTTCGATGAGATGTCTATGCCAATTGAGTGGTTATCGTTCCGCGCCGATACACGGCAGATGCATCTGTTGTCGTTCTCGTTTCTGTTCGAACCGGCCACACTGGTGCGGTACTTTCGAGCGATCAACATCGAGATGATGCGGAAGTCGCACGAAAGCGCTGCGTTGGTGTACAACGACACCAGGCATTATATGTGGGCTCCTGCAATCCCAGTGTACGGGGCGCGAGAAGTGTTAGCAAGCCTACGACCTCACATGGCCAAATTCTTTGTCCTCACAATACGACGGGACAACGTGCTGGATGATGCCATCAACCAGATCTGGCGACGACAACGCAGAGAGCTTATGAGGCCTCTGCGCGTGCGCCTTGGCAAAGATGAAGGCGAGGACGGGCTTGACCACGGTGGTGTCCAGCAAGAGTTCTTCCGCGTTGTGTTTGCCGAAGCCTTTAGACCCGAGTACGGCATGTTCACGGTGGACGCAAGGACCAGAATGACATGGTTCCAGCCGGGCTCCTTCGAGCCGCTGTACAGGTTCGAAGCTCTGGGTGTTTTGATGTCTATCGCCGTCTACAACGGCATCACTCTCCCCATCACATTCCCTCTCGCTTTCTACCGCAAGCTGTTAGGCCTCAAGGTCAAGACTTTGGAGCACATTGCCGACGGCTGGCCTGATTTGGCAAGAGGTCTGCAAGCTCTTTTGGACTGGGACGACGGGGACGTCGGTGATGTGATTGCCCGCACGTACGAATTCAGCTACGACATTTGCGGCAGCACCGTCACAGTGGACATGCAGAAGATTGACCGCAACGACCCATGGCCACCGCGAGCAGCAGAAGGTGGCAGCAGAAGCAACAGCATCGGTGCTGTGGACATCAATGGCAAAGGCAAAGCCAAGGCCAAAAGGAAATCCACATCTTTCGAACTCCCACTCGAGCCATCATCCCTCACTCCGCCCGCGCAACCGTCATCCCCAAATCTACTGGATTGTGAAGCTGTTTCCTCACCAGGCGCCGCCATCAGCTGCCCTTGCGCTGGGCCTTCGTCGAGCAAGGCACCAGCACCTGCATCATTACAAGGAGGCATCACGACGCCTTCAAGCATCGACAGCGACATGCTAGCACTCGAGGAGGCCGAGGCGGCGCTCGTGACCAATGCGAACCGCGAACAATACGTCAAAGATTATGTTTTCTGGCTGACGCACAAATCGATCGAGCCGCAATACGAAGCTTTCGCCCGAGGTTTCTACACGTGCCTGGACCGGACGGCATTGTCGATCTTCACTCCCGAAACCCTCAAGTCCGTCATCGAGGGATACCAGGAGATCAACATTGATGAGTTGGAGCGGACCGTCACTTACGATGATGGGTATTCGCGCACGTCGCCTACCATTGTCGATTTCTGGCATGTCGTCCGCAGTTTCAGTCAGGAGCAGCACAGACAGCTGCTCGAGTTTGTTACGGCCAGCGACCGCGTCCCCGTTAATGGTCTTGCTAATGTCCAGTTCATCATCCAGAAGAATGGCGATGATGATGCACGCTTGCCTAGTAGTAGCACCTGTTACGGACGGCTGCTGTTGCCCCAGTACTCTAGTTGTCAGGTGCTCGAGGAGAAATTGTCAAAGGCGATTGAGAATTCCGTCGGGTTTGGAACTTTGTGAATAGGAAAGAAAAGAAAAGGCTCCGGCAGTGCGCAGCAGCAGCAGCAGCAGCAGCAGAACTACCTAGGTACCCAAAGACGATGCTTACGACTCACGAGACACAAGACGAAGGAAGGAAGAGAGAAGAGGACTACAGACCTACCTAGGTAAAAGCATAGCGGAAATCCTGTCCTGTGTCGTTTCAGATACTACTTATTCCCAACCTACTCATGCACATTGTCTGTGCCTATAGTACAGTACATTATTGGTTTCTTGTGTTTGTTCGTAAGCATAGTCATCATATCGAGTTCAGCCTCGAGCTTCGATACTGTTCGTACGAGTAAAGGTTTTTATGCCAAAGTTAGTCCAGTACGCAAGAAGAATATAAAGGTCCAACAACGGTAGGCAACCACTGTCTGCCAACTTCGTCTCACCGGAGACCCATAGCTTCTGGCCTCCGGTACTAGCATCTAGGAAGTAGTCTCAAGATGTAGGCGTGCTGACGTCGAGGTCCATCGCAGAACCATTCTCGGCCAATGTTTGCCGCCTGCCTTCGTCACCGTCATGGTTGAGGTCCGCTTCAGGTTCCCCATTCATATTGACATCGCCATCCAACTCCATGCCCATATTGGGATCCATCTCATCGGAGCCCCGTTGTTGGTGGTGATAGCTCTTTTGGTCCGGCTTGGGTTCGCCTTCGAGGATCCAAACTCTGAGATCGCGGTCCTTGCCTCCACTGACTAAAAGACCTTTGCCTGCTTTCGTCCTTCCAAAATCGACAGATAACACAACGTCTCTATGGCCCTTACCACGCCAGAGGACATCCTTGCTCGAGATATCCCATACAAGCACATCGCCGTCTTCACTGCCACTGGCAAGAAACGCCTCCATCGTCCCACTTCCTTGGCATTCTGAAGAGTAATAGCTGCCGACGGTTCCTCCCAGACTGTACTCCTGGTTCACGTGGCCCTGGTACGTCTTGACGCAAGTACCCTCCGAGTACCGCCATAGACGAATAGAGTTGTCGAGTGTCCAAGCGAGGATATACTTGCCATTGGGGGTGAAGCGGACTCCAGTAACGGGCCGACGAGCCTCATCCACCAATGTCTTGAGACACTGGCCTGAAGAGGAATCCCAGATCCGAATCAGTCCGTCACCCGCGCATGAGCAGACCATGGTCCCATCGCGTAGAAAGTCAACCCCGCTCACTGGGTCAGAGTGGGCTGGCAGACTGCGCATCACCCGGCCAGGACGCACGTCCCAGAGAAAGACGGCTTCGTCGTAAGACCCCGAGACCAGCATGTTGCCTTTCGGGCTGAATGCCAGTGAGTAGACGTAGTTGTGGTGTCCGATTAGTGGGGATGGAGAGATGGGAAAGTCGGAAGATAATGGTGACCACAGGAGAATCGATTTGTCGTCGCTGGCCGATGCAAGTGTGTAGGGTGGCCCGACGGGGGACCAGGCTATTGCATTGACGCCGGCAAGGTGGGCGCGGAGCGTGCGCAATAGTTTAAATGGTGTATCGGGTTTAGGGTCGGCCGGTACCGAGTAGATGTTTATGGTGTTGTCTGCGGATGCTGTCGCAAGAAGTGTCATGTCCGGTGAGAACTTGATTGATGTGATCCCTCGGGCGTGTGCGCGTGGGATTGTGATCAGTGGGACGAAGTTCAATGGCTTGGTCTTTGGCTTCTTGGACGCAGTGGCAGACCTGGAGCGCCGTCGACCCTCGCGCGACCAAGACCGAGAACGGGAGCCATTGTATGAGGGAGAGTATGATCTTGAGTCGGACCGTGATCGTGACCTGGTGCGCCGCCGCGCCCGTGAACGGGAGTGGGAGTGGGAGTGAGATCGACCACGTTGGTGTTCGGGAGCAGAATCGTACCTGGAACTGCTTGTCCTACTTCTGCTGAAGCGCCGTCGAGGGGACCGGGAGCGAGTTGTATTTCGACCTCTGGAGACCTTGCGACGAGGAGAACTATCTCTATCTTTATCTTCGTTATCTTCGCCTCGATACTGCGAGCGGTTGTGTGTCCCACCCCTTCTATCATCTTGTCTTGAAGCGGTGGATTCTGGATTTGGACGAACTTCAGGGTCATAGGAGGATCTTGTCGAGGCCATCGACCCGGCACTCGAGGTTCGACGTCGCTTGGACGGTCGGTATTGATCTTGATCCATGTTGGATTGGCAAACTAGACGTGGGGAGGGAGCGTTTTGGTCTGAGTTGAGGCTTCTTAAGGACTTGGACGTGGCTGCAGCGCAGTCTTAACAGTGACTGGAAAAGCGCCGACTGCGAAAACGCGGACACGGTTAGACGCGCAAAGGGATGGGCAGGGCTATTTCAGGAAAGGTTAGCGCCGTTCTTATTTAAGCTTAAAGGTAGACAAGGCTGAGGTTTCAGACAAGGCTGCGATCAAACTGCTCCCCCTTGAAAGGTACATCGTACCTTCTCTACGCCTTGTTTTAGAATCTCCATTTGCCCCGACAAACGGGCATTCTATGGATTTCTACGTTTTACTTCTGTCCAAGTGCTTTTATGGAGATGTCCAAGAAGAGTCAACCAATGACACCCAAAGTCCACGGCAAACATGCCCCCTCGACGTGCTGCTCATGAAAAGTCCAGAAACGGATGTTTAACGTGCAAGTACGGTTGCCTGCTTTGTACCATCACCGTGTATGGAGCTTTTTTAACATAGCCCAGAATTCGAAGAGTTAAATGCGATGAAACAACGCCCTCTTGTCGGAGATGCACAGAGTCCGGCCGCACATGCGAAGGGCCTGTTGTACGCCAATTTCGGTTTGTCCAAGAGCGCTCCATCAATCAGGCGACCACTGGCATTCAGTCACCACAGGCGGAAGTCTCTGTCCTGATACCGCAACACAATAGGAATGAGCGTCGTGCCTTTCACTACTTCACGCATCACGCAGCACCTGTTTATGCCGGTGCTGTGGACGCCGGGTTCTGGGAACATTTGGTCCCTCGACTCGTGCAGAAGTATAACTTTGTCTGGGACACCGTTGTCTCCCTCAGCTATCTGCTAGAGCACGTGCCATACGCAGCCCTAACCAGTCCCGGTTCTACAGTCAATAATGAGCATCGACAAGCATTGAGACTCTACACCAGAGCCATTGCAAGCCTTCGACAGCTTGCTGAACGTGGTGAGATAGATGACTCGGTCATCGTCTTGAGCTATATCCTCTTCGCATCAGTGGAATTCCAGCAACGAAATATCGACACCGGGACTCAACTAATAAAAAAGTGCTGCAAGATTTTGACGGGAAACCTTGCTTCACCCATTCCCAAACAGACGTCGCCTGGCGGCCAAGCCGTTCATGAAGTGGCCACACCATTCGTGCTGAGAAGAGCCATTTCTATCGCCACTATAGAAAATGCTATGTCAGTTCAGCAGGTCGCAGAAACCGATGCCAACACTCCGCCGAAGGGAGACCGGTCCACATCCGGCATGCAGCCGCTCGACGAAGCTCGACTACAGTTTCATGATCTGGTTCAGAAGTGCTTCGAGGTAATCAGGCACGCGGACTTCATTCCTCACCTCGACGAGAACAGCCCAGATAGGGTATTGTTTTTCTCAATGCGCCAGTCCTCATTGGATGAACTGTTGCGATGGAAGGCATCGCTCATTGCCGCACACACTGGGACTGCTGATGTGGCAACCGAGCGGACAAAAGCGTACCTCTTAATGTACTGGGCATTCTGTTACATATCTTCGGCAGCATGCGTCACCCTTCGCCAGACCATTTTCGACGACTATATGGCACAGTTCGCTGAAATTGTTGAGCATGCTACTGTTTATCTCGGGGGTAGTGGCCGATCGACGGCGGCTGAGGCTCAACCACGATCCAGATTCGACCCTGGAGTCATCCCCCCCTTGTACTTTTGTGCGACCAAATGCAGAGATCCGATACTGAGACGACAAGCACTACATTTGCTGCGTCAGGCTCCACGGCAGCAGAATCTGTGGGCTTTTGTCGCACCTGATCGCGTGGTCGCGAAGGTCATAGCGGTAGAGGAGGGTGAGCCATTGATGAACTCTTCGCCGCGAGAGTATGCTGGTCTGCCACTGCCACCGGAAGAACGCCGTTTCGCTTATGTCAGTGTCGTTGGTCGTCCAGCACCGGGTGGTATACAACGCCAAGCTCTTGAACTTTGCAGGTTTGAATTTGCAAGTGACGGGTCGAGAAAGCTGATTAGCGAATATACTTGGCTGGACGAGGCAGAGGTGCCTTAGCTCGACCCTCACACGATAGCTTTGGGCATGATTTTGCAGAATATAGGAAAACCGGCGGGGAACTGCCGACAAATACCGGCTCGATGAACCTGATGAAGTAAACTATTTGATAAAGCAGACTACATTGTCTTGATTACGTTACTTTCACCGACCTCGTAGGGAAAGGAATATTGAGCAGGCTACAACTTGCCCTGGGCTCGGTCATGGCATGTCATCCATCCAAGGCCCCGGTATGAGAGGAAACCTCACCTACCTAACGAGTGTAGAACCAAGACTGCCGTAGATTTATCGTAAACATTCTCAAATATATTTGATAAATTTGGCGTAACTGCATTCGATCTAAGTACTACTCGGGGAGTGAGTGTCAAAGAAGGCACCGAGCGGCCAGGCTGTGATCCAGCATTTTTATTCTTTGACTTCTATTTATTGGAATATTATTGCTGCACTTCTACCTCAACTCGAGCTGGAAGGGGGACCCGGTGAAAAAGTCGAATTCATGTATTTCAAGTTTCCTCAGCAGAAACAGAATCATCGTCCAGATATTGTATTGTACAGACCGGCCCTTGTGATAGATAATACTGAAATTAAAGTGTGTAAAGTTATGCCCCTTCAAACCACTCCCTCGCCGCCGTCCTTCACAGACGAGAAGCGGGCCAAAAAGAAGCAAAGAAGAAGAAATAAAGAAAAAGAAAAGAAAACCAAAAGCACCCATGGGCGTAGGCGGCCCTGGAACCCATCCATCACATCCCCAATCGACCGATGTAGAGTACCGTACACCTCATCCCACACCGAAAACTTGAACCACACAATCGAAACAAAACCAAACTCACTCAGTAAATCGGCCTTCCCTCGTCCCATTTCCTGACGGCCAAACTCGCCCGATCCTCCTCGAGGGCTGAGACCGCATCCCTTCCTCCACGTCCACTACTAGTACTGCCACTGCCATCGGCTCCTCCAAGTCCTCCATTAGTCAAGAGTCCCCCACCACCAGATCTGCGTCCCTCCAAGCCTGGAGCCAAATCAAGTGGCCCAATCCATTCCCAAACACGACTCCACTCACCCGTCTTGCCACCCTCTCTGGTGGCAGCTCTGACGTTTGCATTCCCCTCGACAATCTTCCTAACATTCTGCCAGACGCGTTCGCGCTCGGATGCACTAAACACGTTCCTCAGCACATCGTCTCTCAATTGACTGACGCTGATAAAGGCCTCGGAGGCCCTTCCATCCTCCTTGAGTGCTGCCTGGGTAGCCAACCGATCCAAGGTGGTGGCAACAAGGCCCGGAATCTGGGCCGTGGCCTGTCGATAAGCAATGATTTTGTGGCGGCCATAAAGCAAACCTGACACAACCATCATCAAAACTGCAAGAGGGACTCGATGCTGCGTAATCGTTCGGAGTACGGATCGTCGGACTGCGCAGGCCAGGGGGAGTCTGGCGAGAGAGGAGCTGGAGAGGAGTATTTTGCCGGATCTGTGGTGGAAGAAGATACAGAGACACTTTTGGTCAGTCAGCGATTCAGCGAAGGGAAAAGGAAAGAAAGAAAAACAGCGCATGATAGAAAAAAGAGAGAGACTTACCCGTCTCTTGTCACCGTCACCTCGTCTCGGTTCATGATGTCGCCCAGTGCGCCCCGCCAGAGATCTTCAAATTCATCGGGAGTCAATCCTTTCCTCCTGGCGCTTGAAACCGTCTGCTTCAATTCTTCCACGTCGACTTCCAGCTTTGAGAGTTTCGTTTTCGTCACTGGCTGCTGAGTGCTTGCCTTCGGTGACGAAGAGGTAACTGCTGACTTTTTGGAACTCGTGATATGATCACCACCGCATTCGTATACAGCTCGCCTCTCTCTAAGCTCTTCAATTGCTCGGTCGGCGACGGCCTTGATTCTTCTCTCCTTTTCACTGTCTGGTTCACATGTGGGAGGCAGCGGCACAATTCCATTCAGGCTCAATGGATGAGGTTTGAGCACAAAGTCCGTTTCACATTGGACTTGCATATTGGGGTAGCAAATCGCATGCTGGGGACAGGGCTCACATGCCGGCTGGAACGACTCGTGGACCCAAGAGGGAATATGCGGGTTAGACGCCAAAGACCAACTGGGCTCGCCCACTCCACAGTATCCGACGTTTATCTTTTCTTGTCGGTACCATGCACCTAGGGCCGCCATCACCGTAGTGAGGACAGCCCATGGCGCAGTCTTCGCGATGGTACTCGGGGGTTGTTTCTTCTTTCGTCTTACTAGCGTCGACGTTCTGGCTGGTAAGACCTGGCCGTTCCTCTCTGCCTCGGCAAGTTCTCGAGCCGCATCAGGGGTGAATTCTTCTGTCACCGGCACGCTGTCTTCTCTCTCGCCGGAGCTGAGTCTGGTAGACTTGGACCGAGTTGGCCCAGAGACTTCCGAGTCGACAGGTGGCGAAGTAGTTTGTCGTCGTCTGCCTGGAGTTTTCTTTGTGCTTGTTGCGGTCAGGGATTTGCGCGACCTCGAAGCGGATTGTCGGCGGTTCGACCCGGAAGGTGGACTGGATCCCGATTGAAAGGGATTTTCGTCGGAAAATGGGCTTGCTCCAGATTCAAGGGATTCTCTCTTTAGTCCAAGGTCTGGCTCTTCGATTTTGACGGAGGGTTCAAGGACAGGTTGTGCTGGCACACTCTTTCGCGGCTTGCGAGTAGACCTCTCTATCTCTGGCTCTGTATCCGACGCTCTCGGTGTCCTAGTCGTCCTGCGTCTGCTCGTCGATTTTGGTCGCAAAGATGTCGATGGCGTAGCAGCCACAGAATCCGCGGCTGCCAAGTCCGCTTTACTCTTTCTGCTTCGTGGCGTTTTCGGTGCCGGGGGAGGAGGCATCAATTGTCTGTCATCTTCGTCGTCGCCATCGACGGTGCCCTCCTGGCTGCTCGGAACATCGGTTATGCCTTTGCTTGTGCGCCGAACCCTCGCCTGCGCCTTCAGCAATTTGTTGGAATTCGGTAGGACTTCTTGCTCCAGAATCTCCAGCAGTTGACCTTTCTTTGCCGAGGCAGGATAGGGCACGTTGTGGGAGACCAGGATCGCCCGTATTTTGGGAATCGTCAAACTGTTGAGGTCGAAGCCAGGCTGGAGATAGTACAGTTCATCCTCGTCCGCCATGGTGATGATGACGATTTGCCGTCAAGAACGGGTCAATGGAACGTCAGTAACAAGCGGTATCGGTGCCCGCCAAGGTCGCAGTAGAAGGCGAAGTAAGAGGAGAGGTCAGCAGAAAAGGATCAATTTTCCTTGCCAGTTGTTATGCCACTTTTTTACCATTAGCACATCGTAGTTGATTGAGGGTAAACAAAAGGAACCCCACCCGCAACTTGGAATTGCGCCGCTACTAACAGTGAAGGATTGTGGCGGATCCAATCAAAGCCAAGTCATGTGACTGCAGCCTGATGGGATGGTCACGGGACAAGGCTGGATTACGATACTTTAGGTAGGCAGCGACATTTAACCACAGTAGCAAGGTAGGTGGCGTTGCGCGACGAGTATCATCATCATGTATTCTGCAAATGATATTTGTCCTCCACAGGTCACTGCTGGATCAGATAATTTAGTCATTTTCTAGTAATACACACGCAAGCTGGTTCTCAAATCTTGCATGCGGCCTCCGTAGTCGGTCATGTCTAGCAAGAAAATGTAACCCCGTCACAGATAATGAATAAGTCGTGATGCATGATACAGTCGTCCCACCGATTTCCCAAAATGCCAAATGGTCGTGTTGAAACCCCTAAACCCCGTTCGTGTCAAAAATGCGTTGATATGCTACACTTCGCCCCAGGCACCGCCTGATGCCATGATGCTCCCGCTCCCGACGCTGCCTCCAATGTCCCAGTAGTTTCGACTGGAACCACTCCTGGCCAGAGATGCTTTCCTGCTACTCCGGACACTTTCACTGGCACAGCTGCTTGCAGGTCGTCTCATGGTCGTTCTTGATTCCCGTCGTACCCTCACTGGCGAGCGTTGCGCCCGGGCAACTAGAGGGTGATGCTGTCGGATAATGGCCGCACGTGTTGCGGCATCCTCAGGGACTTGCTCAGAGAACTCAGTCGTCTGAGCAGGTGCCCTCGTTACGAACTTGTCCTTCAGATACCTGAAAACCATCTTCAAGTCAAGCTCTCGTTCCCAATATTCCCGCTCTCGTCGCAGGTCTATGGCTGAATCTGGTGGAGAAGTGGCTGGAACAGGGTCTTCTTCGAAGCCCCAGCTTTCGGCGTGGGTGGTGTCTCGTAAGGTGGGAGGGAAGTTGGGTGTCAAAAGAGATGTCGATGTCTCTTTGATGTTCTCGTTTCCGGCATTTGAGGCCACCGGCGCACTATGTCTCAGCTGAGGCAGTGATACCGGCATCCCTGCATAGTCCGGGCTTCGAGAATAAGTAGTGAAGGCGCCCGGATGAGGAGACAGCTGATGGACAAACACTCCCAGCTCCCGAGCGATGCGTTGAAGAAGCCGATCCCTCCATGATTCATCATCCGCGAGATGGGCGTCTTCCAAACCCTGCTCGGGGATCGTGGGTAATCCACCAGAAGTAGAGGGCCTGTCCTCGACGTCCTCCGGGAGACTCTCGCCGAAAATCACGGACAGAAGCGGCTCATCAATGCCGATGACGTCGCGGATGAACTTCCTAGTGATTCGTCTCCAGAATGGCTCATGCTCATCCGCTTCCTCTGCAGACCTAGAAACATAATCGCTCTGCTTTGGCGTTGATCCAAGGACGTCCTCGTTCAGGAAAGCTGATGTCTCTTGATAGGAAGGCTGGCGTGAGCCCCTTCGCAGTCGGCGGCGAGTCTCTCTCTCCACTTCTTCCATTAGTGCTTGGCTCTGCTCCAAGCGCCATTTTTCGATTCGGATACGTTTCTCCTCTCTAGCCTGCAGCTCAATCTCGTCGATAGTGTCAAGTCTTCTTTGTACGCTAGAAGGTCTCCGATGTTGTCCGTCGTGCTTCCTTTTTGGGTTGTAGGCTTCATGTTGCCAGAGCTGCTCCAATACTGGAGGGCTCGACGCAGGAAATGTTCCCAAGCCGTCATGCGTCGGCAATACAGCGCCTGGGGTCTGATTGGTAACAGTTGAGAACAAAGGATTCTCACGAAAAGCGTGCAACCCTTCGTCCAGACTATCGAGGTCACCGTCTTCTGTAACGTCCTCATCCAGCACCAAGGACTCGCCTCTGCCGGACCTGCCGGCTGTATTGAGGGATATGTCACTTGCTCTTGATAGTCCGACAGTCTGACTAGTTTGCGTCCGTGTGATGGTAGACTCGGCCTGTGATGGTGAGAAGAGCACCCATTCCTGGGAATCCTCTACAGTTGGCCGTAACTGCGTATGGTTCGATGAATCCTGTGATTGATTGGTGTTGGGAATGATCGCGCGGGGCGCGGCGGATTGTTGGAAGGCCATGGTTCCTCCACCACGAGCGTTGGGCCCGTCGTGCTGCAGTCGGCACGAGATGGGCAGGAATGGCCGTTACAGGCACGTTTTCTTGATGAATGAAAGGATGTCAAGTTCTTTGTCTCATTGATAGTCTTGTATCTTTCTGTCGTCCGCCGCCTTGCTCTTGAGGTTGAAAGAGTGGAGGTCCTGCTCCGATTCAGGAGACGTCAAGTAGCGGCCGTGGAATATGGGTCACAAGATCCGATGGTGGAGATGACGGAGGCGGGAGTATTATGGGTTGACGACGTAGAAGGCGGTTGTTCAGAAGAGATCAAACAAGATTGTAAAGGAAGAATGTTGGGCGCGACACGTCGGATAACCAGGTGGTAGATGCGCTCAGCTTGATGGAAATGGTGACAGATTACAAGTGATCCGACCGTTGATACAGGTGTCGGGCTGAATTGGCGGGTTTGATTCCCTGCTTGCCTCTGCTCAAAAGGGTGATGTGACAAGGACCCCGGCAGCCGCAGCCGGTACGCGCAGATGACCCAACGGATTATTCCTGTTATTGCATCAAAGGGGGCTGCATGACGCCCCTCGCGCTCGGAGATCCAAGCTTCGGGCTGCCTTTTATTAACCGTGCACTCCGTCAGCACTCGTCGGTTGTTCCCCCCACCGAGTGCACCACAGCGATACGATCGTCCACAGCGATACGATCGTATATCTGTAAATTCTATACACTCTTCATTCAACGCGTATATACACCACCAACAATGCCTACCAACGCTCAATTAATAGAGGAGAAGGTCCTTAACGCCTACGACGCGTATAATCGCGGCGATTATCCCAATATAAAGGCCGCCGCCGACGTATTCGCCGCCCCCGTTTAACGCGTACGTAGACGACTACGAGGTATACCAGGCGCCAGTATAAGAGGAGGATATAACAAGAGGCTCTCTAACGAGCAGGAGAGGGCTCTCTATACGCTTATAAAGCGCTACGACGAACTCGGCCTATCCCTAAGGCCTCCGATAATTTGTCACGAATGCCGATGTAGTTGGCAACTGCCGTTGTCAACTACCGACTACTCGTACCAAACTTAGACCCCTCGGCTATTCGGATAGAGCTGAGAGATATAAACTACACGCGACCCGCATAAGAGAGCTTTCCTTCTCTTATGCTTCGAGTCGTATACAACTATAGGGTTAAGGAGCACTTAATACTAATTAAAGACTATATCGCTATACTCTACCTATTCCTATTAGGCGTTCCTAATATTCTCGAAGTATCATCCCGAATCGGTCGGAGTAAGCGATATAGAAATAAGCTACCTACGTAACGATAGGACTAAAGAGAGTAGATCTATCTACTAGAGCGACGCCTAACCTCGACGAGTCGTCGTCAACCCTAGCCTAATATATAGAGGGATTAGCTAAGACTCTAGAGGATAGCTTACCTAGCGGAGAAGTCGTAGGCGATCTAGATACGGCTTAGGTTTAAGCGGGACTCTTCGAACCCGCTTCTACCTTATAAGTAGCGGCTCTCCTTAAGAGACGCGCCTAACTTTAAGAGTAGTTAAAACGAAAACGCCTAGAAGAAGAGATTTAGGCGATAGAAGAAGAAGCCGCGAGATATATCCCGGAGTAATATATAGAGGTCGAAGATACGACGCTACCGATACGTAAGCGAGCTCGAAGCGCGTCGCCTAGAGGCTAAGATCGAAAGAAGTTATACTAGATTCTTAGGATTACTAAACCGAAAGGGTTTAGTAGTAAAAATATCTAAGAATTAAGAGACTTCGATAGTAGCTAGTAAACTATTTTCGAGACTATCTCGAGTAATATTACCTCGGACTAGAAGTATCGTAGTCGAATCGTAACTAACTACCTTAGAGGACGGGCGATAATTAACTAGCGTCGGGATCGTCGCGAAGAAGTACTAATATCTCTATCGTAGGACGTATTTCTCGTTTAGTATAAGAATACTATCGAGAATATAGATATTCGTAAGGGAGAAGCGCTAGAAGCGCTTACGACTCTTAAGTAAGAACCTACTTAATCGGTACGGAATCTAGTCTATTAGATAGAACTTCTAGAAGAAGATATAGAACTCTTTACTAAGGATAAGCGGAAGAGGTAGACCCTTTATTATTTCCTAACGTCTATACTTCGTAAGGTTATTAGGCGCGACGTACGAACAATTACTTTCCGAGCCTAAGTCCTAGCCTTCGTATAGCGACTAGAGAGAATACTTTAAAAGCCTAAGGCCGTAAAGATATTCTAATTAAAACCCGTAAGCGAGATAGATACGATTATATCCGGGAGCTTAAATCTACGGTAGACCGGTCGCGGCTCGTATACGCGATAGGACTAACTAGCCGCTAGAGTACTATTCTAAAAAGACTCGAATTCCTAAAAAGACTTAAATTCTAAAAAGTAAAGATCTATAAGTAGAACCTCTACGGAGCCCTTTACGAGAAGATACTTTATCTGCGAGGCTATAGGTTATAGGTAGGCCGACTATCTAAAGAAGAATAAGCTCCCCGTAGGCGAGTCGTAATTAAAGTAAAAGGACGTTATAAAGGGGAATTTAAAAAATTAGTACCTAGTCTATTAAGTACCGTAGTAGCGCTAGAACTAAATAAAAATTAAGTAGTATAATCTAAAGATAAAATATAGCTAGGGAAAAGCTTACTTACCCTAGAAGTAGAGATTAATACCCCTAGTAAGAAGTATAAGGTAAAGGCTCTACTCGATAGCGGGGCGTAGGCGAGTTTCCTTTTATATATACTAGCTAAAGAATATAAGCTTAACTCTACCCTATCGAAGATATATATACGTACTATCGGGGGGTAGTTAATTCGAGTATATAGAGAATACCGACTCGAGACGTCTATAACCGACTCGCGAAAAAGGACTAAGAAGATATATTAACGGTATCTCGCGATAGAGATTATAAATTATAATGCGATTCTCGATTACGATTAGCTACTCGAGGTAAACTTATAAATTAACTAGCGTCTTAGTACCTAGTTATATCGACTCGAGGGTAAGTCGCGTATAATTTAGTTATCCCTTAAAGACTTCGAGAAATAGACGGAAGGCCTAGATATAGGTACGATTCTTATATAACTAGTCGTTAACGAGACTTTAAAAAGCACTAATATCCTACTTAGGGGCATAAAGTAGAAGATCGAGTTAGACTCTCGCTTTAGTAAGTTTATAAAGATATTCGGAAACCTAAGTAAGGACCCCTCCCTAGTAGAAGTGCGCACGCGATATTTAATCTCTATAATCGAAGGCGAGAAGGTACTCTACGGGCCTATCTACTCTCTAAGCGCGTACGAGCTATCCGTCCTTCGGGAGTACTTAGATATAGTAATAGCTAAGGGCTAGATTTAATATAGCGAGTCGCCGGCGAGCGTACCTATTCTCTTTATTCTAAAGTCGGATAGTAGCCTACGACTCTATATCGACTATCGTAAGTTAAATTAGATTACTAAGAAGAACCGATACCCTCTTTCTTTAATCCCTAAGATATTAGATCGCGTAAGTAGCGTATATATCTTTACTAAGTTAGACTTACGAGACGCGTACTATCGGATTCTAATTAAGAAAAAAGATCGCTAGAAAACCGCGTTTCGTACGCGATATAGGTATTTCGAATATCTAGTGATACCCTTTGGCTTAATAAACGCACCTACCTTATTCTAAGTATATATTAACGAAGCGCTAAAAGGCTTACTCGATAATATTTACGTAGTATATATAGACGATATACTTATCTATAGCCGTAATACTAAGGAGCACAAGAGATATATAAGTCTCGTGCTCGAGAGGCTTCAATAATATAATCTCTACGTAAAGCTATCGAAGTATAAATTCTTTACCGAGGAGGTCGACTTCCTAGAATATCGCGTAGGAGTTAACGAGGTCTTAATAGAGTCTAGTTAAGTCGACGCTATCTAGGAATAGTCTATACCTAAGTCCTACCGAGATATTTAAGTATTCTTAGGATTTACGAATTTCTACCGAAGATTTATCTATCGATATTTCGCAGTCGTTATCCCTATTACTAATCTCCTTACGGAAATAGTCGTAGATAAGAAGATAGGATCCTTCTAGTAAACTACGGAGATAGACTAAGCGTTTCGGAAAATCAAGAAATACTTTACGAAAGCGCTAATATTAGTATACTTCGATCTCGAGCGATAATATCGTATCGAAGTTAATATATTAGGAGATATAATTAGTAGGGTACTATCGTAAGCGTACGAGACGTAAGCGGGGCGTACGCTATAGAAACCTATAGTATTCTTCTTAAGAAAGATAACTCCTACGAAAAAGAATTATACTACTAGTAACGGTAAGATATTTATAATTATATACGCCTTTAAGATATAGAGATACTACCTTAAGGCGCCTACGAGAAGTATAATTATCCTTACCGATTATACGGCGCTATAGAGCTTTATAACGATAAAGGTCCTAAATCGGCGTTAGATACGTTAGATAGAGATACTAGCTATATATAACTTTAAGATTTAGTAGCGACGAGGGAAGAATAACCTAGCGGATAGACTCTCTCGTCGACTAGACTATATAGATAAGGAAGATCTATCGAAAGAGAACGCTATAAGAGCGTTACTCGAAATACGAATATCTATTACTAACGACGAGTCGCGAGGACGCCTACGAGTTAGTAACGAGATTATTATAGAAGTGCTGACTTAAGTAATAGTTCGGAGTAGTAGAGATTCTACTAAAAGTAGTTATAATATTATAACTCTACTAACGTCCGAAGCCGAGTTAATAGCTATCTCTAGCCTAAGCCCGAAAGAAGCTACCAAGCTACGTAAGCGTAGGGACTTACTAGCGGCTAGGCTACGAGAGCTCTAAGTATAGAATACCTAGTATAAGGAAGCTCGCTAGAAGATAGTACTCGATAGCCGAATAGAAAGAGACGAGTTCTAAGAAACTTAGACTATTAACTAGGAAGGTATAGCCTATCGTAACGAAGTCGTATATATATCGTATAATTCTGCCATAAGAGGAGAGATTCTCTAGACGAACTATAATAATCTCTAGTAGGGCGGATATTTTAGCGAGAGCCGAATAGTAAAGACTATTATATAGTACTATTAGTGGCCGTATATTAGGAAAGATATAATTAATTATATTAAGATCTATAATATCTATTAACGGATAAAAGTACTACGGTATAAGTCTTATAGGAAGCTCGAGCCTCTTCTATAGCCGTAAGGGCCCTAGTAAGATATCTCGATAGACTTTATCGTAGACCTACTACCATCGATAAGCGGAGGACGCGTATACGATACGATACTAGTTATTATTAATAGATACTCGAAGATAGTAAGTTTAACGCCGTATCGCTTAGATATTATAGCTACGAATATAGTCTAGCTAGTATTAGAAAAAGTCGTCGCGAGATTCGGCGCCCCTAAGTCGATTATTAGTAATCGCGGAACTATCTTTACTATAGCGTACTAGAGAACGTTATACGTCTCTCTTACGACTCGTAGACTTTTCTTCACGTTCTTCTACCCCTAGATCGATAGTTAGACGGAACGGATAAACTAAACTCTAGAAGCGTATCTAAGGTACTATATTAACTACGAGTAGTTAGATTAGACTAGCCTACTCGTAAGCGCTAAGTATACGATAAACTCGATACTTAATACGACTACGGGCGAAACTCCCTTCTTAAGGGTACTTCGCTTTACGCCTACTCTAGACGTAAATCTCGAACGCGACTCGTAGGTAAACCTAAATAGAAATATACTCGTAGAACGAAGAGCTAAAGCGTTAGCGGGATCGCTACGCTACGCTACTAAGGCGAGAACTACTACTAAGGAGTAAATTATAAAGATAGCGAAGTATTATAATAAAAAACGGTAACTAATATTCTTTAACGTTAGAGACCGTATATTACTAGTAGCTAAGAATATCAGCCTCTCGCGTACGAGTCGTAAGCTATTTAATTAGTTTTTAGATCTCTTCCGTATTATCGAGAGAATTAGCCAGAATACGTATAAACTAGAACTTCTAGCGAAATACGGTAGACTATACTATATCTTCTATATATCCCTCTTATAAGCGTATCGTAAGCGACCTAGAGACGAAACTCCGGAACTAATTAACGTCCAGAGAGAGGAAGAATAGGAAGTAGAGAGAATCCTCGATAAACGCTAAAGACGCGGGCGAGCCGAGTTCTACATTCGATAGAAAGGCTTTAGCGAGGCCTATAATAGCTAGGAACCTAAAAATTATCTAGAAAACGTAAGCGAGATAATTAAGAGATTCAGGAAAAGTAGAATAGAAGCCTAATATTAATATCCCTAGCGAGGGAGACTAATAATAAGAGAGACGTAGGCGAGTCGTAGGCGTACTACCTACTCGTCTTTACCCTCTAATATAAACTTATTCTCGACGGTCTTAATACGATTAACTAGCTCGTCTAAGATCGCCTCTAAGGTATCCTAACGAATAGCTATATTATTAATAAGACGGGCGACACGATAATAGTACTTCTCGATTCCGTCCGCTCGCTCTCGTATCGCCGTAAAGAAGATATTAGAGTTAATCTATATAACTAGTTAGCGAGTCGTATACGATAAGTAGAAGGGAAGCCTTACCGTAAGAGCCTCTATACTAGCCTAAATTTCCCTAGTCTAGCGAATTAAGGACTCTATTATATTTATAGTTTATTCTAGCGCCGTCGGATCTATAGGAACTCGACTAGAAGTATCGGTATTAGAGGGTAAGATAATAGGGAAAGCGGTCGAGAGAGATACGCTAGTCGTAAGCGATATAGCCTTAAAGATCTCTTACTAAATAGACGTATTTAGCCGAGCGACTAAAGGACTAGAAAGAATACTACTACGAGTCGTAGGCGCCTTAAGGGTAATTCGACGAATCTATCGATTAGTAGCTAAGAGGCGATAATAGAATCCGTCTACCGCTTCTATTAACTCTCGCTCTATAGCGGTAGAGTTACTATTTAATAAACGACTATTAAGACTTAAGATAGCCCTAGCGTCGTCTAGATATAAGTCCGGAACCTTATCGAGGTTAGTATAATACTCGTAAGAGAATAGTATACGACTTACGCGAAGGTATTAAGCGGTAGTACGATTAGCGGAGGCGTACCGCCTATAGCGGCTACGGCTAGGAAGATAGATATAGTCTAGTTACTACGGGCCGTCTCGAAGAGACCGAATATATCGAATATACGGTAACTTATTATAGTCTTCTAGCGAGACGAACCGGACTCGCTTACGAGAAGGAGAAGACGAAGAGAGCGATCTCCTCTTAGGCGTAACCGGGGCTCGCTTTACTAAAGATATAGTAGAAAGTTAACGAGTTAGATAAGAGAAGATTACGAGTTAATTAATAAGTTGTATAAGAGAAGAGTACGAGTTAGAAGAGGCGAGGAATACAAAGAACTCTAGAAATCTAACTCTTATTTATTTACAAGTCGTCGCGGCTGCGAGGCGTAGGCGAATATACCGCCAAGTACCGGAAAATGCTGCTTTAGGACACAGAGTACTATCACGAGGCTACGCAAGGCTGCACTGGAAAGGGGGAGGGCACGTGACTACGGCCACGCCAACGCCTTCTCGAGGACGAGAAGCCCGGGAGGGGGGGATAAAATATCACGAATACCGATATAGTTAGCAACTACCGTTATCAACTACCGACTACTCGTACCAAACTTAGACCCCTCGGCTATTCGGACAGAGCTAAGAGATATAAACTACACGCGACCCGCATAAGAGAGCTTTCCTTCTCTTATGCTTCGAGTCGTGTACAACCATAGGGTTAAGGAGCACTTAATACCAATTGAAGACTATATCGCTGTACTCTGCCTATTCCCATTAGGCGTTCCTAACATAATTACTCAAATGGCAAACCGGATACTATAACTCGCGCAGGACGCGTACGATAACGACGACAGTCAACCCCGTATATCTCACGAATAGACGCGGCGCTTTCTTAATAGACACCCTAAGTTTATAATTAAGAAGCGAAAGCCTATTAATATTTATCGATAGTCTATAGAAATCGATTACTACGCCTTAATCGTCGAGTACTTTTATCGCTTCTAGAGTATTAAAGAGTAATACGCTATTATCGACGACGATATATAGAATATAGACGAGATAGGCTTCTCTATTGGCGTTGGTAGAGCGCACTACGTTATTACTTAGCGTCAAAACAAGAATAAGCGTCTATATCTTCCTAATCTCGAAAATCGCGAGTATTATACGCTAATTAAGTCTATTAACGCCGTCGGCGACTTTATCGATCTATTCGTTATTCTTAAAGGCGATATAATTAGCGAGCGCTCTATAACCCTAAGCCTACCTAACGGATACGCGTTAGTCTCCTCTAAGTCGGGTTACTTAAACGACGCTATACTACTTAAGTAGATATATTATTTTAATAGGAGGATAAAAGAGCGTATAAAAGGGCGCTATAGGATATTAATAAGCGACGGCTTTAACTCTTATATCGAGTATAGCTTTATTAAATACTACTAGGACGAGAGAATTATACCCTTTTATCTACCGCCGTACTCGATATACCTTCTACAACCTCTCGACGTCGTAGTGTTTTAACCGTTAAAGCACTATCACGCGGAGTTAATAGATAGCGCTATACGATACGAAGATCTTACGTTTTAGCGTTATAAGTTCTTAGAGAGTCTTCACTCGATTCGTACGAAGGCGCTTTACTCGTCAACGATTCGCTTATTATTTAAGAAGATAGGGTTAGTACCGTTTAATCCGAAGTAAGTACTCGATAGTCTTACTATCGAGAATAACTCTAACGAGAGCGACGACGACGACGACGACGACGACGGTCTTTAATGCGTTAATAGTACGCCGCGGAAGAGCATAAATTAGCTTAATGCGTACGCCGATATGATATCGGAGAACGTACGAGACGCAGATACACTAATAGTTACGCTATTTAGTAAGTTTCGCCGCGCCGCAATTAAGCGTATATATATTGGGTAGGAGGCGCTCTACTAACTCGGCGAGACTAAAGCTGCTAAACGTGCGCGTACGTTGCGAGAGAATCGACGGCGTCGACGTGTCGATACCTCCTTAATTGGCGTTATATACGTCGAGACGGCACGTCGACGCCTTTAGGCTCGCGACGACGCCGAAACGTTAGACTATCATAAGAGGCGTAAACCAGCGAAGAGACTACAAAAGCGACTCGTCGATATAGCTCTCGATATAGCGCAAGAGGCAGAGCGACGACGACGTACGCCAGAGGTGGCTCAACGACGTCAAGATGCACTTAATAGGCTCGATATACAGGCTACTGCCTCTATAAGGCTGTTATATCAAGAGTTGCGCGCCGAGGCAACAACGAGGTCTCCACGGGATGCTATATACTCGCGTATATAAGTTGCTATAGTACTATACTATTGCTGTACAACATCGACATACGTTCTCAACCGATATCATATCGACGGCAGTTGTTATATATTTAGCACTTTTATATTCCAAGTCGACTGCGTACGGCAATATTAAGAGTACGTCAACCACGACGTCTCGGATGGCAGGTTTTTATATTCGATGCGATTACAGTACTAATTTACTAGGCTTAGCTATCGCTTATATTATAAAACCATCGTTATGGCGGCTGTAAACAGAATATATCCTAACCGCGTGCAGAAAAACGATCGTATCGCTGTGGACGATCGTATCGCTATGGTGCACTCGGTGGGGGGAACAACCGACGAGTGCTGACGGAGTGCACGGTTAGGCGTTTGCGACGCATTTCAAGGCTGAAAGGAGCCTAAAGGGAGCCTCCGCCGCCCGGCTGAAGCTTCCAGTTGGTCCGTTCATGCGGCCTTACAGAGATCTTCCTATCTATCGATTTCAAGTCTGCGCCGTGTCATCCCGCTTAAATCAGCGATGGATAAAGCGGCCGGTCAGCCGGTTGGACCTACGGTATCTTGACAAAGCTGCTGTCTTGATTACTCTCTGGTTTGGTGATAACTATACGCGTCTCGTGCCTGTGTTTCCAAGTCTGAGATATGGTGCTTCATCCCCGTCTCGTGTCCTGTAACGCTCCAGGATCGTGACCAGGGTTAAGACCGTCCAGCCTGTCCCAACCGAATCTTTTTGGGAAACTTGTAGGGCAGCAGTTACGCGATCTGACGGGATATGGCGGCATGCTACGATGAGCGGCGTGAGTAATCGCCAAACGGGGCTTTTTTTAAATAGATTTTCCGAAGAATTGCCACCCGTCCACATCTTAGTCACGTAGCATTTGAGGAGTGTTCAGAACTCGGGAATTGCTTGGGCAGGGATGCTTCATAGTTTGGTGTAAACAATCGTGTGACTGAAAGCAATTCACATTTCTCAAAGCAATTCGCATTTCCTCACTTGGGGATCTCATATCAAAACCCATTCAAGGAGCGCATGCATCATCTTCCGTTGCACGCTATCTAGTCTTCACGACCTGGAAACACCCCTTGCTTTTCCCAATGCACCTTTATGCCTCAGCAGTAACTTGGTAGGCTTGAGGGAAGCGGCGGATGTTGTCCTCGATCTTGCCCCGGTTGCGCAAGAACTGAACGTAGGCACCGTCCATCAAGACACGACCCTCCTGCTTCAGCTTAACGTACTCGTCCCGTCTCAGAGGAGTGAATCCCCAGTTCTTGCTGACGATGATCTTCTGGCGACCAGGGAACTTGTACATAGATCGACGGAGAGCCTCGATGGCAGTAGCTCGGTGAGAGTCTCGGGTTCGGACGGACAGAAGGATTTGGCCGATGTTGACACGAGCGACCGTGCCGTTGGGCTTACCCCAGGCACCTCTCATTCCGGTTTGCAGTCTATCGGCACCAGCGCAAGACAACATCTTGTTGATTCGGACGACATGGTACGGGTGGGCTCGAACTCGCAGGTGAAAACCTTCCTTTCCGGCAATCTTGACAAGGTACCTAGGACAGCGTTAGAAATGGATGTGACTAAAATCGAAATACTGAACATACTTGTTGGCGCAAATACGGGCGGCTTCAAGGGCTTCGGAGCTCAGTTGTTCGTATTCGTTCGACACCATGTGCACGCAAAGAGGGAACTCGTCGACATTGGCACGCTTTCGTCCCAGATCGAAAATACGAATCTTGGGGTCCGGTACACCACGGTTGAATCGGGATTTAGGGTACGGCTGCGAACAATTAGCAAAAGCGATTTTTTGCACGCGCAGTAGCCACTGACCTTGTTCTTGCAGTATCTGTAACATCTCGCAGGTCTTCTGGCCATTGTGACGGTGTTTTCGGGATCAACGCACTTCCTGCGAACAATGTGAAAGAGTGAGGTGGAAGTGGTGTCGACGGCGAACTTGTATTAGGTTGTCCCTCCAGACTTGATTTCAAAGCGAGATGCCAAGACCGGGTCTGACTCAAAGCCCTAACTCAGGGTGTCACGTGGCTGGCATGGAATAAAGTGAAATTGCTTAGAAATGCAAAATGCTTACATAAGGTACATTTCGAAAACAACGCTGATACTCTGCACAAGACACTGTAGTACTACAACGGCAACATGGGAAGCAGACTTGACGGGTCAATTAGCATTTTGATTGACTCTGTGTGATCTAGAGGCACGGAGGTAGCTCGACGCGCAATACACATATGCTAACAGCCGCTTCCGGCTCGCTGAACGGATGAATTTCTGGCTTGCAGCTCATCCTCCCGCCGTCTGAAGTGCATGATCCCGGGTATCAATTGGAGCACAATCATTTCATTTGCATTGGTGACATATTTTCAGCTTACGAGGCGGCTCCCAAGATATCGGAGTCACCAGCATCAAGCACGGCCATGGTCGAGCATCGGTAGAGCTTTCCGCAAGCAGTTCCCAATTCAATCTGTATTGAAACATTATTAGCTGTAATCCCTCCAAAGCCCAGTAGAGCTTCTTCTCAGGGTCTCTTATATCACTCACGTTGTTTCCGGCGAAATGGTGCACGTTCGTCTTGGACAGCATGGAGTAGTATTCCAACTCACTCTTGCGCAGAGGAGGGGTGTTGCCGGCAATGATGACCAACTTGGCCTTGCCAGATCGGAGGCACTTCAGGGTTGACTTGTAGCCGAGAGTGACTATTCAAAACGTGAGAAAGTCGAATTGCAATGTCGAATGAGTGTCACTAACCTTTACCAGACTTCATCACAAGCGCCAGGCGCGAGTTGATGCTGTCCGTAGTCTTTCTGGCCTTCTTTGGTGCCATCGTTGCGCTCTACTTGATGTAGTAGAATTGACTGGGATAATGCGCTCCGGCGGAATTGAGCTGCTGAGGGTGGTGGATGGAGGGTGGATGGGCAGTCTCAAGTTGAGTCTTGGAAGTCTGAGAAATTGTCGGCGCAGGCACATCGCAGTGTGTGAAAATCTTGGCGCTTGAGGGAACGGGGGATGGGGAGCTCACGTGACTGCGCCTGAGATTGCTGGGATCTTTGCCCCTGTCGCTGGAAGTGCCTGAGCCGACAAGGCTCGGACCCTCTTGGTTTATTTCTGGACAACACAGAAGTGCAGTGCCAGTGTTGCTTGCATAGGTAGCACGGCCCCTGGCAAGCAAGGGCTCTCACCATCACCGTCACAACTAGTATCCTACTACCAGCAGCCCGGAGATTTCAAGTGGCATGTGCATGTTTGGCATTTGAAGTTGCTTTATTATGATTTAATATTATGGTTGCAAATTGCCCAGTCTTCAAGTTCCATTACTAGTACAGTACTCGACTTGATGCAACCCTTGTTGGTCGATCATCCAAGTGCCAACTTCCACCCTGCTGGTTGAGTCGAGGCGCAGGCTCGCTTTCTGACCAATACCAACATTGCACATATCTTCATCCAAGACTGTTCGCGCAGGACAACTATTTATGTTGCAGCTGAACATTACCGTCAGCCTGTTCCGCCTGTAATCCGAGTCCGCTGACATTGCCCTTCGCATTGTTCAACACAACCCAATCGAACACTCTCCGAATCTGACCAGCAGCGAAAATGGCCACCCCCAACTCCAAGAAACCGCTCGCTGACCGTTCGAATGCCTCGCCGTCCGCGCGGAACACAACGGGAGTTGGTTCTACTAGGTCCCCTGCGGCGAACTCGGTGCCTGCGAGTTCAGGTCAAGGACTCGCTCGTACTCCTTCTCTTCGTCAAACAAGACCTGTGCGAAAACCTGGCAATCGCGCAAGCAGTTCCTTTACTGCACCAGTCAGCACGGGGGCGGAAGAAGATGAAAGCAAATCCGAATATGCGCAGTTGATTGCGGACTTGAAAGAACAGGTCCAGCGTGCTGAACAAGCATCCGAACAATATAGAAAGCAGTTGGAGGTTATGCAACAACGTCTAGACCAGGCGGCAGCCGAGCAGACCAGCGCCGAGGAACGCGACTACCAAAGACAGTCTGAACTGGATCGCTTAAAAGCGGAGATCAAAGATCTCAACAGACAGCGGCGAGAGCTTGAGGTGACCTATAACGAGGACAAACAAATGTTCTTACAAGAGAGGGAAAAGCAAGAGAGCAAGGTGACCGAGCTTCAAGGCGTCATTAACAGGCTGAATGAAACTTTGAGGGCCAAGGGGGCAGAGAGAGTCAGCGCTAGCCGATCCGGTAAGCCGTTCTTTGTCGATTATGTTATTCTGGACTGACATGTAAACAGCAAGCAACTCAGGGGCACAGGTACCGGAAGACGACGGCGCAGACGGTAGTGCCAAACGTGACGAGATTCCTCCCGAGGTGCTTCAGACTTTGCGACAAAAGGAGGCTGATATCGAGGCTCTGAGATTTGACCTGGCTGAGGCGCAGTTGAAGTTGGCGGAACAAGAACATCTAGGCGACGGCCGACTTCAGGCACTTGAAAAGGAGCTCATGGATGTTAAAATGCAAAACGCCCGCCTTATTGAGGAAAATGAAAGTTTCCAGATGCTTCTTAGTGAGAAGACTCTGAAGGGTGATTTCGTACATCATCATCACCATCACCAGGAGGACGAGATCGCTGGCATGAGTACGCTCGCTGAAGAACTCGAATCCACCGAAGAAGATGCGGAAGTCCACAGCGACGCGTACAAACGGCTTGAGGCGGAACTGAAATCATCGAAAGAGGAGAATAAAGCTCTCACCTTATATGTCGACAAAATCATCGGGCGGCTACTTCAGCATGACGGCTTCGAGCATATCATCCACGACAAGGATGAACCACCCAAACCTCCGGCAAAGGTGGCAGCGGCAGAGAAGGCTCTTCCAGCCGTACCTGATCAGCAAGCAGCCGCGCAACCCTCGCCTGGGGTTGCGGGTGGCTTTCTGCAGCGTGCCAGATCAGTCGTGTCCCGACCAGGACCGAAAGCCAGGCCGATGTCCTACGCGCAGCCGGCACCTACGCCTTCGGCCAACGAGAATCCGGAAACAGCCCCTAGCATCCCCCTCCATCGCGGTCATCGTCGGACTCGCTCTGATCAAGCCCAGGCCGATTTGGCGGCCGCTGCAGTTGTCCAGCAGATGAATCGAGCATCGCCCATGCGGGCCGCGTCTGGGGGACCGCTTAGTCCCGGGATTCGACCGCTTAGCCCACAGTTGGCACAACAAAGACGAGGCTCTTACATGAGCCAGTCAACCTCAACTGCTCGCGCACTGTCAGGTTCGGGTTTACGGGCTGATAGTTCAGCCAACAGCGTTACGAGCGAGGGCAGCGAGGAGGCCAAGTCCAACACAGACGGAAGCTCTACGGCCGCAATAACAAGCGGACACAGCCAAACTCAGGGTCAAGGCCAGGCACAAGGCAATATTCCAGGTGCAGTCATGAAGCAGAACCAGTTAAGACCCTTGCGCTTGGTGCAAGAACAAAGCCAAATAGACGAGGAAATGCAGAAACGAAACAACAGGGGAAGTTGGATCGGGTGGCTCCGAGGGAGTACGATCGAGGCGCAACCAGAATAGACTGAACACATGCTGGCGGGACCACGACATTGAACATATACCGCGCCTTGTAGCTGGAAGGCAGCAGAATAGACCATTGGAGGCTCTTAAGCCACCTCAGTCCTGTCGGGGATATCTTTACGGTTCGCTTCAGCTGTATCTTCCACACCTCCTGTGCCTACCGTGCAATGCGGAGGCATGCATACCAAGCCCGCTGCGCGACTTTCCCAGCAGGGACCTTCGCGCCATCTCACAGCCTTGTATACCTACACTGTCGGTACATGTCTCACTCCACGGCCGGGCCATTGGGCTCCGAGACGGAAGCTTGATCTAGCCAAATCCGGCGCACAGTGGAACAAAATTTCCGGCAGTCGGCGCGATTACTGGTTCCAACATCATTTAGCGCCACCGTGTCGTGATGCCATACGTTGACTAGCCATTATAACTTTTTGATCGGTCGTCGACTCACGGAACACTGGCCATGTCAACCACGTACATAAAGAAGACTCACCTATTGTATCTCTCGTTCCTTTCCTTTGCCTGGCAAGAATAGACCTTAGATTTTGTTCTGTGTTTCTCTTCTGAGTAAACTATATTATTCCCTATTCAACAATCAATTGCTCGCTGCAGTGCACCGAGTACTTCGCAAGCAACGAACACCCCTCCAACACCTCTCGCCACAGCGACAGCGACAACGAGAGCGGACCGTCTACGCCGCGGAATAGTACCTAAGAACCTTTCTCTTCGAGACAGCTGTGCCTCAACATGCCATCTCAACCGAGAATCCATCTCGTGCGCCACGCACAAGGTTTCCACAACCTAGGTTCTGAATTCCACAGCCTCCCCGACCCCCGCCTAACACCACACGGGGAATCGCAATGCGCAACCCTCCAAGCGGAACACTTCCCACCCGAAAAGCAACAAAACATCTCCCTCGTTACAGCCTCGCCCCTCTGCCGCACAATCCACACCGCGCACCTTGTCTTCTCGCCAGCCCTCCACAACGGCAAATGCGTCCCGTGCATCCTCGCCATCCCAGACGCCCAAGAAACCAGCGACTTCCCCTGCGACACGGGATCGGACCCCGAAGTCCTGCGATCAATATGCAAGGAAAACGGGTGGAACGTGGACTTGTCCTTAGTCACGGAAGGATGGAACATCAAGACGCTGGACAGCCGCTACTCACCTGCAAGCGACGCGATCAAAGCCCGGGCGCGCGATTGCCGTGTCCTACTGCGTCAAAAGGCGCGCGAATTGAGTCAGCGTGGTGACACAGATGTGGAACTCGTCCTCGTCACTCACGGCGGATTCCTGCATTACTTGACCAACGACTGGGAAGACGCCGATAACTTGTCCGGCACGGGCTGGCAGAACTGCGAGGCTCGGACGTATGTGTTTGAGAACGATTTTGCCGACGACGCCGATGGCGATGCTTATTTCGTGGAGACGATGGAGTCGCGCACTAAAAGGGGGAAGAATTACCCCATGTTTGACCACCAGAAACAAGAGGAATTGTTCCATAAGACCATGCAAGGGTGGGAGGACCAGGGTCTGCAGAACCCGGCTAAGTTGGGTGTTCCGCTCGAGCCCGAGGATGCGGAAGTCAATGATGCAGAGGTCGAGGGGCAGAAACCGGCTGCGAAGAATATGTCTCTGGATCGAAATTCGGGTGATGTCAAGGTCATGGCTTGATTTGGGCTTGAGTTTGATTTCCTTGGGAACGAGCACTGGAGCCTTTCTCGCTCCACTTGTCCTCAGGGCTTCGACATCTTTGGGACAAACGAAGCAGTTGTTGGTTGCAGAAGTTGGGGGAAAGCTTGGTCCGCTCTGGTATCCATTCAGTACATACACGTGAGAAAATGCAGCGGCAGGTGTTGGTGTTGGTACCATAAGGCACCTAGTAATTGGTGCTGGTGGCTTTAGAAACGAAGCCGGCAAAATGATTTGGAATGTCCAGAAATTAGACGAATACATACAGTAGAGGCAACGAAACGAGCTACGAATACATTAGACCATTGTTACAGGAGACAAGACGGGGGAGTGTGGGAAATACTAGACGCATAACTGTTGCTGTTCTCCAAACAACAAGCTCTACTTTGTTATAAGGTTTCTAACAAATAATAAGCTGGCGTGCCTGTCATACGACTTGCACGCTTTAGGGTCTCGTAAGTCGCTAACCATGGTCCATGAAATGTTATCCCGATTTACGTCTTGATCATTCATATTATTCAAGGAGTTATGCCCCATCATTCAGGCTGGAAGCTACTGTAGATGTCAAACAAACTACCTGGGTACCCGCCCTTATGTCGAAATACTAGTATGCTAGCACTCGCAATACTCACAGCACACTTTCGAGTCCTGCCATACCAGCAGAGTCAAATCACCGCAGCCCTCGGTTTCGCGGCAGATCTGTTGGCATTGCATGTCTGTCGAGGACCCGGAGCATGCTTTATTAGGTCCTTGTTTCTAGAAAAACAGACGTTTCGTTAGCCATTAGATGTTTTGGGTCTAGTACTTGCTGCTGCTGCTCCATACGTACGCACCTTTGCACAATTTCCAGCGAAACATGACGGTACTGGTTCTGGTTCCCTTGATCCAGCGTCGAGGTGAGCTGTGGCTGTGTCAACATTGCTCGGGTGAAGAAGCGGGCCCGTGACTGGCGTGAGGAAGCGGGTGGTCATGACTCCGTGGAAACTACTACTGGGACTTAGTGTCGTGATTGTTGTCGAATAAGAGGTCACTAAGGATGGTGATGCTGACGATGATGGCGATTCTTTGACTGTAACCGTGGCCCCCGCGGGGTCTTTGGACTCGGCGACCGAAATGACGAACGTTGGCGCGGTAGTTCCTGTTGTGGCAGTAGAGGTGGCGGTGGTGGTTACAAGAATTGTCGTCATCACAGTCGATGGAATAGGTGGTGAGTAGGTCATGGTGGAAACGGAGACCGAAACTGTGGTTTCTGTCGTGATGGCTGTTTCTGTGCTTACGGCCGTGTCGGTGGAGATGGAAGTGAGTGTAGTCGTAGTGGTAGAAATGGTGAGAAATGTCGATGTTGTGGTTGATGGTGGTGTGGGAGTGCTTGCTGGTGCTGTGTCTGTTACGGTTGAAATCAATGTCGATGAGGTCGGGGTCGTTGTCTCAGCCGCGGCTACGGGCCCGGGATTTGCTGCGTTGTGCGAGAGATTTCCGCGGGCGTAGAGAACCACGATTGGGACGACGATCGCAGCCAAAAGGCCCAACCCCCAGAGCAAGATACCACCAGGTGATCCACAGCATGCTCGACGGTAGATCTTTTCGAGGCTTGTCGGGTGGCTTGGGCGATAGGGGAGGGCTTCGGTATGCGTCTCCGGGTCGAGGACGTACATTGGATGTATTTGTCTGGTAGGTTCGGAAGGGCTCATGTCGGATGATTTGTAGGATGGCGGCCCTGCTGGGTTGGAAGGAGACATTTGGGACAACAGCCAAAACCCCCAGGTTGGCTTGGACTGTGCTCTGTGGGATGCATAAGAGGAAGGGTTGTGGGAAAAGGTAGATATCAGAATATGGGCACTTTGGATAGCAGGCAGAGGTGACTCAGGGTAGTGGTAGTGGTAGTGAAAGATGAAATGATGGCACTCGTTTCCTGGCTGTCAGTCAGACACTCTGATCACTGCCGAGGAGCATGATGGGCAGTGACTGATATATAGAAACGTATCGATCAAGGCAGGGGATGACGACAGCATTTTGACGAGCAAACCGGACCAGAGGCCAGATCTGTTCGCAAGGAGAACAGTCATAACTTGAAGGACTCGTTAAAGGTACAATATAGATGCTGTAGTCGTCCGAAGGTATCACATGGTGACGGACCCGTGAAGATACGGAAGCGAGTCATCTTTTGACTTCCGCATTAATATTCTCCTGAGGTGATGCAGCCTTGTCTTCACTGCTCAGGAGATGCGGACGAGTCGAGCCAGGGGGCCCTTTGACTGTGGAACTGGAAAAGCGAAGAACAGAAAAAAAGATTTCCATCATCAGAATTCATGAATTCAAACAGGAGCTGTTTGTTAGACAGTGCTGAATGAATTGCGATTGAAGTAGGTGTTGTCGGAGGACAGAGCAATCTGATACCCGGAACCAAAGAGGATATGTTTACATAAGCCTAGTTCCCCTTTTGGATCGCTGCCTGATTGGTTGGGGTCCAAAAGTGGCCGGAGGAGCCTGGAACCATGTCGGCGCATTCGGTCAGCTCAAAACAACCCAAGACACAGCACTCCATGGCTCCCTAACTTGTTCGGTTTCACATTGGTCTCTCCCATACCAGCTTGTAGACTGCAGGCTCAGTCCGACAAGTTCCTACCAAAAAGGCCTCTCCCGACATCTCATCTCGCAGAAGAACAATGGCAAATCGCTTCGTTCGTTCGTCTAAATACCGGCACGTCTTCGGCCGCCCGACTCGAAAGGTGCGCCCTTGCTCCAACACGATCGCGCGACATGAGGTTAAGAGTTTTAGGAACAATGCTATGACAATATAAGGGTGTCCAAGAACGCATGGGACAGCAATTTGATCAAGGTGTGCCAAGTGACTTGCAGCCAACTCTCATCCTTGTACTTACTGGAGCTAGGTCAACCCCGAGTACCTCTCAGTCAACTGGGAGAGCAGTGGTGGCGGTGCTTTTGCGGTCATTCCCCTAAAGGAGAAAGGACGGTTGCCGGAACGAATACCTCTCTTCCGAGGACATACTGCCGTGGTGCTGGACACAGATTGGTGGGCAACCTCGACAGCGACACTGCAGGAGAGGCTAACAAATAAAGGAACCCTTTCAATGATTCCTTGATAGCGTCAGGTGCCGACGATGGCAAGGTCAGTGCCCGCGACCTGGTCGAGTACCAAAAGCTTACGTCTGTAGGTTTTCTTGTGGAGAGTACCAGACGACTTCACCCTACACCTGGACCTTCCCCCGGACGAGATTCAAGATGTTGCCCCTGTCGGCAAACTGAGCGGCCACCCTAAGTAGGTGACCCCTCTTCAGTTGGAGAACACGGGATTAACATTGGGCCAGGAAAGTGGGACATGTGCTGTTCAACCCTGCAGCCGAGAATGTCCTGGCATCCGCTGCCGGCGATTTCACAATCAAAATATGGGACATCGAGGCTGGGGCTGCCAAACTCTCTCTAAAGGTGGGCGAGGTGATACAGTCAATGTCATGGAGCGCGAATGGGTCGTTGATGGTCACGACATCCCGCGACAAGAAGCTGAGAATATGGGACACCAGGCAAGAAAAGCCGATCCATGAGGTACCTGGTCACGCCGGTGCGAAGAACAGCAGAGCCGTATGGATGGGTGAGCATGACCGAGTTGCTACGACGGGCTTTTCCCGGATGAGCGATCGCCAGCTGGCTCTATGGGACATCAGAGCTCCCCAGGCAGGACCCATAGACGGGTTTCAGATGCTCGACTCCATTTCGGGAGTATGCATGCCTTTCTGGGACGATGGCACGCAATGTCTCTACCTTGCCGGAAAAGGAGACGGTAATATTCGTTACTACGAGTACGAGCACGACAAGTTCGAATATTTGTCTGAGTACAAGTCCTCCGACCCCCAGCGCGGCGTTGCCTTTATCCCAAAGCGAGGGGTCAACATGCACGAGAACGAAGTCATGCGTGCTTACAAAACAGTGAACGACAGTTATATCGAACCAATCTCGTTCATCGTACCACGAAGGGCAGAGACCTTCCAGGAAGACATCTACCCGCCCACCGTTGGCTTGAAACCCGCCATGAGCAGCAAAGAATGGTTCGAAGGCGCCACAGGTCTGCCTCCAAAAATCTCTTTGGAGAGCCTTTATGATGGCACAGGCGTGAAGGAGGTACCCGCTGACGAAGCCGCCACCCCTCCGAAGAAGGCGCCCGAGCCTATAAAGGTGTCGGAGCCTCAGAAAGAGGTTGCCAAGCCAGAGCCGGAACCTACGCCCACTACCGTACGAACCCCACCGCCGTCCATGAAGGAGCAAGGTGCCACCATGATGGCTGCTGCCAGCAAATTCCAAGATACAGAGCCAATGGAGGGCGACGATGACGATGATTCCAGCTTCGAGGAAGTCCAGAAACCTGTTGAACGCAGGTCCCCGGCCAAGAAGGTTGCTACCGATGATGTGCAAAGGCTGCATAACGCACCAACAGAGGTGACAAGTAATGTGTGGGAAGACGCGGAGGCCCCCGAGCCGAAGCCTTCTTCGCCCGTCAAGGTAGGTCTTGATAGAAGAGAACTAGCATGTACGCCTGTGCTGACCATTGCGCAGAAAACCGAGACGCAACCCACCACGGAAGGCACAGCTACCCATGGACCAGCTGCTATTAAGAGCGGTGACGCGACTTCTGCCTCGGTGCAGGACGAGATTCACAACATAAAGACACTGATGGCTCAACAGTCGCAGCAGCTGAGCACTTTGACCCAGGCGCTTACGGATCTTGTGGCCGAGGTGAAAACTCTCAAAACATCACGATAGTTGGGTATTTTCTCGCATTTGAGCAGTTTCAATTGAAGGAGTCCTTTTTCACCTTAGACAATGCTTCTTGGTGTCCCTTATTGGCTTCCCAGCTTGAACCGCACGACGAGAACTCGTATACAAAATGAACCCACCCTGCAGATATGCAGCGCAACTTACGGGAAGTACTTCTGGTTCAACCAGTGGAAGGAGACGTTGACTCCCTACAGTAGCCCTGCGGAACCTCAAACTGCCACAGATATATCAACAAGGCTGAGTTGACGTGAAGCCAAGCTGCTACGACCCGGTGTGTTCGCAATGCTTAACACCAGCGCCTCCAATAGGAATTGACAACCGCTTAGCGCTACCTTCAACCCCAGGAACAGTTTGCCGACTCTGGAGGAACTGGTGCTAGTACCTGCTCGCAGAGAAACCAACATCTCTACGTACGCCTGGACGAGGGGCATTACAATAATTCGAGTAGCGCGATCAGTCACATTCATTACTGTACAGGGTGCTGAGCGCCGGTTTCTCTCTACAAGAGGACTCCACCCTAACCAACCCCCGGAGCTATACAGTACAAATTTGGCGTTGTGAACTCCGGGCCGGTGCCCGAACGGGTCTTATCGGGTGGTTGGCGATGACTTATCAACAGGCCAAAGGATGGTCAGAGTAGATCCAGACGAGAAGAGTGGCTCCGCAGTCCCATCGAGTCCCATCGCTCAGGGTTTGAGAGCACGCGACGGCGACGTTATTGCCTCGTGTACCCACCTTTCGAGTTCGGCTCCAGCCCACCACACGTGACCAGGAAACCACAAAAAATATCAAAAAGCAACGACACCGCAGTAAAATCATGTCTTTCGCCGGCCATGGGTGAATTACAGAAACTCAGGCTCAAGATGAGGCCCAGGCGAACGTTGGCCGATCGGGCCAACAGCCTGCGAAAGACCTTCTGCACGAGGAATGGTCTTCTGGGGAATTATGACTACGCCTTCCTTTTCCGTCCCAATGTCCCCTTCCTGAAGAGGCCTCGACGAGCGAGCCCTTTCTTTGGGCTGGACGACCCAATGCCCGTTGTCCTCGCGATACTGCTCGGTTTTCAACATGCTCTGGCTATGCTTGCTGGTGTCATGACTCCTCCAATCATCTTGGCCGGCCAAGGAGGAGCCAACCTGGCAGCGGACCACCAGCAATATCTCGTCTCGACCGCGTTGATCGTGTCGGGAATTCTCTCTGCAGTTCAAATCACTCGGTTCAATCTATTCAAGTCTCCGTGAGTATCCCTCACGGCGCATCTGTCAAGAACGCCTCCACTAACCAGTCTTTTCAGCTACTACCTTGGAACTGGACTGATCTCCGTGGTTGGCACTTCATTTTCCATCATCCCCGTGGCACAAGGCGCGTTCAGCCAGATGTACGCCAACGGGTATTGCCCGGTCGATTCGAATGGAAATAAATTGCCCTGTCCCGAGGGATACGGTGCCTTGATTGGGACGTGTGCTCTGTGTGCATTGATCGAAATGGCCATTGCCTTCCTGCCACCCAAGGCACTTCAGCGAGTCTTCCCTCCCGTCGTGACTGGCCCAACAGTCATGATGATTGGCGTCCACTTGATCCAAAGTGGCTTTCAAGACTGGGCCGGCGGCAGTGGGACGTGCAACACGCTTCCAGACGACGGCTTTTACCGACTCTGTCCCAACATTGATGCTCCTCACGCCCTCCGCTGGGGCAGTGCCGAGTTCATTGGCCTGGGTTTCCTGGTATTCCTCACCATTATCCTATGCGAAAGGTTCGGTTCACCCATCATGAAGTCCACCAGTGTGATCATCGGCCTTTTGGTGGGCTGCATCGTTGCTGCCGCTTGTGGATATTTTGATGACTCTGGGATCAAGAGTGCGCCTGTGGTCTCGTTTGTCTGGGTCAAGACTTTCCCTCTGTCTTTGTACGGACCCTTGGTCTTACCGGTGCTCACTTTCTTTATCATTTGCGCTTGTGAGACCATTGGTGATGTGACGGCGACTTGCGACGTTTCCCGACTCGAGGTGGAAGGCCCGCAATTCGAATCCCGAATTCAGGGAGGCATCCTCGCAGATGGATTGAACGGTATCCTCGCTGCCTTGATGACAATTACTCCCATGTCCACGTTTGCGCAGAACAACGGTGTCATTGCGCTGACCCGTTGTGCCAATCGGACAGCGGGATATTGTTGCTGCAGTAAGTTTGAGCTTCTGATGGGGTCAATGTGTTTTTACTGACAGAGCCCGTGCCCAGTGTTCCTTTTCATCATGGGTCTCTTCACCAAATTCTCTGCTGCTCTGGTCGCCATCCCGAGCGCAGTTCTTGGAGGCATGACGACTTTCCTTTACTGCGCTGTAAGTATTCGTTTGTTGAAATATCACTGCGAAAGGATGCGCTGACGAGAATGCCAAATAGGTCGCTGTGTCCGGTATGGCCATTGTCAACCGAGTCCCATTCAACCGACGGACCCGTTTCATCTTGACCGCTTCGCTCGCCGTTGGGTATGGTTCCACGTTGGTGCCTACCTGGTTTGACAACGTCTTCACTTATGACGGCGGTAATCACGCCCTGCAAGGGTTCTACAACGCTATCATTCTGGTCATGGAAACTGGGTTCACGATCACTGCCTTCATTGCCATGGTGTTGAACTTGGTACTTCCCGAGGACCTCGAGGACGATCTCGAGGAGGATTCCGTGTCGAAGCGATCGGATTGCTCTAGTTCTGTGGATGAAGCATCAAAGGTACAGGCTCAGCCGTCCAAGGAGGTGGTTTGATCGTATCCTTGTGTTAGGAAAAATGCATGTTAGGTGGATTTATGAAAAATGTGTTAATGACCAGATGTGAGCGGACAATCTGATAAAAGGGACATATTCAGTACTGTATGAATGACGTTCCTTGTAAAATAACCAATTTGTCCCCCTGATCTAAGAATTGTAAGCACGGCTACCTAGGTAGCGTCGGTATGTACAAGTTGAATGCAGAGTGATGAATGCTTCCGGCGACAAGGCTGCGGGCACGCGTGTAGTTACCCGAACGGCAACACAGCCGAGCACTAACTAGTAGTACGCTGGGCAGGTTTGCCGACAGCAATGTTTGCTGTGTCTTGGACGTTTTCAGTGGAAGCGGATCGACGGTTGACAGGAACTTGAAAGCTGCGAGCAATTCCAATCTCGCTACCAACTCATGCAGGGATTTTTCCAACAACAATAACATTCTTTCTCCTCTAGAGGTGGACCAGTCATCTTCATAGAGAGAGCTACTGCACATATACACCGTTCCTGTCCCTGCATGTCCTTCTGAAGTCGCGTCAACTGCCGAAACAATTTTATCACACGACCTTCGTCAGACCACCACCGCGCCAGGCATGTGCGCCTTTTAACCGAAGCCATCCATCACGAAGTCCGCAACTGCACATATCGCTGCCCTCATCCCTTCACGCCATGGTTGTCGCATTTGAACATTCTCTAGTATCTGTATAGACAAGATTGCGAGGTTGCGATCGCGACCATGGCGTTCAATTTCAACTGGTCGCCATTATCCACAGACGCCGGATTCCTGCCACGAGCTCAAGAACTCCTCACGAACGCCCTCAACCGGGCAGATCCCAAACCAGCCATTATTGTCGATGACATCGTGGTCAACGAACTCAATCTCGGCGATGTCCCTCCCGAATTGGAAATACTCGAAATCGGCGACCTGGCAGAGGACCGATTCCGTGGCACCTTCAAGATGACGTACCGGGGAAATGCATATCTGACGCTGAAGACGAGGGTACAAGCAAACCCCTTGAACACGTATCTGCGTACGCGCTCTGCCTTCGCATCACCTCAGCCACTGGCCGCTGATAAGGGTCTCACCATTCCATTGCAAATCACTCTTTCAGAATTTCGATTGTCAGGGTTCATAATCCTCGTGTTTTCTCGCCAAAAGGGTCTGACTCTGGTTTTTCGAAATGATCCCCTTGAATCGCTCCGAGTCTCATCCACTTTCGACTCGATTCCTTTCGTGGCCAATTTCCTACAGAAAGAAATCGAGACCCAATTGCGCGGGCTTCTGATGGACGAGCTGCCAGCCATCATCCACCGACTTTCCCTGAGATTGTGGGCTCCGGAATATACAGCCCGCGAGGAACGTGAGCTGGGCGCCACTCCCACTGCTAAGGACGAGGTAGTGGTCGACCCGCTCGCCAGCCCTCCGCAAGATCCAGTGGACTCTACGGGTGCAGTACTTACTCCGGCCGAGGTCGCATCGCTGTCGCTTGATTCGTCGATCGAGACACAATCGCTTTTTTCTAGGAAGAATCTGTTGCGTCTTGCGACCCTGACCGACTCTCACCGGACGTTGTCGCTGTTTACTCCGTCCATTCGCGACGCTGTCTTCAGGGCTTGGACGGGTCCAATGGAACGTGGGGAGATGGGGGGATTGCACAGTCGAGCCGGAACACCTGCCTTGTCCCGGACGCATTCATATGCAGGGAGTCTCAGTACAAACAACACTTATACTTTCGACAGCTCTACACAAACCCGGCCTGGCCTGCCTAGCTTCCCGTCCGCGAATACCGTGCTCAGCATGAGCGGTGGACGCCACGGTCAAGGGCACAGAACACGCAAGAAGAAGAAACGTGTGGTGGATCTACGAGCACGGACAGAAAATGGAACTCCCGAGCTGGCTAGTGAAGATGGCTCGATGGCCGACACAGCCAGTGTTTCGGAGAGCACATCTACGGCCCCAACCGTGTTCTCGGCACCTGCCGCGACCGGTTACTCAGATGTCAACCCGGGACTCGGTCTGATTTCACCACCTCAAAGTCCTGCCCATGCTGAACGTGCTGGTACTGCTACTATTCGTCGCGAGAGCGGAAGTACTCGAGATTCTGCTAGCGTCAGCGAAGGGGCACCGGGACCAGCTATCTCGACTGACACTGAGGAACCTGCAGTCGTCTCTCAGAAGACGTCACCCGCACCAGATGCCGAGGCGACCATTCGCGCACGGTCACGAAAACCAAAACCTGTGTCTCTGGACGATGATGAAACACCAAGAGCGTCTATGTATCTACCGGATGAAAAGGCGCGTTCTGTCTCTCAACCGATTACGGAGACGCGATCATCGATTCCAAGCGAAAAGCAGCCTGGCTATCACTCGGACGCTCGAACTTCGCGTCCACCACTTCCGAATTTCCTGTCTTTTGTGACAGACTCGTCCAATGCCGGCAGCATTGCCGAACAGGCATGGATGATGAAGATGGCCAGCGAGATGGCCAAGCGGTACGAAGAAGAACGGTTGAGAGGTAGCTTTGGACCCATGTCTCCTCCTCGTGATATGGACCAAGTTCCACCTCCTGCCTATGCACGATAAAAGGAAAGCAACCGACTCTCGGCTCCTTGTTCCTTTTTGTTTTCGGAGTTATTAGGTTTTTTTGTGGATGAGAGGGGCTTGATTCTCGTATGGCGCTGCTTGGGATGTACCAAAAACTGGGTCAACTTCGCCTTATGTAATGGCGTGATGATGCTACGATATAATGTCTCTAGAACTTGGAGGGGTTGCTCCGAACAATACGAGTTTGGAAGGGCTTCTGGGAATGCTGTTTGGAATGGTGCTGGTGCTGGTGCTGGTCCTCCTGCTGCCAGGGCCATCGTGGCGCTCTTCGTGTCTCTGTCTACCTACATAGCTAGCCTGCTCAATTCATTTGTTGGCAAGTCATGTTGTGCTTGTAGGTACCTGTAGATCATGATCTACGATCATCCTTCGACCGACCGATCAGGACATACTATGATGATATAGTACCTAGATACTTTACTGCAACGCAACGCAATGCAGTTCTGCGGTGCAGCAATATCGTACTAGTAGCACGAGGCTGAACCAAGGCTTCGAGCTGCTGGGGCTGACTAATAAGCCTTGGCAGATTACGTTGCATTGCGTGCGGTCGCTTCAGCGTTGCCGGTGGTGGGTGATTCCACGCCGGTGTCATTTTGTGGAGAGCTCGACCTGGACCCCAGGGAAACATTTGTCCACCACTGCCACGACTACTACTACTGTGTATTGCACGAGTGCACTTTCAGTCTCTACCTATTACTGGTACAGACCGAGAGACAAGTTCGGTCACAGTCCGTTTGTACTGGTGAACTAGGCTCTGGGTTTTCTATTCAGTCAAGTCCATCCACCATGGACTATTTCAAATCCCTGGTTGGGGGGAAACCCTCACAGGTCCCGGTTGTGGTAGAGGATTCTGGTGAGTTATCTTGATACACAGTACCTACGTCGTAATTACCAAGCTAATACCTGGATGTCTTTTCCAGATTTCGCGGATTTCGCAGACGCGCCCGCGCCGTCGCCAGTATCCATCCCGGCCTCTCCAGCCGATGCGCAGGCGGCCACGCCCACCGATGGCACGGGCACCACAGTCGGGGTCGGCCATCGAGGAGTCTACACGAAATGGTACCGGGTGTGGGAACGAACACAACCGTCAGATTTTATCATGGAAGGAGTTCTGATCCCATTCATCATCGTTGCATTGCTGCTACACTTCTGGGGCACGCGGACGAACCGACGCAAGGCTCGGAAATGGGTTGCGGTGCACGCGCCGCTGCTGGAGCGCGAATTCGCACTTGTGGGTTACAGCCAAGTGCCCAAGATCACGCCGTACCCGGCCGTCCAGGGCGACAGTCTGCTCGAAGCCAGCGCGAAACTGACCGGTGACAATGTCCCCGAAGATCTGTACAAGGAGAAGACGGCGTGGGAATTCGAGACATATGCGAGCGGACGGTTGAATGCGGCTTTTGTCGATGTCAGACTCTATCTCCGCAGACGTATGAACCCCTTGTATCTGGCGGCCGAGGAGATTACGGGCATGTTTTTTGAATCTGTCAAACCGAAGGCTGAACGGGTCGAGGCGGTCCTCTACACTTTTGACGGCAAGGAAAAGGACTTTGTGCCCCCTCCGGTACCTGGGTCTGAGGAGGCTGGTAGGGTGAAGCCTGTCGGCAATTCGACCTATGATGGCTTCGTGTTTGCCATTGTCAATAAGATGGTCATGCGTCGTCTAAGAGATGAGCGCTACGATTTATCGCTTACATTCACCAAGGATAATGCGAAACTGCCTAATTGGGTCACGGTGATGAGCGAGAGCGCCGAGGTCACGGAGACCATGTTGACCAAGGATCTGATTGCTGCGGTTGAAAAGGCCGGTGATCTCTTTGAGTATTTGATTGTTACGGACCAGCCGACGGATAAGCCGACGAATTTGAATGAGACGACGCCGAAGAAGAGGCTTCATCTTTCCCTGAGATTGCCTAAGGATGGCAACTATCTGCCGACTTTGCCGATCTTTGAGGCATTCCTGCGGCTGCCGGATTTCTTGGTCGCTCAGGCGCATTTCCGCCCGGAGGTCATGAAGAAGGTTAATGCTATTCGTGAGGCTGAGAAGGCTAAACTCAAGAAGTTGAGTGATAAGGAGGCTGAGGAGGAACGGCTCAGGATGTTGGAGAAGATGAAGAAGGAGGAGAGAGATCGCAAAATGAAGGGTATGAGTGCAGAGGAACAGAGGAAGTTTTTGGAGCGGGAGAATGAGAAACAGAGGAAGAAGCAGGAGAAGAAGATGACGCGGAGGGGATAGGGTCGAAGAACAGCAGAGAAGTGGTGGTGCTGCGTGTAATGGATGGTCTTTGTCGTCTTCTGTTGGACATATTTGAAGATGGGACAGACACACAAAAGACGAATTGAATCCAGCTCTTATGGTACATGTGGTACTAGGTTGGATAGAATTGCAGATTACTGTCTAATATCGTGGCTGCCTCGCGCCGACTGTGCCAGTGGTAGCTGTGTACCTGGTGTAAGATGCTGATGAATATGTACTTTGGCCCTGAAGTGACTTGAACACAGTCATGATTGATTCTGTGGTCAGTAGATCTTCGCGGCTGGCAAGTTCTTCACCCCCAGATCGGGGACCCAAGAATAGATCGACAATAGATGCGTATACATAACGTAGTGTATACCTGAACGGTGCGTCGCTGGCAATAGTCATCCTGTATGTGGGCATGGGAAACAGGAAATGGTGGTTCAGGCCCCTGATTTCTATGATTTGTTTACTCTTTTGCGTGTCAACTGCTACACCAACCATTTCATGGCCCCCAGCACAGCAACACTGGGGTGACCGCCTGGCCGTCGCTATACTATATGCAAAATGCTGTGTACAGCACCAGCATGCAGTGCCGTATCACGACTGGCCGTCGATCACTGCGGTCCGGGTTGGGCGAGGCTTGGACGCTGGGGTGAGACGCGCGGACTCATGTCAGAAGTCAGACACTGACTCCATCGGTTGCGAGGCGCAGCGCAGCCTCAACCTTGTGTTTCACATGGTTACGCACCCTCCCACTCGGACTGCCTCAGCCGCACTGGCACTTCACTGGCACGCGCTGAAGCTGGACTTTGGTTGCGTATGCCTTGCTACAGTAATGAAGTGACTGATTGATTCTTGTTCTCATTCTGCAATTCTATCATACACCTTTGTTATATCCCAGAAGGCGGTGGTTACAAGTTCCCTTATTCTCTACTCCGCAGACCAGTTGAACGGCTTCACGGAGTGCAACATGTTACTATCACTACAGCCGGCTGTATGCCTATTATCCCTCCTCTACCTGGCCGCAGCGGCATCGATAGATCCGGCGAGTCGATTGTCGGAACGATCCTCAAATTCGACAGCATGCAACAACTCTCCTGATCTCTGCTCAAAGGCCTACGACAGCATCGTCCACCTCGGAGCGCACGACTCGCCATTCGTTCGAGACTCATCAACCGGCTTCTCCACGTCCGGCAACCAATACTACAATTCAACAGTCCAACTGTCCGCCGGAGTGCGCCTTTTGTCTGCACAAGTCCATAAAAGCAATGGAGAATGGCACCTCTGCCACTCGTCGTGCGACCTACTTGACGCTGGACTCTTGTCAGACTGGTTGAAAGAGATCAAGACATGGCTAGACTCGAACCCTCGTGAAGTGGTGACATTATTGCTCGTCAATTCGGATGATGCAACGCCGTCGGAACTGGCGCAGGAATACACCGACGCCTCTATCACCGACTACACATATACGCCGACATCGACCACCTCCCCACCCGAGACATGGCCGACATTGCAAGAACTAATTACCGCCGGCACGAGATTACTCACGTTTGTAGCCTCGCTGGATACCAGCGACATCACGTCGAGCGAAGCGTATCTCATGGACGAATTCACTTTTGTGTTTGAGAATCCCTACGACAACACCGACGCGAAAAACTTCACCTGCACTCCCGAGAGACCGACGTCTGTCTCCGGAAGCTCCCAGAAGGCCATTTCGGCGAATTTAATGCCACTCACAAATCATTTCTTGTATGAAGTCGGTGCTTTTGATATCGAGACTCCGGATGTTGATAATATCAATACCACGAATTCGCCGGGGAAGTCGGTCGGCAATCTGGGGTATGCGCTGCAGTCGTGTAATACGGAGTATGGTCAGCCGTCGACATTTGTGCTTGTCGATTTCTTTGACCAGGGTCCCGCTATTGATGCGGTTGATGCTATGAATGGTGTCACTGATCCTGTGGGACGCACGTCGCCGCCGGCGAGAGATTCGGATTCAAGCTCGAGTACGGAGAGTGCGAGCGAGTCTTCTTTTGCGGGTGTCAAAGAGCTGGTTAGTCAGGTCAAGGATGGTGAGACGCCCAAGCTTGGTGCCTGGATCTGGGCGGCCGGCAAGTGGACGTTGGGTGGGATCAATTTGAGTGGTGGTGATGTTGTTTCTTGAGGCGGAAACAGTTATCCGTTGTTACTGGGACAGAAACCCCCATCCATTGCTATTGGCACGCTTTTCATCTGCTTCGTAGCAAGTCATGCTAAAGCACACTCAAAGAGGGATGGGGGCGTGCTTATGAGCTCGAGGCAATCTTTCTGCGATCATGGATTTGAGACCATCCTCAGCCAATGCAGGGCCGATTCAGATGAGAAAAGGGTACGACACTGATCATAGCCTGGACTGCATATACCTGCCATACTCGGTCTCGGCAACTTATGGACGACATGGATCAGAACCCATCTTTCACATCATACAATACTGAATTAGGCGCGAACACGAACACGACTACATCTCTATGACGAGAAAACGGTCTGCGATACCCAATCGGTGGAATACGCAAAATAGACAAGATTTGGATGGAGCATTGGACAAAGGAGTCTTGGATATTTCTACCTTTTCATGACCAGGCCGAGGGGGCTGTTTTTTTTTACTTTTCATGAATTTGCATAGCGATGGGCGTCGTTGGTTTTCAAGTCTCCCGATCCAGAGGGGCAACAAAATTGGAGGGTTTTGGACTTGAGAGGTCTTTGGTATGTGTGTATACCTCTCTGTTACGAAGGCCAAGGAAGGCAAGAAGGGAGAGAAAAGGAAACATATCGGCGCAAACTCAGATACACATGGCAGATGACAAGGCAAGACATGACAGAAAGAAATGACCTTGGGAATGATGGACTACCTACCTACTGTTGCTTGTAGGTATCTAGCCTAACAACAGCCGCCGAAATCTCATCTATCTTGTACAACTAGTACCATTCAGATGTACTATCAGGGAGATTTGATACAATTCTATCTTGGTTGTTGTCTCGTTGCCAGCAACGTGCAGTACTAATAGTAGACATTGACAAGGTTTCTAGTAATTTTTAACTCTCGAAATACAGCGAGTGTCACGAGTAATGCAGGGTTTCCTGTTGATACATTCTTTTTATTTTTCTACATTTCCTCTTCCTCTCTTATTTTTCTTGCTATTTCTCCCCTTTTTGTTCTTTGCCCCCGCTATGGCTGTCACCGCGGTCTCCCTTACCTCAGCTCAGCTCAGTCACAGTTACAGTACATATTTGTACAAGAATATCTGATCTATCCATCTCAATGGAAAGAGAACAAAGCGAACCAACACAGAAAGGCTTCCTTTCCATATCTCCTCCCACTTTTCTCGACAATAGGATGGGTCGTTGTCGTCGCTCGACGAAATCCCTTTTCTTTGTTCTGGCAGGGGATCTTCAGTTTGGTATTTTTGTTTTCCGTGGTAGTGGTACCTAGGTACCTAATGTTGTTACAACGTCGCAAAAACCCGCTTCAACACCTCCCTCCCCTTCCACAGATTCTCCACCCTCATCCTCTCATTGTCCAGATGCGCATTATCGCTCGCCTGGCCCATAGGGAACATTGCCGCAGGAGCATGGAATTCATGTTCCAAGAAACTCAGGGCCGGGATCGATCCGCCTTCTCGGATGAAGAGCGGTTCACGGGGTAAGTTTGAGGGTGTGAATGTTCCTGTGGATGCGAGTGATGATGCGCGTCGGTGGTGGGAGTAGTGATGCTGCTGTTGGCGAGTTGTTGTCGGGGAGGTTGAAGATGTCGAGACGGAAGAAGAGGAAATGGCTGATGTTGAGAGAGCACCAGAACCACCACCACCGCCGCCGCCTCCTCCTCCTCCACCGGCCGCAGTAGTAGGATCAGTATGCGTTGGCTGAAACGACCTCTGCGCCGAACTCTGCAACTCCGGATTCCAGACTTCACTAATCGCCTCTTTGAGCGCGGTATAAATCTCGCTTTTGACATTGCCCAGCCAGGGATCTGCTTTTGACGTAATGTCCACAGTCAAACTGTTACTGCTATTCAATTTCCCAAATTGTTCATGCAAGTACTCCGTCAGACTGGTTGCGATCTGCTCGGCCGTTTGGGAGGGGACAATACGAATCGATAACGTGGCTTTCGCCGAACCACTGATTGTCACTGCTGTCTTTGCCTCTGGAACCTCGATGCGATGGACAGTCAAGTTGGGGTATCGCCAGCGCTGCATGAGGGACAAGGAGAAATTCTTTTCGTTCCGGATCTCGGGATGCCCTGGAATCAACGCTGATGTGATGGCGGCGTAGGCTTTCATTTCCGAATCTGATAGCTCGTCTACCGTGTCGTAGAACCCCGGGATGGTGACTTTGGTTCCCGTAGGTCCGATCAGTGTGGATAGCAAAACTGTCAAGTCTTTGAGTGGTTCGTGCTGGATCGCTTTGCCGTCCATTCCGGAGTGTTGGTCCGGTTTGTTGGATGATACCGTCACGCTCGCGTGGACGACGCCGCGCATCCCGAATGTGAGACATGGGATATGGTCGTCGAGCCAGTAGCTGTTACTCAACAAAATGTAGTCGACCCGACCGATTGCAGAGTGCATTGATTGCACTGTCTTGCGGAACCCGCGTGATCCGGCTTCTTCGTCGCCTTCGAGTAGGAATGTCACGTTGCATGATAGTTTGCCTTGTTGTACGAGTTCTGCGACGGCGTAGATTGCTGCGAGAATGGGTCCTTTGTCGTCTGTTACTCCGCGGCCGTAGAGATAGCCGTTTAATGGTTGCAGAGTGAATGGGTCGGCGGACCATGTTTGGGCGTGGGGCAAAGAGGGATCGTATTCGGCGTCCACGACGTCGTAGTGGCCGTAGAATAATACGGATTTGGTGGATGGAGAATTGTGGGAGGCTGGAAATTTCGCTAGGATCACGGGGTTCACGCCCTCCTGGGGTGAGAAGAGGTTGGTGGTGGCGCCAAAGGCCGTGCATTGCTTGCGTAGAAAGGTTACTGCGTCGTGGCAGTCGCGGACGCAGGTTGGGTTGACGGCCACGGTGCGGTAGGATACGAATTCTCGGAGGGCATTGAGTAGGTCATCTGTGTTTGGTTAGAAGAGACACAGTTAGACTAGAAGGCGACAGGAAGGTTTGCCCACCATTGCTCTGAGCAGTAGCTGCTATTGAGGTATGAGGCCCTGCTTGTTCGGCATCCCACAAGGAGATGAAATTGTCGTTTCCGCCGACAACAAGCATGTCGTGGTCGGGGGTTGTGGTAAGGCTCATGGCCAGAATCTTGCCTTTTGCCGCTTGCCAGCATTCGGTTTCTGTGAAATGGTCGTTGAATCGCTCGAGACTTGGTTAGCTTGAAGGCATTACAAGAGAGGTGAAAGCTATATGTACATACCTTAACCCAGCCTTGAGTCGTCCCGCACAGAATACTGTCTGCGCTGACGACAATCTGACTGACATGGCCGTGGCCGACGTTGAGTCTTTGGACCAGTTGTCCCGAGGCCAAATTGTAGACATTGGCCGTGCCATCCGATAGACCAGCATACAAAAATGATGCTTTGTACGCGAGACTCAAGACGTTGGTGCCAGGATTCTTGTACTTTGCTATTTGGCGGATGCCAATTGTTGCAAGCGACTCGATAGACCACAGCTTGATTGTGCCATCGCCTCCACCTGTGACGAGAACCTCTTCGTCTTTGTTGTGGTTGAAGAGTCCTTTGACCAGGATCATGCTGTAGATGTAGCTTTTATGGGCATACTGATGATAGTTCTGCACGGGGATTGTCACGAGTTTCCCGCCGAGGCTATTGAGCGTCATGCCGGTGCCATCTTCATCTGAAATGACATTGGCAATCCCGCCGGGTCCCAATGAGTCGAAAAAGCGATGCTTCCGATCTCCCGGGGAGGAAGACAACGTGGGTGACGGGAGATCAGCAGCATCGTCGGTGCTGAGCTTGCACCATTGAATGCTGGAGTTTTGAGCTCCCCAAAATAGAGTCTGTTCCTTCGGCGAGTGGACGACGCAAAAGACATCGCCAATCTCAAAATAAGAGTGTAGCGAGTACAGTCGCTGCAAGGTTTGGGTCGACCAGACATTGACAATGGAATCGGCTCCGGTCGAGAAGAGGAGCGATCGATCTTCGGATAGAGCAAGGCCCAATACGCTCTCCTTGTGCGCGGGCACTGTCGCAAGGGGTTCGTAGGTGTCGAGAGACCATGCCACGATACTGCCTCCCTGGACGCCGGCGAAGAGAACGTCGTCGTCAACTGCTACCGCTTGCACGCTCCCGGGAGCACTGATTCTGTGAATGGGGGGTTTGGTCGACGACGAGGCTGGCTCCGGGTCTGCGACATCATGTCGTCCGTTCGACTTGGTGGTTGGTGGCTGTCGCAGCCCTGCCTGAGGCCGACCGTGACCATTGTCATTGGCCTGGTCAGATGCGGCCATATCTTGGGCTAACCCCAGACTGAGAAGAGAGACTCGAGTCTTGGATGCAGGATGCTTCGGCTTCTTCTGGCGTGGTTCACGTTGGGCGAGTCTTGAATTTGTAGCCGGATTAAAGTCTGAAGTTGCTGCTGAAGCTGATGATTCGCTGATTTGGCACATTTTCGCCCGTCGCCCGCCGCCCATCCCAACTGTTGATCACCCTTCGCACCCTCTCGGTTTCGATGTCGATTAGTGTCTCGCTGATTGAATCAGACACCATCCAATGCGTGATATCCCTGGTTTGTATCACAGTCTATCACTGGCGATAGTATTGAAGTGGTAGGAAGAGCTACAACGTGTGAGCAGTCACCCAGTAACCGAAGCCCCTTGACCGCCGTTGTACATGGAATCAGCCACGATGGCGTGATGTCGGCCCCAGGTTGCACATTATTCTAGTAACACAAGACCTGGGTCCTGTGTCATTGACCTGGGTATCTACCTCCAGCCAGTACCGATACCCTCCTTTAATGTTACAGAAAGACACCATGATGGCAGCGACAGGCATTACGACGTCCGAGAAACCACCTCGTCTGGGACCCTACAAGCCGACTGTCATCCTCCATGGCGGAGCAGGTGCTATTACTCGCGACAGTCTTCCTCCCGAACTATGGTCGAAGTATCATGCATCTCTGCTGAATTATCTAACTTCGGCACGCAAATTGCTTGATTCCGGAGGTTCCGCGCTCGACGCGGCATGTTATGCCGTGACTCAATTCGAGGATGACCCGTTGTTCAATTGTGGCCGAGGGTCCGTCTTCACGGAGCAAGGCACAATTGAAATGGAGGCAAGTGTAATGGTTTGCTCTATAGAGCCTGCAGGACCTCCGGTTGGTGCCATCAAGCGAGCCGCCGCCGTGAGTCTGATACGCAACACGCGGCATCCGATTCTGCTGGCCAAGGAGGTATTGACCGCAGCTGATGATGATGGCGGCTTCGGCGGAACCAGCTCGATGCATTCCCACCTGAGTGGAAGCCAGGTCGAGGAGTGGGGATGGAATGAAAAGGGTCTGGAGAAGAAACCTGACCGCTGGTTCTGGACCAAGAAACGCTGGGAGGAGCATAGGAGAGGTTTGCAGAAGTCGAACGCTTACACGTTTGAAGATCTGCTCGCTTCACAGGGCCCTGACTCTGACTCTTCGCCTCTGAGCCCGGAGGAGAAGATGCTCGAGAGTACAGGCTTTTCTGATATTCCAAGTCAAGGTACGGTTGGAGCCGTCTGCCTTGATTCATGGGGCAATCTTGCTGTTGCGACTTCGACTGGCGGTCTTACGAACAAGAAAGCCGGACGGATCGGGGACACGCCCACTATAGGAGCGGGCTTCTGGGCCGAATCATGGCAAGAAGCTGTTTCACTCTCAGTTGAGAGTGGTCGCTATGATGCGATGCGCATGCGGCCACACAGTCTTGCTCTTGACCACCTCTGGCGACTGGGCAGCTGGTTTGCACCGTGTCTGAATGGCTCCGGCTCCGACGTAGAAGACTCACGTTGGAACGATGCTCCTCCAGCATATACCGCTATTCCTACCCGTACTCCTACTCGAGCCACGTCGTCTCAGGCCTATTACTCTCCTTTATGTCCTAACATGCCAGTGCCTTCTAGAGGCCAGACCCTCCGTCGAGCAGTCGCCATGTCCGGCACCGGGAACGGCGACTCCTTTCTCCGCACCGATGCAGTGCGCACAGCAGCGGCCATGGCGCGATTTTCGGCCTCGACGTCTCTTGCAGATGCGGTCACTGCCGTTGCCGGCCCCGGTGGCTTGTTGCAGTCATCCGCTGGCAACCGTTGGGGCCGGACAGCTGAAGGTCTGGGCGGAATCATTGGAGTCGAGCTCATCGAGAGCGCGGACACTGCAAACCCAGGTATTTTGTACGGCCACACGAAAGGAAGCGGCCACACATCGGGTCGGGCTGTGTTCGACTTCAACTGTGGTGGCTTGTTTAGAGCTTATTACGAGATAGACGAAGAAGGACAGAAAGAGAAGCCTGTGGCCATGGTCTTTAGAGATGAATACTAATGAAAAGAATATAAGTCGGTGGCTAAAGAATCCATTTGACTACTTTTGTTGCTTTGCCTGCTAAAGTATATTCAATCCATATTTATGACGGAAAAATGCCACAATATAATCATTAGACCAAGCCCTGAAGCCCTGAAGCTTTGACATCGCACACTGTCGTATAAGCGGCGCTTCGGGCGTTGTCGCTTTTTAAAATTCAGCTTGCACAGTAGCAAGCGCGGGCAAAGGCGATTTCTTTGCGAATGTATAAATCCCAACCCCGGGATCATCCTGTCACTTCTCTTCCACGAACCGTCCCGCTAGGATTCATTGACGTTCTCGGACATTATTCTTTGCAAGGACCCCAATGCCCCTATTGTGTAGCCTGGGATTGAGGACACTCGATGTCGCCGACCTATCGATATTTGATGGTTTTGACATGGGAGTTGCGTGCTTATCTGATCATTGCACACAGATCTGCACGTGAGGATGGCCGCAGCAATGCCGCTTGACTGCCCTGGCTGTTGCGAGGCTACCATTCTGCATGCAGAAGCCGGGGGCGTCCGACACAACCGATAGGGCTCGTGATTCGGTCTTCATCCAACGCGGCGCAGATTCCTTTCCATACTGGTTCGGCAACTTTGCAGATTCCCTAGTACTCCAAGCTCTTCTTCATTGCGTCGTATATCCCTTTACGATAGTTAGCATCGTCAAACTCGCCGGCTCTCTTTGCTGGAATAACTCACTAGCAATGTCTGGAATATAAAACTTTTCGAAAATCAGGCCATGATGGGTACTCCAACTCGTGACCCTCTGCACCGGTGCCTCTAGTCGCAGAAAGGCGCCTTCCTGGATGCTTGCTGCAATCTCAGCACCGACACCGGCATTGTACATACTTTCATGAACAACGACGGCCCTGCCAGTCTTCCTGGCACTCTCCAGGACGGTAGCGCGATCCCAAGGATAAATTGCCCTCAAATCAATAAGTTCCACGCTCAGTCCTTTGATTTCCTTCTCCAGAGCCTCGATGGCTTGCGAGCACATATATAATGGTTGTCCGTATGAAATCACCGTCAAATCCGTACCCTTCTTGATGACCTCGGCTTTGTCCAAGGGTAGGGTGTAGGCTTCGCGCGGCACAAATTCCTCGGCAGCACGGTACAAGATTTTCGGCTCCATGAAGATGACCGGATCGTTGCACTCCAGGATGGATGCTGTCAAGAGACCCTTGGCTTGCGCCGGTGACCGAGGCATGATGACCCGTAATCCTGGGATATGTGTAAACAAAGCCTCCGGGCTCTGAGAATGATACATGGCCCCGTGTCCGACGCTTCCACAAGGCATCCGCACGACAAGGCCGCCGCAGTGTGCACCTGTTGCCCCTTCCCGGTACCGGAACTTGGCAGCTTCATTGACAAGCTGATCAAAAGCAGGATAGACGTAGTCGGCGAACTGGATTTCGGCAACTGGTCTCATCCCTTCCGCTGCACATCCTATAGCAAATCCCACGATGCCCTGCTCGGACAAAGGCGTGTTGAATACTCGAGCCGCTCCGAACTCGTCCGCCAAACCCTTGGAACATCGAAAGACACCCCCGAAAGCCACGTCTTCGCCAAACAAAAGCACGTTCTCGTCCTGCTTCAGGGCATGGTGTAATGAAGCATTGATCGCCCCGTGGAGATTCACCCAGTCGACAGGAGCATCTTGTGAAAGGCCAAATGCCGTTCTAGCACTGTTTTGTGACTGATGTAGGAATGGGACCTTCTTCATGTCGATCGGCCGGTTCAACCGGGCCCCGGCGGATGCTTGACTGGCAAAGCGACATTGTGTCGAGGATCTGAGAAATTTCGCGGCAACCCTGCCCCCTTGACAACCGAACATGGCTAACGACACAACAGACTTCCTCACCGTGAGCACATTACTAGTAGCAGCGGATGTGGAAAGCGAGCAAAGAGGGCAGGTTCAGGTATTTGAAGGAGGTTGCTGTGATAGCCGAGGATAAGCGCGACTGGCCCGAGTCCGGGGAAACGCGGCGATCACATGAGATCACGTGTGACTGATCCGGAAAACAAAGATCCGGTGAAGTACAGACGCCGAACTGCAAAAGATTGTGTGCAGTTACTGTGGAGCAGATCTCTGGTAGGTACGAAACCCGATTTGCAGATTTGTTAGAAGATTGTTAGCGGTGCCGTGTACCTACAAAGCGAGCACGTGCTGCCGCACTAGCGCCTCTAACAGTGGTTGGCACCGTTTATTGCTGTCATTTTGCTCCGTGTCTTTTGTACAAGCTCCGCTTCTCGTGGCCAAAATATGACGGAAGCCTCCAGCCATTCTCACATCTCCCTCCGCCAATCAGCAGCTTGCCAGTGGACGTCCATGAGCATGCAATGAATTCAACACATCATCGAGAATCCAGTCTGTCCGTCTGCGTCTGCTTGAGGGACCAAGATAACTTGTAGAATACCCACGGTTCTGTACCGAGGGACGACTGAACTTTTTCGCTCGGGTTCTCACCGTGCTGCCGCGCTTTCTCCCCATACCAAAGGACGACTTCCCCGCCGACATGCCTCAATAGGTCCTCTCCTGCTCTCAGCATGTCGACACAAACGCGAAATGCCTACCTGGCTTCACGGCCGATGGTCATGGGCCTAGCAAAGGTCTTGGTCGTTGCATTTTCGCAGATTCCGTTCGTTCGAGCCGCTCCTCTACACCCCCTCTATCTCCTCGCCGTACCCGACAAACCGGAAGTACACGATCCCAGCAATCCTAGCCTGTGGATATACTTGACAGTGGCTGCGGCGCTCGTGCTGCTTGGGGGTGCTTTTGCCGGGTTGACAATTGCGTTGATGGGACAGGTAAGGCCACAAGCGGTGCTTGACGACAGCGTTAGATACTGACCCGAGAACAAGGATGAAATATATCTTCAGGTCATCCGAGATTCCGGCGAAGGACCGGAAAGGAAGCACGCTGCAAAAGTTTTGGACTTGTTACGAAAAGGAAAGCACTGGGTATTGGTCACACTGCTTCTCAGCAATGTCATTACGAATGAGACTCTTCCCATCGTGCTAGACCGTTCGCTCGGCGGCGGTTGGCCAGCTGTTTTGGGATCTACCGTGCTTATTGGTATGGACAGCCCACTCGATACTTGCGGTATTCCACTGATGAATCCACAGTCATCTTCGGCGAGATTGCTCCTCAGTCCGTCTGCGTCCGTTATGGACTACCCATCGGATCGTGGATGGCACCATTTGTCCTCGTCCTTATGTACCTCATGGCCCCGGTAGCTTGGCCCACGGCCAAATTGCTCGACTACCTCCTAGGGGAAGATCATGGAACCGTATACAAGAAGGCGGGATTGAAGACTCTAGTGTCACTACACAGAAGCTTGGGGGAAGCCGGCCAGCAACTGAATGCCGACGAAGTTACCATCATCAGCGCGGTCCTCGACCTCAAGGATAAGCCTGTCGGGAGCATCATGACCCCCATGGAGGACGTCTTTACACTCTCGCTCGACGATGTACTGGATGAGACCACCATGGACAACATCCTTTCGCAAGGCTACTCCAGGATCCCCATCCACCACCCAGATAATGACGAGAATTTTGTCGGCATGCTACTGGTCAAGATGCTCATTACTTATGACCCGGAGGATGCTAAACCGGTCCGTGATTTTGCCTTGGCCACACTACCTGAGACAAGGCCCGAAACAAGCTGCTTGGACATTGTCAACTTCTTCCAGGAGGGCAAATCCCATATGGTCCTTGTGTCTGAGTATCCGGGCGAGGATCATGGTGCCCTTGGTGTGGTCACTCTAGAAGATGTCATCGAGGAATTGATTGGCGAAGAAATCGTCGATGAATCCGATGTCTTTGTTGATGTGCACAAAGCTATTCGACGCGCAATGCCTGCCCCCACCCGCCGCATCCCGAAGACATTCATTGTCTCCGAACCGGCAGCACTCAACGGCACTACGTCGGATTTGGTCGACATCGATGAACGCGAAACATTGACTCCCACAGACCTGCAACGAATCAAGGCCTCCGACACCGGAAAGACGAAAGTGATCGCTGGACCTCGAAGGAGGTCAAGTGCATCCAACAGTGTCGCCACAGATGCCAAGACCGGCAAGCGACATAGTACTGACGACATTAAGGAACACTTGAAGCATCTAGGACCTTCAAATCTGGCAAGCAGACCCCGATCAACGAGGTATAACACGGTCAAGATCAAGAGGGGTACAGACACGGCCGCAAGAGAAAACGGCGGCGAAGGCCGAGCGACACCCGCTAGGAGGATATCAGAAAGTGCCTCTGAATATCAGAATGGCATCGGTGAAGGTGTCATCTCAACTGGTGGGAAAGAGGCCAGTGATGGTGTGCAAGCTCTCCATCAAGAGGGTTATGGAACACTTTCTCCAGAGAGACGGCCAGACAGTGCGACTAAGGGAGTACAGGCCGATCTCCTGGACACCGAAACTGAAAACACTGATGCCCACAGTGCCGATGATAATGGTGATGGTTATGGTGATGATGCCAAGCACCAAGATCGACCACCGGCGAAGACGATGGATAGCCAGAGCACTGTTGGGAGCCTACATGATGCGCGAAGTCAGTCGCGGACTATAATCTACCAGCCTAAAGGTCCTGCTCGAAGTGGCAGTATCACGGAAAATATTGTCGATACCAACGGCTTCCGCAAAATTGTCCTGGAAACTACCTCGAGCAGTGAGTCGAACGGGGAGGATGAAAACAGCGGTGCCAATAAAATCCATACACCACATGAAGAGAATACACAGTTGGCAACAAATGGAAAGCCAGAAGGAAGTAACAACAACAGCAGCAGCAGTAGCAACAACAACAACAAAAACAACCAAGAACAGCAACCACAACAGAGTCAAGGGGGGAAGAAGAAGAAACGTCGAAAGCGTAAGAATGGCCAGGGCAAAGGAGAGCGTGAGCCGCTTCTCGGATGAAGGATTTCTGGGAACCTTGTCCTCCTCGATCTGTCCCATAATATTGGGGTGTTGATCAAAAAAAATAATGTTCGACTGATGCACCAGTTACAGCCTTGCAGCCACGACTACATCGGCGCCGTACCGCAAAAGTTCTATTGGCCACACATGAGTTCCATGCCTTTGGCCCTGAGGATGAAGGGGAGTGAATGTCGACGTCGGTCGTTGAAGGTCGGAGCAACACCTTGCGCAACGGAACGAGGTAATTCTGTGTATGAGTATGTATTCACTGTTGACAACACAAGAGTGAATTGGCTGTATTGATGAGTCTTGCGCTGATTTATGCCATTCGCGTCTTCTCGGTCGCTGCCTCCCATTCACTTCCTCCTGTGACCCTCGCGTACGCCATCTCAGTTCCAATGCCCACCTTTCTGTACAAGGCGAGTTTGCCATCACTCTTTCCTATTTACTGTTACCTTGAGTTTCTGGAGGACGCCGTTGCTGTTGGTTATCATCCGCCCTTCTTCTCCACGACGTCCTCCCGCCTTTCACCTCCTTCACTTCACCACCCTTCGAGTTTCTGGTGCCCGCCCTTTCTATCATCAACACCTTCAGTCACTCCCAGCGTCTTCCCTCTCTACAACACCTATTGCTATTCGGCTTGGCAAGATAAATCCCCAATCGGGACGGCCAGTGAAGCAACAGTCGCAGCCGTCTATTTAGTTCTCACTTTCTCTTCTCTTCCTCCTTCTCTTCTTCTCTTTTCTTCTCCCACCACAAACAACTTTCTTCGTTCGCACACACTGTGCGCCCAAAGCCTTCAGTGTCTTCGAACGTTCTGTTTTGGTCTTCCTCTCTCTCCCTCGCTCAAGTTCGGACAAGTCAAGCGCAGCTGTTCTCTCTGCTGCTCCGCCTTGAGTGCTTTTCCCTCTCGCCCTTCTCGATCTTCGAGAAAAACATCGCCGTAAATCGCAGACTTGATCTGCGCGGCAGTCCTCCCTCCTCTCGCCCTCAAGATCGACGACTTGCTTGCAAGTCACCATCGCCGTCAATCGCAGACTTGTTCTGCGCGGCTCTCCTCGCCCTTCGACACCACGATCGACACTATCGCCGTCAACCGCAGACTCGTTCTGCGCGGCTTCCTCCTCTCACACCTCAAGATCGACGACTGTTTCGACCAGTCAATATCGCCGTAAATCGCGGACTTGTTCCGTGCGGCTTACCTCACCTTAACCTCACTTCACCCTCGAGGCCCGCGTGACTTCAGTCAAAGAAGTCACCCTATCGCAGTCAACCGCAGACACCAGGTCTGTGCTGCTTTCCTCGACACCTATAGCAGTCAATCGCAGACAGTGGTCTGTGCTGCTTCTCTACCGGTACAGCAAAAATGTTTCCGTCAATCTTCTCGCCCTTCAACATGGTCTTGTACCTGTTGTCGTACATTTTCTCCGACATTGCCAGTGGCTACAACCACCTGGCAACCGCAGCCGAGCGGGTCGTGACCTCGGCTGGCGAAGAGTTGGAGAGATGGCTCTGGGAGTCCGGCGTTGCCGACTCCCTGATGGCGCTGGGAACTGTGCACGAAGAGGAGATCCTGCCCTTCGTTGTGCTTTTTTTGTGCTGTTTGGTCTTTGTCATTGGGTCAATTTACTTCCAATGCACGCCTGATCCGTGGCGTGCACTCCAAGACAAGATCGACAACCGGTTCAATGCGGAGGTTGCCAGGATATGCTGGTTTGCTCGCGTAGGCGGAATCCTTGTCAAGTTCACCTACACCCATATCGTCAAGGTCGTTTACGACAGATGGGTCCGGGATTCCGTCAATCGCGTCTGCAGCCGCCTTGTAGGGGCACCAGCAGACATCCCAACCCCTGAGCCAGGGTTTATCCCGGGGGGTTTCCCGCATTTTGACGTCGACGACGGCGATGCCAGAGACGTCCAAGCCCAAAAGGACAAGCAGGAGGAGGACACTCGGCGACGAAGCAAGTTGGGCGAGCTTGCAACCGAGCTGGGTGATCTCCGGGCAACAGTGGCCTCGCTCGCTGAGAAGCTTGCTGAGGCCAACAAGCAGGCCAAGGAAGCAGAGGACAGACGGTTCTTCTGCACGACCATCTCTGGAAACAGCGCTCCCCAGAAAGCGCCTCCCTCTCCACGCGTCAGCCAGGCTGCCGTGGAGACCATCCATCTTCTCCAGCAACAGCTGGCGGAGATGATGGAAGAGGCCGCTGGCCTCCGGGGGGAGCTTGCTGCGGCCAGAGCTGCTGTAGAGGTGGTCGCTCCGGCCCCGGTGGCGCCAGTGGCTGTTGTTGTTGTTGACACCGTGGAAATCGGTGTCCAGACGGACCTCCCATCGCGTCCTTCTTCTCCTCTTCCAGAAACGGAAGAAGAGGCTAAGGCGGTGGTGGGGGTTGCCCCTGTTGTCGTTGACACAGGGTGCCAAACGGACGATCTTCCTTTGGAAGTGGCTTCCGTTGTCGCCGAAAAGGCGACACAAACCGTCGTCGACAACAACACCACTGTCGACACTGGGGTCCAGACAGACCCGGAAGACTCTGTCTCCGAGCCTGCTGTTCCTGTTGTCCCTGCCTCTGTCCTGGAGTCCCGCGATGCGGAGGTTCGGTCGTTGAAGGCCGATTCAGAACGACTCCGGGGTGAAATCCAGTCGATGACTGGTGAGCTGGCCACTGCTCAGAATGCCGTCATCGCCAAAGGTCAAGAGCTGACCGAGAGCCGGGAGCGTTTCACCGCGCTCGACCATGCCTACCAACAAACGGTGGCGACTCTCACAGCCTGCGACCAGGCGAGATAAGAGGCCGTCGCTCGGGTGAACGAGCTCCAGACGGCCAATTCCCAGGGCAACCAAGAGTTGGCCCGCGCAAGGGAGGCGCTCGAAGCCGCCTCCGCCAGCAACCTGCAGTTGCAGGAACGCTTCCAGGCCGGCCGCAGCCAGTTCGAGGCGGGCAAGGCTCAGTTCGATGAACTGAAGCGGAAGAACGACGAGGCGGTCGCCGAAAAGGCGGCACAAACCTCTTCCTTCGCGGAGGAGAGGGCATGCCTCGTCGCTGGTCGGGTCCAACTCGACACGGAGGTGAAAAGCCTCCGGGAGCGCCTGGGAGGCGTGGAATGGGCCGGCAAGAAGCTGGCCAAAGAGTTGCACGAGGTCCAGGAGGCGTCCAGTAAAAAGGACGCCCAGCTGGCCGCACTCAAGGCCCAGCTCGAGCCGCTTCGGGCCCAGACCACGCCGGGGGCGTCGGTCACGACAACAGCGGTGGCTCTCCCAGCAGCTGCAGCAGCAGCACCAACAACTCCGGCCGGCCGACAACAATCAAGCTCGCCGACATCGCGAGCTTCCAGCGCCGCCGGAGTTGTTGGAGGAGGCAACACAACGCCTCGGCTGGGAGAGTCCCCGCTCATGGGGGGTTCGAGGACGGCGCCGCGAGGAGCGCCCGAGTCCCTCCACCGTGTGATCGGCGACCTCACGCGCCGCGTTGCGGCGCTGACGGAGGAGAAGAAGAAGGAGGCGGAGGCCAAGGATGACCTCCTGCTGGAGCTGGAGCTCCTCAAGGAGCTGCACAAAAAGGACGACGAGGAGGCCCAAGCTGAGTTGGACGCAGCGAGGGCCAGACTCGACCAGCATCGCGCCGAAATCGGCGAGATGCAGTGGCAGCTCCGGACAAGGGAGATCGACCTTGCCGTGGCGACCAGCAAGGCTGACGCCGCCAGAAGCCAGTATGAGGCCTCGAAAGAGGCCGTCGGCGCGTTGGAGGTGGAGGTCGGCAACCTCGACCCTGAGCGTCGTGCAGCCACTATACGCAAGGGGAAGCGTGTGGCTCGCGACGACGCTCGGGAGTCGGAGGAAGCCAAGAGGGCCTTCACCGAAGACGACCGCCATACTGGCATGGCGGCGAGAGAGCGCGATGCGCTCTACGCCACGGCATCGTCGTCTCAGGAGTCTCCAGGCGACCAGCAGCCTCCAGAGGATGAGGCTGAGCTGTAGTGGCGATGCCCTCACTCAGACCTGGACCTCGATATAGGGCGATGCCCTTTATTTCTCCTTCTTTTTCTCCGGTATACCAGACAGACAAGACTTTGGCAACGACAAGCAGAGCAGAGCACAGCACAGCAGAAGCCTCGAAATGGAATCAATACTCAATCTTCCGACCAGTGGACGACTCACAATGTCCTGGAAGTGAAACACCATGAGGTACAGCATGCTCGCTCGCCAAAAAGTCTTGCAACCATCAGAACATTCTCAGTGCTGTCTCGAGTCCTGGGCAGAACATGGAGCAAACACAGATTCTTCAGTACGGCTTTGCAAATCATCGCCACCAGACTCGCAGAAATCCAATCGTCCCGGATGTCTTGACACGAGAAAGCAACAGCGCCACTTTCGCTCTCCAGATGAAACAAAACATCTACAGACCACACGAGACACACCAAAGAATGTTCAACATCCATCGCATCAAGCATTGATTGAATTTGCAGCCAAAACTATCTTCTCTTTCCGGCTGAAGACTGGCAAAACCATCCAGAAATTTGACTTGTCTCTTGCAAATTCAATCAGATGCATTGAAGGAAACCAAATCATGACAATCTCCATCCTCAGTCTTGTCAATCCTCAATCCGCCTATGAAACCTGCCAATCATCACAACAGGCAAATACTACCACATTAACCATGCAGCCACAAAAAGCTCTTGGGAAGAATGCTCTATCTCAGCATCAACCTTGAGACTGCACAGAATTTACGGTCAGAACTACCACTTTCCCCCGGATGAAGGACTTGCAACCCATCCAAATCCATCTTGGCTGCTAGTTCAATCACATGTATTGCAGGAATCCAAATCACGAGGACCTTCATCACCAGCCTTGTCAATCCTCATCATCAGCCTTGTCAACTCCATCACCAGTCTTGTCGACCTTCAATCTTTCGTCCGCCACCAACAACAGGCTCAAATCGTTCCATGCGAACCACACAAGCCACAAGAAACTCCTCTGAAGAGTCCTCAATACTTATCATTATCAAGCCTCGAATCTTCAATGCAGCCAGGAATGCCTTCCCCTTTCCTATCTAGCAGAAGACTTGCATTCAAATACTTGTCATTGTCCACTGCATTAACCAACACTCATCGCGAGGGGATAAGATCATCGTCCGAATCTTCATCATCATCAATCAATCCCCCTACATCGTCCATCATGACGCCTGCCAATCATCACAACAGGTTCAAATTCATTCAGAAAGACCATGCAAACACATGGCACAACAACCTCATGATAAGAATGCCCATTAGCATTCCTCAACATTTCATCAAAACATGGAACCAGAAGTGTCCTTCGTCCATTTTCAGCAACCTCAAGAATGTTGCAAATCATCATAAAGCCCAAGGCCTCCGATTATTCATCATTGGCATCAAATGCAACAAGCAGTGCAAAAGAGTCTTGCATCACCAAGCTTGAACCACCAGAATGTTCTGAAATTTCAATCTTCAACGCGAACCTCGCCATTGGGAGGGATTCAAATGATCAATGCTCATTAGCATTCAACGTCCGAACAAACTGAAAGCATTCGTCAAAAGCTAGCAAATCATCAACAACTTCACGATCTCCATATTGGGATCAACAGCAATGAGAGATGCAAAGATCTCTCATAAACAGAGTCACCAGACTGGGAAACCAAAAAGAAAAACAAAAAACAGAAAAAAATAAGAAAATAAGAAACAAAAGAAAAAACGAGAAAAACAAAAAAAGAAAAAAAGAAAAGAAAAGAAGAAAAAGAAGAAAAAAAAGGGAATGGCCATGGCATCAAGCATAACGTTTTGAAGCCAGAACAACCTCACAGGAGGTAATCTCATTCGCATTTAGCATTGGACCGACGATCCATCGAAGATGGATTCGGAACCGGAAAAGAGTCTTGCAACTCGTCAACTTACAAGTTGCAAGCTCACGATGTTCATCATGAGCATCGATGGTAATCAGTCAGAGAGACGCAGAGGCCTCTCACGAACAGACTCGGAAATCAAAAAAGAAAAAAGAAAAAAGACCAAGAAAAGGAGAATATAAGGAAAAAAAAGAAAAAAAGAAAAAGAGATGGTTACTATCATCACCCATGAGGCTTTCGAGCCAAATCAAACCCACAAGAAGAATGTTCATTAGCATTCAATCTTTAGCATTCAGCGTCAATCGCAGAAGAATGAAACGACAAGAGTCACAAGACCCAGAACTCTTGCAGAATGTCAGCGAGCTCACGATACTCATCATCAGAATCAACGCAACGAAAGACGTCATGGATCTTCCATGAATGCGTCACAAACAGACTCGGAATCAATCAGAAATAGGCTACGGTCATCAACCATCGATTAGGGGGCTTTCAAGCCAAAACGAATTCACAAGAAGAATGCTCTTTAGCATTCCGCATTCAGCGTCAAATTGCAGAGACACACAATCATCATGAGTCATCGGAACCATCACAATGTCTATCAGTGATATCAAATGCAATTGAAGATGCAAAGAACATCTTATAAGTCATAAACAGGACTTGGAAATCACACACTGGGTACCGGCGTCAATGATCAATCATCAATCATAAACATGAGGCTTTCGAGCCAGAAACAAATCCACAAGAAGAATGCTCTTTAGCATTCAGCATTCAGCGTCAAATTGCAGAGACATACAATCATCAGGAGTCATCAGAATCATCACAATGTCTATCAGTGATATCAAATGCAACGAAAGGTCCACCGCATGGAGCTTCCATGAGTCATAAACAGACTCGGAATTATCAAATATTGGCTACGGTCATCAATCATCAAACATGAGGCTTTCGAGCCAGAAACGAATCCACAAGAAGAATGCTCATGAGCATTCAGCATTCAGCGTCAAATCGCAGGAAAATGAAACGAGTCTTGTAAATCATCAAGAAGCTCACGATTCAGCCATCATCGGCATCAATTGCAACGAAAAGACCTCACGGAGTCGGATCTCCCATGAGTCATGAACAGAATTGAAAATCATCAAAAATTGGCCACGGTCATCAATCATCATCAATCATCAACATGAGGCTAAATCTCAAGCAGCCAGAAAACAAAACCGAAAAAGAAACTCTCAAATCAAGGAGAGAAAAGGAAAAAGAAAGCTCTTCAGCATTGGGCGGGTTGAATCGCCAGGTGAATCGAGTCGAGTGAGGTGGAGTGGTGTGGAATGGAACTTGGGTGAGGTCCCATGGACCGAAAATGGTGGTCTTGAAGTAGACCGAGGGGAGAAATTGCATGGTGTGGTGTGGAATCACAGGGGAAATTGAAACTTGAACGCAAGCAAAGCAACCAGCCGACTCAACTCAAAACAAAAGTGCTCTTTTCAGCACGAGGGCTTGCAGTCTAGCACTTCCGGACTTTGGAAAAAATCACAATCAAGTCCCACAATGAAGTCCGAACATCTCAAAACGTCAAGCACGGGATTGGTCGACGTTACCGCGCATGGCGATGACGGGGTCCTGGCAGGGGAAGGGGAAAGGGAAAGGAAAACGGAGCCAAAAAGTGCTTTTTATGCTTTGTCTATTGCTTTGCAGCACTGCACAGGGGGGACTGTAGTCTCGAGAGAAATTGCTCGATCCCAAGGGATCAAGTTCGAGTTCATATTCGGCGTTGCGTTGGTTTATCTTGACTGCAGTGCAGTGTATTGCTTGCATCGGGTCTGTCAAAACACAAAACCAACGAGCGAGCGAGCGAACCAAAACAAAAGAAAGTCATTGCTTTATTGCTTATTGCATGCTTGCTTGGTTTACAATTCAAAAGCTACAATCAAAGAAATGTTCAAATTCCACAAAATCCAGAGTTCAATTCAAAAGGTCAGTTTCTTCAAGTGTTTCGAGTATTGGATTTGTATGTGCTGCTGCAATCGCGCTGGTAGAAGCGGCGCCGGTACCCAAAGTTTAGTCAGTACATGTGATTCAGTTGGAGGTCGGACTTGTAGTTGTGCATCTTTACTGCAGTGATTGTGACACCAAACACGTTACCAACCAACTGGTAGGGTATTGTAGATTCGCCAACGTCCATGTGAATGCTATTCAACCTACGCAAGCACTATAGTGTTACTAGTCTGACGACAGGATATGAAGCACGCGAAGAGAAGATATGGCCCATACGGTCAACGTGAGGCCTCGTTGATTGTACATTCAACAACGACATGGGTCGAGCTACGAGTCCCAGGGAAGGAGGCATTAACCAAGAAAGGATATTCAAGCAGGTTACAAGCAATCGAATTCGCATTAACAAGCTGGCTTTGACGTGTGCTAAATAAACGTCCAAAAATCAGAGTAGTTAACTGGTTTAACACCTTGCTTTTCCGAGACCACAACGCATTTTGCACCTTTGCCTTCGAGGCTTCGCCTTCGCTTTTGCTTTTGTTAATCTTCCATTATTCTCCCTTCTTGACCCTTTCCAAATTGATAGCCGCGGAAACATAGGCCAAATGACTGAATGCTTGGGGCGTGTTGCCGAGCTGCTCACCACTGACGGAAATCTCCTCGCTCAGCATGCCGACATGGTTGCGGAAGTTGGTGACGGTTTCAAACATATTGGTGGCGACGTCGAGGTATCGTTTGTCATACTTGCCGGCGCGGACGAGTGCTTCGACTAGCCAGAGGGTGCACATGACGAATGTGCCTTCGCGACCGCCGACGCCTGGTGAGAATAGAGGGGAGTTGTCAGAACGAGTAGTAGGAGGAGGATGAGGAGGAGGAGGTGGACTAGGCGATACTGCTGATTTGTGAAAAAGAAGAGAATGGAGAGAACGAAAAGTTTGAAAGGAATGGAGGGCAAGTTTGTGTCTCAGACTTACCATCATCCGTCTTTGTGTGATCATATCGAAATACAAACCCAGCCGAGGTCAAGCCGCCTTTCTCGGGCGTTCGAAGAATCCGGTCCAAGGTACCTACAAACTGCGGGTCGTTGGGCGACATGAAAAACACCAATGGGGCAATCAGCACCGCTGAGTCAAGAGTCGTGTTAGACTCGTAGCTCTGCACGAAGCAGTTCAGCTCGTAGTTGTATCCCTTCTCCATGACTTGTTCGTAGATGGCGTCGCGGGTATCGAACCATTTGTGGCGGTTGGGACAGGGGAAGTTTCGTTTTTCGGCCAGCCGCAGCGCGCGATCCACCGCGACCCAGAGCAGCATTTTTGAGTATGTAAAGTGTTGCTTCTTGCCGCGCACCTCCCAGATGGACATGTCGGGCTGGTTCCAGACTTTACACACAAAGTCGGTCAGATATCGAATGTCCAGCCACTGCGCGTACGAAATGGGTTTTCCGTGCTTGTTGTACAGGTAGATCGAGTCCATGAGCTCGCCGTAGATGTCGAGCTGGACGTGGTCGGTGGCGGCGTTGCCAATACGCACGGGCTTGCTGTCCTGATACCCGGACAGGTGGTCGAGGACGACCTCAGGGAGATGGGTGCCTCCGTCAATACTGAACATCAGTGGCAGGTGGTGGATGGAGTCGGAAGCCTCGGCGATCTTGCGCCATTCGGCAATCCGGGCAAAAATAAAATTGATGTACGCCTCTGCTTCGGCGGGGAAGCCCATTTTCAAAAAGACATAAATGGTGAAGCTCGAGTCGCGCACCCATGAATATCGGTAGTCCCAGTTTCGAGGTCCGCCAATGGCTTCTGGTAAAGAAAAAGTCGGAGCTGCCACAATCGCCCCTGTCGGGTCGTAGGTCAGCAGCTTCAGAACTAACATGCTGCGCTCGATTTCTTGCTGGAACCGGCCGGTGTATTTGCACGCTCGGATCCAAGAGGTCCAAAACTTGAACGTTTCGTTCTCCAGGTTGGCGACCAGGTCCTTGGTTAGATGTGGAGCAACGTGTTTGCTGCACATGATCATGAAGATTTGGTGGCCTTCCTCGAGGTCGAATCGAGCGCGCAGTTTGTCCTCACTGCCGTCTTCTGATGCGACGGACTGGAACATCTTTGGAGGGGAACTTGGCGGCCGCTCGTGGACGCAATATGTCGCAAAGAACTCGGGCATGTCCTGGCACTCGGCCTCGTTCGCAGGTATCCACTTTAAACTCTGATGATACGTGCCGTCCTCGACGTTCACCTCCGATCCACGCATGGCGCCTTTGTCCATGGCGTACCCTGGGCGCGGGCAGAGTTCAATGTCAAACGACATCTTTCCGCGCACGCACTCGAGCTTCCTGACTAAGGTTGAGCCGCTCCATTTCTCCCTGAGGAGCTTGTTGTACTTTGAAAGGGCGAAGAAATCGGTCACGTCGACCACGCCGTCCTCGTCGATCCATTTGGTTTGTAGGATGTTGGAGGAGGCTCGATAGTTCTGTTTGCATACCGTACTGCTTTGTGGGCTGATGCTCCAGTGGCCGCCACCGCCCTGGCTTGTGTCGAGAATCCGGCCGAAGATGGATGGAGAATCAAACTTGGGCCAGCACATGAAGTCGATGCTGCCGTTCTTGCCCACCAGGGCGCAGGTCCGCATGTCACCAATGAGGCCATAGTCCTCAATATGAATGGGAATATGTCCCTGAGCAGCCTCCCCCATGTTGTATCGGATAGCAAGCTGGCTTTGTAGTTCAAGTCCGGGTTTTCGGATAACTACACTTCTGGAAGACTATGGCGCACAATGTTTCACGTCTGGCAGAAGTCGATAAGAGCAAAGTCGAGGCTTAACTTGAGAATACCGGACAGACGCACTTGAGGTGGTGTTTCAAGGACATGTCACAGGGCCCGGCCCGATTGGGACAATGGGGAGATTACTAAGGGAAATACGAGAAAATGGTGACGCACTTGTGCTGCCGAGATCTGTACCAGGTACTTCTTTTTCAGTGTACTTTCATGTAAGTCGGGCTGCTCAGTCAGGCAAGAATACCAGCTGAAAGACCTGAATTAGGTGGTGGAAACGGTGTTGTTGCTCACTACTAGCACTCATATCCGGTATCTCCGCGACGGGGTGCCACGTGATATGTATTCTGCCACGTGACTAGGATATCACGTGGACTGCCCTAAGGCTGGCTGTTTGAATACTCGATACTCGCATAAGGCTGAGGCTGTGATCAAACCTGACTTGACTACCATTGCAATAGCCAGATAGACTAGTACTACATGCTAGTCGTCCTACAATGGTTTCCTGGACAGAAGCACTGATCAGATACATGTCCTCACTTATGATGAGCCACCCTCCGGCACACGACTTCAAGTTGGCGGCAACCGCTATCTTCCTGCCAAGTTGCCTTAGCGGCTAAAGCGTTGTGAAAACTGCTCGCAGCTCACGTGCGACTCACCCGGATCACAAGCTGTGGAGGTAAGCACTTAACGCTCAAGTCTGATACCGCCGAGATTCCGGAGTAATCCGGGGTAGTTCGGCCGGGCGCATGGTGTCTTTGTGAATTGGACATGAGCATCGTGATAAATAAGGTATCAAGTGTTCGGAGACCCGGTATTCTCAGCTCCAACTTAGTCCAGCCTGACAGCGAAGTGACGCAACATGGCCGGGGCAAGTCTTTTCTACGGTTATGAATATGCTTCGGGGTAAGATAAAGAAAATTGCTGCCTGCTGAATTCCCGGAAAGCACTTTTTCGAGGACGGAATAGCCTGCGCAAGAGGCCCTAGAGTGGATTTCGAACAAAAGGTTGCGCTGTACAGGCTATTTTGGGCTGGGAAAAAGGGGCGTTCACTAGCAAACTGCAAGGTGTTAGCAAATCAATTATTGGCCGATTGCTCGAGCGACAAGTATACTCACTTCCAATCACTCCGTTCACAGGAATGTCAATACTCGTAGTATAGCTTGCCGCATCACTGAGCAAATACACATACGCACCACCTAACTCCTGGACCTCGGCCAACCGTGGCATGCCGCCGTAGTAGTTCAGTTGCTGTTCCCAGTCCGGCTGTTGAGGCACCCAGTACGTCATCGTCGTCTTCACCAGTCCGGGAGACACGCTGTTGACTCTGATACCGTACTTTGCCCATTCCATGGCCAATGTATGCGTCATGTTGCGGACGCCGGCCTTGGAAGCGCCATATGGTGCTGAGGGAACGCGCTGGAATGCCGAGGATGTTAAGAGACTGACAAACTGGCTGCCTGGCAGAAGAGTGCACGAAGCCAACATACCTTATTGGGTCGATAAGACGCCATTGATGCCGTAAAGACGATAGCACCTTTGGTGTTTTGCTTGATGAATTGTCGTGCAGCGGCTCGAGCGCTGTAGAAGGCACCAAACATCTAAACGCAGGCATCAATATGGCACCAATGTGGCTGAGGTGAGCAAAGTCAAAGAACATACATTGATGGCAAAGAGTGCTTCGATTTCCTCCTTAGTGAAGTCCAACGCAGACTTGTGATTCGTCCGTCCTGCGTTGATCACCATACCGTGCAAAGCCCCTGCCTGGGCAACGATTTCTTCGATGGCTTGTGTTACAGTCTCCTCCTTCGTGACATCAGCTTGCACAGCGAAAAGCTTCCCGTTAAAACGCTTCGAGAGTTGTTCAAATTCAGGGCCAGACTCGGCCAGGTCGATCGAGTAGACGGCTGCGGCTCCGTTGACAAGACAACATTCTGCGATTCCTAGGCCAATGCCACGATTTGCTCCCGTAACTGCATGTACATGGTCAGTAAGGTGCGGCCGAGAAAAGTAACTTCATTGTTCACAGGGAGCATACTGGCAATTATCTTTCCGGCAAGTGTAATTTGTGTCTGGACTGGTGGCGTGTTGTCGACAGAGGTGGAATGGGCGGAAACACCATTACTCTGGAGTGAATCTCCGTTCTGCGAGGGCGCTTGAGAAGCCATGGTATCAAAGTACTAGACTGGATGATGGAGTATATAAACAGACAATCCCTGTCGAAGCGCAGAAGGCAGGGAGTAGTCAGATGTCGAACGTACGGAGAGAGTATTTCTATGGTGAGTTGGTCCTCTGCTTCGAGACCTCTGGACCAGTTGGCGGGTTTGCGAACTCGATCAGCAGGTGTCGCTTTCGGTCGACGCGGGACCTTGAGCAATCATCTAGTTGTGGTGGAGATCATGCAGATCATTCAAGCGCAATATCCCGGCTCGGGGCCTTCTCGTCTCGGGGCATCGAGGTTAAGCGGTTGTGCTTAGTGGAGGCCTTAAATGGGGTGAACATATCAATCTCCAGAATACCGTAGTACTTCCATTTACAATCTAAGAAGGGCTCCGCTGACAGAGTCTGCCAGCCGGGCTCGCCAAAGCCTTCTCTCATTCAGTAGGAACATCTCCCCACGCTGGCCAAAGCAAAAATTAGCCACTCCTCCCGGCACCAGAATCTTTCCAATTAGACATCCCCCAACCGACCAGACGTTGACCCCGTCACCACATCCACTGTACACATTGCCTTCCATGTCGCACTTGATGCCGTCGGGAATGCCTGTGTCACAGAAGGCAAACAATCTGCGGTTCGTCAGGAATGGTTGGCCTGCATAAAGCTGAACGTCGAAGGCGTAGCTATGAAAGATGAGCAACTGATATTGCGCCACTTCGATAATAATGACTAGGTAACTCACATGGTAGATGCTCTGGTGTCATCAACGTTTTCCACGCCTCGAATCCAGTCGGTATCCGTCACATACAGCGTTTTCTCATCGGGCGCGAAACACAATCCATTCGGCCTGCCAAATCCATCTGCAACCGCTCGGATCCCCCTGGTGGAAGGCACATATCTGTAAACCTGGTTTGGAAGACGAGGTTTAGTTCTGTATCCTTGGTCGAAACCATAGCATGGATCTGTGAACCAGATACTCCCATCGCTATGGACGACGACATCGTTTACAGAGTTGAAAGGTCGGCCATAGAAGTCTGATACCAGCAACTCAACATGATACGGAGGAAAGACATCCATGCAGTAGATACCACTAGGAGCGGTCGCTGAGCCTTGGGAACAAATCAATAATGTGGTTCGGCCGTAGTTAACACCCCCATTGGCCATTTCGATCTTGGGACAGCTGACTTTTTCACATTGTGCACTCCTGTCTGTTGGACTGAGGGTGATTTTGGAGACCTGTACCGACCTCGAACCTGCTGCATTGAATATCTGGTTGCTGGTGACGAACAGCTCGTTTTTCTCTGCAATGAACACTCCCGCCTCGTGGGCGAACGGGTAATCGTGTTCGAGAAGTATATCCAATTTCGGGACACTTCCAAGGATTGTCCGGAATGATTCGTCGTATACACGAAAGTGATCCATGTTTTGGAGGGCAAAAGTACCTAACCACTGGTCTCGCGCGGAGTCGCGTATCAAACGAGTCTCGGCTTCGTGTCGTATTTGTGCCAGTGAAGAGGTCAGCCGAAGCCACGAGCACTTTTATTGAGCCTGGATCTGCAACGTAAGTAGTATCACCCCTGGTGACTTTTCGTCTCGAGGTTGTCGGTTCACGGTTAATGGGGTCGGCGATCTGTCGTTCGACAGCCGCGGAAATCCTACAGAGGCAATTTCCGCCCAAGTGACATTCTCGGCATCATCTTGCAACTTGGCAGGAACCAACATCCGACAATAGAACCAACACCCGACGCCGCGTATATCTGTCGCTCAGAGGGAGAAGGATACGTCTTTCGAAGCTGGAAATCATGGCCCAACAACAAACCGATTCCGCCTCATGGCGAGCAAGCAATCGCCATCTTCAGATCCTGCAAGCAGCTGAGCAAGGAAACTACGGCGTAATCGCGGCTATTGCGTACAACATTGAGCAGATTCTCGGCCTGATTGAGGCTGCCGAAACCGCGCGGTCACCACTGATTATCCAATTTTTTCCATGGGCAGTTACATTTTCAAAGGGACTTCTAATTCGAGCGGCGGCAGATGCTGCGCAACGATGCAGCGTGCCCATTTCAATTCATCTCGACCACGCGCAGGATGAGACCCTTATCAAACAGGCGGCCGATACATTACCGTTTGACAGTATTATGGTGGATATGTCCCATCACGAGAAGCAAGACAACCTTGCCAAAACAGCCGGGCTGGTAAGGTATTGTCAAGAGCGCGGTATCGCGACCGAAGCAGAGCCTGGCAGAATCGAAGGGGGTGAGGATGGCGTGATGGATACAGCCGGCTTAGAAGGAATGAAGACTACAATCGAGGAGACCGATGAGTTTTTAGCCACAGGCGTCGATGTTCTTGCCCCAGCAATTGGGAACGTCCACGGAGAGTATGGACCCCAGGGTCCTAACTTGGATTTTGATCGGTGAGGTCACAGCATTAGAAGCGTTCAGTAGACAAGACTGACTCCGCAGACTGAACAAGATCCGAGAACACATGGGCGGGAAAGCTAAGATCGCTCTGCATGGCACGAATGGCTTCTCACCGGAATTGATGAAACGTTGCATTGTGGCCGGCGTCACCAAGATTAATGTCAACAAGCTAGTCCTTGACGATTACTCCGGGCATCTAGCTGCTAATGCAGGCAAAATCCCCCAGACAATCCTGATGGAACAAGGTGTCAAGAAGACTGTTGATCTCACAATGAAATGGATGGAAGTGTGCGGGTCTGCTGGTAAGGCATGAAATATATGACTATTCTTCGACTGGCTGGAAGGGCTTCAGTCCGATGTTGAAACACCTCAACAAGGCTCAGAAGTATCCCAAATGGCTTTGAGGTCTCCCTCCATCGGGTTAACTGGCCAGCCAGTCCTCTGTCTGCACAGGTCAATGAGTCTGAGGATTTCTTGCCGTTTACGTTCGTCAGATGTGCACATTCCAGCTTCTCAGAAAGTCAGACAACGACGAAAGGAAAACAGGATGGGATGACCCACCAATGAAAAGACACTGGGACGAAGCAACGCTAGATCCATAATCAGTCAGAGTAATGGCGATACCACCGATGGCTTCGACGTGTCTGTCCAATTGTCTTTGCCGTCGTATAGAGGAATTGAGCCCCCCGATCGTGGGTTTGTGGAGGATGAGCAGGATTTGCGCGGCATTGTATATCTGCATGGCAACCCCTTTGAACTGACTGTTAGCGTAGAAAGATTGGGTCACTTATCGTGCTAGCATACCAAACATAGCCGGATGAGTCCATTGAGGTTTGAACACACATCCTCCGACCGCCACTCGCTGTGTGGGCAGAGGAGTGAATTCAATGCTGAGATGTCGCTTCCAGTCATCGAGCATTGACTCCAAACGCTCGGCAGCGTTGATTCTCGCTTGTATATTGTTTCCTTCCCCCGACTGTTCGATTTCCGAGCAGTAATTGATCACCTTGGCCATCAAGAAGAAAGATCTTGCGGCAACTTCCCAAGGATTCATCTCGTCCAGTGTTCTCACGGGTATCCAGAATGTGAAGGTTTTACGCTTGTCTCGAAAAGCTGCCCAAACGTCTTGTTGCAACCACGCCCACCAGACAGCGGCCCTCAGACCGCCTGTATCACCGTGGATGACCTGAGAACGTTGAATGCCAAAGACTCCCTGCAGGTGCTTCTCCCAATCCTTACGGGAGCCGTCCAGCATTTCATAGGCCGAGATTATCAGCGCCGTGGCAAGAAGTTCGAGGCTTGTGAGATACGAACCGTGTCGCATCGCACTTTGAACATAGTGTAGGCTTTCATGGTAGTATCGCAATGCATCATGCCGTCTGTAGATATTTCCGTTGGCGAAGGCCGGGTTAAGAGACAGGTATCGAACCGAAAGCGCCAAGATTGCAGCAAGCAGTCCAACGTTGTACATGGCCAGACGTGGAACCAGGGTGCAGAAATGTCGAAATGGGTCAAATAAATCTATCCAGGAGCTGATTCGGTTCACGAAGACCTCGAATAAATGTTGTTCGGTGTCCTGCAACAAGATTGCGTCAGGCGATTTCCATAAGGCACGATCTGTTGCATATGGTCGTGAAGTTGCTTGGTCCGAGGCGGGCCCTATTTGCCCTAGGACGCCATCCGTAAAGAGAGCCCAGCTTGGTCTTTCTGCTGACATGTCCAGGAAATTTGATATGTCGGGCACAGCACCCAACGTTGGACACTGACTTCCCAGCGTGCCGTGCCCGTCAGTGTTCATGGTTCCAAAGTCTGCATCATTCGCCAGCATTCCAAACCACCGTGCAGTTGCAACATCAATCACAGAGCCAAATGATATGTCTGTCCCGGCATCAGGACTGATACCAACCGGGTCTGTTGCCTGGAGCGGTGCGAGTTGGGGATTGTTGCAAACGGAAGGAGGGTCTTCTCCAGAGGGCTGTCGGTTATCGTGGCCTTGGGTCTGAAGTGGCGAGTGTCTCTGGGGGCCAACATCGCCAATTCCCGTCGGTGGAAAATTGTCACTTCGTGAGGGGAAGAAGCTGTAGCTCTGATTCACCATATTGGCGTCATTCAGAGTTCTGTCCCAGAAGTCTTGACTCTGATCTGTCCGACCGTCTTCTCCCGTAGCATTCGAGCCGGTTGAGTCATCGACCGACGAAGCTTGCGGAGACGGGTCAGGGGCCGATCGTTGAATATCGCTGCCTCTGCCATCCTGCGCACGAGCAGAGATCTCCGGATAATGGCAAATCTTGTCGCTTCTGGCGCAAAGTCCGCAGCGAGGCTTGAGTTCATCGCATTTCAGATGGCGTTTCCGACAAGTCAGACTTTTTCAGATGAAAGTGGTTAAATCAAGCCCTGAGAATCAAGCAACCGACTTACCAGCCCGTTTTCGTTCTGATCCCTCTGCTGCGACTTTTTCGTACGCGGGTTGTTGTATCTGGGGTTGTCATATTGTCTCATGCTCATATTTGACCACCGAGGACGGCATTCGAGATAGGCACGCCATCCAGCCCTCTGGAGATACCTTCGACGTTGAGCATACGGTCATGAAATTCACATTGCGGATTGTCAGGCAGTCCTTTATGCGCTGATGATCAGGTGCCAACTTACAGAGGTATGACTTGAAGGACTTGGCAAACTCACGTGAGGACTTGCCGTCCCCAGCACGCAATCTGTTCTTGAGCTCCGCCGTAGATATGTTCCACATAGGTCTAAGTGCCTCCCCGGATAGCTCTCGCTACAGGGAGATGGCTTGCACCTTTTCAAAGCGGTCGAACACATCGACAGGAGGAGGGTTTAATGCAAATTCGAGACAGATTCGAACATATATACAGGGTCTCATCAGCTCTAAGCTGCCAGGTAGCCGACCTATTGAAGATATGCAAACATCCCACCGTCTACTAATAGCCCTGCTCCGTTCATGAACCCGCTCATTTGCTCACAAGCAAGGAAAACTGCCGGACCTGCCATGTCCTGTGGAACACCAGCTCTCCCCAAAGGAATCTTTGCTTCGAGAGCTTTTCTTCTTCCTTCATCGTTGATTTCTTCGTCGCTCAATCGAGTTTTGATGGTCCCCGGCATGAGGGCGTTACATCTGATATTGTGCTCACCCATAGAGATAGCCATACTCTGGATCATCGACAATATTCCAGCTTTCGTCGGCGTGTAATGTGTTTGCATTCGTCCTCCTTGTAGAGCACTTATAGATGAAACGGCAATGATGGAGCCACCGTGGCCCTGCTTGACCATTTGCCGAGCAGCGGCTTGACAGGCATAGAAAGATCCATTCAGATTCACCCGGACGGTCTTGTCAAAGAGGTCGTGATCAAGCCTGTTGCGGCAGTTAGCCGGGAATGCAGCACTCGCCATTGAACTCACCCGAGAAACGAAGCAGGTTGAAAGATTCCAGCATTGGCGACAAAAACATCTAGTTCCCCAAAGCGGTCTACCGCTGCTTGGACGAGCCGACTACCGGTTTCTGGGAGAGAAACATCCCCAGCGAGGTCAATTATTTCTCCTGCAGGATGTATATCACGCCTGGTCATGCTTTCTTGTCGAATACTGGCCGCCTCTTCATGTAGGCTCCTTCGGTGCTGCTCGTCATGGGGAAGCCCAAGATGGTTGATAGCGACATTGCACCCCTGCCGCAGGAATTCAAGAGAGATCGCTCGTCCAATACCAGTTGTGCCTCCTGTTATGGCGGCGGTCTTGCCCCGGAGTAATGGCCACGGAATCGCACTCATCGTTGGGCGAGATAACTAGCGTTGCCCAGCCTCGCGAGCACTGAATTGTTCGCTTTTCAGGAGATTCAAGGTGTTTGTCTTCATCTTCATGCTTATGGAAAGTAATGTCGGCAACGTCCGTCTCGGCTAAACTGTGAGCAGCTCCAGGAGAAAACGAACCCCAAACGGTGATAGGTTTAAGATCGCCCCGCCTGGCCGGTACGTCCTATAGCCTACGGACCTCTGCTCGGCTAATGGTAATGCTAACATCTCGAGACGGGTCAATATCTGGTAAAACGATCTTGAGCCGTGGCATTCAATATTTTTTTTCTTTTGGAGAAATCTTACAGCCTTGTGAGACGCTGCTGCCAACATTAGTTTGCCAGGACAGCATCATCCTCAAAGGTGAATCTCTGAGAGGTCGAGACTCAGCATATAGTATTTATGCGAACTGCAACTCCCCCAGTCCATCATGTATAACAATCAAGGTTTCTATTTACCATCATGCCACTCTTCACACCCAATACGTCTATACCGGTCCTTAATCAATTTTCACTGAAAGGCAAATTCGGCTTGGTCACAGGCGGAGCCGGGGGTATTGGCGTAGAGATTGTACGGGGCCTGGCCGAAGCTGGTGCAGATGTTGCCTTCACTTACTTGACCAACACTGGAGCTGCGAACATAGCCGAACGAATCTCCCAAGAAACAGGTCAAAGAGTGAAAGCTTATAAGGCGAATGTCTGCGACCGCGAAGATATCACCAGTGTGGTCGAGACAGTCAATCACGACTTCGGCCATCTTGACGTAGTCGTGGCCAATGCCGGAGTTTGCGCACAGATTCCAAGCCTCGACTACACGGAAGAGACATGGGCACGAGACTATGCTGTCAATGTTGAAGGCGTTATGTGGACAGCCCAGGCGGCTGGTAAGATCTTCCAGGCTCAGGGCCACGGCAATCTTATCATCACCGCCAGCGTCAGCTCAGTTTTGGTCAATTTCCCTCAACCACAGAGCGCCTATAACTCGAGCAAAGCTGCTGCTGCGCACCTGGGAAAGAACCTTGCAGTGGAATGGGTCGACTTTGCCCGAGTGAACTGTGTCAGTCCTGGCTATGTCGCGACGAACAGTGAGTCAGCATATATCCGCACTAAGTACACCTGGCACTGCTAAGCCGACATCTAGTGACTCTTAGCCAACCGGAGGCAATCCGCGACAACTGGACTTTGCAAGTACCTGGGCGCCGCATGGCGGAACCGGCTGAACTCAGAGGGGTGAATAATCTTACATCACTATTGACAGGCTCTGAAATGCTGACCTTGTCATTCCCTTTAGTTGTATGTGTTCCTGGCAAGTGACGCCAGTAGCTTCATGACGGGCGCTAATGTTATTTGCGATGGCGGATATAGTCTTATTTAACCGGGCATGTGGGTAAAGCAATGGTGGTGGGTGTATGGGCGATCGTTGTGGTAGCCACTTTAAAATTATCCCAATAGTTAGCAGCTCTTCGCTCCGGCGAGCATTGCATGAATGTCCCTACCATACTTGCAAGTATCGATAATCTGCTCCCACAAGCGAATCCCATGTACAGAAGTAGTCATTTAGGGAGCTCTGGTATGCAAGGAGCGGGACTGTCTTGTATAGACTTGACGTGCTATCTTCAAGGAGGTGTATTCTATGCATCTACCGTGCCACTCAGCCAAGGACCACTGTTCGACTACTTAGGGTATGCAAGGGCGCAGTTGGATCGTCCTCGCCATTGCACAGTGCGCTATCACGAACCCTCTCGCTTTCTCCATCGTGGTACACATCAAAAGATAAGCCTTGAGACCCAGCAGTCTCCCGCCAGATATCCACCTCCCGGTGGGGAGGCGACATCGTGTCGAGGCTCAACAGACACTGCCGAGTTGGGCAATTTGCCATTTGCCGAGCACGTGACTGCGAGTCGTCACGATTACCAGAACCAAGATCAGAAGCGACTGGGACACTGTGTATAGGGGAGCGGTCCGATGATAAAACAGTATACAGCCAGGCAGCATAGCGCCCCTCGCATCCCTCGTGCAGTTAGCCAGCAACATTTTCGACATGCAGTACTTGATGGTACTCTCGCGAGCCGCGAGGTCAAAACAGCGGACGTTGCACTCCTTGAAACCATCACGCAACTTGACGACAAGAAGAACCACATTTTCGCTCAACACAGGGGCAAGCATCCCGGCCCTTGGCTTCGGTACATTCCAAGATCCTGAGGCTCAGGTGGAGGCAGTGTCCAAATCACTGAAGGCTGGTTACCGTTTGATCGATACAGCCAAGGTGTACGAAGTTGAGAAGCAAGTTGGCGAGGGTGTGAGGCGGTCTGGCGTTCCGCGGGAAGAGGTTTTCATCGGCACCAAGTTATGGTGCAATGATTACCATCCTGATGACGTAGAACGCGCTCTAGACGGTTCTCTGGAGGATTTGAAAATGGAGTACGTTGATCTCTTTATGCTGCATTATCCGGTCACTTTCAGACGAGGAGACGACAAGTTTCCGCGGGATGCCAACGGCAGGATGATCTTGGGGGATACAACCTTTGTGGACACTTGGAAGGCGATGGAGAATGTGATGAAGACCGGAAAAGCTCGAGCCATTGGAGTCTCGAATTTTTGCAAGTCAGAAATCGAGACGTTGCTCCGTGAATGCGACATTGTAAGTCTACACTCCCTTCTAGGCTTCCCGAAAACACCCTTTCCTGTCTCCTTTCGTGCCATTCCATCCCATTGCTGATCTAGACCCCATTCTAGATTCCAGCTGTCCACCAGATGGAGGTACACCCTTACCTACAACAGAAATCGTTCAACAAATGGCTCAAATCCAAAGGAATCCACGTAGTCCAGTTTAGTCCTCTGGGGAACATGAATCCTTTTTACCGCAAAACTGGATGGAGCAAAGACATCGCACATGTTACAAAGCCTATCACAGAAAGCCCAATCCTGATCGAAATTGGACAGAAGTATGGCAAAACTCCGATCCAGATTGCATTGGCATGGGGTATCAACTCTGGTCGCTCGGTCATTCCCAAAAGTACGATTGACTGGCAAATACAACAGAATATAGAGGCCGACTTCGCTTTGGACGCCGAGGATATGCAAAAGATTGGAGAAATGGATATTCAAGCTAGGTTCAATGATCCTAGTCTCGATTACCAGTACAGATTGTACAGCGACCTCGAAGGGATCGAGGGCACCAAGGATGGAAAGACGCATTGACTTGAAGACAGAAACGTCCGAAGTTTCACAAAACAAGACATCACGGCATATGATCTCCTGCTGAAAGTCCGTAACAGTTACTTGGTCATAACAGTTGCTTGGTGAAGATTGATGTCAACGGATTAAAATCCACTTCTCACCCTTTATGTTGCGTGATATGTAGTATGTACAATGTAACATTTGGCAGCTGCCGCCAAAAAAAAAAAAATATACTGTAGGAAGTTATCGCATACATCCCAGACAAAGACCACCAGTCGAGAATTGGAACTATAGCTGTATTTAGGGTCCCAGTAGAAATGAAAGCTTATGTCCAGCTTAACCTCTCCTGCCAATGGTCTAATATTGCTGTGTTCGTATTGAAGACTATAGCTGAAGAGCGGCCAAATTAAGAAGAAATAAGGCTTATTTATTAGGTACACTTGCTAAGGGCATATCGAAGAAATACGCCTAAGAGACTTTTGCAAAAGCCTTGCAGCAATTCAATGCCTGACGGCCAGCGTACTTCTGCAAACCTTGATCTTCCGTTCCTCTCAACTGTACTCCAATAGATTATATGGATTTCTCCTACAGACTTCAAAAGAGAACCACTTCAAGCCGTGTCACAGTGCTTGTGGTGGATAGTATTCAAATGGGAATAATGTCTTAAAAAAGATGACCTTTCGAACTATGACTTTCAATCCTCCGTCCATGGGCTGCGGGCCAGAGCAAAGATCTCAAGGCTGCTGCATATTTAGTACCTAGACTATGCCCATGCGTCCCTTCTCATCGGCATTACTGAAGTCTGATCATCCGATTTCACACTTTGGTCTCATCAATGTTGTCCACGTGAAGACCACATTTCGCTTCCGTGCTCGTGCGTCTGCTGAGGTTCAATACGATGCTTGTCCCACGGCCAATGGGAGGGCCTTGTTCTCGGGCCAACTTGAACGCCTTCTCTGCCTCCCAAGCCCATGGCTCGGGACTAGAGAATAGAAAGTCCATCTCTTCAAGGGTGCGTTGATTGGATTCCGGGTAGAGTGCCCATACTTTGGTCGGAATGTTAGTCACGGTGAATACATTTGGGTCGAATTACTCACCGATTGGGATAGTCACAAAGTTGACACCGCCAAAAATATACATCATATTGTTGTTGATGCCTTTTACCATTTCCGGGAGGAGAAGGGTCAAAGTACTGTATATTGTCAGTGTTGTTCAAGGCTTCTATTCATCAAACCTACGCGCAGCCAATACTCCAGCCGACGACACCCCAACTATTGCCCATAGCGCGACACCGAACAGGAAAAATCTCAGCTGGATAAAGCCATGGGACCTATAGCAACGACGTTAGTTCTGCCAAGAAGACAAGAGCTTACATGGCAGAAAGACCATACCGTCAGCCAAGTTGCCCCAAAAACAAATGTGTAGAGAATGACCATCGCCGCCGCTGCTGCTCCATAGGCCTTGGCCACCGAAGAGCGGCCTTCAGTGGTTGCGTTGAGACCTTCAGCGGACAGACCTCCAACGAGAAACATAGCGATACCTTGAGCAACGCTGCCCCAGTACAGCGTTTTGCGACGACCGATACGGTCGAGAGTAAGGACGCAGATGAACGTAGACAACATGTACAGGACATTGTTAAGTCCGGATAGCCATTGTGCTTTGTGTGCGGTGAAGCCTGCAATCGTGAAGATGGCTAAGAGGTGAAAGGTCAGGATGCAATGATAAAAATGTTGCAACGTTCTGAAGACTTACTAGGCCCGTACATAGTAACACCCGAGATGCCGGTCCAGCTCTGCATAATCTGAAGCCAAATGCACAGGTGAGTGCGGCGAGTAATATGCAAGCTACCTCTGCCAGTGCCAAAGAACATGCTGAAATAAGTAATGTTGTGTTCTTCATGTTTCTCCATGTCGACAACATTCTGGATGTCTCGTAGCTCGATGGCCGCGACACCGCCATCTCCTGATGTACCGCCGCGTAGGCACTGGAGAATGAAGAACGCCTCGTCGTTTCTACCAACTTTGCAGAGCCACCGTGGCGACTCTGGGAAAAACCAGCAAGCAGCAAGTAAGCCGATCAGTGGGATGATTTGAAACCCAATGGGGAAGCGCCATCGAAGGGGAGACTCGCCGTCGTGGACGAAGCTTACTCCGTACCCGAGCCAGTAGGCCACAACGACGCCGAAGATGTTGAGCGTGAATTCCAAGGCGATGAATTGGCCCCGAGAAGTGTAGTCTGCCACCTCACCAGCATATGTCGGGACAATTGCGTTCAACATTCCAGTTCCGAAGCCCGTTACCACGCGTGACACGATCATCCAGTCTATACCTTGTGCCGAGCATTGGAACGAAGCACCAATAATGGCCACTGCGGCTCCAATGGCAATTGTTTTAATTCTTCCGTATTTGTCTCCGACCGCGCCGCCCGCCAAGCAGCCCACAAGGGTCCCGAGGTAAAAGACGCAGACGATGCCACCTTGAACAAAGCTGCGGGTTACAACGATCGTACCGTCGTCGTCGACGTACCCAAGGTTCATCACGTTGATGTAGTCGTTGGAGATATTGACGCCACCCATAACTCCCTGGTCGTAACCTGAAGAGTATCGTTAAACGCCCGTCGTCCACACCAGATGCGCGGAACAACCATACCAAAAAAGAAAATGGACATGCCCGCGAACATGTTGACGGCGGTGAGAAGTGCTCGCTTCTTGAGATGCGAAGCCAGCATCCATCTTCCGTTTTGAAGCATCTTGCTGCTTATATGTCCCAGCACCTCTGTTTGATTGAGGTTAGAATATGGAGGTAACGCCTTGAACAAACTGGCGATCCAGGTCGTGAATACCTAGATCACTCTCTGGCAGGTCTATAGTATGCTTTATAGTTCGAGGAGACCCCGGCTTAGATACCTAGCTTTCCCCATACATTTACTTTCCCCAGTCTCCACAAGCTTCCCTCCTCAAAATGCACACATGGGTCATATCTTGTGCGAGTAATGGTGGCTCGGCAAATCCCTGTCAGTACCTAGTGTACCTCGTCTCGGGGTTCTCGTCTCGAGGCTGCCCAAAATTGAACCTGACCCCGGAAGAATCAAAGTGGAGAGAGTGTATGGCCGTAGTTCGCTCGAGTCAACCTTCGAGTTGCTGGTCAGGGTGTCACGTCCTGTTATGGTTCCCTATCCAAGAGGCTTGTTATCACGGTTCCATGCCCGGATTATATGACTAGCACAGAATCCAGAACCACCTAGCACCCTTATTTTCTGTAGAATGGCGCCGCCTAACAGTATTCAGGTCTGGGATCGACCGTCGTTCCACATACTAACCCGGTCGTGGCGCGAGGGGGGAAACCACCGTTCCATGAACGATCATTCCACATAGTAAATTTCGAGAATGGGCCCACCTCAAACTCTCATGGGGCGACGAGAAGCGTTTTGTACTGTATCACCACGCATTTAACTCTTCTACCCAAAATGTGTTTCATAATTCACGGTAGAGTTATGATCGATTCCATACAATTTGTATGAGGACGCAAAAGACGGAGCGAGCCTCTGGCCTGGTGAGACCCGGGTGATCGCTCACCCCGGCTCGCGCGAGCCGGGGGTGAGCATAGGGCGGCATCACCCTGGGCCCGATTGGGGGTGAGTCGCGAGCAGTTCAACCAAACCTTGGCGTCGGCAGTAAAAGCCTGTCCCAAGCAGCATGTCGTGGTATGGCACTTCCATGGGATACTCCCGCTCATCGGGAGAAATGAAGCGGAAAGAAACCATTGCTGCACCATGCTTCCTGCACTTGCCTCCTTTGGCCGAGACGCTTGCCGACATACTTGGCCATCAGGCCTGCCCCTGTGCACGCGTCCGATCAATTGGGGGGGGGTCTCCAACAAAATGACACCTCTGCAAAGACTTATCATTATCATCAGGTAGGTTGGACAGCGGCAAACTGTTTTCCTTGACATTCAGTCCTCCGACCGAGGCTGCCCTGTTCCAGACCCGTAAAGTGTGGTCCTTTTTACTCCAGGTTTTCCCATCGCGTCTTGGTATACACGCGGGGGTGGAGATCTTACCGACGACTCAGGCACCAAGACCCCAGATAACCGAGGTCGGCTATACAAAAGATCCTGTACACTGGTATATCTACTCTGCTCCCATGCCATGGTGGTCAAACAGGCTGGCTGTACCTGGTTATTGTTTCATCCTATTCTACAGTCAACAGACATTTTCCAGCCATGGATGTGAAAGGGGATACTCGCTCAGAAGCGATCCATCATGAAATCAACATCGCTGACGACAACGTTGGGCATGAGGTGGAGCCAAAAGCACCTATTCTGAGCGAGTTCTCGGTCCAGGAGCAGCGAAAGATCTTGCGACGCATAGATCTACGAATCTTGCCCATCGTCGGCGCGGTCTACTGCATCTCCCTGATCGACAGAACCAACCGTAAGTGGCATTCAACTCACAGTTTCAATATCATATATCATAGGCTGACGGTAACACAAGTGGGCGCTGCCAATATCGCCGGGTATGCAAGAGCCTTCCTTCATGTCTGCCTGCAAGCTAAATCTTGTTATAGTATGGCAAAAGATCTCGAATTGACGACCGGCATGAGATACTCCACCGTGACACTGGTCTTCTTTCCCACCTATATTGTCTTTGAGCTTCCTGCGACAGTCTTGATCCGTTGGATTGGACCACGACTCTTCCTTTCTTCCATCACTATGACATGGGCGGCAGTTATGATCGGCTTTGGCTTCACCAACAACTGGAAAGTTCTCGGTGGCCTGAGAGCTGTGCTAGGTATCCTTGAGGCCGGGTTCTTCCCAGGCTGTCTCTATTTCCTGAGGTAAGTGACCAACACTAAGTGGAGATGGCTAGCTTACCCATGCTGTCAATTAGTACATGGTACACACGGTATGAGATGCACAAAAGGTAAGCATTCTGAGACCCTGCCACACCGGGGTACAAAGCTGATTCCCGTGGCAGGTATGCTGTTTGGTATTTTTGTGGTTCCGTAATTGGTGCCCTCGGGGGTATTCTTGCGTATGGCCTTATGCAGATGGATGGTATCTGTGGACTCGCAGGATGGAGATGGGTGAGTTTCCAGGCATTCTATTTGCGGTGGAGGAACAAGGCTAATCGTGAGTAGATATTCATCATGGAAGGTGTCATTACCGCTGCCATCTCCATCGCGGCCGCCCTGGTCCTCGTTGGCTTCCCGGACAGCAAAAAGCTGTATCGAGGCTTTCTCAATGCAAAGGAAAGAGACTTTGTCGTGGCCAAAATCAACGCAGATCGAGGGGATGCCGAGGAGAAAGAGCCGTTTAATATGGGAAGCTTTCTCCGCCACGGTTTGGACATTAAAGTCTGGGGCTTTGCTCTGCTCTTCTGCATGCTTCTCGTCGTGTCATACTCCTTTGCCTACTTCCTCCCAATCATCCTGCAAAAAGGCATGGGTTTCTCGACGGCTGCAGCTCAGTGCTTGGTGACCCCGCCGTATGTTGCTGCGGGCATTATGATGTATACTGAGGGATGGTTGGGTGACAAGTACAAAACCCGAGCGCCAATCTTACTCTTCAACTGCGTTGTGACGCTTATTGGTCTCCCGGTCATGGCCTTCTCGCCCAGTATGGCCGGCAAATATGTGTGAGTCTCCTACCGTATTCGGGAATGTCAACCATAGTGGAATGCTGACACAGTCAATTGCTGCAGCGGTGCGTTCCTTACAGTTATGGGCGCCAACTCGAACATCCCTTGTACTATGGCCTATCAAGGTAAGACGCAACTCCGAGCTCTTCGTTATCATGCATGCTAATCTATTGGTAGCAAATAATATCCGTGGTCATTGGAAACGGTGTTTTTGCAGTGCCACATTCGTCGGCGTCGGTGGCATTGGCGGTATCATTGGCAGCTTGGTCTTCCGCTCTCAGGACGCCCCACGATACCTTCCCGGAATCTACGCCTGCATCGTGAGCCAGGTACTCGTGCTGGCAATCGTGCTGTTGCTTTCAGTCAAGTTTCGCCGGGACAACAAGAATCAAGCCGCTGGGACTCTGATCATTGAACGAGACGACCAATTCAGATATACCATCTAGTCAGATTGGCAAGGCTGTCAGTGGACGTTTGAAGGTGTTTCCCTTGGTCATGCATACGATTATGTATCTCAAAGCCAACAAGATCTCGCCGGGCTGCAATAAAACAAAGAAAAGGTAACCAGAATGACATCAAGCGGAGCAAGCTGTCCAGGCTAGGAAGGCCACTTGAAAAGGTACATTTGTGCATTTGCACATCCAGATGTTGATGAATACTGTCACTTCGTAGGGCGAGCATTACAATGGTAGACATGTTTGCAGCAATCAAACTTCAAATTACCTTTCCAAGAATAGCGCCCAATGACCCCAGACTACTAGTAGTACTAGTCCGGAACTTAGGGCGGCGGCAGATCGTCCCAAAGTAGTCGGGGCAGCCCTGTGCTTGTGACTCGGGGATCTGACACTGCCCGTGACAGCGCTGACGGCTTGGAAGGCCCCTGTTCAACAACACTGGCATCGACAGTGTCCAGCAGCATTTCCACTCGCTTCTCACCCTCTTTGTCGAGTTCGGCTTTATCGTGAACAGTTCACTGCGACAACCTCTACTCGTCCGATTTTGGATATTTCTTATCCTTTCCCAACGAAGTGCCAGTGCAGTGTCTACCGCAACTGCCCCAATGCCCGTGTCCTAACATTTCCCCAACCCGCGCCTTCCATGGACACTCCCCCCTACACCGACCGCGTCTCACGACCTGCTTCGGTTGCACCGGGTTCAACACGTGAAACGAGTTCACTCTACATCAATCCTCGTCGCAAGTACAAACGCCGAGGTACGGGCTCCGTGTCCGAGACAAAAAGCGGAAGCTCAGAAGATGAGGCAGGCTCTTCCATGTCGGAATCAGAAGAACACGAACTAGGCGCGCTGGACTCGGAGTCGGGTATAGACGATGATGAGGAGACTGGCCTGCATAAAGACGAGAGGAAAAAGTATGTCAAACGAAAGCGGCGGCGTCATGGCTTGGATTCTCGCATTGCAGGCACCGCAGGCATTTCAAAGGAAGAAGCCAAAGAAGCCGACAAGCGTGTGCTGCACAATCTCCTGATCAATGCCGCCCTCGTAGGCCTGTGGTATTTCTTTTCCCTGTCGATATCAATTGTGAGTGTATACCCTCTGTTGCATGGAATTGACTGACTTTGGGAAAAGTACAACAAAATGATGTTCTCCGCCGAACACCTGGATTTCCATTTCCCGCTGTTCGCTACCTCTCTGCATATGCTGGTGCAATTCGGGCTGGCCTCCGCCATTCTTCTCCTCTTCCCCTCCTTCCGACCGTCACAACCCTACAAAAACGAATCACATCCTCCGAAGCCGCTAGTCACGCCAATGTTTTATCTTACTCGACTGGTCCCTACAGGGACGACCACCTCCCTCGATATTGGCCTCGGCAACACCTCTCTACGATACATCACCTTGACCTTCTACACCATGTGTAAATCCTCGGTCCTCATTTTTGTTTTGATTTTCGCCTTCCTCTTCCGCCTGGAGCGGCCCTCTCTCAAACTCATCCTCATCATTCTCACAATGACCATCGGGGTGCTCATGATGGCTGCCGGGGAGACGGCATTCAACGCTCTCGGTTTTGCCCTGGCCATGTCAGCATCATTCTTTTCGGGCTTCCGCTGGGCCGTCACACAGATACTTCTCCTCCGCCACCCGGCCACCTCCAATCCTTTCGCAACTTTGTTCTTCCTGGCGCCAATCATGTTTGTCAGCTTATTTTGTATTGCTTGTGTGTCCGAGACACCATCGGCTGTTGTGACAGGGGTCCAGGTGCTGGTTAGCACCTATGGGCTTTTCAAATCTCTGCTTCTCCTTATCGTTCCTGGGTGTCTGGCGTTCTGTATGATTGCCAGCGAGTTTACCCTGCTTCAACGGACAAGTGTTGTTACACTCAGCATTTGTGGCATTCTCAAGGAAGTTGTCACGATCAGCGCCGCTGGGATTATCTTTCATGATGAATTGTCCTTGGTCAACATCACCGGCTTGATCGTCACTATCGTCAGTATGGCCTGCTACAATTACTTGAAGATCAGAAAGATGAGGGAGGAAGCCCTGGAAAAGTTGAGGAAGCGTGACGATGGACACTACGACGAAGGAGATATCACTGATGCCGACAACACGGAGTTTGGGGCAGAGGCGATGGAACGTTCAAATCCTGACAGGGTGCCTTTGATACGAGATCAAGAGGCTATGAATAAATCCGGGCCGGTGTTGAGGAGGTTGTCAAACTCGCCTACGCACTCTACGGGGAACGGCAGCCTTGGATCCCCTACGAAGCGGGGCCGAGACTTGGAGTAAAGATTATGGGTCTTGTTTTGGGCATATGGCTACGGAAATGGTAGATGAGAATTTTCTCCCACTTCAACTGTCCAGTCGAATTAGAGTGTATAGAGTATCAGACGAGTTTCATGTTCTACTAGTTCGTGGAGGTTATATCTGATGCTGTATAATACCCGCGTTTCTAGTAGTGTTTGTTGCAAGACTGCAGGCTGACCAGCCTAGTCCGGGTGCAGTCTAGGGCAGCCTGATGCAGTGGGCCCTTGCGGCCTAGTATGTAAGAGCGAGGCTGTGGAGAGACAGGGGCGACAGTTACTGTTGTCGTGTTATCCAAAGTCATATTATGTGACACTACAAACGACAAGGTGAAATTCATTGAGAAATCGGGCAGAGAAGTAGGCCAGTTCTGATTGTCATCCTCATTTCCCTTTTGATGCAACATCTGTCACGTCCCTTTTTGGTCTGGACCATGACTACCTTGTTTAACTTCTGACTGCTAACTCAGTCTTATTCCAGGGTGAGAAGTCAAGAGCGTGACTAGTAGACCAGACAATCCAGATATTAATGGCGGATACAGATGCCACCTACCTAGGTACTTTTGTGCATCACTCGCTCCTTTTCCTTCTCTCTCATCTCCTCTCTTCAAGGGGACTCGGAAGGGTTCTTCAATGTCAATTTCCATGTCATTCTCTGCCACGACTGAACGAGTGGACGGCACGCAGCAGCAACATCACTACTTAGGTAGGTGCGTCTGTCAGGTACACATATATCGAGATGACCAACACTGCCTTTTTTCTGGGAGTGATACCAGCTTAGTCCGACTTTAAGACACTTAGCTGCATTCAAACACTTTTATAGATGATCCTATATATAAACCGGCAGAAGCGCAATAAGAAGTAGTCTACTTTGGAAAGATAGCTGATTTGGAGCCTGTCTGTCCCTCGATTTTGAAACGGCAAGATACCCAGCAAGCCGCCAGACCCCTGTTTCTCTAGTCCAACCCTTCGGTGTTTTTCTGTGGTTTGAGACCCTTCAAAATGATACCTGATAGCACCGGCACAGACACAGTCCCACATACAGTCTTTCGCTTTCCAGGATGGCTCTTTGGTCCAACTCTCCTATCGCTGTTTCTGTGAGTCCGAGTCTTTCTCCCATCCGTTGCCATTGCACAGGACAAAGTTCCCTCTCAAGCGGCGTCCGACTTTACTTCTCACGGCACCGCATCCAGCATCTATTCAGGACCGGCATGCTAAATCTTTTCCAGAATCTGGGACCTCATCGACCGCCGAATCTCCACGCGCAACAAACAAAAATACCGCCCCTTCCCGCTGCCAACGCCCAGCGAGCGAAAGTACCACACCAGCAACGTGAGCATCGTAATCCCCACCGTCGACACAGACGCCAGCTTCACAACCAGTCTCTGCGGATTTCTCGGCAACAAACCCCTCGAAATCATCGTCGTGACCATCGAGGGCGAAAAATACCGTGTCCAAGAACTAGTGCATAATGCGACGGTGCAAAAGTTTCGAAGCCCACAAACCGCCGTCAAAATCTTGACTGTTCCGCACGCGAATAAACGCGATCAACTTGTTTGTGGAATCAATGCGAGCAAAGGTGATATTGTGGCTCTGGTGGACGACGATGCGTTCTGGTCGAGAGAGAATCTGTTGTTGACTCTGTTGGCGCCGTTTCAGAGGGATGATGTGGGTTTGGTTGGGTGTGCTGTCACGTAAGTCTGGACTCTGGAAGCGGTGAGCCGAGTGTGTTGCTGGCGCTGTATTAACATAACCCTTGGTTATCCGGATGGCTAGATCATATATCCCAGACCACAGAAAATCCAGCACCGCAATCACACCGTGGGAAGTCGCCGCCATTCGACTCCGCGGAACCCGGCACGGCAGCATGAAATCCGCATACGCGACGGACGGCGGGATCAACTTTTGCGTGTCGGGAGTGACCATGTTAGTACGCGGGGAGATTTTGCGGGACCACGAGTTCCAAGACGCTTTCATCCACGACTTGTGGATGGGGAAGAAACAGAATAGTGGGGATGACACTTTTGTTACAAGGTGGGTGTTGTTTCAGCATCATCGACAGAATCATCGTCACCGCAACAACGAACTTGAACAGGTCCAACTCAATGGTGAGATTACCCAGTGCCAACATCAGGGCCAACTTGGAGACCAATCCGCCATACCCAAAAACAACATCAACGGCCTCGACAGTTCCAGTACCGGTATCAGCAGCCCCGTCTCCACTGCCATCTCTGGCCGAAAACAATGGAAACTCGGGATGCAACTAACCCCCGAATCCGAAGTCGGCACCTCAATCATGCCCGACAGCCGGTTCGCAGGGCAACTGAAAAGATGGTACCGCAGCGGTCTGCGCCATCGACTGATGTGTTTGTTCTATGAACCCGGAGCCGTCGCAATGTTCCACACGTGTCCGTACATGACGAGGAAAATGGTTGAAGGAATGTTGAACCCGATTCTGCTGCCGTTGAGAATGTATGCGTTGTACGAAACGTGCAGGGTTTGGCCGTTGTTAGGGTAAGTAGAGCACCCACACTCAGCAACCCTCGTCCGGCACCCACCTTTGGCACTCACCCCTTTCTAACAACACAATTTTGGGCCATATAGGTTCCTTGTTTTAATATGGAAATTCACCTGGTACACTCACAGCCTCGTCAATTTTGTCAACGAATATCCCTGGGCAAGTAGGTATTGGTGGGCAGCCGTGCTGGTTGATCACCTGTATCTCGTGTCGGACTGGTATTGTTGGATGACGCTGGGGACTGAGGCGTGGATGACGAGAAGAAAAGTGGACCAGGACCATCAAGCTCCTGATCCTGAAAATGATCGCAATGATGGCGACCACGACGAGCCTCACGGCGAGGAGTATAATAGTATTGCTGGCTTATGCGTCAATGATCCTGCTGCATCGGAATTGGATCAGTCATCTGGAACAAGACAACAGGACTGGAAAACGGGACTCGACTTGATGACTGCGTCTGCTTAAGGGCATTGCCGCGGGGACGAAGTGATTGGACATAGTGACTGCGAAGCCTCCCGGCAGGTTCATAAAAAGTGTTGGAATAATCCTTAATCAAAGCATCATCTGGACTGTTAGCTTTGTCAGAGGCAGATACCGAACGATTTGCGGTCCTGATCTGATAGGTAACAAGGGTAGCAAAAACAACAGTTCTTGAAGTGGCCACTTTCGTACAATGTAATGGTGCTGTCAGATGGAAAGGGGACGTCAGCCTTGTTGTGGGCCTGCGTCAAGGCCTCGTTTGGTTGCCGCCCCAAGCAAGACTAATGCCAAAAATAAAAAAAAACATGAAAGGATAAAGTAAAAGAACCACAAGAGACTGGTCTGGTGAGACATTGTTGTATTTGGATAGCACCAAATACCTGACAGTACGAGCGCCAAATCTCCCGCACCATCGTGCGGCTAACAAGCCTCACGGCACAAGATTAAGCGGCGATCCTCCTCGTGCTTTGGCGCAGCTAGTGAGCATGCATTGAAGCTGACTTCTAGAAAGCCTCGTTTGCCGGTCAAGAAGACCTCGAACCATGGTGTGTGAGCAGCTGCTCCATATCCTAATGCAGCTTCCAACACTGTCCCGTGCCTTACGGGCAATATGCCTTTCGGCCTTGGTTCTTCAGCCCCAAATATCTGCTCCTGTTGGTGGGTGGTCCAGTTCGTCATCTTGCTGCCAGCCAGGCTGCGCACGTGTCTCGTCGAATAGCTCATTGATCGAAGAGCTTCAAGAGTTCTTCGGTTGTGGCCATCTAGCCACCTTTTTTGGCAGTTGCAGCAACCCCTCCTCTCCCGCCAGCGTTGTCCGAGAGTTTCCCATCAATCAAGCCTTTAGACATCCTCAAGGTGATTTTCTGTCTCTCCATGTCGACCACCTTTCTCATGCGCTCAAGATCTCCATGTCGACCCTCAACAAACCGAACATTCACAGCGCCGTAGGGCTTTTCGATCAAGTATGTATCCGAAATGAGCATGAGATTGCCTGTCCATCTCGCTGGATGGGTGCGAGACAAGGCATCGAACAACGCCTGGTCCGTTGGAGTCGTCCCTTTAGGACCTATCCGTGCTTGCGCTGCTTGTTGAGCTGCTATGTTCCTTGCGAGTCGTGACTGGACAGCGTTTATATCAATTTTGTTCAGGGCAGGGTTGGTTGGTGCCTCGGCCTGTTGCTGTGGTAGAGAGAGAAGCTGAAAGCTGCTGATCTGCGAGATGGGAATGATTCGGTATGCTCCAGCGGGAGCTGCAAGAGTAGCAGAGCTGATGCCCGTGGGTGGAACAGCACTGATGTTGAGAACCAGAAGGTTCGTCAGGGGATCAGCAGTGTAAACTGTGCCCTCGACGCTGGTTTGATTCGGAGCGACAGTGGTAACGCGAACGCTGTGTTTGAGTCAGCCACAAGTACACTCAACGTCCACCTCACTGGGACTGGTAACCATACCGACTTCCGATCGCTTGTTGTAAACCAACATCTAAAGAAACGGTGGCAGGTGTTTGTGCGGGCTCACTCTTGGGCAGGGCAACAGGCACTCTGGCTCCTGCACTCTGGCGCTTTGTCTCGGACGCCATCCTGTTGCAAGAGCAAAGTGCGGACAAGATGTTACGACAGTCTCAGTTTGCCCAGAGTCTTCTGCGTGAAGGGTATCTGCGCGGAGAGTAGAGTGTGCAGAGGAGTCAACACAGGACCGTTGTTGTCGACCTGTCTCAGGAGGCCGTGTGGTCGCTCGACGACCGCAGGCCGCTCGTCGTCACAACGCTCGATAATCACCCGAATAATCTCGAAATCGACTGCTATACACCGGGCGCCAAAGGAAAAGAAATCCAGAATGTGCCAAATGGCAGAGGATTCAGGGCGGCAAGGACCACGGTTGCAGGGCAGTTCTGTGAATACACAGAGGCAGAGGGATGCAGGACAAATTCATGGACAATTAATTACCTGCGAGTCTGGAGATGGAGGAGACGGCGACAGCGACGGTCTTTCCCCAATTCAGCCGTTCGGAGTGCAGGTGTCACCGAGTCCCGGCAACAACCCAAATCCGACCCTGTCAACTGGCACGCGTCAAAACACACGTGTAAGGTTTGGATAGCCACGAAAAACGCTGGCAACCCACGCGGATCTACTAGTTGCTTTAACCTTGTAATCGTATTCGTGAGTTTTAAGGACCTATTTGTGCCGACCAGCGTTCAGGTCATGCATACGACCCGAAGTTACACGATAAATTGTGTCATGCCATGTCTACCATAACGCGCTAGGACAGAGTGCAAGACTTGTCCTGGCGGCAACCACACGGTTTCCATCCTCAGAAGAAGCTTCCAATCTTGTCGACATTCTGGATCGTGTTCGTTCAGACCTTGAGCCAACGGAAAGCAAACCTTCCCACTTCCAACGACTTTTTCTCGTCCATCAGCCAAGAAGAGACACACAGACCGACTATGCGTTGTAGGTGGACGCAGAAACATTGCCTCCACGACCGGTCCAGTTGACGTGGTTGTAAGCTCCAACCTTGAACTTGTCGTTGGCATACTCCGGCTTGATCTGGAAGGTGTGGGCACCGAAGTAGTCACGTTGAGCCTGCAAAAGGTTGGCAGGCAAGTCCTTGGTGCGGTAGCCATCAAAGAAGGCCAAAGCAGTGGAGAACGCCGGCATAGGAATACCAGCCTTGACAGAGAAAGCAATGACGTCTCTCCAGCCCTCCTGCGCGTTGTGGATGGCCTTGTTGAAGAAGTCGTTGAACAACAAGTTCTCGAGGTCAGGGTTCTCACGGTAAGCCGAAGTGATGTCCTTCAAGAAGACGGAGCGAATGATACAGCCACCACGCCACATCAGGGCAATCGATGGCTTGTTGAGTTTCCAGCCATACTGCTTAGCAGCCTAGAGGTGTGGGTTAGCAGCTTGTTCCATCCGATTAGACCACGGGTCTACTCACAGCCTGCATCAGCATGAAACCCTGGGCATAAGAGATGATCTTAGAGGCATACAGGCCCTGCTCCAGGTTCTTCAAGAATTGAGCCCTGTCTCCAGTGAAGTTGGGCTTGGGTCCGCTGAGGACCTTGGAGGCACGAATACGCTCCTCCTTGATGGAGCTCAGGCAACGAGCGAAAACGGCCTCGCCGATGAGGGTGACTGGCATACCCAAGTCAAGAGCGTTGATGGCAGTCCACTTGCCAGTTCCCTTCTGGCCAGCAGCGTCGAGGATCTTCTCGACAAGGGGAGTGCCATCATCGTCATTGAAGCGGAGGACGTCACGGGTAATCTCGATCAGGAAGGAGTCCAGAACACCGTTGTTCCACTCGGCGAAGACATCACCCATCTCCTTGTAGCTCATGCCGAGACCGCGCTTCATGATATCGTAGGCCTGTAAACATGTTAGCGGGACTAAAAGACTGGTGGCAATTTGCTCGCAAACTACATACCTCGCAAATCAGTTGCATATCACCATACTCGATACCGTTGTGGACCATCTTGACATAGTGACCAGCACCCTCGTCACCGACCCAGTCGCAGCAAGGCTCACCATCAGACTTGGCAGCAATGCTCTGGAAAATATCCTTGATGTATGGCCAAGCCTCCTCGTTACCACCCGGCATGAGAGATGGTCCATAACGGGCACCCTCCTCACCACCGGAGACACCAGTGCCGACAAAGCGGATACCCTTCTCTTTCAGATATCTGGTGCGGCGGTTGCTGTCAGGGAAATGCGAGTTTCCACCGTCAATGATAATGTCACCAGGCTCGACGTGCGGGAGCAGTTTCTCGATGAAGTCGTCAACGGCAGGGCCGGCCATGACCAGAAGCATGATACGACGGGGCTTCTTCAGCTTGGAAGCAAACTCCTCGATCGAGTGAGCGCCGACAATCGACTTGCCTGCAAGGGACGTCAGCTCGTCAACACAAAAATTGGCTGGAGAGTCGCTTACCTTTGGCTTCGTTCTCAAGGAAACGGTCGACCTTGGAAACGGTTCGGTTGAAGGCCACGACAGTGAAGCCGTGGTCAGCAGCATTGAGGATCAGGTTTTGACCCATGACGGCCAGGCCGATAAGACCGAAATCACCACTGGGTTCATCCTGCGCCGGGCCGACCTTGAGGCCAGCCAGTCGCGCTCTAAGTCAGCAGACCGTTGGTCAATAGGGCCTAGTCACAAAGAAAATGTGCAGAATCCGCAGCGTGTCGTCCTCAAAGATCGACTCTGGAGGGTTGGAGGGGAGAGGGACTGCTAAGAATTTACATACACTGGTCCCGACATCTTTGCGGTAGTGAAGTGAAAAGTGGTGGTGGTAGTAGTAGTTGAAGTGGGATGTTATGTTAGAGGCGGTAAAGCAACGTCGGTCTCTGTCTAATGCACCGAAAAAGACGAGAGGCACGAATTGTAGAGAGTAAAGAGGAAGAGATGTTGGGAAAGGATGGGAAGGAAAGAATAATAATCTTCTGGTGATGAGCAGCGGATAGCAACTGGAGCGGCCACTGTAGTCTCTGCTGTACTGCTACTGGGCAACACAACACAACTGAGAACATCGCTCGACCCCACCAACTGCCATCATGAAGCAGCAAAGGTTTGGAGGGGGCTGAGACGTAGCTGCGAGATTTACGGGTCATTGGCTCAGCACCTCTGGGACCCTTCAAGCTTGGGCTCAGAGTCGCCCTCCGGCTGACTGTTGGGTTCCGAATCCGACCACTCATTCAAGCACGCCGACTTTCTCAATGAAGCGTGGTGTTCTGACACTAAATAATCATCTACATATCTAGATAGAAGCAGAGGTTGCCGTGAGGAAAACATCCAGTCAAGCCAGCGACAGGCGGCAGCAGGGCCGTCCAATTCAGGGAACTGGTAGAACAACCGCAGAGACACTGCACTACCTGGTATTACCACCACCACCACCTCAACATCATAGTGACGAATGTCTGCACCCGCTGCTCCCGAGCTGCCCGAGAACAGCCGGTGGGCAGACTGCTACGGTTTCAGAAGTTGTACCAGTACCACCGGAGTCTTGCTAAGGTGCTCAAACAATTTTAGCATGTCTATCAGCGACAGTAATAGTGGTGCATCTTTCTCTTCTTCATTCCAGATGAACATACTACTAGTGAAGACAATAGACTGGCATGGGAGAAGCCAAAGGCTCCCTCACACTGGCAGTGACAGCGTGGGGGCAGAGGACCCCGCGGCGGTTCCTGGCAGCGGCTGAAAATTTTAACGCTGCCCGACTGATATCACGTGGCATGAATTGAACTATGACAGATCAAGCCTAGTTCGAGTTCTGTCGCTCGACCTTCTTCATCTGCACAACTAGGCGCAAAGAAGATACTAGCATCATAATCCTGCGCTAAGGACGAAATCGACAGTAAACGTGAACTTGAACTTGAAGCGGGCGTCGCAAGGCATCGCCGTTGATCTCCAAGGACTCGGGCGCATCCATCGCATTCGTCCAACGGAACTACTAATACCAGCTGTTATCTACGACTAATCCCCCGTGCCAAAGTACTGCTCGTTGATCCTACTACAAAAAGTAGCGCCTCTCCAACTTGAACAGCACATCGCAAGCCAAACAGGAGTGCGACTCCGAAATACTTCTACGCGACCCGCACTGCGACGACCAGGCCAGTATCAGCGGTGCGCGGGCTCGACCACCAGGGCAGGCTTGTGGTACGTTTCTCCTCTCGAACCTTGCAAGTGATTGCAACCCAGATAGAGTGAGCAAACATTCATCAAATGTCGTATCCGGCCCCTCCAGGTCTGAAAACGTCCTCCAATTCCACGACACCAGTTCCACCACCCTCTCTACCTGCTCGACCACCTACATCCGCAGCAACAGCGACCTTCAAACCCGCCTTCACAGCATTTGCTCCTCGATCGGTAGCATCAGCAAACACATACCGCACGAGCAGTCCGGCGCACTACGCCGCGGCGCCTACTCCCATTGTCTCGACATACAGCCCGGCGGCGACAACCGCTGTCCCAGCGGCGGCCCCTGCGACATCATCATACTACGCGTCGCAACCGGCGCAATATGACTCGTCTTCATATTCCGCTCCTCAGATCCGCAACCCCTTCGTCCCTCCTCCTCCAGCCACTACCACGACCCCAGACATAACATCATCCGCGACCAGTTACCCTGGCAGCTATGACCCGGACTACGAAGCTCAAGTGCAGCAATGGCAAAGCGCCTACATGAACAGAGGGGACACCCACGCGCCCACATCTACGAGCACTACTAGCAGTGCATTAAAGCCCACCACGAATGCTGCCTCAAGCACAGCCGCATCGACCACACAAGCCGGTACTGCTACCAGCACTACCACTAACACTACCACCTCCTCCGACGGCGTCGTCAAGACCGTCCACCGCTCCGGCGGCGGCACACAATGGACCGACCCAACCCTCCTAGAATGGGACCCCGCGCACTTCCGCATATTCGTCGGCAACCTCGCAGGCGAGGTGACGGACGAGTCACTCCTCAAAGCCTTCTCGCAGTATCCGTCGGTGCAAAAGGCCCGCGTCATTCGTGACAAGCGAACCAACAAATCCAAGGGTTATGGCTTTGTCAGTTTCGCCAACGGAGACGATTACTTCCGCGCTGCGAGGGAGCAAAACGGAAAATATGTCGGTAGTCATCCGATCATTATCAAAAAGGCTGTTACGGACGTCAGACCTTCGATTCAGAAACAAAATACCAACAGTAACAACCGGTACCAGAAAAATAAACATAAAGACGGTGCTGCTGGCCCTGGTGGCCACGCCAAGGTCCAACATGGCGGTGTTAACAAGAAGCAGCCAAAGACGAAGGGAGGTTTGAAGGTTCTGGGATAATACCCGGGGTGGATATGGTTTTGGTGCCTTGCTTTGCCTTTGCGTTCCACTTCCGTGTCCTACTTTTTACTTCTGTGTCTTTGCAGATTATGAACGGATGGATGAATTGGATTGGTGGCTGCCTTGCTTCCCACACTTGGAAAGTCAGAAAGGAATTGGTGATACTGTATGATCAGTGAAAGACCAGACCGAAAACCATCGAATTTGTTTCGAACGAGAGGAGGACTCTTACCATTAATAACAAGTAGGTCTTGAGTAAGCCGCCTACAACAAGGAGTAGGGCAGCTATTAGCCCATTATCCTTCTCCTTGGGTAGCTTAACAGCCGGGCTACATTTCAAGTAAATCGTCAAAGAACTCGATCAATGAAATACCTAGGTATTCATTGGTTTAAATTGCATGAGTGAAGGTTCATCCCAACCCCTGTTGTCTTCCTTCTTTGTCGTGTCTACTGGAGAGTAGTAACGGGACTTGTATCAGATTCAAGTCAATTATACAGAAGAAAATTGGGTGCAGTGCTGCCCTTGTATAGTAGCATAGAGTAAAAATATCAGCGCCTTAGGATACACAACGGCTGCCTAGGTACCAACCCCAAGTACTTCGGTGGCGATAGGATCGTACATATAGTGTTCCAGTCTGTTTGATCCTTGGGGAAACTGAACTAATTTGCTATATGGACCTGCTTCCACTATGCCGGGCAGTTTCGTGTACAGTACATCCAAACCACGGCGACAGATATACATATACATTCGGACCAGAAATCAACAGGCCTGTGAAGCCTGCCCTACTTACCTACCTGCCCACATGTGGGGGATACGTGACCGTTCACCGTCAGGATGATGACCGAGTCTGGTTGCATCTCGTGGTATCGCTCCATATTCGTTTCTGCTGACAGAAGAAAAAGGGCAACAGCCATCATTTCTCAACGATGCCGTGGCTCTTTGGCCGCTCATGCCAGAAGACAACCCCCGGTTTCAAAAGCCCTTCTTCTCCCCGCCCTCATGGCTGCTGAAATCCTCATCTGGAATAACAACGAGATTGTCGGAGCGGTACGGATCGACCTTGACGGTCTTGAATTTGCGCGCCGAGACGTGGTTCTCAAAAAGTACGTCGAGTTCGGCATATGTGAGGCCCTATGGAGAGAACCCAAGTCAGACAAAGGGACGGACGTCCAAAGAAGGGAGAGATAACAGGAAAATACAAGAGCAGAACGTACCTTTGGCTCTGGAAGGCGGAAATAGGACCAAATGAGACCGAGCAAGTTTAGTCCAGCCCAGAAGAAACATGTTTTGCCTCGCCAATTCCATGCAGTCGGGTTCATCATGCGGGGCTGCATCGTACCGACCACAATACCCATGATGTTGTACACGTTCCGGGCCAGGACGACGGTTTTGATACGCAGGCGAGTGGAGGGGATTTCTGCGACCAGCGAATAACATACAGGCCCGACCGTGAAGTCGTAGATGAAAGTCAATATGAGGATCAAGGCACCAGAAGCCCACCCGATCGAGGTTGACAGTCCCGGCACGCCCAAACCGCCAATGATTATCAAGATGATGAACATGCCAGCCTGGCCCCAGAGGTATAGCGTGCGTCGGCCAAAGTGTGGCATCAAGAACCACGATAGCACAGTGCCGCAGAAGCCCATAGCACTCTGGCCAACACCCAAGGAGTACGCATCACTTTCGTCGAGCCCGGCTTGGATCATGAAGTAGGTGCCCCACCCAATCATGGGTGACCCGGAGGTCTGCTGCAGCAGCCAGGTAAGGCAGGTGATCTCGGTTCGTCGTCGGTCCACTCCTTTGAAGCAGTCCCAGTACGAAGTGCCGGCCGTCTGTTGGATCTCCAACTCGTTGGTGTGAATCATCATCGCAAGAGTGTCTTCCACGTTGAACTCGGTGTTCTTTCGCGAGGTAAGCCTGAGCAGAGCCCGTCGAGCTTCGTCAAGCTTGCCGTGCCGGACCAACCACCATGGAGACTCGGGGGCGAGGAACGCAGTAAGAGCAATCGGAAGTGGCCAGATCCACTGGATCGCATAAGGGATACGGTAGGCCCATTGAGTCGATGAGCTGACGAAGCCCTTCAGGACTCCTGCCGCGAGCAGTTGGCCAATGACCCAGCAGAGGTTCACATAAGTGGTCAAGTAAGGTCGGAGAGGTACTGGACAGACCTCTGCAGCATACGTTGTCGTGAGGGTCTGGAACACGCCCCATGGTAGGCCAGACAGGACGTACCCAGCCAGCAGCATTCGTACGTTGACCGCAAAGAATGTGATGAAGATGACGGCCGTCAGAAACAGCAGAGCACCAATCATTGTCCAGCGGTACCCGATTCTCTCAGAGATAATCCCGTTGAGAAAAAGCCCAATAATCTGGGCGGCAGCGGTGCCATTCTGCAAAGCGGACTGCCACGACGCAGGTACTTGGTACGTCTGGACCCCGTCTTTGATGCCTGCAGGCTGACCAAACTTTCGAGCAAAGGTGGTCAGGCCAAAGAAATTGCCGAGAAGATAGGTGTCGTAGCCTTCCATGACCACAGCCAAGGATAAGCAAAATGAAAACATGATAGCCTTGGGATAGAGCCTGCAACCCTTGCGAAAGCCCATTTTATGTTCCAGGTCTGCAGCTGCCTGGGCATCGGCCGTCAATTCGGCCAGATTGGGGACGGCAACGGACATCTTGCGCAGCGTATCATCTTTTTGGTTGAAGATAACCTCATCTTGCTGTGCCCCTACAACCGCAGCTGGAACCACAGAGGATCTCCGTCGAGTAGTGTCAAACGTCGGCATCCCCATGTTGTTCGCATAGTGTGAGACACTCATATGGCGCCCACGCCCGGCGCCACCTTCTTCGTCGTGAGCGAAACTCATCTTGATGGATCCACACAGTCCTCAAAGAACCCAGTATTGTCGCCGTGGTATCCCCGGGTACGATATTGAGCGATGATGTTTGAGATGGGCGGGACAGAGTGCACATATATACGCATGCTCCAAAAGATATCGGCCGCTTTGTATATGTAAGGTGTGGATGGCGATAGAGCTCTTCTATATCCCCGAACTCTGATGACGCAGTCGGCCACGCAGAGCTGGGGTAGCTGCTGATAGTTCAAGTGTGGTCTGTGGCGCTCGAAGGTGTGATGTCTTGATGGAGAAGCTCAAGGAGCATCCCCTACGATCCCACCCCAGCGACAAGAAACAACCCTTGGTAATTGACCTCCCCGGCGGAGAAACAGAGACTCATCAGCACCGGCCGAATATGGTATCTCATCATGCATGAAGGGCGCCCTTGTGCTCGCTTAGACAGGGACTGGAGGGGTCATGTGTCGAGAATTGCGAGGTCATCGGCCAGAAACTGCATGTCAGTTTGAGCTGAGATATGCGACAGGGCTTGGACAGCCGTAGCAATGTAAAGCGAGGTCGAGAAGATGACCAATAATGTTGTTTAGACTATGGGATCCCGTTCAGTTGGCTTTGCCAGATGTGTGGAAAGGAAGTGGAGCGGAACGATGAGAGCCTCGCTTCCCATGTGCGACGTTTCCTCATTCAGCGTCCAAGACGTGGCCGTGGTCCAAGTGGCACCCAGTGGTAAACTGCAAAACTCTCACCGTTTGACAGGGATCCTCTGTGCCATCTCTTCTCAAACCCCGCACCGATTCTGGGCTCGATACTGGCAGTCGAGATCTGAGGCGGCGCGGCACACCACTACAAAAATTCCAAAAGGTTGTCCGGCCGAGCGAAACCCCGTCCCCTTACCTCGAATGGCAGCGCATAGCAAAGGCACTAGTTGTGGCCCGTTTCTTCCATTTGCTGACAAGGTCTCGGCAAGTTTGAAGATCTGGGGAAACTGGGTCCATCCAGTTGATCCTTTCTTTCGGGTGGCCGTTGACCATTGGCGCTGTAGAAGGCGCGTACCTCTTGCCAACGCTGCCCTCGAATGATGATCTGGCTGTAGTGACTGATCGTTGACGGGCGATGAAGATGACGTTGCCTCTGCAATAGCACAGGATGTGATGCTGCTATCAGAAGTAGTCGCTCTGCTCTTCCATAATGGTAGCAGCTTCGCGTGACATGTTGGGTTAGTCGCATTCGTCGTATCCTGGTCATCTCAAGAATGAGCTTGCAGCCGTGTCAGGCCGTATGTCTGACCGACAATTGCGTGGGTGGCGTGCATCTCGAGCGCTGCCCTGCCAATAACTCTACTCTTTAGCGATCCCGCTTACATCTAGTCAAGGTTCTCTGCTGGAGTATTGCACAAGGGACGTAGCCTGATCATCCTGAGCAGCAATGCAAGAAGCTTGTGACGGCACAAACCAGTTTACAATAAGCTGCCTTTCCAGAGGGAGCAACACAACAACCAGTGACACCTGCTCAACAGATGTATTGAGACGGCGAGATCTTATCAACATGGACCGAAAGTTTGCCTCTTGTAACAGGACGCGACCTATGCCTTACTACTCAAGCGATGCCGGTCGGTGGTTCGGAAGAAGAGCATGATGGGAGGTTGTTTCGACAGCTGTCGTCGAGAACAACAGGGGACCGTTCAGGAGCTGAGGTTTTCTCCGGCGTTTGCTGCTTGTCTACAGCACGTCAGAGGCGCCTGGATACGAGGCTGGGCACAAACTAAAGCAACCACTGCGTACCGAGTCGATGCGCGAGCTTCGACCTAGAAGTTGGAGTCAAGAGTCCAGCCAGGGAAGAAAGTCGCCGTAATGCAAGGGCACAACCCGGAGGGGTGGCAGGTAGCTCGTAGTAGGAGTAGCTGACAGGAAAGATGAGGGTTTAGGTGGTGTCTCTGTTCGACCTCACAACTTGGACGGCGGCGGGAGGTCGGACTCGGAAGAACAATAATACGGCCGAGAATTTCACCGAGACACTGCAACCGGCACAAATGGAAACGCTTGACCTTCAAGTGCTGGAATCTACCTGCGACCTAGTACTGTAGTAACCACCACTAGTATCAGAACGTCTTCCTTTGATCTGAGACCTCGGAAATCCTGCTGAAGCAATCAGCAAGAAGGATGGCAGATGAGTATGATGATCTTGGTCTAACACAAAAGTCGCTGTCGCAGATCGCACAGTGCAATATGCTGATCCATCCATCGAGGCGGGAAGAATCTCCTTGTCAGGGAGATACCACACCAGCGCTATCCATCACGATAATAGAATCGATCTAACATTGACAGATTCAATGACAATCCTTGGACGCATCATGACCCCTCGCCATTGATCTCAAGCTTTGCGACCGCTTCTTGTGCGGTTTTGCCCACATCAACCTCGGCCTTGTCTTTTCCTTCGACCGACCCATCAGGGTTGGCCTTGACCTTGGCAGCACCCGGGTATTTTGAGCCTCTGTCCTTGGGCTGTTTCTTTTTCTTCGGTTCCGGGGGAGGGTATGCCTTCTTCTCAATTTCCTGCCACTCCGATGATGCTTGAAACTCGGCTTGGATGGGAGCCAACAAGTCGATCAGAGCTGCGGTCGCGCCCGCTTTGAGCAGCTGCGGCGTCAGCCTGTCAGCTTTGTAGTCCTCCTTCAAAGTCTCAATGTCGTGGTAGACCAGCGGCTCGCCCTCACCCTCCCTTCTCTCGCACACGAACCGGCCTTTATGCTCCGGATCCTTCAGAGCGCTGATGGGCAATAAAACATACTCAACAAAGGAGATGATGCCGTTGCCTTCCACCTCTCCGGCGGCGGCATAAGCTTTGCGCAGCTTCTTCTTGACCACCTCAGCCGTGTCCAGGATGTCGATCTTGGAGTCGGGATCAGAAGCAGACATTTTGCCTCCTGCCAGCCCAGGCACCATGGGGTTCATGAGATGTGCTCGCTCTTTGTACCCGATTTTCGGCAGAGTCTCTTGTGCAAGAGCAAAGATTTTCCGTTGGTCAACACCTCCAAACTGGGCATCGACTCCAAGATGTTCCTCGTCAAGGGCCTGCATCAGAGGGTAGATCAAACCCGATAACGGTGCATTATCGACTTGCTTCACCACTTCGGCGCCGGCCTTCTTTGCATCGTGCTCCGTGACCATACTGCTGAGTCTGAAAATGTCCATGGTGTAGTCGGCGCTCAACTGGTAAGATGAACCCAACACAAACTCCAGCTTTTCCAGGCTCACACCCACGGCTCGCAGAAGAGCCTGAATAATGAACTTGTAGTACTCTGCGCGAAATTTGACCAGTTCGATAGGCGCTTTGAGATTGTCGAGGAAACCATGGATATCGGCCAGTAGGATCTTGACTCGACACCCGGCTCGGAGAAAGTGGGCAATCTTCATCATTGGCACAAAGTACCCGCAGTGAGGCCGTCCGGTCGTCGCAGTTCCCCAGTAGATAACCAGTGGTCTCTGTTCCTGCAGGACCACTCTCTCCAAGATATCTTTGTGCAGGACTTCCTGCAGCTGATCCGTTATAAGGGAAAGCTTTTCCTCTGGCGATAACTGTCGATCGGCCATGCTGGCGGTGGAGGCGGATTGCAGGGACAATTTGAGAAATGGATGCGACAGGAACGAGACTGTGGGTGAATTATGACGACGCAAGGACTTTTCAAGTGGTAGACAAGACGTTGTTGACCAGCGAACTGTCAGCCTGCTCGCAGAATAGAAGTAGACGAGTTCTGCGAGAGCAGTGTAACGTTGATGGCGGTGTCTATGTTTGGTGAGTCAGTGGGGAAATTGTGTAGATGCGATGAGGAATTGAGTGAAGCACCGCACTTCAATCTTGGCCAGACACTTTATTGTTCCGCCAATCAGACGCGTCCGTTGTGGCTAAATAAACATTGCATGTTCAGGTTCACCACCACCGCACCGCACCCTCACTCTTCAGTCTCTTCGACAGTTCCGCGACAGATTTGCCTTGGATGCACATTCTCTGATGCTGTCTTGACCCAACGCAATTCAACAGGATCCCTGACTCCGGCATCCCCGAGATATTGGCCTGCACACGGTCTGCGCCCCAGACAATGGAGAACTATCAGAAGATTGAAAAGATTGGAGAAGGTCAGAGTCACTGAGACATGGTAACGATGTTTGGCTAACCTCCAAGTGTCTAGGTACCTATGGTGTCGTCTACAAAGCCCGGGACCTCTCCAACGGGGGACGGATTGTGGCCCTGAAGAAGATTCGCCTGGAGGCTGAGGATGAGGGCGTTCCCAGCACAGCGATCCGCGAGATCTCCTTGTTGAAGGAAATGAACGACCCCAACATTGTGCGCTTATTCAACATCGTCCATGCAGACGGCCACAAGTTGTACCTGGTCTTTGAATTCCTGGATCTGGACCTCAAGAAATACATGGAAGCCCTGCCTGTGTCTGAAGGAGGCCGCGGCAAGGCCCTGCCTGAGGGGTCAACCATGGACATGCAGAGACTGGGCTTGGGCAAAGACATGGTGAAGAAGTTCATGGCGCAACTCGTTGAAGGTGTCCGATTCTGCCACAGCCATCGTGTCCTACATCGAGATTTGAAACCACAGAATCTGTTGATCGATAGGGAAGGCAATCTCAAACTGGCTGATTTTGGTCTGGCCCGAGCATTCGGTGTCCCTCTTCGGACCTACACTCATGAGGTCTGTCTTTCGGTTCAACTACGTCTTATACCTGTATGCTGATGTTGGCTCTAGGTGGTCACATTGTGGTATCGTGCTCCAGAGATTCTTCTGGGTGGACGACAATACTCGACTGGTGTCGACATGTGGTCGGTTGGTGCCATATTCGCAGAGATGTGCACTCGCAAGCCTCTTTTCCCAGGTGACTCGGAGATTGACGAGATCTTCAAGATCTTCAAGTACGCGACTATTCCCTTCACGCCCCTTTTTCTCTGCAGCCACCAAAGCAACCATTGCTGACCGCTTACTTAGGCTGCTGGGCACGCCCGATGAATCTACCTGGCCTGGCGTGACCTCGTTCCCCGACTTCAAGACAACATTCCCCAAGTGGCGTCGTGAACCGACCAGCAAACTCGTGCCCAATCTCGAACCAGCCGGTCTGGAACTCCTAGACGCTATGCTCGAGTACGACCCTGCTCATCGCATTTCTGCCAAGGCAGCTTGCAATCACCCTTACTTTGCAGCCGGCTCTGCCGCCTACTCAGCGCGTACGAACGGTGTGGGTCGCACAAGCGAGCAGGACCAGGGCTATTGGGACTAAAGCCACGCCTTGAAGAAACGCCACGTTGGACTGAGATTCATCAAGCCGAAAAGCATCAAGCCGATCTTGGATTGGATCCGCGTGTCGATCGCAGCATCCACCAAGACAGCGAACGGACAGGGATGATCATGTCGTTCGACTTGCATCAGCTTGGGCAAGGACATTCTTGTGCATTTGGGCTTGGATTGGGCTAGTGCAACAGGCAAATGACTGTAACGGTATTCATGCGGTATTGACGACGGTGGGAGGCAGATTTTCTTCCCAGCCAGGCCCTTTGTGCATGTTGTATTGGGACAAAGGAGTTATGGCGAAGGCTGGGGGTTCTTGTGTGATTCATATGGCAGTGGCACGGCGTTCGGAGAGATCGTGGATAGTTGATGAAGCGGGCCGTGGCTTTTCGCCCTGCTGACCTGCTATGATATCAGGTAGTGAATGCTACATATCTCCGAATGGAACAAACAGCCTCATGCTCGGAACGCCACTGGGATTCGCCCTAATTAATTATAGCCCTGCCATTTGTATAACTCGAGACACACTTTGGCTGTGTACGTTGAGTATCTCTAGGCTGGCGGAGTCTTCTGGTGGCTTGACAGGGCAGCGGCGCAACCTCTTTTCATATTGCCCAGCCGAGGTCTGTTTTCAATATGAATGCTGCTGTATCTTTTCATTCAGTAGCCAAGGAAGAAGGCTGTTCTCATCACAGAGACAGACAGTAAGGCATGTAGAGACCTGCAGGTGATCTGAGTCGGATGCGAGGACATAGATACCTTAGTATCTTGTGGTAGACCAACATACTAGTGGACATTTAGGGCTTCTCTTCTCGCTATACTATTCGTGCAATATTGGCGCTAGTCCTCAAGGTGTAGCACTATCTACTGCTGGACTGCTACTATGGTGCTTCCAGTCTGATGTACTGCAGGATTATATCACCAGTGCAGTGCTTGGCGGAGCCGTCAAAGTTGAAGGCGACATGAGACCGCAGTAAGATTCATGCAACGGCATCAACAGCACGATAGATATCACTGTCGACTTCGGACTCCACAGACACACAGTCTGCGCCCTAACTAAAATCCTAAGCCTTCATCGAAGTCCATCTCCGAATTCTGTGGCAATAATCAACCTGTGATCGACCAGCGAAATCCAGTCCTGTCCCAAGGCACCCACTGCATCCCACTCTAATCAAGCTCTATTTCTTCTCCTGCGATCATTAAACACTGGCATGCCGGCATAGATACCGCACTGTCGCCTACAGATTGCCTTAATACCTCTTCCGCAGTGAACAAAGCCTCCTAAGAACGAACCGTCAGGCGTCGCGGGCCTTGCGTTTTGTGCAACTTCGGCGCTTGCTATAACCATCCTCTCGACTTTTAACCAGACAAGGGAGAAAAGCCACCATCGTATGACGCCAGAAAAGTTGTGAATACAGATAGGACTTGGCGGCAGGGCTTGCCAGGCTGGCGGAAGCCAGGACCGGGTTGTAGCAGGTGTCCTGGATCTTTCTCGTTTCTCCCCACTGTTTGCATGCGTTCGTTCTTCCTAGAGTTGCGCTGGATGAGCTTGAACTCCTGCGCCTATTCGACGACCGCCTCCTTCAACCCCTCCATGCCGCGACAGCCTGTGTAAGGTGACAGAGATGGAAACAAGGGAATTCGCTACAAGGGACGAACTGTGGCGCATCCAAGAAACGCTGCACGACCTCTCTGCAACCCAAGCTCTTCATTCGGATAGAATCATGCGCCTGGAGCAAAAGAGCCAGAATACCGACGGGAGCAGGTCTAGAAGTGTCTGGGGCTTGAATTCGCCCTTTCCGACGGTCTTGGGTTCATCGCATCACGGTACGCACGCATGGACCTTTTACCAAGTCTGACTACTAATGTCTTCACAGAGTCCGCTCTCAACCCCGCAGCTGAGGCCTTCCGGAACTTCGATGTTGATCCTGGTGCGAGCATGATCAGTTCACTGACCTTGGACGCCAACGACGACTCGAGAAGGGGCGCAGCCGCATCCCGGGCAAACTCGGTACGATTCGACGAGAGTGCGAATAACCACTATGCGCCGTCGAGGCAGTCAATGGACCTTCCTGCGCGGACGGGAAGTGGCTTAGGAGGTCATGCCCTTTCCGAACGATCTCTTTCTCATCGATCCGATGGACGGCCAAGCGGTGCGGGTTTTGGTCGGACCAACAGCTTTGGTTTGGAGCAAAGTCGCCTTCTTGGTTCTATTCACAACTCGCCGCGGGTGTCCGGCAATCCTCCGCCGGGGTTTTTCGTCCTGGGCCCCTGCCCGTCCATCATCCGTTGCTGGTTGACGCAGACCTTCACCAATGACTCGCTCCTCTATGCTGCCATATGCACTGGCTCATCAGGATCCTGGGTCAGTGGCGCACTTGTAGAGAAACTTGAGTTGACGGATTCGATTGTTGACGAGTCAGAATCTCGCTCCATCCGCCTACCAGTGTACTTAACCGAAGCAAAGATTCATTCGCCAGCGGTGAGATCTGCGAGCCCTGTGCCTCAGATACCCACGTTGATGGTCAAGTTCATCATTGACGAGCAGCCTGTGTTGGACTCGTCGATACAAATCATTCTGGGCAGCGACGTGTTAAGATCACATAACGGTGATATCCTGTTCTCACAAGACAAGCTGATGATATTTGATGAAGAGCGGAATCAGCTTTCCATCCCGTTAGTGCGACCGGAAGATGACGCCGCGTACAAGGATTTGTCTACCGGTTCCCGTCGAAAAGGATCGTCCTTGGCCGAAGCGGAATTTCCACCTACAACGGCATCCCCTGTCGGAGTCATAGGCCGTCCGGGAAGGTCGAGTTCTGGAGGAGAAGGATCGCCCAAGGTCGCGCCGACAAGTCGTGTAGCCTCTGCTACTACATCGGAACCGGGTGAGGGCCGGAGAACCGAGCACCATGATTCTTCAACACGGCCCAGCTTGGAGCTAAGTCAATCGCGACCTGGAGACGATTCCAAATCCACCACGGGAAGCGAAAAATCCTTCAGTACCCCAATGTCCAAGTCAGGTTCTGGCGTTTGGTCCAGTTCATGGCGGGCAGTCTCATCAAGCGGGCCCCCTGGGGAGTCTAGTGGGAAACCACCATCCAGCTATGCCCGACCGAGCAGTTCACGGCCTATGAAGATTCTGCGGCCGACCAAAACAATGGCCAATGCCACGCGAAGCGCTTCTACCACGGCATCGACTCCTAACGGGGTGGAGAGTACGCCGACCAAGACGGGCGAAACGACGGCAAAGACCAGCTCCAGCGATCTGGCAAGAGAAACAAGGTCTCCTGCGCCCTCGTCAACGCCGAAGACCAACCCAATTGGATCGGGGACCGCTTTCGGATGGCTCAATACCGGCTCTCAGCGCAGAACGACAGCGAACGGCTGAGCTGATGATGGATGGAGCTTTTGTATGATTAGGACAGGCTCATGGTGTATTTTGAGATTCAGACCCGGGTGATCAACGGAGCGACTGCGAGATGATATGGAAAGGGGTGCAACAAAGGCAGCTAGGGAGCAGATGACCTTGAGATGCAGTTGTTGATGTATTCTAGGCGGTGGTCTCTAGGTTATGCGTGCAGCATGATATCGGTCTTGGGCAAGACAAAAAACCAGAACGGAGCCTCTCGGCGAGATGAAATAAGATGATTTTTCATTCCAATGGCCTTTGATTCTGCTATTGATACTGTTCATTTTATTCTCCAGGCGTTGTGCCTGCGCATTTATCGGGTAATACTGTAAATATGGTATAAATTCCCCCGCCCGGGGTTGACTCCGGCCAAGGCTTCCCCCGCTGGACCGGCATCGTCCTCCGCTGATGTCCAAATACTACCAACAACACTGCTGTTCCTCCCTCTTTCGCTCTGCTTCAGTCACCCAGTGCTGTCTGTCTTGTCTTTAATGCTCCGAAATCCCATTTGCAGCCTACTGTCCATCCGTCTACCGTTCAGGCCAGCTCTCGTACGCCGCTTCCACTCGTCGCAGCAGTTACCGACACCAATCCCCACGTCGTCCACTAAGTCAAATAGTCATTCTAGACCGACATCAACCATGGCGGCGTCGACTCGTAGAATAGGTGAGAGTCGGATTGAAGCCCCTGATCTGGGTTTATCCCTTGCCCCATGTTCTCTCCATCTACGGATATACTCTACCCCGATTCTGAGCCCATCCGAGCATTGAGCTCTTAAATGTTTGATGGGAACCAGTTGCTAATATCACCGTACAGAAAATCCCGTCCTCTTGTATGTTGAACATGATGGCTGAGTTGGGAATTTAAATACCTGTGTCCCGACGCAGAGAGACTGTGACCCAGTCAGGCGCCTCTGCGACAGATCAGACCACGTCTACCACCCATGGCCCACGGGTTCCTCAGCTTGATATACCGGTACCGAATACTGACGATGGCTTGTCCCACACTGCAGTATCTGCGATATTCAGGAAAAGTTCCGCCAGGCGATCTGGGAGTTTCCGAAAGTGTATGTATAGGAAGCATTTGATGCTGCCGAACCGTTGCTATTTCCTATTCTGCTTCGTTCTACTGCATCCTCTCCTGTTGCACATTGGCATAGGTTTTCATCGCATCCTGTCTGTCTGTTCGTCTTCCTGTCTTTTTGCTATCGGGTTGGCAATTAGCAAATGCAATGTCCTGCGGACAAGCTTCAGTTTTCAGCGCAGATGGGGGTTGACTTCTGCGTTCTACTGCTGTCGTTGGAAATGTGTGTTGTTTGTCTTATCTACGCACTGGCGGTCAAGGAGGCATAGATTTGTCTGTGTCCATGTCTGGCCTGGCTGACTGGGTATACCTTATCTTCCAAGCCGTGTCTGACTTTTTACTGTCTGGTTGGGGTGGGAGGGACGTTTGCAAGGATGACCATTATTTCCCGTGCCCTTTTACTTACTGTTCAGATTAAAGCTTTTCCATCACATCTTCCCGCTAGCTGTCCTCTTACACGGATGTGTACACTGACATCGTTCCTCTTAATCCAGGATCACCACGAGCCAAAAGATGGTCAAAGCAGGTATGTAGGTGTTTGCTATAGCGAACGGATCAGGTACTCGAGCCCACATACATGCAAACACCGCACGGCAATTCCATCTTCCTACTCTTGACACCGATATCAACGGGGAGTGCTGAACATCCCACGCCGTCTCGGATGTACAGTATGCTCGTAGTCGCTCCATCAAGCAACTCAAGAGAAAAAGAGTTCCTTTCCCATTCCCGCAGTTCCTGCTGCTCTTGCTACTGTCACATTAATCTTCCCTTCCCACTATACGTCTCTCCATCCATTCGTCCATATATCCGTCCACCACCATCGTTCCACCGATCCAAACACACCCTACCTACCTACCTAACTAACTCCATCCCCTGGGTGTTCTACAGCCAACATCCTCAATATCCCAATCTACATAACAACCCAAAACGCCGCGCGTCTCGGCCCAACCGTATCCGAACTCACAGACCTATTATCCCAATCCTCCGATTCCCAATCCTCCGATCGCCCCGAAGAAATCGACAAAACAGCATTCAGCATGCTCGTCCCCGACCTATTGCGACGTCTACCTGAACAATCTCAGACCCAATCTCAACCCCCATCCCAAGTTCGAACGTCATCGTCTCCGTCCCACCGTCTCAGCATCATAATCACCGGCATCGAAACCCACATCTGCGTGACCCAAACAGCTCTCGACCTCCTCGACCGCGGCCACAGGGTCTACATTCTCCAAGACGGAGTCTCAAGCTGCAACGCGGGAGAACGACCCGTGGCATTGAACCGACTGGCGCGCGAAGGATGTATTGTCACCACGAGCGAGAGTATACTGTTTGAACTGTTGGGTGATGCGAAACATGAGAAGTTCAAGGCTGTTTCGACGCTGATCAAGGAGACGAAGGAGGAGACGAGAGTGGCGGTGGAGACGTTGTGTAAACTGTAACTTTGTCACAAACTCGGCACATCACATCCATGATGGAGGAGGAATGAAAAGATGGAAATCCCTGCAGGACTTTTTCTTTCTGCAACCTGAGCCGGAGAAGACGAATAACAAGAAGAAATGATTGGCTGTTTTGTCCTAGGGGTCAGGTACATTCTACAGCTAGGGAAAATGCGGTAGCAGTAGGTACTAGGAGGGCTTGCGTCCGGGCATGTATTTCGAACAGTAAATGAATGTCAGATACCACTTTATCACACTTCTGATGAGTCCATCAAGAGGGAAAACGAATGGTCACGCAGGATGAGACGTCTGCAACCACGATGCATCTGGAAGACGATACAAGAAGAATTTAGGAAAAACAAGATAAAATTCAAATCAATATCCCGCTAACTTCTGCCACGACCCCTATAGTAGAGCAAGTCAGCCTACTTGATCTCGCTCGATTATAACTCTTCGCTAGCTCTTGCAAAACACAATAGACCACAAAAAGGAGGAATAGCAAAATAGCTTGCCACGAAAACTAAAAGGATGGGTTGGCTTATGCCAGGCTGCTCCGAGCTGCTTGCTATGCCCGCCCTCTCTGTGACATGCCATGAGAAGTCAAAAGGAAACAAAAAGGGACGAAAACAGTTGCGCGCGCATGAAACAACAAAATCACCGCTTGTGGAACCCCTACCGATACCAAATCAAAGAAACAACGACAGGAACAACGACCATGGCAGCCACCAATACTGGACTAAACACAAAAGGGTTAGTATGCTGTAATTCGAGATAGCCGATCGTGTGAACTCACTTTTGAGCAAACCATGACTGTCCGGCTTGTTTGAGCTCGGCCTGGACTTTCTGGGCGGCGTTGTTGACTACCTCCTTCGGTGGTTTCTTTTCGTTCGGGACAATGACGACCGGTGAAGGAGAATCGGTTTGAGGAGACGACGATACTGGGATCGCATGATGTTCCTCGTATGGTGGGGGCGCGACGTCGGGGATCGACCCTTCCTTGGTCGCGTCAAAGTGTTCGTGTTCGTGTTCCGCGATCGGTTGAGAGACAGCCGATGTTGGTTGAGGTTGAGGTTCATGTTCATGCTCATCCTGATCACTCTCTGAATCGTGCTCGACTTCAGGTACTGGTGCGGCTGCGGCTGCGGGTGCGGTTGCAGGTGTAGGGGCAGGTTCAGCTGGGGATTCAGATTCAGGTTCCGGTTCGCGTCCAACTTCCTGTGTCTGCGTCCGTGCCTGTGCTTGTACAGGTGTGTCTTCGGGTTCAGTCTCGACAACGGGAGCAGCATCATTAGCTTCTTCCGCTGGGATTGACTTCTGGGTATCTTCAGCACCAGAGACTAGGTGGGTCTGCTCCGGCTCCCGTCCAGCGGAAACCTCTGCGGCAGAGACTATGGTCTCTTCAGGCTTGACAGCCAGGACATTGTTGATGTTCCCGGCGCCATCGTTGGCTACTCATGTCAGCGGCTATGATTCTTAGTCATCGGAGTGCTGCCGTACCTGTTGGAGTGGATTCATCAAGAACCCACCAGTCACCGGGCCCCAGTCGGAACTTGTACTGAAACTCGCCAGGCTCGAGATCGACCGTATAGGAGAAGTGGTTTTCAACGACTCCGTCCTTTTCAACGGGTTCGTGTTTCATCTCGATGGGTGTCCAGTTCGTGAAGTTTCCTGCCACATAGACTGGAGCCTGCACGCCGGGCTTGTTGAAGGTGATGGTAGTAGCGACCATTTTTGGAGTTTTTGAAGTTCTTGTTTTTGTATTGACGGGTTCTAGTGATTTTCTATTGAGATTTGGGGTATTCTAGGATATGCGGTTTGATCGTGCGAAGATTGCAGATGTCGATATGTAGGTTGAGGTTGAGGTCGGATTGTTTAGGGAATAACGTTTGAAGCACCAGGCAAAACGTTGAAGAGTTGAGTAAGAATGGTGGATGAGATCCAAGAGTCTATCGAATTCATGATCAGCATATTATGAGGACCAGCGCTGTTCTCAACATAAAGCACAGGTATGAACGACCACGATGGTATGAGAGTTGGAGTCCTGGGTCCGTGGATGCAATGCTTGAAAAAAACCTGGATCGTTGTAAAGTGCGCAGTCTGATTGCTGTTGCCTTGACTCGAAAAGCAGCTTCTGCCAACTTGACCACAATTCGGACTGGACATTTTCGTAATGGCCAGTTGACTCCTAGTCGCACCGTTTCATGCACACCACTGTTCTCCCTCGTTGACTCGGCATTCATGCTTCGCTCCCACTGGATTCTCTCCCGAAAACGCCTTAGCAGAGAGTGACAAGCGCCGTCCTTCTTCCGGCCCACCTCTCGAGGAAACAAATCCTTCCAACCACCAAATTCGAAACAGATAGTAAAAATTGAGAACCACTGGAACATACCTAAAAGCACAGAGGTATTACCGGAACACTCTGCAAGCTCAATAGACAACTGGAAATTTTCCAACTTCTCGATTGCTCGAACTACCGCGGATGACAAGTTTCTGTGCGTAAAAGTCGGAAAATTCTCCAGACAAAGGCGCTCGAAATGGCTGCCACAAGAGCAAAGCTCATTAGCAATCTGGAAACGAAGACATCACTCGGAAGAATGTTCCGGCGGCGGTGACATGGCACATACCAGTTCTAAGAAAAGGTGATATCGGAAGTTGGGGATCGGATCAGCACAAGGTTCAAACCCCGGCGCTGAGGAAAGGGAAAAAGATCAGTCGAGACCTTGCAGCTGGGGAAGTTGTTATAAGCACTGCTGATTGTCAAGATGTTTCTGGCTGGTCAGAGCTTTCAAAACACACAAACAAAGACTGTGGAAAAAGTTGTAAACCAAGCTTGAGCCTGGAAATCGAGTTATCGACCTGTCAGGCCGTCACACCACAAGAGGACCAGCTTCCGGTGCATTTTGACGTATCTGGCTCGGACCTTTCTGAGGTCTCTCCATTTCACATCCCCAGCACTATGTGTGGGACAGGGACTACACAGCGGCATTCGGCTACGGCACCCACCAGTCTCGTGGAACTGGTACGTTACCTGTGCATGCACCATTCGCACAGCATTCCATCAATTCATCGGTGCCAATAGTGGTCTCCAGGCCATGGATGCAAGAAAAATCTGGCTCCAGCCACGTCGAGATGTGGTCCTAATTGGTGGGGGAGTGAGCGAGGACAAGATCGAGCAACATGTGAAAATCGCACTACCACCATGGCAAAAGTGGGCTGCTTAACTTTGTTGGGATCTCACTCGACGGTCGCATAAAGTTGCTCGGTTCTTGTTGCCGGCTAAGCGCACCGGGGAGTCATTGACGACGTGGCGCTCACAATGCACACGCCACAGGTGGCTTTGCTCCTTCTGTCAAGTCACGGCCGCTTGCTTCCGGAGATGGCATCCCTAGCAACAGCTTGAATATGCTCCTGTTTCTGGGGTATAATGCCAGTTCGCAGCGTCCAGGTAAGATTGGCAATCTGATTAAGCAAGGCTGAGACGCATGGTCTCAAGTTACAACTGCTAAATAGGATGGCAATGGTCAATGCTAACGAGAGAACATGGCTACAAGGCGAGCAAGGCTTCTGCATTGCACGACGGCCTATGCGCGTGACTCGATATCTATCCAGTTGTCGAAAATGCTCAAGCCTGTTATATTTTCGGTTTGATCATTTGATGGCAAGTGAGGCCTCATTTATGCTCTACGATGGGAACTTGAAGCATTTTCTCTCTCGAGTCTCGAGCTCGGAGCTCCATGTACTCTTTGGAGCAAAGCAAAGCCTTGTCCAAATGCACAACAACATTTGCATCTGTGGGTACTTCAGTTTCCCGGAAGACATTTCCCCGTGGGGACAGTAGGACTGCTGGAGGGCATGGATCAAACTCTGCCCTCTCCACTGGATGCCTGTGACTCTCAAACGATGGCAGGGCTCTACCATCTTGCAGAATCACTTACTACAAGCGGCCGAACCTAACTGTGCGCAGTTGTGTTGAGCAGTCCTCCAGACGACGGTTTTGCATTCCGGGTTGCCGGTGTTTTCACTGATCAACGTGGTGGTTCCCATCACCGTTGACTGTATGCAGCCTCGTTGCTTTCCCCGTCGCTTTTCCGCCCAACAAACCACCAGCATGGCGTGAAAATGCCTTCTTTCCCGCCCTCAACCGCACTGTCAACGCAATATGCCAACGTTGTCATGGCATCACAGGTACCCTTGTCCGCTATACCCAGCCGTTCCAGCGTCCATATGAGGGCGTAGCATACCCGCCGGGGCCACTTGGACATTTTCCATGCGGTGAAGTAGTCGGTCCAGGTCGTCGCCATGGATGTGGCGCCTTCAAGAGGCCAGTACCAGGTACGATGGGGATGGTAAGTCAAGTCGAAAGGGATTGAGGACGGCGGCGCTGGCTGGAGAATCGGTTCAGAGGCCGAATCCGGGCTGCTCAGATAAGCTTGACGCTGTTGATGGGCTGCAGATTGTTGGTTTGAATTCACGTTCGTCTCGGCCTGCATTTGGAAAGGGACCAAAACAGGAGATTCAAGGTAGACTGGGTGACACTGTTGCTGCCGTCGTCTAAGATGATCATCGTTATCCCCAACAGTCTTAAACCCGGGGTTTGTGCTGTTGGCGGCGAAGTGCTGCGCATAATCCTCGTCATAAAACAGATCAAATCCGGCATTGACCATGGCCGCGCGCGCTTGCTCGCTGGTGTGCAGATTGCACAGTCCGTTTCCACGTTCGAGTCTGTTCCGGATACCGATGTGCTTTGGGTTCGACGGGTCGAATCCTGGGGTCATGACCCATTCGCTGAGACCGAAGACAGCCCCGGGTTTGAGCACTCGCGCAATCTCGGTGTAGACGGCCACTAGTGAGGGCGAATGGACCGTGGCCTCGATGGCGTAGGCGGCGTCGAAAGAGTTTTCTGGGAATGGGATGTTCTACGGGAGAAAAAATGATAAGAGGTAAGATTGAGAAGCAAAGGTGCCGCAATCAAGGGAAAGCATGCAAGTGTTGTAACAGGCATGTGGGAATCAGCACACAAGCTGGTGGTGAGAGCGAGATGCAGAAACGTACAAGTGATAAGCACCCACGCCACGGGGATAGATGTAAGGGTAGAGCAGGACAAATATGAGAGCCAAAATCAAGCCAAGGAAATGGTCCACAGCGTATGGGAAGAAGTACATGTACAAAGATAGGAGTTCAGTGCAGCGCATGGAAAGGCTGTGGTATGCAATCGCATCTTGGTCTCGAGCATGAGATTAGGCTAACCAGCAATCTTGAATTTGGATGCATAGAAGTACCAAAACCAAGCATAGGGTAGAGTTGAGAACGAACACCTCTTCAACATAACAGCGACCAGAGTTTGTCCCCGACGCCCACCTTGGGCCTCTGATGTTCCAAGGATGGGAATGGTATGGATATGGGAAAACATAACAGTAGTTGGACAGAAGATCAAAAAGCCAGAATGTTGTAGTACGTACCAAGAAATCCCCCCTCACAAACGTACACCGACCTTCCAACCTTTCCGTCGCAGTAAGATATATCGCCCGATCGACTTGGGCCTGATTGATCGTGACACCCACGACTTCGCACCCGACGAATTTCGCAATCTCCCTTGCCGGCCCACCGATCCCACAACCAACATCTAACACCTTCATGCCCGGTTTCAGACCCATTAGCATCGCCAGGCGGTGCTCGTAGAAGCACATGGCGGATTGGATTGTGTCGTGCGGTGCGAAGGGCGTATAGTGGAAGTGGGTGCTCCAGCCATTTTCGTATGCGGAGGAGGCGAAGTCGTAGTATCTGTGAAGCGCCCCGGAGGGAAAGATTCAGTTGATTAGTCGAGTGGGTAGATCATAGGGGTTGGTATGGAGGGAGAAGAATGGCGGGTTGAAACGAAGGCTTGAAATCCAAAAGTCATGGCATGGTAAAGGGGATGGGGGAGTGCCTCTGTTCAGGACCAGTGGATGGATGGACGATGGGCTCTCTTGACCTGGCCTGTCCTGGCGTGTCCTGATATGCTGTGTCCTAAAAAGGGGAGGTGAAGGGCGCTGTTTCTTGTGCTGCCTGCATCTCGAATGAAATGAACAATGTAGTCCAATTCCCAATTCAATTTGAAAGAAGACGGCATATGGTGGTAGATAAAGGTGAATATGGCATGGGACATGAGCATGAACATGAAGAAGGATGAAAAGAGAAGCCTGAGTGATGGGTTGAAACCCGTTGTTGAACGCAACGAAAGCAAGGGCTGCGCGACGCGTGGTGCCAACGCTTGCCCACTAGATCAATACTTACGAATCTGCAAGTTCGGCAGCAACACCCTGTCTCTTCTTTCTCTCCTCTTCCGTCACTGTGGTTTGGTCGTCATCCTTGCCGAAACGCGAGGTATATGCCGAGACGACGTCGGCGAAAGAAGAAGAGGTTCCAGTGGACTTGGATTTGGGTTTGGATCTGGGCTTGGGTCTTGGTTTCTCGTCATGGCCTCGATGTTGGTGCGGCCCCTGGTGCTGTCGCTGTTCTTCCTGCTCTTGCTGTGCTTGATTCTCTCTGCCACGTTGCATAGTTTCTGATTGATTCGTCGACCGATGATCAAGCAGAGCCGGAGCGAGTGGATCCGACGCGGAGTGAGTGTCACTCGATGTACAAGGAAAGACAACAATCAGAAGATCAAGCCAAGGACTTCCCTTCCGTTGGATGCCTTAGGTAGGGCTCGTAGGCTCGTAGGAGAGGTACAGTGTGTGGTACTGTATATAAGTGAAAACAACACTGCACTGAAACAAACAGCAGGCCAGCGCTGGCTCGACGAGGAGAGCTTCTGGTATCATGAATTTCGCCCTCCCCTGCCCTTGCGGACATCTCATTCCTCTGGTGTGATGAGGATGAGTGATTGCTGCTATAGACACTCCGAGGCCTCAGGAATGCTGGTATTGTTGTAGAAGAAACAATACTAAGCCCGTGGCCATAGCGAAACAAGAACTTTTGGCATGCCAATGAACATGATTGTTTCGATGCAATATATCTTACCGAGTCACTGGCATTGCGGAAAACAGTTTCGTGCTCACCTATCTAGCCAAGTCATTGACGTGCTGATATCAGGGAGAGCCGTCGTGGCATCGCGTCGGCCATTGTTGGGTCCTGGCAGTACTGTCAAGGTCCTGTATAGTACCTGGATGCTCAAGAGAACGTGGCGGCAGGCAGTCACTTCAATCTACTTTGGACCTTACCAGGGCCAGTATTCGGCCGCGACGAAGTATATAACATGAAACATAGTCGGTTCACACCTATGCTACTCACCTCACACATTCTCTAGGAGCGAAACAGCTGAGAGGAATAAAACAGATTATAATTATGTGGAATGCAGTTTTAGTAGTTGGAGGGACGTGACCTCATCGAAGTGTATCGCAGTCACGTGTGAGCGGGATATCAACACTTCATATCATTTGTCCTCTACCTGAGGGTCGTTTTCTACCTGGATGTCTGGTGGACGCGAGACAACATCTACCGAATGGTTGTGGGAGCAGATGTTCCAAGACTAACAAGTATCATGTCTTGTAGAGGTGAAATGCAAATACAACCATCCACCCTCTAAGCCTAGTCCATCATTGCGGCACCCTCAACTGCATGGCTTGACAACGTTTCCAGAGCCGGTCCATTGCTTCAAGCGGGTCATTCGTTGCATTGGTAATTCTTTTTCTTTGGCCATCATACAATGCTCCAGGACCATGCACCCATGCATGCATCTCGTAAGGTGGTTATGGTCTTGTCTATCAGTGCATGCAAGCTGGATGCTCTACAATTTGTCTGTTCAAAAAGAGTTAGTAGTAGTTCAGAGCATATCGAATACAACAATAACTCACCATAGTAATTGTCATAACCTGGCACTTGGGGCTTGAGACCCTTTCTCGTACGCATTTGCTCGACGACCTTTCCAGGCATCGTGTTGGGGTCAAGCGGCGAACCACCCGGAAGGATTTGCCAGTGGTCAAAGACGGATTGAGGGAATGCTTGACCACCAGTGGCGGCACGAAGATCAGCGTTGAAGCCGAACGACTCCATGACGGGAAGGTAGGCCTTGACGGTGAACAGAGGAGTACCGACACGTTGCTCCTCGGAGAAGACGTGACCTCTTCTGCGGGTAAGGACACCGTAGATACCACCCATGGCCTGTTCCGGAACTTGAATCTCGACCAAGAAGACGGGCTCTTGCAGACCAGGGTCGGCAAGGAGAGTGGCGGCATAGAGCACACGTCTGGCGGTAGGGATAATCTGACCACCACCACGATGGATGGCATCGGCGTGGAGGGTAACATCCATGATGTTGAATCGGATCGATCGCATAGGTTCCTCAGCGATAGGACCTTCACGAGTAGCCCATTGGAAACCAGAGACGACAGAGTCCTTGATCTCGTTGAGGTATTGGACAGCCTTGGTCTGGTCAACCAACAAGTTGGCGCCAGTGGTGTCAGGACCAAAGGCCCAGATCTTTCGAGCATCGGTGACATCCCAGCCGTGTTCATCGGCCAGGATACGAGCACGAGCCTTGAAGTCGTCACGAGGGTTGATCTTGCCGTTCTCGATGTCCTTGGAAACCTCCTCGCCAAGAGGCTCAGCAATAACATACAGACGGTTGTGCTTGTTGGGCGACTTGGACAGAGCAGTCATGCTGGACTTGTCACCGACAGTCTCACGGTACGAGACGACAGGGTCGGAGATCTTGAGCGGCACACCGGCGTGGTCTTCCTCCAAATCCTTCAAACAGATTTCCAAGTGAAGCTCACCGGCACCGGCAACGACGTGCTCGCCGGACTCGTTGATCATGGTCAAGACGCAAGGGTCGGACTTGGACAGACGCTTGAGACCTTCGACCAATTTCGGCAGATCGTTGGCGTTCTTGACTTCGACGGAACGTTGCACGACAGGAGAGACGGAGAACTTCATGACCTTCAAGTTGTGGGCGGTCTCGGAGGTGGTAAGAGTACCAGACTTGAGCAAGAACTGGTCAATACCGACGAGACCGACAATGTTACCGGCCGGCAGGTCATCAATGGGCTCGACGGTACGACCCATCATGAGCACAGTACGCTGGATAGCCTTGATGTACAAGTCCTCCTTCTTGCCTGGAACGTAGTTGGGGCCCTGGATGCGGACCTTCATGCCGGAGCGGACGGTACCGGCGAAGACACGACCGAAGGCGTAGAATCGACCCTTATCGGAGGTCGGCACCATCTTGGAGACGTACAGCATGAGGTCGGCCTTGGGGTCACACTCACGGATGGCAATGCAGGCTGGGTCATCCGGAGGACCCTCGTACAGGGTCTCAGCACGGTACCGCTGGGCAGTGACGGGAGATGGCAAGTGGATAACCATCATTTCGAGAAGAGCATCGGCGGCAGGCAAGAACTTGCGCATGGCAGCCTTGAGAAGACCCTTGCCAGGAAGTTCCTTCTCCTCGTTGGTCAACTTGATGTCAAGCTTGGTGGTCAGGTTGACCAACTCGTCGACCTTGCCCTTCTGGAAAGCATCGAAGATCTTGAAGATAGGGTCCAAGATGAACTGGTTAAAGGCACGCTCGAGCTGCTTGCCCTCGTGCTCGGCAGTCTTGGTCCACTTCTTGGTCTTGGGGTTGAAGTAGTTGTCGCCCCAAAGACGCTCCATCATCTTGGCCTTGTCAACACCAAACTTCTTGGCATATCTGATGGCGAATTGTCGGATGGTGAAAGCCCAGCCGTGAAGACCGGAACCGAAGGCAACGGTACCCTTCTCAGGGAAGACCTGGACATCACCCAGAGCCTTGTCGAAGTAGGTGGAGATAATGACGTTCACCGACTCGATGGTTCGGAGGAATGACTGGTACAGATCTTCCTTGGAGACCTGCAACTCGAGGAGAGCACGGTCGACCTTGTTAATGATAACGACTGGCTTGATACGTTCACCAAGGGCCTGTCGCAAGACGGTCTCGGTCTGGACACAGACACCCTCAATTGTGTCGACGACAACCAAGGCACCATCAGTGACACGCAGAGCAGCGGTGACTTCCGAAGAGAAATCAACGTGTCCTGGCGAATCGATCAAGTTGATCAAGAACTCGTTACCAGTGACCTTCTGTGGGATATCCTTCAAATCCTCCTCATCCGGCAGATGGGCGTACAGAGAAATGGCCGTGGACTTGATGGTGATACCTCGCTCCTGCTCGTCCTTTCGAGTGTCGGTGAAACGGCTGCCAGAATATAACCGTCAGTCTCGGCAAACACAATGCCAGAACTGGGTAGTGGAACTTACGCTTCACCGGCCTTTGCGGCAGAGATAATACCCGCTCGCTGGACCAGAGAGTCGGTCAAGGTGGATTTTCCGTGATCGACTGCATTACCAGTTAGTATGTCGTTGTGTTCCAACTTTTCGCAAGACACATACCGTGGGCAATGACGGACATGTTCCGGATATTGGCCGGACGGTCCATAAGGGCCCGGATCTCGTCGACCGTGAAGCTATTAGAACATCTGTCAGCATCATGAACCATAACCGATTGAAATCCTTTCGCCAAATGAAGGTATGTGCTGTCCTGCGCGCGTCTACTGTGCTTCAAGTCTTGCTCTTTTCCTCTGGTGCAAAGTATTTCCTCCTTTTCCCCATCTTGGATCCCAGGCGCAGTCGGGACAAGGTGCGTTTCGGATAAGATTGGACCTACTTGACCATGTTGGCGGTGTTGAGATGTTATCTGCCTGTAAGGCGGGGTAGGGCGCTCTCTTGAGCTTTTTTGGGTGAGAATGGCAGAATCGAGGACTCGCTCGATCTGCTCAGACGCCTGCGCTATGTCGTCGCAGACGAAATAGATGTGTTGAAACGGAGCTCTAAGCTGGCAAAAGCAGGTTTGAAGACTCGAAAGAAGAGGCAAAGTCTGGAGTGAGAAATCTCTCTCTTCGCAGTGGGCGGCGCCAAGACGCAGGATGATGCTAGTGCAGTGGCAGGAACTTGAACCTGCAGTGCGGCGAGTGGGCTGCGGTGTCAGACCTCGAGTTGCTGCTGGCGGTGACGGTAACTGGCTGTAAATGACAGTATCATCGACAACTAGCAGCGGCTGTGGCCACCATGTGAACTGCGTTACTGTCACGAAATGGGAATCATATTACGCTAGCAGTTTTATCAGGTTCGGCTTAATAATCGACTGGCAGTGAAAGCCCCGCCGGTGTTTGCTTCGGCTTATCTCCGCCCTGTGGCTCACACCGTGACTCCCATTCAAGTTCTAGATTTTCCAGGTTGTTTACAACATACAACATACTGTACTGCGTTGTAGTACCACTCAGCCACTCTGTCGAGCCACATGAGTCAATTGCAGTAACACTTTATTTTTGTGAATCCCACCCTGTCCCGGAGAGTGCGAAGGCATTGGGAAATGGCATTGCACTTCTCCGGCACTTGTGCAGTGCAGGGATCGGAAATGCCATCATTGTCTTTTTGGTAGGTAGAGCTCAGCTTTGCGGGGGTGTGGTTGGTATGATGTCGGCCTGTTGCTCCCAATTCAGGCACCTACCTGAGGTAAGAACGCTCTCAGCCCTCTCGAACAGCCAGCGATTGGCAACATTCCTCTTCCAGGTTGTGCGGGTTGCAGCAAAAGATTTCTTGTATGTGCAGCGTAAGGCCTGCAGCAGACTTTAGGTCCAACCGGGAGTACATGACTCATACTTCCAAGATGACCACTCTTCGACGAACAATGAGTTCTTCCCATCGGTGTGGGCACCCGAGTCAGCACAGAAAGGAAAAGATCACCACCAGCATCACTGTGTTTCAAAGACAGTTGAGTCAGGGCACTGGTATCAAGTTCCACCATTCAGGTGGATTCGGAAAGAGCCTGGGAAGACTGATCAAGAAGGAAGAAGGCAAGAAAGGGTGCCGGAAAATGCTTTTCTGGCACACGCTCGGCAGAGAGTACGAACTGAAAGTCTTTTGCACGTCGGATTCGATCAACCCAGCTTGGCCATGAAGCCTGGGCTGATTCATAAGATGCCGCAACCTAGAGTGTCAAAGCTCATATTCTGCAATGGAGCAACGCGGAAACAGGTATATGCAGTCTACTTTGTTGGGAGAGCACGGCAGCGCAGTCCCTTCACAAGCCAGAAGAAGAAGACGGCCTGGAGCCGCATCTTAATGATAGCAAAATTATCGCGAGCAAAGAGCCAATCCTGCCACCACAAACAGAGATCCTGGATCGGCAAATCTTCTCAAAGTTCTTGCAGGCGCTAAGCCTTTTGCAAAAGGAATTGTGCGAGCCGATCTCAAGACTCCCGCCACTGGCAGAAAGAGACAAGCTGTAGAACTATCTATCCGACCTCTGCCAGCTCAGGAGCTGCTGCCCGTGGACCTTACATCTCAATCGCCGGCGCTTCTAACTTCGTCCGAGAGCAATCTCCCCCTGTGCGTGCACTACGATCTGATGTACCAATAGTGGGTGGCGCAAAGACAGGAAGGCGACCTTGTCGTGTATGAGTCCAAGCCTGGGGAACGTTGCCTCTGTTTCGATTTTCTGCAGTTTGCGCGAACGATCGAGAACGAGAGGACCAGGTCGCCCAGCTCGAACCCGTGCAGAACCGAAGGTGGCCGACAAGGATGTGCAATGGATAGGCACTGCAGGAGAGGACCCTTAATACTAGCCTGGATTTGTAGTAGGACTACCTACCAGCCTAGCAACACAGGATGTACAACTGGATCAGGACCTAATTGCCTCTCGCTGGGAAGGAAGGGTCTTGGTGCGCCTGTCTGACCAGAATGCCTAGCACGGATAATACGGCAATCCGGTACAATTAGGTAAGGCCCGTACTATCATTACGGGGCATGGCTTCACAACCCCTCCCCACAGCCAATAGCAGGGCCTGCTCCAGCTCTCCGGGCCCCCAAAGTGGAGACCAAGATTACCCGGCTCTCGATTGGCTTTTGTCTTCTGCCCCGGCCTTTCTCCAGGTGCTCATTTATACTATACCTAGGCAGGGCCCAGCCAGTCCTTGCATGTCCCATCCTTTTCCACTCCACATTGAAACCCAACGCGAACGGCAACCCGACCTAAGAACTCGTCCTCCAAAATTTTGCCCCTCGCTGCTCACTTCCAAAATCCTCCAACATCACAATATGGGCTTTGTCGATGGTAAACACTTCTGATTGAAAGCGGGCATCCCATACCAGGGCCCCGCCTCCTCCGGAACCATATTTGTTCTAACATAGTCCATGTATCGGTCACGCCGGGCCCGGGTGGCGTGTCTCCTCTGCCGCGGACGAAAAGTTCGATGTGATGCCGCCAGGAATGGCATTCCCTGTACCAATTGCAAATTGGACGGCAGCAATTGTGTGGTGAAAGCCAGAGCAAGAAAGATGTAAGTGTCCCATGGTAACAAAAACCATCAATACGAACATGTCTATTTTGGACAACTGACAGAGATCCATTGTCCCTTGCAGAAATATACATCAACAATCTGTTGATCTTTCTACTAGCTGTGAGCAGCATACAGGCGCAAATCCGCAAAAGGACCCCAATGCAGAACAGTCGACGGGCTTGGAGTCGAGTCTCGATGTTGCGAGCTGTCAGACAGCAGACCAACCACAGCGGCCTACTCTACAAACCAGGCATGCCTCACTTCCTCAACTACCACGTCCCGGCCCTGCGGTAGGTGCCAGTCAGAGAAACTACATGGTCCCTGGGCCAAGTGCAAACCAAACCTTGTATGGTGCAGAGGTTTTGTATTCATATTATCCGTTTCTTTCGGCAGACACGATATACCAACTCGACCAAGAGGAGCTCCAATTCCTGGAAACATTAGGATGCTACCGCGTACCGGCAAGGGCTTCCTTGGACGAGTTCATCAAAGCATACTTTCTCTATATTCACCCGCTTCAGCCTCTCTTGGATGAGGCTGAATTCTGGCGGGCTTACTCCACTCCTTCGTCGTGTTCTACCAAGCCAATCTCCATTTTCGTCTTCCAAGCAATGCTATTTGCAGCCTGCAGTGTAGGTTGCCTTCCAAGCAATATTGAGGCTCTTTGCTGATATCACAGTTTGTCCCGTTCTCCACCATTCAGCGACTCGGGTTTTCCAACTACTACGCAGCCCGTGCCACGTTCTATCGACGAGCCAAGGTAGGTAATTCACCTGTTCTGATCAGCTCTTCAGGCTAAGCCACTCCATAGTCCCTCTTTCACGTCGACTCTGGCAGAGACGCACTGTCCAGTGCTCAGGGTGCTCTGTTACTCACATACTATGTCTCTGCCTCTGACGCCAAAGTAAATTCTCTCTGGTTGAGCAACGCCATATACTTTGCCAGAACACTAAATGCGATGCATCGACATCATGAACGAAAGAAGGACGGCATCCAGCAATGGACCCCACTGGAGCGGCTCTGGCGTTGTTGCCTGCTGCGCGACAGGGTGCTGGCACTGGGACTGCATAGACCCATGCAGATTGGAGTGGAGGAGGGCCACATTTCCATTTTCCAGGAGATTGATCCTAATGCCGGAAACGAGGGTTCAAAATCCCGCGACTCAGCGGCTCGACGTGCACCGCCAAGGACATCCTCTGCATTCTCTGAGCTTGTAAACCTATTGGGACCAGCCCTTGGAGTTCTGGGGCTGGATCCCTCAAGACCCGCCTCTGGAGAGCAGACGGCGACTACTGACACGGTACGAGTATATTCCGAACAACTCGACGAGTGGTACGAGAGGGTCCAGGCCAGTCGCCACATTGGTGCCTCCACGGACAAGACGGCGGTGTTGCAGAACAACATCCTCTATATCTGCTATCAGTAAGCAACCCTAGTTCGTCATTGAGTGACAAGACTAACCTCATGTCCAGCGCGGCCACGTTAGCACTGTGGAACCAAGCGATATATGCTTCTGTGGTGAACGCATGTCCGATCCACGCAGACCTGTCTGAAGGCCGGAAAAAGGTTGAAGCAGCGATCCACGGCATCGATGCATGCCTACAACAAATAGCCGAGCATGACATGCTACCTTTCATGCCTATCACTCTGTAAGTTTGGAAGCTGTGGTACATGTAACGAAGTCAACTGGGCTGATAAACATCATTCAGATCGGCCTATATCGTCAAACCTCTGGTCTGGCATATTTTAAATGTCAAGCTGGATGAACACGGCCAGCAGACCGACAGCCGAAAGGCGCTCACCGTGTATCTTGTTGCGCTCAATGCGCTCAGGGAGCGGTATGAAGGAGTTGAAAGAGTTGTCCACCATGTCCGCCAGCTCGTTAATTGTGCAGACGCATTCAATGTTCTTCAGTCGCCGGGTCGTGAAGTCCGACGACCCGAAAACGAATTGCCGTCCAGTAACAGTCACACCGCAGATGTCATCACGAGCTCGCCTCAATTCTTCTTGCGGTCGATGATCACGGTTCAACTTGCCCTGGCCCGCGGGGAATATCCGGAGAATGACGAGTTGCCTTCGCAATTGGCTTCACCTGCAGATACCGATGCCGAAAACACCTGCACGTGTGTCTCGAATGAAATCTGGGACCTGCCGGAGTTAGGAGACTTCCCTGTTATAACCGGAGTCGCAACGCCAGAAGACTGCACGCCTGATGCCTATCCTGGAGGTGCTGGTATGTTTCGCAATCTTGATTCCCTGGCCAGTTTCGACGACTTTTTTGAATTCTTCCACACTGCAGGCCCATGACAAGGCAGGTATTTTCTCTTGTCTGGGGACGAACCACGTTCTATGTATGAATTACTACATATCTAGACCTGGATGTGTATGAAGTGCGTGACAGCATCATGAGTACAGAATAATATGAGGCGTGATTGTATGAAGGCTGACCCTAACATGCCGTTTGCGGCCAAGTCCTCAAAAACCATTCTACCTGTGTTACCACTGTACCTCAATCGATTGTTTCCTCGCCAGATCGACATATCTCTTGATACAGAGAGTGTCGTTTTGTTGTATACTTGGAGCACCACTTCAGCCTATTGCACTTGAGTCTAGTATCTATATGACACCTCCGACATGAAAGTCCTTCTATCCCAACCCCGCACGCACCTAGATGCTTTTTCTTTCTTTCTTCTAAGCCAAGGACCCAGGAAACTTTACAATCTAGCTTTAGCAATTTGCAGTTTGGACCGCTCTCTCAGCTGGCGGCGAAGGATTTTGCCTGAGGGGTTCTTGGGGATAACATCGATCCATTCGACCCCGGCGGTCAACCACTTGAAGGGCACGGCTCTCTGCTTGACATGGTCGAAAATCTCCTGCTCGGTGACACTGGCGCCAGGCTGACGGACGACGAACGCACGGGGCCGCTCGTCTCCATCGGCAGTGGGGATGCCGATGACAGCAACATCAGCAACGGCGGGATGTTCAAGGATCAGAGCCTCAAGTTCAGCCGGGGCGACCTGGTTGGCCTTGACCTTGATGAGTTCCTTGATCCGGTCGACGATGTAGAAGCAGCCCTCGTCGTCGACGTAAGCGATATCACCGGTTCGGAGCCAACGTTCGCCATCCGGGGAGAACGTGTTCTTCGTCGCGGCCGGGTTGCGCCAGTAGCCCTTCATGATATTAGGTCCACGACACCATAGCTCGCCCGTATGCTGAGGCCCGCGCTCGGTGACCTCGGCAAAGGACTCGTTGCCGTTGTGGTCCGTGGAGATCTTCATGATCTTGGCCTCGCAGTTGGCATTTGGCTCGCCGACACCAAACGACGTCGAGATCTTGTTGGGATCCCAGCCCAACAGCGAGCACGTCACCTCGGTCATCCCCCAGCCTTGTTTCATATTGAACCGCCCACCGCACACTTTCTCGATCGCCCGGCAGACGTCGCTGCCCAGTGGCGCGGAACCGCAGTTGATCGACTGGATGGTGCTCAAGTCGTACCTTGGGACGGCCGGGTGCTTGGTCAGCGCGACCGCGATTGGCGGCACGATGGTCAGATCCGTGATTCTAAATTTTTGGATATTGGCCAGCATCTCGACAAAGTCGTACTTGGGCATAATGTACACGGGGACTTCGCGCAGAAGCCCGCCTGCGATATAGATGGTCTGGCCCATGGCGTGGTAAAGAGGCAAAAAACACAGCCATTTCGCCCGCGCGTTTTTCTTAGCGTAGTCCGGCTCTAGCGTTGGTAGGTGGTTGTACTGTAGCGTGTTGGCGATGTAGTTGTAATGCGACACTTCGACTCCCTTGGGCACGCCCGTCGTGCCGGAGGAGTAGTTCAAGGCTATGGTTTTGTGACATTTGTCGCCCTAAATACTTTTTGTCAACGGACGTTCTTTAGCAATCAGAGGGTTTATGAGTGCTTACATCCAATTCTTCCCATTGAAAGTCTTTGGCATCTTCCGCCGGCGCTATCAGTTCCGACCAATACTTGCACCCTTTCAATGCTGGCCGAGCAGCCTCGTCGTCAAGAAACACGTTGTCATTGTAGACAAACACTCGGGATTTGTCCATGCCCGCCTGTCTCGCTGCCTCAATACCCGTGTCAATGGAGGCATCCGAGCAGAAAAGGTACTTTGCTTCCGATTCGCGCAGTTGATGCGCCAACTCCCGCGGCGTGAATGTCGGATTGGCACCCGTGAAAATCCCTCCCGCCATCACAATGCCAATGAATGCAGCTGGCGTGGCCACCGTGTTGCCCGAGAAGATCAATACTCGATCTCCTGGTTGGAAAGCGGGACTTCGAAGTAATCCCAGCGCAATGCGCTGCGACCATAGTCGGAATGTCCTGCGCGTGAGATACAGTGTATCCGGTCGCGTCGTGTCAATGTACGCCGGTTTGTCGCTCAGTTCTTTTTGGGGAGATCCAAACAAAAATGTTGGAAATGAACATTGTGGTAGCGGGATGGACCAGCGAGATTGGTATGGCATCTTGCTTTCTTTTGCTTTTCCTCACGGGCTGTTTCAGAATGTCTTTGTCTTCTCGGAAAATGTTGGTGGAAAAGGGGAATCCGTCAAGCGTTCAAAGCTGAACATAACAAGATTGTCCATATGCTGGCTTCATAGTACTGCTAGTACTAACAGCACAGATGGATTTCAACAGGCTGGGAGTGGTGGTAGGCCTTGGATGGGGCCCGCAGCCGAGGCAACCTGCCACAAACGTGGACTGGGAACCCTTTTTGCCCTGGCCCGCGAGCCCGAGAATTTCGTTACGTTACTACCGTCCTACAATAATGTTGTACAATTCTAGCGTGCCTCCGGATCCGAACTAATGTTGAACGTCTCACTCCACATTCTCGTAACGATTCGAGTCCAATTTACTTTTGTATTCTGGGGTTGGGAAAAACTGGAACTGGGGTTGAGGTCGGGACCGAGCCAATCACGTCGCTTGCCTCGGCAATTATCCCGAAAAGGAAATTCCTGATCGGTTGTCGTTTATCATCCTAGGTACAACTACATTTATTGTACCCAGTACTAACCAATGCAAAATAGGACTTTGTAAGCGACGTTGTGAATGAACGGAAGGAGATACAATACCGGCTCATGCCGTACAGCTTCTACAACATTATTATGGGCCAGCTGCCGTTGAGGACCCCTGCCTTACAAGATCGAACCCTCCCCACTGAATGCAGACACGAAGTGCTGGTCAGAACGTTGGTAAGACGTTGTCCAGAACATAGCCTCGCCACTCTGGCAGAGCTGACAAGCAGCAGCATTTGTTAGAGTCGTTGTTACTGAGACTTTCTTTTGCGGTCCTGTCAGACCATGGATTTTGTTTCCGATGTCAGTCCACTCTCCAGACTCCGTCTCATAAACCACCCGTCTATGCGCGGTTAGGATCTAGACGGATTGACGTGATTGTCAGGTGGGGAATGTTGGGTCTATGCACTGTTCGAAAGCAATATTCGTGACCGTTTGACTGGTTGACTTGCCCTCTATGGGTCGCTTTGACTCAGAGCCTTAAAAGGGTGATGCACGCAAACGAAATGCATCCCTGGCCAGTGAGGACCGTCCGCTGCCCGAGAAATACTGGTATCTGGTGTATCCTTGGGAGAAACCGTGTGGAATGCCATTTGCAGTCAGACTAATCCCTAACCTCGCGCCCAAGATGTCCTGGTGGCCACACTTAGCACGACATTTGAATCTCTCCGTAGGATAGCACTTCGGCCATAGACCCTTGTCAACGCAGCCGCTTTCTAGGGATATACATCTGCAAGATCACCCACAGTCCCCAGGGAGTACACCCTTGCCATTGGGGCCCCGGATCCGATGTCCATAGCCTGAGACTAAACCGGCATTTCTCGGACCGAGGCCTTGGCAAATCCTTCTATCCATGCCAAGGTCGCCGGGGCATGGGGAATAGTGGATTCCAGACCGGCAGGATAGGAGGAGGACAGCCAGCGGAAGCATGTCTATCGTACCCCATGGGCATCTAGACCCTCTGGGGGGGCTAGAGGGTGGTCAAACCTCGAAAGGGTCCTCCACAGCGATGGGCAGATATAAACGTGGCAGGATCCGCCCAGCAGTCTTCTATTTTCCCCAGATTCTCTATCCCTTCCAGCACCTCACCGCCGACATAGCCTCATAGCAGCCAGACTTTTTCTCTTCTTCCCATTCCCTCTTCCCCCTTGCAACAACTGCAACCATGGCGAAAGCGGTCGAGAATCAAAATCAACCCGAGCTGGGGATGGGTGATGAGAAGACAGGTTCGGAGATCGTGCACATTGAAGGCTACGAAAGTAGCTTGTCACCAGCCGAGCAGAAGAAGATCATGTAAGAAGATCAGAGCACCTGAACAGCCCTTTGAGCGGTACACATGATTTACGAGACTGACAAACCTTTTGGCCAATAGACGTCGCATTGATTTCCGACTATTGCCCATATTGGGCATCATGTACTCCATCTCCCTAGTCGACAGAACCAATCTTGGATTGGCCCTCGTGGCCGGCATGGCAGAGGACCTCGAGCTCACGGTCGGAAACCGGTATACCGTGCTCGTCATGATCTTTTTCGTGGCATACATGTGCTTCGAAATCCCGAGTGTGAGTATACTATTTCCCGGTCATACATATCTCTTTTGACAATACAAACGAACTACCCCCCAAAAGGAGAGAGCCCTGCTGACAGAAGACCTGATAGAACTTGGTTCTGCCTCGCGCAGGTGCTGCCAACTGGCTTACCTTCCTGGGCGTGTCATTCGGCGCCATTCTTATCGGCATGGGCTTCACCAAGTCCTGGGGCACGATGGCTTTGTGTCGAGCATTGCTGGGTATTACTGAAGCGGGATTTTTGCCAGGTCAGTTCAGGCCAACTCCTACCACTACTACCAAGCGAGATCCTAACCCAAACTCTTGTGTGCAGGCTGCACATATCTCATCACCTGCTGGTACAAGCGATATGAAGTCGGCAAGCGCCTGTCAGCATTTTGGATCATGTCGTGCATCACAACCGGGTTCGCTGCGATTTTTGCCTATGTTCTGTCTTTGCTCAAGGGCACTGCCGGGCTGAACGGGTGGTCGTGTAAGTTTGCACCAACAACCATCAACCCAGTACAATGATCGTGGCATGGCTGACAACGTCCTTTTTGTGTCTATTCAGGGATCTTCATCATCGAAGGCATCATCACCGTCGTAGTCTGCAGTATCGGATGGTTCATCATCATCGACTTCCCTACAAAGGCCCACGGCTTCCTCAAACCCTCAGAACAAGCCTTTGTCATCGAGCGCATCAACGCCGACCGAGGCGACGCCGAAGAAGATCAAATCACACTCTCCGTCATCCTCCACCATCTGAAGGACTGGAAACTCTACTTCTGGGCCTTTAACCTCATGTCCTCCACCCTCCCGGGCTACGCATACTCTTATTTCCTGCCCATCATTTTGAAAAACGGCATGGGATTCTCCTCCACGGAAAGTCAATTGCTCAGTGCGCCTCCTTATGTTCTTGCCGCCTTGATTGCCTATGGTTCCGGATGGCTCGGCGACCGCTATCATATTCGTGGACCTATTATTGCCGTTCATCAGCTCCTCACTGCGGCGGGGATGTTGATTACTGTTTTTGCAGAGAGTAATGGAGCCAGATTGTTTGGGGCATTTCTCGGTACGTGCCGTATCCTCTATTTGTCGACAATTTGAACGGAACGGAATGGATCAACTAACGGTTGGTATTTAGGTATCGGGTTTCTTCAATACTGCGTCCCCGGCGTCTTGACTTATCAAGCCAACAATATCACGCGTCGGTCGAAGCGTGCCGTCGCCACCGCTACTTGCATGATGGGCGGCGGGCTGGGTGGGATCATTTCGGGCGTGGCGTTCAAATCGAGTGAGAGCCCAAGGTATCAGGTAAGAGAAAATGAAAGTTTTTTTTTGTTCATCAAGAGGTTGACAGTCAAAACAGACCGGCATCTGGACAACTCTCGCCATGTCGATTGTCAGCGTCATCCTCATCTGTATCATGTCGCTGCACTTTTATCGCTGTAACTCGGCCGCCCGGGCTGGCAAGCGTCGTAATGAGGACATGGTCGACTGGTTCTATACTTATTAAATTGAACTCCAAAATATTTTTGGGGAGAAGCTGGTTCAGCGGCCGAATAAAAGGAGTGCGGATATCGGATGGCTGCTATATAGGCAGGCAGAAAGACATGACTTACGGGTGGTGATCTCATTTTTCGTTGGAATGCTGGGAATCGGATCGATCTATATGTCGGGACTAGGCCGGGGAATGAGACAGAACAGCGATCTCGGTCGGCTTTTAACACATGATCAGGGAACTGATGGGCATCGCTCCCTTAAGAAACTCATGAAATTTCTCTGTACGATCGGTGCCATTCTCTATGCTGCTATGGGTCTTCAAACAGTAGTCAGATTCAACGGGTACGATGAGATTGGAACACCAGAAACAATAGATTCTACATCTATTGTGGAGGTCAATATCGGCAGGCGCGGTACTGTCTACCTTGTACCTACTGGAAGCCACTTGAAGAATCGACATTAACACCAACTGTACCCGATCCGTTGGCCGTCAGTACTCATCTGCAAGCAGGAACAACAAGCAACTCAAATCGCCAGGAAAGCCGCAAAGTCCGACGAGTATTATTTTTATACTAGTAATCCAAGGCGCACTGCAGTACAAATCAGCACCTTCGACTCTCGATGCTCTTACCGTTCTTACTAGCTAGCGACAAGAGAAACTCTCTGCATCATTAACATCTCCAGTCCCATCATACCTCAACACCTCAGGATACGGACACAAATTCCGCGTAAGATTTGTATTCGTCCCAGCCGCTCCTGACACCGACAGAGTGTCAGCCACAGCCACAGACGCAAACAGAGTCTCTGGCGCTTCGTTGTTTTCAACCCAATCGACCAACGAAGCAAGCGGATCCGTTGGGACCGGACCAATCCCACCAGCACAATGAGCAACCCCTGGAGCGAAAAAGACACGATGGAAATCGTTCAATTCGGCCTGTGTGAGTCTCATCTCGCGCGACAGCGCGGATCGATACAGCATGGTCCCATAGGGCGTGATGAGTTGATCGGCCAGACCGTGCCAGGTCAACAATTTACCGCCACGGTTTCTGAATGCCGACAAGTCAGGCGACAGGGTACCGAGGACATCAGAAAACTGGACCACGGACTGTTCAAATACATAATCGAAATCGGCAAAGGTCATGTTTCGAGTATCATAGTCTGGGTCGTGCATGACTAGGTATTTGATCCATGCTTCGGCGGCGGAAAACGGTACGGGAACCGTTGACCCGTTGGTAGTTGTGGTGTTGGCTAGACCGCTAAAGTTGGCACCGCGTGGGTTTCCGGGGAATAGAAAGGCCCCGGTGGTCGATGTGGCGCCCTGCCATATGCGAGAGACAACATCTGCGTGGATCGGTAGTACTGTGATGGTGGTGTTGCTGTCATCACCACCGCCGGGGCACTGTATTTCCTTCCCAACCAGGTCTTGCGGGTCGTAGTCACAAGGTCCCAAGTTAGATATCAGACCGTCCTTGACCCCGTCCAAAGGATCACAGACCTCAAGCACAGCATTATAATATGCGTCAAACACACATTGTGGTGGCGCTGCAAGATTGTGCATCACGACAGAAGGCCAAAAGTCCGCAGGCGAGATTTCAGGCGAGTGCAATGCGGGTGCATTGGCCATGATGCCGTCAAAGTCCTCGGGATGAACCTGGGCAGCGAGGTAGCCTTGTCGTCCGCCGGTCGAACAGCCTGTGTAGTATGAGTAGGTTGGTGGTGTTCCGTAGAATGACTCAGTTAGAGTCTTGCCGATGGTGGCCAGGTCGTGGATGGCTCGGTGGGCAAAGTTCTTGACCAGACTCTCGTTGAGCGAGCCGTCCTCCCTCAATGCCCATTGCCCCGTCTGAGCGTCGATTGTGCCGTTCAATGTCAGTCCTCCGTCAGTGGCGCCGGTCGAATATCCATTGGCGGCGGGCTCCGGAAGACTATATTCGCCATACCCGGCTGCGAGGCCTCCGCCCCCGGTGGCCTGGAACCGTCCGTTCCAGTTGCTCAGAGGTAGCCAGATGTTGACCCACGTGATGTCGTCTTCGCCCTGGTGGATGTAGCTCATGGTGACATTGCAGATATCCAGAGCCACGCTGGGGTAAAGAGGACTGGTGTAGTTGTACACTGGGGCGCTTTGGATGCTGGAGATCTCCAGTCCGGCCAGTGACGGCAGTGTCAGACTCTCGCAAGACGTGGCAGGGCCAGTCGTGGCTGTCTGCAACGTCAGATCTGGACTGGCCAAGACGACGGCCATCATGGCAACCCTTTTTGTTGTCGACTTCATTGCCAATCGTGTTAGGGCTGTTGCCGTTCTCGAACTTTACCTCTCTGGAAGTGTGCTGCGTGCACTGTCCATGAGGCGGAAGTGACCATTTTATGTCCCAGAAATATCACCGCCGCTTTGATTTCTCCATACATGTGGATCGACATTGCCCCGCAATCATCTCTTATGCCGGGGTATTTTGATGGAGAAGCTGGGCTTTGGAACCAAGGTCATAGGTTGTCTTCACTTTCTATACCGAGTTTGCCGAGGGCCGTGGTATCCAGCGGCGGATCTGCACCTGGTTAGTGTCTGTCAGAACATCGAAGTATAGCAGGAGACTTAAAGTGGATTGGTCTGGAAATAACATCCGCATCCTTAGCATAACCTGTTCTGCTTTTCGCGTTGTCGTGATCTCCTCGACAACAAAGGTGTCAATATGCTCCGGACCGACTGCATTGCCTTCTGCAATCGCCTCTCGCTTGTCAGAGGGTCTGTATCTTGGACTATGCTACTGTCGAAGATTTGGTAAGCCCCCTTAGAGTCGTCGGCGCGCAGAAATCCGTCAGAGCCATGGTCTTCCCTGCCTAAATTCCGAATAAAGCCTTCAAACTCTGATGCGATCGTGGCATTGATTTTAGCGAGCTTAAACAATGAGGACCAAACATCCCTGGGTGGCCAGTCTTTCCTTGGACGCTCGTCATCGTCATCGTCTCCCGGAAAGGAATGGGGCCTGAAAAATCGTACAAGGGGAACTCGCGCGGGAGTCGGACCTTCGGGTTGGGGTGGTAGAGGAGCCATCAAATTGTCCTCAGGGGACACGGAGAAGGCAGTCGCGTTATCCAGCAGAAGAGTTCCAATAGCTTCAGCACTGTAAGCTTGGTTGTTGGATTGGACCTGACGTGAGGGGGGCTCAAGATTGACATCTCCCACCGTTGGGTCGTTGTCCAAAGGCTTTCGGGGTATGTCAGACCAATGCACCAAGCTCGCGGTTTCCCTAGCACCTCTGAAGTTGACAGACTCCCATAGTTCTGCAGTCATGTTGTGGATCTGCAAAATCAGAGGTCTGTAAGTCTTACGAGCCTTGGGGTTTCTGGATTGCGCCACGGCGGCGTAGCAAACAGCTTCCAGTGCAACTGGACGTACTTCGTCGTACCAAGCTTCGCGAGTCAATCCGCCCTCTTCACAGAACTGATTCTTGCGCAGCCGAGTTCGTAGGGTCATTAGTTCGACCGAAAGCGCCCGGATAATGGCAATTTCGGGCACGAATGGTTCCTTGTCTGAAAGGCAATGCTGGATTCTAGTCATCATCTTGGGTGTGTCAATGAAATCCTTGACACTCTTGTGCAAGAATTGAACACGGCGATATTTCTCGTCGCGGCAGGTGAGGTCTGTGACCTCGACCAGACCAAGGCATCGGCTCTTAATCCTTCCAGCCATGCTTTTACACATGACGTTCTGCCTTTCAACAGACATATTACCCCTGCCATCTTGACATGTAGGGGCTTCAATGTCAGCGAAAGCAAGCTGCAGCAACGTGAGAGGCATGACAGCGGTGTGGACCAAGAGGAGCATTTTAAATCCCTCTTCCAGATACCAGACCGGCCTTACCCGGTCCAGGATGTGCCAATATAATTCGGTCAGGTCGTCTGGGAGCTCATGTAGTCGCCTCTCCAGGTCAATCCCCCTATCGTAATTCTGAATTCCTTCCAAAAGGGAGTGGACGACCAATTTTACCCAGAGAAAGACCCCGGACGCTTTGTTGACTACCTGGAGCGCAAGGCTCGGGGCCAGGCCCGGTTCTTCGACCTCGAGCTCCTTGAACCTGGGATCGTCGTTGAATTTCTTCTTGACGAAGGTCTGGATATCATCAAAAGTCAGGTTCTGTAACATTAGCCCCGGAAACCCCTTGAAGCTTTTGTCAAATACGAGAAAGGGCCTGCTGGAGACGCAGACCTTAACGTGGTCAAAGTTGGCAGCGTGGCGGAAGACTGCTGCAATTTCGGCGTGGTCGCCAGAGTACTCGTCCAGGCCGTCAATCAACAAACACAGCTTGACAGGCACTTCCTTCTGTTGCAGCAACTTCCTGAATGCACACTTCAACCGGGGCAGTGTCCAATGATGTGCGAGATCACGAACGGGCACATCAACGGCTTCCGAGAGCACCAGGGGAATGAGCTCGCGGTGGTTCTCGAGAGCTTGGTAGAGTAAAGACCTGAGTAGGCCTTCTTGGGTCTTCTGTAGAGTGTTGCCGTTGTACCAAAAGAAGAAGCTTGCGGTGATGAGTGAAGTGGATCCCGCCCAGGATGCGAGTGTCTTCTGCACCATGCTATGGTGTTTGAGGTATTTCATCAGTGTCGATTTGCCTGATCCGGCCTTCCCGTTGATCCAGTAGATAGCGCCCCCTCGCTCGAGCCAGTCAATGAAGCTGTCCCAGGTATGTCGCTTGCCCTGGGGGGCCTGCAATATCCAGTCAAAGGTCCTCAGCTCTGCAAGGGCGATCTGGTCTTCGCGATCATCCATGACGGGGAACCAAAGACTTCTCCACTGCTGCTCTTCCAGTTCGGCCAGTTTGGCGGCGTAAACCATCGCGTACTCATCGGCAAAGGAATCCCCGTCCGGATCCGCATGATGGCCCGCAGGGATGTCAGCCTTTCGCAGCGCCGACTTCTCGGGTTGCTTGTAGCGCGATGCAGTCATGGCGATCGAGTCGTTCCGTAGCTCCTGTTGTGTTATCTCCGTCGATTGGGGCCACCGCGGCAGGGTCGACATCTGCCGGTCAATGGCCTCGGTCAGTTTGGCAATCATGGCAGACTGCAACTCCCGAAACTGGTCTTCTTGCCTCGATGCAAGCAGATTCAAGCTTTCCCTAGACAAGCGTTGGACGCGAATTGAAGAGACATGGAGCGTGCATCGGGAAGAGAAACTCAAAGTACCTCAAGGATAGAAGGACGCGCCACTCCAACTCGTCCCGATTCTGCTTTAGCCGCCTCTGCAGCGCTTCCAGCTCTTGGTGTTTCCACATGCATTTGACGCCTGAAACAAAGCTTCTCCATTTCCCAGGGCTCCCGCCCGACTTCAGCTTCTGGTATCGCTGCAAGAGATCCTCGGCCACGCTCTGACAGTCCAATATTATGGCGCCGATCTGGGCTTCGTCTCGCCTGCTGGCTTCTTTCGACGAAGTGCTGAGAGCAACAGAATACTGGCCTAAATCGGACGAGACCTCGTCTATCGTGTCAATGAAGCTTTTCAACAGCACCTCCGCTTGGGCGTTGGAAGCGGAAGCACCGTGCACGCCGCGGTAGATCTCGACAGAAGTGACGCAGAGCTTTGTTGCGAAATCGAGGAACTGCACGACATTGGCAGCGACGCCAAAGGCAGCAAGCGCCTCCATGTTGGGAACTGATGGCGTGCCGATTGGGACTGCCGACGATATGTCCAACGGATGAGGCTCTCAGCCTGATGAGTTCAGCTACGAAGCCGACGTTTGTTCTGCCCGGCACGTGATAGTCACCCAGTAGTGCTTACTCTTCCAGCAAAAGAGCTTACCAGGAATATTTGCTCCTGAGCCGCCGAGAAAAGAACGAGCGACAAGCATGATTGGACATGGTCGCTTCAAGAATGGGATTGCTGTCCAATCGCTGGGGTCTCCGATGGTAGGCTGCCTACCTTACACCATGCGGCCTGTTTGGGTAATCCTGTCATGGAGAGAGTCCTAGAGGGAGCAATCCTGTCCAATTCGAAGTTGCCATTGTTCGTCGAACTTGAAGGGGATGCCAGGGGATGAGGCGGTCTCAATGGCGCCCCGGGAGGGGGGGGGGGGCTCGGGCTCTCCGGGCCTATACGTACTACACAGTAAGCTCGGCGCTGTTGTGGGTACTGGTCCTGGTGTGTAAGAGTCGTAGAGTTGAGCAGAGGATGTAATGTCGCGGGAAGATATATGTCCACAGGTGTACAGCGGCAGGGGCCAACAGCGCCATCCATCCTGTGTATCTATCCCGCGTTCGGTGGAGCCTCCCTAGACTGTGCGGGTCGGTGCGAACGGCCCGTGTTCTTCTTGAGCCTCGGTCAGACAAACCTGAAGTGTTACAAAATGTTCGTACACTGCAATGTAAGTGTACACGGCGTATACGATGGCTCGAAACAGCTATAAGAATCCACAGTGGATCGACCCACTCTGCATCAAGGGCTTGTTCTGCCTACAGCCTGACACCGTTCGACTTGGACCTCACTCTCCCCAATACGATCACTATCAATGCCATGATCAAGGATCGGGGGAAATATATCTCTGATTACTATTCACTAATATCATGTGCTTGTTTCCCCAACCCAGCCAGCGTACCTAATCAATCAAACGCCATCGCTATGCAATATAATACTAGTAGTGCATAAAGTCACTCAACTCGCCCCCAGAATCCGGGCGTACGCATCCTCAACCTCCCTGGCGATCTCGAGCAATGACACAATCGCGACCGAGTGTGTCGCCTCTGGAAGTTTATCTCGATGGAGTCCTATCCACTCAAGCGGTGGCGTAGCTTCTCCCATGTCGCGGAGTTGGGGCGTGTCGATGATGGGTGGTTCTAATGGAACGTAGGTGAATTTCGACTGGGGAACATTGACCACTGCGGTGATCTTTTCCTGTCCGCCGTTCTCACCATCGCCCTGAGGCTCGGCTGTGATCTTGACTGCAGACGGTGGAAGGGGTTTCCCCAGCCGCTGAGCCAACGCCCGCGAGTGTGTCTGCCACATGGCCCGGATGAAGCTGATGCGCGCATAATTCCATCCCACATCAACCTTTCCTTCGAAGACGCTGCGGAAGATATATTCAATCACGTTGGAATCGGGCTTTTGCCAGGTTTCCATGGATGCAACAAGCCGCGGCACTTTGACGATGGTGCCTCCCCGAGCTGTAGTTGCCCGTTCAATCACGTCCGGCACTGAAACCTCGCTCAATGCCTTGGTGCTGGGACTGTTGACGTTGGATAAGGCAACCCGCAGCTGACCCAGTGTCATCCCCAGCCCACTATGAGTCTTGCCGCCACTGGTTGCGACCGCAAATCGGGCCTGGATTTCAGTGGCTTCCACCTTGAGGATTTGGTTGTCAAAGTATGTGTTCGGGAACGCGCCAAGGTCGACGGCTTGGAGCGTAATAACGACATCCGTGTGCAGTCCAAATGTCCCTTTATTTGCCACTTTTTTCTCTTTCGGTTCCGAGGGTGGCGGCAGCGCCGACAGTTTACTCGAAGGAAAGATCGATTTCCGGCGGAGGAATTTGTCCAAATCACGTAACGAGGCTTCATAGGCTTCGTGCTTCTCCTGCACAAGCTTTTCGAATGCCTGGACCAGCGCCAGGGCCTGTGCGGCGGCGGCCGTGGTACAGAAGGCCTGAACTTTGCCGCCCTCCACGATCCCTACCAGCCGGTCGCTTTCGATGCCGTGGCCTTGCCGGACATTGTACATCAAGAAATGAAATGACGATATGTCTGCAATCGCAAAAGGCTGGTAGTCGAACGCCGCCTTCACCCGAAAGTGTTCGAAGCCGAGGGATGCCAGCACGAGGGGTGCACGATTCTTCACCGTCTCATCTTCCGGCCAGCGTATTGACGTCCGAGCGCGCATGTTTTCCAACTCCACGAAGCCGCTCATCCTTCCAACACTGTCGGCCCCTACCCTGTCGAATCCGATACATAAGTTTTGCTCCGAGTCATTGCTTTTCTTTGACGAGGCCCAAAATTGAGAAACAGTAAAGGCAGTTTTGCCCAATCCCTGTCCAAAGTCCACCTGGAGTTTGACCTCTTGCACTGCTATGATGATGTGCCAGGGGAGAGTGCCTTTGGCAGAAAGTTCTTGGTAACGCTGCATTGCATACACCTGTTGTTCCTGCGTGGTAGCCGCCGCGCCACTATGCTTCGGCTGACTGCGTAGCTCAGGTGGATACCAGATTTCCCGGAATAGTAGGAAGTCTTGCACCTGTCTTGCATTGATGTCTGTCTTGATAGGACTGACCTTGAGGACGGCTGAAATTCCGGTCGCGGAACTAACGTGTTTGCTATTGATCACGGACATGATGATTGTATCCACTTCGAAGTTGGCAGTGGACTCTCTGGAATACACGTGTTGCACTGACGCCTCGAGTTGGTTGAACGTGGTCAAGATGGCGAAGAACCGTTCCTGATCAGGTGCCGACACGGTATTGGCGGTGATAAAGACATCTGCAAACCTCGCCGTTGCCGCTACGCGAGCAATAGGCTGACAGCTGAGACTGAACTCCTGCCGCTGGATGTAGAGTCCGGCGTTCAACTTACACCGTCCCAAAAGAGCGGCCGGGTTGGCTTTGTCGCCCGTTACCTCTGCATTGAAGGGGGCAGGATCCGTAGGCGGTTTAGATGCTTCACCATCGGCCTCCTCGTCACCCAAGATCTCCTTGATGCTGGACGAGATCTCGCGAATCAGAGGGACCACGGTTGGGTATAGGGTATTTGAAGATGCTGCAACCTTGACTTCGGTACTCAGGGCAGGGTCGTCGAGGCCATTGTCTTTATATTCAAGTTTGAGGGCTACCCCTGGCGATTGAAGCACTGCTGAGGATGCATTGTCCCCTTGCACAGCTTGTCCGTATCGGCCGGCTCGAGAACGTTTCTCGCCTTTCAAGAAGGGAAATGCCGAACTCTGTTGCTGCTCTTCCACGCATGGTGAAATCTGAACCACAGCTCCGGCAAAGTCGGCGTCGATCAGTAGAGAAGCCAGGCGTTTCCCGCCCAGGAGGTTCGTTCCACCCGCTTCGGGCACCTGCTGACTTCCTTCGCAGTTGAAATTGGAGTTCCTTAAGTCTGCGCTCGCTTTCCCAAGAGACATCTGCAGGGCATGAGCTGGAATGACAAAGTCGGAGGCTAATCGAAGGTCTAGAGCCTTTCCTTTGGCGTGAAAGGCGAATCGGCGGTCATGCTTGGTCGAGAGATAAGCAGCTCCAAAAATAATTTCAGGAAGTAGGGCCGAATTAGCTGTTCGCTGGGTCGGGTTTTCAAACTGTGACCGGGGGACAATCTGTAATTGTGTGTCGAGAATTGAGAGTCTTGCGGTGCCTTCCTGCCGGGTCTGGAGGTCGACTTTACGAATAGAGAACACCATATCTTGCACCAGACGAGTGGGAGAAACAACCGCACTTGTCGTCATGTTCCACCGCAGACGGATATTCTCAAGATCAATGGCGTAGGTTGAATCATAAAGAGCAGATGAAGTTGCCTCGTGGCTGGAGCTGCTTTCAAGCGCGGCTCCTATCTGCTCCTTTGGTCTTAACCGGTCTGTGATCCCGGCAGTGGTCATCCTTCGGATTTGCCGAATATTTTCTGTGTCGTCGGAGAATTTGAGAGACTTGATACGGCTCTGTATGAATGCCGCAATGTCAGTAGCAACCATCGCCGTCTCTTCAAAGAGTTCGACCGTGATCCCATCACTCCACGCTCGATAAACATGGACGCGACCAGATTTGTTGTCACCTTCGGTTTTCCCGGAGGCTTTGAGTCCTATGACACACTGCCCGATGTTCACCCTTTCTCTTCCCGTGGTGCGGTATACGGCCAGGCCCACTCCCCGAGAATTGAGAATGAACTGTGGTTGCTCGTGAATGGATTCGGGATCAGTCGTCTCGTTATGTACAAAGACCGACGTGCCCTCGAGCTTGAGTTCCATCTCGGCACGATAATCTTGATCTTCCCGAGCAGGTGGAGCACTCATATGAATGGTGACTCCCGCGAGCGTACCATGAATCGCGAATCGAAGCAAGAGAGTTGTGTCGTCCTGGTTTTCGGGTTGGGCCTCAGCCTTATCTCCAGTAACGTCCTCCAAGGAGGCTTGCACTTGTTGGAATATGTCCTTGGCTTTTGGTAACATCTTGATAACTCCAGGTTGATTCAAGGCGTCAAAGCAAGCACGGATCCCGGCAGTCTCGAGGCTTATCTTCTCCACCGTCACCCGCGCACGAACAGCGATCACACTGGCCGTTTTGCCCACAGATAGCCGTCCATTAATGGCAGGCATCTTCAAGATTGACAGGCTTTTCTTTGAACCCCAGTCTGGTACCTCGAAACAGTGTTCATTTTCTTTGATGTCGAAGTTGACGTCGTGCCCACCATCATCCCGTGGCACAACGGACGTCCGAGCAACCCGACCGGCAATGGCATAGCGAAGAGACGGGACAACGGTGAAGTTCAACCTGTAGTCGTCCATGAACAGAGCAAGATGGAGAGCCAGGCGCAACGACCGTTTAGATGGCTGGATATTCATGTCTCTCGCCCCAACCACCTTGGGCGCCTCGTCTAGCAGAGCCATAATTTCTCGTACTTCGTCCTGGACAACACGATCGAACACGGTGAGGAGCTTGACGATATCCTCTTTCATCTCGAATCTATATTTCTGCGATGCTGCGCAAATCTGTAGTACGGTCTTTGACTTTCGCGACCGGGCTGGCGATTCGGGCCAAACCGAACCATGCACTTTGGGAGATCGAAGACGCCACAAGAGCAAAGTATGGGAATGGCCCTTGACCCTTGACATAGCAGTGTTTGTGGCCGCAGTGAAAGAAGAGATCGTTGGCTTTGACCCTCCCGTGTCGAATGAAGCCACGCTCCGAAAGCGTTCAGCACCCCACTTGACCTTAAGATTGACCGTGGTGAGGAAAATGGAGGCGACATCGCTCCCGACGACCACTGTGAAGCTCCTTCTCGTAGCTAATGTTGTCGATCTTGTCTTATTGGAGCGCCTAACCTCCTGGCTTCCCTTGGCAAGAGGATTGCCAAGCTCTATAACTTGTCGCGCAAGACGGACGAGCGCCCAGTTGAGATGTAAAGAGGTATCTGCAAGGTAAGCTTGAATAACTAATCTTTGAGCGACATCTTTCTCTTGATAAGCTTCTGCTGGAGGGTGTATGAAGACGTTGAAATCAAGACCTAACAGGGACAGATCACTTTGTTGAGGCCCTGGGTCCAGGGTGATGCCAACCTTCCCAATCAGAATTTCTGATTGTACGGTCAACTGCTCCGCAAGCCGGGACGGTTTTGTGGTAAGGGTGCGATCGAAGAAAGAACTCATGATCGGGATCTTGTCGCGCGCATAGTCCCATCCTCGCCACTGCTCAAAGGAAGACAAGACCTGTCTCCGGGCAGCGTCGCTCACTTCCTGGACCTCGCAGCCGCACTCATCGAAGAAGTTGCGGCCCTTGATAGATTCCTGATTCGAGAAGACATGACGCAATCTCGACATTATCTTCCAGGAATCGGTCAAGCGGACATGCTTATCGGCGCTCCTGAGGACGTAGGAAGGCCTCATAAGGAAAACAGGGTCGGATACCGAGGGGCCGGCCTGCGTGAGGTGGTATATCAGATGTCGCGTTTTCGAGCTCGAATCGAGCCCCACGAAAGGAGCTGCAATGTGGTCAGCCATCGAGTAGGTCCTTTGTATGAGGCTTGCCATATGGATCAATTGTTCGGCCCACAGGACGATGTCCATGTTGCTCAACTGCAGCCTCGAATTGAGCTCTTCCTTTAACGACAACCAGTAGCCGATGTTGTGCAGGGACAGTTCCGCATGGGCTGTTGCTTTCTCTGGGCTGGTCGCAGCGTCCCTGACAGACAGTCTGAGCCCGTCAACGGAGCCATATGCCAGATGACCATGCGATCCAGCAGCTTCGGACCTAGCATCGGCCTTGGGGTGAATGGCGCGATACATGACCCGCGTGCCATTGAGTTTCCCATCATAGTGGTCCTCAAACAAGACCACGGAATCCTGACTGTCTGAAGTGCTGTTGACTAGTCTCACATGAACGAATGGGGCCTCAACTGCAAGATCCATTATGTGGCCCTGATCTTCATGATGCTGAATCGCCAGTATTCGCTTCATCACCGCCATTTGTACCTTGTCCAGCCGGTCTACGGCATGCTCTTCGTTGAGCTCACGGATCAGTTGCCCCACGGCGAGAAACAACGCAGGGCCACAGAAGCCTACTAAGCCACTGTCGAGCAGACATAAAAGGCCATTGTGAGGAGTGTTTTCGAACTCGCGCCCTGCAAGATCTCGGTAGTTGTCATTTGACAGTGGCTGCCACTCATTCCTCAGGAACTGGGCGTCGGGCATTTCAGGCATACTAGTAACATTGGGCTGTACCTCATGTAGGGTGAAGTGTGGAGCGGCCCAGGGACTGGCGAAAGTCACCAAGGCTGTGTGCACGTCCCGATCTTGAGATCGACCTCTGATACTGCTACCGCCTGAATGATCGTTTGTGCTGCCACCGCCTGGAGGGGTCAGATATGTGCTGTGAGCGGCAGGAGGGTAGAGACCACACTCTCCCATTGACTTTTGCTGGTTTCTTAGACTATGAGATGCGGACGGCGCGGACTTGGTGCTAGAGGCAGAGCTGGATAGAAAAGAGTGCTGACGATGAGGAGCGCGACGGCGGGCGTGCCGACCGCCGCCACTTGGAAATGACATCTTCTCAACTCTGCCAACGGGTTCTGGCATGACCGGCAACGGCATCGATGGAGGATCCCGGGCCCATTCTGGCTTTTTGGTGTTTGAGGAGTGTTGTTTATGTGACCGCAGTAAAAACTCAGCCCTATGAGTCCGCTGGTCATGATAGAGGATGTGCTGCTGCTGCAAAGAGCGCGTATGCCCAAGATCATCCGTTTTATCAAGCACGCCAATCTTCATCGAGGTTTGGAAGCAAGCAAACGTGTCGACAATCTCATGTCCGCGATCACGACTGCGGAGGGCGGACTCATAGTCAACGGCTGCTACCAATATTCGAGGGACATCCACCCGCATTTTCTTCGCGAAGTCAGGGCCGGCCCAGTCACCGAAAGTGACTTCTGACTCGGGCAGTTCCAGCAGAAAGGCAGCACCACCGGCCACCAACCATACACGCAGACTGGTTATTTCTGCCCTCAGGAAGGTTACATCGTGGATAACAGACTTCTTGAATGCTGGCAGAGAATTCTCGGCATCATCCAAGGTGAAGTCAAAGGCCAATATCGAATGTATAAGGGTTTCAATGAATCGAGAGGAGCATTCTCCCGTAACTTCTCCGACGCTGAAGTCCCAGTTACAGACGTAGGTGGGTTCGGTCGGGGGCGCACCAAAGAGTCGATGCCCGTACACCGCGACGCCGTCGATGAACAACTGACAGCTCGTAATGTCACTTTTCGCGCCCGTCTCGCTCAGAGATACGGACTCAAGTGAAGCTTCCAGAGGGCTTGAGCTGACCTGCAAATCCATGTAATAGTTGGTGAAGCGCATATCAGCTTCTACGAGGAGAATGTCAACCCTCACATTTTCTCTCCTCGAGTAGATGTTGGCTGGCAAAAGCACGCAAGAACTGTCCGCTCGTACGGTCAAGATTACATCGAGGTCATTCTCTTTCTTTGGTCCAGGGCGCGGCCCAAGATCCTCGTTGCCTGCAAGGATGTTCTGATACTCTTCCAATGTTCTAAAATGCAGATGCTCACCGAAGTAGTTTTCTTTGACGTTCATGAAATACCGGATCAAGTAGCCATGCAGGAAGAATTTGGGAGCATAGCCTGTGATTGTCATGAAGAGCGAATCTGACAGGCCGGATGACAGGGCAGAGTAATAGTTATAGGAGCCCTCAAGGTTTAGTTGCTTCAACGTGGCCATAGTAGTGTCCTCGGCCAGCGTATGCAGGGTGTTCCAGACGGGCGTGATGAGCTCGAGGGAGCCATTGTGACCTTCGGCCTGGAACAGAACACTACTCTGTCTGGGACAGAAGTACTGCAAGGGAACATCGACAGTGCCATTGAGCTGTTGGAAGCCAAGTACAAGAAACGCGTTCTCTTCCAGATCGCAGGGATTGTCGATAATGTTGTAATCATTCGAGTTGAGGTAAATTTTCAGATCTGGGAAGCTCAGATGTATTCGATATATAAAAGGCACAAAGGTCATGTAATCAGGCTTTTGGCCGGCGGTGAAATCGCTTATCAGGTCGGTCAGTAAGAACATGTGGTCTCTGAGGAGGAACATCTCCATGGCATTATTCTCAACGCTGAAGGCCCAAGTGTGCAAGCTATTCCAACCTAATGGATTGGACAAGTCACAGGATACCTTTTGCGACTGGCAACGCCATAGTAACGCGTGGTTCACACTAGAAGTGGCCTTGGTATCTCGCAGGTCGAGGCTCAACCGATTTGTAAAGCCCTGTTGTCGTGCAACCATGTCCATCTCGTAGCGCACTGTAGAATCCTGCCCTGCTGATACGGACAGCCATCCAAAAGGGCGCACGTCAGGACCGAGCTTTGTTTTCTGGGATCGACGGAAGCGGAAGTGTCTCTTCTCCCTTTGCTTCCGTAGGGCTGCAGCCTCCTTCACGGTGTGGGCGCGTCCTCTCCACTGCCAATCCTTAGATCGCTCTCTGGTGGGGACTCGAAGGGTAACTTCATCTTCCAGGTCCACCCGTATCGTCATCACCGTGCTCACCCGGTCATCGCCTATCTCTAGCTGAGGTGCTGGAGTCGCGGACCGGTAAGAATTTGGAACGAACGCAGCTTGAATCTCAACGCGAAGCCGGTCCGCCCATGGACCATAATTGACATAACCTCCTTTTACAGCCAAATCAAGCCCATATGCCGGAGGGGTCGACAGGTTGATATCACCGCACTCTTGAAATGCCCCGAGACTATAGTGGTGTTCCGTCACCTTCCCAGGAATGTCCCAAAAGAAGTTCAGGCGGACCGCAGGTGAGTCGAGGATCTGAGAGAATCTGGCATAGTCGACATGAGACCAACCTTCATGATCGTCGCGTTCATCTTCGTCCATATAGCGCCCAAGGCCATGCCATGATCTGTTTTCGTCCTGAAAATCATCATACAGATAGTGTATCTTCCTTTCAGCCTTTTGTGACGCGGTGGTTCGTATGGACCCTCTTGAGCTGCGGATACCGGGCAGCCTGAGGCCACGGAAAAGTTTGCCTATTCGACCAGCCCAGCGGATCTCCAAGAGCCACCACCGCCGCGGGGGCCTCGTGGATTCTGCCGCAGACACGATTCGTTCAGCTGCAGCGAGTTGAGTTCGTCGATAGTCCGGGTTGGGCTTCATCTCGACCTTTGGATGCTCTATGTCGAAGTCAAACACCTGTCGGAATATGTCCGACGGGCCGGCGGCGGCAGCATCAATGTGGCCTTGTGCACCTGCAAAGGTCGAGACGACCAGTGCTCGCGTGTTCTCATTCCCAAGTGTAATTGCTCCCTTAGAGCATTCAACTTCGACCGGGAGCATCCGGATCAGAAGCGAGTGGAGTGAAGAAACATGAGTTGCGGGTTCGCGAGGGTTCGAGGCAACACTTGTCGACGTATCAAGTCGACTTATCGGCACTGGGCCGGCGCCTGCCTCAACATATCTTTCAGACTTTTGTTCAGAAGCAGCACCTTGAGAGGCATCACTCGCGGAGACGACCTTGAACCATGGCTTTTCCTTTCCATCCTGATGAAGGTTCGCATATCCACTTTTATGCTCAAGCCCTCCATTGGCCACGGAATTTCGTTGGTGACTGTGGCCTGTCTGATCATGTCCCTCCAACAGGTCGTCCACGATGGCTTCATAAACAGGCGTGCGGTTGTACACAAACCACTCCAAACCGGATATATTGATCGCAACACGTGCTTCAGATGTATCATCCTTTTTGGCTCGTCCCCGCTCCTGGTCTGACATCGACTGCTTGGACTCTCCAGACTCATCCGGTGTCGACTCCTGCTTGTCGTCATCGAAGCCATCTCCTGGGTTGTCGTCGTCCGGCGTGGTAAGGTCGACTTGCCGTGAAATTCGCAGCCAATACCTCCAAGTGATATAGCCGTGTTGGATTAAGACGGTCTCATTCTCCCCATGATAACGAATGCCTTTGAAGAAGATTCTACCCGCCAAAAAGGACAGCTGGAGAGCCTGTATATCGATCCAAACACGGTACTTGTGCCATGTGTACGCTCGAAGCCCGTATGAGACGAGGGTCGCAAAGAGACGGTTAAAGTAGAAGAGAAAGAACAGCGCCAGACAGCAGCAGGTGGCTAGTTCAACAAACCATGTCCTAATAGAAGTAAGCACAGCGGCATATGAGGGCCATGGTTTCCTCTTACCAATTGAAGGATGTATCCTGCGAGATGGGCTGTCCGACGAGGTCATCCACACCCGACATTGTAATGGAGGTCGAGTCGATGCAACGAATGCATCATGACCGCGCCGAAAGACGTTGGAAGACAGCCGAGCGCATCCTCCTAGTCTCCTGGCTACAAGGTACAAACAGATGCAGTCGAGCTCACTGTTCGAGCCGGCGTCGTTGTTGGAGGAGTTGCGGTTACAAGAGACCGGCGGTCGCAGTGCCTATGATCTACAGTTGTACCAATGGAAGCACACTTAATAGAGAAGTTAGCCCGCGGCAGTGGTGATCCGCACCACTTATTGTCTTCATTTTATTAGAGAGTGTTCGGAGCATGCTACTTCAGTACTAGTACTGTGCTAGTCCCCCCGAAAACTGCCAATTGCATGGAGCATCGTCATTTGTATGACCGCGTTGCACATCTGCCTCGATACCTACAAGATACACCTTTTCATGTGCAGCATTCCGCATCTCGTGCTTCACACGCCTTGCAACGCAGCCTTGTGACCCAGAGTCCTCGGGCATTCTCTTATCTATTAACAATGCTTAGCTGACCCTACCTTCGCGGTCGGTAGCACTCACGGCTACTACATAATCAAAACGACAGCCCTATATCGGGGCTTGCCCCGTCGCCATGATGACCATGTCGAGCGTCGGAGGAACAGGCAACAAACTTACAAAAGTAACCATCATTCTTGCTGGAGTCGCCTCACTCGCTGCGACACTGATTTCGCTCTTGTATGTGCCTCTTTACTACTCCAATACTTGGGACTGGCTTCTGATAGACTCGCGTCGCAGTTCGATATGGCTTCAAGCAAAGAATTACAGGAAACCGCTGCTCCAGCGATATGTGATTCGCATCCTCCTCATGGTACCTATCTATTCGGCCGCCTCGTGGGCCTCTATCGTGTCGCTGAAAGCCGCATTCTACCTCGACCCCCTTCGAGACATATATGAAGCATTCACAATATACACTTTCCTCCAACTGCTCGTCAACTTCCTCGGCGGCGAACGCTCGCTGATTATCATGATGCACGGAAGACCACCAGTATCGCACCCATGGCCGATCAGCCTATACTTTTCCAAAGTCGACATCTCGGACCCGCACACGTTCCTGGCGATCAAGAGAGGCATTCTCCAATACACATGGCTCAAACCCATACTGAGTCTGGCTACGATCATCCTGAAGCTCACAGATACGTACCAAGAAGGATACATCGGGTTGACGTCGGGGTATCTGTGGGTAGGCATTGTGTACAATGTCAGCGTGACAGTGAGCCTGTATTCGTTGGCCATGTTCTGGGTTTGCATGCACGAAGACCTGAAGCCCTTCCGACCTATGCCGAAGTTTCTGTGCATCAAGCTCATCATCTTCGCCTCATACTGGCAGGGCTTTTTCCTGTCCATTCTACAATTCCTAGGCGCTATTCCCAGCGATGTGCCAGGATATACTGCAGACAACCTGGCAGCCGCTATCCAGGATGCATTGATATGTTTTGAAATGCCCATCTTTGCAGTGTCGCATTGGTATGCCTTCTCATGGCACGACTATGCCGACGTGACGATCTCGGCGGCTCGTATGCCTGTCAAATACGCCTTGCGCGATGCATTCGGCATACGGGATCTGATCGAAGATACAAAGGAGACATTCCGCGGCAAACAATACGATTACCGAACCTTTGACTCCGGTGACAACGTCATTGCGCATGAGGAATCGCGATCTCGGGTAGCCAGGATGATGGACGGGATGAGGTATGAAAGAGGAGGTAAAGGCAAGTACTGGATACCGAAGCCGCAAGCGGTCAACAGTCGAACACCATTACTCTCCAAGGATGCCGCTTCTAGGCCTCCCGCCCCGGAGGCCAGAGGACAAGCTCACGATTACCGAGCAACCGAACCGGATTGGGAGATCGGGATCGACCCAGAAGACGAGCGACTGTACAACAATGCTCGAACGCTAGAATTCGGTGATTGGAATGTAAGTCTTTCTCATCACCATCATACTTGTCCAGAACTGACCCGTTTTATTTACAGTATCCAGTCATTACTGCGCATGAAGCTCGGCGAGAAGATTGGCTGAATCGTGACCCCAATCTCCTCACAACCTCTACAAACCGTAACCTCTTCCAACCCACCCGCGACCACCGAACCCGCCGCCGCAGTGAGATCCGCCATAACATCCGCAAAGGCAAGCACAGGAGCACGTCTCGCTCTTCTTCCCATGCTAGCTCATCCGACCAACAACCCCCTGCCGCCCAGACCGCGATTGAACGCAAGCTCAAACGCGACCATTCAACCGGCGCTGCCTCTGGGAAATCCGACTCGAGTCAACTCGTCGACCTGATCGTCGAAGACACCGAGGCCGAAGAAGCCGAACGCGTGCGCGCCCGAAAGGAAGGCGGCGACGCATGGAACCGCAGCGACCACCGCCATTTCGTGCGTACCTATAGTATTGACGACGAAGCCCATGAGGGGCAAGAGATCAAGGAGGGCTGGGATCCCTCCGATATTCCTGCAAAACCCCCGCCACCTGAACATGCTACCAGCGACGACGAGGAGAATTATGATGAAGATGATGGTAACAGAAGAAATGCTGGTGCACATCGGAAGCACGCAGATCAGCAGCCTGAGGGTTCCGACCAAAATGGTGTCACAGGGAGATACGGCAGTTTGATTGAGGAAGACAACGTCTGGAGTCAGGGCTGATGCAAGCGGGCCCCCCCATTTTTCCTCAAATATATTCCTCTTTTCAACTGTGCATAAATATTTGCCCTGCTCATCAAATTCTTCTGGTTGTCCGTCATCGCAGGCTCGTTGACACCTCGTCAACCAGCCAGCAGAGCATCAGCCGCCCACTTCTTTGCCCCGTGGAACCGCTTTCTCCTTCTCAGGACCCGGTGCTAGGCTGGGCTTCCATCGCCAGTATTAGTACGTACCTATGCACTTTACGTACAGATCAAGAGCATTTCAAGCGTTCAAGCGTATAACAGATATTCAACTACCTATCAAACAGCATTCACTGCAGTCTTTTATAATAATAGAAGATTTATTCCCCATCCCTCACGCTTCCAACGGGGTGGACTGCAGAAAGTCTATCATCAAAGCCCTGGAACAACTGTGGCCGACAAACGCCATCCCAAGGATTGGACAAATATAATAAACATGATTGTAAGGGAGAAAATTATCTTCCGTCATGGAGCAGTAATAGAGTACAACGATCTTGTGCAGCATAATTTGTTCATTGGAAATCTCGACTGTCTATGCAGTTTGTCCATTCTATCGTCTCTATCGTAACCCAAGTCTATCCGTGCTGCTTCTGCAGCGGGTAGTGGTATCCGGGAAAAAGACGTTGAAAGTACCCGTGGTATGAAACTATTCAAATCATGAACACACCCATTTTGATGCCCTCAAAACTCCGAACTGAGAATTGCCATTCTGTGACCAAACGCCAACGTTCCATGTGCTGTGACGAAAGAAGAAGAAAAAGGAATGCAATGACTTGGGGCGCTTAACCTCTAGTCATCCTCATCAGAGAAGACTTCCTCGCCTCTCTTGCGACGAGCCATTCTCTCCTTCTTCTTCTTTCTCAGCTCGGACGAGGTCAACTTCTTGGCCTTCTTGTTGCCTTCGATCTTGTTGCCCATGGCATCAAACTTCTCTTCGTCGTCGTCCTTCTCGGTCAGACGAGGACCACTACCTTGGCCTTGGACCCAGTTGTGACCTGAAAAGACATGTTAGTAATGTTAACAAAAAGAAGGATCATAGAGTCAAAACATACCTGATGGAGTCATCTTTCCGTTGACGACCGACCACACTTCGTTGGTCAAGCTCTCAGTGAACTCGGCATTGTGGGAAATGATGACGACACCACCCTCGAAGGCCTTGAGGGCCTTGGAGAGAGCGCCCAAGGAATCACGATCCAGATAGTTGGTAGGCTCGTCCAACACGATCAAGTGAGGACGTTGCCACGTGCAAGCAGCCAACACAACCTTGACACGCTGACCGCCGGAGAGACCGCGCATGCGCGAGTGAGAGACAAGCTCGGCATCAAGACCAAAGTTGGCGCAGTGCTGCTCGATCTCACGTCGGATCAAAGGTCGGAACTGACCGCTGGCCAGAGCCTCCTTCTGATCAACTTCGGCAACCATCTTTTGATGGGAAGCAAGAATCTCAGATCGAGGAATCCAGGCGTTGTCGGCAGTCATCATGGGAGTCCACTTCTCGTTCTTCTGACCGATGTTCTCACCCAGAGCGAACGAACACTCATACTCGTACGAGTTCTTGAACTTTCTGCGGGCGTGGATGCCGATGACACGACGTTGAGTACCCTCGATCTTGTAGATCTTGTCCATGGCCTTCTCGTCATCCTCGGTGACGATCTTGTTGGCACGATCCATGGTCTCACGATCCTCACCAGTCTGGAAACGCCACTGGATGTATTCCGACGGAGTCTTGTCAAGGTGGTTATCGATGTGGGCAAAAGCGTGTTGCTTGATGTAAGCAATACGGATGTTCTCGTGTTGGTAGACCTCACCAGACGTGGGGATCAGTTCACCGGTAAGGACGTTGACCAGCGTAGACTTGCCAGCACCGTTGGGACCAATGACGGCAATACGAGATCCCAGGGAGACCTGGAAAGTGATGTCGGAAATCTGAGGCTTGTCGGTACCTGGGTATTGGAAGGACATCTTGTTGACTCGGACAATGGCCTTGGCCTTGGTCTTGACACCCTCAAGGAAACCAGGCTCGGGGAACTTGAACTCCATCTCGGAGGCACCGAGCTCGAAGTAGGATCGAGCAGATGGCACTCGCTTGGCGAACTCGGTGAGGTTACCACGGTAGCGACGAAGCTTGAAGCGCTCATAGTGAATAACGTGCTGAATGACGTTGTTCAAGAATTTGGAGTCGTGGGAAACGATGATGGATGTGCAAGGAGAGTTGGTCAAGTACTGTTCGAGCCAGGCAACGTTCTTGACATCCAAGTGGTTGGTAGGCTCATCGAGCAACAAGATATCGGGCTCCTCGAAAACGGCACGAGCCAAAGCCAACTTCATCTTCCAGCCACCAGACAGAGAGGTGATGGGAGCCTCGAGCTGTTCGCGAAGGAAGCCGAACTCGAGAAGCTTCTCCTCGATCTCAGAGCGAGGAGTGTCGATGTTGACCTGTCGCAACTTCATCTCGGTCCAGCCGATGACGGAGAGTTCAGTGTCGGCGGCATCAAGGTCGTGCTCCACGAAGACGGTCTTGACCTCGCTCTTCTTGGGGAAGCCTTCGACCTGCTCGTTGTTGATAGCACGCATAAGAGTGGACTTGCCGGAACCGTTGGGGCCCAAAAGACCGTAGCGCTGGCCACGCTTGAGGCGGAGGTGAGTTTGGTTGAGAAGAATCTTAGCACCGTAGGCCAAGTTGAACGTGCAGTTGCAAAGATCCTCGCCTTCTTCCTCATCCGCCTCTTCCTCGGCGTCCTCCTCGGCGCCAGGGGAAGCGCGCTTGCGAAGTTGCTCAGCAACAGACTGGGCATCCTTCTCACCGACGATGGTCTTCAAGTACTCAACGGTGTTGGAGACCCAGTCGGCGGCGTCGGTAACCTTCTCGTCGATGAGCTGTCCTGCGATGGCAGAGACGTACTCAATGACCGGCTCGGACTTGGAAGCAGCGCCCTTGTGGCTTTGCTCAAGGATGGACTTGAGGATACCGGACACGGTGGAGATCTCGCCGGCAGTAGAAACCTGAGGAGCAGTGCCATCCTCTTTGACAGCACCAACACGTTTCAGGGTCTCCAAGGCCTGCTTGGTCTTCTCACGAGCCTCAGGGTCAGCCATGTTCTCGTAGTTCTTGGTGAGAGCAGGCATCAGCTTAGGCAAGAAAGCGGCCACGATCTGAGGATCCTCGACAAGTTTACACATGTTGTCGACGATGACAGCAGACTTTCGCTTGATAGCAGTATCACGCTCAGCGAGACCACGCTCGAGCAGAGGAACCATGATAGCCAGAGTCGGCTCATGGACGTCAGTGACGAAGGTGGTAGCACCAAGCAAGTGAACAGTCTCGGGGACGTTCTCAGGCTTAGCGATACACTTGATGAGCTCAGGAATAAATCTCTCGATATCCTTGTTCTCGATCAACTTGCAGATCTTTTCCATTGTGCCATATGCCTTCTTCTTGACTTCGGGCTTGGTATCCCACATCGACTCGGAGACGATAGGAATGAGGGTGGGAACGAGGAAAGACAGCTGCGTAGGAGCAGTCTCGACAAGGGCGTCGATGCAGTCCAGACCGGTCATCTTTTCGGGCCATTTCTGGGCAGTGATGATCGAGTTTCGGATGTGAGGGAGAGCAGCCTTGACGGCGTTGGGGTTGATGGCTTTGACGATGGCAAGAGATGCGGCCTGCGCAGCGTTCTTGACGGAAACCATCTTGTCGCCAACGGCACCAAGGGTCAGCGGGAGGAGTTGGACCAAGTAGGGCTCAACGCCCGGGGAAAGGCTGGAGTGCTCAGCAATGGCTTTGATGCCATCGAGGGCACGCTCCCGAACGAGGGCATCCTTCTTGTTGGCGAGTTGCTTCTTGAAGGTCTCGACGGCCTTGAGAGGCACTGCGTGCTCCTCGATGGGGCCGTTCAAGAAAGTGGCGATGTTCGTGGCGGCAGCGTTGGCCTCATCCTGTGCCTTGGACAGGGACAGTTTTTGCAGAAGTTGCTCCAGGGTGGCAACGGACTGCTTGGTCTCCTTTGCGGTGGTCTCTGGAGTGGAAGTCATGGTGTCGACAGCGGGCATGATGCAGGGAGGAATTCGAGATGGATTGATGATGGTTTTGAGGCGTAGAAAGGAGTTTTGATTAATCTGACTTCTTGTGGCAAGAAATCAGGAATGTCAGGAACAGCGGTCTAGAGACTGTGTGAAAAGGGGCGCCCACGGACTGCGCTGTTTCCACGCAGGTCTCGCTCTAGATGGCGTCTATCGTAACAGAACAAGAAAAGAGATGCAAGCACTCTGTGAAGAGAGATGCAGAAGGGAGTAAAGAGGGAGTGGATGTGAGTAAACAGGAGTGAAGGGCGAAGAGGGCGAGGGAGAGAGTATTTATGAAATTTTTTGGGATCTTCTCTCGCCGACCCCGAAAAGATTTTTTGTTAGCGCCCCCATCATTCTTTGCACCAGCCGCAGCGCAGTTGCCGCCGCCGCCGCCGCCGCCTGAGCCGGGAACCAGGCAACGTGCCAGTGCAGCGACCAACTCTGACGAACCCACCGGCCTTGACGGGGCAGAGCCCAGAATTCTTTCTGCCACTCGCCGTTGGTCTGTTACTACTCACGCAGGCTGCTACTGTTGCTACTGCCACTTGCTACTGCTGCTGGTTCGAGCTCGATGAGGCACCGAGCCATCTCTCTCACCTTCAACTGCCAATCAAATGTTCATTCCTCAATTCCCTGTCGATCGTTGCTGTCCCTTTCTCCGTGTCTGGACGAGTCGAAAAGACTCAAACGCATGTACCACTGTACTGAATAATCATCCAGTTGTCTCTTCGGGTCCCTACGTCCCTGGAAGCCCCTACCACTGTACTAGTTGTACTGACTCCCCAATAGAACACCGCCCAAATCTGACTGCGCTTTCCCTTCCCAATCCGAAGACGGACCTATTTTTGTCGCCACCCTCCTCCAGCTTTCGACGATTCGCGTCTGCACGGCCGTCCTGAAAATCTTGGGGCCCCTGTCATTAGTGCCAGACAAGATGCAGGATTAGCGGGAAGCCTTCTACACAGTTTGCTCTACGCCTGCATCTTGCGTCTCCCACGTCAGAGCCGGCACCCTGCAGGTGTTCTTACTGGTACTGCCGCAGTCGATTAATCTCACATAAACTCCCAGGGGGAGACGCTAAAGTTTTCTGCCGGCCCAGCTCAGGCAATCTCAAGCTTGCCCTTCATCATAGTACAATGTACTCCTCACAGGAGTGTCGGGGCAAAGAAGACAATGTCCTTCCCACCAACTGGCCCTCCTGAAATGCCCAGCGGTGAGGGGATTCGGCCACTGAGAAAAATTATCCGCCACTATCGATACGCGGCTTTGAATTTCCTGATAAGACGATTAGCATATGGGATCAAGGGTCTGTGCCCCGATCAAGCGGTGTGGGCGACACCCAAAGGGTTCGCTCGGGGTTCTCGACAGACTTGTTCGCTACAACAGCCCCGACGAGTGGTTCCTGTTGGTCCCCTATCCATTTTCGTGGAGACAAAGAACTGTCCTGGAAAAGTAGATCTTCTTGGCCGAAAGAACCCAGGCCAACACCTTGCTATTCACTACTGCTACATTGTTGGACTCGTTGGTTTGTCAAAGGGAGATTTTGCCACCTCCTGGAGGTTTCATATGTCATCGTTCAACTGATCTGCTGTGGCTTTTCCCTGGTTGGGGCGAATATGGTCAGGTAAGGCTGGCCTAAGGCTTTTTACTGTCCTCTCTGTACAAACGTTCAATCACAATCTCGCCCTACCGGATTTAGACAGAACGCACTGGTGCCATTCTTCCTCTCCTAGCCCTTTCAAAGGCATAAACTACTGAATGGCTAATGATGTGTTGTTTGTTCTGCCTTCGGACAACCCTTGAGCCTGTCATAAGCGAGCTGCAAGTGTCGACGGGTTCAACGTCCTCGCATCGTACTTCTCTCGCCACACTCTATTTCCCCGGATTGCGGTACGGAGACTGGATTCGAGGCAGATCCACCAGGGAGGCGTTCAGCCTGGTCAGGGCAAGGCTGAGTAGTGCTTCTAGCGCGAAGAGACTGCACAATTGCGGCATTATTCTCTGCCAGAGTGTTGACATACCAGCATCGTCAAACATCAGACTTATCACGTCGTCAGCATCTATGGTGTCGTTATCGTACAATCATAAATCATCCTCATCCAATTAGATCGAAACCTCAACCCACGATATTCAAGTTCGGAAAGTCCTCGTCAATGGTGATGATGTCTTCTGTGCCTGCGCCTGCTGCCGTCGCTGTCACTGCTGCTGTTGCCGCTGCTGGCGCTTCTTCTCCTACTTCCCGATCTTCTGCGAGAGACGCTGCGACGCGGCTCGTAATCGTAATCGCCATCGTAGGAGTCACCAGGAGCGAAACTTTGACTCCTACGGCGGTCCCTTTTCTTTTCCTTGCTCTTCTCGCGTTTCCCTTCCAGCTTGTGCCCGGCATATGCGCCAGCCAGAGCCCCGGCCACGGTGACAAGGTCGTCATGATGTCCAAGTTTTCGTCCAGCCACTAGTGCATGCGTTAGCCATAATCGCCAATATACGACAGTCGAGCTGTGCTGGTATGTCTTTTCGAAAGGCAAGGTATTCTTACATGTCCCAACGACACCACCAAGGAGCGTTGCGCCTATGTCCTTTGCAGTGCTGTGGTCCTTCTTCTCTCCCCTGTCTCTTGACCTGTCTCTCGACCTGTCTCTTGACCTCTCACTCTCCCTCTCCTTCCACGAGCCGCGAGAGGTGGGCCGGTCGTCGTATCGAGGCGGAGGAGGATAGTATCCGCCATCACTACTGCGGTATTGACTAGCCGCCCAGGGCCCTGAGTTACGGCGCTCTCGCTCTCGGTTGTACGCGTACTCGTCGCCAGTGTATTGCCCGACTTGCAATCCGGACGAACGTGGCGAGTACTGGTATTGGTCTTCCTGCGGAGGCCGGTAGGCGGGGATGTACGGGCTCTGCGTGATTTGAGTCAGTCGATAACTGCGAGAGTAGACGATGCCCGAGGAACACTCATGATGTGCCTACCTGGGTCACTGCCGGCGACGACGTGTATCCTGGCGCGCCGTACTCTCCATGTGGCTGTTGCGGTTGCGGTGGGTGAGGGTAGTTGTTGTAACCGCCGCTGCTGGGCGGAGGAGGGTATCCGCCGGGATTGTGATAGTCTGCCATGACGAACGCCGAAGTCTAGAAAGCTGTATCACCCAGAAGTAACAGTAACAATAGTACTAGTGAGCTGGTAACAGGTTGGAAATGTATAAGGCTCTCAGTTGAAGCGCAGTTGTGCTGAAGTAGGAGCCTTAGTCATATTGCTCAGCGCGGGGCGTGCTAGATATGTACAGCTGAGGGAGGCTACGGACGACACCGGCAGCACCGGAGCAGTGTGATATCATATTTCATTCTTCAGCTTAATCCATAATACGCATACTGACTCGCAGTCTGCGGCATGATGTGCCCGCCGTTATTCGGTGCCATCACACGACATGCGCGTAGGTCCCAGAAATCGAACAGTTTGTCGATCATCGGTCATGGACGGCAACAGCCGTGCATGCCGCCCGCTGCTCAGGTTCGGACGCCGAAGGGCCTCCCCATGGAGGAGACACTGCACGGCTTTGCGGCTCTGGATGTTGGCTACTGTCTAGGAAGACGGGTCCGGCATAGACGCGGAGTCAGGACATGCACAATTGGGTACGTTTCGTCCTCGTGTTCAAGTTTACAACGTACGCTCTCTGGTCTACTAGTACTGTCCAAAACTGCTGCCAGTGGTAGCTTCAAAATATAGCCTTTTGCACTGACCATACAGCATTAGCGACACGGCGCTCGGGTGAATAGAACCTTTCTCCTATGCCTTTGAAAAGAGGCCCTTCGGGTCTGCCTGGTTCACCGATGGCTGTGAGGATGCTCATCGTCGATCAGACGAGTTGGGATGAAATTGTAAATTGTAGACACTGGTGCCCGTGTTCGAGGCTGGTCCAAGCCAAAATAAGTGACGTGGAAATGGGGGCGACCATGTCTGAGCCTTGTCAAGGGCTGATAAGAAGACCGTCCAATGACAGCTCTCGCACGTGATTGCAGCCTTGAGCGACCGGCGATGTCTCGGCGGAAGAATCTGCAGCGCCGTGGTTCGACCGCCACGGCAGCAAACCCGGTATCTGTCCCTCGACTCGGATCGCATTGCGCTGCGCTTCACATTCGCTCGGCTTCGAGAGGCTTGCCGACTTTTCCTTTCCAGAGTTATGCTTAAATCAAAAGTAGTCCCTCTGATTGGGATGAAATTCTCCGAAGCGAGCCACCATTTGTTTGAAGATCACACTTGTCATGGTTGTCGCTGTTACTCGCGCTCCGAGCTCAGTCCGCGATCGCATCTTGTCTGGATATCACGGGGCAAATGCCTCAATTTGGTACCCGTTTTTGCGCTTCTGTTTTCACATGTTGGGATCAGGATGGCCCCTGATTGGGGACCCATAGCCATGTTCTCTACAAGGTATGAGTTGCCCGTTCCTTTCTCGGATTTCGTGATATACTATATATCAGACGTGCCCCTCCGCTCTGTCCAACGCTCTCTCCCCGTTGTAGAATCAGAAGGCGTGCTACAGATTCTCGCTATCACTATCGCTGGACATACCACATATTCAGCACGACAGCTCAACGCCTATACAACTACATCGTAAAGATCTCTCCCACCCTCTTCATTCGTGAACAATATCCACCATGTCGTCCACACTGGGCGATGGCGCTGAGGAGCGCGACACTCCTCGCGCAAGCCTCGAGAAGCAACAAACCCAACTAACCCGAGCGTCGACACGACGAACAACACTCGAACGATATGAGACCAGACCCACTCAAGACGCCGCGGAGGTCCTGGACCTGCCGTACGAAATCCTCAGCGACAATGCCGATATGGCAGAATATACCGAGGAAACGGCCGAAGGTATTATTCCCAAGAGAACGATATCGCGGGTCAGTGGGAAGCTGGAAGAACATGAATTGGTGACATTCAAGATCAACGACCCTGAGAATCCGAAAAACTGGTCGAAGCCATACAAATGGTGGTGTACCATGGTAGTGGCATTCACCTGTTTCGTGGTTGCATTCAACAGTGCAGTCATCACGGCGGACTTGGAAGGCGTTGCAGCGACCTTCCACGTCTCTAACGAGGTTTCGCTATTGACCATCACCATGTTCGTTATCGGATTCGGCGTGGGACCATTGGCATTTGCACCGGCGTCGGAACTCTGGGGCAGAAAACCAGTCTACATCATCACGATCGGCATTGCAGTGATATTCGAGATTCCTTGCGCCGTTGCAAAGAACATCGGCACACTTCTGGTCTGTCGACTGATTGACGGTATTGCGTTCTCGGCGCCCATGACTCTCGTTGGCGGCACACTCGCCGATCTGTGGAGGAACGAGGAACGAGGTGTTCCTATGGCAGTCTTCAGCGCGGCTCCCTTCATCGGTCCCGCCATCGGTCCGCTCGCCGGTGGGTTTCTAGGCGATGCCGCAGGCTGGAGATGGCTATATTGGATCCAACTGATTCTTTCCGGCGTCTGCTGGCTTGTCCTGACATTCACCATCCCGGAAACATATGCGCCATCGATCCTCGACAAACGGGCCAAGAAGCTGCGCAAGGAAACCGGCGACATGAGATACGTGACTGAGAAGGACATTGACGCCCGCCCCATCGGCGAACAACTGCGCATCTTCTTGATCCGACCTCTGCAGCTGTTGTTCTTGGAACCAATCGTGTTCTTGATCTCGCTGTACATGTCGGTTCTGTACGGATTACTGTACATGTTCTTCGTGGCCTATCCCATCGTCTACGTCAAGGGCAAGGGTTGGTCCGAAGGCAGTACCGGGCTGATGTTCATCCCGCTTGCCATCGGTGTCATTGTCTCAGCCGGTTTGTCGCCCCTGGTCAACAAACATTATCTCAGTCTCTGCGCCAAAGCCCCCGGTGGCAAACCGCCGGCCGAAGCACGATTGATCCCCATGATGTTTTCATGTTGGTTCATCCCCGTCGGCTTGTTCATCTTCGGCTGGACTTCGTACCCGCATTTGTCGTATTGGGGTCCCATGATGGGCGGCTTCCCTGTGGGGTTTGGGTTTATCTTCCTCTACAACTCTGCAAACAACTACCTCGTCGACACTTACCAGCATCAGGCCGCCTCGGCTCTTGCCGCAAAGACATTCATCCGGAGTTTCTGGGGCGCCGCCGTCGTTCTGTTTACCGAGCAAATGTACGATACTCTGGGGTATCAGTGGGCCAGTTCGTTGCTTGCCTTCATCGCCCTGGCTTGCTGCTTGATTCCTTATGTCTTCTACTTTAAGGGTGCTGCCATCCGGAAACACTCCAAGTTTGCCTTCCATGAAGAAGATGCTCCTGGTGTTCTCCCTGCTGGCAAAGTATGAATGAACTATCACTACTAGGTGGTCGTGGTCATACTTGATCAAACTCATTTGTCCTAGACAAGGACGAACAAAGGCGCAAACAATGACACGCCGCCGAGCCATCAATTCTCACGGCTTCAAATGGCGTACAAGGTCACGATTCATTGCACCGCCGCCAACGAGACCGCTATGGCCTCGGGTCCCTTCCGTAGCAGCCAGTTTGAGCCAGTTTGAGCATTACCGGTACTCTTTGCTGCAACAGAAAATCCCCGTTGGCTGAAGCGTCTCGGCTTTCGATTGTGGCCCGTCTCGGCTATCGTGTCCACATACACGGTATCCTTCTTTCTGCGCCTGTGCCGGAGTGCAGTGCGCAGTGAGTGACACAGTGGGAGCCTTACCTTACATACTTCGATTCACTAGTCAGCAGCCACCTCTGAATCGTTGCACGGCATGTTGACTTTTGGAACTTCATTCTTAGAGCGAGCCCTCAGCGGCCAGAGTTATGCGGATTTTCTTTTTACTGCATGTAAAATACAGTTGTAATAATTATAAATATGAAAAATCATCATTCAAAAGCCCTTCCATGACGACTCTAATGAAATGGCCCCTTGGAATGAGATGTAGTAAATGCCTTTCTCGCCACCCTGCTGCCCATGTAGAAGACATTTCGAAGACGTTTCCTTCACTTACCCAGATACCGAGTCAGATTCTGAATCTCTCACTCGACGTAGGCGGGTAAGCGGAAACGAAAACGAAAGCTTCCCACCACGCTTTGGCATCGTTGTCTTCGTCTTGCTGCTTCGGGCGAAGATCGACCTTCTGAGGTTGGAAACTTGGGGCTGGCCTTGACCTGTACAAATGACGCTGCCATCGACAGCAGGCTTGCCCATGCGTGTTGCTGTTGTTACACTTTGGCCGTTGTCCTTGCCGGAGACGACACTGCTGCTTCTAGGTTGAATCGCACCGTTGTTGCGGAAGTTATAGTTGGTATCTGCAGGTCGTTGAAAGTACTATGACTGGGACGTTAGCATGCGATGCAGAACTCAACCCATTCATCCTCGATCACAATGTAAGGTAAGGAGAACTGCCCAGAGACCGCAACTTAACCTACATCCATATCCACGTCATCACAATCCACTGTCGTCTTAGAACTTGTATCGGAAAGCGTTAGGGGACTGATGCTGCAAGCGAGGCCGTGGCCGTGGCCGTTATGGTCATTTCCGTCCCAGGGACGTTCCCCAAAATCCAGGTCTGACTCCCAGTGGTCTGTACTGAACCGCGCGCTCGTTTGACCTGATGGGACCCGGCGGCCCGGGTGAGGAGAAGGAGGGGGAGAAGGAACTCCGCCTTCGTCTTCAGCTTCGTTTTCGTCTTCTTCATGGATCGCTTGGAGAGCAGGACCGGGAACATAGTTCTCATACTCATTATTTCCGGTAGGCGTCTCTTGCTGCGCAGGTACATCAGCCGAGTATGCAGTCGATGGTAAAAATGTGCTTCTGCTTGTATCTGTGCTTGGTGTTGCTCCTGACGACTGTTTCGATAGACCGGCACCAGTCACTAAATCCTCACAACCCAAATATCCTTTCACTCTTTTCGAGCCACCGGTCTCATGCAGAGCAGTGAGCAAACTAGTGCGATCCTTTTGCAATGGTGGTGCAGGCGCTGCTGCTGGCACCGCCGGCCCTCCTTGTGTGTCAATCCCCGCTTCGTCACCATACAACCAAATCAAATTGAAAAGGAGCGCCTTTGCGTTTTTATGTTGTCGAACGAACGGCGTGACGTTCATGGCCAGCGTTGAGCGGATGAAGCGGCAAGTGGCCGTGTTGGCAGTATGCCATTCTCGACGGGCGAGGTCGAATTTTGCCCTTTCGTTGCTGTCTGTCAGTGCTTGGGAAGAAAATTCTGAGGGTTGCGGTTCGGTCCAGTCGCCGAGAATCAGGCTGGATGAGTACTTGTTGGTCAGGAGAGCAGGTTGCACGGTGGCTCGCCAGGAGTGGAAGTTTGATTTGCCAAGGAGCATGTCAATGGTGTCGGGGGGTGGGAAACCCATTGAGACTAGGTATTCGTGCGAGGAATAGCGGCAGAGGTAATGATAGGTGATGATGGGAGGGTTTGATTGCATTCTTGGATGGAGTTGGGAAGTGGGATTTGATAGGGGCGAGAAGAATGTTGAGAATGCGGTGGATGTGGTATTGTTATATCCAATATGGGATACATGTACTCGTTAAGTTCGCCTTTGCGTTTTGGTTAACCATTTTCTGAGGGTGAGGTTCGAGATGGGGGGTCTCTCCTGATTCAAATTTGTCTTGGGTCGTTTTGAGCCAGCTCGCTGGGTTTGGATCTGTGGTGTCAATGGATATGAAACATTGGACTCTGATTCTGATGTCGCCTTTTGGGTCATTTCGAGATTTCGGATCATTGAGGCCATAACATGCGGAAATTTGGGAAAGGCCGCCAGGTGTAAGGAAGGCAGTGGCAGAGATAGCCCCCAAATGAACCAGAGTCGTGAGATCATGGTGACTTCAAGTCCCAATCATTTACTTTCGGCGAGGTTCTTGTCATTGGGAAAATAGTCAAGTTCGATAAGCCTACCTTGGATACTGTTCAGCATGCTGACCTTTAACCATGCGGGCTCCTTTTCTGCCCTCGATATGAGGATGGTTGCTGCGAACCAAGCCTGGGTACTGTTGGAGATAGTGTTTATCCGAATGATACTCCCCTTAATACATGGACAAACTGGCATGCTCGCACATGCTCAACGATCATGTCGCTGCTATCCTTATTGTACCAAAGGTCCCACGAGTCTGCTGGTGTTCTTCAATCCTTATGGCCATGGCGGCATGTGCCTGTATTTCTCGGGGGAGAAGCACGTCCAAGTGGTGTGGACAGAACACTTAATTGTACGTACCAATCGGACTGAGATGGAGAAAGGGCGTTTGAGACGGTAGCTGGACAAGCCTAGCCGCCGGCAGTCGATGTGAGGATGCGTTTACCGTTTTTGATACTACTATCCCCTTTAGATTGTCAGAAATGCAACTCCATTGGAACGGTCTATAATTCTGGACCTCAAGTGGAGCGTGAGCTGTAATCCTGAACAAGGAGAAAGCCGACGGGTGCCAGAGTAAGGTACAGTAGATACTAGTAGTACATGTAAACAAAAAGCCGACGAGGCTGGCTTCATGCGGAATGGGGACAAAATAGTTGTCTGACGAAATAGGAATAACTTGCGAGCTGTGAATTTTTCCCGGGCCTGAGTGTACAATGCTTTCGTCAGACACATAATCCTGAATATCTGTTACAGTACCTACCTCGCCCACCACCCAGGTTACTACAGTTTATTAATTAAAATGAATAGAAAAGGACAAGTTTAATATTTTTTATTCCCAGTCGACTACTAGCACCGTCCCCAATACGAGCCCTAAGAATGAGCATCCTCCTTGGTCGCGGTCCAGTCCATTTTATCATAATCTTCATCATGACCCTTACCTTCACCATCCAGGATCATTGTGGACTCATCATCCTGACTTTGTCTAGGCATGTACTGAGCCCGATGCTCCATCCAGGCGTTCAGCGCCACTTGTACGTGCGCTCGATCGGAAGCGAGGTAGAGCGCAGTCCACGGCGCCCCGATTTTCCGCTGATGGAGAATGAAACACTTCTTTTGGTGAGCCGTGGTACTCACATAGTCTTTCATTTCCTGACTCTCAAAGACATCGGCCCACACTTTCAGGTGTTGCTCGAAGATCTTGATCGTCACATCCTCTTCTCGAGGATGTTCTTGGTGCAGCGACCACACCAGGAAATTCCACAATGGCGTTTGTGTTTGTTGAGTAAGGGCCCATCCCACTAACCAGCTCTCCCTGGGTGCCCACGGGTATGGAGCAAGACGCTCCCGGTGCATGATAAGGAAGCTGATTAGTGTCTTGTTCTGTTGTCGCCAAGTCCAAGACCCATTGACCAAGGCGTTGTAGTAGGGAACCCAATGTTTCCCTGACTCAAAAGCATGGAGCTCGGCGGTCTGGTCTAGCATTGCCATCTCGCGAAAAGGCGGAACGTCTGTACTGCAACGGTGAGAACTTGAATATTTGGTTCTGGCTACTAGATCGGAGGGAGCTGTGATCTTCGATAGTCAGTGCTGGATGCATGCGAGATCAGAAAGCTCGAGAGCCGCGAAACAGTAAAAATAGGAACTTGAGCCCTAGGAGCACGAGGCTGTAGGCTGTAGGCGGTTGGTGGTTGTCGGACTGCTCATTGTTGGGCCGTCAACAACGGGTTCATTGTCCAACGCGACCTCCCGTTGTTAAGCCTTGAAGTCCGCAAAGCGCTGCCAAACTTCTTCTCAAAGGCCATTGTCGTGCGACCTCTTTATATATATAGTATGGTGAAAGGAAAATAACTGCCCTTGTATGGATGTTTTCCTTGCAAAGGACATGGAGGTGAGCTGTACTCGTGGCCTCGGAATGCTCTCCCGTAGCGGAGCGTGTCTAAGGACAAACATGTGCGTAGACAGGCGAATCAGTGACTGCAGGTAGATGCAGAAATACAGCCTCCTAGCACAGCTGTTCAGGGATCAAGTCGAAGTGACAGGATTTTCGAATTTGTTGCACCTTTGAGACGCAGTGGAACCCAGTTGTTCGATCTTCGAGGTAGATAGGCAATTCCCACGAGCTCGGAAGGAAAACGGCGTTGCGGAGATCGAAAAAGCATACAATCATGGGCCCCCTCGGCCCTGAAGGTTGCCGCATTCCAAGCGTACCCACCTGGCGCCATTTCATGCCTTTGTCCATTCACCAAACAAGGCTGAACGCTCCAGGAGTGGATTGGAGACAATCCAGACGGTTCATTAATGGTAGACCTTTCCTTCCACACTTGCAGAAGTGTAGGTCTTTTGGTGCCGCGTGCTTTCAGGTCATATCTTGCCCTCCTCAGTCATACGTCGAATTCGATGCAACAGGACAGTCCCTTGCTTTCCTAGTTTCGCCTTTCCATCCTTTCCAGGCCGCTTAGCCTTCGCCATGGCCTTGCGCTCTTGCTCTCGAGCTTCGCGGGCCCTGCGTTTCGCTTCAAGTTGCAATTTGTGCTGAGCAGCTAGTTCCATCTCTTTCTTGTACCGCGATTGCTTTGGTCTGCGCTGCCGGGTCTGTTGGTCGGAATCGCGAGGCTTACGCTGCGAGCGTCCTTCTCTCGGTCGTCTCTCCTGTTCTTGGGGAACCTCGGGGGCGTCAAGCATTGCCTGCCGTTCAGGATGAAGTTCAAGGCTCGCAGGAGGTTGATCGACTGGGGCATTTTCGGCATTGCTGGCCAACGTTCTCGATACGGAGTTATCCTGGGCGGCTTCCTCTTGAGCCTTCACTTTTGCGTAGGCTTTCTTGACCTTGGCTTTCTGGATCAAGTCGCGCTTGATTTTTTGGGCTGGAATAGTTAGCGTCATGTATCGAATCGTGTCAAACAAATTCCTCACTCTTTCGTCGATATGTTCCATCCGGAAGATTCGCTGGTCCGACGGAGAAGCCCTTTTTCTTCTTCTTGTCAGGTTCTGCTGCGGCACTGCCAGCATCTTCGGCACTCCGCTTTACGCCCATTATGTTGGAGGTTCAGGCTGTAGTAGTTGAGCCGAATACAACAGTACAAAAGCAACAGTGCAAGGCGGTGTGTTAGGTCTATCAATCAGGAATGGTGGAAAATATCAGGCTCGCGTGGAGCAAACATTTGGTGTCTGGCCGGGTTCCCACACTGCTTAGTCCCAGTAGTAACATGGGACCGCACTGGCAGTGAGACGTGGGGACACTGCAGTTGATTTAGTCCGGCACCGGTTTCGTCCGCATGTCCAACTCAAAGTGTCGTGTCACTTGTATCCGATCGAGGACCTGATGACATCCATGGGTCCTCCATCTTCGGGCTTTGGGCGGAGTCATCGTCCCGTTGTTCAACTAGAACTACTCCTCCTCCGACTCCTACACACGACCATGGCAATGACCTACTGATACCACTGCTTTCACCAGGTAGACCGTCTTGTCTTCTTCCTTTGTTCGCTCTCTCCGCCGCTGCTCATCGCCTCTTTGCAGGACCTTCCGCCCTTTCTCGTTTCCCCAACCTGAAACGACACATCCGTGCACCTCCTCTCGGCTTTGTCTCTCGCTCTATCTCTCGTTACCACCCGTCATGCAACGGTAACTTTGTACCCTGCCGTCCTTCCGGCATCCGGTGATCTGACCGTGATGTCTCCTACGTCCATCTATTGTCCTATGAAGGCGCGCTTTGACAGTGTGCAGCCTTCAAATCTACAGTCTTCCGCCAAACACTGGCAGAACGTGCTCTGGGAGCATGCCCTTTTTCATCGACACTGAGGAGTATCCCAGACATTCGGCTAAGAGACGGAAACTCTCGACACTGCCAGGCATGGCTCGATACTCCGTGCATACATTCCACGAGACCGGGGAGTCCCGGGGTGGGAAAGAAGAGGACGTGGAGATATGCGAAGAGAGCAGGACAGAACACTGTTCGGATGAAGGGGCGGTCCCCCTCAGAACGAGTGACCGGGAAGAATTGATCCAATGTATCAAACGAGGTCAACGACCAACATGGGTTCCCAAACCTGGGTTTGAAGCACTACGTGCGGCAGAAGATGCTCAACATGTCAGCCCTGCCGTTACAGACCCCCGCCCTGGTGCTTCGGCTCAAAGTGCCCCAGTGGAGGGCAATCAAACTCAGCGAAGGTCTCCTACCACAGACGAGACGAATGGAATGCCTGCCACGGCTTCTCGACATCATTCTCCGTCTGCCTTCCATACTGGTGACTTTAATCATTGTACCAGCCTTGCATCTTCGAAGTGGAATAGCAGTGTCCCGACTTCAGCGCGGCGTTCATTTGGGGCTGCCTACAGTGTCTCTCCCCCACCATGGCAGTCCGATCACCAGATCCTGGTGTCCCCTCTGGCAGCCACAAGCCCGCCTCTTGACACCTGGAAACGGAACAGAGCACCCTCCATTGGGAGCAGTTTATCATCTAGCTTTGTCATGAGAGTTCCTACGAGCCCTCTTGTGCATGCCATCAACAACACTTCTCTGGATACGTCGGCCAGAGATGTCCGGTCGGATGACGATAACACGATCAGCTCCGGAAGGAGGAGAACCATGCCCCCGAGCGCTTTTGCCTCCTTGCAGTTTTCACCACCCGATGACCATCATCGGAAGCACAATTGGTCTTCGCCATGTGCTTCGGATCACCCGGCTACGCTCCCGCAAGGTCACAGGACCCGCCGCTCACTGAGTTCTTTTACGTACCAGCCGGTGGCCAGTCCAAACTATTCGGCAAAACTTCGTCGGCCGTCCCTGGCTTCCGATGTTTCACCGCGTCAGCGAGCCTCTATGGTAGGTTCCTTCGAAGAGTCTATCCTTCGTGGCAGAATGTCGACGCCACCTTCCAAACCCTTTGACTTTGTTGCGCAAATCGGCGTTGTTGGAAAAGGCAACTGCCCATCAAGTCTCAAATGTCCAGCCCACGTCACGGTGCCGTTTCCCGCGGTATTCTATAGTTATCCGTCTGCCACCACATCTCGGTCCATATCGGACGATAATCCCAGTCCCTATGTAGGCGTTATCGACCTCCAACGCAATTTACCACCTTTGGAGCACGGTTCTCGCCGTATCCGACGATCGGACAGCAGCCTTGATCCGGAAGCACTTGCGGCTGAAATCACCAGTCCGGAAAATACACCAATTGGCAGAGCTTTGGCAAGAGAAGCAGAGCAGAAGAAGCCAAAGGAAAAGAAACCAGCTTCTCACAAGTCACCGCCTGGAGGAGCCTATCGGGTACCGCAAAAAGGACAGCTTCAGATTATCATAAAGAACCCCAACAAAACCGCCGTCAAGCTCTTCCTCGTCCCTTATGACCTTGAGGGAATGCCTATTGGGACAAAGACCTTTGTGCGCCAACGGAGCTTTTCGTCCGGACCTATTCTAGAAGCCACAGTGTCTGAGCAGCAAGCCAATTTAGCTGCTCGGGACCCTCTGAGCCAGAAGGACATACTCCGGTACCTGATCCACATCAAGTTCTGTTGTACTTCGAAAGGGCGATTCTACCTTTACGACAATATTCGTGTTGTCTTTGCCAACCGAGTCCCGGACGGCAAAGAGAAGCTGAGGAACGAAGTGCAGTTGCCAGAGCCTCGATTCAGTCCATATAAGCCGCCGGTAGAAAGCGGGTCACGGAGCCCAAGTCTAGCGAAGGGCGATTGTCCGCAGGCTGGGACATCTCCATCACCACAGTTTGGCGAGTTTGATGGCAGTTATGGACTTGGCATTGGGCACCTGCAGGCCAGCAGAGCACAGCACCCCAAGTCTATTCCATTTCACATTCTCCCTAGGACTATCGAGCCTTGTTTGAATAAGTCACAAGACGAAGCGCAGGCAGAGCAAACCGCTTCCAGTGAGGCCAAGCGGCACGCGTCCCCCATCCCTGGCTTCAGGCCATCCACAAGTTCGCGAAATTCCCCTGTTCCATGGCCGTCTTCAAGCGGGTCAACCATGGTGCGAAGTTTCTCCCCGGCTGCAGTGGAGGCAGGCGATGGCTTGATATCTCGACAACTAAGGGAGCTCAACGGTGGCAATAGTGATCAGATCACCTAGCAGGGACCGTCTGCCATCCCAACTTTTACTTCTTTGCTTACTATCTTCGGGGGTCAAGGCACGGTGTTTGACGGGTATTGGGTTATACCATATGCAGAGTATCTAGGTATTATTTATCGGAATGCTGGCTTTTACTGTATATGTTTGGGTTATCCATGTCTATAGTCGGTTGATCAGCTGGTGGACATGGATCTGAAACTTGGACCCTATGATCACTACTAGGAGTGTTAAAATGCAACCGCTTAAGCGGAACCGTAGTACTAGGGGGATGAGGTCCAGCACAGACGACAAAACATCGATCAAAGCAGGTTTTGAAAAGCGATCAGGTGTTGACCTTGTGGAAGCAACTGGTATTCAATTGGCCGGGAATCAACAGCCTTTCCACCCCTCCACACGGAGGCGGCTGAGTTGTGTTTTGTGTCGGTGCATCTGCTCTTCTATTCGTCATGGTCCGGCGGCGCAGCCCAAAGACACTCGACCACTGGGACGCGCAGTCTGACCAGCCAAGATTCCACACACAATCATCATATGAACGCATTTCAAGTCCACTACCAACGGTGCCACTGTTGTGCATTGTCCATGGTTAGGCCGTGTGGGCTCAGAGCTGACGGAAGAACTTGAACGTCTGCTGCCGACGGGTACCCGTCCCTTTCCTATTACTGTAGACTGCAGTTATCAAGGGAAATCAGCCAGAGTCAGGAGGAGGTGGAGCGATACACACTGGCACAAAAAGATCGAAGCCCACAGCACAGCTGCCACGAGTGACATGTGAGCACAACTGCAGCAGTGGCATAAATGTTAGTGCGACTGCAGGGAAAAGGCGCATCTGATTGTACTGTACTAGGACAGGGCTGCCGCTACTAGTACTGGCAGTGCCTAAAGACTCGGATAACAGGGCAGGAGAGCGCTAAAGAAGAGGCAGAACTTAGCGCTCATAGATCCCTTGGAGCAGTGCCAGTGGCATTCTTCTAGCCTGCAGTGCCTTGCCTGCGTTATGCTGCTCCGGAGGCTCTAGTATCCCTATCAGGCGCTTTAGCTATCAGTAAATTCTCCACTCCCGGGCCTGACACTTACCTACGACCATACTAAGGTACCTGCTAAGTGCCTGTCTACTAGTGGCCGTCCGCAATGCCACGCGCACTGTCCGTCACCTTCAAGTGAACCTGCACTTTACTCTCGACTCCATCAAGCCATCCATCCCATCCACGCCCTCTTCACCATACGAATCTACTACACGCTTCACGCCCCCTTACGCTTCCTTCACGCCTCGCTCGACGCCTTGTGTTCTTCTTGACCTATCGGACCTCTTTTATTCACCGCGCTCTTCTCAGCCTTCTCAATGCAAGAATCGTAGTCACCCTCCCTCCCGCTCCTGTCCCTCGTCGATGACCTGGGGGGTCATCCGTATCGAAGACTGAAGATGCACAAGATCAGTAACTTCACTGGCCAGGCTCGTCATGGCTGGGAACGGATGACTCCGGCAGCGTTCGGGATGTCCAGATTCCATCAGGACATGTCGACGCCGCAACCACTGAGACGTCCACAGGGTTCGCCCGCGATCGTGTCACAAGCCTCTGCCGAACCGACTCCAGTCAATCTCTCATTTAATGTGCCTTTTTCCTACAACCTGGCCGGTCCTGAGCCTGAAGAGATACTACATTCAAGCCCTGGCGCGTTCCAACGATGGACGTTTCCCGCTGGCACCCCGCCTGGCACCCCGGTCCACAAGTTGCCGGTCCACGTGCAGAATGAAGAGAGGCTGCGTTCACTGTGTTCGTACATTAGCGAACAAAGTGCAGGGCGTGTTCAAGCAACAGTCACTTCGTCAGAGCCAAAGGCCGGGCCTGCTCTTCACAGAAAATCTCAGGGCATGGTCACCAACGTCTGTCTCTCGGGCGAAGGAGAGCTGGTCTACAAGATGAGGGCCAAGATTCTCAACGAAACCCCCATCATGATGGTATGTTTTCTTGTGAAGTTCCACATTCCTGTTCGCTGACAGAACAAAGCGTTCCGCAGTTGTGGACATAGACCCAGATCTTATACTAGATGGTGCAGAAACCGGCATTCGTTCCAGTGTGCTCAGCCACATCGACCTGTGTGCAAAGTATACTGGAACTGATATCTTTCTCCTCAAGCCGCGCGACAGTGAAGCATCCTCAACTGGTGTCTCTTATCGCACTGGTGTCGATAGTGGTTTAGACCAACGGTATCGCGTGAATATCTTTGGAGATATGGAAAGTGTCGAGCATGCCAAAACTAGGGCGTTGATGATGATCGATCAGATTGTAAGCTTTACTATGATCTTGCCACGAGGATAACATGCTCATGTTTGGACAGCTGAAACACAAAATCGATGTGATCAAACTCGAAGTCACGATGCACACCTTGGTCTCAGGCCGCACTGGCAAGAATATCAAAATGATCGAATCGGCGACGAAGACTGCCATCTACTTCCCACCTCCGTTTCCTGGAGTTTTCGGATACATCCCTCCGCATGCGACCCGACGAGCAGCCGATGAGATCTTCATCACGGGGGAAACGCAGGAACAGATCAACCAGGCAAAGCAGAAGTTGAAAGAGCTCGTTATGGGAATCAAGCTATATTCCAAAGACGCGGTGGTCTCTGCGAGTAAGATTGACAACATCCTGCTGGACCGCCTGGATAAGGTGCGTAAGATTATGGAGACAAACGGCTCCCATATTCTATTCCCACAACTCGCAAGTCAGCGCGGTGTTGTGCGCGTGCAAGGAACCGATGTTCTGCATGTCGAACGGACGGTCAAGGAGATCATGGCTCTGGTAAGCACATTCCCATCAAATGCCCAACGTCTTCCCTAGCTCATCAAGTCTGTGTTAGGCGGGACAATTCTTTAGTGCTTCCTGGTGGATCATGCCGCCCGATTCGATGCAGGGTTCAGGCCTTCGGGCGCCGTCACCGGAAGACATCAGGGTGATGTTGAGCGACATCTGCACCAATTCAGGAGCCGATATTAGCTTTGAGAAATTCACTTTCACCATCAACGGCTCAGATGATGCCGTGAAAGCGGCAATGATGGTCATCAACCAGATCCCCTTCGTCAAGCGAGCCCCTCACCAATTGAAGGTCAAGATTGAACTTGCCAATGAACACAAGGAGTTTGTCAGTGGGAAGAAGAACGGGAAAATCAATAAGATTATGGGTCAAAGTATAACATTTCCCCTTTTCGATGTTTCGTCAGTGAGCTGACCTTTCTATAGGCAACGTGCAAATCATTTTCGACGGCTTCAATGAGTACAACTTCTACATTGACGTAGTGGGTACTCAATATGAAGCTGTCCGAACCGGTCTAGATCTGGTGGAGCAGGAGATGCCGGCATCCATCTCATTCCATGTCCCCGATCAGTACCACAAACGCATCATCGGTATCGGAGGGCAACATATCCAGCGCATCATGAAGAAGTATTCGGTCTTCGTGAAGTTTTCGAACGCAATGGATCGAGGCGGCGTGGGAAAGGATGATGATGATATCAAGGTTGACAATGTCATCTGCCGCACCCCTGCCCGCAATGCCCAGAGCTTGGATTTGGTGAAACAGGAGATTATGGATATGGTTGAGAAAGCTGTAAGCGAAGACGATGACTCCCGTTCTGATGTGGCCATGTCCTTATCAAATGATTCCCCCTAGGACGCCGAGTTCGTTTCCGAGACTGTGGTCATCAACAGACTCTACCACCGCGAGTTGATTGCTAGATTGCCAGAGATTGAGGAATTGGAGAAGAAATGGAATTGCAAGATTGACTTCCCTAACACCGAGCAAGCCAGTGACATCGTCACGATATCCGGCCCAGAGTATCAAGTGCCGCAGGCGGTAGACGCATTTCTGGGCATGGTGCCCGAAAGCCACGGGATCGCCTTCCAAAAGTCCGACGAGCTCGAAGCGTTTTTCAACAGCCCCGAATTCCATAACGATCTCCGCACCAAGCTGCGAACTCAATATGAAGTGGACGTTCTCGTCAACCCCGACCCGAGCAGCCTGCCGAAGTCTGCCACGGCGTCGATGGAACGCCTTGTCGGGCCGTCCGAGGGCAGACTGGTGCTTACATACACCCGTAACAACGCAGGCGGCTTGAAAGATGCGATTGACTACCTCATATCGCAGCTCATCCCTCACGGTCTCGACGCAACCACTGTCAAGGGTGCAATTCCACGGCCCAAGTCGGATTCATTCGAGGACTCTCTGCCCTTCTTTGATTCGAAGCTCTTGCAGAATGCACCTTCTCTCCATGCAACAGACTCTCCGACAAGACTGAGTTTTGCAGATGGCGAGAGTACTCCGGTCTCGGAGCGTGCCTCTTTGTTTGACCGAATTCGCAAGCCCGGAAGTATTTCATCCTTTTCGTCCTTCATGAGCCGCAAAAACCAGAACAATTCCCCCGGCACATTTTTCAAGCATGCCTCTTCCAACGCCAGCAAGGCGTCGCTCATCTCGATGGAGAGTCGTGAGAGCGGTTACCGGAACTTCTGGAATGACAGTGGCGTCAATCTCCCAGAGGAAGGGGAGGTTCCGGCTTCTTCCGCCAGTGGTGGCTGGCCATCACGTTTTCAGGATAACAAGTTCCCCTCTGGTCCTGGTGGTGGTATGTCCGGAGACAGAACACCAAAACATGAGCCTCCTCGAGCCAGTTTCGACTCTGGGAGGCCACCAACATCACATTCTCTTTCGTCTTATCCGGCTCCTATTGGACCGCATCACAATCAGCAATTCCCAGGCGGCCACAACGGATCGGCCCACAACCTGAATTTGCCTTTGCGCTAGACCTCTGACGAAGTCTACGTCCACCCCAAACGACAAACGATACCCCGACAAATGATATGGCATCATGATTATCTGCTCTTCTATCCAGCGAGATACCCTTTGTCACTTGCAACGAAAAAAAGTAAAGAGGCGGGGCCCACAGTTTTGGTGTATTGCTTTTGATGGAACTGGAACTCAAGCATTGAAAAATCTTGACTGTTCCAGTTACTCTTGTTGTTGTTGTTGTTGTTTTTGAAATGCGAGAATACGCGCGCCTTTTGACGGTTTTGATGACACTCCTTACGCCTTTGCTCTGAATTTGGAAGATACCCGGCACGCTCTTATGGCGGAGGTTGTTGCTATGGTTTTGTTGCTTTGTCGTGATCACGAAAAGCCAGGACTGACTGCTCTGAATTGATTCACTGAAAAGAATGAGATATACCCCGAGAGTTAGCAACTTAGAGAAATGCATACTGTACGAAACTATATTGTTATAGTAGTAATTCGCGAATACTGGTAGCCAGTGGTAGGGTAGGGTGTGCATGTAAATCTTGTAAAGGCTTGTGTACTCGACGAAAGCAGCAACGTTCAAATCCTTTCCAAGAGGTGCAGCGCACTCGCATTTTACATTGGCGCTCGAAAGACGTGCAACTTGAGGGCTTTTTCTAGTCTACCTGGTTATCTAAAGTATATATATGCCAAGCATGTTGGTTCAGCTATAATACCTAGGTAGGTACTGTCCTTGTCCCAACTCCATCGCCATCTCGTCGCAGAATATCTATCCATCAAGCAGGAGACCCAGCCGTAGAAGAATTCCACTGACTCAACCTCAGCCGCTATCCATAGATGGTAACGGCAGTCGAAAAAGTGCTTCCCTTCCGTCCACTGCGAGAAATAACTGCCTGATTTCGTTCCAGTCCTGTTCCAACGCGATGCGGGATATCTGTCATTCATTCACAGTCACAAATGGCTACGAACAGGCGCCGGCACTGGCAGCGTGCGACTCTGATTTTGTGTTTGATTTTGATTTTGCACAGTTTGGGTCGTTTCAATATCAAACCCAGCATATCCCCTTTCTCTGATATCGGCCAGCGCAGCACGATACCTCGACAACCCGCCGAAATAAAAGCGGGGCGCGACGTGTCTCCCGGGGATATTCTCGCCAAAGAACCAAGATTTTGTTCTTGGAAAGAGAGTCGGGTCCGCGGCATCGTGGAGGTCTTTGGTGTATGCGTCTTCGGCGTCGCGGGTACTTTCAATGACCACATTATCGGTACCGCTGCCGGTGGTGGTCCGATGCGCCTCAGCACGAGCGATTAGGTCGGCAATAAAGCGCGCCCCTTCCTCCGTAACAGGCGGATTACTCGCGAATGGGGCGCCGGGTCCATTAACAAAGAACAAATTTGGAAATTTTGAGGTCGAAACGCCATGGTGCGTTTTGGGTCCTTGGCTCCAGTGATCTTTGAGAGTTGTTCCGTCTTTTCCGCGGATGTCGATGCGGTAGTACGTCCCGTCAGCGGCGTCGAAGCCCGTAGCCAACACGATCAGATCGACTTGGTGTTTCTTCCCGTCCGCCGTCTCAATGCTGTCGGCGTGCAGGCGCACTATGGGTGTCTGTTTCAGGTCGACGGCAAAGACGTTGTCCTGGTTGAATCGATTGTAGTACTGGTCGTCGGTCAGTGGACGACGAGCGAACCAGTCTGTCGATTTGAGGACTTGAGCTTTCTTGGGATCGGTGACGATCGAGTCGATTTTGCGATGGATGAAATCAATGGCGGCTTGGTTGGCTTTTTCGTCAGTCACAAGATCGGAAAAGCCGCCGAAAAGGAATCGGAAGCCGCTGCCTTGGATCCAGAGGTCTTGGAAGATTGCTTCGCGGTCTTCAGGACTGACAGAGGCGACGGTTCGCGCGGGCTCCGGAAAGCCCATCCCAGACAGGGACGTGAATACTTGCCGCCAGATGCGGTCGTAGTTGTCGTTGATGGTCTGGCGTTCGACGTCGCTGACGGTTCGTAGGGATGCCGGAAGCACGAATTGGGCGTGGCGGATGAAATGGGTTAGGGTTTTTGCTTTTTCCGCCAGCGCGCCCACCAGTTGGACACCGGAGGCGCCGCTGCCGACTACGGCGACTCGTTTGTCGATGTGGTTGTGCTCGCGGGGATTCCATTGGGAGCTGTGTACTATTTGGCCGCGGAATGTGTTGTTGTCAAGACCGGGCCAGTCGGGCAGGTTTGGTTTGTAGAGGTTGCCCACGGCGCCGATTAGGTAGCGGACTTTGAATATGTCGCCGGAACTCGTACGGGCGATCCAGAGTTTGGCAGTGTTGTCCCAGTGTGCGGCGACTAGGTCTGTGTTGAATTGGATGTGGCGGTACAAGTCGTGCTTGCGTGCTACTTTTTGGAAGTAGCTTTCCAGTTCGGGTTGGGTCAGGTAGTTCTTTGTCCAGAGTGTTTTGTCGAGTAATAGTTCTTTGTCCCATGAGTATCGGTATACGTGGCTTTCGACGTCGCTGCGGGCCCCCGGGTACCGGTTCCAGTACCATGTGCCACCGACGTCTGAGGCTGTGTCAATTGCTTTCACATCTAGTCCTTGCTGCTTCAGCAGGTATAGGGCATATAGCCCGCCGAAGCCGGTGCCGATGACTAGGGCGTCGTGGGTCCTTTCTTTGCCCATGGTTGATTTGATTTAGAGCGGATTTGCTTTTAGATATTCTCAAGGTAGAAGGTGGATTTTGGAGAGCAAAGACGGGAAGACCTGGCGTAATACAGGCCACACCGCTGTACCAGCTCACTCACTTGTAAGTGTTTCCTTTTTCCTCTTTTCCCCAAAGAACAATGACACAGGGCCATTGTATCTCAATCACTGATTGAGGCCGTAGCCTTCCTATAAAAGAGCCATTCCGGCAGGATGGTGTCATTCGCACTAGGTAATAACGACATGTATCGCGTGCGATGGGGTGCTGAAAACCAACTGGGAAACAACATACTGTACCTACCTCGGGTACCTGGTACACATGGTAAACACCCCACAGACACGCGCGGCGCAAGACTAGATGACAGTATCAAGGACTTACTTTTGGTAGTCATTAGCTGTCGTTATTAGCTCCAGGAGAGGGGAACCAACGCAATCAGTCTGTCGGGCAAAGAAGGGCCCTGTGGGATTGAGTACCCTTATGTTGGCGTGTCACGTCATTTTGGGTCTGGATGGCGGAGGGATCTTGTTCCGTAGGTCAGGAACCTGCCATTGTAGCTATCGGACGTTTCCACTTCTCGGACCCCGTTGACAAGGGTCCTTTCCGCACTGGCTGAGCAGATGGCGCGTAACTAGAAGGTCGAAAGGCGTCAATTTGAAAGAATAACAAAAAAGGTTTGCGTCTTCTGGTGTTGGAGGAAGGTAAGGAAGCTTGGGGTGTCTGACAAGCCGCCAAGACTTGGAAAGGGGCTGCAGCCTTGTCTGGGCTGCCTCCAACAACTTACAAGTCACGGTAACCAAGTCAGACATCTCTGTACATAAGGCACCAGATACAAGGGAAGATTGGCTGTAGTCCTACTATTGAAAGGGTAGAATGAACCGGTTGCAACTCCTCCAATGATTGTGCCAGGTGGGTGCGAGGCTGCAGGAAGAATAACTAAGCGAGGCTGAACGCGCCGAGGAGACTGTGGCTGTACGTGATTGGCCAAAGCTGGCCAGCGTCACATGCGGATGACTAAGCCACTGTCATTGTCCTGCGCGAGTCGCGTCCTTGCAGTGACAATACAATTAATCGTTGTAGACTCCTGTTTGGTTCTCCAGCAAACAATACGTTTCAACAACTCCTCAACAACATAAGGTCCTTTCCCTCCGGCTGATAATGCTCCCACGTCGCTGACGCTCCGTCCGTCTGTCATGCGACTCTCCGACAGAACACTCTCTGCCAGAGATGGCCGATTCCAACATCAAGGTCGGATGTACAATCCAGACTCAAGACGGAAGGGAGGGCATCGTGCGCTACATCGGACCGTTGCATATTGCGGCTGGAGAATGGCTGGGTCTCGAACTACCTGAAAACACTGGGAAGAACGATGGATCGGTCAAAGGCCAGCGCTATTTCCAATGCGCCCCGGGCTTTGGTATCTTTGTTCGCAAGGAGTCGGCAGTGAAGATTGTGAAGCAGTCTGGACAGGTAACAAAGACCAATGGCCCGTCAGGTGTCAATAGCACCGCGGCGAAACCCAGGCCTTCAAGCGGAGTGACTGCCGACGTCGCCAGAAGGAGGCAGAGTGTAATGAGTGCAGGCTCCAGTGCAGCGGGCGGGTCGAGGTTATCTATGAGGGTACATACATCATGACTGAGTCGTTGGTGGTATATTATGCTAAGCCATTGATGTATAGTCTCCTACAAAGTCTCCCACCAAGATCGTGCCCTCTTCTACCACTTCGAGCGCCTCGACCCCACGGACCGGTACGCCAGCAACGACTGCCCGAACATCCGACTCAAGTACAAAATCTAGATTGAGCACGACCGGGAGGACTTTGATGGGCCCGCCCACGTCCACAGTCAGGAGCAGTGCTTCCACAACCAGACAATCCATTGGAGGCGGTGCGGCCAAGTCGTCAGCAACAAGACCAAGCTCTGTGTATGGGCGGTCGTCATTAGCAGGCAGTAGGCTTTCTGTGAGCGGACGAGTTGCGTCGCGAGAGGATGAGCAGGAGGCGGCTCCCACAAGCACTGCCGCACATCGTTCACCTCCAATACGAGAAGAGGCGCCGACACCCGTCGCTGTATCGGAAACCGCAGGTGATGAATCTCCGGAGTCGTCGGCGTCGGTTGTCGAACCACCGGTCTCAAAGCCTCCGCCCAAGGAGCCAAGTCGTACTGCTAGTGGCGGCGCGCCTCCTCCTGCCGAAGACAAATCGAGACAGGCACAGGTTATCAAGGCACTGGAAACAAAGGTCCGCACGTTACAGAAACAGCGGCAAGAGGATCAGGCTAAACTGCAGCGGGTACAAGAGCTCGAGAGTCAGTCCACGCGGTACGAAGGTATAATACAGACTTTACAAAAGAAGCTGAAAACAAATCAACAAGAGATCCAGGAGCTGAAAGCCAAGTACGAAGATGCTGAGAGTCGTGCCGAGAAAGTGCCGGACAAGGCTGCCGAGCATGAAACTCAACTAGAGCTGGCAACCCTTGATAAGGAGATGGCCGAAGAGCGAGCGGAAATGTTTGAAGCAGAGTTGGAGGCGCTCAAGCTGAAGCATGAGGAACTCGAGCTTGAAGTGGAAATCCTCAGAGAGGAGAATCGCGAGTTGACTTCGGTTATGAGTCCAGAAGAAAAGGCAAGCGCGGGATGGCTTCAGATGGAAAGGGAAACAGAGAGGTTACGTCAAGCTCTGGTTTTGCTCCGAGACGTGTCACAGCAGAACGAAGCGGACTTGAAGAATGAAATCAAAGAACTCCAACAGAGCTTAGACGAGCTTCAACGGACGGCATCGAAATACGAAGATGTAGTCGCCAAGCTCAATCGATCCGAAGACACCAATCAGCACCTAAAGGAGCAGCTGGAAGCCGCCGAAGCGAATGACGATATGCTGGAGGCTATGGCGGCCGAACGGGATCGAGACAGAAACCAGATCGAGATGCTGAAGAGGCAGGTCCAAGATCTTGAAGAACATATTCAGGTCACAGACGAACTAGAGGCATTCCACGTGGATGAAGAGAAGCGTCTCCACTACCAATTGGACGAGACCGAAGCGATGCTTAATGAAAAGCAGCGACAAGCCGCCGAACAGGAAAAGATGATTGAGGACCTGGAGTACACCTTGACCAAGTTCCGGGATGTGGTCCAAGGTTTACAGAGCGACATTGACGAGCTCCGGCGATCCCGTGAAATCAGTGAGCTGGAGGCTCATGAGATGAGCAGCAAGTCTCGCGCGATGATGGACCTCAACCTTCAACTACAGAATTCGGCCACCAAGGCTCAGCTCAAAGCGATTGATCTTGAATTGGGTAAGATGCGAGCGGAGCAAGCTAGTCTACACCTCGAAATCGTGCAGTCATTCGTGCCAGAGTCATTCGATGTGGACAGAAGACCGATTCTGGCTCTCTTGTGCTTCAGGAGGATCATATCCAAAGCCCGCTTAAGCAAGACTATCCTGGCAGAGAAGACGCGCGACCGACCAGACCTGGTACAAGACAATCCTCTGTCCGTGTTTGCAGTTATGGAGCAGATGAACTTTGTTGCGAATCTCTGTGGCCGGTTCGTGCAGCATATGTCGAGTTGTTCCACAGCGAACTATATGAAGTATGGTGGGGCGCTGCCTGATTTGGAACCTATCGAGCAGACAATGAATGGTTGGATTGAAGCCTTGCGTCGCGATGAGCTTGCTCACGATGGTCCTGAGCATTTGCAGCGGATGGCCGGCATCTTGGTTGACCTGGCCGAAAAGCTGATCCCAGAGAGTTACGAAACCAAGACGGCGCAATTACTCTCGTCAATCTCCATGGTGGAGACTTACACAGAAAATGTCGCCAGCCAGGCGCAACTCCTCGACAAGACTACTCAGGGCATACTTGGGGTGCCGCGTGAGGAAGACGAGGTAGCGAGGTCTTTGGAAAAGCGGTTTGAACAACTGGGAATTAAAGCTCGCACGGTCAAGTACATATCGGGCAAGATATCGCACACTCTAGAAGACCTTCAAGCACGATCAATGTGTATGGGAGAAGCAACCTGGTCCGCTTTTGCCGAAGCTGAGGCTTGCGCCGAGAATTTGTCGCGTCTCACTCAACGGGTTGGCAACACTGTTCTGGAAACACTCAACAAAGTGGAGCGAAAGGAGTCCGTGACATATTCCGAGCTTATGGAAACGATAACGAAGGCTGCCGAGGAATTCCAGCAAGAACATAACCTGCACAGTGGCGGTCCTGTTGATTTCTTCGAGGCCACAACGAAGCAGTTGCAAGTTCTGCAGGCGAAAGTGGACGATCTCAATTCCAAATCCGCAGATCTTGCTTCGGCCGTCGAGTTCGAGAAGTTGCCGGCGCCCTGGACGGTGCGGGCCAAGGAGGTCAAGGCGCAGAAAGTGTTATCGCAAGATCTCCAGGAGGAGTTGGCACGACTGAAATCCAAAATCCAGGAACAGAGCATCCGGATCGGCGAGAAGGACAAACAACTTGAAGAGCAGCAAGTCAAGGTCGAATTACTGGAGTCTCGAGCCAAGGAGACCAAGGTCAGAGACGACAGCGTCAAAGCCATGAAAGAAGAAATAGAGAAGCTGCGGGAAGAAAATGCCACGGCGACGGAGAATCTCCGCCGACTTCAGACCGAATATCAGACCATGCTGGAAACGCAAGCACATGAACGATCACAGCTCGAGGCTTCCAAACAACGCAGTTTGTCCGATGGGCCGCCGGGCTCGGTATCAGGTGGCGTCGTGGACGAGTCGGCAATGTTGGTGCGCGCCAAAGCGGAAATGGATTTGCTCAAGGTCGAGATTGCCAGTTTACAAGCCTCTGTGCGGTTCTTGAAATATGAAAACCATCGGCTGAGAATTCCTGTGGGTGAGATCAGTAAGACTGCGGTCGAGCATGCGTGGTTGGACCCGAGCTATCTCAAAGCGAACCCTACAACGGGGGCAGACGGAGACAAGGCTGCGGCGGCCGAGCGACTACGACAAGAATCGAAAGATATGTTTGCCGAGCTTATTGAGTTGGCTAAAGTCTCAAGACCGATTAGACTTAGGTCCGGAGTGGATCTCGTTCACGTTGACCACAAACAAAACAAAGATGCAGCAACGGTGGATGATGGTGCTGCTGAAAAGAACAAGGGCCAGCACAAAGCGCCATCTTCTGCTTGGAGAGCCGGAACCGGACCCGACACAACCTTGTACAAAGTCCTACGGTGTAGAGAGGAACTGGAACGGTGGAACGAAGCCAAAGATGATTTGGTCAGGAGAGCGCGGCTCATGGTCCGGTCGGCGACCTCAGCACAAGCACAGCCAGGAATCGGACTTGGACTTTGGCGACACAAGGAGGCAAAGTCACTGGATAATAAGATGGGTTTGCCGTTGGGCTTTCAGAGCAATGAAAAAGACGAAAAGAAACTGGCGAACGCGTACAACCATGTTGGGTCTAAGATTGGAGAGTTTGATCCTTCGACTGTCACTGTCACAGCGGATGGAATTCGTGTCGTCTGATAGCGACGATTATCTCGTTTTGTTGCTTGTGGTTCTTCTTTTGACTTACCTAGGTTCTATTAGCATGTCATACTACAGCGAAAAACCTTCTACTGTTCTACACAGTACTACTTACTATCTTACTGTACATTGTCGGGTGTGTGGATAGTCAGTGGCGATAAAGCGCGCCGAGTATTTCATTACCTTCGCACTTGTTGCTTAATGGTACAGTACACATGCGTGGCCTGCAGTGGCTCTTGAAGTTTGGCTCAGCTTCAGCTTCAGCTTCAGCTATAGTTCCTGTACTTCTATCAATCTGCTGGGGCCGCTGCTCACCCTGTATATCAAGGTAAGATACTACCCTACTAGGACCAAGTATACTTTGGCCCGGTTTCTCCAGACCCCGGCTACTATCAGGTACTACTCGGATGGGTAGTTCGTATATCGGTGTCTCTTTCTCTCTCTCTGTCTCTCTCCCTCTCCGCGCTCCTCCAAGTAACACAATACAATACAATACAGTATAGTTGGACGGCGTGGTAGGGTGCCTACCTACCTACCTACCTAGATATTATGTCCGAAGCATTATTAGCCATTAGCCATTAGTCATTACCTACCTAGGCCTGTACTGTACCTCCTGGTACCTAGGTAGTAAGTAGTATAAGGTACCCAGACCCCGACGGTCCCAACCCTTTTGGGCTCACTTTTCGGAATTCTTGTACAGATTGATTAACAATCAACAATAAATAATGATTAGTTGAACTCGCCCGCCCGACTCCGCTGGGGAAAAGACGGCGGCACTATTAGTACAAATCCCTCCACACTGCCCCCACTCCCCCCGCACTGACCAGAGTCACCAGATTAAATACTTGTATTAGTATAGCGTTGTAGTAATTATTAGTACAACGTACAACATTGTAGACTATGTGGATCCTGACTACTGTATCCTGAATCCTGAATCCTGAATCCATAAGGTGTTGTACGATGTTGGCTTTGTACCTCAACCCGATTTCATCGTTGTAAATCTCGGCTCCGACTCCCTTGGACCAAAGAAGCCCAACATGTATTAGGGGGCGAAGATAAGGAGGCTTTTTTCTCTCATGCCTGCTTGCTCGCCCCCTTAATCATACTGCATTATTCAAGGTTGATGATGATGGATTCCAATTGCAGTGAGGCTTCCAGAATCCCAGCTGCCCAGCTGCTCAGCTGCTCAGGCAGTTTCAACTATGCACTCTAGATATCCATAGATATCTATATACAGTACTGTAGCAGTCTCGCTCTGCCCGGGCCGCGCGATATCATTCCAGCTAGCCCCAGCTGTTGTTCTCCCCCTCAATACTATCATTAAACTGCCGCCCTCGTGGCCGATATAGAGATTTGTATCATTATCACTATATCGTAGTAAAAAGAAAGAAAGAAAGAAAAAAAGAAAGGGGTTTCAGATCTCTCTCCCTCCCCAGATCGGACGTACTACTACTAGTGACCCTTCCTCCTCTTTCGATGGAACCTTGCCGGTGGATTGAGTACAAGTATATCCTTGATTCTTCTCTTTGGCTCCGACCCTCGAGTCTTTTCCTTCCGCCGGATCTATATGGATATGTCATATGCAGGGGTTGTGTTGCAACTTGAACATACCGTACAGAAATTAGTGAGGAATCAAGGCACCTAGTAGCCTAGAGGATATCATATCGCTCGTCCGTCGGAGTCACGGTGTCGAATTGAAAGATGAAGAGGGTTGAGGGCCGAGGCTTGCCTCCGTAGGCCGTAGGTTTTTGAAGCCGCGGTTTGTTTGTTGGTAGCTGAGCTGAGGTACCTACTACCTAGGTGGCGTAGGTTAGGTTGGTAGACTGTGGTGACCGGGGTAGTTATAGCTATACCTAGCTATAGCAGTACTCAGGCTTCAGTCTTTTCGCTTTCTTCGATAGGTAGACGGGAAGATCGACGGACGTACTCCTACGGCTGGCTCTTCTTCTATTGAGAGCGGTCTAGGACGCGTACGAGGTAGACGCGCGCATTGGGGGCGCCGTAATGTGTAAACGAGGTGGCAAGTTCGTTCGCGGTTCTTTGAGAGGTCTTGGTTCCCGTGCAACTTGAACCTTCGAAAAAGGAGGTCCAGTACTCACACCCTGCACCGCGTCAAGGTGCCTCCCGCGCAGGGCGGTTGATGGTGGGCGATACTAAGATTCGAATCCACAATTTACAATTTACAATTCACGCTGGAAACAAAAGGTCATACGTTAGTACGACTGCCATGGATGAGCAATTCAAGAAGCACACTGCCAGTGTACAATGTTGTACTCCCAAGAATGTACAATGTACAATGTACAATATAGGCCGCCTCAGCTGTCGAAGACGAACTGAAGCCTACCTAAGGAACTCAAGTTGTTTCAAGTTGTTCTGGTGACCCCTAGAGGAGAAAGACCAAGTTACCGGTTCCACAACACTCCTTTTTCCCTCCTCTTACACTATATACATTTGCTCCGATTCCGAGGAAAGCCTGTCAGTCTCTCTTTCACGAGAGGAAAAAGAGACCTTGCAGTAGTCAACCGTCAACGATCAAGGCTTCCGAGTTGCTCAGAATACACCGTTCAAGCACCCCACAACCAGTGCAGGAATTTGGCCCACCTACCGGTCGGAACGGGCGGATAAGTCTTCTCGTCCTCGTCGACCTCGTCGCGAGCGGTATCGAGATCGATCTCGTGAGCTGGATGGAGACCCCACCGACCACCACGGATGACGGAGTAGATCTTGTGACCGCAATAGAGCACCACCAGGATCGGGGCACTGAGGTAGGCAAACAGAAAGCTATCAGAGGCCCAATTGCCGTGGGTGAAGACGACCCAACCGTTTGTCTGCCAAAAAAAAGTCAGAAAAATACTTTTCAAAAGTGTTCTCTTCAGAAGACTTACCAGGAAAAGAAACATATAGCAGACCAGCGCGAACCAAGCAAGCGGCAGCTGCCTCTTGACGGCAAATGGCAGGGTGGAACGATCGATACCCCGAGCATCGATACCGCGCCGGAAGCCAATGTAGATGATTTGCTGGAGACCCATGTTCAAGATCCAGGTGGCGCCCGTGATGTTGACAATGTACCCAAAAGCAGTGGCTGCACTGTTGGACACGGACATGTAAGACAAGCAGCCGAATCCGACGACTACTGCTAGTGCCAGGATGGGTACGCCACGGGCCGTTTTGCGGAAGATGGCTGGAGCAGTTCCCCGAAGAGCTAGAGAGTAGAGAACACGTGAAGCTGTGTAAGAGTTGGCCAGACCACATGACCAGGCTGATGTCAGGATGGCTGCATTGACGATCGATGGAAGTGCTGGGATGCCCATGTTTACCATGGCCAGGACGAATGGAGATGAGCCAGCTCCTTTTTTGGAGGATCCAAGGTCTGGGTTGTCATATGGAACCTACAAAAATAGTGGAGATCATGGTTAGCAAATGTGTGTAGTAGTGAGAGTCACACTCGCTGGGTACTGGTAGTCAGACTCACCAAAATGCCAACGGCAAGGACACCTCCAATGTAAAAGACAAGCAAACGCCAGATGACTCGTCGAAACACATTGGGGTAAATGCGGCGAGGATACTTGGCCTCGCCCGCGGTCATGGCAATGTAGTCAGGGCCTCCGTATGCGTAGGCAGCGCCCACGAATGTCGAAAAAAAGCCGAGGAAATTGCCCCAGGTTCCGCTTGCGATGTAGTGGTGGAAAGCTCCCGGGTGGTTCCAATTGCGGAAGCCAAAGGCTTCACCCTGAGGATTGCCACCTACCATCGTGATGACTAAAATCACGCTGTCAGTTGTTCGGTTGGCTTCCCAGCAATCTGGTGTTACACTCACAAGTAAAGATCAAAAGGCCTATGATGAGGAAGACTTTGAAGAGCGAGAAGTAGAACTCTCCCTCGCCAAACCATTTCACTCCCCACACGTTCTGGAAACCTTCATTATCAGTAAATGTGCAATGTAGTTGTGGATTGGAAGCCAGCCTTACGAAGATGATGATCGAGACCAGGAAAATTGTGCACCAGACAGCATTATTTATGTCCGTATTCCAGTAGTTGATCATTCCAGCAACAGCAGTGGCTTCGGCGGCAACGGTGACAGCGTAGTTGTAGAAGACAAGCCAGCCAAGGGCAAATCCGAAGCTGTTGTCGACGAATCGGCTGGCAAACTCGACGTAGGATCCATCGATGGGTAGGTATGATACCATCTCCCCCATCGAGTTGAAGGCAATGTAGATAAGACCGCCATAGATACAATATCCGAGAAACAGACCGGCTGGACCAGCCTTTTGCAGCGAAGCACCGGTTCCGATCTATGCATGACAATAATGAGCACCTCTTCTGCAAGACGGGGAAGCTTCACTTACAAAGAGGCCGGTGCCAATGGCACCAGAGATGGCAATCAATTGAATGTGCCGCGGGAGCAAGTGTCGCTTGGTTTTCTTCAAGTCAAGGGTTTCGCTGTATCCGATCCCGCCATTGCTGTCGTTGGTTTCGACGGGATAGATCTCCTTTGGAGCTGCGGTTTTCTCTGAGAGCGACATTTCGAACCTGCAGCTGGGTCGGATGGGCTTCAGGCCTGGAGATGCACAGGTCATGGCCTGGGATCCACGAGCATTATATCCACAGCAAGTCTCCAGCAGTGGCCTCGTGGCGACAGTTGATAACCTGGGGGATCTGCATCGGGCAAGAATCTCCGTGCGAGAGTTGGGTACACCCGGCTATCGCTGGGTCTTATCCGGGGTCGCTGCGGCCTATCTTCAGCCGCTGTTCTGTATCTCCTGGACAGGACTCCATACAGCGTGCCAATGTGGAGAAAGTCTAGATTGTTTAAAGTTGGACCCCAATAGGCGATGCCCGGCCCAGGCCAACCTGCGGAGTTAAGTTGATAATGGGGCCCAGATAACTGCAAAGGGGTAGGCGTTTCCGTGGTACGGCACATACTAGTAAGGCTGACCAGATTGCGCCGAATACAACATTGTAACGTGGTACTTCCGGAATCACCTGCTGCCAGTACTTTCGGAAGAATCACCGAGACAGGTTGTAGTCTGGACTGTATACCAGTTCACGCACTGCAATTGATCAGCATGTTGGTATGTATGTTGGTATATAAGGTATGTTTGCAAGTTCTCGGATCTTTTACTCAACTTACCAAGGTTTGACCCGCGAACATCATTAATCGTACATATACCATCACAAGATCCAACCCTACACCAAACCATGTCTAAACAAACGCAAGAACTTCGTGGGGTCATGGTGGCATTAACCACCCCCTTCACCGAAGACGGCTCCCAGATCGACGTAGCTCTTCTCAAAAGCCACATCAACCGTCTCCTTGACGCAGGAATCCATGGCCTCGTCCCCGGTGGAAGCACTGGAGAGTTCACCGCCCTGAGCTTTGACGAGCGCAAACAACTTCTCGAGCAAGTCATCGAGATCACCAATGGCCGTGTGCCCGTGATAGCTGGAACCGGCTCTTTGAGCACCAAAGAAGACATTGAACTGGCGCGGCACGCGGCCAAAGTCGGCGCTTCGGCTTTGATGGTGGTGCCGCCATTCTACGACGCACCCTCTTATGAAGAAGTGAAAGAGCTGATGCGCGAAGTCCACCAAGCTGCCAATGGTTTACCGATTGTGTATTACAATATTCCTAGTGCAAGTGGCGTCAAGCTGTCGCCTTCCGAGATTGCAGGATTGTCGGAAGTGGGAGTGAAATATCTCAAAGATACTTCGGGCGACGCTCCTGCTCTGACGGAGCTGATTTTCGGACACAGTGATGAGATCACCACGTTTAATGGATGGGACACCCTGACTTTCTACGCTCTGGCAGCAGGGTGCAAAGGCACTGTCTGGGGAGCAAGCAACGTCATCCCAGAGTTGACCGTGCAATTGTGGGAAACGTTGGCGGTGAAAAAGGATCTGGTGGCTGCGGAAAAGCTGTGGAAGAAAATCTGGCCCATCTGCGCTTTCCTTGAGAGACATAACTATGCTGCGGCGGTCAAGACCGCGATGGAGGTGCAAGGCTACCGAACTGGTGGTGTAAGGAAGCCGTTTAAGTTGCTGGCCGACAAACATAAGGAGGAGGTGAAGGGTCTATTGGCGAATGTGTGAGCGGCGAGACCTGAGAAAATAGTATCTAATGCATCACAAAAGCAAGACCCAGTCTCGATGTCTCGCGGTCCGGTCCATAAAGTGACTGGACAAGAGAAGATTGAGGTGCCTTGTGCTTCGTCTTCATCTCGTCGCCGCCAGAGTGTGTGCTTTTGTTGGCTTGCAGCCTGATAGCCTCGGAGGCCAGTCTGTATATCGGTATACAAACACTGCTGGCATTCAGATGTTGGAGTTAGACGAGGTAAACAAAATTCCAAAATCTACAAATCCAAAATATTTATGGCCGAGCACTGTATGCTGTCGACAACAAGTCAAGCGAGGACCGTTGCAAGTTGACCAGGATAGGACGACGCCGTGCTACAGTACCTGTACTCCCATCACTAGCCCAGTAGTATGCCATAGCCAACCACCTCATGCGGTCATAATCCTGACAGGAGGAGACGGTGGAGTACACTGTACAATGATGTTGTACATCGTGATCCAGCTTCAGCTCCTGACTCGCCTGTTGCAGCGGCCGGCCGCCGGGAAAGCCTCGCATGGAGAAGCCTGCCACCGGCGGGAAAGGTTACGAATAATTGAGGCGTTATTAAGGGAGGTATCCAACTACAGTAAATGTTCGAAAAAAACGGCACAGCCCCGCATTCTCGATAATCCCTCAACAATGCGTGATACACGCAAATTGACCTGTATCTGCATCTCTAGGGGTATTCATACGTTATATATATATAGAAATACTCGTAATTAGCTCCTCTTTCATACGATATATATACTAAGTGGTATTAAGTCTCTCAGTGCCGTATATACTAACCTTTAGCAAGTTTCACTATATTTATCCTACTATCTATACTCTTAATCGCGTTATCGATTAACTCTTACGGTAGGTTATCCTATTCTATAATAATTGCTCTCTTAAGTGCTCTAAGGTCCTCTTTACTCCTACCGCCGTCTAGTAGATATAGGTAGTTCTCGATTAGCTTCTATTTTAGTATCGCCTAGATATTCTTAATTAGATTAAGATCTAGCGAGTACGGTAGCTATTTAAGTCGAGGTATTAAGTTTTCCTCGAACTATTCCTTAATAACGTTAGTAGTATAAATAGATACGTTATTCTATATAAAAGTTATACCCGATTACTAGTATCTCTAGATTTACTCGTCGAGTACGGCCTAATAGGAGCGAGCCGAGAAGCTATTTCGCTTCGTATTACTATCTCGTACTATAATAACGAGATCTAATCTACCGCCTATCTAAATAGCGCCCTATACTATAATAGAGATATCTCTTTCTTTAAGGTAAGGCTCGATTATCTCTTTTTTCCACTTTTCCGCGAGTATACGGAATACCTAAGTAGGTCTCTTTCTAGAGCCTCTTTCGAGAGAATACTCGTCGCTAAAAATAATAGTAGCCTACTCGGCTAGGGTCTAGTTTTCTCGCGTCTTAGCCTATAACTTATATACGTTCGCGTTATTCTAGGTTAAGAGAGGTCTCTTCTTCGCTATCTAGTTCGTAATACTATATTTTTTAAGTATTCGATATAGCGTAGATCTTAAGAAACTTAATCCGCACTCCGCGGCGAGTCGCGCGTAAGTAATCTTTAATTTAAGTCGTACTATACGTAGAATTACCCGCTCGTTACTATACGCTTAATATATATAGAAGGGCGTCTAGAGCGTAGTTATAAGATAGACTTGTTTCGAAGAGGAGCCTACGTAATAGTATTGTATACCGTACGCATTAGAATATTAAGACCTATACTTATCTGGCGCCAGGAGCCGCCAATAGCTCTCGCGCCTATAATTTGCGCGCGTTTATAGGGAGTTAACTCCTTAAAGGGTACCCTATTAGGAGATATAGCCTATAAAGGCCTCCGTTATTGAGATATTACGTGTTGAATAGGAAGAAGGATTGAGGGTGTAGACGCGTGAACGCGAAATAACGCGTGGTGTGCCATTATTTCTGAGACCCCACTGTAGAAGTCCGTCGGCTCAAGAAGCGGGAGCCACCTAGGTGGGAGCGGAACTCAGAAGTGAAGAAGTGATGCGGTGATGGATACATTAAGGTGCGCGCCCGAAGCGCCCCTTGTCCTCTTTGTAGCAGCATTCAAGCTCGGAGGAAGCTGATTTGACTCCCCAGAAGCCAAGTGTGGCAGTGCATCTTGGCGGCAATGGGGATGTGCTTGGGATGTGCTTGATGCCTGTAGTTAGGTACTATGGGGGAGTCTAGGGAGTCTGTGATCATTGGTACAGGCAACACGACTGGCGAGTATCTCTTACCAACTCAGCTAGGAACCTCCTCTACCTATACAATGGGTAGGACCTGTAGTTGTAGGTGCCTGTGATATAATCCTACCTAGGTACCTAGGTATGCGTTGCGTAGCGCCCTGCACTGCATGCACCGGCACTGCATGAACCCAACCCCTCGTTCCTGTTGTCGCGTTTTTCTCTGAGGCAGTGCCACGTACGGCCGGAAAGCAAAAAGTCTCTCACTGCACTTCAGACCTACCACAACTCGAATAGATTGAGAGGACCACTGGCACGTCCGGGCAACCAAGCAACTTGAACTGTCGATAGAGCCAAGTCGGGCCAAGTACTTGGCGAGCCATTGGTAAATCACTGGCACCGGCATTTGATCCTGGCGCTACATCGATCGAAGCCGCAAGCAGAACACTGGCAGTCCGCAGCGTGCAACTCGCTGCATCAGGAAGCTCAAGCTCAAGCTTCACTGCAGCAAAGCACGGCGCAACCACCATCAGCAGCAGCAGCACCACCACCACCACCACCCACTGACCATCCCGTCCACTGCTTACTACAACTCTCGGATCACTTTTTTGGTCACCTTTCTTGCTCCCAGCGCATAAATCTGCACTCCAGCACGAATGGGTATGTCTTAACCCGACCTTGAACCTCATTCTGCCAGTGTGCATCGGTCGTCATCCTCCTCCACTGCATCGTCCCTGCTGTCCGTCACATTTCTTATCCCCGTGCCTGTGCACTTCCGACTCCCGTCTCTCTGTTGACATCACCGCTGACTGATGGCTGCCTCCAACAATGTAGCTGCCACCAAAATCCGCAAAACCTTTTACCTGACAGGCAATGAGAGAGAGGCCATGTCTCATCGAGAAGACGGCGCCAACGGCGATGTCGAACCCCATGAACGAACCGGCCTCCTCAATCGCATCGCTACCACCGACTCCGGAACCCCATACTACAAACATGAAAATCGAGTAATAAGATATCCGTTTCTCGTCGGACACATTACAACGGAGGTTTTGAAGACAAACTATGTCAATGTTCTCTTGGTGTTTGTGCCCATCGGCATCCTGTCGGGTGTGCTGCACTGGGCTCCAACCTTGCAGTTTATTTTCAACTTTATCGCCATCATCCCCTTGGCCTCGTTGCTCGCCTTTGCCACAGAGGAACTGGCGATTCCGTTGGGACAGACTATTGGAGGATTGTTGAACGCGACATTCGGGAATGCGGTTGAATTGATTGTGAGTAGCCTACTCAAGAGATGGTTTTGTTGCTGCTGACGGACGAATCTAGGTGAGCATCATCGCTTTGCGCAACAATCAAATCCGTATCGTGCAGGCCAGCATGCTCGGGAGCATCCTGTCCAACATTCTCCTCGTCCTTGGATGCTGCTTCTTCATCGGCGGTATCAGGTACAGGGAACAGACCTTCAACTCCACCGTGGCTTCGACCATGTCCTCGCTCATGACGGTGGCCACCTCCTCCCTGATCATTCCGGCCACTCTGTACGCTGTCATGTCTGACAGCAAGGCACAAGATGATAACATCATGGTCTTGTCGCGCGGCACCTCGATCATCTTGCTCCTCATCTACGTGGCATATCTCTACTTCCAACTGAAATCTCATGCCGACTTGTTCGACGATGCCGAGGCACAGGAGAATGACAACCCCGAAGACCAATTGCTAGGACCATGGTCGGCCGGTGTTGTTCTGGTGATCATCACTCTACTGGTCGCCTGGTGTGCAGAGTATCTTGTCGACAGCATTGACGCCATTGTCGAAGAAGCCCACATCAGCAAGACCTTCATCGGTCTGATTTTGATCCCCATTGTAGGTAACGCTGCCGAGCACGTCACCGCTGTCATTGTTGCGTGGAAGAACAAGATGGATCTGGCCATTGGTGTGGCTATTGGATCGAGCTTGCAGATTGCCATCTTCGTCACGCCGTTTTTGGTCATTCTGGGCTGGATCATGGATCGGCCTATGACCCTCCATTTTGAGACTTTTGAGACGGTCTCCTTCTTCCTGGCCTCGCTGGTTGTCGTTCTTTTGATTCAAGACGGCAAGTCGAATTACCTGGAGGGACTGTTGTGTCTCGGCATGTACATCATCATCGCCTTGGCATTCTATGTCCTGCCAGAAGATGCAGGGTCCGGCTTGAATCCCGGCAAGTTATTCTCCGATGGGGACTAAGAAAGAGTTGCCAAAGGGTTGTCGAAGAACTAACCCAATCTACCTGAGGATAATGGGTCGGGCCAGGAAGTCGAATCAGGCTTCCGGTGTTTCTTTCTGTGATGCGCCTGTCATTATTGCTCTGCTTGGGCACTGCAATGGCATGGCCACGCATCAGCACCTGCTGCCAAATTGAGATTGGAAATTGGCGTTGGGCAGAACTAGGTGTGTGACATGCGTTAGCTGGTTCGTTTGTCAATGGTTTCGTTGAGTATTCCTCAAATGGTATCTGAGAACAAAGAATAGGAGTGTTGGCAGAGATTATTCCATGCTTTCACGTTTTATACGGCCGATTGTTAGTAGGCAAGAAAAAGACTGAGCGATGGTTTGACTGAGTTCCCATCTTGTTAGATGACTTATTTCACGATTCCTCAGACCAAAACGTATGTACAATCGATAACCTTGGAATGCATTGCACGGTGACGTTAATCGTAGTACACGGAGAAATATATGGATCACGTGACCAATCGGACCACTCGAACTCTGAAAAGCTTCGTCCAATCGGGCACCGGACCACAGAACTGCCTCCAATCGTGCATTACTGCGGTCGATGAGCATCATCACCACTCTTTGACAGATTAGTGTGGTCACGACGACGGTGACGAGGACAACTACCGGCTTTTGTTTTCCTTTTCCTCTCCTCCAAAGATCTATCATCCTGCACATCAAGGACTCGGCATTCGGTGACTGTGCGACGGCCGACGAGGAAAGAGAGGTGACTCGTGGTCAAGAAATACCTCCTTGACGCAGACGCTCCTCTCATTGAAGGGTCCGACTCGAAAAATCGCAGCCACATCGGCGGCGCCTTTTTCGTTCCAGTGATCGAGCGAGTCGATCGAGCCCCGCGAAGAGAGACCGAGGCCATTGCAACGGCCACGACTGGATTTGATTAAGAACCACAAGTTCCTTCTATCTACCTACGTTGTTGCGACACCTTACATTCGGTCCAAGATGCCTTCCCGAGTCTCGATCCTGAAGGCGCGGTGCTCATCGCTAGCCATTCGACCGAAGAGTCTACCGAAGAACCGATGGAGCAGTATCGGTAGTCGTGCATATGCTGCGCCTGCAGGCTTTCACCATCAACGCAGAATGGCAAGCGATGATGCAAAGAATCCAAAGAAAACGCAAGCTTCAGAAGATTTCAAGGGGCCGACCCAGGATGCGTTGCCGCATATTACGGAAGAAACGGCTGCTATGGATAAGATTCTAGGAGAGACGCCGCCAGACATCGAGCAGGGGACACCGGTGCAAGAGATTCTCAAACGTGACAAAGAAGCTCAGAAAAACGCCCCCAAAGTGCTCAAAGACAGCATTAACGCCGAAACCAATAGCTCTGGCAAACCTCCGGGGTCAAGATCATTTTCGACTTTTTCTGCTTCTCGATTTGGGTCCCGATCATTCTCAACCATTGCAAGACGCAATGCAGAAGCTACAGCAGAACTTGTCCGATTCGAAGATACCAGAGCAGTAGGCCTCGAGTACCCCGACGCCGGCTTCGGTCACAAATTCCCTTTGCCGGATATCACCAAATTTCCAAAGACGAACCACATCAAGAAACGGTACGACGAGGTGTTGGAGCAAGTTACGCGGAGTATTATGCGACATGGGAAATTGAGTCGGGCGCAAAAGGTGAGACTTGATTTTCTTTTTCTGGTTTGGGCTTTTGGGGTTTGCTCCCCTGCTGTCCATCAGGTTTTATGGCTTGCTGACAACCGTCGTTTTAAAGAATATGGACGAAATCCTCGACAATCTCCGCAAAGCCCCCGTTCCCTCCGCAGGAGAACATGGCTTGCTTACCGATCTCCCGCGTGACGAGCTTCCTCTCTCGCCTGTTCAGTATTTGACTGCCATTATTGACTCTGTGGCCCCTCTTGTGCGAATCCGACAGTTGAGAGGTTTGATGGGTGGCGGTGCGTCTATGCCTGTGCCTGTTCCTTTGAATCGACGGCAACGACGTCGGGCGGCCATTCAGTGGATTCTTGCTGGTGCCGAGAACAGACGGGAAACCAGACTTGCAGAACGTGTATCAAAGGAACTTATTGCCGTGGCTGAGGGGAGAGGGTCGGCATGGGAACGGAGACAGAGGGTGCACAAGATGGCTATTAGCACTAGAGCCAATGTCAAGACTATGTTGCAAGGACCGAGGAAGAGGGGAGGTGGGAAATAAATGAGAGAAGGCCCGGGATTGGCGGGCGTGTTGTAAGCCACCTATTTGATTGGGGGAGGTCTCCAGGACCTTTACAATGTTGTGAGAAAATTAAATTGGTTCTGTACGAATGGGTGCTGAGATGTGCCTGTGTATATGTATACATATATCGTGTCGAACGTTATGGTACTGTTGGACTATAGTAGAGAGTGTACACAGTACACGCGGTTACTCGGGCCTTAAGTGTCTCGTCATTAGACCTGGGGAGACGACCGGGTTGACCAGAAGAAAAACCATAGATGCTTGTTTCATACCAAGCAGTGGGAGTCGAATGGTACCAGGAGAATCTACCTAAAAAGACAAGCCTGAGGCTGCCAACCTGAATACCTGAAAGGATTTCGAAGTCCAGCCTCGTCACATGACGAGGCTGAAGCTCGGGACCTCTGGCAGCCTTATCATTGTTATTGTAGATACTTTACTCCGAGTCGTTTGTGACATTGCCGAAGTGTTTATGTATCTTAATCCTCCGTAATTTCCCATCTCGTTATTTTTACCGTGTACGGGTAGTCAGCTCTACGCTTGGACGATCAATTTGATTCCGATCACTGCTGGCATGCGAGACTGTCGGCGCGTGTTCCGTTGGACGAGTGAGTCCTCATACGGACACAACCATATCTTATGTTCTATATGATTTGAATACTATACTGTGCCATTACCATATGGACATGGCTGCCAGGACGGACGTCACAAACTCAAGTACACTTTGGAACTGGAACTTGGATATCGGGATCTGAATCTCCGGCTGGACCAGGGTTCGACTTTTACTACGATGACTGCCATGGCCAAGGTTAGGGCCAGCATTGGGATCAAGATCAGGACCGCCAGCAGTAACGTCGGTAACATGACCACGTTCAGCGCTACGACTACGACTACGACTACGACTACTATGCGAAGAAGGCCGAATTTTAGCGTTGGATCTAGCGAACGCTACTTCTGCTCGACTCGATACCGAACGGGCGGGTTCCAAAACTACCACCATCACCAGGAGTACTTCTACCGCCAGTACCCAACTCCAATGCTCGAGCGTCAGCAGCACCGGCACCACCGGCACCAGCGACGTACGCACACCGTCGCTGGGAGATACACCTCATTCTCATCCACTCGCTCATTTGGAAGCGGCGGTGGCGGCGTGAATGGCAACAGCAACATTTCCTCACGACAGAGGCAGAGACAGAGACAGCTTCAGCACAGTTATCCCATTCCTCTTGTCCTTTCGACAAGACTCTGTGCTTCGATATCACCGAGTGTTCCAACGCAAGCGTCTTGGGGAAGGAAATACTGCAGACACGCTGGAGCTGGACGCGTTCGGTTTCAGTCTTCTAGTGCCGCGTCACATGTCCTACATGGACGAGGACGGGAAGTCGACTACAAACTACACCAGCAACAGGAATTGCAACAGAAGAAGCAACAGGAGCAACAGGAAATGCAGAACCACGACAAGGCCGACATTGACATCGTGACCAGGCCAGTGACAGCTACAGCGACATCGACACCGACAACGACAGCCACAGCTACAACTACACTGAAAGAACCAGAACCAGAACAAGAACCAAAGCCAGAAGAACCAGTTCATGGCGCTACGACCAATGACAATAACAGTGACAGTATAGCCCCGTCTCCATCTCCCTCTCCATCACCATCTCCGTCTCTCCACCACTTTGAATTCAATCAGCACCACAACGATCTAGCCTCTTTCCTCCACCACGCCCGCCGCACCGGCCTCTCCCCCTCGAGCACAGTGTATACAGGGACATGCTACGAATATCTCGCGCAGGAAACACTGCAGAGGTACGGATTTGAATTGTCTCGTGTTGGCGGACGGGGCGATCGGGGCGTTGATCTTGTTGGAGTTTGGCGATTGGATTCGAATAAAAACACTGGTACCGACACAATCAACACTCCTACGACCGCCACTGATAGTAGAAGTACTCCCACTAATACCACTCCAATATCCTTCAACGTTCTCGTCCAATGCAAACGTCTAACAGGCAAACACGCCAAAATCGGTCCAAACTTGATCCGTGAACTTGATGGGGCTGTGAGGGCTGCGAGACACAGTTACTCTTCACTTACTGCTATTACAAACTCGAACTCGGTTCCAAACCTGAACTCGGGTCCAGTCTCCGGTGGGACAGGTTCAAGACCGAGTTCAACGCTGGGTGTCCTGGTGGGCACGCGACCCGCCACAAAGGGCGTCGTGGAAAGTATGAGAAGATCAAATAGGGGGTTGGTTTGGATTATGATGGAAGAGATTGGACTTGAACAAGACCAACAGCAAAACCTTGACGGTGGCGGTGGCGGTGAAGAAAGTACACATACACCGTCTGTCCGTGGAATCATCAAACAGATTCTCTGGAACCAAGCTGCCCGCGATTTGGGACTCGAGGGAGTCGATGTGGTGAAGAGAATTCTACCTGGGGGAAGAGATGAGGTGGTTTTGATGAGGTCGTGAAATAATTAAATAACTAGCATCCTGAAAAAAAAATCAATATGAACAAAATAAGAATGTCTGATTTGGCTCGGTATCTGGCAGAGCTTAAGGTATGGTAAATGTAATCCATCCACTCGATCGAACTGATCCGACCAATAAACAAGTCAGTCAGTTCACTTCACGTCCATCTTTTGCTTGTGTTGCCCACGAAACACGCAGATATGGTATGGCATACCATATCATGACATATACCACCTGTACCCGTCCACCAAGACCGAGGCCAACGTCAAGTCTGCATTCAACGTGGCAGCCCTCCGAGAGCAGTTGTTTTCACCACGGAGCGTCACGGCCACGTCAAACCGCTTTTCTCAGCTTCTTTGAGATACAGGTAGCCTCTCTGCTCCCATTTTGACTTTCCTCTTTCTTGCTGATGGCGGCACATGTCCAGTCGATTCGACTCGAGTCAATCCTTCTCATTTGAAGACGGGCTGAAGTAACCTGCCTCATCTCATCCCTTCTCACCTTGTCCGCCTGGGCGGCCGCTGGCCAGAACGGCATTTGTTTGTTTTTTATATGGTTTACAACTTCGCTTTCGGCGCCTCCGCCTTGGCCGCCCCGGACTCCAGCGAAGGAAGCAACATGTCGCGAATGTCGTTGGCCGCCTCGTTGAGGAAGAAGCTCATTCTCTCGCAGCCGAGCTTCTTGGAGACGACGTTGAATTGTAGACTAAATCGCAGAAAACGACAAGTTAGCAATAAAAATCAGATCACTTTGTACCCTTTGGTGCTGCACTGCTTTGCTCTGCTCTGGGATGCTCACTCGGCTCGGTTGCGCCTCGCCTCGCTCCGCTGTCTCACTTACCTGTTTTCATTAATCATATAAGCAATCCCCCACCCCTGATCAACCACCTGACTCCAGCCATAGCCGTTGAAATACTCCGAACTCAACTGGCTAGAGCTAATATACCAAGTGGACGAGTAAGAGTAGGCCGGATCCTTGTAGAGTTCCGGCACCTCTTCACCCTCTTGGATCAACTTCTTCAAACCGAACAGATGTCGGTCCACGCCGTATCCTTCACCTGCTGCGGCAGTGTATTCAACATGAGCCTTGACGGCGGCACGGAACAGACGCTCGCACTCCTCTCTTGACACAGACGGGTCGGCCATAGCATCACAAAAAGCCACCGACTCGTCCGAGACCGTGCGGGTGGTTTCGGTGCGACCGAGTTGATATTTCCTCGTAGCGGCTGACTCGTACGTTGGTCGGTTCTTGCCGTACATTTTGTGGTATGCCAGTTGAATCACCATCTGGACGTACGCGTCTGGCGAGCACTTGAATTTCTTGATCAGTCCTTTGCCGTAGCCTTGGTACGCTTGGACGCGCAGGTCATGCGCGGCAATGACTTGGCGGAATTGAGCTTGGGCGTTGGCCAGATCCTCAAAAACGGCCGCTGAAGTCTCGAACTTTAGAGGGGTCGGGTCCGGCAAGTCGGAGCGGACGTTCGGGTTGTCAAAATCGAGCTTGTTGTGCACAATGTATGCGTTGACCGTGTCGCAGAGTCGGTGTGTCGGGGTGCCGTCCATCATGCTGTGTTCGCCCATAAATCCCGCAGTGCCGTTGTCGGTGATGATGAATTGCAGAGGCTTGTCGTACCATCGGTTCGCGCCGTCACCGTGCCAGTAGACATGTGCCCGCTCTTCCAGGGTGACTGGGGTGGTGGTGTCCAGACAGACAACAAATGAAGAAGCCTCAATTTCCTTGAGCACGGCCTCGTTCAAAGGAGATGCGGCGAGCAGGTTTTCGCGCGCTTTGGCGCCCTGATCACGCGGGAACGAGGTGATCGAGCCAATGGGATCGGCGTGTTGAGCGTTACGAAGGACCTTGTTGAACTGTTGCTCAAGCTCAGAAGTGGTGAGTTGCTTTCCGTTGATGTGTGTTTGGATCTTCCAGAACTGGTTATTCCGAATAGCAATAATGTGCTCGTTGCCTTCAGCAGGGTATTGGATGGGATAGTCGGTGGGAATGGCGGCAACTCGGGACGTGTTGAACATGTAGTCATAACTGCTCATGGCCATTGGCTTGCCGCGCATATACTCGGGTTCTAGGGTTTTGGTGTCCACCTGACGCTTGAACTCGAGCGCGGCCGTGGTGATTGCAGCCGCTCGCTTCGCCGGGTTTCTTCGACGTCGGTCGTCGCGAAATGAGTAGAAATAAGAAACATATGGGACGACTGGGTCACGGTAACCCAAGTATGCCGACTCGTTCCACCAGTCTGCCAGCCAGTTCTTGACGTTGGGGTCTTGTGCTTTGGCCACCAGTCTTTCTTGCAGCTTCTCTCCGAGACTGCCTGGCTTGTTGAACTCTTCCACTGCCTTTTTGGATGCCTCAAACTCTTCTTTCGTCAGAAGTGGGTGTAGACTCTTTAGGTAGCGGGCGGATGTCTCCTCGAGTGTGGGAACCGGCAATCTGGGCAGAGAGTCCTCAAACCGGAGCATCTTGCCTTTCGAGTTGTCCTCCCGGTAGTCTGTATTGAACTTAGCAGTGTCCACGACATTATCATGCTGTTTGCAAGCTTACTCTCGGCCGTCTTGAAGTGGAGTTTCGTGGAGGCTAACCGTTTATTTGCGGGCGCCATCGCGAATGCCTGCAGGGTTGTTCAGCTCTTCTGTATCGTCTAGTCATTGAAAAACGGGACCATCCTACCTTGACAGCTGCTGAGGTTCTGGAAGCTCGAGGGAAGGCGAGGAGTGATGCTGGTGCTCGACCAACGGAGAACAACATACCCAGAACACAGGCCGGAGAGGGGAGAGTAGATTGTAGAAGGGATGGACGTGGAAAGAGAAGACTGTCAAACGGCCGAATGCGACGAATTTGGAGGACAACTTTTTATTACGTCGGATAGGACTCGGACAGCTGATACAGACGAATTACCGCGGCGATGTAGAGTTCCCGCAGGGTATACGACAGACCTACCTCAGCGCTGGGTCTGGTGTGGGAATGTCCTGTTCAAACGCACCTTTGCCCGAAATCCGTTCAGCCGAGGCTCGTTTGATCCGGGACGCGGTTGGCCGGGGACGCCGCGGGGTGGAACAACTATTCGCCGGGGCAGCCGGCTCAGCGAAAATGTCGGGAGGGAACCGTCCCCATCTTGATGCTTCACATCCTCATCTTCCCGCAATATCCGATCATCCCATGGGGTGACATGAACTGGGGGTGCCTGAAGTTGTTTGACGATCTCATCAAGATATCGATGCACGAGTTCATGCGGCCGCTGACCGGCTTCGGTCAATTGTTTATAGTCCTTCCTGCTCGTCTATATACCTATGTAACGCCTCACCGAGACTCCCTCGGTCTTCCCCAGCTTCCCCATCACCCTCGTGCCATGACTCTAGATCAGTCAAACTGCAGAGATGTCTCATGGTCGGTCGTCCATGAGGACAATTCCAGGGCTTATCAATCGTCCCCATATGCGTGACCACCTTTTCCATCTGTTTCTTCGATAATGTCTTGCCAATCATGATACTGGACCGACAGGCCCTCATGGCAAACATCTTCCTCACTTTGCTCGGCCTGGGCACTCCCGCTCCATGTTCACTCCCCACGCCTTGTGCTTCAGCGAGGAGGTGAATGAGTTCCTCCAGGTCCTGAGTGGTGAACACCACCTCTTTGCTCAGGGGTAGACTAACAAGTCTACAACGTTGGCCGACCATACTTTCACCGCTCATGTCGATGTCGACGATGAAACCATTCTTCTCCAAAGCGTCTTTGTTTTCCAGCACAATTTCCTCCTCCACTGCCGTGAGGTCAAGGATAGCCGGCTGCACAAGCCTCTGGTTTCCCACCACTGTTTCAGCCTGTAATCGTTCAAAATTGTATTTTTCGTCCGAGGCGTGCTGGTCGATGATGAACAGCTCGTCTCGTCCCTTCTGTTTTCCGTCATGACAAGACCGTTGGGCAGGCCGGACAGCGAGGATAAAGCCAAGGTTGAACTGCCCTACAATATCCATCCTTGCAAAGTCTGCCTTGGATACAGTCAAGGAAAGTTGTGTTTCTGGGTCCGCATCGTCGTTGGATGCGGGAAGTTCCTGGGCAGCTGATTCCTCCCCAATATGGTTGAGGCTTGTCCGCATTTGCTCAGCTAAGGATGAAATAGAGAAATCGACCGTCGCAAATAGGTTCGTGGTGGAATCTTTATTGCGACCTCCAGAAAGTGCCTTGGTGGCACGCTTTAAATTGTCCTTGCTCGGTGTAGTCACGGTTTCCTCGGCGGCTCGGATGAGCTCAGCTACGCGTGCTTCTTCAGCCCTCTTCTTCTCCGCTTCATCCACGTAATCGCCATCAGGAAGGTCCTCCGCGACCTGAGGTGAGGATGGGATGTCTCCATCAAGATCATTGTCATCCGGACTTAACGATTCATGGAGTGACTGAGTCAACTGCTCAGACTTGATTTCCACCTCGTCGTCAGAATCTGCATCCCCTGGAGCAGGGCTGTCAGAGCGCTCGGCTACCTCTCCACCACTGGAGAGCTCTCCAGTATCAGCACTGAATTTTCGCAATTTCTGAGAGAAGTGTGCGACGAATGAGCTTTTCGTAGAGTTTTCGCGCGCTTCGGCCGCCTTTCGCTTTTCTGGGAATTGATGGGTTCCGCGTTGCAACCTGGAGTGTTGCGATCCTAAGACCGTAGTGAACGTCTCCTCTCCTATTTGGACCGTGGCAAGTCCTGCCGGTACCCTCTTGGGCCTCATGCGATCAAAGGCAGTGGGGACAACCCCTGGTTCCTCTTTATCCGATGAGGGCATAGTGGAGGGAATCTCCGGAGAACTGGGGCGAGAAATATTATTTGCCTGCACTCCTCCAGACTGCAGTCCTAAGGCTCTTTCATCGACACCGTCTTCATAACTTGTGAGATCGTTGTGTTCAGTATGCTCCGATACTTCCTCCTTGGCGGTGTCGAGGGAAGTAACTTCGTGGGCTTCGTCATCCGCATCTGATCGAGCAGATTCCTCCGCACGCCCGGTATGCGGCCATCGTATTCTGTCAGCTGCATCTTTTCGTTGATTCTGTTTTTTTCCTTGCATGTTTACGCCCAACTTGGGACTTCTTCTTGTACTCGCATAGTTGGTGAAGTGGTCCCTCATTAAAGAACCAGGACAATTTTCGTCTTCCCCATCTCCTTCGGCAGAGTCTTGGCGTTCTTCCTCTTGCATAGATTGATCCGAAACCGAACTGCGATCAATTTCCTCGTTGGGCGATGCAGACGGCGTCTGTTTTTGGAAGCTCAGCTTGTCGAAGGCAGGAAATTTAGAAGTCTGCAACTGAGAATGAGGCACAGTTTGAGCTTGACTGTCAAACATTTCGTTCAGTGCAGTTTTCAAATTTTCAATGAGCGCCGCTGAATCATGGAGTAATATAGTTCGCTTATCTGGTGAAACATTGACATCGTAGGCATTTGTGTCCATCTGCAGGTCTGCAAAGATGAATGGAGATTGGGTGACATTGAACGCCTTGTATACTTCGTTGATGGCTTTCGCAATCTGGGGCAAACCACATGGCCTACCATTGACGAAGAACATTTGTCTATCAGGAGTTTGTCTGCCCTCGCCAAACACCGGCTTTGAAATATGACCTCTAACATGGATTTTGGAGCGAGCCTTGTCTTTGTGCACCAACTGAGTCAGTGTAGGTCGAAAATCCAACTCCAAATCCAACGGCGCCAGGGCCGCCAACGTCTTGGCTCCATAGACATTTGCAATGTTCTCTCTGGTTGTGGCGTTAGACTTGGTCGAAAACACCGTCACACTCTTGCCCTTGGGCATGGTGTTTTTGACCGTAAACTTGACGTTGACAGAAACACAAGCATAAGCCTGAAGGAGTCCCAGCACTTTCCCATACTCTCGCTTGATGTTCTTGGCCAATTCTTTCCGTCGGACCGGCAAGCTTTCGAAGATGCCTTCGACAGTTACAGTTGTACCTTTTTGACAGGCCACGAGAGTGGTCGACTTGAGCTTGCCGGAGACATCGAACTCAAGCCGTTTGCCCTTGGGTGCCTCTTCTGCCTGAGCAGTTGTAATGTAGAGTTTAGACAGGGCAGAGAGCGAAGACAAGGCTTCACCCCGAAAGCCGAAAGTCTGTAGTGTCGATAGATCATCGTAGCTGGCGAGTTTGGACGTATAGTGTTTTAAGGCGACATTTTCATAGTTGGCAGGAGATATGCCTGACCCATTATCTTGTACTTCGATTGCATCGAGACCATTGTTTTTGAAGCGAACTTCCACCGAAGTTGCTCCCGCATCAAGACTATTCTCGACCAATTCCTTTGCCACGGAACATAAATCAACTATAACCTGCCCAGACTGGATCTGGTGAACCGACTTGGCCTCGATGGGCTTGATGGTGGCCATGCCAGCCCATGGTTGATCGAAGAGATTCAAGTTGTACCACGAACCATGGCGCCTTGTCGATACGCAGCCGCGATCAAAGGAGTGTAGACCGAGGAACCACCGAATAATCTGTCAACATCCACAACTTGAAAGGCCGGCGATTCAGAAGTTTGGCGACGTTGAGATCAGGCTGAAACCGAGTGCACGTGATACAGACTGCTAGACCCGACGAGGAAAGGAGGCAGATCGCCAAGCATGACGTCGCTGGTGAAACGGCGAGATCTTCCGTCGCCTCTGCTTAGTCATTGAGGCGAATATCAAACTATTTTGTGAAAGTAGAAGTGAAATCGCCCTCGATTTGCAATCCTCATTGTCTTTCTTGAATTTCCAATTTCACCAGCAAGATTTGACAGTTGTGCTCGGAAGCCAGGACGCTTCCATGTTGCAAGATCTACCCATCGAGGTCATCCAACAGATCGTCGGATACTTGCCCACCGCGTCATCGATAGTCAATCTCTCGTTAACAAACCACAAGCTCCACGACATAGTCTCAGCGGATGACTATGCAGTCTTTCGAGCATTTGTCCGACGAGCATTTCCATCCATCAGAACACCACCATATTGGCGTGATGTTGCTCGAGTCCTGACCTCGCGATCCAGGGCGTGGGATCGTCGAGCATTTATAACCAGAGAATGTTGCCCGCCGCCCGACAACATCGACTTTCCTGAAGGGTATCATCAGGGATACACAGTTGGATACCATCCAGTGATTGACAGCTACGAGGATTGGCAGGGAGGCTCATGGTCCTGCCGGAAGGAAGTTTTGGCGTGGGGGGCGGCGGGCAGATTGAGAACGCGGACGATCAAAGATGGAGTCACGACATGGAGTTCCTTAAGGATCCCAGAAGACCACCGACAAGATCTTGACATTCTCGACGTCCGGCTCTTACTGACCCACCAGCACGACAACAATGACCATGAATCTATTATCTTGAGGAGGGCTAATCGAGAGGTGGTCAAGGTGGAAACATCACCTAAACCCGACCACTTCACCCAGTCGGCACGGTATATCGGGCAATCCGATGACTTGTCTTGTATGGACGTTACAAAGGGATCTCAGCCATTTCTCGCAACGCTCGGCAACGATTCTATCCACCTATATCCCGTCCACAGCTCTGAGCACAACGTTCGCGCAATCGACATTGTGCCACTCGCACCAAAACAGAACCATCTTGTTCGAAAACGAATGCGATGTGCCAAGTTTTTGTCTGACACCACGCTGGCCGTGGGGATACAGTTCCTCCAAGGACGCGATCGGGCCCCGATCAACATTTACCACATCACACCGACTGGTCTATCAACCACACCATTGACTGAAACAATGTCCTTTTCAGAATCAATCCACTCCACCCTCCCAGGAAGACATAGCGCCAACGTCATCGCCCCTCTCGATGACTTCGGGATGACTTCCAGGCGACCAGGTCAGATGTTTCTATCAGGCTGGACGGACGGCATCGCCCGACTCCACGACACACGGGTCCCAGGCGCCACAGTCACAGAATATATAGACTATGTGGACGACGGCCAAATCCTTTCACTTTTGCCGATAGGTCGAGAACGGTTCCTGGCCGGAAGTTCGCAAAACGGCTGTCTCAAGACCTTTGACATCCGCATGTCAGGTCGCGCCTATTCTTACCTCCACGCTCGTCGTGCAGATGATGGACCATCTTCTTCTTCGCCGAAACACGCCCGCGATTTCAACATCTTCTTGACCCCCGCAATCAATCACCACGAACCACTCTGGCAACCACTGTCGCGACGGCCCGGTCGTCGATTCAATCGTTACCGCGGCTCAGTCTACTCGCTCAGCAGTCCGTCGTCCCTGTCCCCGACTGTCTATGCCGGAATTGAAAATCACGTCCTGCAACTCGACTTCGTGTCGACCGACGACTACAGAAGCGACATTCCAGGTCTCGTTGATCCGTCGTTGGGACTGCACGACAAGACGAATCAGAATCAGAATCACGTGTTTAACTTTTCGTGCTACGAGCGGCCACGTCCCGGACGGGAAACCACTGATCCCGTCTTGTTGAGAAAACAGCTGAATCTGACGTTTGACAACAGGAGGGACAGCGTGACGACAAACCGGAGAGATAGCAACAGTGGCGCCGGAGGAGGAGGCCATGGAACAGCAGAACAGGGATGGGACGAGCGGTGGCGGTTAGAGACGTATGATCGGACACGGGGGAGGAATCGAGGTGACTGGGGTTCCGCACGAGAACGAGATCAATGAATAGATTACAGTGCTAGACAAGACACTAATTGTGAACAACGACGTTATGAAGCGAGCGGGCTGTCTCAGTGACAGTGTATAGATATTAGATACAGTAAATACCAAGGTATATATCAACGAGGACGAGTGTGGATGATAATGCGGCCGCCTTCCTCGCGGGCTTATAAAAGCCACCTCTCACAAAACCTCATCAGCGCTGATCTCCCCGTCGAATCTGCGGTTGATTGCGGTGCAAGAAGCCCCCTGGTCCATCGTGGGCGGTACACCAAAGCGGCGGAACAGGCTGAAGAATGCTCACCATTACGCTGGATCTCCCCTCCTAAGTTTGCATTGATCAATCCGCCACAGACAACGTGTGACCTTTTTGTCTTTCCATACCTTAACGCAAAGAATTTGCAAGAGATCTCGAGGAGGTTGTGCTTGGAGACCAACAACGCTTCCAAGCCTCTCCACTGCTTCCCTCTGCCTTCAAGCAATTTGACTCGGCTGGTTGCAATTACTAGCTACCTATCAAACGAGGCCAAACTGCTTCCCTTCCCAAGGAGCATGTGACACCGTTCGTTTCCTGCCCTGCATTCGACACACTGGATGATACCTCAGCTACATAATTCTTCAGCAGTGTGTTTCCGAAACCCAGTCCACTGCACCAATTTCCAGGGAGAAAGCACCTCGTCTAGTAAACGCCACTCTTTGAACTAATACAAGGAAGGCTCTTGTTTCTCTTCACGGATATGATCTCTGAAAGTCCGCGCACTCCAACCAAGCCATACCAGTCCCACTACTAGTAAGACGAACCACCCTCCTGTCTCAGCAATTCATCAACATCTTCATCTAGACTCTTGAATAGGTCTTGTCGAGGTGCGTTCGCACCCGCCTGTGTTGAAGAAGTGTCTTTCTGTGTCTCACCAAACCCTTCCATGCCCATTTCTCCAAGATCCGGCACCAAATCTGCATCGCCACCGTGGGATAACTTGCGCTTCTTGGAACCAAGTCCATTGGAACCTGTTCCACTTGCCACTCTGACGCGTGATGCCGTGCTTGATGGGTACTCATATGGCAGGCCACCTCCCAGATTGCTGGCGAGGGGACTATATTCGTCGCTTCCTCCCGAGAAACCGGCCAGCGCTTCAGCTACCGCCGGATTGCTAGGCCGGTCTGATGTGGTCTGCTGAGGGGCGGCCTGGTTGGAATGATCGAATGGACCACCATTGCCACTAGCAAAGTCGGTCTCCGGAAACTCTGGCTCGGGAGTCAGTTCTTCGATTTCAGGCCGCTCGACGAACCCAGCACCAGCGCCACCACCTGTACCATTGTTATCAAGGCCAGGAGAGTGGACCCCGCCCGGCGCAGAAGGTGCTTCGGCAGAAGAATCGACAGCCGATAAGCCACGAATAATGCTGTCTTCGACTTCGCGTTTCTTAGCCTCAGTGCTGATCTTGCGACTCTGGAGGTCCAGGTAGGTTTGCTCGTCCTTTGCAAGGGCGGCTTTGTTGATTTCCAGGATCCGCTCCAGGTCGGCAACGAGGGCCTTGCGAGCTTTGATGCTGGCGGAGACCGAAGACTCAGCTGCCGCGAGAGACTTGATCAAGCCCGACAGGCGGGCTGCGTGAACTGGTGGGCTAGGCAACACAGCGGCAGGATCGTTGAGCTTCGTGTACTCGGCCTGTGCTGCGTCAATGGCAGGACGAGCTGAGATGGTTTCCTTGGTCACGGCGATCTGTAGCGGGGCGAGAGTTTCGAGCTCCTTGGGCATGCCTGTGGAGGCGGACGAGCTGAAGAGAGAGTTTCCCATGAGCGTCTTCTTGCCGCCCGAGCCTTTGGACTTGTCGATTTCGTCGATTCGGGCCTCGATCGCCTCAAGAATGGGAGCTTCGAAGACATTGCGAGTGCGCCAGACTTCGACCACACGCCGAATTTTGCCTTGAACATCGGCTGGCGAGGAGCGATAGGCTGTTTGGATAGCTTCGGCCATTAACGGTGAGAAGGCGTCAGGGAACTCGGTCCGCTTCCGAGCTCGCGCATTCTGCACTATGTCGTTGACGAGGTAGATGAAATTCAGACGTTTGGCCGGCGGAGAGTCGCGGAGCCGTGTGAGCCAATAACTCGCGATACGGTCAGCGTGTCTCCTATTGTACGGTGTGTTAACATTGTCCGGTAGAAAGTAATATCGGATTATCAAGTCCGGTATATAAGGGATCACATACTTGTGGAACATGATCCATTGCGATACCGAGACAATACTGTCCTGGGTCTCATTGAGAGTCGACAGTTTTGCGCTCAACCCAGATTCGGAGAACGACATGTTGAATCAGGAACACCTAGAACAGAGGACACACCAATTGTCCGAGGGTTTCGCGGCTATTGAGCAGTGCCTTTTGTTTCTCGGCTTACTTCACACGTGAATCCTCAGTTGAAAAGTAGGCTGCGTTTGAACGTGCTGCGACAGCGGTACCAGCCAGCGTGACGAGAGGGCTTAAGGCTACGAGCTATGTCAAGACAAAGGATAGCGCACCCAGCCCGTTGAACTCAGCAACCTGAATAGACCTTAATAGTTCTGTCTGGGCCGTGGAACTGCGCGACTGAATGACTGTGGAATGGAGTGGTGGAGGGATCTACAGTAGAGACGTTGATTCAGGGATGAGGCATTAAGTGAGGTTCAAGTTCACAGCTTCTGCGAACAACTTGAAGCGAGGTTGATACCGCCAAGAGCCGGAGAGGCACGTGATATCAAACTGCATGTCGCTGCACATGCTTCTCGGTACAGCCTCTTGCAAGAACTACGGTCGAGCAAATAATGACACTTGGCGTTTGATTTCATTGAGTCTGTACAACAGGACCTCAGCGCTGCACACAAAAGCCATGAGTACAGGATTTGGTCCTCAGTCATATTTTACTATATTATAGATTGAATGAATTCATAATGTACCTTTGAAACTTGTAGAAGCACTAGCCAGCCTGATAAAATGTACAGTGTACAGAGCCTATTCGCGGAGTGATAAGTAAGCCCTGTCTGGCATCTGACTTTCTCATCAAACAGCCTTCCTCCACTGCAGGATCGAAGAACTTAACTGTCAGACAGTGCTGTTTTTACGTGACACTCCGTCCCCTGGAATCGCGCAGCCGCAACGTTTCCCCGATCTTGTAATGTGCCAATTGTCCCATTTCAAGTTGACGACCAGAAGTTCCCATCCCATTCAACACTGACCTCAATCCGCCTCCTTAATCCGCTCGTCAAGTGCCAGTGTTCAGCAGTTTTCAAAGCACATCAGGGAAGCAAAGCGCACCCGTGTATCTCGACAGCTTGTCCTTCCTCATCGTCGGCAACCATGGCCGACCGATTCCCTTCCATCGAAGACATCGATGCCGGTGAGCATTCCCTTTTCCCGGACGCTACTCCTTTGTTGTTCCCATTCCCAGGCTCAACATACCATTGTCGGACTCGATCTAACACAATATCCAGGAGAAACAGACATCCGTCCCGACCCAGCTGCTCAAGGTGGCAGCCTCGAGGAGCGCGAGCGGGCCCTTCTAGGAGAAGACGCGGAACTATTTGCAAGCACTCAACCGGGCGCCGCGACCGTCGAAGACGGCGATGGTGATCTATTAGGCGGTGACGACGGAGACTTCATATCGGCCCCTGCGGCGGACTCTGCGGTGGGAGCAGGGAACGACGACCTAAACGAGTTCGAGAGCTCGTTTCCGGCTATTGACACACAGAACGACGTATGCACACCTCCCTCCAACTTTACTCTCTGCCTCCTTCTTTCCTCCCTTCACCACCATGACTAACGGAACCATTTCATAGAACGTCGGTCCAGGCGGCACCATCACCGATTCAGGCATCCCCTTCCACGGCACCTCCACGCCCGGCGCAGGCGCAGGCTACACGAACTACACGGCCCCATCACAGCAAGAAGAAGAAACCGAACCGATCAAAGAATGGCGGGCCAAGAGAGACGCCGACATCAAACGCCGCGACGAGGCCTCGGCCCGCAAAAAGGAAGAAACCATCGCCACTGCCCGTAAGGACATTGACGCCTTTTACGAACAGTACAACCGCAAGGTCGACAAGCAGAAAGCCCAGACGGCCAAGGAGGCCGAGGAGTTTCTGGCAAAGAGAGAGGACACCACTGCCGGAGGGACCAGCTGGGAGCGCATTGCAAAGTTGGTCGATCTTAGTGGCAAAGGTCAGTCCGGAGGCGGCGACGGCTCGTCTAAGAAGATCTTCCGCGATCTCTTGCTCAGTCTGAAGAACGACAAGAATGCTCCTGGGGCCGGTGGTGTTTAAATTAGTCAGCAATGTCCCTACTACTGTGTACTCAATACCAGAAGGAGGAGGCGAGCGACACCGTCATATCCACCCGCGGCGCCAGTGTTGGCTCTAACAATACCAATACCCAACCCAATGTGGCTACCAGCGGATCGAATTGTTTGAGAAATTTCTTCGGAACATAAATCTAACAATTGTGTTGGAGGCCCGGGGCCATAAAACCGTGGCGGATACCTACTACCACAACTAGACGGAATATCCACCGCGAGATGTTCGTCGCCGGAGGACCCCATTGCATGTATGGAGAAAGTGAGGATGGGCATAGACTGGGCGTTTCTTGACCAGCGCTGGTTCATGCAGATATTCGAAAACCAAACGTCGGTTTGACAGTCTGCTGAGCCCTATGGTGTTGTGGACCTATGACTGACCGAGCAGAGCACATTCTTCTCCGAAGATACTGTACCGTATCTGCCCCAATGAAACGATATGAAGTCATAATTTGAAGTTGGTCGATGAACTTCCCAACTCCATAGTAGCTGCCGGCACCGAGTCAGCGATATCGTAGCAACTTGCGCGCACCCGGGCAAAGTCATTTTTTTTAATCTCTATTGCGCCCTGGTTGCGCACCTAGGTACTGTCAGAAAGGCAGCGGTTCAAAAGAATGCGCGCACAGCCCCGGTACCAGAAACGAGTCAAAAGAAGCAACCTCTTGAAGAAAAACCATTTTGTGCTGTTGCCCGCAAGACCTAGACTATTGTACACAGTACAGTAAACCCCATGTCGAAAGAAAACCCATGCATGCCAGCCGGACTCAACGGAAAATCTCATATCCATCCATCCGACTCTGCGTGGATGTCGAGTGAATCCGAGGTTTCATTTCCTCTCCGATGCTGCTGTCACTCGCCATTCTGAACGCCATTTTCCGTAAACGAGCTAAACTCCGTTGTGTAATCTGAATACACACCCCTTCTCCCTGAGACCGCAAACCTAACGCCTTTTGTTTCCCATAATCTGAACATTTCCGAAAAGAAAAAAAAGCAAGGCAGTATCCGGTCCCGCCCGCTTGACAAGTGGTATCGGTACTGAGCCGTAGCCTGCGCCCACTGCATGAAGCCTGGCCTTGGTGAGGCGTCAATAACGCTAGCTGAGCTCTTTTAGTGCTTGCGCTTCGATCCCCGCTTGCCCTTGCCTCGACCTCCGGTCTTCTTTTGTGGTGGCATCGAGGACGGTCCAGCTCCAGCCCCTTCTCCATGCGTGGCGGTGGCGGCGTCCTTTGGTGCCGATGCCAATGTGCTGCCCCACGCTTGAGTGATGGCTGAGCCTGAACCTTCGGACTGACCTTGTGCCTCTGCAGAACCGATGTTCTTTGTGATAGTCTCCTCTGAGGTGGTGGCATCTTCTTCTCCATCATTATCTTCATCGTCACCGTCATCGTCGCTGTCTCTGTCGCTGACGGTGTGGCCAGCAGGGTTCCGGCCATAGTTGTAGTCCAGCCAGGCGCGCAGGCCAGAGTAATCGTTGCCATCTGCCATGATGTAGGCCGCGTCGATGTGACCGCGTGCCATTTCGCGGAATCGCAAGTTGATTCCCTGGAGCGCTTCTCTTGCCGATTGTCCTTCAATCTCGTCGAACTTGGAGTTCATTCTCCTAATACCATCGTCCAATTTCTTAAGTTGCGTCATGATTCGAAGCTCCTTCTTTGTCATTGGAGGCGCTTCCATTGTGGTTGATGGCCCTGCAGAGCGAGAGAGAATGGTGGTTGTGCGAGAGCTGGTTGCGGTAGCCTTGGTCAATTCCGAGGTCCACGGTTTGGTGCCTGCGGAGGGCTTTCGAGCAGTTTGGCGAGATGAAGAGGCGGCGGCTTCTGAAGAATAGTCTCCCGGATTTGCACGTGCTGATGGACTGCTAGAAGCGTGGTTCTGAATGTTCGGTACGTTGACTGGGACATGTTTGAATTTGGCGCGTTGTGCGTCGCGGGATGCAGGAATATGTTCGAGAAGCTCGGTGAATCGAGACTTCGCCTGCGCACCTGTTTCGCCGCTATCGCTATCGGCCTCACCGTCATTCTCGTAGTGTTCAATGCGGTTGACAACCTCTTTGGCCGCTTCGTCCAGTGGCGTCCATACATCCCCAGGTACGTCTTGTCCCCTTCTGATGCATGCCCTCACCTCATCAAGGCCGGTCGCAATGGTAGTCCTGCGGGTTTGCAAGAAGGAGAACAGTTCCTTGTCGTGTTTGGTACAGTTACAATCCTTTCCCAGTTGCATGCACAACCTGTGAGGTCCATGGAATATGGCTCTGTCCAATTTGCGGACACACTCGTGGTAGGTTCCGACGGAGAGCATTGGCTCTGCCCACGGGTGAGAACCGGGCGGCAGCTTCAAGAACTGCCTCAAAAGCGGCGCAAGATAGTCTGGCACAGGCTCACCGTTATGGCCGTGGTATTTCTGAAACTCCATCGATTGCGGTTCTACATCTTGCTTCGTCGGCGGTGGTACGTTTTCGGTTACCGACGCCACAACGTCGCCCCACGGGTTTTCATCCGGTATAGGCTCGTATGCTTCGACCTGTTCCGCTACGAAATCCACAACATGTGTTGTGCACGGGTGATTCGGGGAGCATCTGTAGCGGGAGTCTTTGCACATACAAAGGAAATAGAAGAGAATGCGTTGCAGCTCGTCAAGGCCATCCTGGCCATCGATCAGGTTCTCGAGGATAAAAGCATGAATGGCATGCACGTTGTTGACGGCAATGGCTCGACTCTCTGCGGTCAGTACGAATGTGGCTACCATCACGACGACATCAGTGGCCAGTACTTCTGCAGCTCTCGGATCAATCCCACGGGCCTGGCTGACGAGATAGTCCAAGAGGTCTATCATGGCATTGCCTATATTGTCGAATGCTCCAAACCAGTCTGGACTCTCAACCGGGTCGCAGAAGGCGTAAATGCTGTGGAACACCTGCGAAAAGTACTCCAGTGGACGAGGTCCCTGGTCCTCCAGTGCACTAGGGTCCGTTCTTATGTGGTACGTGAAGCCTTGAGCCACAGCAACGGCCGTCATCGCTGGACAGACGCCACGTTTCTGGAATTGCATGATTGACTTTGGAACGGCCTGGGGGCCCACAATGGCGAAAAAGGACATGTTGTTGCGGTACAGTTCCTTCTTAGCCTTCCATGGTTCAAAGCGGAAAGTGTGCCTTGGATGATGATCGATAACCACGCGGAAGATTTCCCATATACCTTCCGGCCAATGCTTGCCATAGTGAGCCATGACTCGTTTCCTGGCCTGATCATTGCTCGGGGGAGGGTCGGTGTCGAAGAAATCCCGGAATGCCTTCCAAGACTCTTTATCGAGGATACGGTCACTAAGAAGGTATTCCCCGAACGCCAGGGGAAGCGTTTTGTCTTTATCCACCTCAGTCAGTGGTTGCAAAGTGACCAGAGATGAGCTGCGCTCGCCAGGCGGATTTATCGGGTCGGTGGCACCAGCCTTCTGGGCCAATTTCTTTCTGTGCGCTGCGACAAATTTCGGAATTGATCCCTCAACTTTTGCAATAGCTTGGGACAGCAGGGGCGGAGCCGTCTTCTTTTGGGTCTCAAGAGACTTATTGATGGCAAGCTTGACAGTATCCATCGTGGCTTGAAATCTTTCCGGATCCTTTCTAGCCATGTTCATCACCACAGAAGTCAACTTTCCCGAGATCAAGGAGTCGCTGGCATCGTCGGAAGCTGCCTCGGCGACCAGCGCTTTGGCGGTGCGAAGATGCAAGAGATCCGTGATCGTGTTCTCGAGAGCCATTTCGGAAAAAGGCGGTATGGGCGATTTGAGTACGGCCTTGGATTTAACTTTCCTCAAAGCTGCGGTGATGTTTTCGACCGTGTCACCCGACATCTTCTCCATGATCTTCTCCATGTCTTTCCTCGCCGCCTCCTCTACCTTGGTACATTCATGCTTGGTCTTGATGGTTTCTTCGGTGGTGGGCATTTCGAGGAAGGCAGCGACAGAGGATGCAGCGCCAGAGCCTTTGAGTTTCTGTTTAACGTTCAGCATGGTGTCCAAAAATTTGCGCCAGGCTCGCGCCTCCTCGTCGGCGGCGGCGTCGTCTGGGGTGTCTTCGGCCTTTGATCGCGACAGGATGTCTTGCAGGGTTTTGAGGGACTCTTGGAGCACGGTACTCAACGGTCCGTTGACCTCGAGGGCCTGGCGTAGTTCTCCAATGGCTGCTTGAACGTCTCGAGGGTCACAGGTGTTCAGGAAGCAACTCATCATCCCGAGGGTGGTAGTGAAAGCGTCAGAAGCAGTGGAAGAGGTCAGGCTGGTGTGGAGGGCATTTGACAAGGTAGCAGAGTCAGCAGGAAGAACTTGTGAGAGGGCAGGCTCGGCGTCCAGTATTAGTTTCCGGAAGGCGTCGTTCTTTCTCTCTGCTTCCGCCATCTCACGGTTGGCCTGGTCCAGTGACACACGAGCGTCGGCGGACGAGACTTTGCCTGCATTTACATCCTGTCGGATCCTGTCCAGCCTGGCCCGGATCTGGCGGACAACATGTTCATTCTCCTTAGCAGCCTCCAGGATGGCACTGTTCTTGGGGTCAAGCAAGACTTCTCTGGGAGCAATCATGTCTAAGGCCGCAGGAACCACATCACTAGCACTCTCATACTGCCTCACTTCCTTGTCTGGTCGGTCAAAGCCGTTGCCTAAGGCTTTGTCTGTCATCGCAGCCTTTCGTGCCCTCCAGGCAATCTCCTCTTCGTCTTCCTTCTTGACGCGGACAAGTTCAACGTCTCTTTGTTTGCGCAAAGCGTCCTGCATTCTTGGAGACTTTTCAGACATGATCCTTGCATGGTAGTACTTGATCGTGTCCATTTCCATCCATGAGACACCCTTGGTCTTTGCCCGAGTACATATCTCATGCCCGCAGGGAAGGCCCTTGGCCATGTGATCCTTTGCACATGCATTACCACCGCGCGCATCCAGGCAACATGAGCTGTCCCCTGTGAACTTGAATTCGCCACCGAACTGTGCCCTGAACAAGCTATCCAGAGCGGTAGAGTTCTCATCGAGTAGGGCCCTTTGAGCCTGGTGCTTGGAAGATTTCTGCTCCAGCTCATGTTTCTCCTTCTCCAGCTTTGCCCGCTCACTGAGCAGTTCATTATATATTCGAATGTCCTCTTCTGCCCACCCCTCGACGTTGTGGCCATCTGCAGCCTTTGACGAAGCAACAGAGCCAGTGGTGGAGGAAGCCTCAGAAATGATCTCCCGGAAGTGGTTACTGGCAGGTGGTGATCTCAAGCTTTTCTCCTTCAGCTTGCCCATTGCTTTTGTTCAATTGAGCTTTCTTCCGGTTTGATCTGCAGAGATTGGCTAAAATAATCTGGGAGCTGACGTCTCACACAGTGGTTTGGGCGAGAAGAAGAATGGCTTTCAAGGCGGGCTTGCTTGCTTTGAATATGGATATGAATATGCTCGCTGGGATGGCGCTGAGCGCTGAGCACCAGCGATGCACGAAAAGCAAGTCTTAGCTGGCTCTGACAGCACTTGCGTTGCAATGTTTGATCGAAGCCTGTCGATAACAGTGGTCTTGAGGCTGACAACACCCTACCACATCCAAGAACGCTGCATCACGGCCCGATATAATGAACAAACATGAGTTGCATACAGGTGGCTGCATGTTTCCATATAAAGCAAGAACAGTCCTGTCCTTAGCCTGAAATGCCTGTGGACTGTTTGTCAGGGTAGTGGAGGCCAGAAGATAGACAACGAGCGAAGGTTGCTGGCCTTGAGGCAACGGTGCCTTCTGGACCTAAAAGAAAGAATTGCCAGGAACGTGGTTTTACATCTCAAAGGAAAGCCAGTGATTCCCAAGATTCAGACAGCGTCTCACATGAATAGCCGTCCAGAAGTTGAAGTCCATTGACTGAGACAAAAGCAATACAGACTGGGGCTGAACGAAGGTGTCGTTGAGTGCTTCAAGTTGGAGCGGGACCTGGAGTTTAGTCTTGGCCCGGTTCGGGTTTTCTTTTTCCCGTTCCGTTCAGAACTTCTGACAACTTTTACCACTACAACATTGTATTTCAAAGTCAATACAAAATACCATCGCTGGGAGTCCTTGCGGCTCTATTGATCGCTGTGATGTCTACACAGGAGGTGACTGCTCCTGATGGACAGTCCTTCGAAGAACAAATAAGAGAGATTATCCAGGCCGCCGCAGCACACGACATCAAAGCCCTAGAAGCGTGCATTAGCAAGTATTCTTTTCCAGACTGCAAGGCTGTGGACGTGCAGGATTTGCAAACAGGGCAATCGCCTCTCCGTGCTGCCATTGCCTCATGCAGACCTACGACCAATGGGGTTGATAGCGGACAAGAACCTGCTGATGTCGAGGTTGCCGCCGCTGAAACCGTACGATTTCTGTTGGAAAACGGTGCAATCTGGAACCAGCTGGACAACAATGATGAGACCCCCGGCTGCATTGCTCATCGATTGGGCCTCGACGATCTATATCAAATGATGGTTGATGCTGGCGTGCGTGCCGAAATGTTACTCAGCAGGCTTGAAGAGTATGAAAGATTGGGGGATGATGAGGAAGCCGAGGCTGACAAGGCAGACGACGATGATAATGCTGGCAGGCCATCCGGAGAGGAGCAAGATGCCACAGACGGTCATCAACAGGACGACGACAAGCATGATGTACCTGACACAACGCAGGACGTCACCAGCTCCGCTTACCTCTCATCCACTTTGGCACTCAGCAACAACAAGTTGCTGGATGAGCAACATAATGGAGTGATGATGGCATGGGAAAGCGGCATTATGAAACAATCGGCGGATGCTCTCTTGTCGGAGCCGGGAATGAACATTCTCAACATTGGCTTTGGCATGGGCATCATCGATTCATACATCCAGAACCATGCCAACCAACCGGCAAACCACCACATTGTCGAAGCGCACCCGTCTGTTCTCGAGGAGATGAAGAGCAAAGGCTGGATGGATAAGCCGAATGTCGTGGTGCATAGCGGGAAATGGCAGGATGTTCTTCCACAGCTAGTCGCCGAAGGGGAGACGTTTGACGCCATCTACTTCGACACTTTTGCCGAGTCGTATTCGGATTTCCGGGATTTCTTCCAAGAGCAGGTCATTGGTCTTTTGAACCAACATGGTCGCTGGTCGTTTTTCAACGGCATGGGCGCCGATCGACAGATCAGTTATGACGTGTACCAGAAGGTTGTCGAAATGGACCTGCTTGAATCCGGGTTTGATGTGGAATGGCAAGACGTCCCGCTTCCCGATCTGGAACAGGAATGGGATGGAGTGCGAAGGAAATATTGGAATGTCACCAGCTATCGACTGCCGGTATGTAAATTTATGGATTGATGGGAAAGGTCTTGTCAGTGTCACCTCAAGGTTCATCCTAGAACCTGTCTCAAGGAGCAGTTGGCCAGGATATGGGCGTGTCAGTCTGGCACACGAAAGGGTTCCTTTGCTCCTACGAGTCGCATACGCATCATTCACGGATATGCCATCAGGTCAAGCAACCATTGAGGCGAGTTCGCCACGCATTGTGCTTCCAGTGTACAACAAAAAGTCAACATTGCCTCGCCAATTACACTCCAGTCCCCTATCTATCTATGAGTGGTGGTCCGACACTGCATTCAAATTCAAATTCACCATTGTTTAAACAGTCTTCAGCCAACACTCAACCGACTGATGTTGTGTTCCACCGACCTGAGCCAGCCATCAAATTGTTCATGTTCAGTCGGCATCCAACCTAGCAACAGGCGGGGTATCATCGACCTGGATACCGCCCCTCTTCCTCTCATTGCTATCATGGAACGGCAATCTCCAACCACCCTCACTGACGGGTGTACTCAACCACAGCCGCATCAGATGTCTCCTCGGCATTCCAGTATGGGGAGCATAATCCTTATAAGCAGTCCTAGCATGCAAGATATGCGAATTCGACACGAATTGGATATCGCCAACCTCGAGAATCATATGCAACTTGACACGGTTACAAACGGCCTCGAGTGTCTCAAGGGCATGGACCTGCTCCTTTGACAGAGGCGGGATGATGCCCTTGTCCGAGAATCGAGTGAGAGATCTCACATAGTACGGATCCCACTTGCAATAGACGCGCTGCTTTTCGATATTGGTTGGGTCTTCTGGATCGGGTGTCTCGAGATAAAACACAGACGTGCGAATATACGGTTCCTCGCCCTTTGAGACCTCACCCTTGCGGTCAAAGTACCAGACTGGCTGGGTCAACAACTCCGCGACGTCCGGGTATTCTTCTTGCAGAATGTTCCATACATCATGGACGCAAGCGACGTCGGACTCGCCACCTTCCGCGGCACGAGAGATGCACAACAGACCAACAACGTCGGCGTCGTCGGCGTGGAAGAATTGTCGCGCATTAGTGCGGTAGATGCGCACCTTGTCGATCTGTGTGCTGTCCTCGCCCAGATCTTTGACATGGCCTAAAATGTGGCCCTTGCCGTTCTGGCTGACGGGGTATCCGATGTATGTACCAAGGCCCATGTATGCGACTGCGGACTTGTGGTTGCCCCATTCGTTCACGGGGAACCCTTTATACAGAATAAATCCTTTGCCGTTGAGAAGTTCGTTGCGCATCGCTTTCAGGGACGCCGCCATGTTTGGGAGGGGGAAGTTCTGGGGGTTGATTCCTGTCAATGGGAGGCCCTCTGCGATGAATTTATCGGCTGCCTCGGAGAGTTCGCGGATCTCGTCTTCGGAGAATACGTGTGTCCATTGCTCCGGGTGGTTGATGTAGTCTGTTGCGGCCCATACTGTTGGGCCGGTGATTTTCTTTGGGAACGCGCTGTATGGGTAGAGTTGGTCGTAGAGCGGTGGGTGTTGGCCTGATGTCTTGAATCCGTCGGGGAAGATGGACAGGTCGACATCGCCAGTACCGTTCGAGGTTGTGGCTTTGGTGGTAGGGGTGTCGACTGCCGGAGCGGTGGTGTCTACTACGGCCGTGGGAGCCATTTTGGAGCAGCAGTGATGATCAAAGATCGAAGATCGAGATCAAACGACGAGTATACACCAGTGACTGGCAATCAATACACAAGTTTCAACCTCGTTGTTTTGGGCTCAAGTAGGTTGTTGGATGTTGTTGGTGGATTGTTCGTCGGTACAGTACTGTACCCCGCCTTTGGTGTTGTGTTGAACGAATCAACCGTCCCTCGGGTTTTGATACGAAGATACAACGAGTCGAGTCAATGCGAGTCAAGTTGAAGAACAGAGAGGAGAAAGAAAAGAAAACGCTAGTAGTGATGGATAGTATATTATATTTAAAGTCTCGTCAAGAAGCAAAAAAGTGTCGCCATCGCTCGCTCGCTCGCTCTTCCGACCCCTCGCCGAACCACATGGGATTGGGCAGAGGGCCACCTCCGATCCCGTCCTCGAGAACAGCGTTCGTTGCCAGTGTTCTTGGGTTTCCCTCACTGGCAGGCCGTGCCATCACTATCACGTTCCCGGTACTGCTAAGCAATAAGAAGTGAGCGTTGGACGTTGATCCAATCGGGTGGGGAGATGGCGTGATTGATGTGGTGGAAACAAGACTGGAGAGCCGGAGAGTCGATGCCAGTGGATGCAGTGGGTGGATTGCACGGGGGCCGGTTGAGGGCGTCAGGGTGCGGTATATCTACGTTGTACTGTAAGGTATCTCAGTGCTACAACTCCAGCACGCAGTACCGACTACTTACCTGGTAAGCCATGGACCGCAAAGCGTCACTGGCACGTTGGGAGCAAGTAAGTACAACAAGTGCCGCCTAAAGATCGTAAAAACATACCCACCGAAGGCTGGCATTGTGTATTTCGCACCCATACGTGCTTATTTCGCAGACACGCTAAACTACTTTAAGTAGTAATTGTGAAGATACGCTAACTGTTTTCACACAATGTTTATAGCGCCGTAAAGTACGTAAGACTAATACTGCCTATATTATTAACCCCATGCCTATTATTGCACACCTACAGCGCCTACAGTACACGCCTGCAACGCCTGCAACGCCTGCAACGCCTGCAACGCCTGCAACGCCTGCAACGCCTGCAACGCCTGCAACGCCTGCA